TTCCGTCTTCTGCGACTGTAACATTGTTCAGGGCTTCCAGACCTGCAGAAATCTTTGATGCATCATTTTTAATGCATTCGTACAAGTCAGTTGAAATCACATAAACCCCTTTTGCTCCTTTGACAGTTTCCTCAGAAGGGCGAGCATCAGGCAGCCTATTCCTCTTCGGTTTTTCCTCAGATGGGCGGGAATACAGCTTTGAGTTTGTTTTAGACCGCAATTTCTGAGCCGGCAGGCAGTTAATTCTGCAGAGATGGTTTATTTTTAGTTGTTTTTGTAGTTTTGTAATGGAAAACGAGGGTGAAACAAGGCGAATTTGGGAATCCACCCCCCATGAAAGCCAAAGGGCCAGGGGAAGGACTGTGGCAACAGGGGCAGGTTCCTCGACCTCGTTTTTGCAAGAGAGAGTGTCGGTGGGGACCTGGAGGCAACCAGCCTGCCAGGAAAAGCGAACAGGGTAGGACTGCACGGTTGCAGCCCAGCAGGCTTGGCGAGGGGTGAGTTGTTGAGGCTCACGATAGTATTCAAGTTTTTGTGGTTGGTAAAGACCACTGTGGGTTTGACTGGGGAGAGAAGGTACGGGCAGAACACCTTGAGAGCACGGATTACTGCCAACATTTCCAAGTCATAAACCTGGTAACGCTGTTCAGCTCTGACAAGTGACTGCGAGAGGTAGGAACAGGGGTGCCACTCGTTATCAGCCCCTTTTTGTGCAAGTACTGCACCAGTTCCGAGTTTTGAAGCATCTGTGAACAAGGCGAAGGGCTTCGAAAAGTCAGGAATTGTGAGGACTGGGGCAGAGCATAACCAAGACTTGAGTTGGCAGAATGTGGAGTCACGTTCTGGAGTCCACTGGTAGGACACCCCTTTTTTGGTGAGGTCGTGAAGGGGACAAGTGATGCTTGAGAAAGAGGAGATAAATTTGTGGTAGAAATTACAGAATCCAAGGAATCAGCAAAGCCCTGTAAGGTTGTCAGGGGCTTCCCAGGTACTGATGGCATTGGTCTTCATCAGCGAAGTCTCCATATGTCCTTTCCCTATTATCATTCCGAGGAACTCAATTTCTTCAGCCTCGAAGACACATTTGCTAATCTTGAGGCGCAAACCTTCTTTTTCACAAATCTTCAAGAACTCACGAACTCGAGTTCGAAGTTCCTCCTTGGTTTTCCCATGGATTGCAACATCATCCATATATCCCACCTGTTTTCCTCTTTGGGATTCGAAGGTGCGATCCATGTACCTTTGGAAGGAGGGCAGTGAGTTACACTGCCTGAAGAACATTACTGTTGGTTCAAACAACCCACGAGGGGTGATGGAAGCCCCCTTCCATTCATCTCCTTCTTTTACATGAAGGTTGGTGAATCCCCATCAGATGTCGAACTTGGCATAATATTTTGACTCAACCAGCTCGTCAAACAGTGATTGAGCATTCGGTAGAGGATGTGCATCTTGAATTGTGAATGAATTCAGATAGTGGTAATCTTGAATCAGCCACTTCTTTCCATCCTTCTTTGTGATGAGAAATACTGGTGCTGCTTGCAGTGAGGTAGAAGGTCGAATTTTCTTGCATTTTAGGTTTTCCTCCAAGAACTCATCCAACACCTTTAGTTCATCTGGGGACATTGGGTATACTGCTGCCTTCTTAGGTTTGAAATTGTCCTTCAACCAGATCTCGTGATCCAAGCCTGGGCGATGGACTGGCAGCAGTATGTCCTCCTCTGAAAAGACTTTGGCGAACTCTTCATATTCCTTCAGGAGTTTCACTTCCTCCTTGCTTGCAGCGAGTGCAGCCTCGAGTTCTGTAGAAAGAGTGGTTTTATTAATACTTACCAGTTCCTTTATGGAACCATCTTCATTAAACTTGACAGTGCTTCCTTCGTATAGCGGGACTTGTCCCTTGATATACAAATCAGTTTCCAAAGTTGGTATGTACCAGTCATCCCAACAAGTGATTCTTCCGGACTCCCAGTTCATTCTTGGCTTGAACTGTCGAAGGAAAGGCATTCCCAAAAGGATATGTTCCTTTCCCACCAACAGTCCAACATAACACTTGATGCAGTGTGAGTCAAAGTGAGGTTCAGTGGTGAAAACCAACCAAAACCAACACAAAAGACAATGAAAGCAAGTGGTGGTGTCCCTATGTGGTACCTAGATGGTAGAACCTGTTCTTTGGGAGGGTTTTTTGCAAGCTACAACACTCAAAGATGAGTGCTGAGGGTTGGGGGTGCTCCTGACGAAGAGGGAGCAAGAATGTGATGGAAAGCGATAGGGTAGACTGCTGTCAGCCTACAGAAGGATGGATGGTGACTTAATTCGATGTCCTAAGCTGTACTGAGCTCAGGGAGGGCTTGGAGCAATGTATATGGATGATAGATGATGATAAGCAAAGTAGATGATAGCTAGACCCTTAATAAAGTCTCAACTATTGAAGCTGATGAATGATTTACTGAGAGATGATAAATTGTGAGCAAGAGGGGCTCTCTGATGTCTTCTTTTGCTACCTAAGTACAGTGACTTATATACAGTACAGGGGTGTTGCCTATGGAAAACAAGGTGCAAACACTTGGTAAGCAATTGGTAACTGATGAGTAAGGAATGTAAGCGATGGGTAATCATCTTGGAAAGCATTGGTAAGCATTGGTAAGGATAAGTAAGCCAAAAAGCGAAGAATCAGTAAGCAAAGTCAAAAGATTGGTAAGTATTGGCAATAGGTGAGTCAATGACAGTCAGAATGTCAAAGTATGAGTCAAGCAATGTCAGGAACCAAGAAAGCGCACTGGAATCACATCAGGGGGAGGCTGTGCATGTCACATCTTGAAGAGATCGCTTCTAGGCCAAAGTGGGATGACAGAGAGGCAGCGCTGATCTGATGCCGATATAGTACATCCAAAAGTGGACAGGGTGAGTCAGATGTCAACAGGGGTCAAGCCTTGGGGGTCTGTGGGGCAACAGGAGCATAGGGGATCACAACTTTCCCCCCCAAACCATCCTCTCAGTGAAGCAAATAAAAACTTCATGAATGAGGCTCTGTTGGAAGAGAGGATGAAGGGGGAGTGTCTTCTGCTGTATCTTGCAACAAGGAGGCAAGATATGCATCATACTCATCATGGATGCAATCAGGGAGAGTGGAGAACAGTAGATTATACTGTAGCTGTTGCAATTTTGGAAGAATGATGGACGAGACTGGTATGAAGATGTTGCAGGGGGCAGGGAGGAAGGATCCATACGCTTCTTGGACTGGAGAGACTGAAACGACCACATAAGACCTTTCCAAGCGAATGACAGACCTGAGGCAACCAAAGAATGTCCTCCTGGAGGTCATACTGACAAAAAGAACATGCTGTCCAAGCTGGATGGGCTGAGAGGGGGCAGACAAGGGTGGGATGTACCAGGATGCTTCAGGATGGAAGCTGGTAGGAACTCCTGGTAGATATATGTAGCCATGGTCCCTAGCAAAGGGGACAAGCGAAATGAGTGTCTTTTGGAGGGAGTGCTGTAGAAATGTGTGGAGTGCGCAAATCCTTTCCAATCTTGGAAGGTAGGATCGTGTGGCTGAGCACTACAAGGGAGTGTGGGAATGGTTTCGGTGTCTGCAGAATTGGTGGAGATACGTCGAAAACCGGAATGCCGTACATGGGCGCTTAAGAATTTTATTGGCGCTTAACTCACCTCCTCCTTTTTCTTTGGCATTGACAACCTGTTCTTGTGCAAGGGATGACTGCCGACATTGCTGGCTGTCCTTCTTCGCATGAGGGCTATGGTCTTCACCTCCATTCATCGGCTACATCCATGTCCACCTCACCAAACACCTTTGGTGTGTGACACCGCTTGGCAGAACATCCCTTGGCCAGCAAACCCTCCAGCAAATGCTGCATCGGGCCACATGATCGCACTGCCACCTGGCTCCACTGGTTATAGTGCACAGCATGTGCATTATGCAGCTCAACATGAACGTTGGGCATGCATGGCTCACAATCCACCTCCTGCAGAGACAATCTCCTTAGAAATATGGGCAGTCTTCGAAGCTGGGGGCAAAAAGAAGAATCTGCAAGCAAACAACATCGGGGTAAGTTTTGCTCGATTCAGATTGTATGAGCAGTGTTAATCAAGTTCGATAGAGTATCTGTGAGGGGCTGAAAGACGTTGACGTGCTGAGCACTGTGCACGAACTTTTGGCCATAGCACTTGGCATTTTGGTACCATGCATCAAAGGTTACTGCCCACAGTTTCCCTGGCAAGAGGAGGAATTCTTCATCCATGACAGTAAATGGGTTGACCTTTCCAGACATTTGAGCCCAACAGCATACTTTTATGGTGACTGTCTCCATGACAGCAATCAGAAAGGATCAAAAGCGAAGGTTTTTAAATCAAAACAGTTCATGTTATTCATCATTGTACCTGCAAATCAATGGGAAGAATTTGAAGAATTTCGAGAGAAGCTCTGCTCTAGCCCACCTGCCCACGAACAGCAGACATCTCGGGCTGGCTTGAGCGCTTCTCTCCCTGGTTCTACAGTCTTGATGCCGGTTGTACCTTGGAGCATGATGATTTCTGAGCCATCCACTCTTTTTTTCTCCAAGGGAGTGGTTTCTATGATGTCAAGTAGCATGTTTGATCGCCCAATCTTGCACAATGTGGCACATCTTCGGGATGGAGAAAAGGTATGCTTAGCTCCAACATGATTTTGACCCAACCCATCCACTAATGCATTGAACATAGGATATGGTGCTGCCCACTAATTCAAGTGTGATGTCCAGTAAACGCCACCACTGTCATACTAGTAGTTCGTCCAGAAGTTCTACTCCCCTTCTGCCCCAGAAGAGATCTGTGAAAACTTTCTTGTCCCCCAACCGCAATCAAATCAAGAAAGCATTACAGTCTGTGGGGGCCTCTGAATTCAATGTAAAGACAGGTAAGCAGACTTTCCAGTTGATATCATTGTAGTTTCGAAGTACTGATGTATCTTAGTCTTCCAGCAGAAAGTCGTACAAGTGGACTTTTACCCCATCCCGACCCATGATCTTAATGATCTGGTCAGTGAGAAGGCTGCATTCGATATTAGAAATGCTGACCTTTGCTCTGGGAAAATCTGGCTCGATGCCTCTGCCGATTCGATCATTGGAGTCAGAGCATTCAAGACAGCCCAAATTGCGCAACTCAACCTATCACCTCTCAGGGACATGGGTATTGGGTCATCTCCCAACGATCGCATTGTCCTCAAAAGACCATATATCGATGACCATCCTGCGGAAGTCAAACCCCCATTCACACATTATGCCCTACAAGACGAGTCCAACATACTCTACCACAAAGCTAATGCTTTGTACTGGGCCAAAGCACTCTTGCAGATGACATACCAATTCATTGATTGTGCTGTCGAAGATACCAAGGTACTGCCACCTTTCGAAATTCCTCACCCACACTTTGTGGATGCAGGATTGTTACTTGTGTATTCAGATGTGCCAGTGGAAACAGAAAGGGGGTCTGGGAAGCTGTCCAAGCCCAGCAGTATTGTGAATGTCACATACCTTGTTGAGGAACTCATCCACACATCCTCAGATGATGAGTTTGTGAAGTACATCCACAATGGCAATGTGGCTCCTTGCTTCCTTCTGGATACAAAGGCAGAAGAGATCACAGACTTTTTGGCCTTCACTCAACATGTACAGTACATCATGACTGGTGGTCAAGTATACATATCTGACTATCAAGGTAAGCTGTGGCGATAGGTGGCACTATTCATGCATCTACTTACATGAGTTCAACCAGGTAGCAGACTGCTTTTGACAGATCCGCAGATCCTCACACATCTGTAAGTACATTTTACTCAGTATTCTACCTTGTCAACGTCCCGCACTCTTTTATTGTCCCTAGTGATGTTGCTGAAGGTTGAAGACTCTTCGGTGAGGGGAATGTGGAGAAAGGGGTGGCGCTGTTCAAGAATCAACATATTTGCAACTTGTTTTGTAGATGGGAAGGCTTTGGGATGAAGGCTTTCAGCCATGGATTGAAGTCTTCATTCAACCACTTAGACATTAGACACATATGTACTCTAAGCTGTGGGTCTATGTGATATTGAACTCAGATAAAACTACGCAATATTTTTTGTAAATGACCACTGAATCTATCACTATAGCATGTGAACTCATGGTGATGGGACTTCAGACATTGGCACAATAGCAAATGGACTTGTTGTATTGGATGTTCAACAATGGTATAATGGTGATTGGGGTCTCGCCAAAAGTTTTTTTTCAAAAGTAGTAAGTGCTTGGGCGTTCAGTGCTGAGTTCAAAAATTATGTGGCGTGAGTGTCTGGCTTTCCATATTGAAGGAATCTTCTGCAACCCTCCTGAAGTTTCAGATGTGGCATGAAGGATGTGTAAGTTGAATGGTGTGATGTTTTGTTGGCATTTTCATTTCCATTAAAATCTCAGCAACTACAAGACCAGACAGCCTGTGCCTTTGACAATGTGTAGCAACATGGTAGCCTATTCTACACACAAAAATCCAGATCCATATGTCAAGAATTGAATGGGTGGGGACACAATTTGCATTCCTAGCACAGCCACAAATGCCCAGCATGCAAATAGGGAGGGGATTGCTGGTCATGTGATATGGATTGAGTCATGTGCAGAGTGCTATAGGTGAGATCACATAATGAGTACAGTCATGTGACCTATTACATAAGCCAATGGTTCAGAGAGTTATTGCCACATGATCATTACATAACAGGTCACATGATCTATAATTGTACCTTGTCATGTGATGCTGCAGGAGTGGTCACATGTCTATTGTCTCACAATCATGTGACCCATTACATAACCAAGTGTTCTGGGGAGAAACTGACATGTGATCATTATGTAATAGGTTGGATGATCTATGATTGTACCTTGTCATGTGACATTGATTAAGTCACATGCATATTTTCCCATGATCATGTGATAAATTATGTAACAGAATGCTCCAGAGGATCACCATCACATAATCAATTACATAAAATCACATGATCTAGGGTCATCCCTGCTTATGTCACTCATCATGTGACCATCACATCTACTGGTCACATGCTCATCTGTATGGCCACAGTACAGGTGCAAATTATCAATATTTGTGACAGGGTAACGCCCCATGGGAACATTCCAATCTGAATTTTTTTCAAACACCAACAGAGGTTGTCACTCAGGGGGCATTGTCTATATTGGGAAGTGGTAGTTGCCATGAATTCTGTAACTGCTTTTCTGGTAACTACCATACTGCTTGGTCAAAGTCAGCAGACTCTGGTGTCACTTTTGCCACATATTTTGAACTGCCTCCATAACCTCTGCTCTTATTCTCTTAAAACTTGTCTTACAACTTTGACATTGCTCGCTCATTATTGGTCTGGCCAACCAGTGTGTAGTTGTAACATTAACATCCATACTGATGTCTTCTCCTTTTAACCCAAAAGCTATAAACAAGGAAATCCGATGCCATTTCTGGGCTATTGAGCCAGAACAGGTTGGCTCAATCCAGTTTGGAGGAGTCACAAGGGGTGCTGATTATGGTTATCAGACCATGCCCAATGAGATGACTTTGCTGCTAGCTCACAGGTCCTCAGGACTTGTTAGGACACCAGGTGATAGCTACGTGATTGGGTGACACACACTCAACTGGACTGCAAAAAGTGTATCAGGCTCACCAGGAAGTACCTTAGTGGCCATGCTTACTGATTCTACAGACAAAATGTACTTGATCTGAAAGAAAAGATATACCCTTACCACATTCTTCAAAGAACTGTTTGATTACATATTCCCTGCAGACTTCTGAATGCAACAGCATGATAAGTTTGAAGCATGTCATCAAGATGGATGTTCAATCCTTGATTTCCTAAGGAAGCTACAGGAAATAGCAGACACTTCTACCCTGTTTATGTTGACATGTGGTCCTGGAGTATCATTTACTCCAGCCAGAGTATATGGTCGCATTCACTGCCAAGGATTTCCTCAACATGGTCGTCAAAACTTTCATTGTGTCTTATGGTGTCAAAGTCCTGATTCACATAGTGTAGTCACATTTAGTCACAACACATGGGCAGCCTGTGCACCAAAACACCAATGCTCATATAGACCCAGAGACAGGCCCACCTAAATAGATTAGCCAGTACACATGGACAGGCCCAAGGGACTAAAGTGAGAGCAACATATGTATGGGCCTGTAAGTGCATTACCACAACATATGGGAGGGCCTGTGGTGGGTAAGGATGTTGAAACATTTAGACAGGCCCGTGACCAATTAAGTATACTGAGTTGCTGTAAGACATGGACAGGCCCATCCTGGTAGGTTACCCCCCTGTTGCAACATCAAGGCAGGCCTGCCTATCATAACATGGAGAGGGTCACAACATAAGGACAGGCCCATCTATGATTAGAATACAAAGTTGGCAACATATGGACAGGCCTGGGAGTAATATCATTTATGGTGTCACAATGTTATGCTTCCGTCAGGGGTCTTTCCTTTTTTGACTTCTCATGGTCATGTGCATCATGTGCCTTGTTGCATCTCTAATAATCGTTGCCATTCTAGGGGCTCAAATGCTCCAGGGAACGTTCGGATCTCCAGCTGTCAAGGTATTTCCAGTGCCTGTCAAGACCATGTTGCCACTGTGATCCAGTATTACACTGGCCTCTCTGATGGACAACTTGTTTACTTCTTGTTCCGATGACTTGTCCTTGACTCGTTTTCATTGCTTGCATGTCATACTATGGTTCTGGTGTCAGGCTCCTTGCTGTGCATTGATTGTGCCAGCCAGTATAGCCTTCATTGCCTCCCTACCTTTATCTTTGACACCAGATGACTCATATTTATTTCAGTGATAGGATTGTTGATTACTGCAGATATGCATCATGATGTGCCTGTCGTGACTGCTATGGTACTCATACATAGGGGTATATAATCCTACATACTTCAACCTGTATCTGCAGTTTTTCGATAGCTTGCAACTGAGCTTCATCCCTTTGCTTTATCCTTGTTCTCTCTCTGTGTGAACAACCTCAGGGACTCACCAGAAGAACTGAACCTCTGTCAGATCATTGTGATAACTCAGCCATAGGGGTTACGACAAGTTTGGCCTGAAGACTCCCACCTCGTGCACTTCTTGCCTATTCCATTTGAAGAAGTCACTACGCTCAGGCATAACAAAATCGAAAAACTCTACACAGCTTTTGGGACTCATTGACCTCTTCACGAAAAAGTCTACTTGTCCCTCATTACTGAACTTCAATGAACACCAATCAATATCACTGTTCTACAGGCAGCCATTAGGCTTTAATAGATTGCCTCCCTAGAACCAGTGCTCATGTCTCCCTACATGTAAAGTCACTCGCGCAACACTCCTCTACCGCTGATAGGTTTCTTTCGAGAAATAAATCCTCCATTATCACTTTTCTCTAAAAGTGTCTAACCCTCAGAAGTCGAGACCCCCTGTCCCTCCTAGAATAACCCCACTAGGGCTAGGAAGGAATCCACCGCTTCTGCCTATACCAGGAAGGACCAGGCCTTTGGCTACCACAACAAACCCTCATTTATCTTATCTATCCTGTTTTAGGGATTTGGAAATCATGCTTAGCTCAGAAGAAGAAGACGATCAGAAGTCTGATACTTCGTTTGGATCAGTCCTCAAGGAAGAGCAGGAAGCACGTGTTATACCAGAAATGTCCATGACGCTCAGTCATGGAGATTCAGTCCCTGAGATGCCACCAAAGGCATTCTCTGAAGAGGAACTGAAGCAGAAGTTGGAAGAACAATGACAGACCTTAGCAGAGGACTGGCGCAAGATAGCCAGTGCCCAACAGGGAGATCTGTTTCCAACAGGAATGCCTATGGACTCAGCATTGCAAGCATGGTATGCCAGAAACTTCGGAAAGGTAGTACCCCCAGAGGTCCCCATCAGTGGGTCCAGTAAGGGCAAAACCCCAGCTGATTCTGATGATGCTTATGATGTCTGCCCACCCAATGGAGGAAGGGAATTTAATGTTGGGTGTCCCAGAGAATATGATGGAAGCCACAATGGGCTTCAGACCTGGGTTACACAGGTCGAAGGTTATTTGAACCTGAACAAGCACGTATACAACATGGAGTCACTCAAGATCTTGTTCACACTCACCTATATGATGAAAGGCACCATGGTTTCGTTCGCTGAAAATTACCAGAATGAAAACAAGCTTCTAGATGGTACCATCTATTATACGGACACCTTTCAACGGTTCATAGAATGTCTTAAAGCAACTTTTGAATCCAGTGATCAAACTGCCCTTGCCATCCTTCGCCTCTCCGATATCAAACAAGACAAACGAGAACTTGAGGCATACATTGCCAAATTTACAGGGCTTGTCAACAAGGCTCAGCTCAAAGAAGAATCACATGAAGCAGGGATCTTCTTCAGAAAAGGATTAAACAAAGAATATTGCAATTGGGTTCTTAATTCAGGATGTGTACCTTCCATGGTCATCGAGTGGATACAGTGTGTGGGAGAAGCCAGAACTGCGAGCACTACAAAGCATATCCTTGAAGGGAAGGAATCTCGGTATGAAAGAAAGTTCATTCATTACCATGGAGGTTCCCAAGATCCTGATGCGATGGACGTTGACAAATGCAAATGGAACATTAGACATTCAAACTCTGAAATTACTTGCTTTGAATGCGGAGCAAAGGGTCACTACAAGCGCGACCGCAAATCCACAAAGAGCAAACCTCTCCCTGGTATATGCATCATTTTGTCAGAAGATGGGACAAAAACCATGTACATGGGAGAAAGGTTGGCAACAGCCGAAGAAAAGAAGGCCCATGGGGTGGATTTTTAAATGGAACCTCCGAAACCCCTAAGGAGGGTTCCACTTCTGTATTATCTGCTAAATGTACTTCCCTAGATGACGAATCTACTATGCATGTCAGGTCACCTTTGGGAAGGGTGTTTTTACCAGATTATATGGCAGGGGTAATGGCCTGTGTCGACTCAGGTGCTGAGGTCTCTCTAATCTCGGAGAAAATCATTCAAAAGTTATGAATACCAACTTATTGAGTCAAGTCCAGGTTCAAGACAATGTCCTTCACCGGGAAAGATGTTGAATGGGTAACAAGGGAGGTCTCCATCCGAATCATCATCAAGAATTGCATCGTCCGCTGTCACACACCAAAGGTGTTTGGTGAGGTGGACATGGATGTAGCTGATGAATGGAGGTGAAGACCATAGCCCTCATGTGAAGAAGGACAGCCAGCAATGTCAGCAGTCATCCCTCACACAAGAACAGGTTGTCAATGCCAAAGAAAAAGGAGGAGGCGAGTTAAGTGCCAATAAAATTCTTAAGTGCCCGTGTACAGCATTCCGGTTTTCGACATATCTCCACCAATTCTGCAGACACCAAAACCATTCCCACACTCGCTTGTAGTGCTCAGCCACACGATCCTACCTTCCAAGATTGGAAAGGATTTGCACACTCCACACATTTCTACAGCACTCCCTCCAAAAGATGCTCATTTTGCTAATTCTTCTGATATGGCTGCCTCCACATCAGTCATTTCGCTTGTCCCCTTTGCTAGGGACCATGGCTACATATATCTACCAGGAGTTCCTACCAGCTTCCATCCTGAAGCGTCCTGGTACATCCCACCCTCGTCTGCCCCCTCTCAGCCCATCCAGCTTGGACAGCATGTTCTTTTTGTCAGTATGACCTCCAGGAGGACGTTCTTTGGTTGCCTCAGGTCTGTCATTCACTTGGAAAGGTCTTATGTGGTTGTTTCAGTCTCTCCAGTCCAAGAAGCATATGGATCCTTCCTCCCTGCCCCCTGCAACGTCTTCATACCAGTCTCATCCATCATTCTTCCAAAATTGCAACAGCTACAGTATAATCTACTGTTCTCCACTCTCCCTGATCGCATCCATGACGAGTATGATGCACATCTTGCCTCCTTGTTGCAAGATACAGCAGAAGACGCTCCCCCTTCATCCTCTCTTCCAACAGAGCCTCATTCATGAAGTTTTTATTTGCTTCACTGAGAGGATGGTTTTGGGGGGAAAGTTGCGATCCCCTATGCTCCTGTTGCCCCACAGACCCCCAAGGCTTGACCCCTGTTGACATCTGACTCACCCTGTCCACTTTTGGATGTACTATATCGGCATCAGATCAGCGCTGCCTCTCTGTCATCCCACTTTGGCCTAGAAGCAATCTCTTCAAGATGTGACATGCACAGCCTCCCCCTGATGTGATTCCAGTGTGCTTTCTTGGTTCCTGACATTGCTTGACTCATACTTTGACATTCTGACTGTCTTTGACTCACCTATTGCCAATACTTACCAATCTTTTGACTTTGCTTACTGATTCTTTGCTTTTTGGCTTACTTATCCTTACAAATGCTTACCAGTGCTTTCCAAGATGATTACCCATCGCTTACATTCCTTACTCATCAGTTACCAATTGCTTACCAAGTGTTTGCACCTTGTTTTCCATAGGCAACACCCCTGTACTGTATATAAGTCACTGTACTTAGGTAGCAAAAGAAGACATCAGAGAGCCCCTCTTGCTCACAATTTATCATCTCTCAGTAAATCATTCATCAGCTTCAATAGTTGAGACTTTATTAAGGGTCTAGCTATCATCTACTTTGCTTATCATCATCTATCATCCATATACATTGCTCCAAGCCCTCCCTGAGCTCAGTACAGCTTAGGACATCAAATTAAGTCACCATCCATCCTTCTGTAGGCTGACAGCAGTCTACTCTATTGCTTTCTATCACATTCTTGCTCCCTCTTCATCAGGAGCACCCCCAACCCTCAGCACTCATCTTTGAGTGTTGTAGCTTGCAAAAACCCTCCCAAAGAACAGGTTCTACCATCTAGGTACTGCATAGGGACACCACCACTCGCTTTCATTGTCTTTTGTGTTGGTTTTGGTTGGTTTTCACCACTGAACCTCACTTTGACTCACACCACATAGAGAAAGAGCTGAACCGGAAGATGAAGCCATGGTACACTGGTCCCATGGTCGTCCTTTGTCGGACCACTGGGGGTTCATACCTGCTGGCTGAGCTGGATGGCTCCATCTCCAAACTCCGCTTTGCTGCATTCCACTTACTTCCCTACCACCCATGGTCCCAGACCTGCGCAACCGTGACTCGCATTACTGGGTTGGATGATGAGGAGCTAGACCACCTGCTTGAGGAAGCTGAGGATGACCCCACTGATGATGATGTGGAGGCTTTTTCTGCAAACAGCTGACTATCCATCCCTTCCAGTATCCACAGTTTGTCCATCGTGCTATTCCCCTGTACCCTCTTCTCCCACGATACCCATACCTCTTTCTGTGGCCTTGCCCACCTCCCCATGGCTTCTTCTACTACACTCGTTCCTTCTCCCATGCTGACTGGGGACAGTCAGCATTCAAAGTCCCCTGCAGGGGTGACCAGCATACCACTTGATCCACCTGATATCAGACATAGTTTGTTTCCTTTTATCTGTTTTACCCTGGGTTTCGTCCAGAGACCTCTATTCCACCCCAGGTTTCGTCTGGTGATTCTACTGATAGCTAGTCCCCGCTCAAAAAACATAAAAACCACTTACAAAAAGTCCAAAACTGTCCAGAAAAATAACAAAACACCGAATAAGTATATAGCCAAAACAACGTCTCTCCTATCTCTCTTACTAGTCTCACTGATACCGTCTTTGGCCGCTCTATACCACATATACTTGCAACCACCCCATGCATTTCCTCTTTGATCGCACAGTCAGCATGTGCCCCTTGATTTATTTTTCTTTCAATTCTCCTTCCATCTCCTTACAATTGATACACAAAGACCATCCCAGCTACCCAATAAACAGTCCCTTCACTTCCTCTTCAAGAATCCGTCACATCCTACCATCAAGATTGTTTCACGAGGACATACTGCTGAGAGAAGTCAAAAGTCACACAAAGAAGACAAGTCAGGTGGTACCCCACGCACCATATCTCACCATGGCCACACTTCCCCGCAGCTCATCTTCAAGCATGTCCAGTCGTTCACAACTTCACACAGAAGCAAGCAAAGTGGTATATTTAGCACAGTATGCGCTGACATGCAGATGGGATGGTACAATAAATCTGAACTAACTATAAATGTTCTTATTCCACCCCAATCTTCTCCAGAGCTTTGGCAAGTTGATTGACATGCACCTGCAGGCAAAGGTATGCAGCCTGCGACTCCGCAGCCTCCACACAAAGCAGCCTCAGTGACTGCGACAGGTCGGCCATGACCTTGGCATCGAGCTGGCTATGCACTGGCACTTTCCCCTTCGCATGCATGTGGCTTTCAACCACCTCGACTTCATCGTCATCGTCGTCATCATCTATGACTCTCTTGGACAAGCTTGTCTTCGCAGTCTTTGAGGCCCGCACTGCTAGCCATTGACTTCGCACCTCCTGAGGTGGGGTCGTTACTTACCGACCGATGTGCCTGCCTGTGCCTTCTTTCCCGTGGCCTTCATCGACTTCTCGCACCCCTGCTTCATTTGTGCACAGCCATTGCATGTCCGCCCAACAGGTCCAATGCAGGCTGTCTTCTTCACCATGCACTGTGCGCACAGGACCTTGTGGAGGATCAAGCTGGGAGGAACAACGATCTTGGGCTCGTCCTTGTCTTTGCTCTCTGTGACAGTCTGCCACGATCGCTTTGGACTCCAGTGTCAATCATTACCACAACCTTCCATCTGTGCACTTACCTTCTGCACCAGACGGGACACCACCTCTACATGCAACATCTTCTCTGTTGCCACAGGCACTGTGATGCTTGCACCCGGCCCTCCAGTCTCCTGTGCGTTCTCATCCCCCATCTGGATGTCCTGCTCAGCCCTTGCACACACTTCGGCCTCCTCTGCCATCCACTGCTCGTAGACATTGTCCGCTTCAGCCAGTATAGGCACTTCTGCTGCATCCACCCTTACCGTGACGCTGAGCTCCTTCCTGTGCTTGACCAACAGCATAAGCGTAGCTTAGAAACAAATGCGATCAGCCTCTGCGCTACTGTACTGCTGACACACATTCATCTCACCATCTTCTCCTCCCAGCATCACAGCCACATTGTCTTCTCCTCTTGCATTCCTTCGCAAACCTTGGGGAAACACCTTGCTTCAGCCACGAGGATAGCCAATGTGGCTGTGATTTGCTGTCACAGGTCAGCCTTCTCCGCTTCGACTGGGTCAGGGGTGGCTGTGCATACGAGTTGGGAGAGACAAGGGGCATGGTTAGCTGACATGGTTAGAGCAATGGGGGGATTGATGATAAAGGGGGAAAGAATCAAATCGATGCGAAGGTTTGAGCCATGCACTAACAATTATATACTTAGCGGCCATGAGACACTTATGTCATCGGTCTGGACGCCTATATGCAGCATTCAATGGTGTTCTCACATCCCTCAGCTCTATGCTTCCTTCGCTTCTATGTGGAACTCGCCGGTGTTCTTGAACCCTCGGTACCACACTGTTGCCATCACCACACGGCAAGCTATTTATGTCCTCCATGCCACATGGCTGACCAGGGACAGTCAGCATCTAAGTCCCCCACAGGTGTGAGGAATCCGCATTCCCTGGACGTGTAAGCCCCTATCATTAACTGTTCCATGACTACTGTTACGTCTGCTCCCCTCTCGCATTCACCATCATTCACGTGCTACCTTCCCATGCCCTCGCTCCCTCTCATGCAATGCTATACCCGCAGCTGCTGTGCTCTGGTTGTTGTTTTTCCTTGGACTCTTTCTCTTATCACGGTCTCTATTCCTTTAGTGCTTGTAGTATACCCTCGGCCTCTGTTTTGGCCTGTCTTCTGTGTACGTGCTGTTGCATGGCTTTCCCTTACTGTACCCTGTCTTACTTAGGTTCTGGGTTTGTCTGGACTATAAAGCCCTGTACTTAGGTACAGAATGATACCTTTTGGCACTCAGAAGGTCACCACAAGTTTCCTTTACACTTTGTCTATACTGCATGTCTCGCATTCCGCCACACACAAACTACGTATACTGCTCACACCACTCGCATCGCCAGTACTATTCCACGGACCATGCCACACACATCACAAACCACTACCGCTACAAAGCACCAGGTCTCACCTTCTAGTCTCAACAGTCCAGAATCCCTTGGGACAAGCAATTCATTCCCTTCATTTTTTTATTGTTGTTATCTAAGCCATCTAGCTCGTATTATACAGCTACTTGGACTTTTCCTACATTGCCACTTCTCATCACGATATTGTTCAGTGTTATCAACAATGCCCAGCTCGACCTCAATGACCCAGTAGTGTTGCAACTTGGGAACTCTGTCAATGTCCTGGACCAGCTTCATCATGTTGACTTCGTGCAGGGCTGTCCTCTGCTCTGACTCCTCCACCCAATAATCCTTGATGATGTAGTATTCCCCATTGTAGCATGCAAGGTAACAAACAGTACCCCTTCCTAGAAAGCCTGTGCTCAAGAATAATACATCAAGCACCTCATAGAAGGTCTTGTTTACTTGGATCCTCCCAATTTCTGGGATGTGTTTGGGTGATGTGGGAGTCGGGAGTGAGTTTGCACTGGGGAGGAAGGATGCCTGACTCCAAGTGAGGAGAAGGCATTGCAGGAGAGGGGAAAGGGGAGAGAGGTATTGCAAGTGCTGTGCATTTGTGGCTGTGTGCAGGATGGGGGGATATCTCTATGGTCAAATTGAAGCCAAGGGTTGAGTGGGAGCCAAACACAATGGCACATACAATGTATATGAAGACTTCTGTGTCAGTGTGGATATTGATAGAGGGTGAGATTGCACCACCAGAGTGGTTGTAAAAGTGAAGTCAAAGAAGTTCACTATCAGTAATTGATAATCCAAGGACATAGTGCCTCCAGGGCTGGTCGACAAGGGTTAGATATGCCTTAGTGTCCATTGTCTTCCCAAGGTGGGATGCTGGCTTGAAAGACTCCTTTGAGTACTTGGCAATGACTTTGGGACTTAACCACATAATCTCGTCGAGGGATACTGGGGTGTTATTGACAAGGATGAGGTTGGGCTTTCAGGAATAACCTGTAGAACCTTGCAAGCTGGTTCTTCTCCAGTCCACCATCCATTGACACTGGGGTTTGCTGGATAGACTGGGCATCATGGATTTGGCAGTGGTTCTGATAGCATTGAGAAAAAGAGCAACTTGCTTTTCAAAGCAGAGCTTTTCCAATTCTACCAGCAGCTCTGAAGCAAGTGGCCCAGGTTGCTTGGGAGGTGAATCAGAGCCTGGGGGTGGATGAAGCTCCCAGTTCCAGTGCTTTCTATTGTCATCATATAGGCTGACCAGGCTGTCCTCTGACAAGCCACCCTGGTTGAAGGAGGCAGAATAGCTATGGACACACACAGGAATTGTTTTCAGAGGGACAATCAGGGACCTGGGAGCTATGGAGGTAAATGTATCTCTGAAGGACTTGAGGATAATATTTGTAACATAACCAAGGCTCTGAGGAGAGCTAACTTGTATCCGTGGTTCACAGATGATGGTGCCCTCAAGTTCTGAAGCAGTGAACTTGTCCATAACATAAACCATGCAGCTGTGTTTGGGTGGGGGGAGAGAACTGATCAGCTTGTAGGTATCTATTGTTCAACATCTGTTTTTGTTTGAGTCTTTGGACATTTCTGAGGGTTGTTGACAAGTAGGGTCACACATTTGAAAATGGTGCCACCACTCAAAATACTGATGCATTTCAACATTAACATGTATGTTGACTAGATGGGAGGAGAGTCTGAACAACTTAGGGCAAAGTACATATTTTTGTTGAAGTATTTGTTGAGATAGAATTCAGTAGAATGCTCAAAGGAGTTGTATGCCATCAATCAATTATCTGCAGTTTGCCTGAAGTGAGGTATGAGATGTGCAAACACCTGGACCTGACTGAGTGGGATGACATTGCCAAGACATTGGCCATTCACTCTCTTTGTGCACCTAAGGATATGTAGGTGTGTCGCATCTTCAGCTGCTATGTCAAAACATTGCATGTAGACCAAACAATGGTCTGTCCATGACCATCTTACCCCCCTCTTGCCAAAAGGGCGCATCAGGAGATGGAGCTGGCCAACAACATGACCTAAGATACTCTTGTGAGTGACATGGAAAAGTAGTGTGGACCATGAACCTTTCAGGCCGCTCTCTGGCCATTTGAAACAGGGGTCCACATTGATGATAGCTGCATCATAGCAGCCAAGGGTCCAGGTCTCACAAGGTGGAGAACAGAAGAGAGTCTGGGCAGGGAGGATGTCCATGATATCATGTATCACTGTGTTCTGCAGCCACATCTTGTACCAAACCTGCAGATCAGTAAAAGGCAGGGTTGAAGAGCTTGATCCCTGACATTGCCTGCTTATAGTGTGCACAGAGCTTGGTCCATACACCTTCTCACAATTTAGAAAATCGACAAGGGTGGCTCAGAGGTCAAGTAGTCCAAACTTCTCAGCAGCACCATCAACACTAATGCATTGCAAGGATGGGTCATAGGAAAGGTTGATCGCCATACCATCTGCAATAAAACTATGCAAGGGGAAGGGAATGGAGTCTGGATCCTGGGTCCTGAGGCATGCAGAGATGGTGAAGTAATCGGTGATGGGCTGTGTGGGACCTGGCATCTTGGAAACTAGATTCACCTCCTCGTAATCACTGATCTCTCTGTTGCCATCATCAGAACTCCCATCCTCAACCTCCAAGGACTTTTCTTCCACATGACCATGGGAGTGAATCTTTGATTCATATAATGATGTTGTGAGTTCAAACATCCTACATTTTTCAGCGCAATTGAGGTACTGGCAAATTTGAGGATCATAGTTATTGTTATTGCTAGCTGATGCAGGTGTCTTGATCTCCGATACATGGGCATGTTCAGTTACATCGGCAGTCCATTGGATGGTGACCCCAACATGCTTCACACTTGGTATGATGCTCTGCATGAGTTCTAACTTGGGGATGTGCCAATTGTTGATGGGCTTGTTTCCCTTACTGCATTGTGCACCATGATTGAGTATTGACTGCTTGTGCATGTGAAACTCATCCAGTACAGAAGATATTATATGAAGATTGTCATCATCAATGTGGTAAGCTTGGACTTGGTATCGGAAGTCCATGAGCACATGAATAGCAGTAATAATTTTGGGAGGGGCTGCTCCAGTGATGACACCAAAGATGTAATGTTGGACATCACAGTGCATGCATCCAGTCACCTGCTTCAGCTTAGCAACACCACCTTTAAAGTGATGGAACCCCACAGTAGGCTGTAAAACTGAGAAGCAGAAGTCTATTTTGGCTTCACCAACCACATTTATGCACCACTTCATGTTGTGGTCCCAAAATTCCTTGTGCAGGTGGTGAAGGGGCTCTGGAGTTATAAAAGTGCTTGGACAAGAAAGTGGAATGTCCCTCCAAAATGGGTCACTAACTCCACTGAGGCAAAAGTGCTGTGCTTCGTGAAAGAAGACTTGGATGTTTGTAGGGTGGACCTTCAATTTCCCTGCTGTGAGCTGAGCCAAAGTGGTGGTTGTGGTTTGTGGCTCATGTCAGAATGGGTCTCCAAACTGTTTGTACATTGCCATGGTGATTGGGGAAGTCTTTGTCTTTCCCCCAACAGCTGTGAGCATGGCAGCCTTGGGAGCGTCAGTGATATAACCTGTGATTGGCATGAAACAGTACTGCATGTGCCCCAGAGAATCCAGTAACATAATGCCAAGTTTGGCAGCTTGCTTGATGGGTTCAAGTATGATATCCAGGCATTCATGAATGAGCCTATCTTCAAGGAGGCCATGCATATGCTTGTTCTTGTGCATGAACTTGGGGACAGGGAGGAGAGTGGCAAGCATAAATGAGTTGGATGATAATTTTAGGCATGTGGACATCTTGATATTTGCTAGGCTGACAAGAAGTGGATGAGCAACTCTGCCACCACATAAAGTAGTAATATTCATCTTGTCTGAAGAAAGTATCATGCCAAGAAGAGTCACTCCACTTGGAAGCTGTGACTGGGGTACATCAATTGAATAAAAGGATCTATAACTTGCAGTGGAAACATACCTGCATATGCCAAGCATCATCAGTGGTCATCCACTCTGTATACACCCTACAAAGCTTCTTGGGCATTTTGTATACACACCTTGGAATGAAATTGAGCTGGTCAGAGAACAAAGGGTGGTTGAGGAGCCATGCAATGCATTCCAGGGGATCATGCCAGTACAAGTGCACAGGGTGTTTGGTTGGCTGTGAAGGAGTAATCTCCATTGAGTGCCAGCATGGCCCACCAGGGAGTAACTCAGCCAGCCCATGAAGTGCTCTGGCTGTACAAAAGGAAATATTTAGTAGCTGTATCTGGCACATGTCAATAATGATCTTTGGAGAGAATAGGGACAGGCTTACAATTGACAGTGACAAGAAAGAGTCTATAGCTCTCATGCTCAGGCCTGAATGAAGTAACCATGATGCCAGCTCCCATTCATTGTGGGAGTTGAAGGGGTAGTACAGATTTGATGCCCATAGGTTGCTGAACTGGTTGCCATTAAATTTGTCCATAAATGTGCTGGGTGAGACTTGCAGCTGTTGTGAAAGTGCAAGTACATTGACCACCACCACATTCAAATTGTTGACAAGCACTCATGAGTAGAACAGTAAGAAACAAGACAAAGTAGACAGCTGGTGCTCTTAGTGAGGAACAAGTCTTCTTGCCACAGGGGCATACTCTTTGTGAGGAGAGCTTGCAGAGAAAGACAAACTGCAGTGATATTCTAATATAATGGCAGAGGCTCCACTTGTCACCTTTGGATCATCCCTGCATACTCATAGTACTACATACTTAGACAATGTCCTCCACAGATTAGTAGGCTGGAGCAGACAATATAAACATGCACATGGATGAAGAACAATTGTAGTACTTTGAAGAGGACAAGACATTCATGCTGGAACTATTTGAGGGCCAGCAACAGCAAATGAGAATGCCTTTGCTGGTGCTCAGCCCTAGTAATGCATTAGCATTATATATCAAGAATCAAGATGAGATTAAGCACCAACCAACATTGGTTTATTGATCTCTGCACTTTACATGCTTCAGAAGCAGGTAGCCCAATGATAATATTGTTTTGAAGTAACAAGAGTGTGTTTGCTGCACAAGCAATCTGTAAGTGGCTGTTTCATATTATATGTGTGAGTAGTGTTGTCAAGCAAAACTTTGAGTGACCCTCACTCATCTACTGTCACAGGAAGACAGTTAATGATACTCTCCATCCTAACTTGCAACACCATCTGATCTTGACTATCAAGTGTTGGCAAGCCTGCCTCATAGGGTGAGGCCTGTCCTTGAGCCAGAATATGCCAGTGGACATTCATGGGCTGCTTGAGTGCACAAACTGCTGACAAATTCTCTGTGAGTAAGGTCATGTATGTGATGGGTTGTGTTGCTATCTCCTCCATGTTGATGCCACTGTGTGGAAGAGTTTCACTTGTCAGACAAATTTGAGATGCACTGGCCCTATGGGTGATGTAAGGTCTCTGGCAGTTCATTGGGATTTGAGGCATTGTGACTCATGAGTATGTTTGTGGTGACTGAGATGAGCACTGAGAAATCAGACAGACTTCACCCAAATGCATGCCTCTGCTTAGTCAGTGGCCAGCAGTGGCCGACCCCTCCGTTTGCAGTGGCTGTGAGCACAGCCACTTGCTCATTTCTCGGAACTTTAAAACTGACACTTCTGCAACTTGAAGTTATCAATTTTCCGAGATGAACCATACTACTAGAGAATAGTGCCATCAAAGGCAGCAGGCACCTTGTTTATGAACATCCCAGTGGTGGTAGCCATAGATACAAGTCACACATGTGGTCCTATTCCCCCTGCAAATTACACTTGTTGAATCCATCAACTAGTGGTACTGTGACTCTGAGTCAGACTTCAAGTTCCCTGCTCAGGCTTCTCAAAGCTACACTGCTGACACTCAGCATTTTTTCATGTTTGATAATCAGTGCCTCAACCTTCCATCAATGTTAGGAATTGGGCACAAAGGTTTTCAAGATGTGTTTATTGAGTCACCTATCCCCCCCACATTTCTGGCTGACTGAATGGGGCACAATGGTGCCACTGGAGTATGGAAAGTGCTCTTGAACCATGAGGCAAGGCAACCAATTGCTAATCATATGGTTTTACTGATAGACTTCTCTGCTGTCACTGACCCCTCAAGGGATTCAGACTAGTCTTCTCAATGGACTCTCAGGCTGCCATCAGCATGGGCTGTGCAAATCAGCATGATCAATCATCCAATGAATGTGGTAGATTATATTAGAGGTGCATGTAGTCATTCAGGTGCATCACAGGCTCACAAATGTTGTTGATGATGGATTTAGAGGCTACCATTATTGCATTTGTGAATTCCATACATCTGGGCTTCAACTATATCATTGTAACTTTGTGTTCACTGGCATGGGCAAACTGAGCAGATGAACCACTGGCAAGGCAAATGATGTAGTACTACTAGTACTACATGAGCATACTGGAGGAACTAGATTCTGAGTCCACTGGCATTGTTGAAGCATCGGTCAGTCTGTCCCCTCAAAGTGAGTCCTGTCACTTTAGCTCACAGCCTAAGGTCAGATTGCGAAGGCCCCATCATCCTCATGGCCTGGAAGACTTGTGAGACTTTGTCTCCTCTCATTGCCCAGACTGCCACTGCTCAGGCTGAGTCGAGCACCTGTGAGTCCACTCCTGTTTCTCTCTCTGCCAGTGCATCTGCCAGGCTGTCAACCCATTCCCACTGGCACACATCATCTCCAGCCTGTTTTGGAAGTCAGCAAGCTTGTGGCATCAGGTGACATCAATACAATTGACAACTTCCAATGGCACTGAATGCCGAGTGATCACAATGTTTTCTTACAGTATCAATTGAATGTTCTTGACTGGCATAACATCATAGCAGAATATACTAATACTATTACAGTGGTAAGTTGGGAAAGACAGTGGTGCTTGGGTTCTCATATACTACTAGATGGCTATTAGGTACTGAGGCACTAAAGAGAATGGTAATAACATACCATGTTGCTCTCCTTGCCAATGAACAACACACTCTGCAAGAGTCCAGAAATTGTTTGAGCATCTGGTGAAACAGGCTGTGTTAAAAATAATGATCTGATGATCCAGCACACCATCTCGCTTCAGTATCTCCAATATGGAGTCACCACTCTGATACCCCATTCACCAAAGTATAAGAACACGAAGCCTGAGCAGCTTATCAACAAGCAGGCCAACCATACTGGTGTGAACATTTGTTTGGTTGACATGAAATGAGAGATGGGTGAGTTGCTTTAGATCTTCAAGACCAAGGACCTGGAGGATTCCACATGCAGAGAGCCATGAGTTCATCAAGTGAAGGTGGCCCACATGACATAACAACTTGATATCTGAAAGTTGTATGTCAGAGTGGTAGAAGACTGGGCCAAGGTCTATGGCCAGTACCTCAAGGTGATCAAGAATGTCAAGTGGTCCTAGAAGAGGATTTTCACTTTTGGGTACATTGACCATAACCTGCAGTGTAAGCTCTTCAATTTGGCTGCACAACTGAAGGATTTTTGCTCCTTGATCAGGAAGAACTGAGGGGTGGAGATGTAAGCCCTTCACTACTGTTCTCACAAAGTCCAGCCACTCTTGGATGGAGCATATGAATAGGCCAGCAGTCCTCTCATCACAGAGGACAGGTGAGCAGTATAAAGCAGGATGTAACCTGAGCCCAATGCATGTCAAATTAATAAATTCATAAACAGCACCTGAACACTGGCCTGGGTTCAAGTTCAACGTAGCAAGTACTTACCAGCAGTAAACCTGTTTTGCCATGAGCAAATACTGGCAGATACCTGAGAATTTACTATCACCAGTGATGAGGAAGATCTCCCATTCAATTTCACAGGGAAATATAGAGAACATCACAGTCATAGACATGACTTGGAGACTGACATCTCTGCAAATGTTACATACTCTTCACTGACATGACTGCAGGGTTTGTACTCATCTGACATACATGCTCCAACCAGGACTCATGACCTCATTGAGACTCCAATGTTGGAGTTGGGTGCCAGAGACCATTATGACAATGCAGAATCAATGTAACTCTCTCTGGGTGATTTTTGTCATGCTGAGAATATCTGTGACCACCCACTAGTATAATCAGAACCCTGGAAACACCTTGGAAAAGAAAATAGGATTGATTTGAAGAGGGAGTGACTTACTATTCATGAACATACATAGAAAGATCGGGAGTGTAAACAAATGCAGTTGTGTTGAAATGGAATATGCACAATGTAGGTAAACTTCAAAGCATGCCAATGGTGGTTCTGGCTGGTGAGAACAGGATATTAGTACTCAGGCTCTAGATTACTACTACAGTACCAGATCAACACATCATAACTCACCACTCCCTGCATCCCAAACTGCCTTCCCACTGATGCCAGTAGGCATGTTCAAAAGATACAGTGCACAAAGCCAGATATTAGGACAGGACTGTCACCACCAGCAGGCATCTTGTTTACTGCCATGCTGAAGCCCTCACTACTTGATTGAACAGTAGCATATGAGCAACTACATTAGAGCATGCACTGCATGGTTACCTGGGAGTATGCAGGAGAAGCGTACTGGCTGACTTGGTCCCAGAAAACTGCACCTGAAACTGTTATCAGAAAAGTGGTGGGGTGGATAATGGAGAAACAATATACTTTTCACATCAATCATTGTTTCCCCTGAGACCAGACTCTCATACAGAGTCCACTTTCTCCTCCCCAGAAGCAGAATGCACAGGATTGGTAGTAGTTGGGGTATGTTTCACAGTTCTTTTGGGTCTGCCACCATTTTGGACAGTTCTGTTCAAGATGGTTGGTACTTTCACAGGAGAAGCACTTGCCTTCTGTACAGAGATGCTTCTTGTGCTCCTTGTCAGTGGTCAGTTCTTTTCAATGCAGATGGTCCTGATTCTTCTCAGGTCATTGAGAGTTTGTATTTTCATTTTGTAGTACTGTTGGCATGCTGGCCTCCACAATGCTATCTTGGTCATGTGATTGCTGGAGCCTCATCGATAACACCATATTCAGGTTGCCATGTTGGGAACAAGTGGAGGTGGTGCCACCCATACAAAATTTCAAATGATTGATCTGTATTGTACCCATGAAATTTCACCCTATTTCTATACCAAATCTCAAGCTTCGACTGGTTGGTGGGTGGTATACACAGCCCTTATGGGGCATATGTACTTGCAATTGCGATGACACTATGTTATTGTGTGCTGTGTGGCTGCAAGCTTCAGGCCTTGTGACCCCAGCTAATGAGATATGAAGTCAATATGAAAAATATGTTGACATGGCTGGTAATGTTTATGGGACTTTCCTTTTATGGATTGTGCTATGTTGTGTTGTGTGGTGCAATATGTACACAGCCACCCTGTAGACACAATCAGGATTGCATTGACAGTGACATGAGCCTGACACCTAGAAAATTGTGACCAGACACTTTGACATACAGATTGTGTTTGACAGATATTGATGACAGATGTGCCTGCTCCAAATGTTATATGAGGCTGACACAATTTCCAGAGCTGTCAATTTGGGCTGCCCATCATGCTCCTGATTTCACCCAATCACAGTATGCTCATTCACCCCACACATAAAAAATGCATAGCTTGCATGTATACATAAATCAATGCATAGGTTAACATAGAAATGGTAAAGCATAGATAATGGCCTGTTAATACTAGAAATTCTTGCTCAGCAGATCCTCATTACTGTCCTTGGCATGCAAACCCTCTGAGCAGGCAGGTTGTGGTGATGTGTTGTTGGTCACAGAGGATTGCCTAATGACAGACAACTGGGTTATATGAGATGCCCTGTGATTTCCAGGAGTAGGCAGTGTGCAAGGGGCAGAAGAAACAGTAGCTGGTGATTCTGTGTACATGCTGGGGAGAGGCAGTAGGATGGATCCAACGTTCTTGCCATACAGTTCTTGATCCTGAGTGATGATCAAGTTGAAAAACCTACAAGTATATAAATATCAGTCACCAATAACAAGCTTGAGCTACTTACTCATGCCATTTATTGTTCTTCATGTCCTTTCCAAGCTGGTCAAGATCCTTTGAAAACATGTGGTCGATTATGCTCCAGAAGTTGTAACCTGTTTTGACTCTGCCAGGGGGGGCCTTGTTACTTACTGTCCTGACACATTTTGCAGGTGGTTTGTTCATGGACCCTTTGGCACTTGCTTGTGCAGCCCCTTCACCACCACTCTCCAAGTCACTATCATCGCTCACAGTTCTCCCCACAACATATTGATGGGCCCTCCCATAATAATGCTGCAAGCTTGGTCAGTCAGTAAAGGTTGAGAGAAGAGTCTTGTGTGACATACCAGGAAGGCAAAGTGTAGCTGATACTTGGCCTTCGAACCTGAACCTACACCACCATGTCTGTATTTGCTGAGTACTGTCCATGTAAGTTCTTCCAGCATCATGCATGTCTTCCCTTCCTCCTGGCTGGTACTGTCCAGAAGCTGTGTAGGCAGTCAATAGAAAACATGATGTGTTTTCATCATGATGGAGCACCCACCAGTGTGTGGAACTTGTTTTGAATGGCACTGCACTCCTTTTTGATCGCTGCACAAAGCATGCATTCATTTGCAGGGTTGTTGAATACATTCAGAAATCCTAACAAGTTGGCATGTGATCTGAGTCGTTCCTGTACATACATGTAAGTGGTTTGTAAGAGATGGCATGTACTGGGACATGCCTCATTGTTGACATGAAGGGTCTTGTACTTGGTTTGGCCTGCTTGCACGAGCATATCTTTGCATACAATCAAAATTTGCATCTGGTGTTGCTATTCAGCATGCACTATAATGAAATCAGTAAATGACAAACTGACTGGTCAACATTAAGTTGGAACCTGCTTCAGAGCCCTGCTGTGGCTGTCTCCACAGCATTCTTCATATTTGCTGAGTCAATCTTGATCTCCTCAATCCCATTTAACACCCTGTAGTTGGTCACCTGCTGCCAGATTTACAGGTGAAGGTCACCAGTCTGCAAGGTCTTGCCAACCTGGGCACACTGACAAATATCAGTATGAACATTAATTGTCAAATGCAGCACTTACATTGATGAGCATGCTGAGCTTTAAGAACTGAGATGCCTTGAGTTTGAACTTGGTTGCGACTTTCTGTGCCCACAGCTTCAGTTGACCTCCAGAAGCTCAATTCCCCTGTCAACATTGTCAGACACAGAGGATGTGTGTGTGTGAGCAGGGGTTGTTGGAGCATCCCTGACACCACTGCCATATGAAAACTGGCTTTGGAACTTGTCATCAGATGCCCTTGACATTGGATGCAACACATCAGAACCTGGAAGACCGGGTGATGCATGAGATGCATCAGGAGTCATCACACGTGTCATGTTCAAGACATTGGGAGTTACCTGAGACATGTTGGTTGTGCACAATGCAGTCACCTGCAAAAGGCATGGTGTTCCTTGACATGTGGGTTGAATCTTCTATCTTGACTGATTACATGAAGCTTACCTGTTGTGCTCCAATGCAACCTGAGCTCTGGTGTTGGGAAGCTTTTTCCCAGATCTTCAAAGGTGACATAGTGGCCATATTGATTGTGCTGCTGTGACATGGACTGATCTGTATGAGAACTTGATTGTGAGGGTTAGAAAAAAAAGAAGGGGAATGACTTGTCTTATATGAGGTCCAGGTATTGGGGCTGACCAAACAGTGTCATCTGTTAAAAAAATTGCACTGTCAACAATTTCTGGGAGGTTGATTGACACTCACCATGCAACATTGAGTCACATGTCATGCATGGTCATGAGGAATCTGCATCTCACAGTCAAATGTGTGGATTGACCAGTGAAGATGTATGGACTTACCAGTCTGATGGAACATGTTGAGAAAGTGTGTTGGTACTGCCTGGGATGTGCTTCTGGGAGGTTGTTTTGTAGTGTTGGCTCACAAGGTTTTCAGCATCTTGATTTTCTGCACATCAAACTCAGCAGCTGCACCAATGTGGATTGCCCAATCACAATCCAACTGTTGTACTGGAGTGCAGAACCATTGCACATGAGAGGCATCACACATCTGTGTGGTGTTCAGTATAAGGTCCAAGGGTTCACAGTGCTCAATCCATTTTGCAGTCTTTGTTGTTTTCTCGTGTTCTTTGTAGACCAATACTGTAGATGAACCAGTGCATCTGTGTCCTGCACAATTGTGCTGGACATTGACACAACAGATAACAGCCTGGAATGAAGCATGATCAGAACAAAGTCCATACAAAAAAAAAGCCCACTTACTGTTGCTGGTAACACAACCCAACCCAGTGGCTGAATGCATGGCAGGTGATAGATATCTGCAGAGCCAGTCACTTTGAATGTCTCAAGTAATAGCCAGTTTGCTTGATTGCACTGTTGGGCTGGTGAGTGACAAATCTGAAGAATTTCATGAAGAGATCTGATGAGGGGGAGTTTGTGGCCAGCAGCATGAGGCTCTCATGCGAGGACAAAGTCTCCAAGGTGGCATATTTCACCATTTGTTGCAACAATGGAGTGACAAGTTTGATAAAGACAATGTTTGACCCAAGGCAGTGCATATTGGACCCATAACACCATATTTGTCTTCTCAAGTGGCCATGGACATGTCTTTTCATGCACACATGAACCTGGCATGTGAATGATATCACTAAGTTCATGTATTCCACAGAAGCATGATTGACTCACCAGCTTCAAGGGGATCTCTATCGTCTGTGAGCCCAAAGTAATCTGCAATGACATTGTGGAATGTTGGGATGTCAAGGCTGGTCAGTGACTTGACCCCAGAGCCAGGCACCAGCCACTCATGCTCATTATCACTGTAGGGGAGTTCAGTGAGTCCTCAAGCATGGAATTTACCACTGGACAAAGGATGGCAGACACAATTACATCATGCCATTCCACAGGCAATGTCTTGGGAAGGCACTTGTCTGTTGCTGTGAATACTGTGGTCATGGATCACAGCATTGTAAGATTCAAACCCTTCTGTAGCAAATAGGATCACAGGACTGAAACACTGGATGTGGTCAGGGAGGTGCTGAAGAATGTGAAACTTTGGCTTATTGAACCATCATGGCATCCAGCGGGCCATGCAGTTGAGGAAGTGGTCAATCGTAGCATGCAAGTCGGCCTAAAAGTACATTAGTTGTGCTTGGTCTTAGCAAAAAGTTGATGTACGACATACCAGGTGCCTGTTGATGTTGTCAATGCATGGTTGCCAAACAAGGGGGACCAGAGATGATAGTGCCAGAAATGCTTTGTAGCACTCATGTGGAACAAGGTCATAGAGTACAAAGGGTGCTGCTTGGCATATGGCACAGAAATCACATCCAGCGAGAGACCCAGCATATTGAATGAACGTTTGGGTTGCCAATGGAGGGATGCTGAGTCCTGAGGTATTGAATGATGCCAATTGAACCTGGAACTCTGCTTTTTGATCATCATTCATCCTGGAGATGGCATCATGCCAGAAATACTTCATGAATCTGAGTAAGATGACATGCAGGACTTCCACAGGGGTGTCTTGATGGGGATCAAGGCCTGAAGTTGAGTAAGTGAGTGATGAAACAATGCGACCAATGCAGAGGATTCTTACCTTTGATCCTCCAAACAGGACTCATGAATTCTTCCACTGAACAGCCTTGTGTAATTGTGTTGACAGCCTTGGTAAATCCATCTGTTCCTGCACAAATGCCTTTGACATGCTTGAGGATCTGCTCAATGAACACATCCATGTATGTATCTTTAATGCCTATTTCAGTCTTCATTTTCACATATTGTGTCTTGCCCATGCTGCTGGTGACTTCATGGAACATGCTACAGAGTTTCTCCACCATGTGTTGCCAGGTGCAAGGTGTGTTGGCCTTGAGCATGTTGAGACATCAGTATACCTTAACCTAACAAATTGTATACTTACTGCAAGGAAATGCCTTGCTCGATCAACAAGACCTTGCATTGTCTCCAAGTGGCAGCCCTTGCCTTTCAGCTGTTGTGTGACACCCCCATGAGTGGACCTGTCCAAGTCAGTCATGTGTGATGCAGTTTCAATGGAACAAGTGCCATTGTCTGGTTGCAGTGCCTGTGGGTGTTCACTTGATTCTGCCCCTACCCCTTGCACCCAGCAATTGCAACAAAAAAATTTACCCTGCAGACCAACATGGCATGCAAGTTCACTCTGCATTGGATTGTCACCAAGCATCGCCAGGACAGCAGGGATCACGAGAACCATCTCCCTTGCTTCTATGTCCCAAGCCCAAATGCCATGCATTTGTGCATGTCTGTAGCACAATGCGGTGAAAGCCTGACATGGTTGGAAGGGTTGAAATAAAACTTACTCGAGTTGGGCCACAATACCATCAAGCATTTCTAGGGGGGGAGTGATGTTAGACATAGCGAGGAAATGGATGTTGCTCTCTTTGTGGACCAGAGCATGTGGGAGACCAGCTGCAGTGAAGAGAAACAAGTTGTGTTTGTTCCACTTCTTTGACATATTGCTGGAGGTGTCATCACAATACAGCCATATCATGTAACTGAGGACATGGTGCCCCTTCATGCACATGCACCATATATTCCCAACCACAGGATCAGTCAACGTCCATGGGAGGACACCATGTCCTCTCGTCTCTATCAAACCTAATGCATGCTGAGTCTGAAATGAACAGAGGGGAAGGATGGGCACCATACACACCTATGATATTGCACAGGTTGGGTTGACCATCGATCTGATGCATTTGAAGCAGGTGTGGAAACAAGAGGAGAAGACTGCTTGCTGGCACCTCAATGGTATCATATGTGTGGATAACATATCCACACATGTGACTGCTCATGATGGGGTGAGCTCACCATGTGCAGGCCCAATACTCGAGCTCAAAGGGAAAAGAAGTTAGTAATGCAGAGGGTTTTGTATACCAGTGCTCAGGAATGACCATTGTGCCATCCATCAACTTTGCCAGCTTGAACACATAAAAATCTTGATGGCCTTTGCAAATCATGGGTGTGGCAACAGTGGGATCAATTTCATACAGCCACCTCGTTGCTTGCCATGGCTGGTCAAGTCACCCCCCAGCATCTTCAGGGTAATGGTGGATATGTGGGCAGATGCACAGGTTTGCCATTTCCTGCAAGGGTGCACTGTTATTGGTTAACAAATTGCAAGCTAAGAAATGAACTTACTTGTGCAATGATAGAAGGCAGGTGGTTGACATAATAGATATGGCCAAGTGCACCTTGATAACAGACTGATGGAATCCCATATTGGGTCTGGAGGGAATTGTCAATATCTTTGAGTGTCTTTGTGGAGGGAACATAATCAACTCTGAGGATTGCAAGTCCCCAGAGGATGACCTGAAGTTGTGCATCTGAAAATAATGAATGTGGGAGGTGCCATAGAATATCGAGTATGCATGTCTGTCAATTGAGTGAAATGATGCTCTCATTATATATGAAATGACATACCTGTTTATTGGGCCACAGGAACCATGCGGGATTTGCAGGTGCAGCATCACCTGCATGCTGAGATGAGCATGTCACACCTGGCTGAAGCAGCTCTGTGGAAGGATCAGTGCATTCAATAACCTGTGACAAGTGTATATCGCTTCTTACCTGGACAATATTCTTCACCTTCGACATCAGGGGAGTTGGACACATCTTTATCAGAGGAGATTGCATCATCACCATTGGCCAACCATGCAGCCAAGCTGCTGGCCATCATCATTAGTTGCTCCTCATGTGTGGATGGTAAATAGAGCTGTTTGTGGTCAATGGCATCCCAGTCAAGTTGAAAACTACCATTGTTATTAGAGGGAGTAGCTGCCTGTGGCACACCATGAGGAGGGGATCCTGATTCTGAGAAATCTGCTAAAAGGTTAAGCAGGGGCAAGGTCAGGTCAGGTCAGGGTGGGGAACTTGAAGGGCAAAGATGAGGGGATAGAAGGTGGCCAATGTTCTCTTGATGGAGGGTGGTTTTCTCATGTCATTGAGCAGAACAGACATCTTGCCACTTGTCATCCTTGCAGGCAAGGCATGACCACTTGTACTGGTTGTGACCAATGCCTGTTGCCCAGACTGCTTACATCATTTGTGGAGTCAATGCATTGGCAATGCCAATGCGATGTGGAGGCCAAGGCTTAGATGTAGTAACCTGAAGTAATCTGGAGTTAGGGGTGGGACCTACACTTGGGATGTGCAAACTCTTCAGTCATCACTATAATACAACAGTGAGAGTTGAACTTTGCAAAAAAAAAAGTACATTAAGCACTGCTTCTGAGTGTCAAGATGCATTTCACTTGCATCCACTACAGTTTCAAAAAAAAAAGTCTTTAAGATTGTGTCTAGCCCAAACCATAGTGAAAATGCTATCCAAACTAATTGGGACTGTGTCAAACTTGTGTTTCATGTGACACAGTTCCACCTATTTCTCAGACTTAGTTTGTTTGTGTCACAAGAGTGGCCATGTAGCACATGTGCCATATGGTACAACCATAGTAAAGGAGCACCCACATCTGGGAAACAGCTACACAACACAGCTGTTAACAGCTCTTTTGCACTTGAGTGAGCCTTCTCATTGGCCAACAAGTGTCTTAGCAAGTCTTATGACAAGTCACTTCCAAATGGAGGCAGGTATAACCTGCTCACTCCCTCAGGTAGTTTTCAAGTTGCAGATGCAGTATGATGATACAGAAAAATGTCATCTGCAGTACTAAAGAGTTGTGCCCCCATGCTGTACCTCCATAAAAATTTTGTAGATGTCATTGCATTCGTCTCATTTTACTGCAGAATTCCAGGTTGGTATGACCACATCATACTTCCCTTAAGTGTTCCTGTTATGAGAATGGAGCTGTGTATGTAGGTTACTTCCCCTTGGTGAACCATATTCATCTCAGGCTCCAACCCCAATGGGTGACAAGAATAAATCAATTGAATCTACATTGTATATGTATTGCAGTTGATCACCCAGTGTTGACTTGGACTCAGATCAACATGGATGCTCACAGAGTCCCTCTCATTCCTGTTATGATCTATGAAGGTCTGCTTGACATGCCAGAAGGCACCTATGGCTTATCATACAATATCTACACCCACAACACTATAGATGACTTGCCAGCTGGGTGAAACTCATACACATGTAAGTTGAGTTCAGTTCACTATATAAGCCTTATCATGACAAATCATACTGATCAAGTTATAGCAGCCACATATTGTGAATTGGCTGTGCAATTAGAGGATGCTGGCTTTGAGCGCCTCCAGTACTCTGATTGGGTCTGTGACAACATAGACACTGTGGGTGCATACTGGACAATGCTGTCTTTAATGGGGATCTGCCCCCCAGGGAAATTCCAAAGTATGGTGAAGAGTGTCAAGATTCACTATATCTCCAATTGGGAGTTCAATGCAACTCAGGGGATTCAATTGGGTGGAGGCTATTCTCACATGTTACAGGGGATGACTCCAGTGGGCCTAGTGCCACCTGAGGTTCCAGCAGCTGTACCTCTGCATATGCCACAGAGGCTTCCACAGTTTACCAAGCAATCTGAAGAGGCCATGAACATGAATAATTGGAGGGTCTAGTCAGGCTGGTATGTCACACAGTGCAACTATATCCATGATACCTGCTTATACATGACCACCATGCCAATTGTATGTCTCTTTCTCTTTCTAGGTCAAGCAGGCACAATGTATGGGGGTAATGGTTCATGATCATCAACAACAGATAATGCCTCAGAATTTAGTTACTGTTTCCCTTTTCTTTTGTTTTCTTTATGCCTCCTATTTTAGCTACTCGTTTGTCTCCTGCCACACTCTGAGCATATATAAGTCATACATACTGATGTATTCCCCAGTCAACCTCAAACAGAGATCTTTCGACCAGTTCTTCCTGAGTGACCATAAGAACAACTCTTAGGCTATGAGAATGGGCAGACTACCCCCATGTGACCAAAGTGAACTCACTTTCAGCTGTATCAGCTGATTTTGACCAAATGACCATGGTAATTACCAGAAAAGCAGTTACAGAATTCATGGCAACTACCACTTCCCAATATAGACAATGCCCCCTGAGTGACAACCTCTGTTGGTGTTTGAAAAAAATTCAGATTGGAATGTTCCCATGGGGCATTACCCTGTCACAAATATTGATAATTTGCACCTGTACTGTGGCCATACAGATGAGCATGTGACCAGTAGATGTGATGGTCACATGATGAGTGACATAAGCAGGGATGACCCTAGATCATGTGATTTTATGTAATTGATTATGTGATGGTGATCCTCTGGAGCATTCTGTTACATAATTTATCACATGATCATGGGAAAATATGCATGTGACTTAATCAATGTCACATGACAAGGTACAATCATAGATCATCCAACCTATTACATAATGATCACATGTCAGTTTCTCCCCAGAATACTTGGTTATGTAATGGGTCACATGATTGTGAGACAATAGACATGTGACCACTCCTGCAGCATCACATGACAAGGTACAATTATAGATCATGTGACCTGTTATGTAATGATCATGTGGCAATAACTCTCTGAACCATTGGCTTATGTAATAGGTCACATGACTGTACTCATTATGTGATCTCACCTATAGCACTCTGCACATGACTCAATCCATATCACATGACCAGCAATCCCCTCCCTATTTGCATGCTGGGCATTTGTGGCTGTGCTAGGAATGCAAATTGTGTCCCCACCCATTCAATTCTTGACATATGGATCTGGATTTTTGTGTGTAGAATAGGCTACCATGTTGCTACACATTGTCAAAGGCACAGGCTGTCTGGTCTTGTAGTTGCTGAGATTTTAATGGAAATGAAAATGCCAACAAAACATCACACCATTCAACTTACACATCCTTCATGCCATATCTGACACTTCAGAAGGGTTGGACACATGCATATCAATTCATAGACAAAGTTTGGTGTCACCCCACTCAGATCTGAGAGAGCAAGATGCAAAACAAAGATTCAAGAGTGTGGGAAAGTGGGAAAAAGTCCCAGAATAACATATGGAGATTTTGAAAACATATCAAAAATGTGGATTTGCACACATCACAGTGGCCCTGCCAACCCCAGACTTTGGGTGAGGAATGCAGCAATATGGCCTACCATGTTGGCACCATGTGCCTGGTGAGATATCCACTTAAACAAGTCAAAATCATGAAAATGTGTGCAATGGGGTAGTGGTGTTGACCTTGCACTGGCATAAATCTCCCATTGTTTCAATGAGTCAAGTGTACCACTTCGCATTTTTGACCATTTGCAGTGAGTATCACATCAGGCACTTGTTACTCATATCTTCCACCATGTCCCAATATCCCTCACCTAAGTTCTGGTAGTGGTAGCTGCACTGTGGGATGTGCTGTGCTATGTTTTTGATATGTTTTCAAAATCTCCACTATTTTATTTTCTCTTTTTGAAGCTTTCCCACGCTTCTGGGATCAGTATTTGGCTTGCTGTTCACTCAATTCTAAATGGATAAACTTGAAACTTTGGAAATGCATTAAAGTATGGAAAGCCAGACACTTGCACCACATAATTTTTGAACTCAGCGCTGAATGCCCGAGCACTTACTACTTTTGAAAAAAACTTTCAGCAAGACCCCAATCACCATTGTGTTGTTGATAGATGTCCACTCATCATTGTGCCAACGTCCAAAGTTCCATTACCATAGGTTCACATGCTATAGCGATAGATTTGACAGTCATTTACAAAATAGTAGCATAGAGTTTTATCTAAGCCCAATATCCTGTAGATCTACAAGCCACAACAAAAATCTTGCTTCACTAACAGACATACCCTGGCCAGCAAGAAAAATAACCAGATCTTCATTGTTATGCGCATGCTCGTGCGCCTGGATAATATGTTCAATGTCCCCAGTGCCATATCCATGGGATGCAAGATAGCAAGCCACTAGGTCACCAAGTGGGTGAGCAAGGTTCCGGATGTGTGAAGTCAAGGTTGGATAATAATTGCTGGAAATGATGCCATGAAGATTATGGACATGACTATAAATGATGGGAGAGATCGTGGCCTCTGACCTAGATGAGACAGTTGATGTCAGAGTGGAGGAGCAAGATGTAGATGAGGTATGCAAAACGGTTGGGTCAGACAATGATGTAGAAGCATGCAAAGGCATTGAGGTAGTTTGTTGAGATTGAGGCAAAATGGATAGCGAGTGATGGAGCTGTTCAGCCAAAGAATTGGCTGTGGCTGGAGGGGGACTTTCACCTATCTGGTCGTGTGTCAACATGGGTGGCATGCATTGCGGGACTCCTTTGACGATCATGAAGGCTAATGCAGTCCAAAATGAAGTAGTTTCCCTTCATACATGGTATTTAAATGACCCTTCAGCACGAGTTGCGCTCTCGCTGAACAAAATCAAGCTACAAACTACATAGTATGAGATTAAAGACTCATGCTGTGCAATGAATACCAGGGGGCGATGTGAGTCAAAGTGAGGTTCAGTGGTGAAAACCAACCAAAACCAACACAAAAGACAATGAAAGCGAGTGGTGGTGTCCCTATGCGGTACCTAGATGGTAGAACCTGTTCTTTGGGAGGGTTTTTTGCAAGCTACAACACTCAAAGATGAGTGCTGAGGGTTGGGGGTGCTCCTGACGAAGAGGGAGCAAGAATGTGATGGAAAGCGATAGGGTAGACTGCTGTCAGCCTACAGAAGGATGGATGGTGACTTAATTCGATGTCCTAAGCTGTACTGAGCTCAGGGAGGGCTTGGAGCAAAGTATATGGATGATAGATGATGATAAGCAAAGTAGATGATAGCTAGACCCTTAATAAAGTCTCAACTATTGAAGCTGATGAATGATTTACTGAGAGATGATAAATTGTGAGCAAGAGGGGCTCTCTGATGTCTTCTTTTGCTACCTAAGTACAGTGACTTATATACAGTACAGGGGTGTTGCCTATGGAAAACAAGGTGTAAACACTTGGTAAGCAATTGGTAACTGATGAGTAAGGAATGTAAGCGATGGGTAATCATCTTGGAAAGCATTGGTAAGCATTGGTAAGGATAAGTAAGCCAAAAAGCAAAGAATCAGTAAGCAAAGTCAAAAGATTGGTAAGTATTGGCAATAGGTGAGTCAAAGACAGTCAGAATGTCAAAGTATGAGTCAAGCAATGTCAGGAACCAAGAAAGCACACTGGAATCACATCAGGGGGAGGCTGTGCATGTCACATCTTGAAGAGATTGCTTCTAGGCCAAAGTGGGATGACAGAGAGGCAGCGCTGATCTGATGCCGATATAGTACATCCAAAAGTGGACAGGGTGAGTCAGATGTCAACAGGGGTCAAGCCTTGGGGGTCTGTGGGGCAACAGGAGCATAGGGGATCGCAACTTTCCCCCCCAAACCATCCTCTCAGTGAAGCAAATAAAAACTTCATGAATGAGGCTCTGTTGGAAGAGAGGATGAAGGGGGAGCGTCTTCTGCTGTATCTTGCAACAAGGAGGCAAGATGTGCATCATACTCATCATGGATGCAATCAGGGAGAGTGGAGAACAGTAGATTATACTGTAGCTGTTGCAATTTTGGAAGAATGATGGATGAGACTGGTATGAAGACGTTGCAGGGGGCAGGGAGGAAGGATCCATATGCTTCTTGGACTGGAGAGACTGAAACAACCACATAAGACCTTTCCAAGCGAATGACAGACCTGAGGCGACCAAAGAACGTCCTCCTGGAGGTCATACTGACAAAAAGAACACACTGTCCAAGCTGGATGGGCTGAGAGGGGGCAGACGAGGGTGGGATGTACCAGGACGCTTCAGGATGGAAGCTGGTAGGAACTCCTGGTAGATATATGTAGCCATGGTCCCTAGCAAAGGGGACAAGCAAAATGAGTGTCTTTTGGAGGGAGTGCTGTAGAAATGTGTGGAGTGCGCAAATCCTTTCCAATCTTGGAAGGTAGGATCGCGTGGCTGAGCACTACAAGCGAGTGTGGGAATGGTTTCGGTGTCTGCAGAATTGGTGGAGATACGTCGAAAACCAGAATGCTGTACATGGGCGCTTAAGAATTTTATTGGCGCTTAACTCGCCTCCTCCTTTTTCTTTGGCATTGACAACCTGTTCTTGTGCGAGGGATGACTGCCGACATTGCTGGCTGTCCTTCTTTGCATGAGGGCTATGGTCTTCACCTCCATTCATCAGCTACATCCATGTCCACCTCACCAAACACCTTTGGTGTGTGACATCAGGGAGACCAAGTTCCCAGTAATACATCTCATCTGCCAACACCCCAGCCCAACTACCAGTCTCGGTTTATCCCCCACCAGCTGCCTGCTACTGTCCCTGACTCTTGTATCAACCCCTCCCTTGATAGCTCGCTCTCATTGAGACAAACTTCGGCAACCACTGATGTTCACCACAAGAGTTTGGAGAAGCTGTCATCAGAGGGCTCCTCAGAAGAGGAGTCAGAGTCCTTGAGTAATAACCCATTGGATGCAGAGGCTGGCAAGGTCTCTGGCGATGAGTTCAACAAAGATGAGGACGATGCATTTGGATGGGGTGCAACAAATCTTAGGCAATCAACTCATCCTGGTACACATCAGAGGTTATTATGGTATTGGCTCAACGTTCTTTGTTAGGCTTCTCCCAAGAAACAACAACAAGCAATCCTATTCACCACAATTCCTTACCCCCTGACCACAAGTTTCAGTACTCATGCAATGAGGATGACAATGTGGCTCTGCAAAGCTTACAATCCAAGGACAAGGCTCAGCCAGAGGTATGAAAATGCCATTCCTGCTAGCTTTATTTATTCAGATTGTTATTTTAGGGTTCCCAACATGGTGCTGTTGTCAATGTTCTTGAATGCCACCATCACACTAATGGCCATCCTGTTCCCAATCATGATCTTCTGACCCTTGCACACGACTCGGTCAATGAAGTATCTCAGTGCACCAGAGCCCCTCATAACTCCAAGAAAGCTAAGGATGAGGGCCCATTGCCTTCACAACTGAGATTTTACAAGGCAGTATGGAAGGACTGTCTTGAAGATGCTAAGCAAGAATGCAGGGCTGCACATGCACTTTCTAACCCATTCCCATTGAAATCTCATGACCTCAACCTCTCCATAACAGAGGCACTTGTCACTGTCATCATTGAGTGGAATCAACATGGTGTGCAATTTGAAGATGGTGAGTAACAATATTTTCACTTTATACATGTCTCGTTATCCTAACTTTATAGGTTACTGGCCTGACCACAAGCAAGATATGGTGTGCCTTGTAAGTAGTCCTATCTTTCAGTTACAGCTACTGACATACCACCAGTAGCTCCTTGGTGATATATCTACCTGGCATTCAGAATTGAAGTCAGTTATGCTGGCAACCATGCCATCTGCATTCAACCTTATCCCTCCTTCTGATGTTGCACCACAGGTTTGTGTACAATGGATAGAGACCACTGCCACAAAGCTCCTTGACAACTTGCTTTTCCTGTGAGACAGTTTCAACAAGAATGTATGTTCATGCAGTTCATTGTCTGCACTACTAATGGATTGGTTTATCAGGGAAAAACCAGGAATTTCACTCACCCTGCCCTCAAGAAAGCTGTCATACAATTCTACTATACCAGGACCTATCAAATTGTGGATAAGCATCCTGAGTCCTTCAACAATTCAGTTCCCCTTTCCAGTCTGGCTCTTGTTGCAGCCATGGTGAGTTATTTTACACCCTGAGTCACTGCAACTCAAACTTTTCTTGCAGTATCATTGTGTGTTGGACAGATTTGCAAAACAGCACAGGAAAGACAATGCCTCAATTCTCTGGCAAGGCTTACAATTCCATTTTCCATGGCATGATGAAGGTGCTGAATGACATCCTTCATAATCCCTATCATGGCATGAGGTTGCGCGATCAGCTTTCTCAGTGGGTGAAGGAAGGATGGTAAGTACTGGGGCAGCCAACATGCTTGCACTGACTCCTCATATCAGGGCTGCACTGCAAGAGGTTGATTTGAATGTAGAGAGGTACCAGCACATTCAGGCAGTCCTTGATTGATTTCATAATACCTAGTCCTGTCATACCTGTCATTACACATAGTATGCAATTGATGCCAATGCTCCTGTTCCTGTCATACCTGCTGTGAACTGTTCTTAGTTGTGGAGTGATCACATGTTTGCAAAGTAAACATTGAGATGGGGAGTACTGGACAACACCCCAAGGAGAATACAGTCTGGCCAGTTTTGTACAGTGATATCTAAGCATGAAAGTTCCATGGCAATCCATAGTAAGTAAGATACTGGACAAAGTTCCATGACAATGTGACCATTCCATAGTAACAGGCAACTAGCCATAGCAAAAAGTGTTGTTGGGTGCATCTGTCCAGCCTGGACCTAGCTAGGGGACTCTGTGTATTATGGAGCACTGTGGACAGCTCCACAGCTCAAAGTGATTTACTGATGTACCTACACTGGTCCATGGCAAACAGGCAGTTGTCGACTTTCCCCCTAGTAGAACTACGGACAGTAGAAGGTTAATCCTCGGAGAAGAATGCGAGAGTCAGCCTACATCAGACCCTAGTTTAATATTGGCTGGATCTTCGGGCAAGTCAATAATTGGGCCATAACCCCCGACGTGGAAAATAGCGTCGTAATCGTCTGCTTTGACACCGGATAGCTTTTTAGGATTTGTGAGTTTAGCTATCAGGGCTTTGGTAATCGGTGTTCGAGAAACGCACGGACATTATACATAATTTCCGCACTTACCTCGGTGCTAGACGGATCTACAGGTGGGTTGGGTGCTTTGGGAACTGCGAAGTCAATGTCGAAGTAAGGGGACAACACATAACAAGGGTGGGCGGCCTCGGGGAGGTACCATCCCTACTCACAGTTAGTACTGCCGCTCTCTTGCTACTCTGCACAATCACGCACCGTGTTCTTTCCTGTCAGAGGTGAAGACAAACAAGACTCTGCGAGTACTGGACATGATAATTGACACAGGTGATATGGGACTGAGAATAAGCTATTGCATGAACGGCTGGCGCTATACTATACGGTTCGGTGGTGATGCAATGTACCCCTTGGAGTCTCCATGGCGGTTTCTCCTTGTACCACATACCTTTTTTTGGACATGATTAGTAACTTTTAACAAAAAGTTACCTAGCTGCAGCTATGACCGCGAACACGATCGGAGGAATATCGTTGACCGACTGTGACGTACTCTGTTTGTGCGTGTGGCGCTTGATTCGGCATCTTTCGGCATGCGATATAGATCAGCTCAGGGACCAGTACTCCAGTGCTCAGCGGACGATACTGAACACGATCCATCAGCTTGCTATGTCGTCCTTCTTTGGTTTGTAAGTGCGCCCTTATATGCGTACCTGGATCGTAATCTCTGGCCATCAGGGGAAAGACGCGAACCTTCAAGCCCCGTAAGGACGTTCCAGAGGGTACGAAGCAATATCAGTTGCGCAAGTACGCAGAGGCAACCTTGGTAAGACGTACCGATAGCGGACCTTTCATCTGATCACTTTATAATCTCAGGGATCTGGGAATTTGAGGCTTGCCGTCCAGCTTCCCGAAGGGGAGGACACCAATGAGTGGCTCGCCGTTCATGGTTGGTACAGTTTGACCCATGCGCTGCGATTCAATGTTGACTTCAAGTCCCCAGCGGTCGACTTCTTTAATCACCTGAACATGTTATACGGTACTATCACTGAGTTCTGCACTCCACAGGAGGTGTGTCAGGAAGGCGCACTCCACGTTCTGCCTCTCTTATCTGAGCGGAACAGTGCCCTATCATGTCTGCCGGTCCTCGGTGAGCAAACCGTCGGCCTGGTTCCAAGCTCCGCAGTGTCTGAATGAAGCTTAAGATTTGAGTACCTTTGGGAAGATGGCATCAAGTACAAGAAACCCACCAAACTTCCGGCCCCCCAGTACGTAGACGCCCTCATGAATTGGACGCAGAACATTCTAGATGACGGAAATATTTTTCCGAACAAGATCGGTATGGGCCTGGGTCTCCATTGACATACCCCCGGAAATTGGGAACTGATCTACTGGTCAGGTGTCCCATTCCCCCGTAATTTTCGAGACACGGTCCGCACCATCATTCGGAGGCTCTTCCGGGTCTACGCCCACATATATAGCAACCATTTCGACCAAATCTGTGCACTAGGCATAGAAGGTGCGGCTTTTGGCAGCACTTACTGGTCGTGGCAACAGGTTCTGATTTTGTGTTCTAGCCCATCTGAATACCAGCTATCGGCATTTCTTTCTGTTCATCAATGAGGTACTTCCTAGTTCAGCATCGTATGTGGGAACTGGACCTTATTCCGCAGTTCGACCTTATGGACAAGAAGGAGCTAGCTCCACTTGATGAGCTGAACGACGCCATTCTTTCCGAGGACAAATCTCGGTAGTTCCTGCACGCACCCTACCCTACGAGCAATGCCGTCAAGGTGTGGCTGTCATCGCGCACTTTTCGAGTATCGACAATCCCCCCGGAAAAGTCGAAGGGGTATATATCGTCATTACTCATTGTGTCGTTCCGTTTCTTAGGCTATGTTGTTCCTCAATATCACTGTTTGTACCATTGAAATAATGTTGAGTTCAATGAGTCTCGTGTATGCTAATGACACAACATATTATCTGCGTTCCGGGTGCAAAGGTGAAGAACAATTAGATGTTGTACACGTATCTGTTGCGTGGCGTGGAAACAGTAGCTGGCATGAAGTGTAGGAAAAGAAAGGAAGAAGGAAGTTTCTAGGTCATAATTCGTAATACACCTGTGTTTTCGATAGTACCGTACGCGGGGGCGACGATGCATGAATATGTCATATCGTTCTCTGGAGACCTTCAGCATAAAACCAGAGACCAAAGCACAAGCATACCTTCACAACGGACCACTGCACGATCAGCGTTTTCAATCTCTCCTGCAGAGCCAGTTTGCATTGCTCGCACGACAACTGTTCTCCCAGCGGAGCGAGAGCCGATTCCATTGTGCTTGTGGACAGATCTAAGCCGACTCATTATTAGGGGTGGTGTACGTGTAGCAAGTGAGCAGTACCGTACCGGGTCTAGCATCCCAAGCAAGGTAAGCAGATGCTAATGCCCAAGCACGAGTTAACTTCTTCTGCTCCGTGAAATCGCATGCCGAAGTGGGAGGATGTGGATGTGGTGGAGGTAAGAGTAGTCGCTTGAGGGCATCGGATCGGCCGAAGTGTAGGAAGAATAGACGTCTCAGGTACCTGGGACCCATGCGGTCGACCATTTCATCTGTGAGCACGGCAAGCGAGAACGATAAAAGGTGGGAGGAAGTGGGGACAGCCAGGTCGTACAAGTCGTAACTCGCAGCGAGGGTGTAAAGCTCGAGGGGATAAAGTGGCGCATGAGATAGTAGTAGGTTGTAGAGGGGAGTCGATCGAGCGACATACTTTTTGACCGAGATCCCACAGGTATTCATTACTGCAAGGGCTGACGCAAGGGATTCGAAAGATGGAGAGTAATGAGAACATGATAAGTCGTAAATAGCGTGTAACACGATGTTCAATTCGATGGAGGATTCTGGAAAGGGGACCACGGGTCCCATGGGGCCAGAATCTGTTCTGGGAGACGGTGGTAACAGGGAGCTAAAATTGTTGTCGGATGCGGCAAGGAGGATATGCAGGTGAACGTAGAAGAAAACGGAGTCCGACGACAGTAGGACAAGGTCGGGTGAAAGTGAGTGAAGCTGTGCGCCAGGAAAGAATGTGGTGGACACAGATACAAGTGTGGTCTCGTCTGGAGGTGAGTCCGCCGGAGATGAGGCGAAAGATTCCTAAGAGAGTGTCGATGTTCCGTCAGCCCGCCCAACACGATGTTACGCAATACGAACGTACAGGGGGTGTTGGAACCTGACCAAGCATGGTACCAATTGGCGGTTCCGCCCGTTCCGCCACAGGTTTTTCAATCGCGGACCCTATGTCCAACTCCAAGGGCTCAGAAACAAACTGAAACACAAAGTCCCAGTCAGGGGCCTCCGGATTTCCAGCCATGGTGGATGACGGTTCTTCGATGAGTATGGAGAGGAACGGCTTATAGGGTACTCCGCGGTGAGGAAGTGTACGTGCGAGGGGGAAAGGAACGATTATACTGGTAGGCTGGTGGGTGCAAGGGACAGAAGATTTCCAGACAGACGATATACAGGGAGGGGTTTTATCCCCGCAAGCTTATTTGCCTTACGCATGGGCGTGTGGCCACAAACAAAATGCAGTTGCCATTTCGGGCGAGCAACGGGTTTCGCCGGCCAGTCGATGGCGGGAGGTAAGCAGGCTCAGATTCGAAACCACGTACTGCCAGTACTCACACTCATGTATTTCTACACGGGTCGATGGGTTGAAGGCCTCGTCCGCTGTTTTGCTCACTATCTCAAACGACACCTGAATTATGTTCGCAAAACCTCCCTACAAGTGGTCCAGAGTGTAGCAACTTCAATCTCCGAACTAATGCTGTAATCTTTCGTCAGACACGGTTAGAATTTGGGGTTGCTGAGAGAAATTCGCTCCACCTTCAGATTTGATGCCCAAGTCATGAAGCGACCGCCAGGTGAGAATATCACATGTCTCCACCGACATCCATTTGCTTTTCTTGGCTTTTGGCTTTATGAATTTCTTCTCTCTTACCAAAGTTTGAATCATGGAGTTCCTGAAGCGTAATATCAATTTCGGTGAGCAAGTTGGGGATCCTAACCCAAACTGACCATGTTTGCAAGTCTCTTGGCTGTAGAAATCGTGTTTAATTTCTCAAGCACCTTATCTTCAGGCGCAGCGATCGAGGTAAGTTTGGTTCCTGATCGAGACACGTGATGAAACACTCATAATCGGTAAGCATGCAGCTCACCGATGCGATCCTCTATCCTCAACAGCCGGCCTTCGTCCATTTCTGTCACAAAGCTTATTGCCACTCCTCCCTTGCCCGCTCGGGCCGTCCTTCCTACGCGGTGGGTATACTCTTCTGGTTCTCTCGGGAGATCCCAATTAATGATCATGGCGACATCTTCGATATCCAAGCCACGTGCACCCACGTCCTGTCGAAACTAGGACGGGAACAATGGCTGATTTGAAGAGAGATAATGAAGCGAGTCTCTCCCGTTGAGTGAGCCGCGAGTGCAATCCCGTGCTCCGAATGGAGAGTGTTTTCAGTATGTTCACAAGATAAGCAACAGTACGAGGCTTTGTGCAAAAGATAATTGTAGGAGGTGGCTGTAAAATTTTCTCTTCTTCTTGGTGGTGCTTCCGCGACCTCTTGGTCTTCTTCGCCATCTTCATGCCAAAGGGTTCCGGTGGCACGCGGCGGAGTCGTATGGTGCTTTCCGGTGGGTTGCACAACAAATGAAACAAATAAACCTCCCGAACATGATACGGGACAAGCAGGTAGTGTTGCTTAAGGTTAGCAACTGTCTCGACCCTGTAATGCCAAGTTATTTAAATATTTAACTGCATCGGGAAGTCCCCTACGGTGATTCGGCTCGATGAAAAAATGGTTTCATTTTCCCGGGTTTCGGTCGTGTCTCTGCTAGGACCTCGACGGCAGGGGTCAGGGTAGCTGTGAAGAGACACGTCTGTCGCTCTATAGGTAAGTGCTGGAACATGTATGCCAATTCCGGTGCGAAAGTAGGGGCGAGTAGTCGATCGGCTTCATCTAAAACCTGTTGCAATCTAAATTAGAAAACCCGAAAGCCTCACGCCGCAGTAAAATGTGTCGACTCACCAGATATTTAATTCTAGAGAGATCCCAGCCACCACTACTACTTTTGAGGTGGTCAACTATTCGACCAGGTGTCGCAACCACCACGTGGGGACGGGTGTCGAGCTCAAGGGCCTGAGTAATCATATCCATGCCCCCGACAATGACGGATGTGCGTATGCCAATAGCAGCGCCAAGTACAGCAAATTGTTCTGATATCTGGAACGCAAGCTCTCTTGCGGAAGAGTCCAGTTTTTGACAAAGGCTAACCCAAACTGGCGATAAATACTTACCGCGTCGGTGTGAGAACAAGAGCAAAAATACCATACGGGTCCGCGACAAGTCTTTGAATTATCGGGACGGCGAAAGCTATAGTTTTTCCGGAGCCCGTCTTCCGCGTGCCCTATACAATCCCTTCCTTGAAACATGAATCGATTACATGCAGTACCTGGCGCCGCGCATAGGTTGTGGCTTACCTGACAGAAGCGGTGGGATACATGCCGATTGGATTTCAGTAGGGGTGTGAATAGACATACGACGTAGCGCGGCTTCCAGCGATGGGGAGATTCCCATCTCGGCGAATGAGGATACTAGTTGCGTCGGTGACTTGGTGAATTCCTTTGGGATCTTAGAATCATGAGAAGAATTTGACACCTCAACTTCGCCCTGGCGGTCTTGCTGAACCTCCCCCCTGCTCACATCGAATTCTCTAACGCGTGAAAACCGATCGTCAGAAAGGGGAGAACCCTCTTCGTCGGATGATGGCGATCTTCCTTCCGAGTCAGTGAAATCCTGAAAACTACCATTTTCCGAGGAGTTGTCATCGTGGTAGGACGAGCGGAGGCGCTTGGTTGGTCTTTCCTCCTCCAGCCGAAGCAAGTCATCTGCGGTCAGTTCGTCGCGCCGGTGTTGACGGCGACCCATCTGTGATACGTGTTGGTGGCGGTGCAAACGCAGAAAGTAAGTAAGGGGGCGTTGGCGTCACAACATCTGTCACACACAGATAACTCCTCAGCGCATCGTATGTGAAGTACTTTATGATAACGAACAATATTCGATACAGAACGTGACACTGGAATACAACTTGTAGTAGGGATCAACCCGTGAATAAGGCTACAATCATGGAAGACTTTTAGACATAACGTTCGTCTAGACCGTTATAAACCATAAGCGCTCGATTTGAAGACATTTTGATCGTTGCGTGCTAGCTAGAGCTGTTGATTCCCTTGTCCCTGGCAAATATTTTCCTGCTCAGCAGAGGTAGAACCTTCGGGTAACCAGGAGAGAAGGGTCGCATGATAAGGATCTAGCCCGTCGCCGGGACAGTTAAACGTCACTGGAGTATTCCAAGCACTCAAGAAGGGGTCCGCATTTTCTCCGAAGGGAAGCAGAGGAGAAGCAGTCGATCTCAACAATGGCAATGGCGTGTAGTCTTGGCCCAGGGTATGGGGCACATGATGTTGCTTGAGACGGAAATACGCGGAGGGCGGTTGAGTATCACCCAGTATACCAGAATTGTGGTCAGTTGTTGGCACCTGCAAAGAAGTCAGATTACACGCCGGGATGAAATAATCAAGTTACAAACAATATTCAAGCCTTGCACCAACTCCGACAGCATATTCTCCGGATTGAACAGCGTAGCAGATTGACCCTCATAGGTTTGCATTTGAGGGGCATTCCCGCAGAATGGGCTCACGCTTGTCAACTGATCTTGCAACGTAAACGGAGGCAACACCGTGGCCAGCGAAAGCGGAGACAAAGCCAGTGAGGCCGGCGTGGAGGGTATGGTGGGCCCCTTCGGAGTAGTCAACCTGCCATCATCGTACGGAAACATCCTTGCAGAAGATCCAGTGGCCGGTGGTCCACGCACTGGGCCTATGGAGGATTCAATAGAGTTGGAGAACGTCTCTGCGGCTGAACTATCATGATGTTGACTAATGTTGCCGTTGCGCTTATTTTTGCCCGTCCGCTTTCCTGCGGTCCTCCGAGTCGGCCTAAATTTGTAATGGGGGTACTTGGCCTGGTGAGCAGCCGTCACCGCTGCGGCTTTCTCATGCCAGATTGCCTTTTCTTCTGCGGATAGCATATTCCAACATTCGCCAATAATGCGGCTCAGATTTTGTTGACGTTTCTCGACCTCCCGTGGTATAGTACGTCTCTTCAGGAAATCAGAACGATAAAGCAAGAAAGCGTTCGGGGGCCGTGGGATGTGCTGGGGTTGCACTTCGACTAGGCGTTGTTGAGTAAAATTCGGAGCGAAGGAAACAGACGTGTCCTCAAAGAACAAGAGGGATGACGTGGGGAAAGGTGATTCATCAACGGGTGTTGAAGACGCTGGCGCTGGACGAAAGCGTCGGTCACTCGGGAGGCCAGGAGGGGCAGATTGAGCACGGAAGTTTCCAAAAAATTGCGGAATTTCCAAAGAAAGAGAAGTGTGACGCGGAGTAGAGACCGCGGAACTAGCCTGAAGGTGTCCGTCGACAGTGAGAGGGGGGACGTAGCCTACTCCAAAGCGTGAGTGGCAGTTACGGCACGCAAAAGGAGGCAAACCGTCGGAAGTCATGGTGAAAACTTCAAGGGGCTGGCGTCAGGGAGGGTACGTCCAGCAGGGGAAAATACTATGACAATCCGATAAAGAACGCAGGTGGTCCTCTCTTTTATACAGCGCCCAAGGCAGCGAAAAGGCTGATCGGCATAAATTAGTGGCATAGCTCACTAAATACGCTGAAAGATTTGTCCATGAAAGACCTGCGAACAAAGTAGAAAGGCGTGGATAACAGTTAACGCGTGGCACGTGACTTGAACATAGCAACGTCGGCACCGCGCGGACGCACGTTGCGGGAGCCTTTGACTTTCGAGCGTTTGGTACATTGGGACACGCACGTTCACACGTGTACTTGTTCGAAGTTAGCATGGCTTTTACTTACCCCAGATTTCCCAAAGACACCTCTTGATGATTCTCGTCTGGGTGGTGGCAATGGGCCCGGTGCGATGAGTTGAGATGGCACGCAACTAAGATCATGCCTAAATGATCCCCCTGAATCAGGGACACCCGAGCTTTTTATTCGCCTCGTGGCCTGCGTCGTGGTCGTTAGGCGGTATGAGGCAAAGGGGTCGAAAGCCCCACAATCCCACAATGCGGGATGCCCGGGGACTACGGATCGGCTCTCACATTCGGCCAGAATCGACCAGGCCCTCAGGGGATCCAACCGATTTTTTGGGGCTGTAAATCAATTATTGTGACACCTAAGAAACAAACACATGTCGAGTGGGTCCCCAATGAGTTCCGCAATGACGTCAAAATCTATTCTGCACTACCAGCTCTGTGTTTCATTCGTCAGTCTGGCAATGAGTAAAGTGACCAGACGCCTTAACTCACGATCTACGCGGACATCGTGATCCAGCATGCTTCTCCAGCGGCTTTTTTTACCCTGTTCATAGTGGCCTAAACCCTCCCTGTCCTCGGAAACCTCTTCGATGAGAATGATATCAACGCCAGCCTTTTCCAATGTGAGCAAACCGTCAAAGAGTCGTTGGGCCGTCACGGCTGGCTCCGCCGAGGATCCAAGCACATATTGATGCCACTGGATTTCGGCGTCACTAAGAAGGCCTTCGACAATGCTGGAGTCCGATGGTGTCATTAGCCCAACTTTTAACGATGTGCAAGAAGTCATGGAACGCTTCAGGGAATATAACAGATCCAAAGGTGTAATAACCTCTACTCCAGGAGGTGGTTTAGATATCGTCCACAGCAACTTTACCGGAACCGAGGGTGAGTAATGACGGTACTTCATCCCAGGGGTAGTCGGAGCCTGCTCGATGTCTTCGTCCAAAAAGTCGCGACGGTAGACCAGGACCTTAGGGACTGCTCCTTGATTAAAATTCTGTTGTAAGACCCGTTCTATATCCTCCACCGGAACGCCGCCAGGTCTGAGCACACGAATACTTTCCATCCTCGTGCAAGCCGTCGACGACGGTACTCTCCAACCCGACGTCGCAAAAACCACCATCTAATATGAGGCCTAGTTTCCCACCGAGGTCGCGGAAGGACGTGATCGGCACGAGTGGGACTTGGCTTCCCGGAAGAATTAGCGCTTGGCGCAGCCAAAGGAGAGCCAGAGATGGCGATCAGAGCCCGCGCAACGGGGTGGGAAGGGCATTCTAATAGCAACAGTTGGTTGGCCCGCAGTGATGATACTTGGTATTTTGGCGGGATCACGCGGGAATAGCAAGGTGAGTGGGCCGGGCCAGAAATGCTCGATGAGGACCCGGTAAGTACTTGGTATGGTATAACCAGCCGGAAGTAAAGACAGCAACATATATTGGGAGGAGACATGAACGATTAGGGGGTTGTCTGGTGGACGGACCCTTGGTAGCAAATATCCGGGCTGAAGCTGAAGCATCGAGTGCAAGAGCTCCGAGACCATAAACGGTCTCTGTCGGGAAGGCAACCGTCTGAAGGTCCTCTACCAGATGGCGAGAAGCGGTTCGTATAGCTGCCAGAGTTTCCGATGACTTGATCAGGGGTACACCATCGGCACTGAACGAGATAGATGAGGGGTCGCACTTGAGCACCTGGGTTGATAAGGAAAGCGTGGGCGCAGGAGGCCATTGCCACAGACGAGCAATCGTAGCGAGACAACGTTTTAGAGTGTTCATCAGAGTGATATGGCAGTGAACAGTTGGAGAGTGCACAAAATTCCTCCCGTGACGATGAGCCAAACAGATCAAACTGGCTCGCATCTACTTTCAAACGAACCACTATGTATCTATCCAACTTCAAAGCGATCCGTCATCATTTTTGGTGTACCACGCATGGGCCTACCAAAGCCATGTCCATCAAACCCGAATACGAATCTCATTTCTCCGAGCCGGAGGTAACTGGCATATTCAAGCCAACCCGTCTGGCAGTGGCCTCTATTCGCTCTTCCGCTGTCAAATCAACGAGGGGATTGTATCTTTCCAATAGCGTCTATGGCGCACGTGTGTTCAGCGAGCCGTATCAAGACAACCTGCTGCTTTCTCACCTTGTACTGCCTCTGCGAGTGCATGAAAGTTAGGACGTCCTCCACGTCATGCTGGAATGTTTCCGACTGGTGATTCCTCTCGAACAGCGTTCGAAAATTGGTCGAGATTTCCTGGTTTCTCTGGGACCGGGGAGCGATACTCTGAAGGCCACTCAGAATACTAATGCAGGGTATGTGTGTCTATGAATTACTAACCGCCTTGGCCACCTCCCTCACAAGGCGTCGATACAGACGCGAATGTTGAGAAGCCATTATTATTACTGAACCGGAGCGGGTAAGCGTAATATTGTGCATGACCCACGGTTCCCGATTAGGAAGTGCTATCAAAGCGATTTCAAATGTGGTCAACATATGTCGAGGACACTGGCTATTGTTCGTCCACCACATCCCAAGACCGCTTTGCCTTCGGATATGGGTCGAGGTGTGGAATTGGGTTTGACAGATCTGGTGATTTATCTTTTGGGACCCACAAGGTGGTTAAAAGCCACACCCCGTCTCACCCTCACCGCAAACCATTCCTCCTCAACAAACCTACTCGCAAGCCCTCGTATACTTGGGATTATCTTGAATCGTGTAATCGTCATCTATGGCCAGATTCCGCGTCCCAAGTCCATCCACAGACTCGTCAGCTTTTGACTCGACGTCACATGCAGCCACCAATATGCCGCCCGTCGTAAGTGTCGCTGCTTCGAAATGGGGTGTTTGTTCTCATCGTACCTTGGTACCAGAAAAAATTCATGCAGAAACCCGTAAAGATTAAGAAGGCTTTAGACGGCCTTGGACGGGCACGGGCTAATGCAGGCAAAGCTAAAAATGCCGCAAGTGCTGCATATAAGAAGGCACAGAAACAAGTCAACCACCAACAGATCACCTGGACTTACGTATTCGTCGGCAACGTACGTTCGGTGTTGCCACACTTATTTTCACGTTGATCCAAACGAACTCGATTAGATTGATCCAGGGGTTGACGAGTTTGCCCTCAAAGAGCACTTCAAAAATTGCGGCGACGTCATCTCTGCACATATCAGGTGCAGCGGCGGGATAGCGATGACGGTAAAACCACAGCCAGACTACTACAAAAATCACAAGGTTCGCCAGTATGGTGTCGTGACTTTCTCCGATAAGAAGGCTGTCCGGAACGCCATACTGTTGAATGGCTCACAACTGGGGGGGGGTGAGATTGTGGTAAGCCAGCTTCTGCTATTCTACCTCCCGCTTCTGATCCCACCTCTTATCAAGGTCTGTCGAAGTGCTGGTGACCTCCCTGAGGTGAGGGAGAAAGTCCAGCAACGACTGGATGACTTTCGAGCAAGGAATGGGTTTGGCGACGCTCGCCGGGCCCGTAGATATGGAGTTATGCCACTAAACTCTGAGCCGACTATCTTGCTGGACCACGATGCCATGCAGAATGAGAACAAGAAATTCAAATTATTCGGGTTCTCTGTTCCTTTCGGCATCATGTGATGATGATAGCTGCCTGGTTTCTGTTTTACGCGCCCTCCAGACATACTATCCTGTATTCTATTTCCTATGCACCGATCTGCGCCTACAACTGTATGGTTAATATGCTCGGATCCCTGTTTTCGTCGCGTGTGATGGTGACATCAAGCGCGTGCAGCCGGCTCGTCGCTTCCAGTGACCCTTTAAAATAAGTTTGGCAGCGATCCCTCATTGAGTGCCAAGTCCCAACTACCAGGCCGACGTGCTTGGTCACAGCTCTACCCGTCATCCAGTTCCGTGCATGGAATTGGCTTCACCTCAACTCTTGTCACTTACTTTCAGGTAAGAAGCCGCCTTATCTGGTGTTTCTTTCCACCGTTAGATGCATGTGAGAGCTAAGCCCAATCTGCGTGGCTCCAAGGTTCATTGGTAGTCCTGGTCTTTAACCGCCACTCTCTCGAAAAGATGGCGAAAAACGGTGCTCTAAACCCATCCTCCACACCTTTCTTCCCTGGTAGCATGCGAGTCAGTGAAGACGAAGGCCCGAGCGGGTTCGGTTCTGGTGTTCCCACACTAGGTGAGGAGGGAATGGCATCTTCTCCAGCTCTTCCACCTCCTGCCGAGAACAAACTTGCACGGTCGTCGCCAAGTCCGGCTCTCGATCACGGTGGCTTTGTCCGCCAGTCCGACATGCGCTCCCAGCTATCGCCCACTCCCGTCGATTCCTCATCGGTCTCACATCGAGTGGAGCAGGATAGACCGTACTTTTTTCGCACCCGAGACCTAAGCGTGGTTGGAAGTTTGGAGGCTTTACCTGAGGGTGATGACATGCCGGGGCCGCTCACGACGGACGACCGTGCACCTACACCGGCAGATTCCTCACCGTTTTTCTCGGCGCCTGCCTACCAATCACGGGGTCGCATCTCAACGACCCCCGTGAACATCTTGAAGCCTCCCTCACGGTCGTCGTCATTTAACACGAATGGTCCTTTCATGTCGTCATCTCCGGTGTCTTCGCTAGATTCTGGAAGCCATTTCGCCCCCAGCACTGACTTCTCACTCGGACTGGAGGCGCAGCTCAAAATTTCGCCTCTTATCCAGGATCTTATAGACCGTCTCATGCGCTGTGAGCTTACGACCCAGGAAGTACAAAGAGAGCTTCGGGACGTGCACCGCAAACTCGATTTCCTTGTTGAGCGTTCTTTGAACGGCCCGTTTCAGATGACCTAATACCCAGCCCGAGTTCAAAGATCCTTTCGCACCAACGGCTACTAGTCAACCCAGTTCTATGGTGAATATACCCAGACCATCGCTCAGCGCTAATATCGCCCCAAACCAATCCCCGCCTTCGGATGATATCACACAGATATCCCAGCGCCTGAACACTTTGACCACCTCCGTTGGTCAAATTTTGGCTCTCCAGACTCAACAGCACATACAAAATACCACCTCGCTCGGACGAGTCACACCGCATACCCCTGATATCCCTGCGAATCAAGCATTTCACGCTGGCATAGGCTCAAATCCAGCACTACTTGGACATGGAATTCCAAACAGATCAGATTTACGACCCTCGTCTCGCCCTCCCAACCCTCCCATACGCACCTGGTCAGCGGGTAACCTCGATCTTCCTCCGCGAATGGACAGCATAACTGCAGTTGGTCGTGTTGAACCTCCGCGTGACAAGCGCCGTTCCGTCACTGGAAGCGTGATGCGTCGCGAGTCCGTTGGGGTGCGTAGGTTCACACCGTTATAAGCAAGTCTAACCGATTAGAATCAGATAATCGATAATCAAGGAAATGATTGGTCGGGTGGTGGATCACGCGAGAGTGGACCATTGATATCCAAGTGGGAGCATCTGAATCTCGCCCCCGACTTGCTTCTTTCTCTCAGCAAATTTGGGTCAGTACCCATATACTGCCCTCAGGTGTTTACAAGCACGTGCTAACTGGTTTTGTGGCTATCAGCGTCGGACCACCCAATAAGATTCAGCAGCGGGCTCTGCCTTTCCTCTTGCGTGGCGCCGATATTATCGCACAAGCGCCTCCGACGCAGGAGCGAATAGCCGCATACGTCATCCCAGCCATCCAAGCCGCCTTGGTCAACAGTATAGGTCGTCCTCCCAACAGAGGGCCACTTGCTGTGATTGTTTCAACAACTGTGGACCAGGCAACTCAAGCTCAGCGCATGATCCGAGATCTTGGTGGGCCTATTGGTATTCGGTCTGCTTTGGGTGTGGGAACGTCGACAAACGCGAACGACCTCTCTCAAGAACTTCGTCTTTTACAACAGAACATACCCCACATCATATGTGGCACGCCGCAGAAACTCCATGCGCTCTTCACGTCGTCAGGGGGACTGCCGGGTTCAGAGGTCCGCTTTCTCGTACTTGATGAGGTGGATCAGCTCATCGCGCGCAATATGCATGACTTTGTGTTTAACATTGTCAAGCTACTTCCACCGCCCAGATCTCGACCCCTGGGCACTGCTTCTGCTTCAGTTGCCAATGGTAGTAATCAGCCTCCCTTCGGCTCTTTTGATGCCGGTAGTGCAGGCTCTGCCAGCACCGGTCGCAGATTTTCCGCTGTCACACCTCCTGCCAACGATCTGGGGACAAGTCCAGTGATCGAACGCCAGACTGCTCTATTCTCAAATACAGTTCCTCAAGATGTCCTAAATCTTGCTACTGCTATCCAGCTGCGAGAGCCTGTCCGTGTGCTGGTTCGCCGGGATGGCAATGTTGCAAGTGCAGATACTAACCAAGGATCCCGTGGGTTGCGGCAATTCTACCTTTACCTGGCTTTTACAGCTGGTGGACGGGGCGATGCAATTCCGACGGGTGGTGGACATGGGATCATTGGCTCGGGCCGCGGTACATCTAGCGCTGAAAGTGCCCAAGCTCGCCAATGGAAACTTGACGCGTTGGCTGACATTTTTGATGACGTCGAGATTGGCCAGGCTATCGTCCATGTCAGTGGTGGGAACGCTTTGGATGCAGTCGTTCATAAACTGGGGAGCCGCGGATTGGAAGCAATTCCACTGGTGAGTGGTACCTGGGTGTCATCACAGTCTAACTAAATGCAAGCTACTCTAGCATGGTGACATGAATGCAGGGGCAAAATTGGCCGCCCTGAACAAGTTCCGAAGCTCCCCGTCGTCGATTATGAGGCAGTCCGTTAAGGTATTGGTAGTGAATGATGTCCAAGTCAAAATACCTGAGGTCTCCCACGTACCTCTCATCATCAATTACGGTAAATATTTCTTGCAGCCTAAGTAACTATCGTGATGACGGGTTATTTCCCAGATCTTCCAAAGGCAGTGGAGGAGTATGCCCATCGGTATGGACTTGCGTGCATCTCTTCCCCCGGCTTTCCTGATAGCATCGGTTTCAGCGTCGCACCCGCCATAGCGTCCAACTATTCTCGCGCAGGTGTCATCATCAACTTCGTGACCGCAACCGGAGGAGACGTCGAGATGCTCCGTTCGATCGAGTGTTTCTACAAGTAAGCATTTGTTCAGTTAAGACAGAGCCTTACTGACTCACTATGTTAAGGATTAAATGCGTACGATAATTCATTTGTTTACTTCGTGTTTGTGGTCTGACACATCCCTCACAGCCTGAAGTACCTATGAATCTACGTGATATTGTTTGAAGATATTCTTGTATCCCTACCCGCTACGGCCTTCGATATCTACGCACCTCGCTTTGCTTATTTCGCCTCTACAAGGCTACTATGTCGACCGCCCTCGGCTTTGCATTCGGCTGTTCAATACCCATATATCCGGCGCATTTCAACCCACCTCAACACCACTGTTTTAGTATTGACTCCACCCCGGGTTTGAACCAACTCACCTGATCCGTATGTCTCTACCTCACTGTATATCAGATTTTTCTTTCGCCTCTTCTTGACTACTATCTACCTTGCGCGCTCTTTTTTTTTTCTACTTCTGCGATATGCTGTGTTTGGTAAATGTCTTTTGGCCTCACTCGACTCTCGTTTTTCTCCTGCGGATCTACGTACTTCTAATCTATGTCTACCTGGACAGTCATTATCTTCAATGTACCATCTTCACTGCAGGACGCGAGTTGCTTGATGTGATCATGCTCAGTCGAGTGCCAGGCAAGCTTGTGTATATGGTCGACGTGGGCAGTTCTTAGATAACATCAGGATAAGTGGTCGTGGATCTAGCACTGTTACCCAGAACTTACCCTCTGCCTACTACAAATGTAAGCTCCCATATGTCAGGACCCGACTTTGAACCTGAGTAGATGAAAATCTCTCCAGTCTCAAGGCCGACAGCAAGGAGTTGCCTGTCAATGGTGCTCAACAGATGGGCACTATTCTGACTTGCTCTTCTTCCTCACCTCAAGTTATCCATGGAGCAAAAGGCAACTGCAGTCGCAGCCTCTTTGAACTTCAAAGTAGCGAGTGCCGGCCAACGATCAGACGTAGTCTTGGGCGCCCAGATTTTAACCTAACAGAGTCTGGTGAGCAAGAAGGAAGTTCCTCTCGGTGCGGTACGTACTGTCTTGTCCCTGGATGCCGTGGCGAAGATGTCGCCTTCACTGCTCCAGGCACAATCCCAGATAATACGAGCATGCGATTTGTCCATCGCGACCGAAACATATCCTGTTCGCCATTCCCAGTATTGGGTGACTTATCAGGTAAAAAATCTTTATAGTATACGTCGCTCTCACCGTTGTCTTTCCTCACAAATGCCCTCCATGTCCGATCGCGGCTCACGGTCACGATGTACTTATCGTCAGGACTGAAAGCGATTCGTGTGACGGTCAACGTGTGTCCTTCGAGTGGCAAACCGAATGATTGATATGTTGAAGCCGAATAGAGCCGCACCACGGCGTGCTGAGGAGATGATGCACGGCAAGCTGTGGCAATTAATTCATGTGAACGAGAGGATGCTATTGTGATGGACTGGAAGGTGATTAGTTGGGGAACGTTACGTGCAAAGGTGAAAAATGCCCTACCTCGTATCCGTGGCCAAAGACCTTTTCTACCTCTGGCCAAAGCGTAGTGGCTGCGAGTTCGCCCTCGAAAGGTCGCCTGCCTAACCTCGTCGAATCCACGCGTGGCGGCGCTGTAAAAACCCAATTAAAAATAAAATTTCACCTGGTCTGTCAACATCGTACCATCGCTAGTCGCTTTGTTGGACAGCCCTAAAGGTGGGACGCTAGCTGCGACTGGACGATCTTGCTAAAAGCTACGTCAGCTGACGAGCAACGTAACTCGGAACCACCCACCTCGCTTTCAACCACCCCGTCCACACCCAGAGACTTGACCGTCTCTACAAAAGTACCAGGGGCTTCGAATATCCGTACAACCTTTTCATCTGCGACACTGGCGAACGTCCATGGACCAAGCCAGGTAACCCCAACCAGATCGTATCCGTGTACCTGTGGACGGGCTACCTCGTGCCAGACCTTACGAGATGGGCAGTGTAAAGCACCGTGTATGCGAGTCGTTTGGTCCAAGCTGGCACATGTTGTCGTAAGCGGCGTAGCGACCCCTCGGAGACAGAAAACCTACCCGACGGATATGAGGTACTCCCCCGCAGGACTCCAGGCAACGTCTTTTACGGGGCCCCTGTGTCCCCCTATCGCACCGACTTCCCTCCACTCATCTTCAATACCTCTATCTATTCGAACAGATCGCCAACGTCTCCATCCACCACTCCACCCCCACGCCATTGCCTCGTCTCCCTGGCTTGTATGTGCCCAGATACCGCCGACAAACCCTCCCAAACGCTGACCACCAACATCACCGAAGCGCTGGCGATTTATCCATATGGACGGTGCTGCAGGACTGTTTGACGAAGAAGTGATGAGGGTGTCACTCGGGGACCACAATATCAAAGATGAGTCTGTAGAAGTCGATAGCAAGGTTGGCGGCGGTAAATAATTTCCGGTGCTGGTCTGTTGAGAGGCCCACAATAACGATGTCACGCCCGCTTCATGGCCTATGAGTAGTGCGTCGAAGGTGATAGTATATTGCTGGACACTTTGGCCATGTCTCAGTGGTCCGTAGTCTCGGGAATAACGATGTTCTCACCCGGTGTCTTGGAATTTAATACTGATAATATGTCGCTTGAGGGTGATCTGCCGCCCACCTTCTTCGCCCTCAGTAGGATCTGCGAGGGACGCTTCGAAAGCGTCAAGGAGCTCATCTGTCGAGCCACTGTCATTCACGTGGTGATCATTGGTGCTGGACGCAGATTTCACTAAAGGTTCGATGTTCCACAATCGGATAGTACCATCCTGTGAACCAGACGCAAGTACGAGCGGATCGTCGTTGGCTGCTCCGTCCGATGACAAAGGTGAACGGAAAGCGAGGGCTCGCACCCAGTCCTCATGACCAGGAAGGGTAGCTGAGCGAACGAACTACAAGGCATGAGCGAACTCGGGATATGCTATAATAGCAAGGATAGTTGACACGTACAAGATTTTCCGACCGTGTCCAAATATTCACGTTCCTGTCAGTGCCCCCGATGGCAAGAATGATTGCTTGAATGACAGTGTCAGAGCACGGTGATCCATACAGGCAAGGAAGACCCTACCTTTTGAGTGCGGTAGCGTAGTCATTACAACGGCAAGCGGATACCGACCTGACAAAGAGATGGTTTGACGTTCCTCGAACTCATCTGCAACGCATCTTCGTTAATATCGCCTTGAGCGATTCAGGAGTAGGGATTCGACCTCTTTCAGCTCCTTGTCTGATGTTCCAGATCTTCACCGAGGAGTCTGAACTGCCCGTCGCCACGAGGTTGTCGCATACAGCAAGAGCAGAAATAGGTCTGCTATGCGCTTGAATAGCGACTGTACACATCCACTGTCACGGGAACACTAATTAGCAAAAAGAATGGGAAAGGAACGTCTACAGAGGCGAACCCTTCCCTCAGCCCGGTGCCATGCCCGGACTGCACCTTTGTCGTCTGCACTGAGGAAGAAATCGTTTCGAAGGAACCGCAGGCAAGTCACAGTACCCTCGTGGCCCGGAAGCGTCTCGTGCACGCCATTATCATTCGCGTCCTGTAATAGAGAAGCACAAGTACACTAGTACGCAGATGCAATAAAGCCTAGGAAGGACCCACGTCGATGTCCCAAAGCGCAACGAGGGAACCAGCTGCGAAGACTACAGTAGTCGAATCTGGCGACAATGCCGCTGCATGACTGAAGCGGTTGGTGGCCGCAGAGATGTACGCAGGAAGTACTTGTAACTTGGTCATCTCAATTGCTTCACCCTTTCACAAATTCTTGGATGATATTGATCTTATCTGATCACGTGCAATATGTTACAGGCACTACACTTCTACTGCTTAACTCGTCCCGTCACTGAGGAATAGCAAGCCCAGCCTTCACAGCAGGACGTTCAGCGATACGATCCACCCAAGCCTGAATATTCATCATCAAACATATGATGATCGACTTCTCGGTAAGCCACTCACTTTCACGTTCGGGAAGGCGTCCAAGTCGATGCCAGCTCCCTCATGAAGCCTCACCCTTCGCGCAATAAAATATCAGAGATGGGTACTCACGACAACTCGAGGGTCTTACCAAGGGAAGGCGTTGAGATCGGCGATGGTTAACTTTCCCCTTCCAGGACCAACCAGGTAATCACGTCCTTCGAGGCGAATGTTCAGCACACCATAGAGGCGGGCAGTCTCTTCGGTATAGCCTGTATATTGAATATGAGCCATCAAAGCGCCCGAACCGACTTGCCAGCATACGTTGCTTGCCGTAAGGTATATCCACAGGAGCAACTTGCCTAAAGTGGCGGGCTACGTAGCGATTGTGGATAAGCTGGGGAGTCAGTGCGTGAAGGGCCGGTTAGACATACCCTGTCCTTGCATGGGACCGATTCCTCCATGCTGGGTCATCAATGTTAGGCGTTGGAGACTAGTGCAAAAGCATTGGTCTCACAGCAAAAAAGATCCACTGCAACAGTTCACTCTCCTCGTCGCTTCCGGCGGGGAACGTGAAGCGACCTTCCAAGTCGTACTTACGAACGAGATAGAGCAAGATTGCCCCGCTCTCGAAGACGGTGAAGGGGGAAGGTTTGTGAGAGCGATCGACCAGGACGGGGATGCGGCCATTTGGGTTAAGAGCGATAAACCAAGGTTCTTTCTGACGGTTAGTTGACAGCACTATCTCTTCGTAGCTAAGGAGAATGGGAGACAGCACACGGGAAAGGGGTCGGCGAAGCTCACTCATAATCGACGACGGTTGTGCCGTACGCTGCCTTGAGTTCCTCTAGGACGGTGGACACCTTGTGTCCATTGGGAGTTGGGGCGATATAGACCAAGAGAGGTTTCGCCATGGTGCTAATCTGTGTGTGCGTGCGAGTGAAAGGAGGGGGCAACCTGGGACAGATGGATTGCAGGTGGGAGGGGATCTTATATATGGTACACAGGCCAGGTAGCTTTGTCATTTCTCGCGCTAGTGGGGAGTAAATGATGGGATCCAACTGCGTCGGCGGTGTTGGTGTGTAATCAGCTTACGAGGGGGTGGTTCGTCTGCTCTCTCCTTAGTTTCTCTGCACCCATGCCCACCGTGTTTCCCCGAAACCTCTTTCTCATATCCAGCTGTGGTAGTACTGGCATCAGTCAATGTTCATTCGGCAGGTAGTAGAGGAGATACGGACCATGTTCCGCTTGCATTCGAAGGTGGCCTTGCGCAGGTTCTGGCAAGGCTGTGGTAGTTCGTCTGTGTGATGTTTCAGACAGTCGGATGGGAGTCGCCCGTCCTTCTGGACGCAGTCGGACTCGAGCAGACAGGTTTTGAGTGCTCTGAGTAGTGCGTCGCAGGACGAGGACATGGTGGCACTTGGCGGGAAACAAGACTGCTTGTTGTCGCCAACCACGCTGCTCCGCATGGCCCATCCATTGCGTCCCCTCCGACTCCTCCGCACGACACCCTCCGTCGCGCCCGTCCCCCATCGCACCGTCCTCTCAGTCTCTGGTTCAGACGCGACAACCTTTCTCGACGGCCTCCTCGCAACCTCCCTCAAAGGCAAGCAGTCCTACAGCGCATTTCTGCACGCTCAGGTATTCACATCTTGCACGGTCGCCGTACGCCGCTGATACTACTTACATCGTAGGGTCGTGTCATCTACGACGTATTCTTATACACCCCTCCGTCCCAGTCCTCCCCTACATACCTCATCGAACACGACGCGTCCCCTTCCGAATCACAACCATTACTCGACATCCTCAAACGCTACGTCTTGCGTTCAAAAGTCCGCATCCGGGACGTCTCCCAGGAGTGGGACATTTGGGCTGCATGGGGTCATGACCATGGGGCGGACGAACAACGTGAATGGGCCTGGGCGAGGAGCGGCGCCGTAGAGCCCATCTGGTCGAAGACGACGACTTGGCCGTGGGGCACCGAACCCGGCGTGATAATCGATCGAAGAGCACCCGGCATGGGCAGACGCATGATCGTGCCCAAGGGTGAAAAGCGTGCGTGCCCATAGGTCTCCTTGCTGTGATGCCCCCCTATCTATAGCTTATGTACAGCGCGCGAAACATCAACGCACGACACCCTCGGAAGCGATGCATACCTCCTACACAGAATACTGCATGGTGTGCCGGAAGGTAACATCGACATTCCGCCTTTGCACGCCTTTCCGATCGAGTCTAACCTTGACATGATGGGTGGTGGTTCGTAGCCATCTTCTTTGCAGTCGCACATTCGTTCTGACAAGTGTTGAAGTGGACTTCCGTAAGGGATGCTACGTTGGACAAGAACTAACGGTGCGGACATACCATACAGGCGTCGTCCGTAAACGCATCCTCCCCACTATCCTCTCTCAATCCTCGCAGTCTGGTGATGCCGTTCTCTCACCCAACCTCACCATTAAACCTTCCGTGGTCACACCCCCGTCCTCTGACTCTGATCCTTGAACCAGCCTCGATTCGCGTTCCCCGGTTGCGCGGCACATCTACTCTCCTTTCTTCCATTTTGATACCTTCGCTGGGACCGGGTACAGCTGTTGGCCTTGCCCTCCTTCGTCTGGATCACCTTCGTCCAAGTATAGAACTGCATACTGACCACCCAGGGACAGCGCCAGAAGAAAATGGACAACGGTGGAAAGTGGAGCCCTGGCGGCCTGACTGGTGGCCTGAACAACCGCCAGAGGAACAGGTGGATGAGTAGATATTGTAAACAGTGAATGTAGCTAGTCCGAGTTCTCAGCCCGACTCAGCCAATACACTCGCAACGATATACTCCCCATCATGACTGGCAGAAACATGGAGTCTTGCCGGTGTTGCATCTGGTCCAAGGCTAGTAGTGTACACGAGTGCAGGCTTGAGACCATTCTTGACTGTCAAAAGACGTATATGTGAGCTCTTTCCATGTCGGTCGGAGCGGGTAGAGAGCTTTGTACGCTGCTTCCTTGACTGCCCACCTGCGTACACATGTGACGACGGGTGGAAGAATAACAGCAATTTGCGTACCGTACACCCAGAAACCGTACGATCGACTCCAGACCTCGTTCGTTCGCCACGGATGTCCCGCCGCCGCCGCTCTCAGGCTGGCATGTCAGCGCGCGAAAAGCGCCTAGTTCGACTGGACTGAGTATGCGCGAGGCGAGCTTGGACAGGCCACGTCGTTTGATGAGGGCTACCAGACGGGGGACGTGGAGAATGTCGATGCCTATACCATGGACGGGCATGGCGATACAGTAACCGATTACTAGCTCTACCAAATCGTCTGACAGGTGCCCTACTAGGCCAAATAGCACTGAGGTACTTTCTTTCCTTCAAGCTCACCCAAAACCGCCGAAATCACTCTACTTCTGGGAAAATCTCCCCCGTCCAAGTCGTTTGGCTGTGCCGGCAAGTCAAATACTTGCACCACAGAAATCGACACAGACATACCTCTTTGGGCTCCTCGTCTTCGCCATATTGCATCGTAAAGTCAATGTGACTAACGACGACCTCGAGGGATTCCGTCGAGGTGAGGTCCAGCGGAAGGAATGACACAAGCGGGTGATCTTCTATCTGCGACCCCCGCCGATTGGTTAAGTCCATCAAGACCAGGTGGGGATGGGTGACGAGACATAGCGTACCAACTGCACCTAACGCGCGATTGAGTTCATGAAACCGACCATTCTCTACGCGCCCGTCCCTTGCCGTAGCAAGAAGCAACGGATCTGGATCGAGATACCGCGAGATATCTTTCCGCGTGCGTCTACCGTTCCGAGGCTCACTTGCACCCTCGGAGGAGGGGAGGGGGAAACGAGGTCCATTTTGGACATGATATTTATCCAGGGGATCTCGAGATTGACCATGGCGGACATGGCGGACAGGACACCACTGTGAAATGTGTCAGTACCATCGACAAGTGGACGAAAAGGAAAGAATCGACCTGAAGAACTTGTACCGGTCTTCCATGAATTGAGAATCGATGAGATACGCTGCACATGTGCGTATTCCAACCCGTTGCAAGTTGCGCGCGAGAATGGGAAGAAACGGATGATGGGTGTACAGTTCGATTTGACCTGCGAGCCGTAAGAGATCTCGTCTTCGGGGAAAGCAAAGGTCCGTCGCGCACCTGGACAGTCGATGATGAGGTAGTCCTCGTCGTAACCCCCAAGCTCGTCCTCCAGCCAGTCCATGTTCTGCAGCAGGTATCTGCCCGGATATGGATATGCAAGGGGTCAGCATGCATGACATGGTCCGACGTGCAAGCATCTCACTCACTCACTCAAAACAATACACGAGACCTCCATTTGGGCCCATGCCCATCTCCGACATGACGTCCTCCAGCGTGACGAGTTCTCTGATGTCGATTGCAGGTTCGTACTCGAAGGCGTCACCAGTTGCGGCTGGGTCCAGGTTGACGATGTGGGCCGTGCGGCGCGCCATGCGAAGATGCGTTGCGAATGCAGTACTGAATGTCGACTTTCCTGCTCCGGCTGGGCCAGTGACGAGCACGGCGTAGCGCATGTCTTGTGATGACGGTCGTTGGATAAGATATTACACTAGTGTCTGTGGGAAACTAATACTTCGAGCTTCATTAGCTTCCACCCTGATGTCAAGACCACCCGTATTTCCTGAACAAACAGCATCTGGCATTGCCGTCGACCCGCGCACCCTCGAGCGCGTCGTACCAGAGACTCGACGTCCAGATGGATCGTGCGTATCGCTTATCGCTGGATCGACACCGCTGACTCCTGAGCTGACTGACGCTCGCATTCCTGATCCTCGCAGTGTTAGAAAACAGCTAAAGATCCGCCCAGGTTTTACCCCTCAGGAGGACGTCTCACGATTTCGGGGGACACGCCAGAAAGCGATGGACGCAACAGCCCTCCCTAAGGGCCACATCCTCGGGTGGGTTGCCCCCTCTTCCGAGCCCCAGCAAAAGGCGAAGCCTGGTGCAAGTGCACCCCCTCCAAACAAGAATGCCAAACGACGTGCGAAGCAGCGAGCTAAAAAGGCTTCCGAGACGACTGAAGCCGTGAAGAGCAACTGGGACGATGAAGACGAGGAGGGGGAGGGGTCTGCTGATGCTGGCCAACAAACCACGGGCCAGAAAGAAGTCACGTCCGGAGAAGAGGCTGATGGTCGCAATGAGTCAGGACCTGCACGAGACGACGCTGACTTGGCGGACAAACTCTCAAAGCTGGATGTGAAGTGATCACACACGGTCTGGGTTTGTGTTTCATGTATCCTTTGTGATTATGAGGTGTGCACGAGGAGCTCTAGATATATGTATTACGGCCTAACGAGTGAATCGCAGTTGGAAGGGCATCTATGCGGACGAGTGATAATATGTGGTTCCCTCCAGAGTGATCGTTGTTATGAAAGAACAGTCCCCTCAACGTTCCCACCATGAGGCGGAAACGGCGACGGTGGCGGTGGTGGTGGTGTGGGCGGTTTATTAAACTGGTATAGCTCCATGCTGATGACGATGAGGAAGACGAAACCACTCAGCGCCGCTAAAGGACAGATCGATCAGTCCACAGCCGCGGCGTGGAACGTGAGCACGCACCAACTGCATTGCGGGTGTTATCCCATTTGACTTCTTCCATACTTGCACGGAGGTCGCCTATCTCGACGATAGACTTGCTGAGTACCTCCTAAGGTGAAAGGGATGAGACAGAGATGCGATAGGATGAGATGCCGACACGAACTTCGATAACCATGCTTCTCTGCTTTAATTCAGCCTTGCTCTCGTTCTTGCGTGTGTCTAGCTCCATCTGAATCCTGTGATCAGTGTTCCCGACGTGTCTTGCGACGGGCCATGGATGCGACGGAAGGGTACATACTCGTGCTTGAGATTGCCCAGGTCCTCCTTCATCTTCACGTCGAGCCTGTCGACTTCCCTGCGGAGGGTGGTGACTCGTTCACGCATGGCGGTGATTTCGCTTCGGGACGTTGCCGTTTGCTCTGCTCGTAGTTTTGAGAGAGCGGCACGGAAGAGATATGCTTGCTGGCCGGACATGAGTCGTTGCAGAGGTTCAGAGCAGTGTACCACCTACGTTGTCTAGATCCTTTCTCGTCAAACCGTCTCTCCCCACCCTGCCCAGACGGTCCGCAAGCAATGCGCGTGTTGCGCGCATGAGGCTGCGTGCTACGGTGGTTGGAAACGTGCGCTCGAGCGCGACGAAGAAGGCATGGGTGTGAAACGGGGGTGTGGCATACGAAGGCGGGGGTGGGGTTCGTGGGGGATCTGAGCGAGCGGGTGGGCCGGAGACGGCTGTGGACTGGACAGATGACGGAGCAGCGGGGTCCCTTGGATGTGCGAGGGCGATGTCGCTGACAGGGCTGGCGTGTGCGTGTGTCCGTCGCACGTATACACGACCGAGTGCGAGGCGAGGAGCAGACATGAGTCAGGGTGGACCGCACAGCCTGCGCAGAGTAATACAAAGAGGGTATGGGTATATATACACCTGACAGGGGGGGGGGCTCTTATCTGCTCCTCGACCGCCCTGCATGTCTCGCTACGTGTTCCCGTCCACTGCTGGCTCCCACTCCTACTCCCCCTACCAACACACCGTCCCACCGCTCTACGCGACCTCTGCGCCGTCTGCACACAGTCACAGCCAGAGCCCGTACCACTCTGCCAGGCGCAACTCCCTCAGTGGCCACCCCGCGCCCTATGCCTACTCTGCCTCGCAGGGCACCCACTACAGCACCCCCTCCCACCACGCCCATAACACAGCAACCCATCTAGTCGTGCCTGGCACGTCCTCCAGCCACAGGAGCAGGTCGAGGTCGAGGTCCAGCCACGGACACGGCCGCCCCACATCCACACACACCCACTCGCGCAGTCACAGCCAGAGCCGCCACGCCCAACCCCATGTCTACACGCCTTCGGCCGCACCCGTGTACCTAGTACGTCTTTCCTACCGTCATCTGCTGAATCCGGCTGATGATCTCATATAGGATGCCTCCCATCACTCCACCCACCGTTATCCCTCCACCCATTCGCACCACTCACACCACTCACATGCCCACTCCCACTCCTCCCACAACTACCCCAGTCGCCAGCGTACCACCTCCCTTGGTGATCGTTTCAGGCGCTTCCTCGGTTTAGATACCCCCCATTACCACCACCAACAGCATTACGCTAACGGCAATGCCGGGCGCAGGCGCCATAACTCCTTCTCTGGTTACAGAGATGACAGTAAACTCCACAGGACCAATACCACCCGCTCCGGGCCGTGGTTCTTTGGTCCTACCGATAACAGGCGCTATATCGACGAGCACGGCAGGGATGTGGACTATCTTGGAAGGGTAATTCACAGATACTAAACACGATTGCTATGCAATGTTCCGTTCCATTCCACGTATGTATGTGGTATGTAGAGTGTCGTCAGATCGGACTCGTCTTCCATTCTTCGCGCCATAATAGTACTTATTTCCGGACTTCCACCGCCTCGTATAAACCTGTTGTAAAGTGACAAGTATTCCAATACGTTATTTATTATTCGGAACGGGGAATATAAAATACCGAGTGACAGTCTATCACAGCCTTTGACGTTGCCAGTGACCGCGAAGTCGAGTTCCAACATCCAGCTCGGTCTTGTACAATCCGCTTGGCCCTCGTGACCGGGACGGCGTCGAAGTCCCAAACAGCAACGTTCTTCCCTCCAGGAAGTTCGAAGCTTCTGGTTCCTCATCCTCGGCGTCCTCCCATACTGACGATGCGCGTTCGTTATCACCGTACTGCCACACACAATAGTCGTCCGCGTCCTCTAGAACCGAGCCGTCGTGCTCGGCGGGGTATGCGTCGTATTGCCATTCCAGCCCGTCCTCGAAGCCAGGTTCCCCAATAGTGTCTAGATCGTATCCATCAGCGGCATCGCCCAACCCCCGATCCTCCACGTGCGACTCGGGCCAGAAATCAACGTTCTGGCCAACGCCAGGATCATCCATCACCACTGGGGTATCATCACTATACCAGGGAACTTCACAGTCATGGAATCCGATTCCATCAGATGGTCGACAACTGATAGCCTCGTTTAGGTTGTGATATTGCTGTCGATCATCGACCGCTTCATAACGGCCCTGATCGTCCAAGGAGACATACGATGGTGCGATCGCCGGCTGCTCGTATGCCGCGAAAGTAACGTGGATCGGCGAGGTGTCTGTCGAAAACATAGCAGGAGGCTGGGAGGACACTTTGATCGCATAATTACCGCTCATTCCACCACATATGTCATGCGTTGACATATAGAAGGAAGGTAGAGAAGGCTCGCCCAATACGGAATCCACTTGGAAGTTAACGCTACTCCCGCGAGTCCTGAACTTCGGGGTTCCATTTGACGGCCCCTGTGTGAAATGATGGGTGGCAGTTGCACTAGCATCCGGGGCAATACAAGGCGGAATGGCAGGGCGCGCCCCAGAGAAATACCTAGAAGATGTTGGTCGCGGCGCGGAGACATCGGCTGGTCCCTCAAGTGAGTGCCGCTGATGATACTCGGTCTGAGACGCGGAATGAGAAGGGTGGAGTGAAGAACTCTCCCTGTCATGCAGGAAGACAGGGTCGGCCTCACCGCTCTCCGCAGCGCATGGAACGGGCTCCCTCTTGGTTGGTGTGGATTCGGGGGGCTTGGATATTACTTCTGGCTGATCGGTGACTTTGCCCGTATCCGCGGGTGCAAACCAGCGACTAGTGCGTACGTCCATAACGACCGAAGCGGATGCCTTTGCGACAGAACCAGTAGGAGAGCCTTGAGCGGCTGATGAACATCCATTCCGAGACTCGATGTCCCAGACTATCGACTGATGTTCCTCGGGCAGTTCTTGTGTCTGCACCTGATTACCTACCAATTTCTCACTTCTATCGTCTTTATCGGGTATGGAACAATGATTCGAAGTGTTATCCCTGTCAGAAGGGGGGTGACTGCACTGGTGGGATGCAGAGGATGACCCTTCAGAGTCCGCAACGTCTTTACTGCTGGTTGCCTTCGCCTTACTGAGAAAAGCACGCTCCGAAAATGAATCAGTGGAAGGAGCTGCCAAATTCAGTGTAAGCAGGTTGGGAGTTGTGAAACTCTTACCTTGTTTTTTGGACAAAGCAGCTTTTGTCTTGGCAGACGCCTTGCCCTTGAAGAAGAGGCCTGGAAGATGAAGGCTGGGTTTCAGCTACATTTAAATGTCAGAACAGTCGGGTGCTGACGGCTCGGAAGATCAACTACAAACAGTCAGTCTATCCTTTTTAACGTTGGTGGCCGAAAACCCGTGTAAGAGTGCAAAAGAAGCAAGCGTCGAAGCACGCCCTTTGTTCTTCGAGGGTGTAGTCTTGAGTTTTCCGCGTGGCTTATTGGACCGGCGGCCGCAGCCATCACCATCACCATCGGGAGATCTCACGATCTTCACGTTTCCGTCTTTTCCGCTCTCGACGCTCCGCAAGTCCTGGTGAGAGTTTGAAAGATTAAGAGGTGACAGAATGCACGTCGACTTACGAGCTTCATGCTCGCGATCGCTGGATGGTGTCCTCGTCTTCTTTGATTCGTTCGAGCATCTCTTTCTCGTCGGGAGCTTTTCATTCTCTTTGTTCAGCATCGTTCGCCTGCTACTGTCCGTTGGGGACTGGAACGAGACGGTTCCCTTTCGGCAAGAGATTTGGCTCGATGAGAACACTTTTCCGCCTGAAGACGCTGCCCGCCGTGCAACTGTTCAAGAGGACCTGAACGGAGTGCTCGTGGCTGAAGAATTGGCGTATCGAACCCCAGAGCACTGCTGTTTCGGGACCTTTTGCGGTGACCCTGACCGGTGGAAGTCAACATCGCCAATGAGACCCTCTTTGCAGTAAGCAGAGAGATAGACCCTCTGTTGTTCGATGTAATTTCGTATAAAGTTCTCCTTCTCTCGTTCCATAATGTACTTATCTCGGCCTCTTAGAGTCCACCAAGGATGCGAGGGGTGCAAAGGCGTGAAAGAAACTAACAAAGAGCTATTACGTAGTAAGGAGCGGTCGCGTCGGACTCCTCTCTCAGTAAGTACGCGTTTCCCGACTGAACTGTCCGCACTACGCATAGCTAACGATCTCAACGCGCGCTATACGCTGTTATGGGTAACCTAAAACGCAAATCCACCGGGGGCGACGCTCGGAGTCGCGGCACCAAACGTTCTCGACTGCATTCCGACGGTGCACCTATTCCCCCGTTGGACGTAGTCGTGCGAGGCAAATCTTTTGAGCCTACGCCTGCGTTCGACACCTTCTGGAAGTTAGCTGCTGAGAGGCACGCAATCGAAGAACGACGCCGCTCCGGCCAACCACCACCGTGAGGATTAATTACGCGTTAGTTGGTGGTCGCCTGGTGTTTGACATTCTCGAAAAAATACATATACAGGTGGACAAAAGATCCGGTGCTACAGAACCACAAATTTTGCAATACCTTCAGAATTCTGGATCGCGGTTCCCAGTATCTCGTCACCGAGGTCATCGAAAAGGGCCCTCAGGACCTTGAGGAAGTGACCTTTCGCGTCTTGCTCTTCAGCCTGTATACCAACATCAGCACGTACGAGACGCTGCGCAAGAAGATCAGGCCCTTTACCTGGTCGGAGTACAGGCGAGAAAACTATGAAAAAGTTCTGCGCGGGCTCTATGCTAGGGGCGTTGCCATTTATACCGGTGCATATCAGAAGCCAGCTCCCGATTTGGGATTCGCCGAGGCCTTCATGAACCACCTGGCGTTGATGGAAGTCCTCATGCAGGAGATGCCAGACGTCCTCTCCAAGGCAGAATACATGGCCGACGTCTTTGAGTGGTTGCAGACCTTCAAAAGTATGGGCGACTTCACGGCCTACCAACTGCTCCTGAACTTGTCTTACTCCAACGTTATGAGCTTTTCCGACCATGACTTCGTTGTCATGTGTGTCGGGTCTCGCAGAGGGCTTCGGAGGTGCTTCAAACAAGATATCCCCCGCTCCATGGAAGTGGACCTCGTTCGGTGGATACAATCGAGCCAAGACGATCACTTCGCTCGTCTGCGGCTAAACTTCAATGGCCTCGGAGACCAACATCGCCCCATGATGCTTTGCGATATCGAACACACGTTATGCGAGCTTGACAAATACATCCGCAAGTGCGGACAGTCATCAAAGGGCCGTCCGTTTGTGGGTACTGGCGAGCTGGGAGAAATCCGACTGCCGAAGGCGTGGTCCGATAAGGCTAGACAAATCGTACGCATCAAGAACGAGGAGGAGGCAGAGCCGGACATTATCGAGAAATTCGTTGTTCAGTCGATCGAAGCTCACCGGGTGGTGGACGGGATGATGGAATTCCTGGTTTTCTGGGAGGGTTATGACCCCGACGAGGCGACCTGGGAGCCAAAGGACTCCCTCATGGAAGATGCGCCAACCATGGTCAAAGCTTACCTGAAGACCATAACTTAGTTCGTCTGGTATGCTGGATACCATAAGCTGGTCAATGGAGGGGTCGAGGTCGCAAAATTGTGTGGACAGGTGCTCAATTTCTCACACGAAGTCGCGTAATGAACTTTCCGGGACCCCTCAAATGATCTGGTGTTGCTGTCGAACCGAACTCAGTTCAGGGTGGATCGAAGTGACTTCCCGAAGTGGCAACTCCGGCCCACTTTGATACATCCGAACTGGGACGAACTGCACTTCGTTCACGAGGTTTGTCTGGAGTGTGCATGATAACTTACTCTAAATTAGTATATGTCTCCGGTGTATAAATGAACAGTTATCCATTTGCAGTTATAACTTACAAGCCTCGAGCAAAGCAATCTTTTGGGTGTTTGCTATCTCCAACAACTTGAATATATGTCCTCAGTTGTGAACAGACTTTGACTTTGCAGGTGGAGACGCATGGGTTTTCCATTGCTTTACCATGTTACCGTTTGATATCGTTGTCTTATGTAGCGTAATCCTAGCTGCATAACGCTTATCAGAAGTGTATCGCTCACAATAAGGATGTGTAAACGTAGACCGGGTCTCTAAATAGTGCGGAGCAGACTGTCAACATCCCATTGCCCACTTAGTACAGAGCGAGCCATTCACTCGTGCCGTTCTTGTTCTCATCGAACACCTTTGTTCGTCCACTCGTGGTGCTCCTTCTCTGCAGCCAGTTTGTCCCGGCGCTGGTTGTTCAGGCAGATGGTGGTCTTGCTGGCAGTGTATGCAGGAGCGTCCTTCGGTTGAAAAATATCGGTCCCGATTATTTTCCGAGACTGAAAGTTGCCATAGTCATCGCATCGATAGTAGCCTGTCGTTTCGTCAGAAATCAACGGTGTACCCAGTCCCGCTGCCTCCTACAGTTAGTATCTCTGTGTGCCTACTAGCTTAGCGTTGCTAGCATTGTAGGCGTAAATCGTTGACAAAGGGCTACCGAACGAACCAATCAGGTACGTGGCTGTCAAGCATTCTTGTCACAGAGGCATTGGAAAGGCAAAGCTGATCAACCGTACCGAAAAGAAGGCCTTCCTTGTATCGAACTCCACTGAGTCCCATCGTAACAGCCAGAAAGAGCATTAGACCGCGTTATGGGACATGTGAAGACCACGGTTTTCACCTGCACCGATAATCGCAGGTGCCAAAGCAAACACCACTGGGATGACTAGTGTAGTGTGAGATTACACACAGAAACGAGGCTGACCACGCACATGACTAACAAATGGTTTCATAAGCCGGTTTTCGCAGCGAGTATTCGGCAGAATACTCGTTACATTAATGAGGGGTGAATGCAGTTGTTGTCGAAAGAGGGGAGGGTTCCCAGCTTACTTAGAACTGTCGACAAGGCGATGAGCCACCTCAGAATGTCGAGTGAAGCTTCATTGACTTGTTCCTTCTTGAACATCTTGTTATGTCCCGCCCTGGTCATTGAGGACAGGCTCCAATACTTACAGCGCTACGTTCTTCCTTTGAGCATTCGAGCGCGAACGAGGGAATCAGAGACCAAATTAAAACGACAGTCCCCACAGCGATCGCAAGCTGCCCAGTAAGAGATAAACTATCCTGTAGGGGGTGATTGCATGCCATTTACGATGCGAGATTCCCTAGGGCAGTAGTGTCGTTCACAAGGGGTCCAGTCAGAAGTTTTCTGTTATACCCTCTTTGCCCGAGTCCCCACTGGCTGCAAGGCTTTATCACCGTCTGCCGTGTCAATAGGAACCAAGAGGTCGCCGAAATGCTGCTTGGGTCCCAAGTACTTTTCAACGCCGTTGAAGTTCCTCACTATACCAGAGCCAGCTAACGTCCAATGGATGGGACCATAATTATGTCCCACAACCGTGCACAGGGACACTACACCCGTAGTGACAGGCGAACGTCGTGTTCCTGAAGATAAGATATAAACCGTAGTCGTCCCGTGTGTTCTAGTATGAAAAGATAAGCCCCACTGAAGATACGGTGCCTATGCAGAGATTAGCGGCGTGAGTGATTGTCGTAGGCATGAGAGACAGTGACTGTTTCGATTAATCCCTTGCAGTGGGTTCGGTAACTGCTTCTCATGCATTTCTCCGCACAGAAAGTAAGACCCCAAATGTTCTATCGATAGCAGACCCAAGTGCGATTGACAAATGATCCTCATACACATTGTACACGACGTCCTCGAGCTCATTACAATTTCTGAATGACAAGAGCTGACGCGGCACCACCCTATATTGACATGAGCAACTGAGTACCAACAATAAGATGAACCTTACGCCATTACAAATCCCAGCAGCACCATATTCCCCGGATTTAAGGGCATGAACCAAAGACACTACTATGCGGGAGCCAGAGTTGCCAATTGCGTGACCCAGCGCAACAGCACCACTGAGAACGGATGAGCATCAGAAGGGGGGAACATCGGATCTGTAGGCTTACCCATCCACATTGACCTTGGCAGGATCAATCTGAAGCAATTTCTCAGCGATGCGAACAACGACTGAGAACGCTTCGTTAATCTCAAATCGGGCAATGTCATCGATGGTAAGGTTGGCCTTTTCGAGTGCTTTGGGCAACGCAACCGCAGGGGCCATGGGGAAATCAATCGGCTCTACACCGGCATCGGAGTATGCTGTTGTGGGAGTAAGCAAGAAACAGGACACAAATCACGGGGAATCTTTCGACATACAAACAATTCTGGCCAGGGGCTTGATGCCAAGCTCCTTGGCTTTCTCTGCGGACATCACAATCAACGCGGACGCGCCATCGTTAAGATTGGAGGAATTGGCAGGTGTGATCGAACCGCCAGGTTTGAAGGCCGACTTAAGGGTGGGTATTTTTTCGAAGATAACCTTCTTGTATTCTTCGTCTTCCTTAACAATCGTGTCACCTTTCCTACCCTTGATGACCACAGGGGCGATCTCATTATTGAAAATGCCTTCTTTCCAGGCTCTTTCCGCACGCTTGTAAGATTCGATGGCATGAGAGTCCATGGATTCTCGGCTGATGCCATACTTTTCGGCGGTAGCCTCGGCACAATTGCCCATTGCAAAGTTGTTGTAGACGTCCCACAGACCATCGCACTCCACGGAATCCTTTGTTTCAAACTTGCCAAACAATGGGTTGGTGCGTGGCAAGAGGAAACTGGTAGATTCAATATCAGAACGAAGATCGGCATGAACCAAAAGAGTAAGACGTACGGTGCATTGCTCATGCTCTCCATACCTCCAGCAACGATGACACTCTTATAGCCCGATTCAATGGACTGAGCTGCGAGCATGATGGTCTTCAAGCCACTCGCACAAACTTTATTGATGGTAGTGGCATCGGACGACGTGTTCATGCCGGCGGCCAGAGCAACTTGACGCGCTGGGGACTGACCCACGCCTGCCTGAACGACATTTCCAAAGTATATTTCTTCGACTGCAGCAGGAATCAACCTTTGATTGTTCAAAGGCGTGTTTGAGGGCAATGGCGCCCAGCTGAGGCGCAGTCAGGGTTTTGAGCGAGCCGTACAGTGACCCTACTGGTGTCCTGGACGCGGCAACGATGACAGCTTCATGGATGGCCTGCGACAATGAAATGGATCAGCCGATCAGTTAGATCGAGCAGTAACAGATATACCATTGTGCGAGAAGTGGACGAGAAAAAGGAACGAAAGGAGGAACGGGAAACGGACACGAGCCGAGTTACGAGCATCGCATGTGGTCCCTTTATCAGTCCTTGATCTCGGGTCAAGCCGACTTACGGGTGATCGTACGATTAAAGAGAGAGCGTGGATAAAATCTGGGCACTAGTTAACGGAACGTAGTCGGTCGGTCGCACCATAGGTTTAAATACTAGGGACCTCAACTTAGATCCGGGACGCGGCTACGGCAATGTGTCATGTGAATCTCTCTCTAAGGGCACTTTGTAAGGTGTCCGTAGTTATCCGCGCAAGTCTAGCAGCGAACTAAGCAATGTAAACCACGCCTCTAACCACCCCAAGTGACAGCTGTTCTTCGTCTGCATCGGCTACATCTAGGATTTCTTCCACGGCAGCGCTGGTCCCACAAGGGTGCAAGTACCAGCAGTGCACATTGAGGGCGGGGTGGTCGCCAAAGGAAAGTAAGGGAAAACTCGCACTCGACTGTTGGACAGAGAAAGTTGTCACTTGCGCCCCTTCGAACGCGTCTCTACGAAACAGGGGTAGCTGCAGCACCTCTGTCAAAGTGAGTGGTGCACCGCCTAGCCATCATATTTTGCATCAGGGCGACCAAAACGACACCTCGAGAACTTACTGAAGTCATGCACAGAAAAGTAGAATGTAGGTACTTTGAATGTCGGTGACAACACAACGTATTGGTGGCAAAGGACTTCACCAGTCAATGTCGTGGCAGCAGCGCTAGCATTGTCAACGGATTCCAACGAACTTTCTTCCATATTGTCCGGAACCATTCCAACGTCAATTCCAGTCGCATTTCGGTGCCTGCGGAGGGATGTGACACGTTCCATGTACCCGAATCCTGGCATATACTATCTAAGGGTGGGAAGACGGTCTTTAAGTAAAACAGGCTGAGATGCGCACAGCGTGTTCTCTCCATGACCAGCCAAGCTTCCCTTTGTCCAGCGTATGGTGGCCACGGTTTTGTATGAATTTCTTGCAAACCTCATCGAACTCTGAGCGTGTAAAAGTCATGATGAAGGTGGCGTGGGAATGGGATATAACAGTAGCACAGTTTAAGGTTTCAGCCACAACTCCTACCAAGACTCAAGAAATCCCAAGCACTAGCCCACCTCAAGCTGCGGTCGCCTCGACACCGTTATCCTACCCTCAACTCACCATGGCCGTAGGAAAAGTAAGTATCTCCCCCAATCCTCGGACGGCTATTCGTCTGACCTGCATGAACTCGTGCAGAACAAACGCCTATCCAAGGGTAAGAAGGGAATCAAGAAGAAGGTCGTAGACCCCTTCTCGCGTAAAGGTATGGAGAGTATGTCCTTTCAGACGTCGTCTGCTCACCGTTTTCCTTAGAATGGTACGACATTAAGGCACCTTCCATCTTCGAAGTAAGAAATGTCGGAAAGACATTGGTCAACCGATCACAGGGTCTCAGTAAGCATCATCCCCACACATGCGATATTAGTCCCTTCAATAATGCGTTTCCATCCAGAGAACGCCAATGATTCACTCAAAGGCCGTATAATCGAGGTTTCCCTCGCTGATTTGCAGAAGGACGAGGAGCAGTCGTTCCGCAAAATTAAGCTACGGGTTGACGAGGTTCAAGGAAAGAACTGCCTCACCAACTTCCATGGAATGGACTTCACGTCCGACAAACTTCGTTCGCTGGTCCGCAAATGGCAGACCCTCATCGAGGCTCGCGTCGACGTCAAGACGACTGATGGTTACCTCCTCCGTCTCTTCGCTATTGCTTTCACGAAGCGTCGGCCAAACCAAGTTCGCAAAACCACTTACGCTCAAACCAGTCAAATTCGGGAAATCCGGAAGAAGATGTTTGAGATCATGACCCGCGAAGCATCCAGCTGTGATTTGAAGGAGTTGGTTCAGAAGTTTGTGCCAGAAGCCATTGGGCGGGAGATTGAGAAGCACGCGCGTAACATCTTCCCCCTACAAAACGTCTACGTGCGGAAGGCAAAAATTTTGAAGGCACCGAAGTTCGATGTCTCAAAACTGCTCGAGCTCCACGGTGAAACAACTGATGTACGTAACACGCTTGTTCATGTGATTTCGTGCCAGTTTGACTGATCGGTCTTTTAGGAGACGGGCACTCGGGTAGTGAAGGACTTCAAGGAACCTGAGATTCTTGAGTCTGTATAAAACCCTTTGTTATCTACTACTGCATTCCCTATGATTTCCGTTTACATGTCACACGGGTACTACCAATATGAGCACCATGGCCCAAAATGTCTGAATCAGTTCGCACAGAGAAGCGAATTCGGAGTCGGAGGCGAGCTGATCGCGGGTTTTTTTAGATACGCGCGGGATCATTCCGTGTCACCGTGACCATGTAAGAAACATACACAGTTGATAGTAACTGTGTATCAGCCGGAACATATCCTGCGTTCAATATCATCAAGTACCTGTCTTTTTTTGTTATCTTTTTTAGTTGTGGCGGGCTGTGGGCGCACCCACCATCATCGTAGGCAGCACCATGCACCCGATTTTTTTTTGATGGTCGTTGAGATGCGTGCATGGCGACAAGGCGCCTACGTATTATGTACTTCAGCAGAAATGATGATGGATTCCTTGTTGAAGATCCATCAGCATCCTTTTGACCTCCCTCCTCGACTCAACGATGTCTGACGTCGAATACCTGCGAAGCCTACTCACAGAATACATGGACTTCCCAAAGCCAGTATGTCTTCGTGTCCAATGCTCGACAAAATCACCCGAACAACTGAACAACTGCCACGTAGGGCATCAGCTTCGTAGATATTTTCCCCATTCTGCGCAACCCCTTGGCCTTCGAGACCCTCATCACGCACTTCGTGCATCATATCCTGTCTCAAACGATACCGAAGTCCTTGCTGAAGAAGGTGGACGTCGTCGTTGCTCTGGACGCCAGAGGTTTTCTACTGGGACCAACCATCGCCTTGCGGTTAGGCGCGGCTTTTGTCCCAGTTAGGAAGAAGGGTAAACTTCCGGGACCTTGCGTTTCGGTTTCGTACGAGAAGGAATACGGCGTTGTGAGTTCCATTGCTCCAAAGTCGTCAGCGCCGCAAACTAAGCTTCGTGATAGGATGTATTTGAAATGCAAACGGGTGTTATTCAGCGCGGTCAGAACATCATCGTCGTCGATGACCTCATTGCAACCGGTAAATCATTCTTTCCCTAACACCCTCCGACCCTATAACTGTGTGGCGTCAGGTGGATCAGCCAAAGCTGCCGGTCAACTGGTCGAAATGCAAGGCGGTACAGTTCTGGAGTACTTGTTCATTGTCGAAATAGTGATGGCTCGTGACTGGCAGTACGACAAAGCACCAATTTATTCCATCGTTCAGTGCAGCTAATTCATCTACTTGAATACCTTATGTTTATTGTTATGGGCTTGTTCAGAGTTGTAGTGCGAATCTAGGTTTATCGATTGAACGTGGGGGCGCGCAGAAGCAATGGAATTGGTGCTTGAAGTTTTGCGACTTGGCTAGTAATGATCGTCCACGGCCCACGTACTATTATATCGTTACACCAGTAATCGGGTGTTAAGGACTGGGTGACCGTTGACATACAAAACGTGCATATTCTCGACATCCCCGTCTCTCCGTGTCGCAGGCGGCACTCCTTCGAAATCGACGGAGAATAACACGTTACCATAACCCAGGACACCAGCTCCTTCTACCATTGCGGCAAGCCCCTTGCCGGGAGTAAGGGGCAACAGTACGAGTGCCACGTCATCTAAATCTCCCGCGGCTGCAATTTCCTCCGCCGTAGCGGACGGATTGACTGCCTCGTCATCGTCACTGATCACGATAACTCCCGATGCGTCGGCCTTCTGAGCCTGGACTAGTTTCTCTAGGAAGGTACATTCGCCTCTCCACACCAGGACCGCATCGCCGCCAAATTTTTGATCGTACTCCCGGCAGCCGAGGGGGTTAGACTCGTCTCTCCGAACCCGGACACCGCCTTCATGGCCAAATGTCATGGCCTTTCTTGTTGGGTCTGCGCCGAATTGTGCGGTTTGGACAGTAATGTAAATATTTGCGTCCATCTCCACTGTTCCCACCTGGGTAACGAGCAGAGGATCCATGGTGTCAAGAAAAATACGCAAGCGGACAGTGGGTCGGCGTTGCAACCTGGCAAGACTTTCGGAAGAAGACCGTAGCTCAGTGTCGTTGACATAAACCACTTGCCCCGAGCGGACAGCATGAGGTCCAACTAGAATGGGAATTACTTGAGTAAACTCCACATCAAGGTAACATACTCACGTCGAGTAATGTCGTACCCCCTTCCATCCAGGCGACTAACTATGTGGGCCCGTATACCAGTAACGTTCTGAATGACGAAACCATCCCCAACAGCCCGTAGTTTATCAATAGCAGGATTAAAATCTTCTGCGACTTCATAACCATTCGTAGACATGACGAAGTTGTAAGACTAGCAAAAAAATGTCAACGACAAAACACCACGAGACCCCTGATAAGGTGCCTTACATATAAATCGGTGTAAGGTACTGCACACCATCCGTCAGGGGACCAGTAGTGTTCATCGGAGGATTGGGGGATCAAGCCAATTAGGTGCCTCGCATACTCAACGTCATGTCGCGAGCCCACTCCACTGATCAGGCCGTTTGCTTTCTGAGACGGCTGGGATATCTGGAACGGTTCGTATGCTGGGCATTGATGACTTTCTTCACGACGCATCCGCCGACGCGCAGATGACATAGGTCTGAGTGCATGTTTTGGTAACGTGAGTATGTGCCCCTCCGTAGTGAACACGTAATGTGAATCATCACTGTGAAGTCGGTTGTTTTCGTCAAAAAGCAAAAAAAGGTACTGAATGCTTGTAAGGCTGGTGTTTCCCCACTGACATAAGTCTTACCTTCAGAGTCTCGGACAGTGCAAATGACTCCATCCTGTCATCTCGTGCATTATTCCGTAAGTCCCGAATACCGGAGAGCCCACACTCCACCTTCGATCTGGCAGTGATGTCTCTCAAGATACGTTCCCCGACATCGAGGTAAAAAGGATCTTTAGTAGCCTAGATCATTCATCAGCTAATAGGTACTGGAGATTTGCAACAACTCACTCGATACAAATACCACGTTGACTCAACAAACTCTGGTCGAAGAGGATATTGGAAAGAGGTGGCTTGCATGAAATGGACATCCCAAACTTCAGGCATACCGGAATGGCGCCTCCAAATATTCCAGTCTAGTGTAATCTTCAAGGACGATCTGTCACCGACTAATTTTCACACTTACACGTTAGGTGGGACTTTATGGCATTTTGCACGTCCCCAGCAAGTACTTGCAAACCGGGCCAAAATGCGGATAGTGAATCAATTGTGCTGTATGCCTGGTTACCAGTGTGTATGTTAACATGACGGAACTGAAGTCGAGTCAGCTGAAGTATAAAAGCTCTGAAAGCAAGTATTGACCCAATAACCATCCGGAGACCGAGTGTAACGCATGACAGTTGCATAAACTTCGTTCCATACGTCTAGGAACTCGACCTCACCTAATGCGAAACTTTGAGCGCGTTCGATATGCCACGAGACATCTCACCTACCGCTCAGAATATACCACTTCAATGCATATTCGTAGAACGAGTCTATACCAGCCCCAACACTGGTCACTTCAGGATGTGTCCAAGCCTACCAAATTTTAAATCTGCTGCACAGTTGGGCAAAGAGGAGACCTACGCCTGTCCATATATTGATTGTGTTCCCCACTAGCCCAATCTCGGACTTACGATTCCACAACGCGAAGTAAGCTTTATAAGCGGCTTTCTCAAAGCGTTCGTCACCAGTAAGACGACTCAGAGTAGCGAACTCCAGGATCAGGGAACCCGCCCCAGCAGTGCCTGTAAAATAGTATGAATAGGAAGAACAGATACACGCCGGAAGCAACAGACAGGTGCTCAACGATTCCCCATTGTCGACACCATAGCGCAAATTAAGCTGAACCAAACCCTCTATTAGCTGCTCCGACCACTTGCAAAGAAACTCCTCACCCTCGCGTACGGAAGGCCGGTTGGCGTCGCGAATGCGGGCAAGAGCCGCGTGCCAAGATCATATGCCAGATCAAGTAACTGACCGCGATACCAAGATAGATAAAAAGGTTGTCCTGGTGTGCTAGCAAACAGATGTCCAGACAACAATCCACCCATTACGCGTATTGTGGTTTCGAAAACTTGCGGTTTCGTATCGACGTCAAATGAGACTTGGTCAATCACATCTTGAACAGCACGCTGGAAACCTGGTGGGTCATCAAGTACAACCAACGTGTCCAGCACATCTATCAGGGTAAGTGAGAAATTTCCGGTGACATCGTTAAACGCTATATTGGCCCTATTAAGTGGACATTAGCTCAGCCGTGAAGCGCGTGGGACGACCCTACGGATTCTCCCAATCTGGGCCCCTCCCCTTGCAGGACAGAGGAGAGAGCTAACCTTGTTCAGCCGCCACGCTGCAAGCAGGAGACAGGGCGCATACCTCGTCAAAGGGAAAAGCTGAAAGAACCGGTAAGGCCAGGTAACACAAGAATGATCCAGACGAACCTCTTGACATGTAATTATCAAAGCCATGGTACCAAAGCTCTCGAGTGGCATCTCTGAAATAGTCAAAATACGCATCTTTAAAATGGAAAATATCATACCGAAGAGAATGCTTCCGCTCCGTTGTCCAAACATATCTACTAGCAGTCACGGCGGTGGGTCGGTCTCCGGGGGTATAGAGGACCAATAGAACGTAAGTTAGCAGAGAACACGGCCATAGCTTGCGCCATCTCATTGCACGAGAAATGGCCTTCACACTTCACTATTAAAATGGCCAACCTAGTTCTTCGGGGGCAGTGTGGCCATCACAAGAAACAACTTGTCGGCATCTAAGCATTTTCTATCACGTGACTCGCTGTGGTTGTGCATAGCATAGCAGTACGAGGCAGTACTGCAGGACAGTGTAACTAATACGAGTTCTTTTCAACGCTCGTAGGCAACAGCCAGAATGACGGACGTCCCCAGCAAGCTCGGAGAATTGATGCTTCAAGGATGGGTGAGGGCCTTTGCATGCGTGGAACAATATTGACTTCAACCATTCGGATATTAAGGTCCTGACTGATAATCCTTGCCCTGCATCCGGCTGCAGGGGAGTACCACTGCTGAGATCCCCTAAGGGGCAAGAGCCCATGGTTCAGCACTGTGTTAGTTGCGATAGGTCTCCTACTGGTGAGTTCTCTCATGAGCTTCATTACATGTCCGCAGCAACAACTTCGTCGACGGTAGATGTCAGTCAGACACAATCGCAGGCTTCATCTATTGTCTCGTCAGAATCGTATGCCTCACGCCCGTCGACTCCACCCACAGAGATATTCAGCAATTTGAGTTCCCCCACATTTGCCCCTCCCGCTGTAACGGAAGAGACCAGACGTCGCCGTCAGCAGTCGGACAATGCGTCCACGGAAATTGGCAAACGGCTGTTGAAAGGATGGACTATGCTAGGTGAGGAGTGCCCAAACTCCAGATGTTACGGCATCCCTCTCGTTAGGCCCCCAACAAAAAATGGAGTTAAAGACACTCGCAAGGTATACTTGTTTTTGTTATCATCTATTGGATACTGTACCGATGACTTTCAGGAATGCGTGGCGTGTGGAACCGTGTACATGAATGAAAGCGATGCTGAGGCATTGCAGCGTCTTACTCCCATATCTTCGTCTGCCGAACACGCCTCTGCTCATTTGACGGGCGGTCCCGGGCTGTCGATCATTGCTTCAACTGTCGCACCCATCAGTCCGGAGGTTTGTGTATTTGCGGACTGCTTTTCGCCCATGGTTCTGAACATGCCTTCAGCCTTTACAACTTCCTACGCTCGATCCCGCCCCACAAATACAGGTACACGACGTGCTTCGTATTGAAGCAGAATTACTCATTATTAGAAGTTAGCCATAGGAAACCCTAATCGACTTCCTGACGCACGAAACAGTCGTTTGGTACGACTACACTTCGTTCATGCCTCTCGCGCTCACATAACTTTCCAAGGTTCCGAGGCATGGTGTTGCCACACCTGATACAGCGGCTCAAGCTCTGCAGCTTGCTCTTGGAGTACTCTCAGAAAAGCTTACCCTGGCATGTACAGCCCCTAGCCTAGTGGATCTTTCATCTGTTGCTGCAACTTCCGACGCGATCAACAAAGTTGCTCAAGCATTGGGACAAGTGAATCGCCTCCGACAGCAGGATTACGGTCGGAGCAGCTCATTATCGTAGTGTCACAGTGGGCAAACAAGGCGTAATTAATGATGACTGACAACATCTGTAGCGATGCGAAAAATGATGTATGATAGGTGGGGATGGATTATTTCCGAGTCCTGTGATGCGTCTGTAGGACCGACCCATGGCCTGACTTGCTACAGCGAGTAGCATGAAGTAAGTTTGGATTTGGGGCCTTGAATTTAATGAGATGTGGTGGTGTGGTCAAACCCTAATCGTAGTTGGTGCATGGTTGCCTCGTGTTCTCCTGCCATCATACATATATTCTGAAGTCAGCTGGTAGCCAACATCCATCGTCATCGCCTGCGATGCCTTTCGATATGTTTAAGCTGTTTCGAAACCGGAGTCACCGCGGGGAAGTCCTAGCGTTGGAAGATAATGATGGTGAACGAGGTCGACGATACCTTTTGAAAAGGTCCAGCAAGGTCAGTGTACTGATTGCGCATTGGAGCTTCTCCCTGATCTCATTTTCTCAGAGGAAGGAACCTGTGAGGGATTATCGAGTGTGGACTCCGCGTGTTATATAACGCCTGCTTTGCAGATTTTTACCCCATTGCCATCTCGTGCCCCGACGGACCCGGAGGAGGAGTATCGAGATGGGTATGTACAAGTTCATAGCCCATCCACGGTAATGGGCGGAACCCTCAATGCTCGACCAACAACACTAGAAGACCCCCCCATGTTGCCTTCACCACGCGACCTCTCCCATAGGTTGGAATACCCAAGGCTGCCTCATGACGACATTCCGTATGCAGAGACATATCACGAGGGGATCACTCAACGAGGGAATCCCGACGATCCTATCGTTATCAATCACTCAGTCAGAGGAGTATGTCCACGACGTCAAGCGACCGTACTCTCGGATACCACCGACCGAGAGCCTCGGAATACCCAGGGACAAGGATTGTAAGCAAATGGCATCGTCGTCACCGGAGTGGAGTCTGAGGAATTTCATCATAGATCCCTCCACCTCCACGTCACCGCCCAAGAGATTATGTAGTGCAAGAAGTTGCCCCAGCCAATATCTACGGTAGTCGTCACTATGATGCTCACCCCGAGGTATAGTGATGTAGTTTTGGCAATGGATCTCTCCTTACCCTACTCAAGGCTCGTGGTATCCATCTCGCGGAGAGTTACCAGCGCGGGCATGCTCGGAATCATCCTAAAGGACGTCCTCCGATTTGCTACATTGTTCCTGGTGGAATGAATGTCGTATTTCAAGATGAGCGAGGACGTGAACTAACTAGGTGGGTCTGTGCGTGGTAACGCGGCGCGATATTGACCCCCATGAAGAGTTGGGGATTCCAGTGGGCGGCGAAGGCCTGCGCCTCCCGCGCCATTCATCGTGCAAGACCCGAAGTGGGCGAGAATTATACAGGTAAAGGAGTGCTGCAATGCCTTTGAGCGTGTGTTCACTTCGCCGCAGGTACGATGGCAGTCCAAATCGAGATCCTAAAGTATTACAAATTCACATGGGCCCCACTCGGTATCCTTTTATTCTTTCCTCAGTTCCTTCGTCTCGTTCTCACATATCCGATATCAACAGCCGCGGGAGAAGCTATTCTTCTCCGACGTATCACTTGGAGTCGTACAAAGGGTATAATGACCCTCGGTATGACCCTCGGCATAGCGCAGATCGCAGAGGCTATGGAAGATACGAGGGTTACGAGAACCACAGGAATCACCTCAGCCGCAGAGCTCACAGGGACCCAAGGGAATACGATGATCATAGAGATCGTGGAGACTACAGAAGGCATGGTGACTACAGTAGGCACGTGGTCCACGAAATACCCCGTAACCACGGAGAGCATGAGGACCATCGGGACTATGAAGCCTATAGTAGTCATGACCGGCCCGAGCTTGACTCTCCTGTAGCACCGCAGGGGTTTCATAGAACACACAGCCATTCTAGCCATCGGCCTTTTGGGGGGGGGCACGAAGATTTAATGGAGTAAGTGGCCCTTTTAGACGTCAACTTGTGCGCTTATTTCTTTAGGCCCCCTATCGACGACAGGAGGTCTGTAGCGACCAGAGTCCACGAGGGATCGGTTCACGGTAGTACGCATCCGGAACCGTTCGACGAAGAGATCACCGATAGGCTGGATTCTCTCCATATGACTTGATGTTACGATGCTATCCTTCTAAGAAATTTTTAGGTACCGCCACCTGATGTTCCCAAGTCATACGTGGCACGACCTTTGCGAGGTGACATACCCTGGTTGAACCTAGGGTTACATATGTTGAAGTTTCCTGATTCAACCACGTTTCCGCTTTTTATCCGGTCCAGTTACAGTGCTGATTTCCTCTCTGCTGAGCTTCAATACTCCGTCCTTGAACCGTCCAACACCCATCCGTAGACCCCTTTCGTGTTTCCGCTTTGAGGACTTGACTGAGTGCGGTCCATACGTTTTCTTTAGGATAGGGTGATAATTCCCCAGATTTTTAGCCTGAATGAAGGTTGTGTGTAGGTTGAGTATGCTCTAGGAGTACACAATGAACGGAAAACGATCTTACCTCCTCCAACTGCTTCCGCGAACGGTCCTCTCTTTTTCGCAGAAGTCCATCTCGCACGCGTTTCGATGCCTTATTGTGTTCCTCCCCACGAACCAAACTTTCTCCGTTCCCCAGTTTACATTGGCCTGAGAGCTCCAAAACCCTCCCTGATAATGCCTTCTCCTTCTGCGCATGAGAAAGGCCCAATTCGTCCCTGAGCGACCCAGACAATAACTTTGTGTGTAGTAGACGGTATAGTAGGGCGTCGTTTTGTGCATTTGTCCTAGGTGTACGATGGGCACGCTTTCCACGGCGATTGTAATGCAGACAACAAACCGTTCATCCTCTGAGTGCTCTCCAGACGCCTCTTCTGGGGGTGAGACATCTCGCTTCATATCAACAACCTTAGATGACTTCACAGAGCCGGTGATGGAAGTGAGTTACGTGCTAAGAAATATGTCCAGACCAACCATAAATGATTTTCGTGACGCTTTGTGGGTGTGTTTGTCCTTCACATGCTTGATAGCAGAATCCGTAAATACTGTCACATCTGGGGTGTGGGGCGAGCTGGCAGCGGGTCCGCCGTCATGTTCGAAGCCTGAATGATCAATGAGATGGAGATGCACGTGTGTAGCCTACGAACCTTCTTCCGGACCGCTGTGAAGGAACGAGCCTCCACGACTTTCTGACCCGTAAGAGGCATTCTGCTCTCCTGAGCGGACAGCAGGGTTTATGGTCTGGCAGCGTTCGCTATTCTTCTTCCGTTTCTTGAGCTGAGGCTTAGGGAAGTTCAAACGAATTCATGAATTCTTGGCCATGAGCTTCTAACAAGCGCAAGAGCCTGCTCCTGTCGTCGTCTGAGGCCTGCGGCTTGGACATCTTGTTCGCTGCCAACTGTCTATACCAGCAACACGGCACAGCCTTCGACTGCAGACCAACTGCAGACCCGTGATTACATCATCACCCAAGACGGAGGCGTCCCGCTTCCAAGTTCACTGGACACAACTAATGGCAAACCGCAGGAACGCAGTTAAAGCCTCTCCAGCATCCTCTTCAAACATCGTCATTACTGAGGAAGAACAGTGGCGTCTAGTTCGCGAAAGTGGTGTGCTGAGCAAGGTCAAGAAAGACCAAGACTCGGAAAGGTCAGCGACGGAGAAGCCTGATGATGACGGACCAAGTGCACTGGTTGAAGAAATCTTTGATGCATCAGTTTTCATAATGCCCATGACGTTCTTTCTTGTCATGATGGAGATGTACGTCTGTCAACCGCCCTCTCCTTATCTACTCTAGAGCTCATGATGATGCTACGAAGCCTGATTCATCGTCAGTATGGGAAACAACCGAGCTTCGGTGACGTTGCGCAGAAGTTATTGAGTACCCTCCCAAGTCCGTGTTGTTCACAATATGTTGTAGCCTCTATTTGACTTGAAGTCATAGTCATGTCTATTTTCATGTTTTACAGTAAGTCGAGTGCCCCTACTGAATGAGGGAATCTTTGACCACTCGACCAGCTATTCGCCATAAGAACTCGGTTCGTACACAGGCTGCCTTATTCATGTTGTCCCTTGGTGTTGGACCAAGGATGATCTGGCTCGTCAACCGAGGTTCCTGGCTAACCAACATTGCTCAGGTTTGTGGGGAGCATTCGACGTTGCCGCAGATCGTTTCGCTTACCCTTTGGCACCCAGTGTCCGCAATTTGCAACCATTTGGCTTTACACCGTCCTTCAATTGAATCTGCCCCTTGCAGTTCTCAGCCTCACATTGATAGGGGTATGGACATGGTGGATGGGCTTAAAATTACTGCTATGAACTCTATTTTTCAATCATCATAATTTTTTAATTTTCCTGGCTGAACATCTGCATCGTTAAATGTCCTGCAACTTCACTACATATGTATCCCGAAATGCTCATGTCACCGGAACGGGCAGACCATGCCTGTCCTCGAATAATCTGCCCAATCCAAATTCATGGGAATGGTGTTACTTTTTGCTCGATAATACGCCCCATTTCGGATGTGATTTTGAATCCGCAGGGCACCTTCTACGAGCAAGCGGACACAGGTGGTCCCACCCTGAGTGCGTGAAAAGAAAAGCTGCCTTCATTATAGGTACAGGGAAACATACACATCAGATGCCATCACCCTCATCCAACTCATGCATCAATATTTCAACCTTGGCCTAGACGGTAATGAGTTCTCGGTTGTTCTCAGGGGAGGCGGTGCACGCACCCGATACGTTATGTTACGATCTTCAAGTACTTGCCTGAGCAGTCGCAGCTGCCACTTCAACCTGCGACTAATATTACGATGTAGCGCACTCTGATGTAACTCCAGTCGATCTGTGAATGCCTTGAAAACCCTGTCATCCCGCGCAAAATAATAAAGCTATCGGCTATCAGGTGAAGGTCATTGTAGTGGTCATGTCAGTTACCGACCGGTATCGGTTCGCCGCCAATGGACTCTAATGCCATCGACCAAGCACTTATTAGCAAGAGATCGACGGTCGCGTTCGCTACGCTAGAAACAGAGGTTTTCCTGGGTCAACAAAACGAGTAAATAAATGGACTCACTAATCTTCAAGCGCCGCGATTGCATCAGCCTTACTAAGTTCTTTCGTAGCAAACTTGCGTACTGCTGCTTGTGCGGTACTCACGGGCTTACCGGCATTTCCTGTTCGAAGTGCGATTGAAACGGTGTGGACCTGGGCCCTAACCCATTTATCGCCTTCGCTCATCACAAGAGTCTGAAGGAACGAGGCAATGAGATCGCTCTGGGACTTGTGTAGTCCGTAGTCGATTGCAAGCTTCAAGTTGATTCCTAAACGTGCATGAGTTTCCGGCGGCTGAGATCAAGAACAACATACGTAGAGCTTTGAGAATAACTCTGGTCTTAGGCAATTGCATTTCACTATCCTCCAAGTGATTGATCCACCTTGAAAATGCACCTAAGAGAAGAATGGCAACATCCCGATGTGACTGGCCGATCCGCATTGCGTGAAGAAGGGGTGTGGCGTCACCAGTTTTGTGCAGCAGGAGCTGCCGTTACGTCAGCTTAACGTTTGGCCCGCTTGCCAAGGTCTGCACTCACTTGGAATGCACGATCGCGGACTTCCATAAGGAACATGATGTCTTTGCGTTCGACGGCCCGAAAGATCTCGAATGGCTAGGGAGTAATTAGTAGTTGCCATGCAAATATATGGGAAAGAATACCTGAGGGTCTTTCCAAGTTTTCGAGGGTGTGACAAACTTTGCGAAGGAACTTGAAGGCGAAGAAGGTGATGCCAATGAAGAAATGCTTGTTCTCCGAGTGTGGCCACCTTGTTCTTCGGATTCTGACTGAAAGGCGGACGTGGGACTGGAGGTTGGTGTTCGATTATCACGAAGCTGACGCGAGAAGGCTTTGGGAGCAGCGTGCTCAGCTTCACGCTGTAAGAAAGCTTGAGAAAAATCGGATACAGTACACTTGGATTGAAAAACAGCGGACCTGTAGACGGCAGACGAGCAGGCAAGCATGGTTCGAGACTTGGTCGAGATCTCGGTGTAGGCTTTGCTACGGAGGAGCCAAGGTCGCGCTCCATGATGAATTGAATCATTGGTGCATTGTTCACCATGTCAGTTGACCTCTGAGTCCTGTGAATAATAGCCCGACAACAGGCCGCACAGCAAGCTGAACCCCTCAGCGGGACAGCGCGTCAGTCATGATTAGGAAGGAACCCAGGACTACCTGCTGTGGCCAGCACTGCCACTGCTCTGTGTATTATGTAATAACCCCTTTGCTAGCGAAAAACCATGCAAATTGTTAACTAACAGACCACTCGATCTTGCACTCGATGCTCAGAGCTTGGAAAGACGCGTCACAGGGGCAACCCCAGCAGCCCCGTGTGAAAGAGCAGGCCAGCTATCAGGATACCCAGTTGCGAAGAACCTGCAGTGGCGAGCCATCTTTGGTCACCGCCGATGTAGCTTCCTCTAATAGTGGTGCCGTCCTGGATAGCGTGCATGCTCTCGCCTCGGGTGTAACCAAACGCGCGAGGGATAGTGAAGATGGTGTCGAGAACGCAAAAAAGAGGAAATGCATCTCCGAAGAGTCGATGCACCCTGGCTCATCCCCCTCACTAGTACCCCTCACGCCAGGCAAGAAGGACACACATGAACAAACCCAGACACGAAACTGTAAGTTTTAGTCCACTGGAAAGGCTCACTTTAACCGACGAGTCCCACACCAGCGATTGTTATACTGGATTCCTTCGATGGTATGCCGGAACCTCACTTGCTCCATTCTACTCACAGCTTGATCTCGTAGACGCTATTGCGTATGCTTCTCGCTTCCTTGAATCGGCTATCGTCCGGGCTACGGTATCTCCCAAGGTCATTTCCTCTGCTGGGAGAGTTTCTTTGTTCATAGTCGAGTATGTTGCAGTCGAATTCATTCGGAGTCCACTAACCACACGAAAGTGAGAGCGTCTCACCCGAGAGTATCACGCGAAGATTAGCAAGCGAAACACGTCTCAAGGTGACTTGCTGCACACCGTCAATAAGTCCCGCCAGGTGGTCGACGTTGATGGAATATCAGGTTGCGGTGTCTTCGATTAAAGTTGGCGGTATCGTAGTAGCTCTTTGGCATGCACTGACAACAACAACTTAGGCATTATCGGAGCTCCTCACGAAGGGCATTATAAAAATGTCGCAATTGCGTGCTCTCGTGGTATTCGATATGACAACGTCGATTTGCACAAGCTCGACATTGATGAAAGTAATGGAAACTTTCTACCGGCCTGAGAACGCAGATGCACGACCGATCCTTCTGGTATTATGTTCTTCTGCACGAACCGCCGATATCAGCCAACTCGAGAAATCACTCGAAGCCAAAGTTGCATCCAAGTCGGCCATGTCAAGCCTCAATAGGCTTCGACCCGTCGAAGTTGTCGTCCAATATGAGCCCCCTTCGGCTTTGCGGGATACCTGGCTCACAGAACGGATTCGTGCCATTCAATTCTGTGAACCATTACTCTCCAGGGCATTCTCAGCGGCACGCTGTGTCATGAAAGAACTTGGACCTTGCGCTAGCGACTTCATGTGGCGTCGAGGCATAAAAGTGGATGCACTGGTTGTCGGGGACGGTGGCGGCGAGATGGCCAAGGTCACGTCTGAACTGCACAATTTAGTCAAGGGCTGGGCCTTTTCCACGCCAAACATTGACCCATCCTCCGGAGGTTTTAACGTATCTCCGAAGTTTGCACGACTGGTTCAAATTTTAAAGGCGTGCGAGCTTTACGGCAACAAATTCCGTGGTATTATATTCGGTGGGGCTCTCTTCCTTCCATTCTTTTGCAACTGACGACGAGGTGATTGCAGTCCAAGAACGAGAGGTAGCAGCTGTTATGGTTGATATGCTGTGTATGGCCGTGCACGATTTGGGATTCTTGAGCCCTCTCGCCCTAACAGAGGAATTCCCACTAGATAACCATCATGTTGAGGTATGTCTCCTGACACTCGTAATGGGGACGCGGTGGTAACTCTCCAACAGGATGTGTGTCACAGTTTTACTGCTGGGAAGAACAACTTGCTTGTTATTCCGAAATCTCTCGAGGACTTGGACATCCCACCCGCCTTGGTTGTGGTAAGGTGCGTTGTATACATGACTGTCAGTTTGCAACTACTAACCATGAAAAAGATATGAAGTGCACGAGAGCCAGCTCTCCTATGCCTACTCATGTGCACGTACGGCCAGAGCTTTCGGTTCTCTGGTGCACATGGTGGAACGCGACAATGATGTCGAGCGCCGCGTGTTGTCACACTACCAACATGAGACATTCAATGAGCAGTGGATCGAGGTGGTCACGACTGGAGGCAGTTCTTTAATTCCGCCACAATCTTTGATAGAGAATTGTAAGCTGCCTGATGGACCGGACGAGAGCGTGGGTCCTTGCATTGAAGACCCCACAACCTCTGGTCGGTTATACGAACGGGACGCTGTCTGTGCTCTCTATCGACTTGTGTCGAGCATGCCCCACCTGTCGAAGGCCTCCCCCCAGCCCCTCTTCGTTGTTAGGGGGAGTACTTGTGACGGGCATTCCGACGAGTGGATATGTGATGTCCGATTGCCTTCGGAATTGCTCGCGGAACAAATATCCGGGCCACCTCGTCCCACCCCAGCTCATGCTCGCCGTGCCGCTGCCTTCATCACTTGTGTGCGGTTGTATGAGCATGGTACATTCGATCACCGTCTCTTTCTTTATCCACGGTTACCCAGGAAGACACAGGAACTCGCAGAGATGGAAAAAATTTCCGGGAATCGTTTCTACCCTCGCAAACGAACACGATTCTGGTCGAATTCGCTTCGCCTTTTCCCTCACATATGGTTTCCTGTGATTTTTCATGTTCTGGGCCATGAAAAAGCACGCTCCGATGTTGTTGTTGACGCGGCAACCTCTCCCGCGCATGCCTTCTTGCCGTCTTTTCATTGAAGGGGTGCCCACCGTGGTCCAAAACTGCCCGGGCCGCACCTGTTGAAATCAGTGCTAATCATCTTCACGCACTTCATTTGTTTACCGTTCGTATCTGTCGTGCGATCTTAAACAAGCCGTTTGCATGTTCCGCCGATGATATGGCATACCTGTTTGCACCTCTCCGTTCGTGTGTGACAGAAAACCTCGAGTCGGCGGAATTCCGGCGGATCTTGGATTATGTGCCGTGGGACGTTGTGTTTCTGGCCGGCAAGGAGTGGGCTGTGAGGCTTGATCCAGATTTCGGCTCGTTGCAGGGTGTAGAAGACATGGTCGTACAGGATCGGATGGTGGAATTTACACGGCGATATTACGCGTCGTGTCTGCGGCGAGATCTGACACCACTAAGCAAACCTGAGGATAGTCCGGTGCGTAAAGATGTGTTAACGTTGCCGTTCATTGACTGAAAGGCGTATTTGTATCCAAGCGCGAAGCCGGTTACAGTAACTTTGTAGACTACTGCAAGGCGCGGCGAAAGGGATTTAAAGGCCTGCAGGATTACCAACAACCCATGATCGAAGTCACCAAAATCACTGGTGTTTCAAATCATTTGAACCCGGTTTTCAAACCCTTGGCAGAACCTGCGAGGGCTGTGCCAAAATGTAGGTCAGTTGGAGCACATCAACCTACCGGAATGCTGACATTCCGCAGATCTGATCCCGGAGTTGAGCGCGAAATTTACTATTCCAGCCAGGTGATACATTGAGTTTTGTCACCCATGGCCCGATGCAGGGTGGCTAACGTTATGGATTTCAGCACTTTTCGCACAGCTCTTTTGCTCCCATCTGTGATGAGAAGGATTGAAGACTTTCTCATCGTGCAAGAGCTTAATGCGGAATTTTTCAATCACTCCATCCACGAAGAGTACCTGTTTAGCGCTATATCCACCCCTTCGGCCGGGTATGAAGTGGATTATGAAAGATTGGAACTTTTTGGTTGGCAGTTTCGTTAATTTTTAGTCTTGCAAAGATGTTGACTGTTTCGGAGGTGACGCCTTCTTAAAATATCTTGCCTCGATTTATGTCTTCGTTATCAACCCTTCACAGCATGGAGTCTTGCACGCCACACGACAGCGTATTATCAGCAACAAAGTATTGATACAGAGCGCTGATCACAGTGGGTTGCCGCAGTACATCCGAGGGAAACCGTTCAGCTACAAGCTGTGGCATCCACCGAATTTCACAATAGACCCTTTGAACGTTGCAGAACGTGAAGTCGTCGGAGATGAAACCACCACTTCCGGGCGTGTGGACACAAATAACCCGGCTACTCGTACCGATGCGGAGGACCGAGCGGGTGTTTTCCCAAGTGTTCAGGAAAGAATGAAGAAATCCCATGACGAGAGTGTAACCCAGTGGTTGGGTAGCAAGGTATCGTTTGCCTTCAATTTCAGGAGTCACCCTAACCAATTCTTATGCGTAGACCATTGCTGATGTAGTGGAAGCCATTATTGGCGCGGCATATCTGTCCGGCGGGCAGGAGGCTGCTCTCCAAGCTGCAAAAGCAATGCAGGTTCCGATTCCCAGTATCGAGCAATGGGATGACTTCCGTAGGAAGGCATCTCTACCCCCTTCTAATCCAACTGCACTGCTGCGTGCGGGCTCGGTCGAAGCAGTCGAAGCGATCACTGGCCGAAAAATTTCCAACGTCCGCGTCTTGGGGTGGGCACTGGTGAGTCAACACTGAAGATCATCCTTGGACGACTCGCAGAGTGTGCTGCAGGTTCACCCTTCCATTGATGGTTGCGACACTGCATACCACGAACAACTGGAGTTCATTGGCGATGCCATTCTTGACTTCAGTGAATGAGATGTCTGTCAACGTAAAGTCGGGGACGCTAACTGTTGTTTCAGTGGTTGTTCGATATATCGTTGATCGTTACGGAAAATTGTCTCCTGGTGCAATGACAATGCTGAAGGTTGGTCCATCCCATTCGCTTCCATTAGTCTGCGTCAACTGGAGTTTCGAGGTGGCCATGGTTTCCAACTCTGCACTAGCTGCACTTTGCGTATCATCTGGATTGTACAAACACCTCCATCATGATTCATACTCCCTGGCATGCTCGTTCGAAGCATACGTAGAGAAGGTGGAAACCCGGCGAGTGCAAGAGACGGAACTAGCCACTCAGAACGGGAGGAGCCCTGGTCAATATTGGCTCGATACTGAATCGCCCAAGGTGCGATGTGCTTGGATAGTCACTGCATTAATTGACGTGTCACAGGCTCTATCAGACCTCGTGGAATCCATTATCGGAGCGTTGTTCATCCAAGATGGCTACCAGCCGGTGGGCGCAGAAGTTTTTTTCGACAGAGTGTTGAGGCCATTCTACGACCGACACGTCACACTCAAGACCCTCTCTCATCATCCCACCAAAATTTTGTCCGACCTGCTGCAAAAACACGGATGCCAGCACTTTGAATTAGTGAAGGAGACGTGCGATGCCAAACAAGAAACACGATGCGATGGTGAGCTACAGGCTCTCGTGTGCGTCACGTAAATGGACTTAAAATACGATTTGCAGTGGTTGTTCACGAAATCATTCTAGCAAGCGCTATAGCGTCTACAGTGCACGCTGCTGGCCGTGCAGCCTCACTGGCTGCTTTGGATGCGCTTGAAGGAGATACCAATTTCATGAGCGGAACATGCACTTGTAGATCCAGTTCGCGGGGAAAGGGGGCGCGCAAAATGCTCCTCGACGAGATGATGGTAGGGATAGACGTTGAAACAGTATCTTGATGTTCTCCTTACGATTAGAATATTCGCATTTATATTTTTTAGCTTGGAAGCTTTGACACAGTGTGGCAGAATATAAGTGAAATTTCCAGACGGCTACATAACCCAACTGTAACTTCAAGAGGTTAAGCAGCTCCAGCTTTCTTCCTGCAAAGTTTCAGTATGCGGACCGACCACATGTTTCAAAACTCTCACAATTGGAAAGCAGCAGCCAAGAACGGAATGCTGAAGCCGGATATGAGGAAAGCCGAAAGCTTGAACGCGAAAGCAGCGCGTTTGTTTCCCGGGAACTGGAAAGGGAGATGCTGTGGATTTGCAAACAATAGTGAGAAAGAAAGGAGAGCAGCAACAAGTAACATCATACGTGGTATTCACCGTGGCCATGAGCGTAACGAACGGGGGCGGTTGCACGTATGCGAAGCAACTTGCGAACGCAAATTTTGTGGTGAACGTGCAAGCATGGTCGGTGCGCTGATACAGTACGCTAGTGGAAGTGGCAAATGGGCTGAAGGAGAGTATCGGATTACCCCGTGGGAAGGATGTAGTGACACCACACCACGTGATCCCACTTCTGTCTCAAACTTGCTGCCAAGTTTTTGACATTGCACCAACATTGGGCAGTAGCATACCGTAGTGCTGAGAACGCAATATGGGTTCGATCCAGGAGGCGCACAGGCCCACAAGTGTTCTGTGCGCACGAGCGATGCATTGGTATCTTATCTAGGCGCTCAAGTCATAATAGAATTGGCTTCTCCCGCTGCTGCTCACGGTTAAGAAGGCGGGCAGCGATCCAAGTGTCCATCTTTCCACTCCCAATCCCTTCACAATCGATGGCTCAGACTGTACGCATCGAGATCCCCGCCACCTGGGCGGGTCGTCGAAATTCCAACAGGGCTTTTCATCAACAATGAGTTTGTGTCGTCTGTGGACTCGCAGGAGCGCATCGAGTTTGTACACTTCCAACTGATTCGTTCCCCCCCTATCTTATCTCCATGACAGAGTCATCAACCCAGCAACGGAAGAAACCATTTGTTCTGTCGTCGCCGGTGAGTGCAATCAGCAGCATCGTCGTCAAGCTCTGAGCAGTCCCCCAGGGTCCAAGGAGGATATTGATGTCGCCGTCGCCGCTGCGCGCGCCGCTTATTCCACCACCTGGGGCAAGAATGTTACGGGTTTTGAGAGATCTCGCCTGCTGAACAAGCTCGCCGATCTTATGGAGCGCGACATGCAAGTGCTTGCGGAAGTAGAAAGTCTCAACAACGGAAAGCCTGTTAAAATTGCAAGGTAAAGTACGGTCACATCACCAAAATCACTCTTTTGACGCCTCCTCAGAGACTTCGACATTGGTGACAGCATTCAGTGTCTACGGTACTATGCCGGGTGGGCAGACAAGATCGTGGGCCAAGTGAGTGTGTCTCATGAAGTTTTGTGGGAAGTTCACGCGCCACTGTTAGACTATCGAAGTGGACAATAGAACCAAGATGGCTTTCACAAGGCACGAGCCAATCGGCGTTTGCGGCCAGATGTGAGTGATTTTAGTTTTGCCGTTGTAGTTCGGCTCATCTTGTCGTACAGAATTCCTTGGAATTACCCCATCAACATGTGGTAAGGGCTTCTCGGTGCTTTCATTTAATAGCATTGCGTCACTAACGCGAGAATAGGGCGTGGAAAGTCGCTCCCGCCCTTGCATGCGGGTGTACCATTGTCATGAAACCTTCTGAATTAACCCCTCTGACGGCCCTCATGTTGTCCAAGCTGATCGCCGAAGCTGGGTGAAGCGCCTGGTCTCGTTTCTTTATTACGTAGCTCATACAGCATTATAAGGTTTCCCCCAGGTGTGGTGAATACCGTACCCTCGCTGGGACCTATCGGTGGCGCAGCCCTTTCACATCACATGGATGTTGACAAAGTGGCGTTCACCGGATCGACTCTAACGGGCCGTAAAATTATGGAGGCTGCAGCCAAAAGTAACTTGAAAAAGGCATGCCATATTCGCGAGGTGGCCAACGTTGAAGTGGTGTGTTAACACTTAGTTCCTTGCACAGGTATCACTGGAAGCTGGGTGGCAAATCTCCCCATATCATTTTTGAGTCGGCAAATCTTGACCAAGCGGCCAATTGGGCATGTCTTGGTATCCTATACAATACTGGCCAGGACTGCACAGCTGGTTCTAGGCTATACGTCCAAGACACCATATACGACAAATTCTTGGCCCTTTTGGTGGACAAGGCAAAGCAACTTGTGATTGGTGACGGTTTTGATGAAAAGAGCGGAGGTGGCCCCGTGGTGAGTTTATTAACAATAACACACGTATGCGACAGGTGATCATGCCCAACCTCACGTTAGGTATCCAAAGCGCAATATGACAAGATATGGAGCTACATCGAGAGTGGGAAGGTCACACGGGGCAAGACTGGTGCTTGGTGGCGAAAAACGCCATGGAAAAGGTTTCTTTGTGGATCCGACTAGTGAGTGTGTTCGATTTCCGTGCCTCCTGTGGATGCTCATTGGGATCCAGTTTTCACGGACGTGACGCCCGATATGAGGATAGTAAGGCCGTTTCACTCCTAGCCGATGATGTCCACGTTAATGGACTCACATAGGTTCGAGATGAGGTAAACCTTGAGGATTTGGCCCGCATTCTAGGTGACGCTCCGTTCCATAGATTTTTGGGCCCGTTTTGTCAGTCGGCCGATTCAAAACCGAAGAAGAAGCGATCTCCCTTGCGAACGATACAAGCTACGGTCTTGGCGCCGGTCTCCATTCAAGTATGTCAGCAGTAATGTCGTAGCGGCTTGCGCTCACCCGTGCAATGTTGGAACTCCAGCGGATGCTAGCCAATGCATGAGAGTTTCCTCCGCGTTGGAAGCGGGAACTGTAAGCAAGGATTCTGGGCACGCACTAACAGAATTAGTTTAACGACCCAACAACCCTAGGTTTGGGTCAATCAGTATAATATCCTGGGCAACAATGTCCCATTTGGCGGGAAAAAACAAAGTGGAATTGGTAAAACACTTCCGGTCTTTCCCGTTACATGCTGAATAATGAAAACAGGTCGCGAGCTCGGCAGCTATGCGCTCAAAGAGTATACGGAAGTTAAGGCCGTACACTGGAACTTTGGCGAGCAAGCAGACTGGCCGTTGTGATTCAGAAATCGTTTGGTTTTCTAGGACATGAACGGAAGCGTGTAGGTTGTCTTGTGTTCGACTGTGTAAACTAGTATGGTGTAAATCGACGAGTTACCAAACTGCGAACTTGTGGATCTCATCCCTCTAAATCGGGTGTTTTTCCGTCTTGGGAATGGTCGATCATGCCCAACACCTGTATTATATGCCCACCTCGAGGATTACTCCCGTTTACACAGGAATGTGGGCTGGGAGTAATAAATGATGTGCTCCATGAGTAGACGCATGTTGTCTGTGGGGGCTAGGGTTGTGCCATTCAAGTTTGATGCAACTCACAGGACAGGGATATTGTATACGCACGGAAGCTATCCTTCTGCCTACATGGAGGCTGCACGTCCGTAGCACGGGCTGGCACCTAGAAGCCTAAACTATGCCTAGTTATGGGTTTCAGCAATCACGGAGAACGGAATCAGTAATCCTTCAGTTACGCCAGCACAAAGAATCTTCCTGATACTTGAAGGTTGAGAGGACACCGATTTTCAGTCCTGTGGTGTATCCCACCCAGAATCACGGGCTAGGCCAAGGCAGGAGGGCCACAATGAAACAGCCGATCGCTCAGCAAGGATCCACCGCATTGCATCCGTTATCCTGAAACAAACAATTAGGATCGCGTGGGCAGAAGGAGACGTTTCATACCATCCAGGAAAAGTACACGAAGCTGCCGCGAATAAGTTGTTTCCGTGTCGTGAATCATCCGCGAGTGACTTTATTGGTGTTAGAGGAAACGTGTCCGTATGAGTGAGGAAAAGACGTCTGGAACCAACGTGTGGCTTGAGGAAAGAAGGGAGGGGGAAAAGTACAGGAGCACAAATCGATTAAACACGTTTCAAATTTCCGCGTAGCGAGGGCAATACTCGCATGATCCGTAATCTAGATACATGAGGGCAGGCGATCGTATAGCGCGACTGACATAGAACATGTCCTCAGAGTCAGGATAGCTGAGGATAGCTAACCCACAGACGCAACCGCTGGCAAAGTCGCGAATTCCACTGGTGGTGGTCGGCACTGACGCCACAACAAATGTTTCGGTGCCGCCCTCCCTTAGCCTTTTATGCCGAAGGGTTCGGACGGACCACGAATGGAGGGGGGGGGACATCACCTGACAGTTCAGAAGGGAAGAGTATGCTGGACTATATTCGCAACCAGAACCTCTTGCATGGTACACCAGTGGAAAGGGAGGTATGACACTCTGGGCACCAAGGGACCGACGGCGACTAACTTAACTTAGGGCGTAGGAATGGTAAAGCCACGCCTTCATGTACCTGAATTGCCGGCGGTACAAAGCTCAAGCGCTCATTCCGGACTCTGTTTCGCGCAGGAACATTGATTAAAAGAAAACATTGTATGTACGCTACGTATCAACGAACTACAGTCGAGAGTCCAGAAGAAATAAAATTCAGAGAGGCGAAAAAAATGTCCGCCATGTCCCAGGGCGCTATAGTAATTCAAAGCACAGGTCCTGCGGAGCTACATGAAAATCAAGTGGATGGGAAATGCGTGGGATAAGCGTGGTCCCCTCTGAGTTCGCTGAATTAGGCAAAGTACTGTCCTGCAGTGGCGAGGGGAGCGTCAGCGCCGAACACTATCACCTGTATGATGGTGTCAAAAGCCACGAACATTGCCTAAATCAAAGAACTGACGCTTCTGGGAGAGATGAGGGGTCAGTTTGAGAGGCCCATTGCTCAGCATATCCGACTTGGTATTGGCCGTCGTCTGGAGGGTTCACACCCCACGGGATGGGAGTTACGTAGCTGCGTCATCGTTTCAAAAAAGTGCCACAAGCATTTCGCTGGTGCATGGACTTACTAGCCTGAGGGATGCGAGGGGTCATACTGAGGAACAGTCTCATACAATAGCATGTCTTGAGGATTGGCAACCGGGGAAGTTTGAGGCGTCAGATCATTCAGATGGTCGAAGGGCAAGTACCTGCACGATTAATCTTCATTTAACTAGAAGTCATCTCAGAAGAATAGTTATTTACCATCCTAATTGGTCGTCCGCGACAACGCGAGCATCCTGATGGAAGCGGCGCTGGACGTCACCGTATTCGGTAATGCCGCGCGGTTGGCCGGCCTGCACATCTTGCGATACAGGTTGAACATCAGTACCAGCTCCAAGTTGCGTCTGGTGCATCGAGGCGTTTTCGGAAGGTCGGGATGCCGGGGATGCAGAAGCTTCCGCATCCGCCGGCTGATGTGTACCTGACCGACTACACCTGAGAGCTCTAGTTGAACAGCGGTGACAAGACTGTTGCCCCTCATCATAAACACACTAAGACAGTGAAGACGTTACACACTAATAAAGGAAGATCACAGGCTACCTTACTTTGATGTGTGCTTTCTTGCATGCAGAGCAAGCGTTACGACCTTTGTGTCGCATCTGAATTGGAGGAGGGAATGAGAAGTGCTTGTCGAGCTTGTGAGCGGCGGGCTGACGGGGATGATGCATCGGCACAGTGGTCGAGAAATCTGAGGGGAAAGCGGCGGCAGACAGTCGTAGCTATATAGGAGATGAAAAATCCTGGATTTTACAGGTCAGTACTGGGTCAGTGCAAAACCACCCAGCGAGCGGCGCGGTACGACAACACGACGAACACGATCACTTGATCGAGATCGTCTCAAAATGTGATTTAGAAGGCCATTCTGATTTGTGACAATCTGAGCGTAGGGAGCAGCACATTAATGAAGTATTGCGTGAGTGAGTGTTGGCCTGCGCTCCACAATACTCGTCACCGGAGGGGAACGATAAATGTTTTCTTCCGATGGCAAGGCTTCGGTCATTGTCAGCCCTTCCCAGCAAATGTCACACGAGCACGTTGAAAGCATCAACTACATCATCACTTCACTTACGAAGATATCGACATTGTAGCACAAACACACCGCCCTTTGTAGTTCGTCTGCCGAAATGTGGAAAGAGCACTTAGCAAAGCAGCTGCCAGAACGAGGAAGTGAAACACGACGCACGTAAAAATACATATCATATTCACAGCGCCAAATAATCTTTGACTTCCTCTTCACTCAACTTACGGAAAGTAGGTCTTGGCCGCCCAGTCCCTCCACCATGTGTTTCCGCCTGGAGTTCTTCCACGGTGGGAACCGTGACTACGCCAATCTCTATCGTCTTCTCGGTCATCTGCCCTTCAAAACCTTCCTTCAACGTGAGGAGGGCGGTGTGGATTGCATCCTCCAAGCTGATATCATCATTGTATCTTTACGTCAAAAAAGTAAGCGTTGACATGCATGTGATCGGCGCTGGATAAGACGTACCGCTTTTCCAAGAACGTCTTCGCATTTACCATATTTTTACCTATGGCACTTGCCTTCCACGCCCAGAAAGATCCTGATGGATCAACTTGGTATAGACTAGGACCGCGATGGATGTCCCATCCCGCGACAAGTAATGACACGCCGAATGGACGCACGCCACTATGAAAAAAATGTGTTCGCCTGAGCGTGCAACGCGTGTAGGGACATGCCAACCATACCCAGACTGCGTGGCTTGCTGCATAACCGTGGCTATTTCCTGCGTCAAAACTTTCGTGGGCGGATATTCACCATACACCTTCCAATATGCCTGAGCGCTTTTTCGTGCACGAGCAATTAATACACGAAAATCGGGACCCATGCCAGAGTATACGATTCCAATGTTCGGGCATACCACCGCCACCTTCTCGATCATGGAATCGTCTATAAGTATGGACGAAGATTTCTTCTCCGTGGCAATAACAATCCCGTTGGATGCTATGTGAGATAAGGACTGTGTTGAGGCGGGACATTACCAAAATTGGATACCTTTGATTCCAAGGCTTGTGGTACCCTGCGACACAGTAGCCAGGGCATGTTCGATCTGCACCAACTTCCCGCTCGGTGAGAAGACGGTAAGGGAATAACTGAAGAGGATTGAGAACAGCATCAAAGATAAGACGTATTAGTGCTACCTATATGCGCCGCCCTCTGCGCTGGCCATCGTCGAAAGGTTCGCGTGAAGAACTACTGATAGTACAAGACGTGATTACGGTGCTAAGTCGAACGCGCGTTCCATTACGCGTCCGTGTTGACATTTGTTTTGCAAGCGCCTTTAAATCAAATAGTAGCAAACAAAAAACATTGCTTCCTGTTACGAAATCGCCGTCCGCCCGATGACCTACGCTCGCTGCCATTGTTATGCTTAAAAATTCCAGAAACATGATGTTATGCCACAAAGTTTGATGCGTGTGGGCTTCTTCAGTTCTTTTCTTCTCTTTTGTTTCTGTTGCAGTCTTAGACGTGCTTCTCTGACAATAAGAACACATCGGATTCATCACGCCTCGCAAATATGTACCAGATCATATAAAAATGCGCGAGAGGCTCGTAACTTTAGCGACACAACTCATGTGCAATACCGGATACTGTACATCTCCATGATCGTTCCTTCAGCCTTTTCTCCATCCATCACTGCGTAGGGAAAGGGGTTGTTCTCAGATACGGCTGCTCGACGCGACGTTATTCGTAGCAATCTTAGTTTTGTGCAGAACCACGCACCTTATGGACCGTCACTTGAGGGAATAACACCTTGGCCTGCTCGGTAGAGACAGCCGGGTGAACAATAACATCATCACCCTTCTTCCAGTTCACCGGTGTAGTTATCCGGTACTTGTCACCAAGTTGCAATGCTAATGAATAGTCATGTAAGGTTACAAGATGATTGCAACGAGCAAATGCTTACAATCAACGACGCTGATCATCATAAAGTTAACATCCTTTCTAACAAGGCACCGGATCACTTACCGCAAAACCTCGTCAAAGTTGCGGCCGGTAGAAGCAGGGTAAGAAATCGTGAGCCGGATGACCTTCTTGGGGTCGATCACGAAGACTGTGCGAATCTATTGCGGATGAGCGCTGATCGTAATCGACACCTCCGATGTGTAAACGAACCGTGAAAGGAAGGCCCTTTGCATCACGGTTGGTAGCATCCTGTTCATCAAGCATGTCATAAAGGGTCGAAATTCTCCTATCCTCAGTCGGCGATCTACATTAGATAGCATCATGCAACAGCGCTGGGTTAGGGAAGGGCGTTGAACACGCACAATAGGGAACTGGACGTCGGTTGGACCAAATTTAGCACCGTATTCATTGATGTCCTGAATCCAACTGTTGTGGTCTTGAAGGTTATTAGCGGAGATTCCGATGACCTTGACGTTCCGCTTTGCAAAGTCATCTGCGCGACGGGCGACCTCACCGAGTTCGGTGGTGCAGACAGGAGTAAAGTCGCCAGGGTGCGAGAACAAGATAACCTTATAGAAGTTGTTAATGAAGTACTTGAGGGCTAACGCGTACACACATACCCATGAATCCCCAATAAACTCGTGGAACTTGATAGGACCTGTAGTTGTTTCTGCCTCAAAGTCAGGGGCGATACTTCCGAGACGGAGGGAAGGCATGGTACGGGCGTTATCTGTGAGAAAGAAAGAAAAAGTTCAAATTCCAAGTTGTGACAGCTTGAATTACCCCGCACCCCTTTATACTCTTGGGCGCAGACGATTAGAGGGGCATCAAACAAGAATGGCTAACTATTACGCCTTCCTTTCTCACGTGCAACTCATGTCCAGTGTTATCGCTTGCAACGAAAAATTGTGTTATTCTGAGGTGATATTAAAAAAATAACAAAATGTCAGAAGCCGGCAGATATTCTGCGTGGGATGATGTTGCCATCCGGAAGCATTTCTAGTAAAATGCTACCGCATGCAGGATACTGTGTGGATGTCGTTCTTGTTGCGCCTGCAGTATCTTATCAATGTCCTCATCCAAATCTTGGCATGCCTCTATCTGCATATTTTCTCATCAGCATTTTAGTCTTGAAGTAGTGAACACTACCGACCGCGGCTGCCAAATCCAACATCGGCCTTTCCAGCAATCAGTGCCTCCTCAGTGGTTATCCTTGATTTCTATGTTGATGATATGCACCGGCCTGTTGAAATCGCCTCCACGATTCAGAAGATCTTCCTGATTGTCAGCACGTTCAAACTATGTCGTAATTTGCACCAACTCACCATCACATACAGCGTCAAAACAACGCTCCTCGCACGTGATTACCACATCCGCTATGGCTCTGCTATCTTGCCAGCGCTCTGGAGCGAGCTTTATTTTGCGGTTGCGATCTAGCATTTGAAGGAGCCCATTTGCCGTATACCTTGTTTCCAGCCGACTTAAATTATTCAAGGTACACTCTGCAAACTCCACTCACAGACGCGGGTCCTTTGCTTGTAGTTCTTCAAATATCGAGTTGTACGGCGTTCCAAAAGCATATATGTTGGGTTTGTCTATCGATGGTCCAGGAAGGCGGACAGCAGAATCCCGTGCCGAATGAAATGACACGATAGCCTGCTTTTCTAGAGTGAAGTCAGCCTAATCCTAGGTCGCAAAACGCAGACCATCACACACTGTAAGACATGATGTCCCTCCATAGAACGGTTCTAAAGAGTGTAGAAGTACCTCTGCCAAACATCTAGTAGCAGCATACCTGATTGCTTGCACAGACCACACAGAACAGTGTGCGGGGTTTGTAAATGGACAGCGGAGGCTTGTCGACACCGGATATTGTCACTGTACTGCTCCCTGTACTTGATGTTGCTTGTCGGCTAGACGGCCGCGAGACTTGTTGGGCTGACGCATATGATCCCGAGGGCGGCCATGGCACTGAGGACTGTGCCTGCTGTGGCGGTACGGGCGACCCCGACGCTAGCCGTTGGATGCGTGGGTCAGCGCGTGCAAGACGAGGATCACGGGCTCTACGTGGATCCATGAAATTCTACGAAAAGGATACCAGAGCAGTCAATAAACGCCCGGGTCTAACGGTAGGACAGGTTGAAAAATCAGAAGTATCTAGAACATTGTGGTCATCAACCCAACCCAGCCATGCCCAAGTTCGCAAAGCGAGTCGATGCAGCTTCCACTCTGAATCATCACAAGAGACGTCATGGCTATGATAGGCTCACCTCAATGGTTGTGGAATGGGCCACACTAGTAAGAAATTTGCTCCTGGGACGATTTACAACAGAAGCCTCAGTTTGTATACGAAGAGCACTTGGATGGTGGGCAAAACTAAAGGCCCACAGCAACTGGCTATTATTGAAGGCGCCCGTCTCTTCTGGTTCGCCTGATCCCAGCTCTCGGTGTCACTGAAAAAATATAAAGGGTATGCGGCTCGGCGTGCTTGCACTAAAGCACGTTTCGGTCACATGACCTGGAATCCAGTCCACTTCGTCTTGAAGTTCCGTACCTATCCTTCAAGATGGGATATACGGACCGCACTGAAGACTTTCGGGGTGCCTTGGCGCTGCAAAGGAGTCTTACGCCTTCCAAGCGGCGGAAGGTGTCTACTGAGGACACTAAATCTGTCTTTGGCGCAGAATACCTCCGCGAGGCTTACACCATTGTACGTCGCTGTTGGTTCCCACTAATTTCTGTCTCAGGACGTCTTCCTCAGCTGAATCATATTAATACACTGGCCCGAATGTTGGCTCTCATCCGCAAGCCGTATCTTAGCGTGGACTCACATTCCTCCCCTTTGGGCTGGCGAGGTCCTCGGAATCTTAACCTTGACGACCTGGATGGAACGTGGTCAGAAATTCGATATCTTACGAATGAAGAACGGGATCAGATTGATCTCCAAGCTCGCGTGATATTTTCACGCTGTGCGGATAGAATCAAAGCCATGGAAGCGCTAGAAAAGCGTGCGGTTTGTTTTCGTGCTTTTACAAATGATTCCCAGTGACACTCCAACTCACCAGGGCGTGCTGAGTTGACGGCACGCGAAATCAACCCAATCACAAGGTTCCTACCAGCGAAATTCCGGCATGACGATTCAACCATAGCATCCGAGTATACCGCAGCCCACCATTCCAGCATTACGTGGTACCTCAATCGTCGTCTGACTGAGGCAAGCCAAACCCAGAAGTCAATGCAAGAGGAACGTGTGAAGCGCCAATTGGAGAGGTCACGCACCCTAGGATCTAGTGCCGCGCGTGAAGCTATGACCATCGGGACAAAGGTTTCCCTGCCAGAAAAGCGGGAGACGAGTTCCGATAGGTGGCTGGAGGGTGCTTCCTCTGCACTGGTTTCTGGCATAGTGGCGACCATTGGTGTCGCGTCCTACCGCCATAAGGACAGCGCCCAAGGCTTTATTAGCACTACATCATCGACAGATGACGACACGGATAACGAGGACATTGAATTGACTCAATCGCAGATCCTCCAATTCGAGGCAGAAAATACTGACTCTCTTGCGGTCCGCCCAGGATACACTGGAGTCTGTGCAACAAGCGGAGGCACGACTAATGGATATCAGTAACCTACAAATGGAGCTTGTCGCCCACCTAACCCGCCAGACGGAGCTAACAGATCAACTGTACGAGGATGCGATGGCTATAACATCCACAGTTGAGAAGGGAAATTCACAACTTAGAGAGGCCAGACGCCGGGCCAAGGACAGTAGAATTTTTATCCTCGTGTTCCTCGTTGGGGCCAGCCTATCGCTACTCTTCCTGCATTTTTATTGATCATTCTTCATGTTTGGTACTTATCTACTGCCTGACTGCATTACAGCAGGTCGTAATGCAAGCTATCATTACATATCGTTCAAAGGGGAGGGGAATATGTTTCACGCGGTACATATCAACCTGGTGATGGGAGAAGACATTTCACATGATATACCAAAAGCCCTCCGGGCACTCCTGGACGCTACGAGTACAAACACGAGTAGAGGAGGTAGTTTCACGAGAGATAACCCCGCGTCATGTTACAGGAGGCTATGTATATGGCTAGAGAAAGACGTAGTCTAAAAGGAGTGCTTGCATATATTGCAACTACGAGAAGTAGGCAGCGCAGATCGTCCATTTGCTCTTTCTAAGCTGTTGTTAGAGATAGCATTAGGTAGTGTGAAGATTCAACGCTATGAAGAAGCCTAGGTGTTGTGAGGTGACCGAGCGTGAACTGCCATCATCACTGACATCAACCACCAAACCGCGTGCGCCGCCGCCTGTCCATGTCCATTTCGACCTGAGATCGCTGCAAGTCGCTCGTCATGATTCAAGTACGGGCGTGAAATAAGTCGGCCGCACCCCGTAAGAGCAATGATTCCCAATCTAGCTGGCCCGGCTCTTTCGGTCCGGCAGAAACTCGGGGGACAAAACAACTTTCAGATCTCAGACCTGGACCAGGATGCGTCCAGGAACACTCGAACGCACACGTAAGTCAGGTGACTATAACATAACACATCCACGTCTGGCGCGGCCTCCGACCCGAGAAGCTGGATGTTGATCGCTGCCTTTGACTGGTGCCAAGTCGCTAACTATGGAGAAGTTCTCTGCGTTTAGGGTGAGGTTTTGAGTTGTGTTGAGTCCGTTTTTCCACTTTCTCACTCCAGTTTAGGACCCTGGCACAGGGATTCAGGTCAGTCTCTCAGTCCTCGCGCTTCGCACTGTCATATTTAATGTGACATAGCCATTTCTTCTGCCTGTTTCACCCTCAGATAACGGTTCATCTGCGACACTGTTACTCCCAATTCGCGGCGCCGCACTGATATTGAGGACCTTTCTGATCGCCGCAATATTTCTGTTGTACTGCGGCTTGCATTACGGATTATGCACCTTACTCGTGAGTGCACCCTGGTGCACTGAGTGTTGCCTCACAATACCCAGGTACCGATACCTCTACTCCGTCGTTCTCTGTCACGACTTGCAACACGACTTGCGGCTCGCCTGGCTCTTTATGTATTAGGTTTCATGCAGATACAGGAAGAAATTGTTGCTAAGAAACGGTCAGTACATCAATTATTTTATGCGGTTGGCAATTTTCGTGAATTAATCTTGGCAGGAAACTGCATGAGATTCCACGGTGTCCACAGGCTGGTGATATCATCGTATCTAACTGGAGTTCGTGGATAGACCTGCTGTGGATGGTGTACAGGTGAAGGATTATTTCAATTTAAACAGTCACACGCGTATAAGCTAACGGATCATATAGATTTGATCCTATATTTGTGATGCCTGTCTTTGAGGAGCGCAAGTCATCCGTCGTAAATTCTGATTCGTCCCCCATCACTTATAGACCAGGGCGTAGTAAAGATTCTGGAGTACCCTCACCTTCAAGTTTGCAGACCATAACTTCTCGCTCGGCGGTTAGGGGTTTCCGCCGAGTGTCGTTATTTTCGATGATACAGACTACAGGTCATACTCCAGATCGGTTGACCTTCAACACTGTATCACAGCTAAAGGAACTGAAGCAGTCCGCGGAACGACCGGTTGTTGTGTTTCCTGAGTGCACCACTAGCAATGGCCGCGGATTGCTTCGCTTTGTTGATGTCTTTGAAGGTACCCATCTCCCTACAAAACAATTTAAAGTTTTTATCATGTGTATCAGGTAATGATGCCAGTTGGGTATCTCTCTGTTTATCTGATCGGTACTTTAGATATGATCCTCCTACTCCTCGGAGACCGTCCCCCTCACATCCAATACCGTCTTATTCACTAAATCCTCTCCGCCACCTCTTTACGCTCTTGACATCCCTGTCCTCTCAACCCATGTCTGTTTGCATGCTCCCCCCCTCAGAGTCTCCTAGTTCTGACCTATTCATGGCGAGCGAAGTCGCACCGGTAGATTCACTTTCGGAAGCTTGTGCTGTTCTGGTGGAGAGAATCGGTAAAATGCGGCGAGTTCGCTTTGGTTGGGAGGACAAAGCTACCTTCTTGGATTTCTATTGGAGTCGGCGCCGGTAGATGGCCTAGGACGCTGATGGAAGCCATATCTCGCTTGGTGACCCTGATATAACTTTAAGTTGCGAAACCACACCCTGGATATTGATATGAACGTTGATGGTTTCCACACGGGCTCACTGACGCAGCTGCTGTGAGCAAGGGCAAATTGCGAGATGAATTAAATTGTGGTCGACTACATCCTCGTAAGGCTCGGGAGGCAAGCGCAAGTACGCAAGCAGGAAAAGGCAGTTACACGATCGGAGATGCGAAACCCTGTCAACGGATCTGAAATTTTATATGGTTGTGGCCATCATATCTTCATCAGCCTAGGTCCCGAAGTTGGTAGTTGTAAAGGAGCGTGACTTGCGTGTTCTCACTAGTTGCATCACGCGTAAATTGAGGAACAAATAGTATTGTGTTCAATTGCTAGTGTACGAGGGCTGACCTTGAACGACCAAAAGTTGGGCGAGAACGGAACCTTGCCCACTGCTGGGGGATGGCGAAGAAACGACTTTTATCGGGTATAACGGAAGGTAAAGAATGTCTCCAAAACAACAGAACTGAGAACGTCTATGACATGGGTCCCATCGCAAGGACGTTGATTGCCTTTCCAATGATAACATCCTTAATCGATTAAAAGGTCTCCATCCAACTCTGCAAAGCCATCAAAGAGAGAGCTAAAAGCGTCAATAGCATGTTGAACGTCATGAGAGCCACCAGTCTCTCGAATGGAATGCATTGAGAGCATAGCATTGCCAACATCCACGGTGCGAAGGCCAATCTTCGAAAGCATGGGCCCAACGGTTGAACCGCATGCCCTATAAATTGGTTTGTGACTATGTAGGTGAGATATAGTGAACGATGAAGGGAGACTCACATGTCGTTCCGCACCTCGAATTCTTGCACTTTTCCTCCTTTCCGTTCGACAAGCTTTCTGAATAGAAAAGTACTAATGGCATCACTGGCATATCTCTGCTTCGCGTTCGTCTTTATGATCATACCACCGTTTATGATAGGTCTATGATTCTCCTCGTGCTTTGTACTGTAATTGGGATGAACAGCATGGCCCATATCCGCAGAAACAACGAAGGACCGCGAAACCGACTGTGAATACAAAGCTGGTTCGGGTGAGAGTCGTTGTAGAAGAGATGGAATCAGGGACGATTCTGCCCCAGTTGTAGATACACTGCCGATTTCTTCGTGGTTGAAAAGAGCGACACAGTTTACATTCCCAACAAACTCATTGAAGTTAGGGTTTTCCGCGTGGGTGGCAATAGCTTCCACAGCACAGTATCTGTGAAGATAATCAACATTGGAATCTTTACAGCGGAACTTTCATTACTCACGAAGAAAACTGGTTATCTAAGCGCGGGCTAAAGATGAATTCATTGCCGATGCCTCCTAGAACAGAAGGTTGTGTGTCGTAGAGGTGGCTAAAGTCGAATTCTCGATTGAGATCGACTGTGGGGACTACTAGATACTCGAGGACATACAGTTCGAAGTCATGGATTTCTTCCGGTGCAACGGAAAGCTCTTCTGCCAGGACCAGGAGAAGAGCCGGGTGATGCTTGACCTGAATACTTGATGCAGAAGCGCCTTGGATTTTCACATCGTTCAGTTCGCCCTCTACAAGTCCAAAAATAGGGATGAATTCGGACTCCTGGTTGAACTTGAACGAATCGTTGACATTTCTGTCCACTTAAAACTCTGGTAAAGAACTGCAATGACTTGTACGAATATGCTTACAGTGTATGGCAAGCGACGGGATTCGCAAAAGAGGTCGGTCGATTTTGACGAGTTTGGAACGAAAAGTTCCACCATGCTGTACCACAATCACTCTTCCCGCCAGAGACAGATCGCGATCGAACCACGAGTGCCAGATGCCCCCTCCATATGTCTCGATGCCAACTTGGAGGTAACCCAAATTGTTCTTCTTGGAAACTGGGCGTACCTACGCCGAACAGCCATTTATCGTCAATCAAATCACAAGTAACAAACTCTTACTCACCCTCAGATTCGGACTATCGACATGAGTTGCTACTATGGAGACACCTGTTCCGGGCCTCCAGTTCGAAGGCGTTGTAAATGCGATTAAAGAAGTTTGATTTCTGATCGATGTTCACGATATCGATGGGTTAAAGAACAGCCACAACTCTGACGAACCTTGTGTAGTAATACTTTCCCTGAGGCTGAAGATCCCAATCATCAGTCTCTCTGATCTATAACACAGGTTGAGTACGTGCACAAAGACGAATACCCGAATCACCACCTTTCGAAAGCCCGCGGCCTCTAAGCGTATTGCTGCGTTTTGAACGGCGTGGAAAGGTGTTGGTGAAGCGTTGATGAAAGTCAACAGCCGCTTTGCTGCTTCTGGGTAGATGGACATTTGATTTGCTTGGAGCGAATATCACGAACGACACGATGTAACTGAAGGTTGTACTGAACTTTCCGTAAACGGGCATGGACGACTCGCATGACGTACATAATATGTGACATGTGAAAGGACTGCCCGATCTAGCAATCGTGAAGAAAAGGGTTGCTGGGAACTCGAAATCTTCTGGAGTCAATTGTCATGGTCCACAGTTACTTGAGGCATGGACCCACGCAGGTAGGCAAATGAACCGAGGGATTCCTACCGGAAACTAATCCGAATTTTGCAGGCGTTTGGGTTGATATGTAGCAATTCTTCAAATTCTAAATATGGTGACAAGGTTGCTTATGTGCCAGCACTGGAGGATGTCCTGGTCTGGGATGTAAAGAAAGGTCAACTGGTGCGAAATATCTCCGTAGCGAGTGCAGGCTTCTCAGTGATTCTGCCAGCTTGCTGTGTGGCATGAAACAGGACACCGTTCCGAAGTGACCTGCATCGAACGTTCTCCACAAGAAAACGTCTTCGGGGTAGGCTATGCTGACGGCTCCATTCGTCTATGGGACAGTGGTTCCTCTTCTGTCATTGCGACTTTTAATGGACACAAAAAAGCAGTCACGGCACTGGCATTCGATAACGAAGGAACCAGGTTAGCATCCGGATCACAGGACACGGACCTCATTATATGGGATATTGTAGCGGAAGCTGGTCTCTATCGGTAGCCATTTTTTCTCATGGTTGATGCCATACTTTACTCACCTCTCAAAGTTTGCGCGGACACCGCAACGAGGTGACTGGCGTACGTTTCCTTGTCCCCCAAGCAACTCGATCAACCTCTGTGGACTCTCCGTCCTCCATTTTGTTGACGGTTTCGAAGGACACATTGATGAAAGTGTGGGACCTTAGTACCCAACATTGTATGCAAACGGCTGTTGCCCACCGCGCTGAAATTTGGAGCATGGACATTAGTTCAGATCAGAAATACATACTCACTGGAAGCAACGACGGGGATCTAAAGGCGTGGAAGATAAACTATGAAGCAGTGGCGAACGGGCTACGAGAATCTGAATCCGGAGAGGTATGCAAGGTCGTACAACTGATATCTGGCCTCACGTCAGAAATGTCTAGATCGACAAGATCATCGATTTCACTGCTTCCTTCCCTTTGGCGCTTCACCACCGCGCATCCCGTGTTCTATTTCACCCCTATCAACCTTATCTTGCTGTGCAGTCGCACGAACGCTCCGTCGAAGTGTTTCGAATCCGCACTGAGGAAGAGGTCAGAAAAAAAGAATTGCGACGACGTAAGCGGGAAAAGGAGAAGAAGGGGAAGGAGAAAGTAGGGTCCACGGTAACCGAAACCAAAAAAACGTTAGATGAGGGTGATCCTAAGCCGGATGAAGCCATCCTGCCTGACTTCTTTGCACCGCTTTTGGTCGTCCGGGCGAGCGGGAAGGTTCGATCATTCGACTTCGGCACTAAAGATACTGGGAAAGGGAAATCGAGCGTCCAGGTGGGCTTTGTAAACGAGAAAAATCCGACTTTGATTGAGATCTTGTTGAAAGATCTTTGTGGCTCTCACTTCTAATGCCCTTGAAGTATATGACATCCCCCCTCCCACGACATCAAAGGGTGAAACCCTTGAAGCAACTCGTGCATACGTTCTTGATCTCCCAGGTCATCGCAACAATGTCCGAACTTTATGTTTGAGCTCGGATGACCAAATCTTGGTTTCGGGTTCCAACGGTTAGTGGCTGCATTGGTTTCGGGCTGGGATTCGCCCGTTGAAGCCTTTCCAGGGTCCTTGAAAGTATGGAATATGAAGACCACTGCGTGCATCCGCACCATGGATTGCGGCCACGCCACATGTAGCTGCTTCCTTCCAGGTGATCAACACGTCCGTTGAGAATATCCCTTCTCTTGCGTTACACTCACGACTTCACCACAGGTCGCGGTCGGAACTAAGTCGGGCGAGATATTGATTTACGATCTGGCTTCCTCAACTCTCGTTGATTCAATTAAAGCTCACGGCGCAACCGTGTGGTCGCTACACGTTCGACCGGACGGGCAAGCGCTTGTTAGTGGCAGTGCTGATAAAGAAGTGAAGTTCTGGGAGTTCCGGCAAGAAACCGCAGTAAGTATAGTATAATTCACGATGTCTTCTAATAACATCGCTCGTAGGCTCATCTCAAGAAATCATTGTCGCTAGGGCATGTACGGACGCTCAAAATGTCCGACGATGTACTGTCCGTGAGGTATAGCCCAAATGGAAAACTTCTGGCGGTGTCACTACTAGACGCTACGGTAAAAATTTTCTACCAAGATAGTCTGAAGTTCTTCCTCTCGCTATACGGACACAAGGTCAGAGGCACACGAAATCTTTCGCTTCTACCAGAATTAATTCTGTCGTAGTTGCCGGTCTCCTGCATGGATATATCCGACGATTCAAAGCTGATAGTTACAGGTTCTGCTGACAAAAACATTAAGATCTGGGGTCTTGACTTTGGCGATTGTCACAAATCGATATTTGCTCATGAAGAGAGTGTGACGCAGGTCTTCTTTGAAAAAAAATCACATTATTTCTGGACTGTAGGCAAAGACAGATTGTTGAAGTATTGGGATGGTGATAAGGTTGGTTTGGTTATTGATTGATAATCATTCAGCCATATTGATGGTTAGCTTAGTTCGAGAACATTCAGAAGTTAGACGGACACCATAACGAGATTTGGGCATTAGCAGTCAGTAATCACGGAAATTTTGTCGTAACTGGTTCGCACGACAAATCCATTCGAGTTTGGGAGAAACTTGATGAACCTGTATGTGTTTTGGTTGTATGCACGTTCTCGGCTGAACTGCTTCCAGCTCTTCCTCGAGGAAGAACGCGAGCGCGAACTAGAGAGTGTTTTTGAGCGCGGTCTTGTCGATTCTCTGAATCGCAGCGAACCTGGAGATGAAATTAATGGCCAATCGTCTACCGAGGTTACCACTGTAACAAAGCAAACAACGGAGACTCTAGTTGCTGGTGAACGTATCATGGAAGCCCTGGACCTTGCAAATAGCGAACTTGAAGCCTTGCGGGAGTTTGAGGAGCAGAGAGGCCGTGAAAACATATCGGAGGCGTTCAATTTACAGCCTCCGCCTCGGAACCCCATATTAGCGGCCCTTGACCTGAAACCAGAAGCCTATGTGTTACGAGTCGTCGAAAAAGTGCCGAGTACTGCCCTCCACGATGCACTGCTAGTGCTCCCATTTACCAAAGTTATATCCTTGATGCACTATCTGGATACGTGGGCACGAATGGTAGGATTTGGTAATAAAAATGCCAACGACACTAAAGCATTCAACTAGGGTTGGAACGTCACGCTTGTAGCCCGTATTATGTTCTTCTTGTTGAGAGTACATCACCACCAGATTGTCGCCAACAAGCTCATGCGGACATCGTTGATTCCCATGCGCAATCACCTACGCGGCGCACTTCGGCAAGAGAAGGACATAGTTGGATACAACTTGGCTGCCCTGCAGCACATGCGACAGAAACATGAAGCTGAGGGAATTGCACAATTCTTGGAGCAGAATCTTGAAGAAGATAATGCACAGGGACTTGCTGGGGAAGGTAAAAAGAGGAAGAGGGTTAGCATTAGGTGATGACGCGTTTGTTATATTCGGCTATGTACCATTAGTAAAATCTAATGTGTCGGGCGACACAATGTCAAGTCACCAATGAGCCACCCACAAGACATGGGACTTTTGTTGTGTTTGCAGCATCACAACATGGAGAGAAATAGGTGAGATAAAATGAAAAGAGAGATAACAAGTGATGGATATGTAACGATAGTCATAAGACTCTGGTCAACCTGGACTAAAAAGCACGTCCATAATCATATCCATCTTGTCCCCCATGCCCCTGGTATTGGCCGTATGGATCCCCGTAATGGCCATAATCATGGACGTATTGCTGCGGCTGAGAGTGACTCGGACAGTCCTGCACATCGCGAGTCACTCCCCCTTCGCTTGGCAGTCGAGTGCCCGGGGAAGCTCTTCCCTGGTACAATTCGTGAATATCTGTGGGATATGTACCTGCCGCACCTACGACACCGTAGGGATCATGTCGGTAAGTGGTGAGCGCTGGAGCTGACGAGTGACTGATTGGACCATCGTAGTTGTCCACATCACCAACATGACTGGGAACCCCCTCCTCGAAGGCAGATGCAGAATTGTAGGTCGTGCTTGCCTGCTGGGAGTAGGGCACGCTGTAGGAAGGCATAGGGGGATAGTCCGCATAGTCGCCTCCACCGGGATTCGTATGATAACTAGGGGCTATACTCTTGCTGTCAGAGCCATAGTAGTAGTCCTGGGTATGAGTACTGGGCAAACCACGCTTAGTAACCGAAACGGTATCTGCGTCGTCATCAACTGAGAGATTCGGAAGGGTGGGTTGTGGCAGGGGCTTAGCGATCATCTCCCCCTTTTTGTTCATAAGGTGGGAATAGTCGCCCATGGCTTCTTTCCTGGCCAAGGCAGCAGCCTTTGCTAAACGCTCTTTATTCCGACGTTTGATGACCTCCGTGATGCGCTGCCAGGACAGTTGAGTATAAAGCAAAATACTCCGATCGGTGGCCTCCTACCTTATCAACTTTGTGACAAACATATTCCTAGTGATGGGTTGAGTCATCGATGCAACGAGCAGCCAAGTGAATCTATTCACCTTCAAGTTTCCTTGGATGTAACAAAGAAGGGGGATGTAAAAGACACCGGCACAAATCAGTAAGAAGAGAGAGCCGGCGAAGATCACAACGGTGAAAAATGTCGAGATCATCAAAGCAGAAGTTGAGAAGCTGTTTCCCGCAAAATACTTCGACACGTTGTACCAAGGACCATTACCCTTCTTTGCTAAGTAGATGCTATAGAGCGTGAGGGCATTGATCGTTTGACGAGGTCCATCAGACAGAAGCAGCCGCTTCCAGCCTGTGCAGCTCACGTTACCATTGCCACTGTATAATGGCAACTCAGATACTCACTCTTGAAGGTGAAGAAAATGAAGAAAGCGAAATCATCCTTCTTCTTTGTAGAGTTACTGATATGGTCAAAGAAGCAGAAGTGGTTGTAGGAACCTGAAACGGCGCCGTGAGAAGTGCCATCCAATTGATGTTCAGAGGAACGTACGCAGTGAATAATAATGGTTTGCCATCACATTCGTGAAAGCATATGAGATGTCCCGACTTGCAATGATTTTCTTGGACTTGTGCGCCTCGTATGCCAACTGACAAGAATGAGTAATATCATACGTATTGCTACCAGCTTCACGTACCAAAAGAAAGCCAAATAAAATACACCCTACGAACAGCCACTTGCCAATGTCAAAGGGAATATAAAAGCACCCTTCCTGATGTTGACAGTCATTGTAGATTTGATTTGACCATGACGATGTGGTCAACATAGTAGTTGCTGAGAAAATGTCGGATATGTATACAAGGAACGACTTGAGGATAATGATATACAGCCATAGGTACCTTGAAACGCCGCAGGATCAGCTAAAGCATCCTACACAGTGCGACAGATACAGGAACTGCCTGGTGAAGCTACGCAGGTTGAGTGAACTAAAATATGAACTCACTTGAGCCGCATGAGAAAGCCATTGTCGGTGAATTCTCGCGTGTCGATGAAGTCGAACTGTATACCACGAGATGTAGTATATGATGGAGTGGATCGACAATAAAACGCACCTTATGGTCGGGAACAATCTCTCTTTTCCAAGCCGGTCCGGAGCACATTGTTTTCTAGTAGTTGGGATACGGTTGAGAGGTCGGGTTTCAGAGGGCGGTCGGAAGTCGCGACGATGCGACGCAGTCGCAAGTGAAGCCAAACGAAGGGAGAGCAAAGAGTGGGAGATAAAGAGAGAGAATTCCCGGCCAGCTCGCAGGAATTTGAGTTCACCGGTACTTGGAAGAGACTGGACAAGCTACTAAGTAAGAAACCAAGCGCAGCAACAAGGTATGCAAAATTACTAAATCCATAATTACCATAAACATTAACAAAAGACACCAAGGTTAACTGCATACCACTAGAATAATGGCCACAATTGTTCAGAAAATCAAGGTATGTTGCTTGGTATGCCAGGCCGCGTCTATTTCCTGACGCAGCCATCCTCAAGGAAATCGAAGATGAGATGGTAATGTTTAGTGACGTCTCCTGAACACCGTCAGTTATTCACAGTTCATCCCCCAGGCCAAAAGTATGTTCTATATCAGTACTGTTTACACCATGTCGAATGGGTGATCTTTTGTAGCTCAAAAGAATAAGGCCACCAGCTATCATCTGGGCCAGCTAAAGGCCAAGCTCGCGAAACTTAGGCGAGATCTGATATCGCCATCAGGAGGGGGTGGTGGTGGCGGAGGTGGCATTGGATTTGATGTAGCTAGGACCGGTGTAGCGTCAGTGGGCTTCGTTGGGTTCCCTTCCGTCGGGAAGGTAAGACATCAGATGCATGCTGCTGTGCTCAGGAGGGACTTAAGAAAGTTTTCGAAGTCTACACTGATGTCCAAACTTACGGGTACTCATTCAGAGGTCTCTGAGATAGATTTCACGACCCTTACCACCGTTCCTGGGACGCTCAAGGTGCATGGTGCACCCATCCAAATTTTGGACCTGCGTAAGTCTTCCGGGATAGTCCCTACTAGACACACCTAAACAACCATAGCTGGTATTATTGAGGGTGCGAATGACGGTCGTGGTAGAGGTCGTCAAGGCAAGCACTTTCACCTTTGCATGACCTTCACTTTCTGACCGGAACTTTATTTCAGTCATTGCTGGTATGATGACGATAAGTTTGGTGCCAAAAATATATGCTGAATTTTGTCAGTGGCCCGAACATGCAACCTCATCTTCATCGTGCTGGATGTTCTCAAGCCTCTTGGTGACAAGAAAATAATCGAGGGGGAGTTGGAAGCTTTTGGCATACGTCTCAACAAGAAGCCACCAGCGATCACCGTACGCAAAAAGGACAAGGGTGGAATCGCCGTCACGAACACTGTGCCTCTCACGAACATTGACCACGACGAGATCAAGGCGATTCTCAGCGAGTACAAACTCAGCAATGCAGATGTCACCATACGGGAACCAAACTGTACTTCTGATGACCTCGTGGATGTAATCGAAGGCAACAGGTCAGGTTTTGCGTCATGCATTCTTTGTATCTTCCTTCTCTCTGACTACTGCAGCAGAGTATACATCCCTGCAATTTATGTAAGTTGATTCTTGCTTGCACCCTTGTCGTGCGGTGTTCATTTACTTTTACAGGTATTAAATAAAGTAAGGTCGTTCTCCTTATAAAATCCATGGAGTCTCATCCGGAGTTTAGATCGATGCCATATCAATCGAGGAGCTCGACTTATTGTGCGTAAAGTAAACGATGCTCGCGAGGTGCTGACACCGTGTGCGCTTTAGGTACAAAATTCCTAACAGCGTTCCAATATCATCCAAGGAGTGGCTAAATGTCGACGAGCTCATTGAGAAAATGTGGGAAGCGTTACAACTTGTTCGAGTCTACACCAAACCACGCGGTCAGTCGCCCGACTACTCTGCACCGGTCGTGCTCAGACACGGCAAATCCGCAATCGACGATTTCTGCAATGCAATCCACAAAGAAATAGCGAAGCAGATGAAATAGTATGATCAATATGTCTCATGTGCAATCCCCCGTATCCTTATGTTTCTTCAGTGCCGTTGTATGGGGATCCAGTGCTAAGCACGCAAGAGGGCAGAAGGTTGGCCTTGACCACGTTCTCGAGGATGAAGATGGTGCGGGTGTTGATCCCGCACAAGCTACTCGATCTAATGCTTTACTTAGTTGTTCACATTGTGAAGCGGTAGATGCGATGACTATACATCCGGGGACAGGTTACTTTGGACTCGCCCCGAAGGCATTACTAAAATACAAAATACTCAGTCTCGTAAATGCCCACACCATTCCAATAGCACAGTAGACGCTTGTGGCCATAAGGGGCAGAAACTGAATGTCAGGGTTTTTCCCTGCTATCATTGGGATAGCCACGAAGAAAACCTGGAGGGGCATGAAGCCTATGACATAGGCATATTCTAGTTGATCTAAGAGTGCCAGAGGCCACGAAGGAGGGAACCTAAAACCATTTAGACGAGAACTAAGAATAGTCATGCAACTCACTCGTAAACTTGTTTGTAAAGAGGGCAAATTGTCATCGTACCCCAAGCAAGGGAGTAGATTATCTTGATTGGCGCCTCTGTCCTCCCATTGGTAAGAATAATGGTGCTAGCACAAATTTTGCATACCTGCAGAGGTGAAGAGGAGCGGGAGCAATGAATATATCCCTGCAGTGCTGGCGATCATCCATGTTTTGAAGTACGCATAATTATCTGCTGCGAGAAGACTGCACTCGATGAACGTTTACAACGGCTCGGCAATGCCTAACGAAGTACGAAACTTTACCTAAGCGGAACGAGGACAAGAAGGATGGCTTTCTCGTGTACATGCCACCCGAACAAGAACGAAGTAAATCCACATAGCGCGAGGGCATTTAAGAACGACTCATACGTTGGTGTTCTCCATAACTTGATCATGTACACCTTATAGGGATATGTCAGCGCCTATTGGTACCTTCTACGACGGGTTGCCATACCATTTGGACACAGGCAGTTATCAGAAATGTGTGGAAAGGTTTGACGTGAGGAATAACAGTAAACACGGTATCACCGACAAGACCTCGAGACGCCGAAGCTATTCCCTGTTCATTGATGGTGATCCCCAAGCTTGAAACGGGTTACCACTGTGACGCAACCTATCAGAAACCGGAAATAGGCTCTCTAACATGGCACGACATACATCGTAACAGGACGCGGTCCTGCTGCTGTCACTAGTGCCCACACATTCGGCGCCCAGTATGCGTGGTTCAATCCGCGTGTGAAGGGAAAGAGTCGGGAGAACAGTTGGGGTAGTTGACCCATCCATATGAATGGTCCCAAGGATGCTGTGAAAACCAAGATAACAGAACTGGCGAGAGCGACGAATCTCCCGCCGAGGATTTGTCCTGACTTTGACATACAGTACGATCGCAACAAGTAGATGAAGTAGGCAGGCTAACAACTGGACTCAGCAAAAAGACAGCGGTTTTGACAAGGACGTACCGCGAGATACATGTATATGTGCTTAAAATTGAGAAGAACAGCAAACAGCACTCCGCTATAGAGGTTTCTGCCCTGGTCGGGAAGCTCGATGAGAATTCGACACAATCAGACCATCTTGGGAACCTACCGCGCGGGCCATCAGGATAGACCACAACAAGATGGCAAACAAGAACCCATTATATTGAAAATGGATATGATCTACGATCAGAAATCCGGGGTGGAAAAAGAGAGAACCTGAAATCAGACGCTGGCGCGCAGGATCAGCCGCTCCCTTGGTGAACCTGAAGCATGAGGGTTAAAATATAAGAGAAAGAGAGAGAGAAATGCTATCACAGACTAACCAGAGCAACACTACTCCAAGGAGAAGTTCGGTTAGAATCACTGTGCACCGTTGGTATAGCGACCATGGTCCATGAACCATAACCAAGATTTTGAAGGTCTACAATAGCAGGATCCACGTATGCAGCTGGAATAGACAAGACCTTCTCGAAGTAGGCAAAGAACGGCGGATAATCCAGCGCTGCGGGGCGTTGATGAGCACGACAAGGTTTGGTTGCGTGGAAAGAATCTCACTCCACTCCGAGGTTGTCTGTAGGGCCAGGTTAGACACGACGATTTAAGTGCTGAGGCTGAGTATTCCCCTACATCATAGTACCATTTGGAAACGGGAAGCGCATGAGTGATTGCAAGCCAATTACGGTGTACTTCGAAGTCTGTCGAGCGACTGCAGAGCCATGGATTCCTGGTTATTGTTATTACACGACATCCACTTACTAGGATGGAAAGAGGAGCAGCTTGAGAGCGGTGGAGAAGAGTAAGAAGTCAATTTCTGAGCGTGTCATATTCCAGACTGAACCCCAGCGACGTGGAGGCTCGTTCACCACCCCCTCTTCAGGGTATGGGCGGCGGGGGATGCTGTGGAGAGCATGGTATAGCGGTGGACATGAAAAATGCCAGTCGAGATCACTGAAAGGAGTAATAACGACGCGAGCGCCCATCTCGGTGACTGCCTCCTCCGCAAACCCTTGAAGCTTGAAGCATCATGAGTGCACAGGTCTCAATTGCAAAGGACCACGGATCAGGCGACCGCAAGGTATGCAAAATATTTGATTCTTCGTTTCCGCCTGACGCATCCTTCACCGTATCGAATTTCCAGAGCGGCACTCATAAAGCTGCTTTTCTTCGCCGCTGCTCTCGCCGTTCTCCCTATTGCGTCATTTTTCCTCTCTTCAAAATACATCTGGGCCGGTACGCTATGCATATCTGCCCACTGTCCCTCCTCTTTCACACATGTCAGCAGGCAACGCGAACTATGCCGCCATCACCGCCATATGTGTTGCCAACATTGTCCTTGTCGCTTACATCGTGCTATCTGTATTGGAAGATAGGCAATCGTTAGCAGGAGCAGACGAAAGGCGAGAAATCGAACTGAAGAAGGACCGCTAACTAGTGAGGTTGACATCCTTATATCTACTCAGAGCTATGAATCCGTGCGGTGCCGTTTTATGCCGACAGAAACTCTCACTGATACTAGGCAGTCCCTTGGTGTTGAATGTCTTAATTTGGCCACTGCACTGAAGTCTACTCCTCCTCAGGATCCATGGTTCCCCCTGTAAGGAGACGCCAGACTTGCACCAAGTTGGCTGTACATATGGCCTAGATGAGTCTGACCGGAATGCGCAGGCCCGTTGACAGAGTACCTAAATCCCAGAGTCCATCCACTCGCCACGTCTCTTCTCGGGATGCTTCAGAGTTCTGGCAAGCTTGAATACCTACCTTTCCCAGAGCCTCGCTTGCGTGAACGACGAGAATCTGGTTGGGTATTATAAGGTTAGGCAACTTTACGCAGGAGAGTGCAATGATAATGTTCGTGCCCGCGAAGTCCGGATAGGCATGTGCGTTCATAGTTCGGGTTGGTGTCAAGGCTACGACTGATGTCATGCAAGCTTTAACTTAAAGTTGGGCGGGCCGATCTGACCCTTGCAGCGATCCCAACCACATGTGTATACATAGCAGGCCCGTGAAGTGCAAACAGCTGGAGATCAATTGCCATATGAATATCATACCAACAGGTATTGAAGAGAATGTACAAAGTAACCCGGTCCCAGCGAATGTCATACTATAACAATGCTATTAGTAATGTCATGGTCGTACAGAGTTCTGAAGGACGATCTATGTGTAGATGCAGGCATACAGAGGTGATATGAATATAACTCGCAGATAGACGTCAACCGCCAGCACTAGAAATCCTCATCTAGCGAGCTACAAAGAAAGTAATCATTAGAACTATTCGGCACGACAAAGAAAAAACTCACAAAGCCTTTGAAGCAGCTGTCTCAGACTTCTCATTTGAGTGAGCGACATTGGCCTTCGAATAGTCGGAGACTCGCTTCTCGAAGAAGTTGGTCTTCCCCTGGAGCGAGATCATGTCCATGAAGTCGAACGGGTTGGCGACGTTGTACACTTTATCGTTGCCAAGAGATACAAGTAGACGGTCAGCGACGAACTCGATGTACTGGCACATGAGTTTGGCGTTCATGCCGATCAGCCCAACCGGCAACGCGTCTGGGAATAGATGAGGACTTCTCGCGCAATGTGATAACCATAACATACCCGTTAAGAATTCTTGTTCGATTTTGACGGCCTCCTTAATGATGTGCTCTATTGTGTTTGGGTGGGGACGACGCTTGAGGTGGCTGAATAGGAGACATGCGAAGTCGGTGTGCATCCCCTCGTCACGGCTGATGAGTTCGTTAGAGAACGTGAGACCAGGCATGAGACCGCGTTTCTTCAACCAAAAGATGGAAGCAAACGATCCGGAGAAGAAGATACCCTCGACGGCAGCGAAGGCGACGAGTCGCTCTGCGAACGTTGAACGTTCGTCTGAAATCCACCTCAGGGCCCAGTCGGCCTTCCGCTTGACGCAAGGGATGGTCTCAATGGCATCGAAAAGGTATTCGCGCTGAACAGCATCCTTAATGTACGTGTCGATGAGCAAAGAGTACGTCTCCGAGTGAATGTTTTCCATCATGATCTGGAATCCATAAAAGCAGCGTGCTTCGGCGACTTGTACCTCGTTCGAAAAGCGCTCGACGAGATTCTCGTTAACAATCCCGTCCGAGGCCGCAAAGAAAGCCAGTACGTGGGAGATAAAGTGACGTTCATTGTCGTTCAACCGGTTGTTCCAGTCGTGGATATCCTTCGAAAGGTCCATCTCTTCTGCAGTCCAAAATGATGCCTCTGCCTTCTTGTACATCTGCCAAATCTGAGACATGATTAGTGGGGACTATGGTCAACAACTACCCAACATACCTCGTGGTATTGGATGGGGAAGAGTACAAACCGACGCCGTGACTCTTTCAAAAGCGGCTCTTCGCCTGTTGCACGTGTCAGTAGGGGAAGAAACGAGAATGCCACGCGCACTCACATTCTAGGAGGTCAACCTCGCCAACGAACTTCTGCCGGAGGGTGTCAAGGTCGTCTTCATCAGATACGTTGTCAGCCAGCGTGTCGGGTGACTCCGACCGCTTCTTGTCATCGATAATTTGTTTTGTTGGAGTGCGTAGCGAGAAGGCTTCGAGGGCAGCAGCAGCCTAACAGGGAAGCACAAATTATTAAACAGTGGACATTGACCGCGCCGCCGTGTGCCTACCTTCTTGGAGGGGGTTATAGACACGGAGGAGGGTGCACGGTCAACGGTAAGAGAGGAAGACATGGTAAGAGTATTTACACGACTCAGTGTAACAGCACAAAGCTATAGTTTGGTACGCGAACAGGTGGCCCAATTTATGTGTTCGACACGTTGGTATATGTTTGGTAGTCTCAACGCGTTACCGCGCCTGTCACGTGACTTGTTTGAGTGGCAAGATACGTTCCACGCGACTTGGCCAGGATATTTCCTATTGCCAAATGCTAAATGTTACAATTGCGAACGCCGCTTATAAGATTATCCGCAATACAAGAAATGTCGGACCCGTACGGGTGGGGGGGAAACAATTGTGGAGGAGGAACCAGATGTCGGCCTGACTACGGACTATCGCATGAGGTCACCATCAAAAGTACGGCTTAGGTGGCAGATGTTATCAAAAACCGTTCAGAACCATCGTTACAGTGAAATAGAATAAGGTAGGTCCCCATTCACGACCCTTAGTAGTCTAAATTGAAGAAAGCGGGAAACGTAAACCCCACAATGGTATGTGGGACAATAAATAGGCATCCCCGACCGACAATATCCACACGTAGAACGGCGTCAACCTATCCAAATAGTTTCTCGTAAATGATAATGCCGATGAGCAAGACAAGCACAATGATGATGGCTATGGTAACAACACGTTGTTGCTTCATCCTGTATACATAGTGAGAGATACATATTTCCAAAGGGACGACGCTTGGGAATAACCTACCGCCGGATCATCTTCTTCAGAGTTCCAGCCGCACGGTCTATCGAAGTGTCGGCGGTGTGGAGCTAAGAGGATATCAGTAACAGGATGTTTCATACACGTCGTCGAACAACGTACGGTATCTCTCGCATTCTCAATCTGCTCTCTTTGAGCACGTAGATTCAACAAAATCTCGGCACCCTGGTCCTCCGTCTCTAGAGCAATGCGATGAGATTCTTGCAGGCGTCTAGTCCCATCTTCCAAGGTTGCGGTCCCAGCAAGCAACCGTGTTCTATCACTTGTTGATCCGTAAGGCTCGTCAGACGATGGTGTACCGATTCTCCCTGACGAAGCAAGCAATTCTGTCCGTGAAAACTGGGAGTGGAAATCTTTGGAAAGCTTCTTAAACCGTGTTAGATCGGCCTTGGCCGCTTTCAAACGTGTCTGGTACTGTGGTTTGATAGACTGCGGTATCCCCTGAATCTCAATCTCCATTTGCGACACCTGTGCATGTTTTTACATCAGACTTCCGAGTCCAAGAAATTGTATTGTAAAATACCATTTCGTCCGCTTCTTCTAGCTCCATATCCGCCCTCCTTAAGGCAGCTTTCCTCTGTTCTGCACAAGCCGCCGCGTCAGCTGGTTGGGCAATTCATTGTCTCGTGTCACTAACCTCCTCGCTCATCCTTGGTGTCCCCGTCGAGTTTGGCCCGTACACTTTCAATAGTCTGTCGGAAGTCCTGTTCGTAAGAATCGAATAGCGTGGTTGGTGAGTTATCCATGGCTTGAACGACGGGGACAGTGTGAGTTGGTCCGATGGAGCGAACGTGCTGGCTGCGCAATACATCGGACCCGTCAATATTGTCCAAAAAAGGCAACCAACTCCTCCGAGTCCTACGTTGAAGGTGTGGTCATCGTCATGTCTGCTGACGCCCCGTAAGCCTTCTTTTTGACTGCCCGTGTCATTGCTTTTACTGAGGGTTCTACTTGAATGGCAGCGCATCGCTGTATCTTGACCCTCAGATACGTGATTGGGTTCTTTTCCCAATCACACTAGTTATGGTAGCCGTGAAACATTACTATCTCTCAAGTTCTGTTGAGAACATGTCGCGTTACAGATCCTTGTCGGCGTGCTACGGCATTATGTAGTTGTCCTTCTTCAGCCGCCACCAAAGAAACTTTCAAGGGCGGGCGTCCGTGAACAGTAGGTTGCCCCGCGTCCCCTCGTTTTGCTCCCAGTTCACTAGGTTCATTCAGGCGTGCACTAGCCCGTTCCCAAATCCTGCGAGCCACATCTTCCAAGTCTCTAATTCCCCCAGCTTATCACAAAGCCCTGTCTCAATACCTTTCAGACGCGTTCAAGGATGGCGTATACCTCAAAGATGGTCCACCAAACGGTGATGCAGCGTCGTCCGCCGCGAACGCGCTGACAGATCCAGCGGCTATGGATGGCATGATGGCAGGGATGAAAACCCAAATGGTCATGATGGTGCCACAGATGATCATAATGGGCTGGATTAATTTTTTCTTCCAAGGCTTCGTACTGAGTAGGTGATTTCTTATATCTCAGACGTGACTGAGATATTTGCAGTCAAACTCCCATTCCCATTGACTTTTGGATTCAAGTCGATGCTTCAACGTGACATTGAAGCCCCGGATATGGACGTCAAATGGGTATCGTCACTATCATGGTATTTTCTCAATCTCTTCGGGTTGAATGGCTTCTACCGGCTTTTTCTTGGCGGTGACAATTGTAAGTCCCTTCCTAAGATTAATGACACGTTTCCAATGGCAACATCTGATGTCAATCTATTCTCAGCCGCTGATTCTTCCCGCGATTTGACGATGTCTCCATTTGCTTCCGCGGGTACAACCCAATTAAGCCAGCCACAAGACTTTGCCAAACTCTTCAAGGCCGAGCGTGACAATCTAGAACTTTCGGAAGGACAATATACCTGGGTCGGCGAAGATTTAGATTTAAAGGTACTCCGAAAATATGGAAAGCTGCCTCCAAGATTGGATTAGATAGTGTTACCTTGTGGTCATCGGGGTGTCTGTCAAGACAATATTACTAAGTGCGAGAACAGTGAGATACAGCTACACCACTGGAGAGGTACAAATTTGGGCGAAAGTTGATGAACGTGGCAAGTTCCGTATACGAAAGCGCAGTCACAGCCCGATGGAATACAAATGTGGATGCAGCAGGCGGTTCTTCGTGAAACGTCGTTACCAATAAGGTACAAGCGCCTGTGTGGCGCAAAGGGGCAATTTGCTATACCAAACCGTCGTATAGCGATAATGCCTTGTGCGACAAGAAATAGGGTCGGTCTGATTGGTCTCCAGACGAGGAACCAAGACTAACCTGTACTATGGTGGGGTCTTGCTTACTGCCTTCGACAAACTCATCATATGTGAGCTTCGCGTCCTTGTCCCTATCCATGTTTCTGAAAATCTTGTCCACTCGCTAAGACATGGATTCTTCAGATAGTGGATGGGGAAGGTGGTGAATGTCAGGTTACCTTTTCAGGGGTATCTTCGTCAACTGGTAGTTTTACCATCTGGCCTGTCATCTTATATATGGAGGACACGATCTGCAGCATCTCTGCGTATGTGATGAAACCGTCTTTATCTATGTCATACAGCTGGAATGCCCCTGTAAAGTAGTTCACGGACGCGACTGAGCATTGTCGAGAGACGGAGGGAGCGTACATTTGAGCTTCTCATCTAGTCGTCCACGACTTGTAATGCTGAGTGCGCAGATGAATTCCTTGAAATCGATGGTGCCGTTCTTGTTCTCGTCGAAGACATTGAAGACATAGTCTGCGAATTCCCCGGGATCCCCAAAGGGAAAGAATTGCTTGTATATTCGACCGAACTCTGATTTCCCCAGCTGGCCAGAGGGACAGTCCTTGAGAAAGCCCTTATACCTGAAGGGGATGAGGGAGATGAGAGACAGACTAATGATCACACAACACACCATTGTTGGAGTTCTTTCTTGTCAACTATACAGGCGAAATGAAGGCGATAGAGCGACGGTTGTGATGAAAGATGGGACTTACAATATGTGTTCTTCTGTAGATCGGCGAGCTGTTCTGGGGAAAGCTTGCTCTTTGACTGGCCCATATGTGTAGGCAAAGGGCGACGGGGAGCTGCTGGCAGGGGGGGGGCCAAGGGTTTAAGATGCTCACGGCCCTCTGCTGAGCATTCTGTGGAGAATATCTAGCCGAAGGATTAACACGGTTCCCACGGGGAGTTATCAGCAATCTACGTGAGAAAAGAAATAGAATATTACGTAATTATCGGGTTTTCACGTTGTCGAGAAAACGAGGACGAGCGAACTTAGGGTTGGCGAACTCGTGTTCAGAGGAGGCGTCTCATCCCTGTAACTAGTCCAGTCGGTCGGTCGGTCGTCGCAGCTTCGATGCTCTCGCTCAGGAATCAGCCGACAGCTGGCTCATGGAACCGGTCTCTCGACGCGGGCGGCTGGTCCGGACGGTCGCACCTGGCTCCCTTTTATAGCATCACGCCTCGTATTTCGTATAAAGAATAATATATCGTCCCGCATCTCCCTCTGAGCCAGCTCAGTCCATCAGCATGTGCTACCCCGTAGAGCTCACCAATGTCCCCTGTCCAATGTGCAAGGTCTTCAAGCCAACCGGCGCAAGGTACCTTTCACCTCCCTCCCATATTTTTCACCCTCAAGTTAGTCCCTTTCATCTCAAGGTGTCCTCACATCAAAGACATCTGCTCGAATAGGGCCCTTCACCCCCGTCATGACGTAGCCCATCTGAGGAATGCAGAGGGTGTGTCCTTTTCTCTGACCAGGCTTTTGATCACCGTTCTGATCCCTCCTGCCAATAGTCAAGTCTTTCAATGGCTGTGGCTACTGCAAGGTCCCCTCGTCTCCAATCTTGTATCTGCCATTTCTGCTCACTCTTCGATCATAGTGGGCTCGTTCCAACCCTCCTGCCAAGCTTTCTGGTCACTACAACCCTGGTTGGCCTGGTTGTTGTCGACCCCCCACTTCCAGCGAACAGCGCCTCATACAGGCTGCTGATTGGCCAACTGTCAGCATCGTTCATAATATACCCATGCCTCCCGAGATCAAATCTATTCTGGAAAATCTGGCATCGAGAGGTAGTCCGTTACCCGGTATGACATCTTCTAGCCGTAGCCAAGGTCCCCAAGCTATCGTGCCTTCTTTGGATCGTCGGAACAGCGGAAATAGTCCGACGATCCGGGCCAGCCCGTCGCCCGCGAAAACGCAGCCTGTCTCGATTCCCGCCAGGGGGACACGTCCTGGTGGAAGTCCCGTCCAACAGAATTCCTCCCTCGCCGGCACTACACCCCGTGCAGCAGGCCCTTTGTCATCAAGCACCAACACCCATCTTGATCATTCTTCGATTTCTCGTCGCCAAACTTACACTGAAGGATCAGCAGATAAGTCGCGGGCCCCTTCGGTCCGGAGGGCCACGGATGCAGATGGGACCTTGTCTAGGCGCTCTGCTAGTGTCCGCCCATCCTTGTCAGCAGTTGCACCATCCTTTAACTCTTCGAAGAGTTTCGGTGATTATTCCCCCCAACACCATCCATTGCCATATCCGCCAGTGCCACACCCGTCACCTGTAGAGTCAAATACTCTGTCCTCACAAGAGGCCCCTTCTGATCGCACCCCATTTTCGAGAAGACCGGCCCTGGAAAGCGTGATGGCTGCACTAGACATTGGCAATTCTTCAGAAAGTAGCAGCGATAGTGGTAGTTCGCGAGGCTCGGGATCGGATGCGACCGTCATCTCTGATGGAGCATTTACGGACTACCTGTCAGACGAGTCCGAAGCAGAACTTCAGAGACAAGCGGAGGCCAAGGCCGCCCTGGTCGCCCAGAATCAAGCAGAGGAACAAGAGTTCAAAGCTGCAAGGCAACAACTTGTAGGAGTTGGCCTGCGACCACCGAAGTCATGGAATGATACTAACGACAATTTGCTTCGCACTTCTTCTCATACGCATTATTCTGCCTATGGCTCTGCCCCTTACGCGCCTACCCCTGTTGCACATCATGCGCGTTGATGGTGTTACAGTTTGCTGTTGTGGACTGCTCTATGAGGTGTTTCCTCTGTGTTTATACATATAACAGCTATGGGTCTCTCGTATATACGATGTATGAATATTGGGTGTAGAGATTGTAGACTTGCTAGTGTCATTCGGCGTCCCCTATCTTGACCAAGTATGGTAATGACACTGGTACTGGCTGTACTGGCGTTGGTCACCACACCTCTGCCCGCAACTTTAAGCTCTCCATGAACCTAGCCCGGCATTCCATCACACAGACAAATCCGGTCCAGATATTTAACACTCAGTTTGACGCAGATTGTCAGATATTCACGACAGTGACCCCGGTCGGCTTCGCGGTTTATCAGGCATGGCCATTGAAACTACTTCGTAAGAGAGGTACGTTGCGGCGTTTGTCGTGTGGTTAATTCGATTCAAAACGGTTTACAGAGTTCAGCGGAGGTACTCTGGCCGCAGCCGTGCCATGTCACACGTCATCGTTGCTCTTCCTCCTTGGTGGAGGCCGTAGCCCCTTGTATCCGCCGAATAAGGTCATTTTGTGGGACGACAGTGCTGGGGCTGAGGTTGCCGAGCTTGAGTTCAGGGAGAAAGTTGGAGGCCTTGCATGCAGAAGAGGGTGGCTGGCTGTGGCTTTGCGTAGAAGAGTCGTCGTTTTCGAAGTGCACGAGACTGTGGTCAGGAGGGGAGAGTATGACACCTGCGATAATCCTCGAGGTGCGCTGCTACACTCATACTCATCCTTGTTCGCAAGCCATTCAAGGAACGGTTGAAGGCGTCCTTGCCATGGCTACGGGCTCCCTACACCACATTATTGGCTATTCCAGGCCGGCAGATGGGACATGTACAGTTAATCCAGTTGCCACCGTGCAGACCTCCTGAACCGCTTGGCCCGCCACTACCTGTTCGTCTCGCTAAACCCCCAACATCCACGGTCAGACACCCTGTTTCGATTATTGCTGCACACGAATCACCCCTAACAACACTTTCCGTTACTTCCTCTGGTCGACTAGTCGCAACGACGTCATTGAGAGGGACACTGGTGAGAATATGGGAGACTTCGAACGGCAAGCTTATGAAAGAGTTTCGGAGAGGGTCAGACAAAGCGGAAATTTACGGAGTCGCATTTCGTCCGGATGAGAAGGAGGTTGCTGTGTGGAGTGATAAAGGAACCATCCATGTTTTCTCTCTGGCACCAGCAGGTGGATCGTAAGTTGTTTCGCCCAGCATCCTCCAGTGCGCGATCCGCAGATTTTTAATTTAGACGACAGAAACCGGCAGTCTTCCCTGTCACCTCTAGCCCCTTTCCTTCCGTTGCCCAAGTATTTCGATTCACAGTGGTCGTATGCGCAATACCGCATTCCAGCACAAGCTGCTCATATATCTCTGTCGTCCACTTCATCTGTTCGCTCGCCTGCCACGGACCTTGCAGCGGATGAAAAATGCGTTGTGGGATGGATCAAAATACCTTCAGAAACAGAAGAGCCACTGCAGGAGTACCAGCTGATCACTCTGACCTACAGCGGAGGGTGGTATCGTCTTTCTCTTCCTCTAAAGGGTCCGCTGGCCGATCATTCTGACCTCAGTGGCACTTCGCAAGACCCGTCTCATAGGGCCTCTCCAGTCCCTCGTCAACGGACGTTCAGTGTTTCATCCATCAGTTCGGCACCGGAGAAAGGTAAAGGGAAAGAACGGGAGAAAGAACGAAGGGATGGTCATGATCTGATACTTGAGGAGTACCGCAAGTATGGTCGGTGGGATGGCTGGGGATGAGGTCGCTGTCTTCACTGCATACATATATCCTTGTACTCTCTAATACTACTGTTCCCAATTTATGTCCTCCTGCTTGAGGATTATGTAATCAACTTGACGAGAATTCTATCATTGATCTTACCCCCACTAGCGTAAAGCGGCATGTCTACTGTATCAATCGCCACACCGGTAGGATTTGGAAGCTCTAGTTGTGGATATTGCACTCCGCCTGGAGAGAGAGTGGCAGGAAGCAGCTTCAAAAAAGCAGGCCTACTAGCGTCTCGACTATCATGCGGGGTAAGGGGCCATATTCTCGTTTCTCCCGGGGTGTGACGCGTTTCTAGGTTTATCAAAGGATGATAGATCGGGGTTGGAGGAGATCTGGGACGTACTGCTATTTGCCAGGTCCGAAGTATTCATGCTGTCCGCATTATACAATAAAGTATATGAAGTTCCCCGAGCGCATTGCATCCGAAGTGCTCAGGGGGTTTTCAGACTCGACGCATTAGCCTTCAAGCCGTCCCGGAACCAGAGGAAGCTCGTAAACAGGTAGGATCGTCGCTGCTAAGCTATAGAAGGTCGCTAAAATACGAGTTTTAAGATGGAACAGATTCATTAAGCTTGGGGACGATATGGACATCGACCAGGACCGGGAGACCGCCCGGCCGCCAAAGTTGACCTCTGTGTTTTGTCTCACCTCTAACATCCACTTGTCCGAAAGAGATTTCCTTCCCGAGACGGAGAAGTCACGTCACAATTTTGAGGTATTGATACACCACGTCTCTCTATGTTACTGACGGTTATTTCAGGTGACACTCGAACATTCATCATACACGGATGAGAAGTACAACCTCTATGTGACTTACCAAACTGAAATCCATCACGATCCCGACAACACACCCATAGACTTCAAGCGCTTTCTTGTTCGAACTCCTTTGATTGTGAGTAACTGCAGCTTCTTGCATTCACTTTTTTCACTCTCGCTAAGCATGAAGCTATACCTTACTCGGGAATACCTCCTGCGCACCTTCCAAGACAATACGGTTCATATCACCAATTGTACAGGCTCGATGGAGAACTGGTCGCATTGGGTGTAATTGACATCTTGCCGGGATGCGTGTCCAGCGTGTATTTCATGTATGACCCCAGATGGGAAAAGTACTCCCTAGGGAAGGTATAGTCTGCACAATCCATGAATGGTCAGAGTTAATCCGCCCGTCAGCTTAGTGCCCTACGCGAGGCGTCGCTTGCGAAAGAAATCCATGATGCAGGTGTGTCGTCGATGACCGCACTTTACATGGGTATATAATTCGAGTTTGTTCTTCTGTCTCTGACACTAACTCTACCAACCGAGGGTACTACATCCACACATGTACGAAAATGAGATACAAGGGCGATTACTCGCCATCTTATCTCGCTGATCCGGTGAGGTTACATGTCTTGCGTACAACCAATACATGGAAGTATATCTTAACTTTGGACCCGCCAGGAGGACTACACTTGGCATCCTCTGGAATCCTGTATGCCTTTATTGAATCGGTATCACTATGCCACGTTCACACATCCCGAACATTCGCTAGAGAGCCCAGCTGCTTTTGAAGGTGGGTGGTTCGTTCCATACAAGTGCCATATTCAAATGCGTACACGAATAGTGAGCGAGAGCGAGGAGAACACCCAGGAGATGATGGAGGGCGTTAAAGCCACGTATTCCGTCGGGAGGAAGGTGGTGTCACTAATACCTGTGACAGTGAGGTGCTTGTAACTGTGCGGTCATGATCACTCAAGTGTCCTTCCAGATGACTCGACAATGGGAAGATGCGCATGACCGGGAAGACATAATATGCTGCGTCCGTGCCTTGGGAAATGATTTAGCAAGAGAGATAATATTCCACATGTAAATATGTCGAACTAGAGCTTCTGAAACGAAGCTATATTCATCCAGTAGAGCAAAAACGAAGGTGGACTTTCCAGAGAAAGACATAAGACGTTTCCCCTGTTATCGTACTTACACCGATCGGAAAGGTGCTCCAATAAAAGAAAAGAAAGTGGCCACTGAACGAAGAAGGGCGAAAGACACTCACAGACCTCAGGCAACTACAAGACTCGCCTCAAACGTAACCCGCACGACGGGGCGGCACTCACTAATACTAGGGTATTGACTAGTGCGTGGGGTCACTACAATATAACAGGCTGGTCCCGAAACGAGAGTGATACAGCGGTAAAAATCAGGCCGGACAGAGTACATATAAAACTGTACCATGACGGAGGGTACTCAGACGGTGGACTAGGCCTTAGGGACATATAAATGGTGAGGCACAATCCATACAGGCCCAAAGTTATAAACAAGGATGGACAAAATGAGATATACTCATTGCAAAGGTAGGAGCCGATACAGGAGGTTTGACGAGGATGTGCTCGTGCATGCAAAACATTCACCCGAGGACTGGGCACGGAAAGCGAAGCTGCGTGGGCTGTGTAGCTCCGGGGAGAGAGGGAAGGGAAACGGTGCCAAGCAAATAATAATCTAGCAAAATCAAAGTCACTAGCGAGAATATGCCGCGCTCACCTGGTCACGTGTCTCCTGTCCGCCTCTCGCCGTCCCTCCTTCAAGTGCTGACAAGTTCAGCGCCATGCTCGCTGCGAGAAGTGTACTTCGCATTTTGTACTGGGCTCCGTTTGCTGTTGGGTTTACTCAATATTTTTACACAGTAAAAACGATCAGAGGGAGAAGCATGCAGGTTCGTGCATTGATACTTCTTTGGAACTTGTTATCCCGACCGAAGTCTCGTCAGCCAGCCTACTTTCAATCCTGGACACGTCTGCATGGAATGATGTTATTATATTCGATCGCTTCTCTGTTAATTCAGGGAAACCTATATTAAGAGGGGACATTGTCTCCCTGAGGCATGCGACTTCCTTCTTGACTGCCCGCAGATCTGACTGATACTCTTTTCAAGAGATCCCATTCGCTACAAAAGGACCATTGTCAAGCGAGTTGTTGCTGTCTCCGGAGATGTTGTCAAGACCTTGCCACCTTACCTACAACCTGAAGTCCTCGTTCCAGAAGGGCATATATGGGTAGGAAGGTAAGGTGTTTCTCTCACTGCTGCTACTTGGTGGTGTGACAGTCTCCTCCAGGAGATGAACCCTTCCACAGTTTAGACAGCAACAGTTTTGGCCCAGTAAGTACCAAGTTTAAAAATTAATATCGGAAGAGTATAATCCTTGAGCAGATACCCTTGGCACTGGTTGATGCAAAGTTGCGTTATATTGTCTGGCCGCTCCATCGGTTAGGTTCTTTGAGACGACCTGAAACCATCGCACGGGAGCGGCAGCAACAGTCAAGAGTGACCAAAGTGGCATCCACTTCATGCCGTAACTCCGGAGTTACACAATCTTCGGACACCTAGTTATCTCAATATGAACTGTCCTGTTCCGATCAAGCATGTGCCGAGACGCTATGCTAGAGCCAACCCATCCCGCGAATGGCACACAGGGTATAGGTATCTGGTATCTAGCATTTGGTCAGCTTCTTGTGTTCTAGTGAGTATTAGTTTTCCCTTCGACGCTGCCTTGGCCATGCATGACGGATGCCTGATACTAACTCGAATCACGGCAAAGTACATTAACGAAGCCCAAAACTACTGTAATGCAGACAGTTGTAGGTGTTGTGCTTCGGAGGAACGACAGGGACCCCGTTTCCTGTGAATTTGCTGCGGTCTAGATAGTCGAGCTCATAAGACTGCCGTCAGTTCAACTCTTCTGTGTTACTTACTACCTCAGGTTTTCCGCTGTCAGGTTGTAATATGCATTATCACTGCCGAATATCTTTTGCAAATACTTCTGGAATCCTCGAAACCTCGCAATTTCTTAGTACTTAGTGTTCAGTAAGGTACATGTTATAAGAGATTGTATTGGTCACTACAAGATCTGTTTATTGATGTGCGAAGTTCACGCAACGCATTTGAACGCATCCAAAGATTAGCCAACTGAAGCACTGCTCTTGTTGCTCATCTCGTCGGACACTTCTTCGCCAAGTATTCCACTCAAGCCACTCGATTACAACCATGTTAAATTTCGCAGACCATATCGATTCCCTCACCTCGTCTTCCAGAGAAGCCGGCGGCAATGAAGTCAAAACATCGCTGTTGGACGAGTGGACCAGGTAGTGCTGCAACATACAGTCATCCATCCATTCTACTGCTAATAGTCTCGCGAAGTTACCGAGTTGACAGCCGCGATGGTGGGTTGTGTATCTATTAGAACGGTCGATTCCCATTGGTATTGTGAATTGATGCACAGTTTACCCGCTGGAACAAGCTCCTATCGGCAAATTGTGGGATTCTGTTTTAGATGTGTTTGGTTTTCAGGACATCCACCCTATGGCAAGAAGTGTACTCAGGTGGGCCAATACTCTGTCCATAGCAAGTAAAACCAAGGTTAAGTAGCCCTTAATAGTAATCTCAGTTCTGATCATATCTCGAAACTCTATGATTTACTTGCTAGCTCGCATACGAACGACGAGATCTCGAGGGAAGTGTCTGAACTTTGTGGCCTTGATGATACAGGTTTAGGACGGGAGCTGGTGCAATCGCGCGCCGTGGTATTACAGCAAGTCAGTTCGCTAACGCAACCGCAATGTGTTATACTCAATTTGCTAGCTCGCTGGTCTGCGCTTTCAAGTCAGCACAGGTGTTAGCAGTGCTTCAGGGCGATCTTCCGGTAATATATACCACTCAGCCAATACTCATTGTTTTAACGGTGCAACAGGCTGTGGTGAAGTTAGCTTTGATCCAGAAGATGCGCGTCTTAGGCTCGAGGAGACACTAAAAGCGAATGCTGCCCGTCCATTATTCACTAAAAATGCCGTGAGCGATCACATTTCCGTTGTTTTGGTACTCCCTGAATGTCAGCAGACAGATACTCCGGAAGTTTTGCCTCACGTCTATACATCTATGGCCAACATTAGTGGTGGAGGTGTCATGTCGCAGTTTGGGACTAAATATTCGTTGCCAATGGGGACCGCCCGACATGATTACAAGGCAAGGATTCAGATCGGGATGTTTCACTTTAATTGACTTTTCTCATGCAGGATTACTTGGAAGTTATCGTTCCGCCCGCGAAAGCAGTCTTCAAGCGACCCTCAGAACGGCTGATAGCTGTATCTGAATTGGACAACTTAATCAAAGGATCTTTTGCGGTGCGTTCTGCCGTGCTACACCGATAGCGTCTTGAAGATTTTCTCAGGGGTATACGCATCTTAATAGAATCCAGTCTATCGTTTATCCCACCGCCTATGGATCCAACGAGAACATACTTATTTGCGGTGAGTCTTCTTTTGTGCTTCTTTTCACTAATTCTCTTTAATAATATGCATTATTTTGACTGTTGTAGCCCCCACTGGTGCTGTGAGTTTCTCGGTCATCGTATGGAATAATGTTAAACTCTGAATAGGGGAAAACTGATGTAGCAATGCTGACGATTTTGAGGGTCCTAGATCAACACAGAAGGCCCGGCGCACGGGAATTGCCCACAACTCCGACTATCGACCGCGACAGCTTCAAGATTGTCTACGTGTAGGTGGTGTATACGAACAGCTCTTCGACTGTTCATCGAGATTTTGTAGAGCACCTATGAAAGCTTTGGCTTCAGAAATCACGCAAAAGCTAAGGAGACGTTTGAAATGGCTTTTGATTCAAGTCAGAGAATTGACTGGTGCGCTTTCAAGTCAAGCAATGCGAACTTCCCCCCTTACTGCTGATTCAGGTGACATGCAACTTACCAAATCTGAAATCGCGGAGACGCAAATAATCGTGACAACTCCAGAAAAGTGGGACGTAGTTACCCGAAAACCAGCAGGAGAAGGAGAGTTAGGATCTGTGAGCATATCCTATTTTGTCGACTAGAGTCATGGAAACATGTTGCAATGCAGAGACTCAAACTTCTTATCATCGATGAAGTCCATCTACTGAACGAAGATCGCGGTGCGGTCATCGAGACTATAGTCGCTCGAACTTTACGACAGGTATTAACCTGATTTTTTTTTCCGTCTGACTGCCTCATTTCTCCAAGGCAGAGGCCAGCCAGTCTGTCATCCGCATCGTGGGTTTAAGTGCGACGCTTCCCAATTACATTGATGTGGCGGACTTCTTAAGGTTTGCATTGATTAGTTTATTTTTCTTGAACTAACGCGCCTTCCTTCTAGTGTCTCACGTTACACAGGCCTATTCTATTTTGACTCGTCTTTCCGACCGATACCCTTAGAGCAACATTTCATTGGTATCAGGGGTAAAGCCGGGAGTATGCAGGCCAAAAGAAACCTGGATCAAGTCACGTTCGAAAAGGTATCCGAGTTGGTTAGGCAGGGTCACCAGGTTATGGTCTTCGTGCATGCCCGAAAGGAAACAGTCAATACTGCATTCGCGCTCAAGGACGCTGCAGCAGCGGAGGGGTCACTTTTGGATTATAGTTGCGAAGATAATCCACAGTGGAACTTCTACCGCAAGAGCATAGGGGAATCTCGCAACAAAGAGATGAAGCAGCTTTTTTATTATGGTTTTGGTATCCATCATGCTGGCATGCTGCGGTCAGACCGAAATTTGATCGAAAGATTGTTCAAAGAGAGGGCTATAAAGGTACTACATTTCGGAGTCGAGGGCTAAATCTGACCTTGCCACCTAGGTGCTATGTTGCACTGCCACTCTCGCATGGGGAGTCAACCTCCCTGCTCATGCAGGTCCGTGATAAAGAAACATCGCTCGTTCTCACTGACAACCCTTTCAGTAATTATCAAGGGGACAGAAGTCTATGATAGTGCAAAGGGCAAGTTCGTAGATCTATCTGTCCTAGATGTTCTACAAGTTTTTGGTCGTGCTGGCCGGCCCGGGTTAGAAACAAGTGGAGAAGGGTACATTTGTACTTCAGAAGAGAAACTCTCACACTACTTAGACGCTGTCACATCGCAAGTAAGTTGTTTTCAGCATGAAGTGGTCATGTATTAAAGTATTATGCAGACACCGATTGAATCAAAGTTGGTTTGGTTCTTTCTTGCTGAAACTATGATACTTAATTTAGCAGATTCGAGTCAGGAATGAAGGATGCATTAAATGCCGAAATAGCCCTTGGAACGGTCTCTAGCGTTAGCGATGGTGTTCGTTGGCTGGGCTATACATACCTCTTCGTGCGAATGAAAAAGAATCCTTTCCAGTACGGTGCGTGAATCGTGAGCCCTGTTTCGAATTGACTTATATGAGGTGTAGGTTTGTCACGAGAAACAGTCGCCAACAATCCCGTACTCGTCGAAACGCGGCGACAGGCTATCAAACAGGCAGCCAATCAATTGGCGAAACTAAAAATGATTGACTTTGATGCTGATGCCGAGACATTCACCTACAAAAGATATAGGACAAATCGCGGCAAAGTACTACGTCCGTCATCAGTCCATAGAGATATGGGACACATTCTTCAAAACCGGCATGTCCGAGGCAGATGTACTCCGCATGTTGAGTATGAGTACCGAGGTATATCTGTATGGCATGACGAGGGACCGGAAACTGATCGAGGCGCGCAGTTTAATCAAATCCAGGTTAGGGAGTCAGAGGTCAAGGAACTGGAGCACTTGATGGGACTCGTGCCTTGCGAGGTTTACGTGCGTGGTCTATCTTCTGCTGGCAGTTATTTGCTTAATCGATGTCTGCAGGGAGGAATGGATACGAATCAGGGGAAAGTCAATATTTTATTGCAGGCGCACATATCCAGGTTGCCTATACAAGATTTTGCTTTAATATCCGACAGTGCATATGTTGCGCAAAATGGTGGTCGGATCATGCGGGCACTCCTGGAGATGGCTATCGGCCGCAAGTGGGCAAACACAACCGTTGTTCTCGCGACGATGTGTAAAGCAGTGGAGAAGCGCATGTGGCCTTTCGACGAACCAATGAGACAGTTTCCGCTTAAGGACAATATTATCTACGGCCTCACGAATCTTCACACGGAGTATCATCCAAAGGATCTCGCCTCTATGCCTGCAGCCGAACTAGGAGAACTGATTAGACTAAACGAGGGCCAGGGACTCGCCCTTCTGAAGGCTGCGAAACAGTTTCCATTCCCGGAATTATCTGCTTCCCTCCATCCACTGGGGCCTGAAATATTGAAGATAGCGGTTTCTGTGACAAGAACTTTCACTGTGGAACTCCCGAATTCATGATTCTGCGGAACCATTTTGGTTATGGGTTGAAGACGGACGGGGGAATACAATACTGCAGATCAAGCGCATCGTATTACGCGAGTCGCCAGAGGTCTTGGATGTTAACTTCATTATCTCCCTAGTCGGCCAGAGTTTACCTTCCATGACAGTTCGCCTTATCTCCGACCGGTGGTTGGGCGCCGACAACGAGCATTCGGTATCGCTAGATGATTTGGTCATGCCGGTAATTTCTCATGCACACACACGGCGGCAAGACGTTGGCTTTCTGCCCATATCCTCTCTACGCCTTCCCGCCATAGAACAGCTGTACTTTTCAGTTCAGTGCAGCTTCCTGAATGCCATCCAGACACAAGCATTTTGGAGCGTTATCAACACCTCAGCTAATGTTCTTCTTGCTGCACCAGTCTGTTCCGGGAAGTCATCCCTGGCATACATGGCAATATGGTAGGTTCAACTGTGAGTTTTACCTGCGAGTGCTAGGCAACTTCGTAGGTCAACTCTGCTCAGATCGCAGACCGTCGCTTGGGCGCTTGTCGTTACCCCTAGTAAAGCAATCGCAAGAAGTACACTCTCAGGATTGAGTTCCGGCGCAGCCATTTGTGGCATCAACGTGGAATATAACAATGAAAAGACAATCTTTAACTCTCCGAGGAGTAAAGTGATTCGGGTGGTCACTGCTGCAGTGCTTCTGCACGCTTTACGCATTACGCACGCCAAAAGTGCCAAACCAACACATCCCAATCTCGTTCTGTGCGAAAATTTGGAACAGCTTGATGACACTTACGAACTTGCAGGTGTCGTTGCTACGACACGCAACCCAGCACTTACCTACCCGGTACATAGGAATATCACGTTCGCTTAATGACCCCACGGATCTCGCGTCATGGTTGGGCGTCGAGTCCAGGGAGCTGTACAGCTTTCTTCCCGGGGACCGTGAACAATCATTGAGCTATTCTGTCCAGACGTACTCGATGCCCATATCTGAGGCGCTGTTCAAGGCATTGGCCAAGCCTGCCTATGCAGCCATGGGACTCGGTTCCTTCACCGAGTCTGCCATTGTTGCCGTTCCCTCACGAGCACACTGTACAACAATTGCCCAGGAGCTCATTACACAGCACAACCTCAACTCGGTGACCGAGACGGGGTTTCTTGCCAGGACCGCATCCGCGATAGATGTAGAAGAACGTCTGGGCCATTCAGAGGATCATATCGCGGCAAACTTCGCTTCGCGCGGCGTCGGCATCTTCCACAGGGGAATATCCGACACGACACGGGAGCGTATCCTTGAACTGTTCGCGGAGGGCATCATTCGCGTACTCGTCGTCACGCGTGAGGCGTGCTGGAGGCTACCCGCCAGGGCGGGCGCAGTCGTTGTCGTGGGTACCCAATATATTTGCGTGAACCCTTCTACTTCCGAGCGCCAGCTCAGAGATTATACGCTGCTGGAGCTGACGGAGATGCAAAGCTGGGCCGTTCAGCAGTCTTCGCCGGGACACTTTACTCTGTTCTGCCCTGTTGAAGACGGAGAGATGTTCAGCAGGTTCTTGAACGACGACGGATTGCCGCTGGAGTCCAAATTGCTAGAGACGGACCTCCTTAGCAGGTGGTATAGGGAGAGCATGGAAGGAGGAACGCTCCGTAACGAGGAAGATGCTGTCCAGGCGTTATCGTTTACCTTCATGGCGAGGCGACTTGTCAGTAACCCTACTTACTACGACGTGGAAGATAGCACGCGGGACGAGGTTTTGTCTAGCATCAGTCAGAGACTTGGTAACTAACAGTCTAAAAAGTCATTGTACACTACCATCTTCTGGACGGCCTACGCAGAAGTTCCCGACGGAACACTCTAATGTCAAATAATACATGGACGGAAGAAAATTTGTAGAGGGTAGTAGCCCGAGCAGGATATTTCTAAGAAAGGTATTTCGAAAGACTTTGCAAACGCTGGCCAGCTTCTTTGAGCGTATCGACGTCCTTGCAGAAACCGAAGCGAGCGTAATTTTCGCCAATATTGCGGTGCTCCTCACAATAGAACTAGGAAGCAGTGAGCTACTTGCCACCTGAGGACGCGATACCAGAACTCACTTCGCTTACGGGAATGGATGACACTCCGATCTCCACGGCCATGAACCAGCATGCCCTACAATGATGAGCAACTATGCAACGTCGTCAAAGATCGTACGCACTTGAAATCCCTTGCTCGGCCCTGCACAGATTCGGGGAATGGATAGTCATCCGGAAACTTGAGTCGCGAGACGTCCTAGAATGAGATGACCATCTTTCCTCGCTCGAAACTCCACGTGATGAGACTTACTACCAGGACAAAGTAAGAGCCCTCTGGAAGACTGTACTTCAAGCCAAGCTTGTCAAAAGCGGCCAGAAGGATGTCGCGCCGTTCTTGGTATTCTTTCAGTTGTTGTTCGAAAAAGCCGCGTGCTTTTGCTTCCTCAAGACCTGCTGCAGCAGCTTCCTGAAGAGGGGAGTTTGTGCAAAAGACAATGCGTGTGCATGCAGCAAGAGTGGGCGTGATGATGGACGGAGGGCCAATGAGCCAACCAACACGCCACCCCGTTGCAGCGAATGCCTCTGCCAGTGATCATAAGACAAGCAGAGTTTCAACAGGTGTTCCTACACTTACTGCCTGCCGACAAAACTGTCACAGTCCTCTCCCACATCCCAGGTAAGTTGGCGATACGGACATGTTGCTTGCCATCGTAAACGAGACAATCGTACTGCCGGAATTAGGAATTTGAGTTCAAGCAAGAATGGACATGTCTAGCTTACCACTTCGTCGGACATGACCAATAAATTAAACTCTTTTGCAAGCTCTGCTATTTTCTCGAGTTCCGCTTTAGTAAAGACCTTGCCGACAGGATTGTGAGGTGTGTTAACAATGATCATCTTTGTTCGGGGGGAGATGGCGCGGCTGAACCCGTCGTTGAGTGATTGGTTAGAAAATGAATGTTTACATCCATACCGCAACTCGTCGAAATCTATTGTCCAATTAGCGGCGGAGGGCTTGTCGCCTTCTAAGTTAGGGTGAAGGGGGACATAAACGGGTTTACCGCCATTGAAGATGACGGAGGGCATGTACTGGTCGAAGAAAGGCTCGAACATGATGGCTTCATCACCGTGATCCAAGAAGGCAGCGAACACGGAATACTGGCCTTTAAACTGTTTGAGCAGGCATGAAGTAAAGTCGCGAGCGATGAAGTACCTTCATTTGCACCACTTGTGACTAATATTTCTGTTTCTACGTCGAGGGACCTGTTGAAAGATGCCTCGTAGAATTGTTTGATCGCGTGACGCAAACGTATGCGGCCTTTGGGATGGGAGTAGTGATTCGGAAGGACGGACCCGAGGGCAGAACTGGCGGCGTCAAGGACCCAGGAAGGTGGGGAGAAATTCATGTATCCTTGGCCAAGGTTGATGCAATCGGAAGGCAGATTTGCAGCACTAGATGGACTGAGGGAGCAGTGACTGGGCAGAGTGATAGCAACTCACTTGAAGACCGACCAGACGTCTTGTTGAAGGGCACGGCCCTCGATAAGACGAGAGGAAATGGATATGGGGAACGAAGAATCGGCGGTGGACATTGAGAGAGGACGACGACGGAGGACTGATGCAGACGGGTGGACTCTTAGATATGCTGAGGTGATACCACGTCCGGCGGTCATCCGAAAAACCGATACCAGCTTCTGAGTCACCATCATTGCCTTCCAAGGCTCCACCTGGGGAGTTCTCACTGGCTGCGGAGAGCCCAATAGCGTCGTTCGGAATGCCAATGACAAGTTTATCTAACGCCTTCTGCCTATTATTATTACTTAGTCTACGCTTCCCCGCAGGGCTTCTGATGTATTTTGTATCACGCTTCGGTCACGTGCCCAACGCTGGAAGAGCTGACCAAATATAATCAAATCTCAAATTTCCTCTTGTTACTATTGGACGACGCGTCCCGGCGACGAGAGCAAATATGGCGAGCACTCGCGAGGACAGTTCGGAGGTGTTTGATGTGCAACCGCTCGCAGCCGTCACCGAGCCTACACCGGACGGTGACAGCGAAGAAGGCGCCTTCATATATCCAAGTGTGGCAGATGATTCAGACGAGGAGTTCGTGTATCCGGCCACCTCTGAAAACACCACAGTAAACGATCCATCTCCTCCGGCTCCTTCGCCTGAACCAACAACTTCAGCCACCGAGTCAACGACACGCGCTGAACAATCCCCATCACCCTTCGCTCTCCCAGTCCAACCCATACAAAACCAGTCTCACCCTTCTCCTGCTCAGCTGGAAGCCCTTTGTGCTGCCGCTTCCTCTGGTGACCTCGCTCTTCTAGAAAAACTATTTTCTACTGTTCTTCAGAGCGGTGAGCTGGAACCTTTTGCCCTTGCAAACGATGCCTCCTCCCGCACAGGCTACACTGCTCTCCACTCCGCTGCTAGTCGCGGTTTTCTTGATATAGTTCGGTGGCGTGAGCATTGATTGATTATTGGCACCGCTGACATCCGGAAGCTAACCATCGACTCAGTAATCGAAGAATGTGGTGCCATGCCAGACTTGGAAGATCGCGAGGGGGAGGTCTGTCAACCATCTGTTTCCATTTCCTGACGTTTCTTACATTGTACAGACCGCTTTGCACAAGGCTGCTCTTCATGGTCACCTACCCATCATCAAATATCTGTTGCTGGATAAGGCAGACGTCCACGCTCGCGACGCGGATGGTTGGACAGCACTTCACAATGCCTGTTCCAAGGTTGGTTTATTTTCCATAACACATGTGTTGCCACTGTTAACAGCATACCATTAGGGTTATCTAGACATCGTCAGGTGGCTATGCGAACAGGGAGGGGCTGCAACCGAATCCAATAACATCAAGGGGGTCGACCTCCCTAGCAATGATGGCTGGACCCCTCTAAGTAAGTCCACCCGTGCAACTTTTCGCGCTTTTTAATTTAAAAAAATCTTCGTGCCTTCTGTAGTGAATGCAGCGTCAAAGGGTCACCTTCCAGTCGTCCTCTACCTATTAACGAAACAGGGAGCCAACCCTGTAGCAAGAAATAACTGGGGCGAGACCGCTTATGACGTGGCGGCGGCCGTGTTCGAAGTCTGGATTTGCGAGGTTAAATGTTTCATTTCTCATATCATGTTGGTTTGTCTGAATCATTCTCTAGGTACTTCAAAAAGCTGAAGCGGAACGCTGGCGTTACACCACTGTTCCCTACAACCCGCTAGCTGTTCATACGACTGTTCCCTTGATTTTGTACGAATATCAACGCCTTGACATGCGCTTCAAAACTTTGGCGGTTTCTGGAGGGAAACCCAAATTTTCCTCATTTGGCCTAGGAAAACATGGCCACCATCCGCCGTTTGAACTGAGACTCCCGTCACCAGACGAGGATACGGGTGCTGTATTGGTCGCATCATCGCGTTCCGACGACCAGCGGCCACTCCGGACGGCTCCATATACTTTGTGCAAACCATCCCGCGCAAGCAGGGCTATGCCGGAGGCTACAGAGAAGAGTCATTTTTGGCTGTAAGTGCCTAATTCTGAAAAGATTCCCAGCCCTGCAATTGTAGAGTTCTATAGGTCTGATTGGACACTTGATATAACCCCCCCTGGAGTCGATGCAGAATTTGGCTGGCAGTATGCTCCGGCGTTTGATACTGCCGACGAAGAGTGGTCAGCAGAGCGCCCTCCACAGCTGGAGCGTCTTTTGTCTGGTAGTGGGTTCATGACAGCCGGCTTGTCCACTTCCACCCGAACCTACAATCACGTAGCAAATGCTAGTTCATCTGCATCGTCGTCCCGATCTGTTCATGCACAAACTTGGGTACGCCGGAGACGTTGGGTGCGGCTCATGCGTCGCCGCCTTGATATGCCCCCCTTACCATTTATGCAACCCGATGGTGCTCTGTATCATCTAGCCACCGATGGAACCTTAATTCCCTGTATCGGCGAAGTGGAGAACGGTAGCCCAGGAGATCCAGATGGACTGGAACTCGGAACTATGCCCCCGAATCCCCTTTCGTTGGCACAAGACTACGTTGCCCGTGCGAGGTATCTTGTGGGAAATCGTTCTCGTGATACCGAGATTGACAGGGAGGAGTTTCCTGCTATAGAGGCGCGTCGAGTCATTGCCAAACTAGAGCGAGCAACGACAGAATTGCGCCAGGGCATTCTAGGTTGGTTGTTATATACATAATGAAGGTCACTTCTCATATGCGGGACAGGCGATGACAATCTTGAACGCAGAACGCAAGCTGAGGTTCTCTTGAATACGTATGGCAGAGAGCTCGAGCGACGTCGCCTCTCCGCGAGTGCTCAGGGTCTTATCATGTTGCAATCGGATGATGACCCGGGTGATGACAACAACGACGACGACGACGAAAAAGAGTTCCATTACCCGGGCGGCTCGCCCTCGGAGTCAGTGCGCGCCTCCACTGTAGGACCTGCCTCAGCAGACCACCGGACTTCGGTTTCTAGGACTCCATCAGATCTTACGCCACATTTATCACAGGCAGCGGAGTTCCGCGTTCCCACCTGTGAAGCGCCTCAGAAAATGGTCACTTCTAGATGGCAACCTACCCCACACCTTATCTACGCACGATGGGAGAGAGACGAGGAGGTTACTGTTTGCAATAATTGCCGGCGGCGGTTTACTTTCATTCTTCGTAGAGTAAGTTTTCTTTCCTTATCGCAACGTTTCGTCCGCTTACCCGGAACATTATGGTCAACCCCACCAGCACGTGAGTGTTAGCTTGTATTTTCGTGCGACAACGCTTTGATCGCCTCCAACAGCACTGCCGCAAGTGTGGCCGCATATTCTGTGATCGGTGTTCGTCACATCGAGCTCCTCTTGACGCCTCAGACATTGTCTATGATCCGGCTTTCACAGAGACTATTGCTTCCGGCTCTCTTCAACGTGTTTGCGACTCCTGCTTCAGCGAACCGAACGCTAGTATGCCCGCGAGATACCAAACCTCAGGTGTTGTTGAGGACACGGTCGACCACGACAGGCTGGCAGCCCCCAATCCTCTCTCACGACAGATTTCTAGTTCACAGTTGAGTGACCTTGCAGAGTGGGTGGACTGACGTTGCCTCCATGGATGCATGACTGAATGCTCCTAAACAGGTGTCCTGTCTGTGCAGTAAGCCTGGCAGACTTAGGACTACCGGCGGACCAAGAGGCCCATGTGAAAGGTTGTTTAGATGGCGGTCTAGGACCGTCTGCTCCTCAGGCGGCGAAATATCTGGTTTACAAGCTTCCAGCTGAAAGCACTTTGCTGGGTGTGGAATGTAAGTTCCCTCATGGCCGTAGTCACTTCTACGCTGACAGACGACTAGGCGTCATCTGCTTGGAAGAGTTCACCAAGGGTATTTGTCTGGAAATATTGTCTACAGTGTTTATCTTGACGGATTTGCAGGGTCTCTGGTTGCACGACTGAGCTGTCTTTGTAGCTTCCACAATGGTGTGTTAGCGTGCGCATTGCATCCTTGAGCCGTGAGCTAATGAGAGCATAGCTTGTTTCGTATCTTGGCTGAAACGAGACAGATACTGTCCCGTTCACGCTCGCTGAGTGCTATGACCGACGACGTTTGGATACCACTCGGATTTGCTGGCTCGGATGCAGATACCAGATCAACGCTTACATGTACAATACACATCATTATCGTCTCCCGTGGAACGTGTCCCACGCAGTATTGTTGTCAGTCATCGTCCCGTGGCTCGTAGAATGTGCTATAGCGGATCTTGCTCTCGTCGATACGTATGACGTTTGATAGGTCTTCTAAATCGGGGGGAATGATGTCCTGTCCTTTAACACCGTCGTCCTGGTCATCGTCGAACCAGGTCGAAGGATCGTTGGTGTCACTATCGTCGTCGTCGTCCATATCCTCGAGATCCGAGTCTGTTGGTTTGTAATTCCTAAATGTCATGTATCGGTATCACGTCGACAAAACGTATGCGAGATTCTTACAGGAAGGCCCACATGCGAGCATCCTTTTCCTGTCTTGTTAGTACTTCGCCTTTGACCGGCAGTCCTATGCGCCTCCGCCTTTCATCTATGCGTTGCTGCCTTGCCAGGTCCTCGACATGTGCACGTTGCTCTAACGCGATGGCCTCCTGCAGGGTGAGAGAGCCTATATGACTATTACCATTTGAGGGCAAAGGCGCCTGAGCGAAGCCACGGTGGGTCAGCGTTGTCAGCTTCCAAGAAGTGCTAGAACGTTGTACACTCACATATCGGGATAATGCTCGTTGCTTGGCACCAATTATCCGAGGCGATGACTGTGGGTCGAGATTCATTTTCTCGTCAGCGTTAATGTTTGTGTTCTTGATACCATTTCGTATGTGTTCGATGCCCTCAAGTTCGAGTAAACGGGAGGAGATTGCTTGCTGCTCGGCTGACAGCCGTTGCACGAGGGCAGATGTAGAAGCTGACCTGCGATGGGGATTGTCAGAGTCAGGGATCCAAGGTGGCCCCTAGGGATCAGGTATGCATACACGAGGGTTGGAACCTACGATGAGCAGAGTAGTCTCTCGTTGCGATCATATTGGTCATGGAGCTCTCGCAGGGACATCTCCGCGACGAGCTTCGGCTTGGGTCTGGGTGCAGCCCTGAAGCCCGGTGGTACAGCCGGTTTGCTGCGCATTGGCGATGTGGGGGATTGCAGGGAATTTGCTCTCACAGGACCCATGGAAGAGCTTGTGGAACGTGGAAGGGGAACGGAAGTCGGACTGTCTGTCATCGTTTTTATTGTACAGGCGTCACACCGCATATACCACTTTCGGATGTCAACTCAACTACAAGTACAGACATATACAGTAGCACCAATCCTTTCATTCTCTTCTGCTGCCTTTCACCGACGATGACTCACATGAACATATCCCCCTGTCAACGCGTAATCAAATAGGTCAGCTCAGGTGTCGCGTTGGAGAACAACCGCAAATCTCACGACACCGGGCGGCATAAATTCATCGTTGTCAGGCTCACCGCTGCCTCTTCTGGGCGCTCCCCTGCGAAAGCCTGGAGGGAACCGGTTAAGTGGACCAGGACCTGGCACTATGGGGTCAAATCGTGCACCAGGAGGTGCGCCCATGGGCGGCAGGTATCCGTCACCTGCCCAAGGTCCCCTTACGTCGTCCGGCCTACTTCCTCTGGGATCGAATATTGGATGCTCAGGACCAACGAACATGCCGTCACCTCCATGAGGGGGAAACAAGGGTAGGCGGAGCAAACGGATTGCCTCCAAACGGTTCCAAATCTCGTCGACCAATCTCAAGAGGATTTTCGGGTAGTATGTGAGAGTGCGGTCCATATGGAATCTGGCAGGGAGGAGTGGCTGGTCTTGGCCGGACAGGGACAGGGACTGAGCGTGAAGCAGGCGGACCCACATTTGTGGAAGCGTCTTCGGATTGCTCCACGTAACCTTCCTTTCTGAGGCCCGGTATGAGTTTCTGTATGATCTTTAGTTTAAGTTCGCAGATGAAATCCGAGATGCGGTTGGGGGAGATGAAGCCATGGACGAGAGGAGGGGCATCAGGACGAGTGACATCATGAGGATAAAACGACGGCGAAGTGAAGTCGTTGGTAGATATGTCTAACGAAGCGGATTTATCACTCTGCGAGTCATAATTGAATAGGTAAATATACACAGTGACAGATCTGCGTACTTCGACAGCGATGGCGTTAATCAGGGTGCGCTGACCCAACTTTATGACCTTTACAAGAAATTCAAGACTACTCTGTTCATGTTTGTATCTGAATGTGCGGTCTACGAGCCCCTTTGTGTTCCAGTCGTCTGGAAGGACGCTGTTGGGATGGGGACTGGCGGGAGACACGTCATCCGTGGCAACAAGACGAAAACCAAGCGTAGTGAATGCAGTATGGATAAGGACAGAGATGGCATCATGTGCAGACGTTAATGTTTTGTTGGACTGTGGAAGTAAATCTGGGAGCTGGCGGAGGAGTGCCGCTGGATCCAAGATGTTGTTGGCCATGGTCGTCGTGATGCAGGAAGGGAAAAAGGGGCTTGTCGTACTACATATTAGTCAGCGCCTTGGGATCCTAACAAAGACAAACAAAAATCATATCTCTTTACCCGTCGTCCTCCTGCAGACGACACTCGCACAAACCATGACACGCAGGGACAGGTCTTATTCACCAGACAGCTCAAACAAGAGGGTAAGGCCATCTCACCGTTCACCTCGGTCTCCTTCGCCGACCCGGCGGAATACCCAAAGGACTAGCAGGAGATATGACGACGAAAGAGACAGAGACCGGGACCGCGTGAGGGACAGGGAACGGGACAGGGAACGGGAACGAGACAGAGACAGGGACAGGGATAGAGACCGTCACAGAGACGACAGGTACCGCGACGACAGGCGGCGAGACGATAGAAGGGATGACCGACGCCGCTCACGCTCTCCGGACCGCAAGGACCGTGATCGTCGACCAACTTCCCCTCAAGCAAAACCCACTGCGGATGGAACCCCGACGTCTACACCCCAACCAGAAGATGAAAAGCTGAAGGCTAAGCGCGCAAGACTCGAGGCCTGGAAGAAACAGTGGGAGGCTAAGAAGGCATTGGACGAGGCTAAAGCTAAGGCGATGGCACTGGCTGGAAAGTCGGCACCAGGTTAGTCGTCATTCTCTGTTGCCCTCGATGAGATTTCACACCACTTGATCTTGGCTCCACAGCTGCTCCAGCCCCTACGCCATCCAAACCTGGGGGGACACTGAATCGTGCGGCGTTAACAGGTTTGGGCCTCAAGGGCTTGCCGCTCAAGCCCGAGGTTCTTAAAGCTTCCAAGGTCACTGCAGCTGCAATGGATGACTCGGTGGAGACCAAGCAGCGTAAGCTGGAGACTCTCGGCGATATGCCTGCCGTCGATATGACCATGGCTGACGGGGAGGCCAGCGTTGGTGATCTCGAGGTTGACGATGACGATGAAGAGGCGAACAGAATGGATCAAGCTTTGAAGAAGAAAGCCGCAGATGCCATGGACGAGGACGAAGAGCTCGACCCCCTAGACGCATACATGAGTGGTGTCAAAGAGGAGGTCAAGAAAGTTAATGCCGAGGACCTGAAAAGGATAGATGGCGGACTTGGTCCAACTCGCGTTCGCCTTGATGATCGCATGGTGGAGGAAGGCGCAGATGACGTCGAGGAGAAAGCCACAGCTGAGGACGAACTCGACGCTACTGACTTGAACCCGGAGGAGATTCTTGCCCTTGCAGCCAAGAAGGCTAAGAAGAAAGATGTCGCCGTCGTTGACCACTCTCGCATTAACTACGAGCCTTTCCGCAAAGATTTTTACGTCCCACCGCCAGATGTCGCCACCATGACGGACGAAGAAGCTGACCTTCTACGGCTTGAGCTAGACGGCATCAAGATACGTGGTATTGATTGTCCGAAACCCGTCACAAAGTGGAGCCAACTTGGCCTCCCTGCAAGCTGGTAGGCACCTTGTTCGGATGGTTGGTATGATCAGCATTAACTTTATGATCTAGCTTGGATGTTATAAAACGACTGAATTATACGGCGCCAACTGCTATTCAGGCGCAAGCCATTCCCGCCATCATGTCTGGTCGAGATGTTATTGGTGTCGCAAAGACGGGCTCCGGAAAGACAATCGCGTTTTTGCTACCACTCTTCCGACATATCAAAGATCAGCGTCCGCTGGAGCAGATGGAAGGCCCGCTCGCCATCGTTATGACACCAACTCGTGAGTTAGCTGTGCAAATTCACCGTGAATGCAAGCCCTTCCTAAAGGTGCTGAACTTACGGGTGAGTAATGGTGTTCATTTTTCATCTTCATGCGCTGCGAATGACACCGAACACTTAGGCTGTGTGTGCGTACGGAGGCTCGCCCATCAAAGATCAGATCGCGGAACTAAAGAAAGGAGCCGAGATCATCGTTTGCACACCCGGACGTGTGATTGACCTCCTAACGGCAAACTCAGGACGCGTGACGAACCTAAAACGAGTCACCTACGTGGTGCTGGATGAAGCCGACAGGATGTTTGACATGGGTTTTGAGCCGCAAGTCATGAAGATTGTCAACAATATCCGCCCTGATCGCCAGACTGTTCTCTTCTCAGCTACATTCCCAAAACAAATGGATTCCCTGGCGCGGAAGATTCTCCAGAAACCTTTAGAAATCACTGTTGGTGGCCGATCTGTCGTAGCCCCCGAGATTGAGCAAATCGTTGAAGTCCGTCCCGAGGAGTCAAAATTTAACCGTCTTTTGGAGATTTTGGGTCAAATGTATAATGAAGACCCGGAATGCCGGACGTTAATCTTTGTTGATCGACAGGAAGCTGCTGATAATCTTCTTCGTGATCTGATGCGAAGAGGATACCTGTGTATGTCTCTTCACGGTGGGAAAGACCAAGTGGATCGAGATTCCACTATTGCTGATTTCAAGGCCGGTGTTGTCCCAATCGTCATTGCTACGTCGGTTGCCGCACGAGGACTGGACGTCAAGCAGCTAAAGCTGGTCATCAATTTCGATGCTCCCAACCACATGGAAGATTATGTTCATCGTGCTGGTAGAACAGGGCGGGCTGGAAACAAGGGAACATGCGTCACCTTCATTACCTCGGAACAAGAGAGGTACTCTGTCGATATATACCGTGCCTTGAAGGCGAGCAATGCTACTATACCTAGGGAACTCGAAGAGCTCGCCAATGGTATGTCCTCTCTCTCTCTCCAGCACAGTCATTCACTGCCTGACAGGTTTCCTGGAAAAAGTGAAGTCGGGGAAGGCACAGGTCGCTGGCTCCGGCTTCGGCGGTAAGGGCTTGGATCGGCTGGACAAGGAGCGAGAAGCCAAAGATCGCGCGGAGCGGAAGGCTTATGGCGAAGGCGGAGAGGAGGAGAAGACAGAAGAACCACAGAAAACAGCTCCGGGCGATGATATGACTTTCGGTAACTTCAAGGTGGAGATCAGACGCGGACCTGCGCCTGATTCTGCTAAAGGAATTCTTGGAGTTGGAAGTGCTGCAATCGCTGCTCGACGTGCTGCTCATGCTAAGGAGGAGGAGAAGATACAAGCCCAGATTCGGACCGCGCAGGAAGCAGCAGCTCGCGCTGGCAAAGATTCACCGGCCGAGAAGCAAGCACTTAGCGTTGTAGCGAAACTCAATGCTCAATTGAAGGCTATGAGGCTGGTGCTACAGTCGCAAATACAGCATGAAGAGAGCGGCGGCAGGAAAGCCAATCCCGACTCGACGGATTTCCATGCGATCATACCCATTAATGACTATCCTCAGAAGGCTAGATGGAAAGTCACGAACAAGGAGACGATGGTCCAGGTGTGCATTGTGAAAGTTCGCGCAATCATGTACTCAACTATGATTCCCCTAGCTTATTGATATGACTGGCGCCTCAGTTACCAATAAAGGTGAGCAGACCCTTGGTTTTTTCATGTCTCAGAACCTCACCTTCTGCAGGTATTTACTACGAAACTGGGAAGGAACCTCCTCCAGAGGGTCCACCGAAGCTTCACCTGCTCGTGGAATCGAACGAAGAGTGGAGAGTGAGGACCTTTCATCTATTTTCTTTACTATTTTCAATTGAATCACTTCGGGCAGGTCGAGCAAGCGGTCAGAGAGATTAAGCGTCTCCTTATTGAAGCCTCTGCTGCAGCACTGCAGGCGGAGATGCGCAATCCTAGTGCAGTAGTAGGACGATACAGTGTTGTGTAGTTCATTATGTTTGCATAAGTAGCAGACGACTAATCTATGGATTCTAATCGACCAAGGATGCTTGGGAGATCCGAGAGAAAACAAGGATAGGCAGAAAATGGGCAGCGGCAGTGGCAGCCCTGATTAGATTTGCCATACAAGCACGGCATGGCCTAACCTACAAGTGGTGCCATATAAACCAAATTAATCTGGACGTAGCTTCATCATTGATGTAATGTCTTACTGCTACCCCTGAATACAAGCTCAGCTATGACATATGCTTCCGTATGTGGAAGCGGTGATACAACTTCCTAAACTGCCGTACTTATCGACTGCAATCACGGGCCGACATCGTACTGTAATTGCAATTGGTCAAGTTTCCTCATCATTCCGTTTGACATACCCAAGGAACTTGGCTATATGTAACTGTAATGTGCACCCCAGCCGAAGCTTGAAGACCCAACAGGAGGTAGAGGCTTCAGTAAGCGAAATCGGCCTATGGTACTGACATCGGCCGGCTGTAATGTTTGTTGCGTACAAGATTGTGAGTCAGCCTTCGCAGTAGTCTTCGCCGACTCTGAATGGAGTCGCCCATAACCCATTACTTACCCCGTCTAGGTGGTGTGTGATTTCTACCATGTTCACTCCATGATTCAGAGAACATAGAAACGAGGACCAGGTGAGGGTGATGTGAGTCTTAACGGCCCGGAAGGTCATTTTACTGATGGGGTAAGCAGTGCCTATCCACTGGGAACCAGCATAGTCATGTCGCCTTAGGCAAAGGTGCAGTATTAGACATTTCAGTTCTTGTCATCACATGGCGACACCCATACAAATTCGTTGGGTTATTCTTCCCCATGCCCTGAGCCTCAACTGTCACCCGTGTCCACTCCTGTCGTAGAACGGGAGTCCTCCGCGAGATATGCCACGGGAAGTGCGAGGTGTTCCCCAGCAGACCGTCTCCGCGACAACTTTGGCCCATGTTGATGACCCCGTATATGTGAGCGAACTCCCAGATTCGCTAGCTAGGCCAGACGCCCACGATAAAACTGACAAACAAGACGACGACACCCAATGGGAGTTTGATCCAAGCAATCCTCGGAATTGGTCTGCGTTGAAAAAATGGACTGCGACTACTCTTGTTAGTTCCCCAGACGGCATCTATTGGGTCCATCCTTACGACAATCTCTAGGTATCCTTTTACACCTTTCTCGCACCCTTAGGCAGTTCCATGATGGCCCCAGGATTGCCTGACATAGCGCTGAGATACCACATAACAAATCCCACGGTCCTTGCGCTAACCCTGTGTGTCTTCTTACTCTCGCTGGCCGTCGGCCCGCTGTTTATTGCCCCCCTGTCCGAAATGTACGGGCGGGTATGGGTAAGATTTTCCTTGCCTATCATTTGCGTTTTTTGACCTTCGTAAAGGTGCTGCATATCGGGAACCTTGTTTTCCTTACCTTCAATTTGGCATGCGCTTTAGCGCCAACGGCCGGCACATTTGTTGGTTTCCGCTTCCTTGGTAAGTCATCTTTCCTTTTGTATCGTGTCAAACTTGTTTGACAATATGTACCAGCTGGTTTCGCTGGTAGCACCCCTTTGGCAATTGGCGGGGGGGTCATCAGTGACCTATTTGCCGAACGCGACCGGGCGTCTGCTATGGCACTTTACACCATGGGGCCCCTGATAGGTTAGATCTAGCTGATGCTAGGGTGTCCGAGTTGGTCCTAACGGTTAAATAAATAGGCCCAGCAATTGGCCCAGTCATAGGGGGCTTCATCAGTCAGTCAGTCGGTACGCAGTATGTCTTTTACCTCATTACTGGCCTTTGTGGTCTTGCCGCGGTCCTGGCTATCCCTCTCTTACGGGAAACATATGCTCCGCTTATCCGCCTTCGAAAATCCAAGCATCCTACGGATCCCGAAAAGAAGGCTGCGGCCCATACGAGTGCCCCGCAAGTTCCTGCAAACAAGTGGAATTACTTATGGGTCAACATATCTCGCCCTATGCTCATCCTTACCCGGAGCTTCATATGTTTTGTTTTAAGTTTGTACATGGCCTTGTGCGTTGCTTCATTATCTGCCAGTTTTCGGGGAGCTGATGTGACATAGGATGTATGGTCTGTGTCTTCAAACATCGAGACAGGGATTATGAATACTAAGACTGCTGCTTCAGCCATCTACTACTTGATGTTTGCCACATTTCCGAGTGGGGTTGCCATTTTAAACGGCAAACAACTGACTAATGAATCTTGCAGACCTGTTCTCCGAAGTCTACCATTGGAGCGTTGGTATCGGCGGTTTAGCATACGTTGGTCTTGGAATAGGATTCCTGCTGTCGGCCTTGTTAGGCGCTAAGATATCGGACAAGTTGTACTCACGTGTGCGTTTTTCTACCTTCTCCCACGCACGTTCATGGTTTTTACGCCTCTATAGCTGGTAGCTAAGAACGACGGGAGGGGGAAGCCTGAGATGAGAGTCCCAGCTCTCATATTTGGGTCGTTTTTTGTCCCTGTTGGGCTACTGTGAGTTCGACAGCGACCAGCTAAGGACTCATTTACCCTACCCTCTGCAGCTGGTATGGTTGGTCTGCCCAGGCAGGAATCCATTGGATTATGCCAATTATTGGGACCTCCATCTACGGTTTTGGACTAATGACCACGTTGTACGTAGACGACAGCGTTCTGCAAGGAGCGTAGCCGCTGATACGAACTGTAGCCTCCCAATTCAACTGTACCTTGTCGATGCTTTCGTGTACAGTGCAAGTGCAATCGCAGCCGCGTCGGTGTGTTTCCTAGTATTTGCGCCTGTCGATGCTCACTTATACTGTGCCAGTTTTTCCGATCCTTTTTAGGATTTGTCTTCCCCCTTTTCGGGGAGCAGATGTTCAATGCTCTTGGGTATGGATGGGGAAATACGTTGCTTGGAGGACTTGCAATCGTCATCGGGATTCCGTTCCCGATCTGGATATATTGCGCTGGCGAACGTATCCGGTCTCGAAGCGCCCTATTTCAGCGTCCTGCTGAGTCGGCTGGATGATTAGCGTGATGGTGGTCGGGTCCCCAGTTCTTGATGTCCGAATACTGATTGTATGTCGCGTGCTAAAATGGAGTAGACACCCCGTTAGACCCCGTTACTTACTAATCATGAAATTCACGACATTTGGACACAGGAACACAAATAAAATGTCACCATAGGCGAGTTTCTTCTAATCGCATTACTGGGTTGGCGGTGGCCATTCGAAGATCACATGAGCAAGTACATGCACATATGCGCTCTGACACTATTACCGAGGTAGCCCGAAACCCCTTTGTCTTGCAAGGCCGTTCCCTAAGGAGTTGCCCAGTCCTGCATCCCTCACCCTTCGCTCTACTTGAGTGAGCTTGCCTTCGACCTCTCGCACCGCGCCATCGATCCACTGAAGACTCTCCAAGTGGCTGTTAAGAATTTGGGAAATTTGCATCAGAGGGTCATCACCGCTATGCGGAGAAACGCTGTTGGTAGCAGAGAGTGACAACGTGTTCACAGAATCAATCATCTGAGTGAGTGATGTGGACTAGGATCATCGAGATGAGCGTGCAGCTCGGTAGCTAGCACGTAACTACGGAGGACTTAGAATAAATTGTCGAGGGTTTAAGGAAGACACTAACTTTTTGTCACGTTCAGTGTCAGCAGGTCCTGTATCCAGCGAGCGCAAACTCCCCCCTTGACTTCCTAGGATCTCCTCGGTCGACCGCTCATAAGCATCCAACGTCACGGAAAGGTCTCGTTGCTGCTGCTCAATATGGTCAAGAGTCTGCTCGATCTCAGTCTGCTCTCTCTCCACTGCCACTACGTGACTGTATAGCGCAGCCAGCTAGCATCAAGTTTGAGCTTATGCACACTGGTGGAAAAGACAAAAGGCATACGTTATTTCCGTTTTCCATTAACGCACGGTCCCAGACTGCGACCTCAGCGGCAAACTTGTTGAACTCCCGGACTTGATTTTCAAGCTCAGAAGACCATTTATTAACAATCTCTTCGATAGTTTTTCCTTTGAGGACAGAAGGTGGCGCAACTGCGATTGTCGTACTCGGCGAAGCGGCTGCACATCGAGTCAGTATGAAAGCATGAAAGATATTGTGCTACCGACCATCCTTTGCCTTGTCACCGTCCTTAGGGGCCAGCGTAGACGCTAAAGAATAATGTTGGAGGCTATAACATGAAATGTAACTGTCTACGGCTTACCTGTCACGGTTGTTGCTCCACCTCCGGTGGCAGCGCCTAATTTACCGCCGAATAAACCTGCGGCAGCTACTGTAGTGTTACGACAGACCGCTGTCAAGTTTCAACCAAAAGGTCTTACGAGCTGCTGCGTCTGTTTTCTCTGAAGGAGCCGCTTTGTCTTTACTTCCGAAAAGGCCAAATGGAGAGGCAGCTATGCCCAGTTACGGATGAGTCGTTGCGGAGGAAGAGAGTAAGGCAACTCTAAATCACCTCTTGGGGCGTCTTTCTTCTCTGTGCTGTCGCCTTTGGGGGGTACAGCACCGAACAAGCCGCCGGTCGGGGCCGCTTCATGATAAATCAGCACCATGGATCAGCGATTATACTACCTCGACTTACCTGGCGGGACTGTAGTAGATGTACCATCCTTGCCTTGAGTCGTTGCACTCGCCAAAAATGATGCTGTACTGGCAGCTGTAGGTGCAGCTGTCGCATTCGGCGTCAAAGGCACGAACGAGGTGGGTTTCGAAGTTGCTGGCGCAGGCGCACCAGTGCCGCCCAGATTTCCGAATATACTCTGGACAGATGACGCCGGGGGTGTGCTAAAGAACGAAGATCCAGCACTGCTGATCGCTGTTGTCGTTGGCGTTGTGCCAGTAGCCGCACCGGCAACTGAGGCCCCAGGGGCAGTCGACGAAGGCACTCCGGGAGCTGGAGACGCTGCTTTCCCAAAGATACTGGATGTGGATGTGGGTAACGTGCTCGTAGTAGTTCCGCCAAATAAGCTAGGCACAGTGCCCGGCGCACTTGTCGATGGCGCGCCAGTAGTTGGTGTCGTTGGCTTTCCAAATAAACCTCCCGATGATGTGGGGTTGCTAAAGAAACTGGCTCCGCTTCCCGTATTCCCGAAGAGACCTGGTGAGCTGCCGCCCGTATTCAAAGAGAAAGAGGGCGCAGTGCTTGATGTGCCCGTGCCAGCGTTTCCGGCGGTCGTCCCGAAAATACCGCTCCCAAAAGGACTCGGCTGGTTGTTCTGCTGGGGAGCACTCATTGCCGCTGCGGTGGAGATGTCTTGGCCGAAGCTGCTTGGTGAGGATATGCAGTTGGCTGCAGACCCGTTGCGAGTGCTCGCTACTATATCGAGTCACCCCTAAAGAGACTAGACAAGTAACTGGCTACATTAATACGCAGACTCAGCGCGGCTATAGTAGTTTACACCACCCAACGTCGACACAGGAACCATATTCTACACTCTTTTGGTTGTGGTACACTACATAATCCAGATGTCAGAGTGCTGCCCAATTACACGAAGTCAAGCAACGCACGAAACATATCAGAAGTCTGAGTCGGAAACACTGAGTTCTGACGGGGGCCGTCCGATCGACAGATCCAACTTTGATGCCATTTGCGCGACAACCTTCTCTAGTTCTGATATTTTCGTACGCCTGCAGAGCACGTAAGAGTCGGCTGAGATTAAGAAGAAACGGTCGCTTACTCCAAGTGTGAACGTTCTCCGAGCTCAAATGCCTGGGAGATACCAAGCAACTGAGAACTTTCGGCGAATTGCTTCCTGCGCTGTGATTCTTTTTCCGCCATATTTTTCAAGTTCGACATGTTACGCTCGTATTCTCGTTTCAGCTAAAAGCAGAAACGTAAGCTGACGAAGATGAAGAATAGCCGCGTGTAATCACCAGCGATATACGTGCAGCTAAAGAACCCTCATCATACCGTCCGGCACCAAAAACCTCTGCTCTCATTCTTCTGAGCTCTTCGAACCATTTGGTCTCCGATTCACTCAAGTCCGGAGATGCTTGTTGCATCAGCAATTGAAGGGTCCGATCTAATCTGGCTGTCAACGATTTGTGCGACTCCATAATCTTCTGCACCCGCGCTTCAGTGTGAGCGTATCTCAGGCCTCGAAGTTCCTCCACTTCCTTCAACATCTCCACACACTTTTCCCTGTTGCCTCTGGAACTCCGTCACCTGAAGCGCTGCGCGTGTCTCGGTTGCACGGTGAGCAAGGATAACCTCACGGATCTGGGCGATAAAGCTCTCTACGACGGACCCGAAGTAGCGCAGAGTGTCAGGTGTGAGCATGAACTCGCTCTTCGAGTTGGATGTGCCAACAGACATGCGCGGGAAACTCGGCAGACCGGACGGCCTGGACAACATAGGGGGTATTTGGAATGGTTCAGCTTCAAGGAGACACACATATGCGGGTGGACCTTCCACCGGAATCAGGAATCCCCCATCCTGCTCTGAGGTTGGTTCGGGCCCTGCATCTTGCAAATCGCGTGAGGCAGAAAGGTCGGTGCGGAGAGTAAGGGGGAGACATATGATACGGAAGACAGAAGTCAGGATGAGAATACTGTACGCCAAGAAAATGTCATTGGGTACGCATATCGCAATCACGGGTTTCGAACATCTGAAGACAAAAGTCAACAAGTGTTGATAGTGTGGGAGTGTCTACGCACCTCCGTTGGACTGAAAACGTATCCAATACGGCGGTTACATGTGTGGCTGTCGACTTCTCCAGGGCTTGGACGAGCAAAGATCCCTCTTTCATCATCCGCACGTAGGGCAGCTGAGAGGCATTGCAAGAGTTCCCCAAAGTCAAGTGCGTGGACGCCAAATGCATGAGCAACGTAGACCCGGTCATCATGCATCGGATCTCCATACAACACAGGGTGGTTAGCCTGTAGGAGATCTAAAGAGCTTCTTTCCGTCGAAGGTTCCCCGAGCATCGAGATGAGGCCCAAATCAACTGACTCATAGACAGCAAACATAGGAAGTTCACGTGAACTCTCCTGTACAAAGATCACATTACTGCTCCAAGACACGAAATTGTACTGACCTGTTTGCTTTCCCAACGCGCTTCGACCTTCTCGACGTCTAGGCAAACGTCGACCTTGCCATCTTGATATGCAATCATCACAATTCCGAGGCGTTCGGTCTCACCCTCGTTCCCCTCGTCATCATCGCTGGTAAACGCGAGACAAGCTATATCCGTAGCATCGCCGCCTTCACTTCCCTCCAAAGTTCTCGGTGATGGTTGCAATAGGAACGGCCCCTGACGTAGAGGCTCGCTCTTGATTGTGTGTGGTAGATGCATGGGGACTGGGCGAGACACGGCTGGAAAGACGGTCCCAGGGGGAAGTTGCTTGACAAGCGCGGAGACATACTTCCTCTGATAGTCGTATAAAGTGGAAAGAGCGGAAGTAGAGGTCGAAGTTCCTTGTAGAAGAAATTCCTGTTTAGCAGCGATAAAGCACTCCAAGGCATGGACATATGAGGAAGGAACAGACCTTGGTGTGACGGTCAGTTAATTTTGAGTATAAGTTTAGAGAACAACAAGGACTTACGCGTTCTTAGGCATGTACGGACATATGCCATACACGTCCCCTGATCGTGTCACGGCGTAAATAGTCAACTGGACCCCAATCTGCTTTGCCCCTACCAAGGGTGAACGAAGCGATTTCGCGCTCTGCAGGGTCTTCTGCTATAAATGACTTAGGTTTCTTCTCCGGAAGGAATGAAAGAACTTGTTGTGGTTCTTCTGTATCCACGGAAATATCATACTCTCTGTTAAACTGTTAGAAGAGCCTAAGCATATAGGGACGAGGGTATACCTGAGTTTGCCATCGACCGTCATGACCATGAGGGTTGAACCTGCTTCTCCCCATGGATGCCATTCGATCTTTGCAATAGGAATTGATGTGGTGGATGCGTGATAGAACTGGCCCACTTGTACAGACCTAGCAGAGTGCTCAGCACATGAAACAGAGAGGGTGATACACCATACTTGCAGTCGACCGTTGAGGAGACAAGCTTAGAGTAACCTGGGCGGGGAAGAACGACAACCGCGACTTGGTAAGCGCCCGCAACGGCGAGCAGTTTACCGCCTGGGTTTGTAATGATTTGGTGGATCTCAAATTGGATATTGGGAGTGTGTAGGACCTGGTGGAAAAAGGTGAGGATGCAAGTGTGTGAACAATGAGAAGGTACATGGCCAACCTTATACGACTTGATGGACTTCCCCAGCTTCGTGTCTCCTAACGAAGTCATCCTTAGTTCTGTGTGAACTGCAACGATGAGGTCTGCGTCCTTGAGTGCCATTGCCTGGCGTCTTCCGGAAGAGGGCGTAGCCATCGTCGCGGGCAGACCTCTTCAATGAATTGGTAGAGAGCTCAAGTGCGTCTTCTGAGCTATCTTTATATGTCTTTGGGACGTCGAATATCGGGTGATCGCTGAGGAGGGCAGCCCAGTCGTCCTGGTTCGTCGACATCGTCGACGTTGAAGGCGTTGAGGGGCTCTGCGAGTCTGTGGCAAGGCAAGAACTGAACTAGTTGGCTCGGTTTGCTTCAGTTCCCACGTGGGCGACGCGTCCCTCCTGAGCTGAGCTTGCGCGTCCAGTATCTCTGCAAGACACGATGACGTCCATTGGAACGGGCTACGATCTCTCAGCAAGCACTTACTCTCCAGACGGTCGTATATTCCAGGTCAATCCGCGTCTCGATCTGTTGCATGCGCACTGACACTCGATCACTTTACTAGGTGGAATATGCTACCAAGGCAGTCGAGAATTCTGGGTGCGCTCCCTTCATTTTTTTTACCGAAACACACTTCTTGACAGGTATATAAGCACTGCGATCGGTCTCAGAGTGAAAGACGGCATTGTTCTGGGGGTAGAGAAACTCATCCACTCCAAACTCCTGGTACCAGGTGCCAACCGGCGCATCCAGACAGTAGACAGGCATATCGGCATGGTACGCCTTTGATTCTTAGATTATGTTATGATAGACAACAATCGACCTCATAGGCTACAGCCGGCCTTCTGGCGGACGGCCGGAATGTCGCCAACAGGGCACGCGATGAGAGTTTTCAAATCCGTGGATTATGGAGGGAACCCCCCACTGTCAAGGAACGTCTATGTTTACTTCCTTTATGGTGGTAAAATCTTATGCATTACTCATAGGCAGTCGCGGACCGGCTTGCTTTGTATGCGCAAGCATACACCCTTTACTCCTCCGTCCGGCCATTCGGCATCAGCACCATCTTTGGTGGCGTCGACAAGACGGGTCCGTCACTTTTTGTCGTAGAACCCAGTGGCGTCTGTTTGGTTAGTACATCACAGCATTATTGCGGTACACGTGTTCAACGTAGCTTGACCGTAGGGATACCACGGAGCAGCCGTAGGCAAAGGCCGCCAATTAGCCAAGACTGAACTAGAAAAGCTCAAGCTTTCAGAATTGTCGATGCGGGAGGCTGTTATAGAAGCTGCAAGAATGTTCGGATCCGTTTATGTCGCTTTTCGAAGTACTGACGGGTCTTCCAGAATATATATCGTACATGATGACAATAAAGAGAAGGAGTTCGAACTCGAGATGTCATGGGCAGGCGACGAGACGGGTGGCTTGCATGTGCCCGTGCCAGCTGATCTCTTGGCCGAGGCAGAACAGAAGGCAAGGGAAGCCTTGGAGACTTTCGAGTAGTGATTACTACCCACTCCTTAAACGGGGTACTTGTACACTGGAACTCGTTTACACTATCTGCTCGAGCTCACGGGCGTAAGCAAGATTTGCTTCGATGAGTTTCTGCTTAGGAATTTCCATCTGTTCGTCGTTCTTCTGCGCAAACCTGATGAGACCGGCACTCAAATCTACTTGCCATCCCCGCTGGAGCAAGAATCAGATGTTGCACCCGGACGATACTGAGAAAAATACTTGCCTCTTGAGCATATTTAAGCAGTTCAGATTGCGAAGAAAAGAACAGCAACGTGGCGACATCCTTGATTGGAAGACTGTCGTAAGCTACCTCTTCACAGCTTGCAATTTCATTCCTACTCGAATCTGAGCAAAACAGACTGACAAGGTCAAGAGATATACCTTATGGTCCCCATCAAGCTGTCCACGAAGAACTTGTATTCTTCTGCAGGAGCCTCCTCCCGGGCGTTCCAAACCTTGCTATAACTTCCCTCCATAAGCCACCGTTCGAGGTTGACCGGATGTCGGATGTAAGGATTCAGGCTGATTTCGTCGGCAGCAAGTGGAAGAGACTCGAGGGTAGTGTGGAAGTCAGCTATCCTATTCTGAGTGAGTAGACGGATGAGATTGAGGCCCCGGAGGGGAAACTCGCGCTTGGATGGCGGAAGGCTCGACCTTGCGAGCAGTGTGAGACTTACTACCAGGAACGCAAGGGAGTTCCAAACCTATAGTCTGTGTAGAAAGTGTGGAGCTGGGAGAAGTATCTGTCAAATGAAGGCACGTCCTTTGCTCGTATACTCCAGAATGCACCGATTTCGAGAATGTCGCCTGTTTCGGGAGTATAAACGATCATCGCATAGGCAGGGCTGCATAGGACCTACGTGCAATAACCATATCGTTCAGGCTAGCCTCACCATTGGGTAGAAGTAATCCGGACTCTATCAAGCCGATCTTTGGATGGGTGAGACGCAGCGACGAGGACGTCAGCTGGGGGATTCACCTTGAGCTGTGCAAGCAGAACACCACATTTTTTCAGATCGGCCGGCCGTGCGTCGAATGCACGCTGCAAGTCTCTGTAGAGAGTTTGAAGCTGTCTAGAAACCATTCGAGAAATGCTAACGAGCAAGTCACTGTCAAACTATAAACGCGTGTACGCGCCAGCTGGGTGAGACGCGTCAGCCCGTCAGCCACACTCCAACCCTTCCCCTCACCAAAGACACAACACATGGATCGCATCGACATGGACCGACTGAAGAGCGGGGAAGTCAACCTTGGAGTATGCAAACCGTCCTTTCTCTCTGCAACAGCCAGATTGACCCCTCTTACAGACTTCGATCATGGCCGTACAGTTCGACCACGGCGTCGTCATCGGTGCCGACAGTCGAACAACTACTGGAAGCTACATCGTATGCTATCCTGGTGATCCGGAGGAAGTGCTAGGCTGATCCTTATGCACGCAGGCTAACCGTGTGACGGATAAGCTTACCCATGTCCACGACCGTATATACTGCTGTCGCTCAGGATCAGCCGCAGATACTCAGGCAATTGCTGACATCGTCCACTACTCTCTCCAGTTATACACGTACGCTACTGTTCTCTCGATGCAGTCTCTTGGATATAACCTACGTTTCGCTTGGCAGACAGGAGTTTGGTGCTGCACCACCAGTGTCAAGCGCAGCTGCTATCTTCCAGAAACTTTGCTATGAAAACAAGGACGCGTTGTCCGCAGGTATCATTGTTGCTGGTTGGGACAAAGAAGTAGGCCCAAGCGTCTACAATATTCCCGTTGGCGGTGGATCGTTCCGCCAGCCATGGGCAATCGGAGGTATGCTTGCACCTTCATAATGCAAAGCCACGTTTACAAAGAGATTGCATTCAGGTTCCGGCTCTACCTATGTCTATGGTTACTGCGATGCTACCTATCAAGAAGGTTGGGGTAGAGGCGAGGCCGTCCAATTCGTTAAGAACAGTACGTCCGCCTGGGACACTGCCCACCACATGAACTTACATTCCTGGCAGCACTCGCCCTTGCCATGGGGCGAGACGGTTCGTCCGGAGGCGTTATACGTATGTGTGTCATCACTGAAGATGGGGTAGAAAGATTGTTCGTGCCAGGTGATCAACTTCCCAAGTTCTGGGAAGGGCACGAAGTGCTGCCCGCCGCAGTGACAGGAGCGAATGTCATAGACCCTGTACCCATGGCCGTCGAGTAAGAACGTGTACTACAGATAACCAATGTATCCCTCCATTACGATGCACTTGATCACAATCTCTCTTGCAAGTAACTCACCCGCCACTCCCCATCCACCTCCCATCCACCGCTACAGACCAGATCTTGGTATGCATCGCCTTCCCACATCTGCAGCCTCCACAGGGCAATGGCCAATGGAGCAGAGTCCCCGCACTTAACAGCGCGCTCATTCGGAACGAGAAGGAATGCATGGCTTCCTCTTCCGCCGCCAGGCGACGATTTTTTTCGCCGGTTGCCGTCAGAATTGGCTGATGATTGTCCCAACCGACTGCGCCTCTCTGCATCCAAAACCTTGCATGACGCCTTATGTAGCATAGCCCTTTGTGGTGCAGATGGGAGCATAGTCAGGCCATTATAAAGTGGGACTTGTGCAGCTGGAACCAGGCTTGAAAATGGATGATCCTCTTCAGGAAGGGGGCATTGGACTCGGTGTGGTGTCGATAGAGGTAATTGTACCTCGCAGTGGGAACCTGATGCTGGATGGTATAACCTGGTCGTCGGACGGAATTTCAGGTCCAATCGAAGCAGCTGGTTTCTTTTTCGTGATCCGATCCCTATTGATCGGAGGGACGACCACGACAGCTACGGCATCTCAGTGAGGAACTACTCCTGTTTCTCGCAGTTCCTTGAATTCCGCCCCTGTAAGCCTACGAAGTACAGTAGCTTCCTGATCATCGTGTCTTGACCAACGAAAAAGTCTTCCTTCCAACAACTGCAGCTCTTGGATTATCCTCGAACGGAGGAGATGGCTAATTTGTGTGGCTAGCAACTTGTGGAATATTCCCTTGGGAGCAGTCCGTGGCGGGGCAACCGGAAAGGATAGCTAAAGATGACTGAAGTATTGGGTTAGATGTCCTTCCGGCACGTCAGTTACATTACCAGCTGGCCCTTTCGCCCCTTGAATTTTGGATGTTGGAGCCCGTCTGGTATGCAGACTTGGAGGGACTTGGCCCCGCGAGAAGCAGGCAGTTGGAGTGGAGTAAGGCGAATGAGAAGGTCTGGTAATAAGTAAGCATGATTTTTATTAACGACAATTTTGCGGGGGCTACCACTAGGCATATGCCTTCGCGAGATGGCATACCATCGTATGGGACTGGAGAATATCCTGACTACGAGCTGGTGAACAGGCCGAGGCTTGCTTTCAATACGTGATAGCACATACGATATGGGCTAGACCACCACTCCCGCTTCTGAACAGTCATCTCCCTCGGGATGTAAGATTCTGCATTTTCAGCAGCGATCTTACCTGGAGAAACGAGCACGCGAGGAGAAAGGCCTTTGTGTCTGATATATGCCCTGGTATTGGTCACCGGGCTCTGGTCGTCAAGTAAGATAGACTGCAGTCTGCCCACCACGCTGTACAATGGTCGCTCAGGTGTCGGCTGAGAAACTCCACTTCTTTCATGGCATAACATGTCCCCCTTTGTCCAGATGCGTTGGCCGCGGTTCCCCAAGTGGTGTTTCCTTGAGCTTTTTGATGAGACGCGGCAGGAGGCGAGGCATAGACCGTCCTGACTCCTAGCCGCGAAGCCACTCTGGTACGCAGACATGAGGTAGGCGCTTGCTCAGCGACGCCGTTCCAGGCAACGGGGCGGCTATATGACTTCACATCGTTCCAGTAATAACAGTCTGGTGACATAGGTCATTCTACAGTACCTCTTTTCAGTTGTCCCACCATGACCGCTGCTGCTGCCAATGAATCTAAACAACTGGTTACCCTCGCCGTTGTCGGCTGCGGTCAGCGTGGTGAGGTATGTGACCTTCCTCTGCACGGAGGCATTCTAATAAGCTGCCGATACATCCACTTTGTCAGGGATACGCTAGTTATGCACTCAAGGAACCCTATCCATGCAAGGTCGTAGCTATCGCTGAACCCCGCAAGAATACGTGTCGGTTGTTCGCCCAGGCGCACAACGTCGACGCTGCACTCGTTTTCAACCATTGGCAGGACCTTTTACAGGCGTCTGCTGAGACCATCGAGACACTGGGAAGGCGGTTGGCTGATGGTGTCATCGTTGCCGTCCAGGACAATATGCATCGTGATGTTGTGATGGCGTTTGCGGCACAGGGTTACCACATATTGTGCGAGAAGCCCATGGCGATCACTGCGCGTGACTGCTTTGACATGGAGGCGGCAGTTAAGAAGGCTGGCATCATCTTTGGCATGGGTCATGGTCAATCAACTCTGCTCAGCTCCATGCCTCGTGTCTGATATCCTGCAGTGTTGCGATACTCACCATACACGAAGGCCATCACAGAGATTATTCGTTCGGGCACCCTTGGAGAACTGGTCAATGCTGTTCACGTGGAACCTGTGGGCTATTACCACTTCGCCCATTCGTACGTGCGGGGAAATTGGGCCAAGGAAACAGGAAGTTCGTTCTCGCTTTTGACCAAAAGCTGCCAGTGAGGTTACACGTCGGTCGCCTTATATCCATTATCCTTACAAGCCGGCAGTGACATAGATATTCTTTGTCACTGGCTACTGCCAGCCACACCTATCCGAGTGTCCTCTTTTGGCTCTTTATACCACTTCAAAAAGGGACAGAAGCCTGCGGCTGCTAGTGGTGTCTTGCGCTGCCTGCAATGTCCAGTCGAACGTGAATGTCCCTACAGTGCGAAGAAAAGTAAGCAGAGTATTAGTATTTCCTCAGTGGTGTACTTCTCATAGTCGTTAGTCTATTTGGATGCTGTATGCAGGGGGCATATCTCCTGGCCTGTGAGCGTTCTCGTTGATGGAGTACCCGACATTGAGAACGTAACGTACGCGCTGCAACACGGACCATACGGCCAATGTGTGTATGAGAGTGATAACGACGTTTGTGACCACCAGGTAAGAACTTCTGTTACCTTCTATTGCGAATCGTAGCAACTCCTTGCCAGGTGGTCAACATCGAATTTTCCTCGGGAGCGACAGCTTCTTTCACTATGGTCGCCCATACCTCTTTGATATGTGAACGCCAGACACGCCTTCATTTCACTAACGGTGAAATAGTTGGCGACATGTCCACATTTACCGTTACCGACTTCCGCACCGGTCGCAAGACAAGGCATTACCCTAATAATGAAGGTGGAGGTCACGGTGGGGGAGACTTAGGGCTCGTTTCAGCCTTTGTTGAAGCTGTGAGGTCAAATAACCAGGCATGCCTTGATACCAACGTCAGTGAAATTCTGAAGAGTCACCTGACAGTGTTTGCAGCTGAGAGCAGCCGAAGAGAAGGAAGGGTGGTGGACTGTGCCGAGTATGAGAAGGGTGTGAGGATGGCACTGGTTGCCTAGTTACACACCATCCACTGAAGCTCTGCTAGTATGTATGATACAAAGGCCCTCTGGGTGTCCCTGGATGCCACATGAGCAACTCAATTCATTTAGTTCACCTCGCAGATAAGGAGGAGAATGTGTACTGGAAGAGTGCGGCAGTGTGGTAGGTGGATGCCCCCAACCAACTTCAAGCCCGAGTCCATTCAGATACATGTAGAGACAACTCTGTCATGGCACCAGTGTCCCCCAGACTGGACTCTGACTACATCCAGGAATATGACAACGGCCCCCTCAAATATTATGGAAGCCTACTCAGGGAAAGGGTAGAGCAAAGTGGTGAACAGATTGTCATCTTACACAGAAATTATGACAAACATAAATCATTCTCGTTAGTAAGAAATGACAGGGGGGGAGAGAAGTTCTACCCCAACATACCCATTGAGACGCGGACGGAATTGTGTAAAATGTGCATGGGCAAGTAGATAAATTTCGAAGGATAGAAGTACAGGGGGGAGGGACACTTGACTCCCGTGCGGTATGTACTTCGATGCCCACAAACCTCGTGCTTTTCCACTAACCTGATATTAGCACCGCTGTTTGTCCATCGCATCCTTGCGAAGAAGACCAAATAGCTTGACCACATTCGTATTCTGGAGTTTGCTCAGCGGCTGTGATCGACATACCGATCCCAGGAGCAAGGGCTCACATTCAAATCAAACTGTCTTGCAGTACCGTCAGGCCTTTGAACAGAGACTTGGCGGCACTTCTTAGGGAGACTTGAAGGGTTACGCAGTGTAATAATAAAAGGAACAACAGAAGCTAGGTATCACAGGACAAATCGACGGGGAAAAGTACAGGTTAGATCAGCATTGTCATATCAATCCTGGAACTCCAATTCTCTGCGAATAATCTCTCGGACTTCCCTGAGTCCCCCTGCTTCCCGCCTGACCCTACGAGGACTGCGAGTCTGGACTTCTTCGGCACTATCCATTCTGCCTTTGGAACCAGGGCTTGGTGGCGGGATACTCGCAGCCCCGAGCAATTTCCATCCCGGGCTCGGAGGCGCAGCCAATTTACCGTCGGATGATTTAGGTGGCGGCCCACTGGCCTCGCTGGAGTCAGAAATCTCCGAGTTCGAACCACTTGGCGGCATCTCAAGCCATTCCTCATTACCAATTTCAAATTGCCTAAGGAAGAACGGGCAAAGGGTCGTGAGCAGCTTGAGAGATTCTGCGGCTTCCAGGGCAGACATAGGTACGGGAGATGATTTGATAATTGCAGCTGCGACTTGGCTTGTAGGAAGAGCCTTTCTCTTACGAGTTGTGGGGGCGGAAGTAGATACTGCTGTGGCCGAGAATAACCTTTTTGCCCCGCGTCAATTCAACGCTGCAGCTCGGAACGAGTCTTACTTACATCCATACACTCTCGGCGACGCCGCCCAGCCGACCGAGTAGACAGCGTCGCCGAATCTCCTCTTGACTCATTTTCTGGATCTGGTCCCTGGACAGCTTACCGCCAACATCATCAGCGCCTTTTGCTTTGGTAGGGCTCGTTGTCAATGACTTGAGACGGACGCGTTCGTAAAGCGCCTGTCGCCTCGACGTGTTGGGTGTCGGGGGAGCAGTTTCTGCGTTAGGTCCCCGCTGACTGACGGGGGTGGAGGGCAAAGAGTCGGAGTCGCTCTCTAATCGCTGCCTGGCAGGTGTCTTGGGTGTAAGGAGACCCGCCAAAGGATTGGATCGCCTTTGATGGGAAGATGGAGTCTGAGGGAAATGAAGTGAGGTCTTAGTTTTAGTAGGGGAAGCTTCTTTTAATCGTTTATCTATGGTAGGGAAGCGAATGGCGAATTCAGGAGCTGCCGTCGATCGCTTGATGGGGGATCTCGCGGATTTTGATGGCGAGGTCGGGCTGGACGGGGCGATGGTCTTAAGTATTTCAGCACCCTTGGGAGATGCGGAGGCCAAAGAACGTGTTAAAGAGGATGCCTTAATGGTTTGAACAGGCAGTTCTGGTAGATCAGCCGTCGGGATGTCAGGGGTAGAAGAACCATCACGATGCAACTATACGAGGACAACCATGAACCTTGGTTAATAACACGAAGAGGAGACAACTGACTTTGACCCAGCGCTGGAGCTTTGACTGGAATTCAGCACGTCTCTTATCAGTATCCGCTGTCCACCGGGCGACAGCTGCCATACCACCTTCCATTCCTTTGTCGAGGTCCATTTCTACGTCGATTCCTAATCCATAGACAGGTATGCGTTTGCCCGCTGCCTTGGAATAATGACTTGTTGGACTGATCACGAGGCCCATTGCTCCTCTAATCCAGTCACTGGAGGAGCTGGCCGAGTTTGAATCCAAGAAGGGGTTGTCCTCTTCCACGGGTTTTGTGTTTCCCTTCGCTTCTGGAAGCGCTCTGCCGTCCCACTCCCAGATCCAACATAAACGTTTGAGGTCATTGACATCGAAGTTAGTAGCAAGACCGGAGTAGGTCGAGATAGACATATGGTTAAGCACGTTTCGGATGATCCCCGTTTCCGACGGCGATACAGCACATGTCGCTAACGCATGTGAAAGTGCATGTTGGAGAGTGGTTTGAATGGTGGCGAGTCTCGTAAGGTGAGGTGGTAGAGAAAGTAGTGCGTGTCTGCTACTATGTTTATGAGCAGACTTTGGTGGGGTAGGTGGCCTGATAGCAAGATTAGTGTGCAGACAGATTGTCTACGTAAATTGGCATCGTACGCATTTCGAAGTTTCTTAGGTGTGAAAGTCGATTCGTCATCAGAGCTGACAAGCTTGCGTTTCTTCTTAGGAGAAACACCAAGAGAGGCGTAGATATCGGTCATGGCTGGGTCGTCAATGGCGTGTAGTAAGGAGAGGATGAATATAACAACAGGTGTCGCGGAAGTTGGTCGAACTTATTACGCGCGGCTTGAACTTGGTCGTGTCGGGCGCACGTGACCAGTTCTCACAAGCGCGTTGAGTCGAGGCGTGGATATCGTCCACGGGCAAACCCATCATAATAGTATTCAAGTTCTAACGGGACCGTCCGAGTCAAGAGCAACAAAGGGGCCCATCGATTTCAAGAAGAAACATAACTGGGCGATGTTCGGCCAAATAAACTCTAACCTCGATGTCCCCCAAAGACCCACCAACGTAGCATAATGGCATCCTTAACCCAGTTACTTGGCTTAACAGGGCTTTATCTCCCAGATCATGTATGCAGCGTGGTGGGCTGCAAAGTACTTTCATAATTCGACTGAATTGATCAGCATTGTAACGCACGCGCTGGCTTTGCTCCAACTTCCTGAGGCACGGGCGCCCACTACACAGCTTCTTTACCTAATGAGGCTAGGAACTTACTCGACGCTTCTGATGAACGAGACCCCCAAAGCCGTTCACGATGGACCTTCTTCCGCGCTTTTCGTTGGCAACTTGGAGCTTGTCGTGGCAGAATTTAGTATTAAGAAGTTCCTTTCGCGGGGCACCGTGAAGGACGATGGGGCAGGTTTCTCACGCGATCTGCAGTCACTCAAAAAAGGTATCGAGAGCCGAACAACTGAGTTTAATTTGATGGAACGGAAAAAAAATAGGAAAAGGTTTTGGTGGTGAGTCGGGGATTAGCCGTGCGTACTCTGTACATTTATGAACGAATGTTGGGGTGGCCGGTGACCAGTGTGTTGCACGGATTGATGGAAGATTCCATTGACGTACTTGCACCCGATCAGCTGAAAGGATCCGGAGAGTTGGAAAATGGATTCGGTTCACGCGACTTAACTAAATAAGTCCCCCCCTTCTGGCAGGGTCGTGGCCTCCCTCTGCCATGACCTTGCCTTATCGGCCCCTCCCCTACCCCTGGCAAATGTAATCATTACAACCCCCCCGTTCTCCTCGATGGCCGGGCGCTAGCTATTCATTACATCGTGAAGAATATAAAAGGCTGCCCCTTAGTTTAGTCCGTCCATTCTTTCCGCCGCTCAGAAGTCTACCCTTATTTTCCTCGTTTGCCTTTTCTTATGGCAACGTCCTCAGTCGCAGAGTCCAACCAGCAACTCTGGTGAGTATTTTATATTCCCCTCTTCATAGTCCCAACTTCTTACTTGACTCGACTCCAAAGGGATGAGACTCTGGGCCGGCTGCTCAGTGAGTGGTTATTTTATCGTCGCTGTTGAAATGCACTTACGAGGTCATCACGTAGATCTGTCGTCTGCCACGTTAAAGCGCAACGCGGAGCTCGAGAATCGAGTCGCGGAACTGGAAGTCGAGCTTGCTGTGTGGAAACAAGCGCATGCCACAGCGCTCGAGGGAGCAGACAGAGAAGCTAAAGCACTTAAAGGTAGACTCACCGCGTTAAACGGCCAGGTGGACTCTCTTGTGGTCGGTCTTCAAAGTACCTCTCTTCCGACGGCCGTCGTCTGAGTATTTGCAATTAAAGAACCACTGTTTGCTCGTCCTCTGCGTTATCGATGGGGACGCGTGCATATTCAACGAAAGCCTACTGAGACAAGGCCATGAGGGCGGTCGTCAGGCCGCTCAGCAGCTCACGAAGGCCGTCGCCGAGTATCTAACACGCGAAAATGTCCATACATTGGGCCATCTCTCCTTTTGGATTACCGTTTATTACAACAGGTTAGGTCTCATCAACGTCTTGGAGCGCCATAAGCTTTGCACTCCAGAACAATTCGAAGCTTTTGTAATGGGCTTCAGTCAAACTTCACCACGATTTTCACTGGTTGACGTTGGGTACGGCAGAGATGCCACGTTCACCAAGATAGCGGGTCAGACTCATTCTCCATTTTATATTTACAACTCACATTGCATAGAATATCTACAAACATACATTCGCTTTCCTCAGACGCAACGGATATTTCTTGCAGGCAAGTAAATACCCGGTGGCGACATTGTTTGTCGCTCTTAACTTCCCCAAGGTAGCTGTGATAATACATACGTATCCACCATCACGGCATTGCAAAATGACGACCTGCTAAACAAGCTAGCTATCCTCGAAAAAACTGGCGAAGATCAAGGGTTGTCTCGGAGGTTCCGCCTCCCACCGCTGACCCTGGACAATGTTTTCATGTCCCAAAGGTTTACACCACCACCTCTCGTTACTCTTCCACCTCTGAATGTCACCGGATTAAGTCCACGGGATTCCAATGGGGGATTACCCACGCCTCATTCCCCTCCTGTCCTTTCGGTCTCCAGCAATGGCAAACTGATCGACCCAACGTTGGTGAGTGACAAGTTGTTGGTGGGGTTAGCGGGCTCATTTACAGCGTGTTGGCAGCCGCTTCATAAACGCCAGTCATTCCTGACTTTTGAGAGGAGGTCCACAACTGATGCTCTACGTATTTAGATTCCCCCCCGCCTTGTAATGAATATTACTTGATGTCCTGCACTAAAGGCGTATGTCGATTCCGACCCCTAAGCGACGTTTGCATTGACAAGTCCCTCAGAGCACCTGTAAATACTCGCACGAATACGTGTTAACTCCCGAGCAGTTGGCAACATTAGCTGCTAATGCGAAGAAGGCGCCTTGTAATTTTCTGAAAAATGGTATGCATCTTGTCGAGTATCGGATCATAGACCTGATGGAGCGAACAGGACTTCAATGCCCATATGGGGAGCGATGTTGCTGGGGTCACACTTGCCCCAATGGCCCAAAATGCTTTCACCTTAGCAAGGGCAAATGTTGGTTTAAAGGTGGTACGTCAACGCCGAACACTAGCAATATTTCGTTTCTGATAAGGGGTTTGCGACGTAGAAAGCATGCATAACCTTCCTTTGGTCCAGACTAGTTAATGCCTGTTCTTGACCCTGCGCTACCATCCGTGTACAACATGTTTCGAAGCCCGAACGGCCATGTGTTTTGCGTATAGCATTTCTAAGTTGTTTTTATGTCGGTTTACAGTGGAAGGGCTTGTAAGATTAATTCTTCGTTACTATAGTGACTTTTGAATGAAAAGCTTGCCTGTCTGCTGATCATCTGCGTATCTGCCTGCTTTCACGTCAAACAGCCTGATGCCATGCGCGGAGGCGTGTGAAATCGATAAATCGCGGTCGTAGATAGAACGTCTCACTCTACCGCTACGCTCGCCATCCTTGCCTGCTCAGCCCTTCGTTCTGCTGTTGACGAATCCCCCACCATGTCCTCTGTCCGTGTTTAGAACGACTCTGTCGTGTATTTGTCGCACTGATGTGATCTTCCAGGCTGATGACCAGGATGATCTCAAGCCCAGCTTCACCCAAGGTGGGTGAAAGATCAGTGCCACTGACCCACATCCAACGTCGTCTGGCAGGTTACAAGCCCAGTGCTGCAAAGTCGGCAGAAGAATATGCCAAGCTCGACGCTGAAGACGAGAGTCTTGCACGATGGAAGGCTAGTCTCGGTATTACCTCTGGTGCGACAAGTCGTGATACAAGTGGACCAAAGGTCTGCTCCACCTCTCGGTCCCGCGATTCGATCCCCTTGTATAGATCTATATTTCTAGGTCACGGTCTTGACGCTCGAGCTCAACTCGCCCACCCTTCCCCATGGGAAGAAGCCGATCATCAACTATCAATCTTTGCGATCCAGCAGCGGTTGCCGATCTCAAGAAGAACCCAGTCACCATCAAGGAGGGCGTAGAATTCAAGTGAGCGAGATAGCCCTCTACCTTTACACCCTGCTACTCATCTGATGGGGTTGCACCAGCGTTCGCATCACCTTCAAAGTGAACCACTCGATCATTTCTGTAAGTGTTCCTTCACGATCCGAGATTCATCCTGCTCATTGTTGCGCCCAGGGCGTCCGTTACATTCAAGTAGTAAAACGAGCTGGTTTAAAAGGTGAGGACGCTGTGGTACATTCGCCAACTCAATTCCTGACACGCGTTTAGTGGAGAAGATGGAGCAAATGCTTGGTTCTTATGGCCCTCATCCCAATGGGGACCCATACATCAAGGACTTTGATCCAGAGGAGTCCCCAATGGGAATGATCGCTCGTTCCGGTACATACAATGTGAAAAGTCGAGTGGTGGATGACGATGGTGAAGTCTATGCAGGTATGCCACTTTCACTGAGGTATAACGAAGGAGCTGAGACCAGATACCTGAACAGACTGGGAGTGGTGCTTCAGACTTGCCAAAGAGTGGTAGATTGGGAAGAGTTGTTAGTGTATTTTTCACTTTGTGTTTCAGCATTATCCTATGGCATTCCTCTGCATTCCAATCGATCCCGCTGCATGTACACCCCGTGTTCGTTTATCCCCAGTCTGTACCGTTAACTCAGCCCGAGAACCTTCGACCGTGTCACTGGTAGTTGGCGACAATTATTGTGTTTATTTTTTGTGAACGTGGGAGAAAGGGCAACGCCTGCTGTACTTCGTCGCCAGCCATCAATTGCCACCAAGACATGCTCCCCTCGACAGTCGGAAAATCGTGGTTTCTCTCGGTATCAATCCAATCGTCGCGGGTTGGTTACCGAAGACCCAGTGTCTGGTTCCCGCACTGGGGTCGGAGTCGTCTTTTGGTTCCTTGTGTCCGTACCACTCCAAAACAACTGGTCCGCTTCGTTTCGAATGTTTCTAGTGCACCAACAACATGGATCGATCGCCTTCCTCCCAGAGTACAACCCTACCTCCACCTTACTAGGATCGATAAACCCATTGGGACACTCTTACTGTTCTATCCATGCAGTAGGTCTTCAGGCTGACTCTGCGTGCGCGCAAACCTTGACAAGTCGCGCAGCCTGGTCAATAACGATGGCTTCGTACGCGCTAGACGCCCCACTTGCGACAAATCTGGCCTACATCGGTCTTTTCGGGCTCGGTGCATTGGTCATGCGAGGTGCAGGCTGTACAATCAATGACATGTGGGACAAGAATCTCGACAGGGCTGTAGGTACGTAGACTTCGCCTCGCCTCGCCTGCTTCTTTCGACGGACAAAGTCGGTCCGAACGTATAGAGAGAACGCGGATGCGACCGCTTGCCCAAGGAGCTCTGACGCGACGTGAAGCACTTGTGTTTCTCGGCGGACAGCTGGCAGTTGGGCTTTGTGTGCTTCTGCAGTTAAATTGGTACAGGTAGGTTGGAGACAATCAACTCGATTCATCTCTCTGGATATTGCCGGCGTCGGCATATTTTTACTGGCTTGACAGCATCCTTCTCGGAGCCTCCTCGCTTTCGGTGGTTACGATATACCCACTCATGAAGCGAATAACGTATTGGCCACAAGCAGTGCTCGGTACGGTGGCTTTTAACCAACATTCGGCTCCTAATATTTGTCTCGCCTTAGGTCTGGCCTTCAACTGGGGCGCTTTCCTTGGTTGGTCTGCAATAGCAGGTACTGTTAACTGGCATGTCTGTCTTCCCCTGTACCTTGGCGGTGTCTGTTGGACGTTGGTGTACGACAGTATCTATGCGCATCAGGTAGTGCTGCGACGCGAAACACCGGGCACGTCCTTACGATACTTTTTACAGGATAAGATAGACGACGTAAAGGCGGGTATACGTTCCACGGCACTACTTTTCGGGGAGAAATCACGGCCTATTCTCAGTGCGCTTTCCGCATCTGCTATGTCACTCGTGACCTATGCAGGCGTAGTAAATGTACAGGGTGTACCTTTCTACCTTGGGGTAGGTCTTGGAGGGGTTCAGCTTGTCAAGGTTCTCTGGAGCATCAACTTCGATGACCGAGTCAGTTGCTGGAAAGGGTTTGTCGGGTGTGGGTGGGCGGGTTTCTGGATATGGATGGGTACCTTGGTGGATTATGGAGCAAAGATTGCCGGCATGTATTAATCGCATTCCATGGATACGTGCATCTATGATTATATTACAAAATTCGACTGAACAGTACTTGAATAATATAGCATCACATTAGCCATCATCAAGGCATCAAAAACATAATGGTCGTTAGGGAACAAGGCCTTAACAAAACAGTAGGCCTTTGCTGAAACAAGGGTATAGGGACAATGATGCGAGCAGAGTTACTAATGAAACGAGATGGAAGAAGTGAAACAGGTTACGGGTGATGTCGTAATCTTGAGAAGGCGCACATTCACATTAAGTGGTCGTATGCGGGAGATAGAAGAAATTAGGGAGCGGTAAGGGCCGGATGGCCGTTGCGGTATTTTAACCAACCCTTGAAACCTACAACGCAAAGCGTCCAACAGAATGCGAAACAAGTGATGGCGACGGCGACGTTGAGGAACATCATCATGTCTACGACTCGGGTTTGTGGAACAATAGAGTGCGAAGTTATTGAACTTACCATCACGGCCCCTCCTCATAGCTGCAAGAGTAAGTTCTTCCGTACTAAACATAAACATCAAGCCGCCGCATGCCAGAAAGAAGCTTCCCAGGGCTTCTGTAGGGGGCCGAGAAGGCAACACTGATTTGGGGGGATCCAGCCACAAGAAGAAGTACGTCAAACACCTCATCACCGAAAATCCGAGCAGAAGCCATCCCCATAACTGATGAATTTGCACCTGGGCATGCGATATTACTACTGTTCGTCAGCCATGAAAAACCACTCTACCTGGAACAAATATGTCTGAGCATGGGCGCTCATGGCTGCACCAGTGACACCAATAACGAGGGCAGGGAACGGGTTGAAGCTGCCCCGGTAGCTAGGTGGCTCCGAGATACTGCCCGAGGGCGCAGGCCCAAGTGCCGAGGCGGCCGAAGCTGCAAGCCACTTCCTGATTCGTCTCGATTCCATACCCATCCCCACAAGCCCCGCAAACCAGAACATGACCTGTGCGCATCTGTTAGGATTGTGGATAGGGAGTCACTGACAAAAGAACTTGCCGCAATACTGATGTGTTGAACCTGCTTTGTGGTGTATGGGTCACCGGGATGCGCACCGAACCTTTCCATCCACGTGTTGCTTATGCCATAAAGGAAGATTACTGTTGATTCTACAAGCTCGGCAGAGATAAGGTTGCTAATGGGTGAGATATTCCATGCCCAGCCCATTTCCGAGTGAGAGCCCAAAAAGCGGGCAAATGTGAAGAGGCCGTAGCACCAGAAAATACCACCTTCTGAGAGAGAGAGGACTGAGATACTGAAGAGACATACGGATTCGCTTTACTTACTAATCAAGTGTGCGAGGCAGCCATTTATATAATTGTTCCGGCATCCACCAGTGTAAACCACAACACCAGTAAGGGTCAACCCGAAAGCGGCGAATACGAGCGATCTCTCTAAAGTAGCACGCGCGATCGCAGTTGCTCGCCGAACTAGCGGCTTGGATGGGCGAGGCGCTTCAGGAGGCAACACATCGCGTAGCGTTTCTTCGGAGTGTCTGGCGTCGAAAAGTGTATGGTCTGATGCTGTTGAAAAAGCAGAACGGTGACCAGCACGTGGGGATGGCTTGTTGACCCAAGAAGCTGTATAGTGCTCTAGATCCGGAATTTCGCTATCCGCGGATGGTGAATTACTTCGCAAGCGAGACCCTTCCTGGGCCGCAGTGTTGAGTGGTTTGATTTCATCGTACTCCTCTGGATCCTCTGCCACGAGCCCTGTGTAATCAGATGGCAAGTCGTGTGATTCGTGTCCCAGAATCACGGTATGCCAAAATGATTTGAAGGCCAACCTGTCGTCACCCCTCAAATATGCGTAAAGTCGAATGAAGAGAGCAGCGATATCCAGGACAGAGGGTACCAGAGTCAAACAGATGACCACGTAACCGTGCGATGAATGGGTTGAGCCATCGTACCTGGATTTCATACAGGGTTTCAAAGGCACCGAGTCGATTGTGTGGCTGATGACGCACTTACATGTCAGGGGTTAATTTTCTGTAAAGGGCGCTTGCGGCACAACCTATGGCACACAAGAAGTAAAACAGGACTACAGTAAAGGCATGCCAGCGTTGGTTGAGAGAGCGCAGAGCAATTCCTGTGTAACGTCGTCACAGAGTCAGCCGATGTCATCAGAGATTACATGGTGGGTTACCCGCTGGGAGCACGACGAAGAACGCGAGCATCATGAAGACGACATGTAACGCCATCAGACCTGGGTAGCGAGGTACATTTGGATCGGGACTGTCTATGTCAATGGACCAATATGAGGGAGGAGTTGGGAGATGCCAGAGAAGGATATCAGTTTCATTGATCTCTGTAAGGGGTTGACCATGGTGCATATGCATGTGCGCGTCATCTCTGACACCAAGGGTGTGAGCGACAGCGGAGGAGAGGAAGAGGAGCAGTGGGAGCATGCCTATCGGCAAGCGAGAGGGCATGGGTGGCGTACAGGTAGGGCTGGGTCGGCTGCTTTGGAGGCAGTCCTTTTATCCCAGCCTTGGCTATTCCTTGGCCATTCCTATCGGACTATGCCGTCATCGCTAACATGGGTCCGACCTTCCTGACTCATCGACCCGTCGTCCTCGTTTGTCAGCATTCCCACACGCTGACACGACGCGCGTTGATCGGGTGACTCATCGTCATCCATGTGGTCAAAGGCAAGACAAATTATATGGGGGGGACGTGCCATCGTCCGGTGTCGAGCGGAGGCTGCTGCTCAAGATTGACTGGTTCATTCTCTCGTACTGTTGCCTTATGGTATCCCTTTTGTCCTTCTTGATCCAGGCCGAACCTGACTTCACCTTAGTATTTTACCAACTGTGCGCTCCTTGGCTGACGCAACAACTGGCCACACTGCAACATGTGACTGATATCTTGCACAGACCTTGATCGTTCAAACGTAAACAACGCGTACGTGTCGGATATGAAACAAGACTCAAGGTTTTTTCTTGGGATGGCAGAGGCGTCAACGTTTGTTGGCACTCGTTACATTCTCGGGTCGTAAGCCACTGCTTATATACCCCTCGTTTCTCAATTACATGCCTTACCCAGTTGGTATAAGCCAAGTGAACTGGGAAAAAGATCTGGCTCATTTACTGCGTCTGGACTAATAGGAACCTTGTAAGTTGCCCAGCGGTTCTTCGCAGAAGCAGGCAACGAGACTTCTTTCAGATTCTCTGGGCTCCTACAAGGAGCAGTGTACAAGTACGGCATCCTCCCATTTGACGCGCCCTCACCACTCGCTTTAATGCAGAAACTGAGGAGGTGTAGCTGGCCGGAGCGGCTGGAGATGGCTGTGAGTGTTTCGGTAATGCGGGTGAAACGACATACCACGACATCCAGCTTTGTTATAGATGGAGTCATCACCCTCCCAATCGCTCTCTACGGCTTCCTTGTGTTCCCCGATGTCCCCGCCACTACGAAAGCTTTCTATCTAACTGAGGAGGTGATCTCCCATAGCCAAACCAATGCTCTCCGCACGCCCCTCAATTCATTTAGCAGGAACGGCTCTTATTATATGAGCGGTTGAAAAGCGACCATGACGTAGATCGGCACCCACTGTCCTGGGGCCTAGTCAAGAAAGTACTTGGGCATTGGCGTTGGTATGCATGCAGTCTGCTGGTAAACTTTCAAGGCAAATCATTGCTACCGTCTTTCAATTGACTTGTGACGGCCCTTAGTTCGCTGTGTCAGGAGAAACCGAAAGTTTCTCCTCGAATAATCTCATGGGCCAATGGCTATCCTTAATCGGCGATTATTCCGTCGAGCAAGTCGGTATGTCCAAGATTCGAACCCAAAGGGCGACGGCTCCCAAACCACTGGCCTCCAGATTACTACCCCTCGGGTGTGACGGCTTTCGGTATCGCTTCGACATTGATATGTGCGACCTGGACGGATTACGCTCGCGTACGATGGCCCGTGCTCTTGTACATGTCTTTCTGCTGCACTGCCGCTGCCGTATGCATCCTGATTTGGGCCAGTCCTACCGCGGTTAAGTCCTTAGCATACTGTATGCAACATGTGACATGCGTTTTTCTTCCTGTTCTGAGGCTGCCTGACAGATCTTGCCGGTGCTTCATATTCAGGTCAGGCGACTACTTTTGCGTAAGTACGCGGATAGTCTCAGCAGTTCACCCAGCGTTCCACTGAAGCCATATATTAAGGTGGGCGAACCAAATATGCGCAGATGATAATCAAGAACGAGCTGTGGTACTCGCGTCCATGAGTTGGATCATCATTCTTCCTTTGTTCCTCTTTGCTCACGATTAAATCAGCATGTGGAACAATGTGATAAACGCATGGTGGCCGCTGGTGTTCTATCCTGCAACAGATGCCCCGCGGTTCAAGACAGGGATGATCACGATGATATGTACATGTATTGCTACTGTGATCGTTACTTTTCCGGTGCGGTATCTCGAGCAGAGAGAACAGCGCTCGGCACACGCCTTAGTTGACGCACTAGAAGTTACTACGCCATAATTTACACTGGAGAGTGGTAACTTCAAAACGCTCCATTGTGTTTGGGAAACGCAGAGTCGTGATAAGCAGATCTAGTATCAAAATCAGGATATGTTATGGATACAATATTTGAAGTTCTGAAGACTCTACAGCGTTGCACGTTCCAGACCTACAACAGGAGAATTGCAAACGAAGATCAACATCGTGCAATGATGAGCACAGCTCAGATCATAAATAACCAGTGCAGTAATAGGATGATGGATTGAGTTCATCAGAATAAAGAACGGTATGGCAGTGGTATAGCAATCAGGTGATATTTTCTGATAAACCAGCTTGCCGAAAGGCGTCAGATGAAGTATCGGTAAACGTAGACCTTCAAATCCCAGCGTAAGGCTGCTTGACTGGCTTGGCGACAGGCTCTGAAAACGTAGCAGAGTCCACAAGAGAAGAAGGCACAACGGGTGAAACCGGCTGACTAGGGCTTCCGGCACAGAATTGCTGTGGGAGGGTCAACCGGCGGGATGGATCATGGACAGGGTTAGGTAAGAGGGGCGGAACTGGTTTACGATCGGAATATTTCCGGGTCAGGTTAGCACCGCCAGTAGGATTGCAGTTAAAGTCAGATCCTTGAGCAATTGATGGAGGGGAGTTGTGAGGCGAACGGGGTGGATATGGAGGATTCGGAGGAGGTTCACGGTATGGCATTTGATAAGGATGGGAATGTAGTTGGTAACTACGTTGACGCGATGGTCCCATCATTTGCGTTTGCTGAGGGGTTGCGTAGGAAAACCCGTGAACATGACCAGAAGAACTACCACTGAGCCTACGCTTTTCAAGGGAGTTTGTACGAACATTGCTATCTCCGAAGAAATCGGGCATTCCAGGGTCGAAAGTAATGGCTTCAGTAAGTCGGCCACGGCGTCGCTTCCGCAAAGTGTAAGTGACGATGATAAACAGGATAACCAATACAACGATTCCGACGAGAGTGAAGATGCCACCTTCCAGAGCTGGGTTTTGCAAGAACGACTTTGGGGCCGCAGCAGTTGCTGACGGCAACGCCATAGTTGTCGTGAGGTAAACAACAGAAGAGCCTGATGTCACCGAGTACACGGAATAGTCAGTGGTAGTAGAGGGTATTGCCGTTGGCGATGGCGTTGTCTGAGGCTGTGAAGGTGATTGGGACGTGGTCAAATGAGACGACATGGGAGTGCTGCAGGGGCCCGATACATATGTCAGACCGAAGATGGGAATATCAGGTAAGAAATATACCTAGTGGTGGGTGAGGAAGACGAATGAGAGCTCGTCGAACTAGACGACGATGACGTAGGCGAGGTCGCAAGTACGGAGGTGCCAGCACTGATGACAGTGGTAATATCACTCGTAATCCCGCCTAGCACACTCGATTCGGCTGAGATGGCAGACACTAGGACAGCATCGCTACAGCTTGGTGAGTCCAAATCACACGCAGAGAGCGATGCCAGACGTACAGGGTAGCCCCCGCCCCGCCGACTGTCATGAAACACATCGTTTTGGGATAAATCCATCGCAGTTTAGATCTTCAGCACGCACCGTCAAGTAAACCTCGCCTTCTGGCAAAGGAAGGGTGATTACCCCGACGACCAGGCATGAAAGTTTCGTTGACAGCGAACGTAGAATAATGAGTGACTGTTAGGTTGGAGTGGATATTTACGATGTGAATAGTTTCTATGTGTGCATGAGCGCATCCAGAAATGAGCGGCGAGGGAGGGACCTACTCTGCCAGAGGGAATGTTAGAACGAGAAAAAGAGCGACGCAGGACTATCATGACCGAGACCACAATTGTTGCCAGCGAAACACCGATATGACGGTTGGCATCACAACACCCCGTCAGAGCCGGGAATTGACAACTATTAGACAAACAAGGTGACGACTTGATACACAGGGTAAATACAAGACATTGTAATCAGCCCCCCTCAGAGACGTTTTTCGGGTATTCTAATGGGTCCTTCTAGTAATGATTCCATAATTTTCCCCGGCTCTCCTCTCCATAAGATCCCGGAGTGGACCCAGCAGGCGTGTAAACGCGTGGGCATCCAGAGCAGCGACTTTGAGCTTCGACTGCGAAGGATCGCTCCTGGTTACAGCACTAACGGTCGCAGCCCTTGGTTCAAGGCGAAGGAGAGATAACTCTAAATAGTCGTAGCCATACCACGTCAGCTGCATCAGAAGTGCCCAGATGGCTTAAGCACTCACCGCCAAAATAATCGCCTTTCTTGAGGTGACCCACAGTGACTTCACGCCGCTCACCCTCAACGAACTCCTGTGTCTTGGTCACAACCGCTTCTCCTTCTTCTATGAAGAAGAAAGTATCCCCCATATCTCCTTGGCTGACCACTGGCTCGCCATCCTGGTATACCCTGCTATAGAGGGTATCGGCGATCTTGCTCCTCTCGACTGGTTCGAGAGACGACAGGAGTGGAACCGTCGAAAGAAAGTGCTCGTACATAGTCCGCCGTCTGTAGGCAGCCTTTAAAATGATGGTGCGAAAGGTGATGCGATCCAACACCCAGACCGTTGAGGGCTCGATGGCTTGCACAGTAGCTGCCCGAGGGTGACCGTACATGAGAGCGAGTTCACCGAACGAGCTTCCAGGTTTACACTCCACGACCTTCCGCCCGTAGACAACGTGATGTCCTGGATGCGCGAGTTTTGTTGAGGACGGCGCATCTGCGGGGGGCCAAGCGGGAGGCAGAGGTTCCGGGTGGATGTAGCAGTAGAAAAGACCGGACTCGACGACGTAGAAATAGTCACCGACGTCTCCCTGACGGATGACAACTTCATCCTTTTTCACATGAACTTCTTTCATAGCATTGAGAACGCCAGTCTCCTGTTCTTCGTCAAGATCACGGAAAATGAAGTTATTCGCGATGGATGCTTTAATACGACGGAGCTGCTCAGGAGTCTTTGGGAAGACGGGCGGTGGATCGTCGTTGCCGTTCTCGACATCGATAGGTTCTGCACTAACAGATGCACGGCGGGACATAGTGGAAGCATGTGCTCGTAAATAGTCATTCGTGATTCCCGAAACTGGGAAAGATGATCTAGGCGCATGCCCCACATCAAACCTTGCAAAGGAATTTGGATCCGTGGAATGAGGAGAGGTTGGGGGAACTTCACGAGGTTCAAATGAGAAGGATGGGAAATCCGGGGTGCTGCTGACACCGGCACCGTTGTTGTCCCCGGAGAGTAAGGCATTTCCGGGTACGTTCAAAGTGCCGAAAGGTCTAGAGGAGGGATTGGTGGGGAGAGTGGACGGGCGACGGGCAAACGAAGAGACAGGTGTAGGCGTGGAATTGCGGGAGGAGAAATAAAGGGGGGAATCAGTATAAAGTTCTTCGGGAATTTCGTGCATAGACGGACGACCGCGTTGAACGAGCTGGCCAAGTACGTCCCGCATACGCGTACGCTGCTCCTCTAGACGCATGTTAAACCAGTTAGCACAGAATTGGAGCGCATCTTTTGGCTGTACACGGTGCGCGTCACGGGTCAGATCAGCTATGAGGGAATCGAAAGTCGACTGTAAAGCCATTGGGTTGGACGATGCGACGGGTAGCGTATACAACCTGGCTTGCTTTATTGCTGTGAGGCTCGAGCGCTGAGCCAATAGCCACCGTCACCTGCCTTTCTCGTCGCAGTCACAATGGCTACAAAACACTACACAGAAATCCAGCATGCCATTCACAAGTACACGTTACTTAAATAAAGGAGAAACCTCTACAAATCACATTGGATTCAAATGTTGGGAAGCGCAAGGCGACACCTCGCCACTCTTCCGAATATCAATACAACGATCCGCACATAAGGACAACGAACTGAACGAGTGCAAAGCAAAATGTAAGGGAAAAGGAGCATCCGACACCTCCCCGTTAGCGCGAGTGCTGGTATTGCGCTGGATAACCAGGCCCGCCATAGGTGGCTGGCACCTGATTGATATGGGTCTGGGAATGGGCGTGTACAGCTTGCGCTTGAGCCTGAGCCATGACTTGCGCCTGGGCTTGTATCCGCACCGCGTCTTGTTGACTATACATAGGCGGGGGGTGGGATGGATATGCTGACTGTGTCGTAATATGCTGAGGCTGTTGCTGCTGCTGTTGCTGCGTGGCCTGCTGAGGTTGCGACTGTTGTTGATGGTGGCTATGTGGATGGGGGAAATTATATTGGGGGGGAGGCATTGACCCCGGTGCCGGAGATGGACCATATGAGGGACTCATGCCAGATGTGAAGTACGGGTGAGACAAAGCCTCTGTGGCGCTGATTCGCATGGCAGGATCAAATTGGAGTAAACGCTCGAGTAGATTAATGGCTATGCATAGTTAGGTCGCCGGTTCATTTGCTCCTCAACCACTTTACGGACCTTGAGTTGACGCCTTGGGAAGGACTTGTTGAAAGGGTATCTTCGGATATTTTGGGAACTGCTTGAAAGTGATATCAGGCTGTGCAAGTAGTCAGTTGTGCGCCTTCCTTGAGAGGTAAACAGTCATGCCGTATCCGCCACCATCTTCCTGAAGGCATGGTCATCTGGGGTTCCGATTATGCGCATGATATGAAGTAGCTGATCGTGGTTGTCTCGACCACGGAAAAGAGGTACTCCGGATATCATTTCTGCGAATATACAACCGCAGGACCACACGTCGATCGACGTACTGTATGTCCTAGACCCAAGAAGCACGTCCGGAGCTCGGTACCACAGGGTGACAACCTAGGAGTAATTGAGTTGATTTTTCGCAAGACGGAAGCTGAAAGTAGCCCACTTCATTAGAGAACGTGTTGACGGGAACCCCAAAAGCTCGGGCCAGCCCAAAGTCACCGAGTTTGAGTTCGCCCTTTCGATTTATAAGAAGATTTTGGGGCTTGAGATCACGGTGAAGGACACGATTTTCGTGACAGAAAGAAGTGCCCTTGAGAAGCTGGTACATAAAGCTTCGCACAGTAACCGGATCGAGTGCACCCCTGTCTCCATGTTGATCCATGTACTTTTTCAGATCTTGGTCGCAGTATTCGAAAATAAGGACGAGCTTAGTTTCTGTGTGTATAACGTCGTGGAGCCGTACGATATTGACATGCTTGAGTTCCTTCATTAGCGAAATCTCCCGGATAGCAGTAGATGGTGTTCCTTCTTCTGCATCAAGATGGATTTCCTTCAACGCGACGATCTCGTTGGTTGTTCTGGAGCGACCCTACGAAAACTGCATCGAGAACAGTGTTGTGGCGGGCGTATCACTAACCTTATAGACCGTGGCGTATGTACCCTCGCCTGCTGTAAGGTCAGATCACTGACTCACTGGAGGGGCGTGATAGCCGTACCCAATTTCTCCAGCTACACGGCACTGTTAGTCGTCACAAACTTTGGCCGGAGGGGGTTGGCATCTTACCTGGATGTAGTTCATCTTCGTCAGAGATGGCAAGTGTAAGAACGGCTTGACTTGGTTCTAAATCCTTCGTTGGGATATCGCAAAGAGCTGGTATGGCAGGCTGGTGGCGTCTCACTGGCACTAACAGCAGCCCCACTTGCCCAGCATACTGTAATCGGAGTCACTGGATCAGATCTCAGAGCCCACCTCACACGGCACGTGACTAGCTACAGCCAAATTTTGCTCAGCCCAAGGCGCGGCAAAACTCCTGTCAGGTTGTCCATATACATATCATAGAGGTAAGTGACGTTTGGATAACTGCGAGCTCTTGGCTAAATCAAGCCAGTGCTGTATATCACGGTATTTTGGCGCAAACCATATGGATTCTGCTCCTCGTTCGAAAAAACCGCGCACCAAGTCTTCGTCGCGTAAAAGCGAAACGAAAAGTACAGCGACGCACCTCAACGAAGTACTCTTAGACAGCGATGAAACAGTCGTGGTAGGCTTTCCACCATCCGTTGCAATACCTTGATCCTGACATGTCAGACCGCGCCAAAAAATGCCCGCTATGCCGAGTCGTCTTCGCTTGCCATACACTCTGGTGTGGAGCTAGGTCAGGATGAGGTCATGGACGACGTCCCCGCATCACGGGAAGCAGACGGCACACTTGACGCTGACCTAGCTGAACTCAGCCTTGGGCAAAGACTTACAGCCATAGGAGGGGATAATGCCAAGACCCGGAATACAGACAGTGATGAAGAAGTCTCTTCAAGAGAACAAAAAAGACAGAGCATGCCAGATATCGTCCCTGCACATTCGTTAACACGGACTCTCATACAAGCACTACATTCATCCGATTCACGTTTGCTGGAAACCTGTCTAAACCATTCAGACACGTCCCTAATACGCAACACGGTCAGGCGACTACCACCTCAATTATGTCTACCGTTACTTCTTACGTGCGTGGAAAAATTAGCAAGAGGTGCAAGGGCTGCAAATATGAAAGGAGGTGGGGGTGGAGCTAGTTCTCAAAGGGCCATGGTGTTGATAACGTGGATCAAAACAACGCTTACTGTGCATAGCAGTCACCTTATAGCTGTACGTCTGATTATGATCGTTTTGGCCGTGGTGTCACGCTTTCATTTACACAGATGCCCGATCTAGTGGCAAGGCTGGCAGGTCTTCACGCGACGCTAACATCACGGCTCGCCTTACAAAACAGCTTGTTGTCGTTGAACGGCAAGTTGGACATGGTACTCTCTCAGATAGAAATGCGTTCGTCATCAGCACCCGCTCCTTTGAAGTTGAAGAAAGATGGCAACTCTCGTCCGGATAGTGAGCGCCAGCCCACCCGTTACGTTGAGGGCGACAGCGAAAACGAAGATGTAGATGCGGAGGAGATGGTTGCAGAACCACTAGTAGAGAGTGATGGCGAGGAGGGAAGTATAGAGGACATCGAATTGGGCGGCGAGGAAGAAGACGGGGAAGAAGACGGGGAATATTCAGAGGGTGGAGAGGACTCCGATTCCGGAAGCAGCGCCCCAGTTTTAAATGGATTTATCGACGACGAAGCAGAGGAATTCGATGACGATGAAGATGAGGACGATGAGAGTGAGTAGACCACAACTGCGTGATTTCCGCAGACTTCATCGCAGGGATTCGGGGATTACTTGTCACTAATGTCAAAATCGGGTCCATGGAAAGCGGATGTGTTTATTGAAAATATGCAACCTACTCTACTCGTCTAACCAATCACCTGCCCTGACACGGATTACGTAGTCCTTGACCCACGATGGGCGCCGAGAATGTTGAGTCTGAAGCTGTTCGCAATACTGCTGTCTCCTCAACCCATCCTCACTTGATTCCATGGTTCCGGTAGACACTGACGGACGTTCCATTGCGTTCATCTCTGTCCGTAACCGCCCTTCACGTTGGCGGAGGGCAACCCTTCTCCGATTATACACCTCCGGATGTAAGGTGGCAACCCCGAGAGACAAGAACATGATAGCTTTCTGAGTGAGGGTGGGCGGGTCAGCGACTCTTGCAGGTTGAGTAGGCCACAGTAATTTATTTTCGTTATGGATGTCCATGAGGGCCAAGCTGCCGAGTAGACCATTGGGCTGACTCAGAACAGGTGGTCCTTGAGCGGATCGCTCGCCATCCGGCTGAGCATGACTTGCCTCAGGCGCTCTTGAGCCTGGTGGGACATGTCCATTGTCTTGGCCATTTAATGCTGGAGGAGGCGGTGGTGCAGGTGCAGGCCTCGCTTGGTCCACAGGCGCGGCGTTACCATCACCCCGATTCAACGGTTGCAAAATGACAATCCGGATGTGGGTCCACATCTCATAGATGATCCACGCAATGATACACAGTCCAAGTAAAGGCTTGCGAGTAGGGGAAAAGAAATATAGCAGGAGTACGGTTCGAAGCACCACCATCAGCAATGGCGCAAGCAGCGCTCGCAGTGGAACTTCTCTCATCAGGTTTGCTTCTGCGCGTGCTGCAACCGCCGGACCCGTGGGTACAGGGCCAGTTTGAGCGGTGACATCAACATTTACGTTTGGTACCGTCCTCAACGTTGGGAGTCTCAAATGCTGAAGTAGCTCATTGATTTCTGGAGGAAGGGACTGCGTGTTTGAAATAGTAGGAGTGGGAAGAGGTAGTGCCGCAGCTGGGAGTGACAATATAGAGAAGGTATATGTCAACACTTTGAGTGCGTGCAGTTGTGAATTGTTGGGCGTTCCTCTTGGTTCTCGTAAACATAAGTAGGGTTTTCCACTACGCATAAAGTAGGTGAGGGGACACGCTCTGGAGGCGACTCAACGAAACCTACCGGACAATAGCGACTTCATAGGCGGCGCGATCTTGATTGGTGGCAACATCGTATGGGAAATCACTGTCAAGAATAATTGGCCATGTCCACCCCCTCCTTTCCAGTGCTGATTTTGCCGTGTTCCGTCTTGCAGAAATATCAGATATTGCCACTGGTGGGGCCAGCCTACAATCCGACAGGACATAGAGCGCTTGCCAGTGCTTGTAATGGACAAACGCAAGATCTTCGACATTCGCAAGCAGGGGAGAGGGTGTTTCATTGCGGTTGGGAGAAGCAACATGCGGATTGAGGCTGGGTATACTGGGAGAAGGCCAAGAAGATGAGGAGGTTGCAAGTGGAGCAGTAGTCCACGCCGACGGTTGCACAGACAAGTGGACGATACGCTGTTCATCTGATGACTGAAAATTCATGGGCCGTTAGGTGAGGAAAGCGGAAGTGATAGTAAGTGCTTGCTTACGGGCCACAGTTCATCGATTCTTTCTGCGTCGCTCAGGTATCGTCCCCTCCAGATAATACGCTGCCCTTCTGGTCGAGGGTGTCCCGCACAGCGAGCGAATATTGCTTGCTTGACATCAAGAATAGTTGACCCGGCTGGGATTTCGACGACAAAAGACTGGGAGTGGGCAGGAAGCTCGATGCGAACAGCGACGAGGGACATGGTGGTGACCGTCGAGGCCCGATTACCAAAGTGTTCCGTTTGAGTCAACGTGGCGATCACGTGACACCCACAACACACCCATTAATCCAGCTGTCCCTGCTCTTACATAGAAAATCTAGAATCCATACAGTATATTCGTGTAGTCTCGCTACACGGTTGCTTGCCGGCCTTGGTATTTTACTTTGTTTGTGCTCCTGGCAAGCCACTGCTCTGCCATGCTGCAGAGTTTGTATTTTGAACTGCTCTGACAATGATGGATAGTAAACCCCTGGAACCCCTCCTACTGATTATTGCAGCACTAGTGACTCTCATCAGTGAGTCTTGCCTCAAGCTAGTGACTGAAGATATGCCTTCTGATAAGGATCAAGCCAACTGGACAGAAGAAGAGAAAGAGGCCCTTGTTGCTTTCCTCATCAGTAGACCACTTTGTGAGCTGGTAGTCCTAGGGAATCTGTTCAGTGCTGGACAGCTCTGGACAGCTCTGGCCAGCAAAAGTGATTTAATGATGCTTGTTGACAAGAAAATTGCTGGTAAGATGGGTGATGGGTCATTCAAGTCTGCCACTTGGAGTGCAGCCACTACCCACATAAATAAGAAATTCCTGAAACAAAAAGGAGTGATGAAGACCTCTGATATGTGCAGAGGGAAGCTCAGTAATGTGAGTATCCTGTTCCCTCCCCAGTGCCTGTGTAGTTTAATCAATTATTATCAGTCCAGCTCAAATCTGTGCTGAGGGATATCAACTTATGGTGACTTCATTCTGGAAAGCATTGGGATAATGAAAATGGGGTGAATATCATCTCTGAGGGTGAGGAAAGCAACTTCAAGGAGTGGTTAGCAGTATGTGTCCATCATCTTGGGTCCATAGCTTGACATCAATAACATCCATTGACAGGGCCAACCCAGGAATGCTATGCACCAGTTTAAAAATGTCAGATGGTCCCTGCTCACAGTGATGGAATCATTGTTTCCAAATGACCAAGCCCATGGTATGCATACCTACCATCCTACGACTTCTGCAGCATTCATATCCAGTGCCAGTGGTCCTGACCTCTCCATAAACCCATCTAGCCATACCTCCAGTGATCCAGTGATGACCCTATCTACATCCTCTGCCACTTTACAGTTTGTAACTTCTCAGGTTGGAAGCTCTGCCAGCATCATTGCAGATGATGCAATCAATCAAATGTCTGTCAACAAGGTAGCTCCTCCTAACAGAATGAACATGCAGTCCCAGTTATTTTCATTGCAATTTAATCCACCCATGCTGACTCTCACTTCCCCTATGATGTTACTTAGTTCATATCCCCCCTCAACTACCAGCTCTATGCCATCAAGTAGGAAGCATACACATGCAGACACCAACCCTGCTTCACCCTCTGCTGAAATTCCATCAGTGCAAGCTGCACTCCAGTTGCTCTCTATCAAGGATGATGTAGAATGCTCTTCAAAGAAGTTGAAGAAGAGTAAAGAAATGTCCATGCCTGCTTTACTCATTGGTGTACAGGGTTCTCTTACATACCTCAGGTCTGTTATCAGTTCATCATCTGCAGTTGCTGTGCAGCAAAGGCATACTGACCATATGCACACTGCCATGGAGATGCTCACATGGTGAGATGATGACCTTCCCCTGTTAGCTAAGACAGCCCTGATGGAAGCATTCCATATGGATGGGGGGGCAATCAATTTATACCTCATGTTGGATGACAAGACCCTTTGTAGAAACTGGATTCAAACTTGTCTTTGTAACCAGAAACTCATCCCAGATGACCTTGCATTGTAGTACCTCCATCATGTTTGTATCCCTGCTCACAATATATCTGACCTGGTGCTTTGTTATGAAAGAATGATTGCAATATATTCATTCATGTAGTGAGATATGTGTATGTAGAACAATCAAAGTCAGGTTTGCCCTCACTTCTGCAGATAATCCTGGTAGTTGTGCCACATTGCCTCAGCCATAGAATTGCATGAGGCCCTGGCTGATAATTCTTGAGAGCTGTCATCTCCCTTGTCATCCCCTAATAGTGCACTTTCTTCTTGCTCAATGTCACCAACTTCCTCAGTATCCCCATCACCTCCACTATCCCCTCCTGTGTTTCTCCATCAGCATCTGGATCCCATTCATGTGACATAATTAAATTGTGGATAACACATAGGGTGATGGGAATGAGTGCCTGGATCTTGATAGGATATTCTGGAGGGAGAAGAAGAATTCAGAAATGATGTTTGATGACACCAAAGATTTGTTTGACAACATTCCATGCAGATGAGTGATGCAAATTGAAAAGCTCTTCTTTGTTTGCAGGCCTGTAAAACAGGAAGTATATGGATATCAATCATGCAGTAAATGTGTACCTTAATGACACTTGGCACCACTCTGCCAAGTGATAGCATGTGCAGCAGTAAGGTACAAGGACTCCTTCTGACAATGGGAAACCAGCATTGCCAAGGAAATACTTTCCTTGGGGAATATCAAGGCTTGATGTGCATGCTTCCTGGAAAATTTGTACATCTGTAGCTGAACCCTCCCAGCCAGTCAATACATAAGTGAAATTCATGCCAAAGTCACAGGCAAACATGCAATTCTGGGACATGGTGCCCTTTTGGTTGCAGTATGTGGCATGGTCATGGAGTGGTGGGGAAGCAGGAATATGACTGCCATTGATGGCACTGATCGCATCCATGAGGTATGGCCAGAACCTATGACTCCACATGATTTTGGGGTGGATGGTGGTAGTTGAAGAAGTGAATGGGAGTGATATGTGCCTTGAATAGAAGGGTTCATCAGTAGACCACTTTGTGAGCTGGTAGTCCTAGGGAATCTGTCCAGTGCCAGACAGCTCTGGACCACTCTGGCCAGCAAAAGTGATTTACTGATGCTCAGAGGCAAAGATTGTAACCATTTTGCAGAAGTATCTAAGTATGGACATTGTTAGAAATGGGTGTGGAAAAAGAATCAAAGCATACCTCAAGATTGTATCATTGGATCTCTGAAAATGCTCTCCAACATGTCTGATTGGTAGGCCAGTGACACACATATACAAAAAAATTGTGAGCTGTTCTTCAAGAGAGGTGTGTTTCAAGGCTTGGTAGCCATGGTTGCAGAGTTCAAGAGTAACTTCTTTAAATGTGTATATGCTCATACCTAACTCGTAATGTATACAGTCTGGGTGACCAAGGATCAGCTCAACCAACCAAGCCTCTCCAGAAAGCACAGATGTGTGGTATGGCCATATATTCTTAGGGATCTCTCCAGAGAGGAGATCAACCATTAGCTTGGTAAGAATCTGGACAACAACAAGGACCTTCTCTCATATGAGCTCTCACAATCGATGTGCTTCTTCATCATCCATGGCTGAGTGCTGAGCATTGATCAGCAATATGAGCATAATATGAGCATTGCAGCTGGCAGTCAACTTTCAATTTCCGACCATTCTTACTAATCACCTAATATATCTTTGTAGAATTGTCAAAGAGTGCAGCGAGACTACACGAACATACCGTACGGACTCCTAAGGATATGTGCAACGTTGTGTTGCGCTTTCATAAGCTAGTTCGGTATCTCGATTACTTGAGTACCTTCGAACCATCCCACTCGGGGCCCATCGTGCTTTCAGATGGCGCCCCCGAGATTTTGAAGAAGTCCGACATGCTGGCTAGATGTCCTCAGAATGAATCGACGTCAACGATAAATTATACCTCAAGGGCTTATGTAGGTTGACTGAAATTCACGCCAGGTTTCAACATTTCAACATTACCGTATGTTCCCTTGGATTCTTGACCATGCTCAAAGATTCCCTGTGGCGAAGGCCCTTGCGTATCAAGGCCATATTTAGTAAAAGTCCTGACCCCATAACATAGTTGAAGTGACTTCGCAGAAGAGCAGGTGGCACTGTAGATATATAGCGAACTGTATGGTATTCTGAGATAAAGGCGCGGACAAAGTGACAAAGGGCAGGGTTCACCGAGTCATCAATTTCTGGCTTGGTATAGCTGCGTATATTATAAAGAAAGGCTGAGACCTTTGCTGAAAGACCAAACAGGTACTTCATCTGAAAGATGCCAGCCAAGGTCATACATTGCCCTGGCGCTGTTTTTCCATGAGAGCCCAGTGCCTGGCCTGAACTGGTCATAACTAAAACACGAATTTTAGTTACATCATTGGTATTAAGTATACGGCGGGAGTCAACACACTGTAACTCATATTCGCTCAGATCTCCGATACATCGAGGGGAAGTCAGAGGGGGCATGGAGGGGGGGGTTCGAGTGTTAGATGATCCGAATCCCAACGCTGTGACTATTCTGAAAACCACAGAGGACGAGTCCTTTTTCCGCTGCAACATTCTCCAGGGACTTGACTTGTTCTGTCGTCTTCGTGACAGGTTTTACCACAGGGACTGCAGAAAATGCGCAACAAATTGCGAAACAGATTTCAGCGAGATAGTGTTTGCACGTACCGTGCTTGCCTGGTTCATGGGCAGCAGATAATGGTGTCGTTCGGAGTCGCCACAATGACCAGTCTAATCTTCTTGTGCGCGACAGCAACTTCGTCGATTGTACGGTAAATATCAGTCTTTACCCAGAGTGTATGAAAGACGTTCCCCTCTGTGGTTGTGGGTTTCGTTCCAATACGGCATGAAGGGTAAATAATTCAAGAATGAGCGGAATCCAGAAAGTTACTAGTCCGGTCCAGGCCAGCACCATGCACACGAATCTCCATAGGCTTTACAGCTATGAGACTGGAGTTCGAGCCACTGGAAGTCGGTCACCAGCTTTTACATGACCGCCTGCGAGAGCACCTTGTGATGTGTGAAGCTTATCGTTATACATATAGGGTCCATTTGACAATGGCAGCCTGTGACGTCATGTGACCGACGCGCGACTGTCACGTGCCCTAGGTCAGGACGGACCGCGATCCAATTTCTGAATCTCAACACCGTTGCTGTCGATACGGTAGGTACGATAACTGACCCCCACTCACTGTGGTCCTCGATGCGCAATCTTTTCCTTCTCTTTCTTGTCTGCGGGCATGCGCTTGCCCAAGTCCCCCTTCCACTACCCCCTTTCATGCCTCAAAATGCGTCACTTGGTGCAATTCCATCGACTGGCGGCGCGCCAAACCCACAGTGGTCGTCCTTGTTGGGTAATTTGCTATTTTTCTACGAGGCCCAGCGCAGCGGAAAATTGCCTAGCACGAACCGTGTGAAATGGAGGAACAGCAGTGCGTTGAGTGATGGCCAAGATGTCAAGCTTGACCTTGCAGGAGGGTACTATGATGCAGGAGGTAGGATCACCCATTTGTAGTTCGAAACTTACGTATCTTACCTCTTCCAAAGATTATATTAAGTGTACATTTCCACTGGTTCGCAATCGCTCTGTTCTTGTTACGCTGCGTTTACTCTGCAATAGTCAGCAGCGGTTATGTCCATATGCTGGGGTGCAACGGATTTCGGAAAGGGTAAGAGTTGATCGCACTTGAAATGTAAACGACCTTACTGCATTAATTTCAGGATATGATCTAGCAAACCAAACACCTTATCTTGATGACATGTTGCGATGGAGTTTAGATTGGCTCGTGAAAGTCAGAGCCCATTCCTTGTTACTTGTTTCAGAATCCATGACGATCTGAATCTAGGCCCATCCGTCTAATGACACCCTCTTCGTCCAAATAGCAGACAGTGCGTTATTCTCATTATCCTCTCTTCTCCGTGTCACCAAGCTCGACCCTTTCAGCTAATCTCACCAACGCTTACTGGGGTGGCGACCAGAATATACCGGAACCGCGTACATCCTATCAGATAAATAATACCAGGTACTGATGCATAATTTTTGAGCGATATATTAATTTCCTGAGGTTTTCGTGCAGCCCTGGAACTGACGCAGCGGCCGGTGCAGCAGCGGCATTTGCAGCATGTTCAAATCTATATGCCAACCGAGTTTTTTCAAGCTCGTATTCCGGACCTGCCACGCTACAGAACTCAACCTACGCGGCTACTTTGCTTGAACATGCTCAACAATTGTACAATTTTGCAACGAGTGCACGGAAAGTCGTATACCAGCAATCTGTGCCCGAGGCTGGCGTAGCCTATCCCTCATCCGGTTATGGAGATGAGCTCGCCATTGCCGCACTTTTCCTCTCCTGGGCGCAGAATTCTACTTCTTTGTATCAGCAGGCGCAGACGTATTATTCGCAATACAACCTCAGCGATTACCTAGGCGTCTTCAATTGGGACTCAAAAACTCCTGGGTTACCGATCTTGTTTGCTCAAATTGCTCAGGCAAACCCCAGTTTTGGCAATATCACGAATTGGCGAACCGAGGCAGAGTCGTACTTGGATGGTATAGTATATGGCGGTGGAGAGGGTTATTCTACTCGCGGTAAGCAAACTCTGATAATCCCGAACAGAGTATCGATGGCGTATTACAGGAGGCCTTCTTTACTACCCAAGTGACTCAGAGGATGCAAGTTTAAACCCTGCTCTGAATGCAGCCATGCTGCTGAACAGATATCTTCCATTAGCCTCTACAGAGAAGCGGAAGCAAGATTACTACGTCAGTGAGATTTTGATGGCACGACTCCTTCCTCCCTCACATGCTGCAGAATTATGCTAAGGGTCAAGTTGATTATGCACTTGGAAAAAATCCCATGTCCAGTGAGTACGGTGTCGACTTTCCGCGTACTCATTTACCCAGGTCACCTAGTGCCGTACGTTGTGGGTGCCAACCCTAATTCTCCGCAGAACCCCCATTCTGCCATGGCCAGTGGTGGCAATAACATCAGTGATATCAATAACTCACCCCCTCAAGAGGCTTACGTGCTGTATGGTGCAGTTGTCGGAGGTCCGGACAAATACGACCGCTTTTTCGACATCCGTGCAGATTGGCCTGAGACTGAGGTTCGGTAGCGCATCGCTGTTTGGAATCGTTAACCTTACTCTCTCGTAGCCTGCCATGGATTACAACGCTCCTATGCTGACTTTGGCTGCCATGCACGTCCTCAACGATACTTCGGATCCGTTCTACACTTCTCTGCAAGCCAGAGCATACCAGAAGCCCGCGGGCATGCCGTGTGACGCTGCCTACACAGATGGCTGTGGGGGGCCACAACTAAGTAAAGGTGGCCAAATCGCGATGGGAGTTGTTATCGGTTTTGCAGGCGTTGTAATCTTCTCGCTGGTCGGATGGTGGGGTTGGTTGAGCTGGAGAGGTGATTACGATCCATGTTACTAATAACTATCTTATTTCGTCCCACTCATATACATAGCTTGATCTAAACAATACCGGGTACGGAACATATGGACACGATTCCTCTACTGTCGGTATAAGGAACAGTGCTTACGACGACCTGCCATTTTTCAGTAAACCTGGCCATCCTGGTTAGTTACATTCGCGAAACAGCTCCTGGACCTTACCTCAAGTACGTATCTCTCTTCCTCCTTGAGCTGTTCGAGAAATTCATCTGCGGATTCTCGTGTGTGGCCTTGATTCTTCACCAGAGCGCCAACCAGTGCTTCGTATACGTCAGGGACTGGCCATGTTGGACCACACAGGTAAAACACGCCATGTTGGTTCTTCAGCATGTCTGCAAGGGTTTCCGCGTCTTCTAACATCTTGTGTTGGATGTAGACTTTCCTCGGGCCATCTCGAGAGAAGGCAAGGCCCGCCTTAGTTATCGTTCCATCTTGAATGTAAGCCTCAACTTCTTCTCCGTAGAGATATTCCTGTGATTGGTGGCGGGAACCAAAATAATAGTACGTCGGACCAACAGGTATTCCTTGATGGGAGAGCCACGCGCGGTGCTGGAGGAATGCACGAAACGGTGCAGCACCAGTCCCAAGACCCGCCATGATGATAGGTTGCATGTCATCGGGAGGTAGCTGGCGGATGATTTAGAGGGCTGGAAGCCCACGCAGCATTTGTCTACATACCTTCATGACGCTCGGCTTTATAGACACGATGACCTTCTGTCCCACTTTCAGCCCAGCAAGGTACCTCGTACACTGACCATACCGTCGCTTGCCTGGTCAGATTCAGTAACCCGTCTCATCACTTGCAGAGAAGATATACTTGCCATTTGAAGATGTCCACTCGACCGTTACAACCAACAGATCAACACGGTCACCCACCACACTCTGCGAGCTGGCTATACTGTAGTGTCTAGGCTTGATATCGCCGATTAACTCGCATAACGCCTCGATGCTTGGTCTAGCACTGGGGTATCGTTGAAGAACATCAACGAACGTCACTGTATCCTTCTCGCTGAGCATCTTGAGTGTTGAAGAACCCTCTGTTGACCCGATGAACTGTAGAGTGAGCCTATCCGCCCGGTTCGTGGCGTATGGCGCGAGGTCAGCGTAGAATGACTTTGGAGGCTTGCCAAACAAGTCAATCTGTTGTTGCAAAGCCTGGAATATGGTACGAGTGTACACTCTGCCTTCACCTCCCGGTACTGCGATAGTAATCAGGCGATCAGGATTCACGCCGTACCAAGCGCAAAATTCCAGCACTTCTCGTTCATCATTCCATCCGTGCACACCAAGGGCTTCTCCGATGGCGTATTTTAATCCCGTTCCCTCGGTGTTGAATTCGAGGTGGAACACGTTCCTGTCGTACTCGAGAGGTGTCAAACGGCGATTGACAGCACAAGTGACGAGGTAAGTGCGCTCAGGAAGGTCTGGCCTGAGTGATGGGTTTGGAGGAAAACCTTCTTTGAGCCCGGCGAGCGCTGGGAGTACCGGCGCGAAAGCAGATGGGAACAAAAGGTGCTTGGCAGCTTCATGCCAAGAGGAGACCTTCGATCCACCGGAAGTTGCCTCACCTTCGCCTGTATCGACTGCGATGGCGTTGAACTCGAATCGTTTCAATGGAGGAGGGCTGTTCGCTTTACCCTCCACGACCGGCAGGTTAGTTGGCAATTGAACTTGAATAAGCTCTAGCCAGGTGCGAGCGCTGAGCTTGGCGAAGGTCTCGGAACCGAAGGTAAGGGGTGTCACGCCTTGGGCTATTTTCCGCACAAGACCTTCACTAGATGTCCCGCCAAGGTATAACCTCAAGAAAACAAGATACACCATCAAGTTTCGCGCGAAATCTCGAGTAGCAGTATCGGGAACCTGTGAGAGAACCAGATTGGGATCTATTGTGTGGAAACGCAGTTTACGTTGGAGGGCAAGAGTCACAGCACCGGGCGGCAGATTCGCCAGGAGCTCGCCAGGGGACCATGAAGTGATAATGAGAATGGCGGATCCAGGATTGGCGTCATCCAGAACAGAGTGAGATTTGAGCAAGGTAGGTTCCAACACACACGTAAAGTCTGCCTTTCCGCTGCCATCGAGAGGAAAGACGACATCGAGAGGGATAAAGTCTTGATCATCTCCTTTGGGGGTAAAGAGTACTCGGTCTACAGCCAATCCCTCTGAATTACTGAAGACGTCACTGCCAGCGATGTGGCGCACCGAGGCTGCCCCGGAAAAAGTGTTCCGTACAAGTTGGTAGAAAGACGAGAGATTAACAGTGGGAGTACTGAAAAAGAGAAGTTTCGTAGACGAGGAAGGAGATTCTATGTGAAGATCAGTGGAGGAGCTTTTGACCGATGTCAAAATGTGGCTGGCGAAGTCGGAGGGGTGGACAATGAATAGCTGGGTCTTGTCTGGGGTAATACGCTGAGAGCGGATTACACGTTCCGAGCGAAGCGGATCATAGACGGATGCAAAAACATCTACAAAAAGGGGGCCCTGTGTGGTATCATTTGGTACGTCATCGAAAACAACGATTTCTTCTACGGTGGAGGGGATAATTTCGCGGAGAGTGTTGTCGTTCCAAGGGCGTAGCACCTTGACGATCACCACAGCCAGCCCTTCTGTACGGTTGACGATGTGCCTCGCGTAGAGGGCTAACGGTCCATTAGGAAAGATGAGCGCTATGCGGGCGTGCCTGTCGCCAGCGAATTCGAAGGGTGTATAACCGGCGTGACGTAGGGCGTCCGACAGGGAAAGCATCGGTTTTTCGGCGGTGGAACGGACCACCAATTCATGCCCGATCTCCCTGGCTGAGCTGTAGTGATCGAAGATGTGAATGGCGTGGGTATCAAGCTCGTACGAGAGGGCTGCGAAGTCAACTGATTCCTGGGGTGTGGCAGAGAGCAAAACAGTAACGTTCTCCGGAAGGAGACTCAGTGTCGTGGCAAGACTCGCGAGGGTGGACGAAAAAGTAAATGTCTCGCCCACTGGTGTGACCGCAGGGACCTGGATGACTAGTTTGCTACCAGGAGAAGCCGGGGGTAAAAAGGAAAGGGACGGTGCCATTATAGCTAGACCCCGGGGGGAAGTATACGCAGTCAAGACTGATCCGTCGACCGCGTCCTGACTAGTACCTTCCGACAACCTCCCGACGAGAGAAAGACCCGCACCTGCTCTCGTCTGGAGGGAGATTACTGGGGCGGAATTCTCCACGGATGATGCCCATGTCTTTGCGAGCACTCCGAACCCCGCCTGTTCGGCGACGTCATAGACGTACACAGCAGAGCTGACAGAGAAGCGGGATGTGATCCACTCTGTAAGTTCAGACGCAGACATCTGTGAAACGTCCATGCCCTTTGGAGGGGACGCAGCTGGCTGACGGGGTATGTTTTCTACTGCCATGATTGAGAGACCAGAACAGAGAACGACGCTGCATATTTTCTCGACGACCACGCCCGATTATGTCCGTGGTGTGCGATGATGCGAGTACTAGCTCATCGCGCGTCACGTGCCACCTCACTAATGTACAGTTCACAACTATGGCTAATCCATGGGTTTACATATGAGTGCTACTGTGCTAGCGATCCATGCCTCGAATCATTCACGCGTGGTATGGAACAGGCGGTCCCCCTGCAGATAGTTTGGTATTCGGCCGACGACACAACAGAGGATGTCACTCACCGTGTCTCCCAAACCTGGAGAAATCAGCCCATCATGGGTAATGCTCGGGTCAACAGCAGCAACCCAAATCTGCGAAGACCAGCACGTCAGCTTTACGCACTCTTAGAGTAAGACAATCAATACCTCCAAGCCCGGATAACTGCTTTCTATATATCTTAGGCCCGATTCAGATCCGAGCACGACCAGCAGCTTGATTCTATTCACTGGAAAGGTTATCCAGAGCAGTCCTCGAAACCAACGTCCAATGATACTTACAAGGGATCCCCCAATCGAGCAGCATTGTCAGAGCAGCGTATGCTGTGCCTCCAGTAGCGACCAGTGGATCTAGGAGGAAGCAAATGTCCACATTTGGAACGGACGGGAGCTTCGAATAATCTACGGGTGGCCTTACTGTAATAAGCGACAAGAGGGATCTTACTAGTTCAATCACGTACATTCCACAGGCTGTAAGCTCACTTTTTCTCGGAATAGTCCTAGGTGATACACGGGCGCAGCCCTAACCGAAGACGACGGTGTCACGAGGTCAAAGGCGACCGAGCGGTGGTTTTACTTACGGGAACAAGGTAAGGAGCGCATCCGTCATGCCCAAGCCCGCCCGCAGAATCGGGGTTAAGCCGATGCGTGGCTTGATGATGGAGCCCGTGAAGGGACCGATTGGCGTTTGCTAATATGGCATCTTGTCCGTTAGTATTAACGCCTCTGGAAACAAGGATGTTTAGGTCCGATTCGCTAAGTATACTCACGCCGTCGAAAGTTTGTTCCTCGAGATCTCGAGATGCCTCGACGCCTAAAATGAAGCTGATGTCATGGATTCCCTGTGGTGTGATCCTACTTATCAGCTAGTAGAGCTTCTAGGCAAGCATAATACTAACTTCGCGGAAATCCTTGGCGCTGGTCGTCGCCAGGCGAAGGTTCGAAAGGCGAGCGTTGACTAGAGGGTGCGAGAGGACGTGGCGTGGCATGAAAGCAAGGTGTACAGATTCCAGCAAGTATGGCCTCACGTGTTGTATGCGCCCTTCCAAACTTGGCGCCGTCACCCAAAAACACACCCTACCTCTGCGACAGGCCACAACGGTCACAACCGAGTTATCTCTATCGTATACCGCTGCCCAGCAGTGTCATATAAAAGGACACACAAGGAGTCTGTCGATTCATGTCTAAGCAGTTTCGAGTATACCGGGGACTCTGGTTCTAGACTACGAGTGTCCACTAGATCCCCTATCTCACATACCTTGCTCAGCGTCTCTTGTATTCGCATGGCTTCAAGACACCACCTCGCGACAGAAGACCAGACCACTCCTGCTCCGGTATGGTGGCTCTCGCTACCTTCTTGAACTGGAACAAAGTGAAATGTGTATTGCGATCGTCCTACGGCAGTTCACATCGATGGGCAACCAACTCACTCGTCGAAACAAACATACCTTTTTCTTGAGTTTGAAGCCGACATCACGTACCAGAGCTGCAAAATCCTCAACTGCTGTGAAACGACTGGCAACTTCGGCGATTTTTAGTTCACCGCTATGAAGGGTAAGTGGAGGGAGATGTTAGATGTTCACATGGCGCACCCTGGGCGGAGTATCCTCCATGCCTCTCGTATGCATCCCAGCCAGTTCGTACTCATGAGACTCAATGCACAAACGACGATATCGACGATCTGTCCCTCTCCTTCGGTCCGCTCAACAGATGATGGCTCGGAACCGGGGAGCGGAAGTCGCGAGCAGATATCCGCTTCAACGACAAAGGTCTCATCAGATAACAAATCAAACGACAAGACATTGAAGTTCTTTGGGTGCAGAGCCTGTGCTAGTGCTGCTTCACCACAACCTAAGTCAACGATTACCGTCTTCGGAGGGTACTTGGAAAGTTCGTCGATGTAGTGTGAAACTGGGTTGGAGGGCCACGACTGCACCTGATGTCTGAACCCATCATGATACTAGGACAAATTAAACGTGACGTCCGATGGACATTGACGGGAATGTCACCAACCTCCTGAAAGACTTTAGGATCTTTTTTCATCATCTCGACAGCTTCCGCGCTGTCAGATTTATACAGCCTCTCGTTTATGAGCCTTTCGTGAAATATAAATGGGGACATTGTTGATGAGCACGGAAGTCTCACCTGAAACGTGCGCCCCCCAAGTTTTGTTTCATGTGTTTCTGCAGCGGCGTGAGTCCTGACTTCTCTTGAACGGGGAGCGGATGCTTCGAGGGTGAATCAGACGGGCCAGATTTCTCCGCAGAAGTGGATTTTGAATTCTTCGATCCTCTGTGCCTTTTGTTTGTCTTCGTCTTCGAACCAACCGCAACGTCCTTGGGGATGGACGCCTTCGGAGTTGGGACCTCTACTTTTCGGGACTCGGGGGACCCTTGGCTACTGGCTACCCCTTGCACATTCACTTTCGCACGAGACTTGTTCTTCTTCGATGGACGGGAATCAATGTCAGGGGGACCGTCACCTAGCATCCTGACAAGCTTGTCCAAGTTTACCCGGGCAGACTGGAGATCATCGGGGCTGTGTTGGTTGCGCTTGCGTTTTCTCGGGCCCCCCTGAGCAGGCGTTGGATTAGTGGGAACAGTCCACCCGGGGATATCAAAGAGTGCCATTCCGTGGCGAGAGGCCGCTTCGGAGGTGAAGTTTTCTTGGGCTGTTTAGACTCCGCGACGAACCGCGGCGTGCGAGGTAATAACATGTACTTACAATATTATTGGGTAGGTAATGGAAGATAATCGATAATCTCCGGTCATCACACAGAACAAGGCCGGGGCCACTAGCACCGCAGTACTGATGATGCCGTTTCAACGGTCAATTCTATCGAAAATGAGGCTTCCACACTGCACGCCCCATGAAAACCTGCTACAAGGAAGTTTCCGCGAGAAGCACACGCGGTGCAAAGCCATCCTACGTTTATAAGAGGCGCTTTTGACTGCAACATCGCCTGCAAGTTCTGTCGTCAAACTACTGACTTGACTATCCCATGTACAGACCCCCGATCAACGCCGCAAACGGATCCTTCGATGCCCCGACTAGCAACGGGTCAACGTGGCGGATCCGCAGATCCGGTTTGTCTTCCACCGTTGCACCTTCTTTGTCCCAGGTTTCGCCAGCCGCGAGCGGACGAAACACCGACGTGCGTAGTTCGGATCCTTTCTCTGACTCACGTGTCCGAACGATCGCCATCCTATCGTTTAGGCAGGGGGTGTGTCGCCTTCCATTTCGACGAGCGGCCGTCAACCTTCTGCCTCCACGAGCAGTTTAAATCAACCTGCGCTGAACCCATATTCGTCGGTCAGTGGCTCCCTTCATTTTCCTCCATCTCACCCGCCAACTCCCACAAGCCGTCAACTCCCCCCAATACTTCCGGCAAGTTTGATATGACCGCCCAAAATGGCGCTAGGGTGTGTTACTTCCTCTAATGAAGGGGGTTCTCACTGCGTTTCTGAATGCTCGTAATTTAGGTTCCACAGTCCGCTGCAGGTCACGCCACACCAGACTCTGCATATGTGGGTCTTGTGCCTGCTTGCCAATCTTCCTGTAGTATTGAGGATTCGTCAGGACGAGCTCCAGTTACTGCATGATAACCTATCCAATTTGAAGGCGCGAAGCAAAGAGCATGAAATTCGTACAGCTCCGGTTATTACGCGTGATGCCTACGTGGCCGCGGGCTACCGTGAAGAAACATCACAGTACGGCGTTTTGGGACGCACCATGTCCATCTTGTATGAGATTTCTTTTGCACCTGCCACGTGTCTGCTGAATGAACCTTCCCACAGCAATGGCTCGATGTCGTATGCCCCTGTAGACCCTCGTCTTTATGTGAACACAGTAAGACGTTCTGTTCTTCGGCCCCCCCCTACTGCTAAAGCACTTGTAGAACGCTCCATTTTCTGCAGTCATTTGTGGGGTCCAGGGTTCTGGAAAATCTCACACAGTGTCTGTTCTGCTGGAGAGCATGTTTATTCCAAACCTGCCACCAATCGGGACATTGAAGAAGCCTTTGTCAGGTCTGGTCCTTCATTTTGGCGAAGGGGGCCCTAGTGCACGACCGTGTGAGGCTGCGTGGGTTGCCACCTCCGAGAATCCCGCCATAAAGACCCCCAGGGTCAAGGTATATGTATCCAAGTCATCAATCAACACTATGAGAGCGGTTTATGCACCTTTGGGCGACCAGGTTGCTGTAGAGCCACTGCTGTTTGACAAGAATGAGCTAGACGCGCAGGCATTTTTATCCATGATGGCAGTCGGCTCCTCGGAAAGCGCACCGCTTTATATGCAAGGGGTGCTGGTAGGTGACAGCTGTACCATCAGAAGCCAATTCTTGTTGATCAATCGACAGTCTATTTTACGCGAGTTGGGCGAAAATTTCACATATGACAAGTTCATGAGGCGTCTTGACGAACGCAAGGAGGCCTTTAATTCACTTCAGATTTCTGGATTGGAACAACGCATGCTACTCTTGACATCGCTCCTCAGCAACGACAAATACTCCAAGCCCACCAGTCGTTTTGCGGCTGGTCAGCTGACCATTGTTGATCTCTCAGATCCGTTTATCGACCCTGCATCTGCTTGTGGACTATTCGAGATCATTACACGCATCTTTGTCCGTGCTGAAGTCGGCACGGGAAAAGTCCTTCTCGTTGATGAGGCTCACAAGGTAGAGCGCAATACTCTATCTACCTCTCAACACCCTCACAACTTCAATAGTACCTGTCCCCGAACAAGACGGCGTCGGGGCTTACCAAGTCTCTTCTAACATTGACCCGAGAACAACGTCATTTGGCAATGCGAGTGATCATTAGTACTCAAGGTCAGCTGTTCACTCTTGTGTCATCACAAATGAAGACTTCTGTTCTTGACAGAACCAACGGTGATCCCGCCAGTGCTGCTAGATCTGTGCACGATCTCGATATTGCATAGATTTTCATCCCCGTCGTGGTGGGAACACTTGTCGAAACACGTTTCGGCTGACATCTCGGCTGACGATGCGTTCGATCGCGTTGTCAAACTTGAGGTTTGGATATCGTTTGGTGGTAATTTCCCACTATCTACTAACACTAGACGACAGACCGGCGAGGCGATCGTCCTTGCTCCGTCTGGGTTCGGAGTCTTCCCAGACGCACATGTGGGAGCCTCAAAGGCAAGCCTAACGGTCCCAAAACTCAATCAATTTGGTAGGCGGTATATTTTGATGAAAACCCGGCGCAGGATTACACGCGACGGTGGATCATCTATTCTGGTAGTCGAGTGATAAGTAAGACTTAGCCGATAGTTCACAAGCCTTCTTTGATGACTGTAGATGATGCGTGCAGTCTTCCTGTTCGCAGATCGAAGTTATACAGGAATACGCCATTTCAGTACATGATTGTAATGCTAGTACAAAAGAAAATCAGTGGAATGCAATATGCTGAGGTTATCAACAAGTCCAATGGTCATAACCGTCCACCACATTACAGTTCGATTAGATACGTAGCGCCGAAACGTGTGTATGTCGCGTGTTTAAATCCCCTTGACGAAGCATGGCATGAAGACCTGGACGGTCCGCGGGTAAGGGGATAAGACGTGGAAGTATGTGGTATGCGTGGAAGAGATCGCGAAGGCCGGGCGAGGGCCTGCTCGTCCGGCTCGCCTGTACGACCAGGAAGAATATTCATGATAATGGCGTATGCACCATCAGACCTACGCGCATTGGACTACCCGGAGGGAGAGGGTTGATCGAGATCGCCGACTGAGCTAATGGACTGAAATTTGTCGTGCTCACCGCGACGCCAGCGTTTTTCTTGTGGCGACGACCAAGAAGAGTGGCGTTGTCTATGTCTAATTCGAATTCCTTTTCTGCCCCCATGGGGTCCTCGATCTCTTTGACGGGCTCTACCAACTCCCATGTTCCCGTCGGGATTCACGGAACCACGAGTCGTCCTGGGTGCCGCAACGACTTTCGCACCTGCAGTTGTACTGCCGTCTAATTCTTCCCCACGTTTTGCCGAGCCTCGTTGATGACATTCTCATCATTTGCATCAAACACTTCATCCTCTTCATTTAATCCCTGAAGGAAGCCTCGAGTGCCTGCGCCACCACGCCCATTATACGCACGCCGTCGAGCACCTTCCTTCTTCCATTCTGTGAACTGCATACGTAACGTCAAACGCTTCTTTCAATGACGCCAGGCCAGGAGAGCGTGCATCGACAAGGCCCCGTGCGGCTGCCAGCAGCGGCGAATCAAGAGGTTCCCGAGGATATGCAGCGGGTGTTGGCGGTGGGGGTGGCGATGATGCAGCGGTGCACCAGGGATGAGCAAGGAATTCGTCTATGGTATATCGCTGGGCAGGATCGACACATAACAAGTGTTGGATAAGGTCCTTCGCTACAATGGCAGGATCAGGACTGTTGTAAATGACGTGTGATGGTTGGAGTATACCAGAATAGCTGATATCATCCCACCATGGGCTCAAAAAGGTGTAGTATCCTCTTGCAACTTTCTCTGTAAGGACGTTGATACTTTCATCGTAGAAAGGAGGAAAACCACAAAGAAGTGTGTAGAGCACACAACCTAGTGCCCACATGTCGACACTTTTCGAATACCGTTCGTCCTTTACGATCTCGGGGGCGGTGTAACCTACGGTCCCACACGGTGTCATTGTCTCTTCGTTCCAAACTACTTTTGATAGTCCGAAATCGGCGATCTTGATTCGTCCAATTCCGCCACCACCGACACCAGGGACGTATTCGCCTTCGTCCTCCTTCTCCTCGTCATATGGCCTGTGTACAGGATTCTTGGAGGGAATAATGGGTATTCGTTCAAAAAGTAAGTTCTCCGGCTTGATATCACTGGTGGACTTTGTCGATAGATTTAGCGGCTCACTACAGCTGAACGTACCGATGGACAACACCACGCTCTTCGTGAAGGTACCGAATGGCCTGAGCGACCTGAAGAATGACGTGTCTTGAGAGATTTTCGCTGAAATACGTGAGTTTGACGATTTGGTGGAACAACTCTCCACCGTCCATCACTAGATCAGTGCTTAATTGCCAATGACAATAGCGTAGAACTGACAACATACATTCTAGGACGAGAAAATAGTGTTCCGGTGATTCCGAAAACGACAGTAGCTTAACAATCGATGGATGGTTAATGCCCCGCATAATCTGCACCTCTACAAATGTATCAGCTCTGATGGGCTGATATATAGCCGTGATCGGGATATACCTTTAAGAATGTTTGCGCGCTAAAGATTTAAATAAAGATAATAAGTCCCAAGGCTAGCCAAGCAAGAGGACGAAAGGGGATGGGTCACCTCTGTCGCGCGTGGCTGTTTCTTAAAGTGGGGACTAAGGTGTTTCTCCCCAGCCTACATGTCGCAACAGTGGCGCAGACAGAGTAAATATCGAGAAACAAGGGGGGACGTGGGGGTAATATGAACTACTGGAGGGACGACGTGTATATCGGTCCTACTGACCTGAGAGGCATTCAACTCCAACTTGCGAACGACCTTGACTAGATGTTCGGATCAGTAATTGGAAGTACAAGTAACAGGCAGGAAATGAAACTCACCTGCAACTTTCTCGTTCGTTGTGAGGATCGATCGCCTTGTACACGTTGGAAAATGCGCCACTGCCGAATTGGGTGGTAAGGGATGCAATCATCGGATAGTAAGATGTACTGACTCCCCCATCTTTTCCAACAGTTTGAAATTTTCAAGACCCTTGTAGGTGGGCATCTTGACCTTCGGCTTGTGATCTTCCGAAGCTGTCATATCATGAGCCTGGGCTATCTCGGGGGCGGGTGTCGGGGACGGTGCGGGGTGATCTGCTTGCTTTGGCGAGTCTGGACAGGGTTGCTGGTTACAGTGCGACTGCTGAGGTTGCTGTCTGAATAGCGTCCTGTTGTTCGTCGGGGCTGGGGTGACGTTGTTGGGGGTGATGGTGCTTGCGGATAAGATCTGCGTCAAGATGAGTGGTATTAGCGAGGACTGTACAAAGATCACGCACTCTTGAATGCAGCTACTACCGCAGGCATTGCGGGTGGGACGAAAGCTGAGGCTTGGAATTTGGTGGATGAGAGAACGAAGGGGCAGTTCTGTGTTGGCGGCGTGTCCAGCGCGCCTTGCCTTTTTGTGCCTTGCCTGTGCATTGGAGCTCCGCTGACTGACGTCATCCCAATCTCCATTTCCATTTTCGGTTTATGTCATAAAGCTGTACAAATGTGGTAATGGCCATCTAGCATGTCATCGGTTCCTGATTCCGTCCCCCGACAGACATCCAACACCCCGTTCGCGATCCCTCGGCGGGGTATGTGCAAAACATAGATGTTGCACTGGAGAGTACCCAACTATGCCCATTGCGCTGGCCCTGTTTCTCAACACAGGGACTTCTCGCGAGGGCACGACGCCTCCAGTCGCGTTACGCTCCACCCTGGCCCCGGAAGCCAATCGCAGACTCACGCTCTTCCGCGTGCTGGTTTCCCTCGACGTCACTTTCAGGGTCCACGTTAGATCCATCCTGCCTCCATGCAATCATGAATACCCCCACAAACGTGGCAGCGCATCCATACAGAAAAGTTACCATCTGATGGAACGTAGCCCGTCGAAAGTCTCCATACAATACTGCCGATCCGACGACTGCCGACAATGTGAACAGCACAAACTGTGTGGGTATCACAGCTTTGGAATCAAACCGCTTTAACGCGCGATTCAGATACCGGATTTGCAGCGCTCCGGTCAAGAGCAACACCTACCAACAAATCGTCATTCCATACTGATCCGGAGCACCTGGGAAAATGATGCAACGCACAGCAAGAATCGGATATGTAACCCATTGGGTAAACATCTTCCCCCACTCTTTCGTCAACAGTGTGGATATCGCTTTTGTGGCAAGTACTGTGAACCCACCTATGACGTGTATGTCAGGCCTTGGCCATTTTTGTCTCAGTCGTATGCGCCTCACCGAAGATCGCACAAAGCCCAACATCGACAATCACAATCTGCTTCCCGATTGGTCCTTCGCTAATCCCTCCCAGAATGATGGCCAAAGCAAGATATATGATTGAAAAGATCATGAAGGATTGTTGAGAAATCGCTTTCAGCAATTCGTGCTCCGTGAGAGGTGGCGTTGCACCGTCGGAGCTAGGCGAGGAAAGCACTACAGTCGATGCGCCCATGATCGCTAGAAGAATGCCCAAAAGGTCGCGCTGCTGACGTTTGAGCGATCACTCGACAAAATCATCGTCTACACCTCACCGAACGAAAGCGTTCTTTTAGCATCAGCGGCGCAAAAAAACAGTTGGCCACCAGTGCAAACTAGAGCATTCACTTTAGATACTCCAGGACCTGAACAAACTCGTCACCTTACCATCCCAAGAGGCGCAACAATGGACGCAGGTGCAAATGCATACGAGATAAAGTTGCCTACTTCTCCGAGATTCATCAATACGAAACCTAGCCACCTGCAATACGAGTAAGGACGCTAGAATTCCGCAAACATATCGCAACAGACCAAAGTTTGGATCGCAAGTAGTCACTCTCGTTGTCGTCTTCGCATTGCCCCCTCGAGGCGCGCTTGACCTGTGGCTTCGGGCGAAAAAAAGCACCCACATGTATCCCCGAACTGCCTGAAGAGAGTGAGTTGTCTTGATGCGGACCGCTCGAAGACGACCCGAGGTTCAAGCGCAATGGGGTGAAACGAAATGAAAAACCGGGCTTCTTCTGACGTAGCTTAGATCGCCCTCTGTAGGTACTCACGCCGCTTCTCGTATCATCGCCTGCAGCAGATGAACCGTTGCTGTATAATCCATAACGTGCTGGAGGGGGGAGGCTACTGGATCTCGGCTGCATGAGCGGCTGTGTTTCCAGGGGTAGATGCTCCTGAACGTCCTCGCGACTTTCGCCTGGCCTGGGTGCTGTAATGGTATCATGGGTTGACTGGTCATAATGGATACCGGGAAGTGATCTCCCGGGCTCGCCACGACCGCCACCCTTGGTTTCCTTGCGTTCTCGACCAAGCCGCAAGTGCGCAAGTTTCTGGATATTGAGTGCGAACGAGATAAGCACGTTCCCCGCGATGGCCACACTAATGCCAACAAGGGTCTCCAGCGTGATATCTGGGATATGAATGCTAGGAGGTTCAACCCCCGTCGTGTCATTGACGGTCGTAAACCATGAGTCCAAAAGGTTTCCCTGGACGAACATGCCGTTGAGGATGCCAGACGTGCCCTATACCTTGAGGTCGGGCGCGTCAAGGGTGAAGTTTCCAAGTTGGGGGTGGAACTAGCACCCTACTGTTTCGGTATCGAGCGTCGTGCTCAGCGGGTGCTTGCGACGTGGCTGCACTGGTGATGGAGGAGTCGGGGCACTCATACTCGGCACCAGCGTTAATCGAGTGCACGGAAATGGAAGTTTGTCCCCACGAGTCCACGTCGCGGTCACCGGTTCCTGGAGAACGTGTTTATTGCTCTCTCGTTCCGTTCTCTTCTGACTGACTATGCGTGCTCAGCACACCACTCACGCTCTTCCGGCATTTCCAGTTTATTCATGCGCATTCATCTCGGACGATTTACTGGTGGCTGGCGGTGGAGGAGGAGCTTCGAGGAGCGGGGTCAAGAATAAACTCGTAAGTCGACACACTCTCACCTGTGGAACCCCCCCTCACAAGTCAGTGGTGGGCAGAGACTCTTCCGCTTATCTGTCAAGCAACAACTAGAATGCTTAGCTGAATTTGAACTCGACAAGGACGAAGACGCTCCCATGAGCATGGCCGCTCATATCGAGGTACAACTGAACCGCAAACATGCTGCAATGCCTAAGCCATGTTTACAGAGCCGGACCATAGTGTGTGGTATCAACAGCGCCACAGCCAAGCTGGAAAAGGGGGAAAACGAAAATTGCAGGAAGTTTTCGATAGGCGGTGATGACGAGTTCAAGTGAGTGGCGCGGGTGCCCCCTCGTCTTGCGTGATACATATGAACCAGATTCACCCTGCTTGGAACCCGTGGGACCATATCACCTGGAAATACTGAAGACTACCAGGTACGGCCCATGTCTCCTTTTACCGGTGGACACTGAATACCCCTTCATAGCGTTTAAGTGTACTATCCAATGATGCCCAGTTCGTGGCAGTAGGCAGCGAGCACGAGGTAACATCTTACAGGAAACGGTTAGCTGCAATGATGCTAACGCGAAGGTCCAGCTTACACTCCTCTCTTATGAGAGTCTCTCTCCTGTTGCCCGACCAGTCCACGTGTCCAGAGGCGAGATATACGATGCAACGCTGTCTGCTACTCATGTGTGTTTACATTGTTTTCTCGTGCCTTTGCCGTGACATCTTGGTCAAAATAGCTTATTTTAGCAACTAGCGTCAATCTCCTGGTCTACGCGCTTCCCGCCGCCCTGCGATTCGGGGGGAAGGACAACCAGGAGAACGCGATTATAGATAATCCGCACACTCCTATTGATACTCCGCCAGAATTGAAACTGGTAAAGACCCTGGACATTCCCCCGATCTCTACCATCCCAACAGGGGCTACCGTGACATTCCGTGCTGCAAGGTACGAAATATTTTAGATGTCATATCGAGGGTTCCCAGATGCAACGAGTTGTGCCAGGCTGCACCCATCTGAGGTGGATCTGGTTTATTCGGTCATCAATGTTTCCCTTCCTCGGGCACCGAAAGCGAAGACAGCAAAGAAACAAGCGTACATCTTGAAATGGAGAGTTTCGGCTGCAGATGACGGGGCATTCTCCGCTACACTAGAAGGATCGCGCAAGATCAGTGAGGGTAGTTTGACGTGCTTCGATGTTAGGTATGGCCCCTTTGTAGCTCTATGGTGCTGTGAGTAACATAACGCAGCCCCGACGGAAAACTGTTGGCGTTTGGCGTGTCCGATTACAGCCTTGGCATACTTGATGCCAATAATCTTGCAGTACGTCCTGCTCTAGCGACCTTTTCTTTCGTGAATGATGAATCGATGCATGACAGCCGCTCCTATCAATTTTGAAAGCTCATGAATTTCCGATAACTGCACTTCGTTTTAATCCGTCGTCGAGGCTTTTGGTCTCTGGAGGAGTCGACAGTTCAATACGAATTGTTACCATCCCCGAGAAGTTCGGTGGTTCATGTCAGTGAATTCTCGTCTCTTTCCAATTTCGTCTGATGAATTTACTATGCAGCGTGGAGCGTAACAATCTTGATAATGCTCGCCATCCTAAGCGTCATACTTGCGGTGATAATGTTGAAAGCGTAAACTGGAATGAGGTACTATTGCCATGGACAAACATCACTATAGCTTGTCTCCCTCGTTGTTTTATCTCTACATATTAGGTTGTATTTAATGTATATCATTCTGACACAATGTAAGAATGGTCTAATCATAATCTTCCTCTTCCACCAGTTTCCGTTTTACTCCATTTGAGGGTTCAGTGGCTGTCTGAATTTCCTCCATCGCATCGTCACCTGCGCTCTCGTCTTCGTCTTCGTCCTCACCGGCTCCACCGAATAGGTCAGCCTCTTCCGCTCCATCACTACCGTCATCGGCGGTACCACTTGCCACGACTGGCGCACTTGCTGGGGAGCTAGCTGCCATTTCTACGTCGATGGGTGTGACTGGTGCGTTGTTCGTGGGTATAGTAGCAGGTTCCATATCAGCGTCATCCTCCTCTTCATCCTCTTGTGCACCCGGTGCTTCTTCCTCCTCTTCAATTTCCTCAATTTCCTCATCATATAATTTTACGGACGGTGGCGGTTTGTTGGACACTAGCTCAAAATTGACGGAAGTAAGGGTTTCCGACGCTGGTGGCAGCCGTACGCCAAACACTTCGGGTACCGCTGGGAGAGGCGTTGCGTTTGTCTGAGTCGCAAGAGATAGCAAGTGCTACAGAACGAATCCAACCTGTCAATTTATGTATATGGTGCCGCGAGGAGTAGTCGGCGACTTACTTCCTTCGGTATGCGTCCGCCAAACTCCCAGCCCACGCGGGCTTGCACTGCCAGAACTACGTCATCCATTTCAATTTTGGAGGTGCCGGATCGACCTGCATGGTCCGCATATACCTGGGCGTCCGAGAGTACTTGCACGGTATATCGGTGGGCGAATTCAAGGAGTTGGTGCAAAACGCCCGGTTGCGCATCCTGCACTGTGGGCGTGGATGCCAATAGAAGAGCGATGGCCCTTGCGGTGGGTGGAAGTGTGTCTGCTGCTGGGATCTGGTTGGTCTGTGGTCGGGACATAAGTCTGGCAGCCGAGGCGTGTGAATTCCCCTGTTATCTGATAACAATTAGTCAGCCGACGTCTGACGTTATTAGTACTCCGACGAGTTTTGGTCTTTCTCCTGACTACCATGTTCCGCTCAGCACTGACGAAGACCGTCTACAACACGACCGCCGCCTGCCAGACGTCCGGCAGCAGGCTTGGTGTCTGTGCTCTCTCGCGGCTATCATGAGAACTGTTATCTCACACTACGAGAACCCAAGAAACGTGTGTATTTCCCATTTATATCTAAGAGAGTCTCTTAGTCACGACCACGCTTATAGGTGGGCTCTCTTCCGAAAGGTGACCTCGACGTAGGCACCGGTCTCGTAGGCGCACCTGCGTAAGTGCCCTCCTCACATCCTGACAAGGCTACTGACCTTTTTTTTTTGCGTAGCTGCGGTGATGTTATGAAGTTGCAAATTCGTGTAGACGAGAATGGCATCATTAGCGAAGTCAAGTTCAAGACCTTCGGATGCGGGAGTGCCATCGCATCTAGTTCGTACTTGACAGAGCGAGTGAAAGGTCTCAGTCTGGAAGACGCGGGAAAGGTTAAGAACACGGAGATTGCTAAGGAGTTGTGCTTACCACCTGTCAAACTTCACTGCTCAAGTGAGTTGCGTGCTTCTGACGTTGAACGTCCATGTGACTTGAACCTTTTTTCCTAGTGTTGGCAGAGGACGCTATTCGTTCGGCAATTCGGGACTATCGGTCGAAACGCACTCAGGCGGCCGACTCCAAGCAGACTGGTTTCGTCGACGTCACAGCAAAATTCCTCTCCTGGGGAAACGGCTCATGCCTAGTCGTAGATTACACCTTACTAGCTTGCATCTTTTCGCGCGCACATAGTTGAGTCCGTATGCCATTTCACTCTGATGATGTATACTTTTAAGTCGTAGTTTGTCGGGTCATTTCCGTGTACTATCACCATTACAACATGATACTGATTGTGCAGTTCGATCACCATCGAAAATAATACAGTGATGCACTACACCCGTGAAGGTGTCCTTGGAAATGTTATTCCCCCTTCTGCCCCACGAAAGAGAAAGTGCCACCTGCAAACCAGCGATCATTTGCTTCCTTAACACGCTGAGCAGCTGCCGCGCGATTAAGCTCGAATCCTGGATAGATAAAAAAAAGCTCAGGGATCAAAACAATCGTAGATGAAAGGTAGACAAACCCTGCACAGGGGTAACCGTCAAGGACGTTGCCGTTCCCGATGTAGAAGAAGCACTGCTTTGGGCTGCGCGCGCAAGCATCGCTGTGCGAAGCTTGTTCGCTTTGGACAGTTTCGCTGTTCACGTTGGTGTTCTCAGTGATGTCGACTCGGAGGCCTGCAATTACTTACCACGACTCTTCGCCTCTCCCATGCCGGCCCGCACTTTCCCGGAACCTACACCGATCATGCCAAGTCCCTTCGTTTGGTCAAAAGCGCCAACCTCCTCTTCGGGTTGTCCAAACACCATACGGTTTTGGAGTTTCCGAAGTTCTGTCTGTGCGTACGCTTCCTTAGCTTTCCGAGCGCTGAAATCATGCGGCGTAAGGCTCAAACATGGGACGATTTAAGGGGACACAAACCGTCTTCCTCCTCTGCGCTTCTTGGGCCCGTCATTGGGGACAGGAAGGGCCTTGGTAATTTTGGCAGGTGGCGGCGCCGCTAATCGGTCGATGTGCCTTTCGATCTTTTCCCGTAACTCTTGACCGTACGAACCTGGAGAGATTGTTACAGGCTGAAGACATATTTACCTTGTCCTTACCGTCTCTGCGAGTTCTCTCAAGGTCCATGCGGGCCGCGAGTACGCATTTAGCTCCAACTGTTCGTTGTACCTTGAGTTGGTACTCGGGCGGCGTTTGCTGAATTAACTCAGACTGGAAGACGAAACCGGTATGCCGACGTTGTGTCGCAGTCGAGAACCCAAGCGCTAGTTTTTTCTGAGCACCAAGTAGCTGGAAAGAGAAGAAATGGTTGGAAGGTGATGTTTCGGTAAGGAGGAAAATCGAAATTACGTGGACATTGCATGACGGCATTTTGGCTAGGGCATTAAGACCACCTGCAACACCGAGCAACTTCGCTGCTGTGGTTGTACCAACAATAGCTGAAAGATTCGGAGCTAGAACATTCATTCTTGAGCTGACGTACATAAATATCTGCAAGCAAAAACATAAGTGCAACACCACCCAAACAATGCAATTACAGACCCTTTTGCGCACATCCTCCAGCCGGTCTGCCAGGTCGCATGCTTTCTCCACAGCTATCCATTGAGCTTCGGTAAGCGGTTGGCCGGAGCTGGTGGTAGCCGTTATGAGGACACTCATAATAACGGCAGGTGGTAGCACTCCAGAGAGATCAACTTTTGTCGGGTCCTGCAGTCGCAATACTGTGAAGACAGAGACAAGTGCATACATGAAACATACATTCCTCATTATTTGCGAGAATGCGCACAGCACGTATATGCTGCGTGGGGTCTGGAATTAGTTGCTCCAACTCCGGGAATTTTGGCGCATAGTGATCGCGGATAAACTGGTGCGAAACATATGTTAGATAATGTAGGAACACCCTCCGAAGCTAGCATACTTTATGCACAACAAGAATCTCATTATCGACGTCCACGGACAAGTTGTTCGCTTGAACGATGAGGTTGTATTCAGGATTGAGATGAGCTGGTAGTGATATGGCGTCTGCTGAACTGGGGTTCGCCTGGAATTTCTCTATTTCCTGGAAGAAATATCATCGCACAAGGCGTCGAATGAAAACAAAAGCACTTGCCTTTAAGATATCTGCCATGCGCTTGCTGCCCTCCAGCTTTGCTATTGAGCTCACGTTGTCTATACCCCCTAAGTCCATTTGTTGCACATCCTCGGCATCCAATTCTTCCGCAGGTCTAACGCCACCTTCGAGGACGAATCCTTCTATAGCACCGGCGCCGTCCGCACCTGCTTCGTCCACATCCTCCTCCAACTCTGACATATCGTCTTCCGCCTTGCGTTTCAGTGCGTTCAGAGCCGAGCCTGAAGTTCTCCCTGTATTTTCCTTATTATCTTGGTTTCCATCCTCCCCACCGTCGGAGAGACCTTCGATGTCAGCGAGGAGCTCATCCGCGAGGTCACCCATCATGAGAAGAGTTTAGCGAACAACTTCAAAGTAGCTTGGGCGACACTTGCATCGCGCTGCTGACAGTAAGCGACAGGACAAGAATGTGTTGCCTTTGGACAGCCTCGACTCCTGCAACAAACTCAATTAGGAACCACTTTTGAGTCGGAACTTGTCTTGCAGAACAAATTCACCTCCCCTCGATATGTCAGTTACTGAAGGATCTAGCGGATCTCTTTTCCTACTACTACTACTACTACTACTACTACTACTACACACCCCTGGATCTCTTCAAGTGTCAAGTATGGCTCTGGTCAGATGAAGAGGGGGAGAAAACTTGCAAAGAGCTGGGGGTGATGCCCAAAGGGGATGGTGGAGCATCGACTTCGGTATCCGCGCTGGTTCATGACTAGCACGCGAGACTTAAGTAAAGCTGATACCGTGTCCTCGTCTAAACATGAGACATCGTAGGCGTCATCGGTGACAACCACCGAAAGGGAAACATGGACGCCACTCGTCGCACAACGTACCTACTTGGGACGTGCATTTATATGCAAAATTTTATATAGTACATACCTGTTTCGCGTGTGGAAACTATGCGACAGCCAGCACTCTCACCGAAGTCGGAGGGTCGATTATCACGGTTATCTAGAGCTCTACATATTTTCTCGGCGCAGACGTTGTGGCACGCGACAAGGCTGACGCACGGAGCGACCGACTGGGAGTAGTGATATACATGGGCGACAGGTCATCGGTACGAACCAAAACATACATAGCGCGGGCCGTGGTTGGTTTTAGGAAGGGGGTGGAATTCTACCGCGTCGCCTCCAAGATTTCCATCGAAGTGACGCTGTTGCCGCGAATGACCTTGGGATAGATCAGGTTAGCGATCGAGGGGCTGAGTATATACCAATCACATACCACGGTACCAATAGGATGTTTCTGAGCGGGAGTGGTTTCTTCCAAGCCATCATCGATCACAAGGTTGAGGAATAGATCATAGCCGCGTAACGTTCCGCTGACCTTACGGCCACCTTGGAGATGGATGAACAATTTCTTGTCCATGAACTGTGATGTTCGCAGTTTCAGTACAGAGACACAAGATCCGTCGGCCACGAACTTTTTTGAGCTCTGGTTGCGAAGCTTTTGACATCTCTGGCAGCCTGTGTGTTAGAAGGACTATTACTAGGCCGAGGGGTCTTGGCTTTATTTAATTTGCTATGTTTGGCTTGCTAGTCGAAGGGGTCGACTGCTGCACGACACCTATTCGCTCCGCTTTACCCGTTCTTACCCATAGCTCTAACCTCGAAGAGAGCACTTCGGTGAGTCTTTCATCGTCTCCTTTCACCCTCAGTCCATTTGTATTCCTTCATACATGTGTGTGGCGGAAATGAACAAGTCCAACAGCCATAATTCGATATCAAACGCGGTCGATATCCGTTAGGGCGTTCTAAGGACCAGCACATGGAAACTCAAGCTTCTCGTTCAACACCAAATAACCCTACTCCCGCTGTCCAAGGTTCACCACGAACCCGGGACCTCAGGAACCTGCGAACCAAGGAACCGGGTTCTGCATTCCGTGGAATCGGTAGAGAAAGGGGTGGGCGTGGTAATAGAGGAGGTCGAGGTGGTGGTCGGCAGCAGAGTAACTTCACTGGTAGGATTCGTGCAGAAAACCCCAGTGATTTTTTGTCTCAGCCCGACACAGTCTCATCTAAAACCGAACCCTCTTCCAAATCTCTGGCTTCGTCGTCTATTCCATCCGTCGACAAATTGCCTGAAAGAGCCGTTGATGGCGTGCCAGAACGTGTTGCCGGAAAAGCACAGTCCGGACGATCGTCACAGCGGTCCTCCCGCCGTCGTGGTCCGTGCTCCTGAAGCGTCACCCCTCACACCTTCCAGTTCCCCCCGGCTCTCGAACCGTCGGAGACGCCCCCATCAGCAGGGAAAAGGTCCATTGGACCGCAACTCAAAGCCCTCATCGCCCCGAGCGTCGTCGAAGCCCCAAAAGTCTAGGAACAATTCCACGTTGTCTCCTTCGCTTCCGCGCATAAGGATGTTCCACCTCACCTAGCAACTGCTCACGAGGCAGAAGTTCGCCATGATATCGAGGCGTTGGTGGAACGGGTAAGGGCTGTTGCGATGGCTGAGAACCGTCCTACGACACCGGGCAGCCATATTGATTGGGCTGGCGACGAGGATGATTCCTTGCCCGACCTCGATGATTGGGGCGTGACTACAACTGCATATCATGGTTAACGGGGAACGCGATGAAGGCATATCACCGATATTGGGAGATACTTTGAAACAGCTACCGGAGCCTCACTCGGACGCTGAGCATCATAACGAGCAAGAGGGGCAGGAATGTGACGCTCAGTCCGATGGATGCCCTCAAGAGCCGCCACGATCCCCATTGTCGGCCTCCCTACCAGCAGGATGCCTCAAAAACGCCGAGCTCCCGGTTTTCACCCGATGTTTGTCCTGCAGACGTTACGTCCGCAACGGACTATACGAAAGAAAACTCCCCTGACAGCAGAGTAGATCCTCCACCCGAGCCTTTGGAATTGACTACCGAGGGGCACTTCGTTCTGACCGATGAAGGTCTTTCAGGATCGATGCATGCGCCCTCAACAAACCTCACTCATGTGGAGCAACAGTTGCGCTCGCCCTCCAGTGAACGGGGTTTGTTCGGGTCAATTCATGCCCCTGCGAACCTTCCTGGAGACCCGTTCAATCCCTAATGCACCCACTCGGGCTGCGTCGGTCAAGAATAACTCGTTTAATCGCAGTCATGGGCGTCCGCGCGCAGAGAGTCGTTCCGGTCAAGCTTCTAGATCCAGCCGATCTGGTGCTTCCTCTCCACTCGGAAGACATGTTTATACCCACTCGCGCAACCACTCGACTCCCCCTACTGGTGGGTCCAACCAGAAGGCTCATCATGCGTCTCGCCCAGTCATCACTGGTGATGCCATATCCAGGTTGGCCAGGACGATTGGTGGTAGCCTTGGACCAGCATCACGTAGTCAAGGGTATCCCCGTCACAAAAGATTCTACCGTTGCATCTTAATTTTCCGAGTGCGCTCTTATATACTTACATTGATCTATACAAGCAGCATTTATATGTGCATAGTGACATCCCTTTCACCGTCCGGCCGGAAAACGGCGATTTTTTTTTTTTTTTTTCCTCCCGCGGCTCTTACATCGCTACGCGGATACCGGTTTCATACAGATGCAGGTGTATGTAATATATCAAACGACTGGTTGTTCGCCTCAACACATCCAGTCAGCCTGTGCTGAAGTAAGATAACTCAAGCCCGATTGCTTTGACCGGCTTGGAACGACTGGAAAGATCAGAAATGACCCCTAGACTGACCAGCATTTGCTTCAACCGCCCTTCCCACAAAAGTGCGACATTCTACACCATTATCAGTATCAAGCGTTTTCCGAGGCACGAGTAAAACTGACATTATTAGTGGAAATTCTCGCTTTGACGACTCCTCGTAGGTCAGTTGCCATTGTGGAAGGTTGTTGATCCCATCTCTCGGCAGGCAGGGAGCTGGCCCTCGTACGCTCACCATGTGAAGGAGACTGGGGAAGGGAGCGACGCATCCACCATTCAGCCCCCATAGTCCATTCACTGTCATAGCTGTAGACATTGAAGTCGAAGCGAGAACAAAGCGATAGATCCCGAGAAACCCTGGCTGCATAAGCTGCGGATAGATGACCCATCATCGGATTGAACAACCCTGTAATGGTCGTTGGGGGCTGAGCAGGCCCACGAGTCTGCGAGGAGAGCCCTGTATCGGGCAGTGTGGTAAACCGTACTCCGAGGGAGACTTGGGCGGTAACTGTCAGAAGTAAGCATGACACCGAGGTGAATGTAATTACCTCCTGCACTTTTCTCTTTGGCGCTGACGTAGACTTCAGCACCTGCTGAAACGCGGCCCTTCAAGCCCCCTCCTGTCGCATCTTCCTCATCCACACGTTTGGGCCGAGGACCGGTCGCTGATTCCTCTGGAGGTTCTACAGGACTACCCAACCTACCGAAGTTATGCAAGACACGGACGCCCCACATACCATCGTCTGCACTCCAAGTGTATTCTGTGCACCATTTGCCGATATCATGTTGCAGGCTGAACATTATATTGCTAGGATTATCTCCTCGTGCCCTACCTTCGGTCACAAGACTCGAAGGAGGACCAGAGATAGCCGCAACTAGCCCTTGGACTGTGGGGGAAAGGCGAGTCGAGTACAATGCGTCCAGTCGGCCAGTAGGCAGGTACAGGCGTCCGTAGAGAAGATAATCTGTCTCCTGCTGGTTAACATTTCAAAATGGCAAGAAAAGTAGCAACAGAAACATACGCACCTCGTGTGTCAACCCTTTCACCAGCGAGCCATACTTCTTCCTGGCCTTCTGGTCTGCGAGGTTGGGCATACACGTTGAAATGCTCTGTCATGTCCTTCAGGTTGACATCACTAGAATTTTTGATGTCGAGCTCGCGCGACGTGAAAATGTACCCCACCGAGCCGTTTAGTGATGGCAAGGCATTCATGGTGTAGGACGTATTGAAGAAGGCATTTGGGGACTTGGAGACTGATAAGTGCAGGCCTCTAGGGACAGCAAAGTCCAGAATAGCTGAACCGATATGTTCAAACTTCGTTGGTCACAATCGGATGAAGACCTACCGTTAGAGGACCGGGTCAAGTTCGAGTAGAGATTGTCCTCATTCCACCCCGTCGCCCTGTAGTAGCTACGGAGAACGTAGGGCGCGAATGGATGCATCACAGAAGAGGCTAACAAGTGATACTACGAGGTGTAGTACAAAGTGGCACTTGGTGGGTTTATGTGTGCAATGTCAACGCGGCGACGGGAAGTACGCCCGCTTCGTTTCGCAAGCGACAGCTACAACTTTCTAAGAACTTCCGACATGGTGGGTCTATTCTCAAATTCCTCCCAACAACTCTCCAACAGTTCCCAAAGCCGATCGTCCAGCCCCCTGGAAACCGTCTCCTTGTCGGACGGTCGGAGAGGTCTCTCACCATCTGACACTTTGGCTACCACATGGAAAGGAAATCGAACTTGCGACCACGGTTCCCGATGCGACATTAGCTGCAGGCATTCGGTCACCACAGAGTCACTTGACGTGCGGTTGCCAGACAACCCACCTCTAAGACCGTCATCCCGAACGCATAAACGTCCGCCTTAAGGGTGAGGTTTCCGCCCACTAACAACTCACGCGCTGCCCATCTATACGAATCCAACATGCTGCGACATAATTTTTCGACGGAAAAGATAATGGTTGGCAGCCTTAACACTCACCCACAAGATTCAGTGATAGCCACGCCTGTCAAGTCCTGAACAATCTAGTAGTGTGCTCGGTATGAGACACGTAGCGTTGAAGCTCTCACAGACTCACCCTCGAAAACCCAAAATCAGCAAGCAGGGGATCCCCACTTTCGTTAATAACAATGTTGACCTTCATGAATGGTTCTTCAACCTGGCACCGACGACGGTAATACTTACTCACACCTCTGATATCGCCGTGGACGATGGGGGGTACCATGTTATGCAGTACGTTGACACCCTCGCAAATGTGCTTAATCTATGACATTGCCAAAGGTTAGAACAATGAGTTTGAAGGCGAAATTTACCAGGGCACGGTGGTCCACGGAGGGATGATCATTTACGTATTTGTCGGCTGTCCCGTTCGGCATGTACGGACTAACTATATAGCTGTGTGACCGTCAGCACATGGAGACAAAGAATGCGGCGAAACGGACGGGAAAGGTGTGTCATTCTGGCAAAAACCATAAAGGGGTAGAATGTGGTGTCCTCGATCTACTTCCCACACTCTTTTCCAGATTTCAACCTCCCTCTTCAGTCGCTGAAATGTTGTTCAGAGACAGGGGGAAGGGAGACGGCGAGAATGCCTCACTGCCAAACTCTTTGGGCTTGCGTGGATTGATCGTATGACTTTGAGGGTCACTGTTTCTTGGTTCAGATAAATGCCTTCCCAAATATCCATGGTGTGAGTTCCACCAATGGGGTCTTGGCCGACTCGATGGACTTCTCCACGTTTAAAATTCATATTCGGTAACAATGTCTTGGAAGACTTCTGCAGGTGGTATAAGTTAGTTTCAAGGCCACGGTTATTCTCGTGATTTGCAACGGAGAGATTCTATCGATATCTGTCAATAGATAAGGACATCTGGGGACGGTAAGCAAACCTGCTGCATCACGTGCATAATAGTGTTTATATCCGTACGCTGCTCCTCCAGGGCTAAGAGGATGATGGACTGTGTATTCTTGATGTCGGAGAGATACTGCATCATTTCGATTTTATCACGTTCCATATTTGACTGGAGTAACACCTGCCAACCCCGGGTTTCCAATGCAGCATTGATCTGTATAAAACGTTTGGTTTTAGTGACTTATATGCTGTCTCGGCATACCTGTAGTTTGGTCATGCAATCGTTGATCGCTGTGTGACAGTCCTGGATTTCTGAAGCCAATTCATCTTGCTTAACGAAAAGTTTGACCGGAGACATGGAGCACCAGGGACTCATGTGGCCCACAATCTGCGTGACCGTCCTAGAAACAGATAAAGATCCCACATGACGAGGGCACGACGGAATCGCAATAAGTACCTCTCGGCGTCAAGAGCTAGTTGCTTCTGCTCCTCCAAAGGGGCTTCCATGCCCTTTAACTGTATGACATGTAGAAAGGCGGTGCATCTGTCTTGGAGTTGCTTTAAGGCATTCCTAGTAGATTCGGGTGATGCGATCGGAATATGGCAACGAGAACAATGCGCACTTATTGGCTCTGGCGGCAAGGATCATGTCCTTGAGAATGGTAAGCACGGCGAACGCAGCACCTAGCCAAGGGACTGGCGATGCCTGGGCTGCCAGGGTAGCTGAGCTGACCAAAAGTGAGCCGGCGAGAGCAGCAGTGTTCGCGATTGCTGTTTCAGATGGCATTGTGTGAAGCCCGAGTAGCCGAGGTGGTGGCCGGGTGTCTTACTGACCGTGGTACCGATCACAGGTATTACCGTGAGGTGCAATCAGCACGGGCGCTTGGGTCTCGCCATTTGATGCTGGTGGTCCACAGCATGTGTCAACCTGAAGGGCAGGACTTGCTACAATTCAAAACGCTGCTCATCCACGGGGCCTATCCCCAGTCGGCTCCAATCCGCGTCTCTCTTTCGATTGCTCAGTGTGAACGAGCGATACTTATATCTCCCTTGCGTCAATCCCTGCTCCGAGACCTTGGGAACTGTGACGATGATTGGCTCCGTTCATCCTCCGGCTCTGGTGTGGTATCAAAGATAAGTTCCAGGGTACGAATTTTGTCAGTCACCCGTTCTTTGCGATCAGACGCATATCGCGCATCGAATGGGTCCCTCAATTTATTTCGCAGCTATCCGCCCACCCCAAAGCATGTGGTTGCACTTCTCTCCTTACTCCGTTGTCTCGATAGTGATAATGCCACGGACGTTATAGAACCCAAGGCTACGGTTGACCCTCCTCCCTGTCTTTTTATATTGCACGAACCCTCTGCATATTTCCTGAACGACCAGATTCGGTAAGCCCCTGGGAGTGTGCCATCCCTACTGCAAACTTGACGGTTTCGATCGTAGGTGCCCTTCGACCCTCTCATCGTATCTGCTACTCATTACTCATGCACGCGCGATCACAGAATATTTTTCATCGCGGAGATCCAAGTACGCTAAATATTCGCCTTTGCAGCACCGTCTAACCTGTAGATGCAGCCCTGCTAAATCTACGTCACTCGTTGTGTTCGACTCTGGGCTTGATCAACTCAAGCTCCCCTTGTTCCAAGTACCATCCGACCCTGGGTTTGACGTACAAGAAGAACGCGACAATAACCCTCGTCCAGAACCAGTCTTGCCACCTGCCAAGAGATGTTTTGATATAGTTGGTACTTTCCAAGGTTAGTGAGTATCGCACGATTTGTATCCTGACCTAAACAGTGTCTTTTTTTTTTTTCCCGACAATCATCCTTCTAATGACAAAGAGCTCCGTTGGATGTTGCCGGGGATTTCGAGCAGCCAGGGAAGCTAGGTGTGCCCGGTGAAGTAATAATATTACGCTCCTGTTTTGTTTGTACATACTTGTGTTTGGCTCGCAAGCTTTGCTTTGTCGACGTCGAGAGACAACTTGTGCAGATATCGATGATGGCGACGACGGAATGCGAATCGGCGCCAGTTGGATTTTTCGCTTTCGTTTTGAAACCTGGATCTTCGCTGCATCCTGCATTCCTTTTGGCGGTTGATTGTTGTTTCGCCGCGTTGTTCTTCGTGCTCGTCTGGCTGGCGTATTTGACCAAAGGCAACGTACACTTTTTCATTCTGTTGTTCATCGAACTTCTGCTGTGGGCTAGTGTCAAATGGTGAGCATTCCTCACGGTGTCCGTTCGAGATTCCGCCAGCTCAGTACATGGTAGGTTCGTGCAAGAACTTCGGAGGCTTTCCTCGCAAGTTACAGAGAAGAAACACCAGTAACAACTCTATAATAACTCTCAACGCCGTGTCCCTTGCCTCGCCCTGTCATGACTTTCGTGCCAGCGCTTCGTGCGCTTCGAACTTTCCTGTGCCAGTGCGAACACTGGATGCTGCTTCAGTCCAACAAATCTGCACCGATGCTTGGAGCTCACATTCTCTTTCCGTCCCGTCCAGCCCCTCCCTAAAAGATTGCGCGGCGTCTACCGCGGGCCCCGCGACACCCGACGCACCCAGTGTTGCGAAATGCTGTGCTTGGTCAATGACCTCTGTTAAACGACCGCGAAAGGCCTTGGACAGTGATGTCCGATGCTAGTCACCCCAGTTTTTTATACATACCTTTGTCAACACGTCAGACATTATATTTGCTTGTTCATCATCTAATCTGTTTGCCAAATTCAAGTCTGTCCTTCTCGAAGCAGTCGAATGGTACTTGCATATCCATGATCATCTTTCCGAAGCCATACCAAAGGCCACCAGCTCCCACCAGGGTAGATAGCCTAACGCTGCGTGGTTCTGCCTTGAGTGCATTTCTTACTCTTGGACCAAAAGGTGCGGGAATGGTCAAGTCAGCCCATTCCCTTGGATTCGCGTCAGATTCGCAGTCGATTGTGCAGGATCCGTCCATCTCACGAGAGAAGTATGATGTAGGCCAACCAGATGGGAATCGGTAGTTTAGCAGGAGCTTTTATCTATTCTACGCGTGAGTGGGCGTCAGCTGGGAATAGAATAACACCTGCATCGCGGTCGTTGCCTCCGCCCAGATGGCCCACCTCCGGAACGTCGACTTTGAAAGTGCATTGTATCTTCTGCGGCACCGTTCACCGAGTCTCAGCTGGAAATGACGAAGACTTTACCTGGTTCTCGGCAAGGATGGCATCTATCGAGAAATAGTCGTTGTCCATGTGGTGTCCCGATATTAGTGTTCAGTTAACTTGAGCACCACGGCCAGCCCACGTGATCCATACTCCAACTCACCCCATGAACTTCCTTCGGTGTGGGTGCAGACGAGCTCTTTCGCGACCCCTGCCTCTGACGCGTGGTCTCTCATTCACGTCGTGTGTACGACAGAATGACCAGCACGACCTGTTCCACAGTTTTGCCCACACCCCAATCTTCCGCAAGATCGCAGACAAGCCCGAGGCACTGATAGCTCTGCGTGACTTGGCGGCCCTTCTAAGGGACAAAGGTTGGGTTCTCAGTCCACATATCAGTACTTCGTTTTGTGTCTGATTCTATCCCTTGTCAAACAGGAATCGACCCTACAGCTGGTCCCCCTTCTGTCACCCAGATGCTGCGGTTGGCTGCGAGTTCAGATTTCCGCTCAGCTGCTCAAAGAGTAGTCACAGAACTGCAAAATGCAGGGGTGGATCTGAAGTCTCAGGTAAGGTGGTCCTTGTCCTACTGGCCATTACCTCACCCACTTGCCTCGCTCCCAGGATGTGATGCAGGAACTGATGGCTTTGTCGAAGAAACCACAAAACAGTTAACTGGATAGTCTATTTAGAGCATTAATTGATGTGGTGGTCGCATGTCCTGGGGAGTGCAGAGACTAGCTCGTAGTTGGTACATACTAGTACTGATGACCGAAAATTCATCTTATCTGTCCTGTCAACGAACCTCAACGACTCGGTATGGTCACCAATACGCAAACTGCAACAGTTGCGCAGGAACAACCACTGCCCGCAACACAGTTCTTTTCCGTCGAGTACCCTGGCTACGTGCAGCCTTCATCTGTTCATATAGCACTTCGCAATCTGGGAGGACCGTCGAGCCTTGAGAACGCCTTCAAGCGTGGAGCCGCTAAGAATGAAGGGTTGCTGGAACTCAATTTTCGACCAGGGAACCCGTTTGCCCATCCAATCCCAGGAGACATCGTCAATACGAGCAATATACTTTTCAAGGTGACAAAAAGGAAGCGTCGCAAGGTGGACAGTGACAAATCTCCAGATGCATTCGACGGGGATTACACCGTCGAGGCCATGGGTGTCATTTTGAAAACCGCTAGGTTTCGCAGTCAGTATATACGTTGCAGCCCCGAGAGGACGACTGATCATTCATTCAGGCGTGGCGGATTATCAATTTCAGCCTGACATGTCAGATCCAGTTGCTCAGCTGCGCATCGCGATGGACCGAATGAATGGTAAGTAATTCGTCCACCGGTGATACCTCACCATCACGTCCACTCTAGTTGATGCCATTAGGCGGTACACCATTCCCGACGAGAAAGAGGCTTACAGTCTTTCACCTGGAGGGAGTATTCATCCAGGACTCGATCCACAGTTGACCGAAGAAATTGATCAAACGCTATCTCGTAGCAACTTAAGGTTGTTTCCACCATCTCTTTTCAGCCGTCAGGGCATTCCACAGAATTATAAGTAAGCGGAAGCCCGCACTTGGGACGTTCATAACTAAGTGCCAAGCAGTTTCAAGGCCAATCCGGCATCGATGGTCACTACAAGCGTGGACGAGGATACAGGTCGAGAACGAAAACGTCTCATCAACAAGGGAAGGTGGAAAGGTTATGGCCCGGCAACTGTCTCTTTCGGCGACTCTAGTGTACCGTTATTATTGTTCATATTCCCTGCACTCCCCTTACCTGGGACATCAGGTTCCTCAAAACCCACCCTCAGGACTCTTACAAGCCCGAAATACAATTAAACAAGATCTTCTAGATCAAGTGGTTCATGTTTGTTATGTCGCAGGTCACTAGTTTGCCCTTGCTGATCTCCTGCTCCCAGCTGCTTGAACAACGCCCTGTATGGACGCGAGCGGCGCTCTACAATCAGTTCAATTCTGCTGAAGTAAGAGAAATACACAAGTACGTGAGATGGTTCTCGTGGTCGGGCTGTTCGTCAATCCCTGTACAGTTCCAAACTCATACTTCCCCTGGCATGTTACATGTTCCAGGATGGTCCATGGCGCGATACACTTGTTCGCTTCAGTTACGATCCACGCAAAGACCCAACAGCTCGTTTGTGAGTCCCAGGAACAGTTGAATGAAATGTACATTTATATTTTATAGCTACCAGCGGGTTTACTTCCGGAACTGCAAACCATCCGATGTCACGGACATCCGTCGTCACTCGGCGGCAAGAAGGGAGATCTGTGGCCGCGTACATTTCCAGGTCTATGGAACAAGAAGAGACAGCAGGTATCGAACAAAGGTGAGGCCACGCATCCCGTTTCCAGAGGAAAAGTCTTCATGGACGTCTAGGAAGTCCCACATATTCGACGGGCAAACCATTACGAAGGAGACCGCTGCATTCCAATTGTGCGATATCATCGATCCCATGTTGAAGGTGATGATTGAAAGAGAAGAGGACCTCCGGGAGACCTGTGATGTGAGTGAAGGTCCTCTTAAGATCATAAACCATAACAAACCCTGTCAGGAGCGAGACGGTTGGTACAGCGCGCACGCACTGGAAAGGATCAAGACCGTCCTTCGTCACAAATTCTTTTCACTGCTGCAAGGCTATGTTGCGACCAACGAAGAGTGTGAGGCCTTGCTCGAGCAGGGTGGTGGACAAAAGAAGACGCAAATAACCCGCAGCGGTAAGAGGTTGAAATACGGCAGGCATAATATGGCAAAGGGGGCGCTCCGACCGGAAGATGCAGCGGTAAAGATTAATAATTAATTGACTACCTGGAATCTGACACAATCATGGATCTAGGCTGCCAGATTACAGGCTACCCTCGAGCGCAATGCAAAGAATCTCCAAAGTACCCGCCGGGTAGGGAAACACGTATGTCATATACCGTTACCTGACCCAAGGTGTTAGCTTGACCTATTCTGAAGGGCTGACACGCGCAATCGTGCTGTTTCTAGCGACTTATAGTGCATAGTCATAGTACTTGATACATGAATGTGGAGAGCGATTCCCTACGAAATAGGTCGGATCGAGCGGGTGCATATCACGACGCTGCGACCTTTTGTTCTGCACGTGCTTTTCGCTAAGGATTGGTGAGATTAGAGAATCAGGAGGCACCAAAAGTGGGTCGTACTGAGCCAACGAGCGCGAACAGCGCGTTTTTGCGGAACTGGGCCATGATTACCATCAATTCCACGGTTCGAAGCACTTCGAAAAGTATGATATACCTTTGGGTCAACCTGTGGAGTGGATCAGTTGGATTTCGATGGAAAACGGTTGGACATACCCCTTTCATCGAGCGTGAGCGGTTAGTCGTTGGCCGCTTGATACCGTTGCGGTGGGCCTTGCGGTTCTGGTTGTGATTGGTGTGGCTATCGGCAATGAGGAACACATAGTTATTCACAGCCCTAGAAACACATACTTCTTTGACTTGGCCATGACGTCGGCTTCAACCTCTCTGCTCTGCTGGGGCGGCGGTACGATATGGTTGATAGGTGTGGCTGAGAACTATGCAGTTGACGGCTCGGCAGGCCCCGTATCACGTGATCTAAGATATCGCCCGAAATCCGTCGGCCGAGTTGCACATGAGATGCCCCAGCTGGAACCGATATAGAGCAACCTTTAAAATGCAATAGAAAGGCAAACAGAACTTGCTGTCAGAACCCTACCAGCATGCCTGCACCCGCCATTGGCCCACGCACTCTCTACGACAAAGTCTGGGACGACCATGTCGTGTGAGTCGCCCATCTTATGAATTTGACGCCACAGCCAAGCTCACCGATACGCAGCCAAGAGATGGAAGATGGTCTTGCCCTCATCTACATTGATCGGTAATTAGATATCGACCCACGACCATGGCCATTCTCTGATGAGTGATCCGTAGCCATCTTGTCCATGAAGTTACGAGCCCACAGGCCTTCGAAGGACTGTAAGTTCCTTATCAAGTGGTCATCGCAGTACTTTCTCAATCCGGTATCAGAAGGAACGCTGGAAGGCGAGTCCGTCGCCCAGACTGTACTTTGGCGACCGTAGATCACAACATCCCGTAAGTCGCCTCACTGCCTTCAATATGCGGACATAGATCAATCCAACTCTTAACCCCAGCACTGTACCACGCAAGAACTTCAAATCTGTTGGTACCTTCGTCACAGAACCAGAATCACGTGCCCAGTGCCTCGCAATTGAAGAGAATGTGAAAGAATTCGGACTAACCTACTTTGGTCTGAGCGATCGCCGTCAAGGTGCGCGAGCACGGTCTCCATATGCTCGGTGGGCTGACACTGAAGTAGGGATCGTACACGTCATTGGCCCCGAGCAAGGCTTCACGGTGCAGCGGATTCTTTGGGAATGTCCTACTACTTACTGACACAAATAATAGCTGCCTGGCATCACTTGCGTTTGCGGTGACTCTCACACATCAAGTACGTACACTGGCCGTTGCACATTCTTGTGCGTCAAGTGCCAATGACTACCCCTCACACAGCTCACGGTGCTTTTGGTTCGCTTGCCTTTGGGATCGGAACGTCGGAGGTGGAACATGTCCTTGCAACCCAGACCTTGCTACAACGGAAAGGAAAGAACATGCGCATTACTGTCGATGGTCAGTTGGCCGAGGGGGTAACATCAAAGGATGTGATCTTACACATCATCGGGCTCATCGGAACTGCGGGTGGCACGGGCCATGTCATTGAATATGCGGGATCTGTTTTCCGCAATTTCAGCATGGAAGCTCGTATGAGCGTTTGTAACATGAGCATTGAAGCTGGGGCCAGAGCCGGAATGATCGCTCCCGACGAGATGACCTTCGATTACCTGCGGAATCGCCCTCTTGTGCCGAAGGGTGAGCTTTGGGATAGGGCCGAAGCCTATTGGCGCACTCTCAGGAGCGACGAAGGCGCAAAGTTTGACATCGAAATTAACATCAACGCCGCGGATATCCCACCAACTGTTACCTGGGGCACGTCTCCCCAGGACGTTGTTCCGATCACAGGATCTGTCCCAGATCCCACCACTATGTCTGATCCAGGCAAACGAGCCGCTGCTGAACGGGCGCTGGCATACATGGGCTTGCAGCCCAACACCCCTATGGAGGATATTATCGTGAACAAGGTCTTCATTGGTTCCTGCACGAATAGTCGCATCGAAGATCTCCGGTCCGCCGCACACGTCATTCTAACTGCTGGTCCTGATGCCAAGGTCGCCCCCAACGTTCAAGCGATGGTAGTTCCTGGGTCGGGCCTTGTCAAACAGCATGCTGAGGCGGAAGGCATCGACGTTGCTTTCAAGCGCGCAGGATTTGATTGGCGGGAGGCTGGTTGCTCCATGTGCCTTGGTATGAATCCGGATCAACTCGCTCCTGGCGAGCGCTGTGCTAGTACAAGCAATCGAAACTTTGAAGGTCGACAAGGTGCTGGAGGGCGCACGCACCTCGTAAGCCCAGCTATGGCTGCTGCTGCTGCCCTGACAGGCAAACTCTGCGACGTTCGTAAGATTCTGGGAAAGGAAAACAAGACGGAGGTCCCCAATGTCAAACTCACCAGCGTCTTCGAGTTCTTAACCGACCCTGTCCTCCCCCCTCCCCAACCTCAGGGTCGTGCTGATGCAAGTGCATCTGGCACCCATCCTGAAGTGACTACTTCCTCTGGTGTTCCGAAGTTCGTCGTCCTGAAAGGCGTCGCTGCACCTTTACATTTGTCCAACGTTGACACCGATATGATTATACCCAAGCAATTCCTGAAGACATTGAAGCGCACCGGTCTATCAAATGCCTTATTTTTTGCCCTTCGCTTCGACCCAAAAACGGGTGGGAAGACCGACTTTGTGCTGAACCGCAGTCCATACGATCGGGCCAAAATTCTCGTCTCCGATGGCCCCAACTTTGGTTGCGGCAGTTCGCGTGAGCACGCGGCTTGGAGTCTGTGAGTAGGTCTCACACACCTTTATACTGTGCTCTAACGATGGTTTAGGAATGATTTCGGCATCCGCTGTGTCATTGCACCGAGTTTTGGTGAAATCTTCCGTAGCAACGCAATGCAGAACGGTATGCTACCGTTGCCATTGCCCGAGGATGTATGCAAAGACTTGGCGGCGGATGCGGAGGCGGGAGTGGAGCTCGAGGTTGACCTAGAAAAGGAAGAAATCCGAAGGCTTAATGGCAAGGAAGCCATTCATTTCTCCATCGACCCGTTCAGGCGACACCGCTTGTTGAATGGTCTTGATGATATTGCCATGACGTTGCAGAAAGGGGAAGCTATCTCCAGGTTTGAGCAAGGTCGGACTGCTGTTTGGCCATGGTTAGATGGTTTTGGTTACCAAGGCGGGAAAGTTCCTGTCATCTCGGCCAAGACTGAGAAGAAAACGGAATGGTGAAGTTGGTTCGACGTGCAAGGGCGGATGTTGTAGGTTACGAGTTACACAGCTACGTACAGAGGTGTATTGTGGACAGTCAAACGTTTTGGACGCTACATACTTTTCCGAGTAACTTGCATCTCAGCTGCTCGCTCTCGGGCTTATTAGAATTCGACTCTTGGCTGAACGCCTTTTGGCCATGCTATCCACAGCGACGAACACCACTCAGCCGCCGCCCAAACCCCAGGAGCTGCATCCTCCTAAAGTGCCTTCCAAGCATGCACATCGTGGACAGGATCAGAAGGAGCCCGTGCAGACGTCGGCACATCTCCCACTTGCTCCATCCAAGCAGCCCCCTCCACAAGACCAGCTTCTCACCAAAAAAGTACAGCAACGGTCAGGAGGGCCTATCATAAACTGGTTTCAACGTAAGTTGGCCGGTACGGTTAGGCCCAGAAGGGTACGGGACGAAGGCTCTTTGATGATGAGTGGTCAGAAACCTCCTAGCACCAATAGCCACCGTCATCTCAGTCCCTCTGCAGCGTTTGGGCCCAACGGACGCTCTGCGTCTTCCGCCTTGCCGCATGGCACGATTCCTTTATCCCAAAAGCATGGAATCGGTATGAATAGAAGGGGGGTAGCATCAACTGTACCTTATCGAAGAACGATATCTCTGAATGACGCGGACACTGACAACGCTGTCACATTTTCCAACGATGAAGACAACTTAGATGCTGTAACGCGTTGTTCATCCCTTGCTCGCGACTCGATGTGGTCTCCTGCAAGCGCACTGGAAGCTGACGAGGATGCATCATTGCGTCCATTTCCACCAAGCACACCTCCTTCACCGTCCCCTTCCTACTCCTCATCGTCTTACTTGTCCAATCCGCGGACCTTTAGAAGCATCGCCGCGAGCACGAAGCCGACCACTGTCCTTAGCATTGATCTTCCACCAGCAGGGATTGGCCATATTGCACAGGTTCCTTCGACGCCTACTCAGTTAGCGCCACGCCATGGTTCTCACACCAGATCGTCCTCGACGGGCGTAAATGGAGGTTTAGTCAACAACGGTGCATCAATCACATTCTCCACTCTACCCCTTTCTTCACAGCCTCAGGCGTCACCCGAGACAAATGCCAGTCTTGGTGCGTCCTCCTCTAACACGGCAGCCCACGGAACCACCTTCAATGGTTTGCAACCTCCGCTCCATACCGCTCATCATCCTCGAAATAATCCCCGTCCTTGGTCGCCTCCACTTGACAATGCTTCGGTATTGACGCTTGCCTCCTCTACTTTTGCTATTCCCGGAGCACGCATGACTATGGGCTCCATAGGCTCTACAGTCCTCTCGGGTTTAGTCGGGGGCGGTGATTCTATATCTCATCTTGGTGGGAGCATGGTCAGTGATCCAGAAGGCGAGAACATGAGTCAACTCTCAGGGGACGACGATCGCCCGGAAGTCGACGGAGAGCGCGATGCTGATGCCAGTGTACGTGCCTTGAGGCCGAGGAGTTCCAGAAGGGGTAGTTGGGAAAGCGAGGTCAGTAGATGGAGTGCGAAAGTACTTGGTGCTGGCGCAGGCATCAGTACCGGAAGTAAAAGCCTTTGGACAAGCAATAGTCTGAAGACGGGCGAACTGGTTGGAGTAGAGGATGAAGAGGATGAGAAAGTTGTGAAGAGCGAGGAGCTTGGGGAAGGTCTTACGCGGGAACCTTCGAAGCGGCGAGACCGGGTTCCTGTGAATATCCCCGAGACGGCTGGTGGAGGAAAGGCGGGCGAGGTATCGACAGAGATCTCGCTGGCATTAGGGAGAGCAGCAGGTCAGCCATTTGTAGAGACGTCTTCAGAACCATCCGCCATCTGTAAGTAAACTCTCTCTGGCGCCACTCTATCACCTCGTCGGTATATGATACACCTTCGATCCGCGGGGGAACCAATACCTCCGTTTTTTGTTTCGTCGTAAACTACTCGTTACATGTAGGATGTATGCTACAATGGATGTTTTTTTCTTCCAACCAAGGGTGGTCTGCTAATTGAGCGCCTCATGATGGCATGGTGCAGCACAGCCACGGTTGACTTTTTTGGTGGAAACCTGTGGCATCCGGAGACAAAAGGTCGGTGTACTAGGGTTCATACTCATACAGTGTCTTCTTCAAACACATAAATGACCAAGTGGGCTGGTCTGTTATAATCGGTTACCATCCAATCTTTCGTCACTTGATACTCTTCACATGTCCGTCACTTCTCGTGAGATCGGAACCCTCATCGTTGTGGTGCTCAAGGCGGTATGCTTCCGTGCTGCGGTTCTCGGGCAACGCGTCTAACTCAACATGCAGAAAAATCTACCGAACAAGAGGCACATAGGAAAACAAGCACCGTACTGCCTGATAACTCATAATGATCACAAACGCCGGACCAGGGTGATCAAACGCGGTGGCCAACATCCGGAGTGGGACGAAGAATTTCGGTTCACTATCTATGAAGATATGGAAGCTGAAATCCCAAAATCTGCAACGAGGGACGAACTTCCACCTCCACTACCACCGAAGAGGTCAAAGGGACCTAAGAAAATCAAGGGTGGATGCCTCATGAAACTGCAGTGTTACGCAGATGATATCCGTGACCCTGACTTTATTGGGGAAACCCTCGTTGACCTCACAGAAGCTCTGACGAAGGGCGAAACAGATGGTATGAACCCGTATTGGTCGGACATTTTGTCAGGCTAACTCTCGCACTTCCATTGAGTAGAGTGGTTTGCGTTAATGAACAAAGACAAGTATGCCGGAGAGGTCTACCTCGAGTTAACCTTTTGGTCGAATGTACGTCCCTCGACATCACCCATATCCTTTTCGTCACAGATTATCAGGAGCCACCACCTGAAAAACGTTACCCTCAAAAACCGAAGACGCCAAATAGAACTTATGGCGGTCCGGGGTCCTTCACACCAGTAGAGACAGGTTCCCATCCACCAAACAGCGATGCCCCTATCGTTCCTTCTCGAGGAAGAATCAGTGACGTTGATGGCAGTCACCTTAATTCATTACCATCTTCTCTTAGGTCGTCTCGTCTTGAACTATACTCCGCACCCTACGAGAAAAGCAATCGGGTTTCCGCTGGGACAGTGGACCACTTGGCAGAAGATTTCTCTGAGTTAGGCATGATGGATAGTCGAAGAAGGGAAAGCTACCCAGTACGTCTGATACATTTCACCATTTTCAGTCTACTCACCATTTCTCAGCCTGCTAACCATACCATACGTCCATCAACTTCGGCAAGCCTTAGTTCTCAACACTCATACAGCCCGAACTCGCATAGCCAAACCGACATCTCAGGCTTTGTTTATGACGTGACAGGTTCCGCAAATACAGGCCCCCCTCGGTATCATACCCCATACGAGAATGCTGCTTTATCCGGACATGCTGGTCCTCGATATAGCATGCCATCGACTTCTTCTGGTTTTGTACCGGTGTCAACGACTACGCCTACTCCAACGTCCCTTGGGGGAACGCCATCATACTTACCGGAGGGCCATGGTTTCAACCACTTACATGGGTACTCGGTACCCCCCCCTCCTCCCCCACATCCTGTACCACCATCCAGCTTCCAGTCTCAGTATCTTCAGCGCTCCGCCACCGTCCACACTTCAGCTCCCACTACACCTACCCCTCCAGTGGCACCTAATCCGCCGGCTGCCACTTCCCATCACACCCCGCACTTGCAGAACTCGTATCTACAGTATTCTCATTCTCCAGACCAGATTGTTGTTCCATTCCCGTTGCATTTTAACATGTCACAAGAACATTTCAATGGGCCCTCCGTTCCCCCGTCGTTACCGCCGTCTTCGTTAGCACCAACTGGACTTTCGACTCCTCCACAGGTGCGTCCCAGGTACGCTTCCACGTCGTCACCCCCCCCGCGGGAGTATCTACCACCGGCTCCGGTTCACAACACTACTCCTACTGGGTCGCGGCCACTACCGCAGCCTGGTCAGTCTCAACGAGATCGCCGTAAGTCAGTGGCTGGGTTCATTAGCAGCGGTTCGTATCCAGGCATTCCACCAGCCCCTCAGTACCACCGTGTCCCGTCTTCCCACACGACGCCTCCTTTGCCTCCTCCGCCAGTACCCCATGAGCTGCCAAATGTTCAGACACCTTCACTCCCAAACCCTTTCCCTGAGGCACAAGGTCATGGGAATACCTCTCGACCCGCCTTACCTCAGCCGCCGGTTGGCTATCACTCAGGGTCCAAGTACCCGTCGCTACCCCCTCCACAACCAGACATATCTCTGAACAGACAGATGCCTCCGGCTTTACCCTCGTCGTCCTTCGGAAATGGAACCTATTTACCTGGATTCCCACCGCAGGGATCCCAACCACACACCAACTATGGACAGATTTTACCCTCTTCACCCTTACCAGCGGACTGGCAGAGAGCATTTTCATAACATGTAAATAGAGCAATGTATCCGTCGCAATTTAAATCAAAATTTGATAGTCACAGCGCGTCAGTTGTGCCATGCGGTGGTAATCCTCGCCTTGACGAAGTGTTAGCCAAATGAGCCAACCCTTAACCCATTTCATCCCTGTTAGCTGAGGAATACTGTGCCTTGTCGGCTCGCCACTTGGCAATAGCCGTTTCAGTTGGTACCATACCACGCCGAGAGAGCTCTAAAACGGCCTGCCGGCGAACTGCATTCTCGGAGCGACGCCGCTCCGCTTCGTGCGAGAGGAGGGCGCTATCAGCTCCGATAGCAAGGCCGAACACCATAGCTGAAGAATATAGATGACTTTGGCATGGTGTTCACGGCAACTGATATACTCACATGTGGAAACTAAGAAAGATTTAAACGCCAGGGTTTGATGCCTGTGTCGAGTACCCAGAAGCCTTGCAGTGTGGCATCCAGGATGTGGCAGGTCACCTACCTGAAGAATGGCCATGTGTAATGGGCAATGGTGACGGCCCCAAAACCCAACACCCCATACACGGCGGCTGACTGGGCACAAGGAAGACATGAGTTGCCATGAGACGTTAAGTCGAGGGGACCTGAAGGAACCTTGGTACCAGCCGCCACCTGGATGGCGTACGCTCGATCGGCTTCCTCCCCAAGGCGTCGAGCACTCGCCGACATGTTTCAAGGAAAATCTAACAGACAACCGGAGAGCACACTCACTGCTTCCGGCTTCGTCCACCCAGGGAGCTGATCAGGAGACCTACCTCCCCGCCAATCCCCGCTGACCTAATCACGGGTATATCGTTTGTACGGCCGAAAGCTCCAGTCGAGGAGATGTTCCTTTGGTTACTTCATTCTGAGATCGATGAATTGAGCTTTGCGCCTTGTACGAGTCCGACACAAAATGCAAAGCTTCCCCTGACAGATTCGTTCCGAATACCGTCACCACTCTGAATGCTGTTGACCCGTTTTCCGGACGACACGCTCGGATAATCTCAGTCGTATACAACACCATTCGGGGATTATGCCGGAGATGAGAAACTATCATGAAATGACGAGGATGGTGGATCGGACTGGTAACTACACAGGGCACGCGATGCCATGTGTGAGGTCCTTCGGCCTGAACGAAGCATTCGGAGGTAAACCTCGTTATTTTGGGCGAGTCAATGGCAGTAAATCTGTGAGCTGTACGTCTGGGAACTCTGGGTACGCAGAACCTGACTTGTCAATTCAAGACTAAAAAACTGCCTCGAATCTTCCGGAAGAAGCCATTTATCTGATCGAGTACAGGGCATTGTTCTGTTATAAGAGAATACCAGATAATTCACTCAGCTAAACCTAATAAATATCGAGGAGACAAAACCAAACACGCCTACGACTGTTCAGTAGGCATATGCTGAAATCATCGGTCGCGAAGGTATAACACTGGAACGTTATCAGGTGTGTAATGTTGTTGGGATTGCTGCAGAAATCTCGAAGTCGTGCTTGCTGATTATGCAATTGACTTTGGAACAGGTGTAGGTTTATCTGAAGCATCTCGAGGGCCTTGTTCTGATACGTGCAAAGCCTTCTACGTCCAATTTCCCCGTTGCGCCGTCGCATTCCGCTTATTCGTGCCTATGTACAAGCACCGACCAATTACGCATTTTTACTCCCTCTATATGGGTACTCCTGTATTTTTTGACCAAGCTACGTCGCGTGACCCCGTGACCACTCGCTCACCCGTGGCAGGATTGATATACATGTAGGCCGCTACACACTTGAACACCATTGCATGTCATGACTGGTCCAAATACACAGCAATACTGAAATAAGTTGAGCCTCCAAATCCGCCCACAGAGGATTCGGGCAACGACCTAACCACCATGGATACTGATTAATCTGTATTCACTTCTCTTCGAGCAGGCTAGAATGTGACTATCCGTCTTTACCACTTGAATGACCTCATTCTCGAAACATTGACACTACGATTGGGTTGGCATAAATCTACATATCCAAGTGACGCCATACTCACGAGGTACGGTTCTTTGGAAACATTGCGCAGATCCCAAACCCTCACCCGGCCAATGCGATCTCCAGAGACGAAGAAATGCGTCCAGGTATCTCCTTGATGCAAGATTAAATGCAGGGTGGAGCGGGCTGAGACGATATCTAACCTTTCATGTATCGCCCCGGAGGTGCTTGCGTGGTGAATCCAAACCTCTGCGCAGGACGTCTGGGTATCATGCGGTGATCGTGAACTTCATATTGCAGATCTAAATGGGCAACCTGGCTATCCCTGAGCCATGCCAAGCATACATAAGCGTGCACGAGCTACCTCGAGTAATGTGCAGAAAGGCGATTCCGTTCGATGTATGTTGTACGGGATGTTGGATGTCCTCAACGTATGAGCTACGCGTTCAGAACATAAGTCCCATAAATGAACATTGCGATCTGCTCCAGCGGATACGAGTTTATGGCTTGTGTCACGGATTGGCAGTAAGGAGTGAATCACGGATGTGTGCTTAACGGCCAGTGGCATAGACGACGCATGAGAGAGATCGTCTTTCATAGACCAGAGGTGTATTTTGTGGTCGTAACCTCCACTTGCAAATTTCAAAGGTTGCATCATCGCGGTCAGAGCACTAACACCACCCTTCTTCGCCTTGTTCCAGTTCCGAGGGAGGGTATTCTCATTGGAAACCTTGCAAAGGGCAGCCGTCCTCAGTGACTGCATGCAATCAGTGTGTTACTCACCTGATTGCCTTTAAGTGATAGGAATGTGAGTTGTGCATCCTCCCTTGCGTGGGCGAGAACGATTGTGATGGTGTCGTGGCCTGAGTGAAGAAGGCACGCATCGTCAACATGCTCTTGCGTGGGGATACTCGGCGACCACAGGCTCTGGTAATGCCTGGATGAATCTATTTTATGAATGCTGTTAATAAAACCTTGCATAGTAACAGCGATGAGAGAGAAACTATCGGTGTTTATAACACGGCGAAGGCGATCTTGCAATTCAAGAGGCAGGCGGAAGTTATCAATCAGGTCGAAGGTGGTTGGAAGGGGGTTCTCGGTGGTCCTTCGGAATTGCAGGATGATCTGGTTCCACCACAATTGGTTGGCCATAGCAATGATACTCGTCATCGTCTTTCGTTAAATCTATCGTGGCGGGGTGTTGGTCGGTACCGTTAATAGCAATGTCCAGTTCCACAGTGTCCTGTTGTCCGTCACGCGCGAGCCTGGTGGTAGCGGCTGTAGGTATCGGAGAGCGACTGGAGCTTGTTTGAGCAGGGGGGAAGAGTAGAAGATCCAGGACACCTGAATGGAAGTCGCTCCACCTATGAACTTTCTCAACGGATTCAGACAGCCCCTGAGTTAGGTCAATGATCTTATCAGGGTTAGTGGACAACGAAGGGGCAAATCCTCGGCTGGGGATGTTCTGACGACCATCCACATAGGGAACCTGGTAGAAGCGTCCTTCATGAAGTTGTTCAGATTCGGCAGCAAGGATTAGATTCGGTGAAGGGGAAGGCATGTCTACGGGGGCGACCACTTCTGGCTCAACCACGTTAGGACTGTATGTCACCAACAGCTATTTAGGAACTCAGAAATGCCTCTAATATCCATGTGAAACTCGAGTACCTTGACAGCTTCCGGTGGACAATGTCTCGGTTGAATCTTTGGTGGTAAGTATACGGCTGGATGACTATGTTCTTCATTGAAATGGTTATTCCTGTCGGATCCATGGGCTGGAACGTGAATGATCGATCGACGTAAACTGTGGTCTGTGACGGGAACATCAGAACATCCACTGCGACACTTTGGAAAGGCAACAACCTTGCATACGACTGCAAATCCGGTTACTATTCTCACATGAGAAAATCGTGTTCGGATCGGAGACTACGCACTTGGAACCATTAACCAATGACCCAAGATCACGCTGGATGCATTGTGTCTGTTTCTTCGTGAACCACTCCTTGCATGCCTGCTGAGAGCCTGGGGCTCCACTGTGGCACTCCGGCGAGGGATTGATGATGACATCCAATTGTTTAGAGTTTCTTCTCGGCTTTCCAAGGCTCGAAAAACCTTGCTGACAACTAAGCGGGGATGCACTGATGGTACTTGTTTTGACTCTCCTAGATAATTGCTCGAAATGAGCGGCAATATCGGCATGGTAAGTTGAACCAGCGACATCCTGCCAATGAGCGTGTGTCTCGCGTGATGGCACCCGAGGCGGATGTTGGGCCAGGTGCTTCCGGGAAGAAGCAGGACCATCCCTGGACCGCGATTCCTTCGGAGAATTGCTTTCCGAGGTGCGTTGCGTTTGTCTCCTTCCATGGTATCCCCTCCAAGGAGTTCCCCTGTAACTGCTGCGAACTGTGGGAACCCTTGCAGAACCCTTTCGAGACAGACGCAGTTCGTTGGGCTGGACATCCTCCATGTTGCAGTCAACTGCACTGATGACGACAGACCTGGCCAGATGGAGAGTCAGAGGTAGTATTTATTTGGCGAATTCCCAATTTTGGCATATGATTGCTCAGGCCCGGCCCTGTCACGGTAATCCCCCAAGTGGACTGGAGCGGCACGACAGACGACGGCCGACAGTGGGACTGCTCGTCGCCTTGTGAGTTGCGAGGGTTTCTCTCTCACCTGTTATACTCATGAGGGCGGTGTCTTAACGAGAAGACCGCCTAGTCATACGCTGAAACCTCAGTCAGTACCTTCTGTTCTCTGTCAGCTCACGCTCGTGTAGGGTCAAGTATGTTGTGCTTGGCAGATTTTGCAGCTGGTTGTACATTCCTCTAAACGGGACAGGTTGTCGTGTATGACCTTCTTCACTCTATTCGGACATGATTCCTCTGGAAGAACTCCTTTCGGTCCCTGTGTACTACAGGTGTCACGATAACAAGTCGACTGACCCGGGGTTGACAACCCCACGCATGGAAGTCGTGCTTACCTGTCCATCGAATTACAAACTGTAGGCCCATTTCTAATATCGAAGGTACCTGCGGAAAAATCCCTCGCTTTTCCCAGTCAGGAAGGAGGACCGATCTAAGTGGTCTCCCGTCTGCAACGCAAGTCATCGATAACCGTGACGTCTATCGAATGAGCAACCCCTAATCGGCACCCCGCACTCATGTCTGGGACTGCGTTCCGTAGCGGCACGCAGCACTGAAATTGATAGACCTCCACCAGACCTCCACGTAAGAAGGTGGCACGTCTGTGTTCGCATGTATGTTCGACTGCTTCGAGCAACGAGTACACGGTTATCATCACTTGACCAGGGAGACGAACCTTGCAAGAATTTTGGCGGTACTGAGAGAGAGGATTTGCTGTCTCTCTTCCCGGAGCAGGCGCCGTTTCCCTTTCCCAAGATTTAGATCTGCATGGTGCGGCCCTGGCCCAAAATGTGTCGCTGGGTCGAAGAAATGTGGGAGACACAGCTTCCTGAAGTCACCATTATGTGTACACGGTCCGCGTTTACGAGCCTTCTGCAAAGGCAGGAGCAAAATGCCAGCGGAACAACCACGGGCTCACGACCATCGTAATGGAGATATCCAGATATTGTGCCACCTGCATAAGAGAATGAGAATCCCTTTGCCCAGAAAGCAATGCGACTGGTCGCGACGGATTCCCGTGGCAGGGCTTACAGATTTACCTCTTGTTGCGGTCACGATGAGGGGTGACTTTTACTTCGTCCACAGCAAGCAAAAGCAAGTGTCGGTTGGATTTCCAATTATCTAACTCATCCTAGAACAGATATTGCATGAACCATACCTCCACCAGGAGCGTATTCCCCCACGTAGCGAATGCTCGCACGTTCGACATCGCCGTCACCCCAGGTTGCGACGAGGCCCCGCATCAGATCACCTTCATGGCCGCCCCAGCACGCTAATAGTCCTACGCATGCATCAGATGACATTTAATATGCACTATAAGAACCCCACATTGTTGATGCCCGACATTGTCCACACGGCAACTTGCCTCACCTCAGTAGGGAATGGCAAAGAGAGAGTTGCCTCGCTGCAATGCACGCTGCAGCTGGCCACATCAAATGCGTCTCTGGGGATCACAATGGATTCATTCACATGTGGGCCGGCACCGCCGAACCGATGGACGTTCTGAAAGTCGCTTTTCACAGCTGCAAGTATCTCACAAGGCGGCTCTATTCTCCTGTAGTCCTGCAAAGAACGCAATGTTTGCCACGGATCTTAACCGAATGAAATCCATGACATATCGCACGGCATCCAGCAAATCCGTGTTCTACCGCAAGCACCCTACTATGGCTTTATTTTGAAGCTACTTAGCTTTTAAGTGTCAGCTCCGTCCAAAGTTCTGACGCCTGGAACACCAAGTACTGTTGAATGAGAGCCGTGAAGATATATTTGTCAAGGAACTGTACTTGAGTTTTGACGATCAGAGTCCGGATGCCAAGTCACGCAAGAAGCAGCACTCATTCAATCTATTACGCCAGGGGTCGCCGAGGATAGTTCAGTGTTTTTCAAGGGACCTTCCAAGATGCAAAAGCACTCCTTTAAAAATCTGCGACGTCAAGGGACCTACTCCTGGAATGTGGAAAGGTATCATCTACCTGCAGGGAGTGTGGTACACACTGTTTTCATCGATTCTGATATCCCAACATTCGGGTCACTTCCTTTGAACGACCATGTGTAGCTCTGGGTGGTTGGGCATCTCATGCAGCCAATAATGGCCGACCCTTCCTTCCCATGCACACGTTCATGATGCATACCGCACGCCCACTCGACCTAGAGGGTATGAAACACACCAGCATGGGGATATAGGGAGAAATATGAAACCCTCCAGGTGCGAAGAGAACGGGATCAAAAAAAGCTTCGATGTACGCGCGGTAGTTCTGCAGAACGCCACATCGGAACAAGGTAGTCCTTCTGTGAGAACCTCGAGCCTCCAATGTGGCTTCTAACCAATGGGTTAACATGAGGCTGCCTTGTATTTCTTCCCCAATTAGATTATGTTAGACAGATATTGGCCTGATCGCAGTCGTAGGTTCAACAGCAGCTGAGCGTGCCACCTGACCCTTGCCAGAATAGCCAACTATCCGGGCGTGGTACCCGTTACACTTCACAGCTTCATTCATGACCATGCTAACCTTTATCGTGCATACGACGTGTACAGCCAAGTGTGCAACAGCTCTATAAGGGTGAGAGGTACTCCAGGACGAAAAAGAGTATAATGAGACGCAGAGCCCGGTACGGTGCCTTCGTGAGTTATTACCGGTCTGCACAAAGAAGTTCGGACGCAAGGCGGAAAGATACCGGTAATACGTAGTACAAGGTGCTTTCTTACCTCAGCAAACGGACATAACGATCCGATCAGCGCACTTGATAGCAGTTCGAAATCGAAGAACCATGACTCGTTTTAATCAAGAAGCTTGGACTACTGGCATGCGGTAAGTAGCCTTGGGTCGGTTGATATTGCTGTGGTGGTTAGGGGTATTAGATATGTTGTTTGAGTCTCACCACGAAACAGGATGGTGGACGCGAGGACGCAGTGTCTCGGAAGGAGCGGTAAACACTAGCTAGCCCAAAAAGTGTCTGCTAAGGGACACGAGAAACTGGCTGTTTGTTATCAGCACGGGCCTGGCAGACGGATGACGTCCGATCTCATGAAACAAGAGGCGTGTAAAACTTACCCCCGAGAATGCATTAATGCCCTGCAAGTACTACCTGTAAACATGTGCTATGTGCATGCGGCTTGCAGATCACTCTCACACAGAAATCGCAAGTTGACATCTGTTTGGTCGTTGCCCATTCATTCGTGGCAAATATTGTCACCATCATCCTCGAACATCCAGCAGTCGTGCGTCATGTCCAAGGTAGCAGCCAAAGGTCAAGCTCACCTGGTGGCAAGTACAATCCCCGCGAGAAACCTTGTTACTCAAAACTGAAATCACACATTTTTGCACAGCGCCTGCTGATCGGTGCTGGCAAAGCAACTCCTAGCCCACCCGTCGGTCCGGCTCTGGGTGCTCGTGGTGTGAAGTCTATGGACTTTTGCAAGGAGTTTAACGCACGAACTGCACACTTCGAACCCGGTGTCCCAGTACCAACAAAAATAACAGTCCAGCCCGACCGCACTTTCACGTTCGTCACTAGAACGCCACCTACGACATGGCTCCTGAAGCAGACAGCAGGGCTGGAGAAGGGACCCGCTCGCCCCGGACATGAGATCATGGGAACCATCTCTTTGAAACACGTGTATGAAATTGCGAAGATCAAGGCGAGGGACGAGCACCTTAAGCATCTCAAGCTGGAGTCCATCGCAAGCACGGTAATTGGAACCGCCAGAACCCTGGGATTACAAGTCGTCCCATGACTTGACGCTGCCGCAGGTATAGCTGTACGTGTAAGGTATAGTATTGTCAGCCGTCCATCAGCTTATCGTGTTTAACTCGTAGTGGCAACTGTCTTATCGATGTTTTCGTCTATCTCCGATACCTGCTCTAGAGATGCAGAGGTGCCCGATGTAGATATTAGACCATTCTGGGTGAATCAAATGGGCAGTACGCACGTCGTTACCGACATCATGTACCGAAGGTCATTAATCGACAGGGCAAGTGCTATGAGGTGCCGGTTGGTTGAATATAGGTTGTGCAAGGTTAAGTTCATTCACTTTCATTTAAAATTCGATTTCATAATGGCAAGTCTCCTGTTCTCTCGTACTACAGTTGCCTACTTCTGGTGAGCTCTCCAGCCGCTAAAGACTCAGTTTCCTAATTGATTGGATCTGTGTAATGGAATGGGAAGAAAGGACGTGTCCATGTGCATGGGACACGCCTTGCGCCTCACAAATGGCTGCTTATCTTCGATAGCTTTGCCGTGCAAAGGCACATTTCGGTCTTCCCGCCACGCAGCTGACACGCTTTAGCTAGCTTTTACCGCACGTAACCCGCACTCCTGGCACACGTTCTCAGTTCTTTTCTCACTCGCCATCGTGCTGCCCCATTCCTGCCTTATGCGGCAGCTTCCTTCCCGCGTGCACTTGCTTAATTGCGTCAAGTTTGTCGTCCCCCCGCGTGTGCTGCTGTTTTATTTTCCTTGCTGCATCTTCCCCCAGTGTGCCTGCGTAATCTGATCTCATGGCACAATCTCTACTTGTGCGTTCGCTTAGTGTCAATCGCTTGTATTCTTGGGAACGGATAGTGTTGTGAGTACACTGTGGGCATCGTGTCGCTAGCCTACACATCTCGAAGCACTACACAGTGCTTGACGCGTGTTCTCCCGATCACTTAGTCCCCGGCCTGACGTGCTGTTACTGGTCCTTTGCTCCACCCACAAGACCTTAGACGCTTAATGAGGTTTGCTTCGTTTGCCGACACGTTTTCTTGCATTACACTCCTTTATCTGTCACGTCCACGTTTTCGATAGATTCGCCATACGGCAGAACCAAGTCGACCAGTTTCAAATATTTTCAGAACTTGGACCTATAAAGGATGCCTTTCAACATCGTTTCTCTGCAGAGTCGGTTTGATCCACTTCCTCTTTCCTTCGAGCACTTGTAGTTAATTCTTCTTCACCACTCAACCATGCAATCTTCGACCGACGTTCTCTCTTGGACAAACCAAGACCCCCGCGAAAGCCAACTCTTTAACTCATGGGGTGTCCTTTACCGTTTCTCAGTCCGTCCCCCCTTTCAGTAGTTTGGCGACCGCGTCTGACCTATCTTTTTTCCCTCAGACTGTGGTCAACCCTAGTGGTCAAAGCACTACCACTTTGTTGCGCACTGTACGTACGAACAAGGAAGATCGTGTTGCCAAGCTTGAGTGGGCTTCAAATGGTGGCCTTGGGCGTGCAGTGATCGGCAAGGTAAACCGAGAGGCTCACAAATTGGATGACGTCTGATTCGACATGCGTCCTGTAGCACGCGGTGCCGATGGCCGACCTTGTTCGACCTGATCCGCGCTATCCGGTGAGTAGCGTCTTCAAGGCTCTTGGACGCAGAACCAATAATTTTCCAGGGAGCACGCGTGTTCAATGCGCCCGACGGCCTGTCATACCGTTGGCGACCAACCCCCGGCTCTCCGGATGTTATGGTGTGTCCTAATTTACTTGGGAGTGATGGATAGAGAGAGCTAACGGGATGTACAAGCTGGAGGACTCCGCGGGCAACGTAGTCGCCATTTTCCGCCCTACCCGGCCCACCCGGTATCAGATCGGTGATGTATATGGGGAACTTCATTTCCTCCGGAACGCTGGTGCGGCAACAATTGTACGTCCACGTCGAAATGAACGTGTCATAAACCTCATGTTTGATCGCAGACGCATCCACCCATCATGGACACCGTCACGGTAACAGCAATGCTCTACCGCTTTTGCCAGGCTTTCGGTCTTTAATCGTCGCGCGCATCGCACGCCGATATTTTGCATTCATATTGTACATTACATACACTGACTCTGCGCCTGCATCTTTGCACACTGGTCTCCAGTTCATGTACATTTGTAAATTAGTCGCAATACAGCCAATTGCCCCTCCGAAGGAGCCGAACTCAAACTCAGCGGTCACGGTTGCATCATGATATCAAATAACGATGGCGGGAAGAGAAAACACGCGTTCGGGCTCACGTGGGAGAGCACGACGTGATTCGCTGTCTCATATGTACAACTGACCTGATCAAATGAACTGATATCATTTTCTTTTCGGATCTGATCTGATACAAACCATGGGAGGTCACTCATCTACAGCTTTACCCTCGCCTGGGTGTCCTGCATGTCCGCAGTTACGGCGTCGACGATCTCGTCCACTTTGCGTATGACCCATTCTGTACCCTCGTCACTAGAGAGAAACTTGTCCTCCTCGTTCAAGTCCTTTTCGTATCGAGCCTTCAAGAGCCCAAATACATGGCTGGTGAGCTGGGGACCAACTCTTCCTTGTGCACGGAGGGTCGCGATCCCGACAACCGAACCCAATGCCCGAGTCAGATTACCTTGTTCTAGCTGCCCTCGCGGCAGAGGGGACAGGACCGTGCCGTACGCCTGAATGATGAACGCTAATGAAAACCGATTTCAGCAAATAATGAACTCATGGTAGGGGGGGGGGGCAGTGTGATGAGATTGTCACATCGGCGATAGATAGATAAGGGCCACGGGGTAGGGTGAACAAGCACGCACCAATGAAATCCGGATGAAGGTCCCCTAATTTGTTGTGCAACTTGACGGCATGAGGATCATAGATTGACTTCCACAAGGCCATACCCCTTTCGATGGTGGCCTCGATGTTCTGTGGCTTCGCATCCCTGTGTATGTGAGAGAGGAAAGAAAAGAAAAAACGACGTCACGATGAACGAGCCATGCACTCTTCTTACGCGCGCATACCTGATGACATGCTTCCGCAGTGCAGCATACACATCGTCTTCGACTGCCTCTCTCAAGCTCGCTAATGACAAGATCGTCTTGTTTCCATCAGGTCCATTTGCTCACACTTGCCCTAAGCACCTACTCACCCGTGGTACGCCAACGAAGATGACACTCTTCAGTGCTGCCTCCCGCATGACGGCAGCTCTGCTGATGGCATCCTCCAAGTTGCGACGTGTTTCAGCCGAGCCCGGATCCCCTCTAGTAGCGAATCGATACAAGTAACCCACAGCCGAGGGGCGGTTGGTGGTAAGGAGTGTGCATGTCTGTAATCTCGCATGTTTGGCAATCGTCCGAGTTACGATGAAGACTGATGCAAATTGGAAGACGGTGCCTCACCGATAGAACAAGCCAGCCGGTTTCGGCGTTCAGCTGCTTGGCCTCGTTCAGGGTACGTGCAAAAACGCGGTGGAGTCGCTCGATAGGCGGACTTGGCCACGCTTCAGGATTTCGCAAGGTCAAAAGCTGCTTGATGGCAGGTGGGATATGCTTGACCATGTCCGACGGGAGGTAAGACGGCGTCTTCGCAGATATGTATTGACGGCTGTCCGTGTTGTCAGTGCCGAATGTATCGGTCATGAACGACAAGCAAGGTCTGCTGCCAGCGTGGCCAAGACAGTTTTCCGTTGCTGATCACGCAACACTCGAGGTACTGTTCACACAAGCCGATATTTGGCATTCAAAAGAGCGACGACCTTGTTCAACAAGGCCTGCCAGCGTCACATAACAAGAGACATCGCAAAGGCGACAGTACATGGAAGGTATAAAAGCGTGTGGGCGTTGCTAAGCAACGGTCCGACATGAGAATACAGCCCGAACTTAAATGTTTGGAGGGGGTATATCTAGACGAGTTCTAACATTCCAACGGGAGCGGTTGGGGATCCTTAACCAAAGTAAGTGTAACCCAAGGAAGTAGGGTAGCCATTACTGGCAAGAAGGGAGTTGTCAGTGTTGACGCCCTGGAGGTCATACATAACGCCTGGCAGACATGTAAATGAGTATAAACCAAGGTGCAGGAACAAGTTCGCCCTACCGAAGGGGAAAGCGACCTCGAGCCAGTCAGTGTTGGCGACGAAGTTAGTAATGGTAGACGCGAAGGACCAGACTTCGTCCATGCTAGCTTGACCGCCGGTTCCACTGTAGTTTTGGTCAGCAAATTCAGTAATCCAGACGGGTAAGTTGTAAGTGTTGTATAGCGTAGTGGCGTAGTCGATGATGGATTGGGCATCGGTTGTGTAGGCGTGGAACGCGATCGCATCGAACTGGAGTCAAAGATGGATAAGATGCTGACTCCGGATCTCAGAGACTTACGTGGCAACCACTGCAGGCAGCGAAGAACTGCTGGTACCAGTCAAGACCAGCTTGGTCATTGGTACATGCGGGCGAGATCAGCTTGTAGCCCTTGTACTGGAGGGGGTCGATGTATTGTTGCCAAAGGCTAGCGCCATCCGTAGGGCTCATGTTAGATTGGCTGGGTTCGTTGGGCCTAAGCGGACTATGAGCGATGGAGTGGTTATCGAAGAGGGCAGAACATACTCGTTCATGCCGAGGACGTAGTTGGCATATCCCTCGACAACCAAGTTCTGGAAATCGGAGACCTGGTCATAGCCCCAGAGCATTGGGATGCCCTCGATGCCCAACTCGGAAAGGCCCGAGGGGAGGTAAGGGCTCCAAGTGTAGAGACTACAATGCGGGTGAGGGGACAGAATGCTGAGATGACGGCAAGATGCTTACAAGCCAACGTTAGGAAGAGCAAAGTTGGACAAGTAACTGGCGTCCCCATTAGGCCAAGCAAGACCCCACTTCTTACCACTAGAACTAGTGCTGTTGCCGCTGCTAGGAGTGGAAGAAGGAGCTGGAGAGCCGGAGCTGGATGTCGTCGTGGCGACAGGGGCAGGGGTGGTCGATGTAGTCGACACACCCAAGTCTGCGGGGGTCGCAGCAGGAGTTGGGTTAGGGGTGGAAGTGGGCATGGAGGAGGTAGCCCTTGGCTTGCAACGGCCGGTAGAGGTGGGGCTGGTGTCGCGTCTCTTCTTGGCAACGGCGTCGTGACCGGGGACGTGACGGGCCACATGAGGGCCCTCGCCCACGGCCAGAGCGTTGACAGAGATGGGGCCAGCAGAAAGAGCGACGAGAGCGAAAGAGACGAGGGCAAACAAATTAAGTAGTTTTACTGCAGCCATTCCTGAAGAGCTGTAGAAGACAAAAGAGGGAGAAAAAAAGAAGGGGACCCGTCAAGCAGGAAGAGCGGCGATGGTATTTAAACCGACTGACCTGTGGGTTAATAAAGAGGGGAGGAACGACGGATATGAGAGGGAGCGTGGGGATGGCGAAAGGAACGTCGAACAACACAACAAAGAGGATCGATGGGCGCTGCGGACAAGAAGCGCATATTTTATCTAACTCAACCGGATTATGTAAACACTCGCACGGTCGACAGCGCACAGACATTATAATACATGTTATTGCACGTAACAGACAGCGACGACGACCACAGACGAACATATTAATGATTAAAGACTAATAGTGATGATAAGAATATGTAATCGACAATTCGCTTGGGTACATGAGGCATCCTGCACGCGTGTTTGTTTGTTTCATACAAAAGGCGGCTCCCAGAGCGCCACCTGTTCTTTTTTTCTTTTCTTTTTTTTTCAACCCTCAAGTTTGACACGAAGAAACCGGTTCATCCATCGTTCATCGACACTCCTGCGTTCACCCCGTCCACTAGCTCACCCCGCCCAAATGTCTGACGCCCAAGCCGCCCAAGTCACCGAAAATGGCGTGCCTCCGGCTACTCAAGACCTTGTCATCGAAGAAGCCCCAGTTTTCAAGGTGCCACCCCCTTCTGACTTGTCTCGTCCCCCTCATCCCCTCACCACCCCACCGCAGATCTTCGTTGGCAACCTTGCGTACTCCACCACGGACGAAGGGCTGAAGGCTTTCTTTGCACCCGTACAGAGCGACATGTCCGTCTCCCCTCTCTGCCGCTCTCCCTGCCCCGCCACTCACACATCCCTCATCTAGTGTTTCAGTTCAGGTCATCAAACGCGGTCAAAGACCCGCAGGTTATGGCTTTGTCGCCATGTCCAGCGCAGAAGCCGCTCAAAAGGCAATCGAGGTCCTCGCCGACCAGGAACTCGACGGTCGCAAAGTCATCGTCGAAATTGCCAAACCTGCCGACCAGAAGGACAGAAGAGAGAGAAGGACCAAAAGGCGTCCTGGCAGGCGCGGTAGCAAGCCCGTCCCCGGCGAGGTCACCGAGGCCGAGGCAAATGGCGACATCAAAACCGATGACGCTGTTGCCGACGCCGAACCGGGATCCAGCGAAGGGTCTAAGCCAAAGAAGAAGAAAAAGAAGACCAATGTATGTTATCCGCCGTTTTCCCTTCCCAGTTCACCGCTTATTGTGTGATACCATGCACAGCGTAAACCCAAGCGCAAGGCTGCCCCCGCAGACGCTTTGCAGGAGGCCATTGTTGGGCTATCTGCCGTGGAGACTGTCCCAACGGACGCTCCCGCTGCGCCCAAGAGGCAGCCGCGCAGAAGGCCGAGGCCCCCCCGCCCACAACGTCCCATTGGCGAGGACCCCGTCGGCGAACCTTCCAAGACTATGTTATTTGTTGCCAACCTCGGCTTCAGCATCGACGATGAGGGACTGTCTGCCCTCTTCACTGAGGCCGACATTACTGTCGTCTCTGCACGCGTCGTACGCAGACGGTGGGGGCACTACCGGAAAAGTAAGGGTTACGGCTTTGTCGACGTTGGCAGCGAAGAGCAACAGCAGAAGGCAATTGAAGCCCTCCAAGGCAAGGAAGTGGGAGGGCGTACCATCGCAGTCAAGATCGCGGTCAACACTCACAAGCCGGATGAAGTCGAGGCTTCTGCCCCTGCCTCTTGATCGCCACCTACCACGTTCCCGCTGATGACCGCTTGCTCAGATCCTCTTGACTTCATTTTTGTTTGACGCGTTCCCCTTTCAACCTGACTTAGTCTTTGTTCTTCCACTAAGCTTCTTGCGTTCTCCCCGAGTCAAGTAATTTTTTCCTGTTGGTGGTCTGGAGCCGTTTTCTTCAACAAACTTGTAGTGTCGCCGTAGTCAACTTAAGGCGACCTTAATGTTCCCTTTATGAATGAATGTTACGGTTCAAACGCGATCTGACTATCTGATGTAAAACGAAACATTTGTGAGTAGCCTGTTCGACGACCACCATGTCCGACGACGAAGACTACCTATCGGACAAGTTTCTTATTGGAGCATCGGAGACTACGCAACCCAAGACTTACACTCAACGCCGCCAAGAAGCCTTGAAACAGAGCCGTCAAAAGAATGAACGAAATCGTACCAAAAGTCGGCGACAACGGGAACAAGAGGCCAGGGAGGACGGCCTCAGCAAGAGTCTTTTCGAGCGCGCGAAACAAGACAAGGATGCTGGGGCGAACAAAGCACTCGGTATCATGATGAAGATGGGATTTCAACTAGGCCAGTCTCTAGGAAGGCCCGAAGACAGCCCGCCAACCAAAGTGGCTACCCTGCCTGATGCATCCGAACACTCTGCCTCATCTACCGATACATCGAAGCCAAAACACAAGGTCGAGCCGCTACCTTTGAACGAATGGGCAGGTACGCCGCCACCTTATCTCGACTAAAAGCTCACATTTTCAACTCAACACGGCATCGCATTGCAAGGCAAGAAAGGTATAGGTCTAGGGAAACGGTCGAGATCACCTGGTGCCTCCGAGCGTATCGCCAAGATGGCGAAGATGGCGGAGGAGGCCGAGCAAGAAAGCTTTAGGGACCGCTCTCGACGAGAGTACGAGCAGAGGCACGCCGAATCACATCTCGCGCTTTCTCAACGGACATGCTCCAACCTGGATGAAGAAGCGGGTATTTCGGTGAGTTACCCCGTCTGTTATTCCGTCTTGCCTCGGTGACTTGTCCAGTTTAATGTCTTTTGGCTCAATCCCAACGATCCCGACACAATCCCCCCTGCGTTGTTCGATGCTCTTTCGGGATCTTTCTATCCCCCACCAGGGCCTGGTAGTAGCGGCGAAGCTACCCGACTCCGTAACCAGATGCAAGCGGATGCATTGGTATCGATGGGTAATAACATCAATGATGATGACGATCTCGTAAATGAGAGGCAACCAGGGCCGCAGCACCAAGAGGTGTTTACACCCGAGACGGTCCAAGAGGCCGTGCATTTTCTACGCTTAGGGGTGAATCATTTCCTTCTGTCGTACGCGGGGTTGCAACTAACGCTCTGCCCAGCCTGGCGACCGACTCAGCCTAGTACTAGCCTACCTTCGCGAAGAATATATGTACTGTCTTTGGTGTGGAACTCGGTACGAGGACTACGACGACCTCAAGCAGCATTGTCCGGGGCCGGGAGAAGAGGATCATGATTAGTCAGGGTCGTAAGATAGAAACCAGCGCCAGCATTGTAGAACACAGGAGGAATGTGGGAGTGATGTACAAATGAGATCCAAGGAGCATAGAAGGGAGTCAGTATAAGCAAGTCCATAAACTAAAATAAAGGGAGTCCTTTCGTGCAATCGATGCACATGGCATCGGCGATGGTTGTGCAGAAAGCCTCCAATGAAAAGAACCTGCCACCGACAAATGTCCAAACAAGCGAATCATGAAGAACATCATAGCGAGAACAATGAAGGTAGAGTTATTGTTTCCGGCCTCTCGACGGAATCTCGATGAGTAAAGGTAGGTACTGTTGGTGAGTTCTGAGGCGTTTTGCGACGTAGATAAGACGAAATAGGAGTACTAGCAGGTTCGTCCCTTCCGAACCGCAGGGGGGATGGCCTACGCCGAGGGGAAGAGGACGGCGACGCAGGCTGAGCTCATACGCATCAGATGAACATACAAAGCGTTGTAGTAGAAAAATTACCCACCTTTCGTTCCTCGTCTTGGTCGTCCTTGGAGGTGACTAGCGAACTCAAACTGTGGTGCTTGGTGAAAGTCTACAGCGTAAGGGTGAGCCTGCTGTGCTGTAACGTGGATAGAAACAGACTGACTCCAGTAGAGAAATACGGCGTATACCTGGCTGCCCTCAAACGATTACACGAATGGCGCCGATCGCTGTCTAAATCGCGGAAGGAATCGGACGACAAGTTGAAGGTCGGTGAATTGGGACTTTGGTCCTTGGCGGAGCTGCCGGAATAAGTAGATGAACAAGAACCTGACCGGGATCTTGTGGGGGTAATATACAAGGCTGGAGATGACTTGGAATCACTGTTGAGGCCAAGGGAGGCCATGAGCTCGATGAATGAGGGAGAGGCAGCCATGAGAGAGTGGAGACGACAGCTCGGGACCACCGGCATATAAATGTGCGAGCAGATACCTTGGAAACGCCTTGAGGTTGTCATGTTGTATGAACCTATGACCGGTCGTCACATATACCCTGGACTTACCGTAGCTGGACACAATATTGGATTGCTCCATGTTCCTATATCCCACAGCTAACAATAGGCTATTGGTCACCAAGGGAATTTCTTGTAGCAAAGCTAACAAAATTTCTCGGCGCAATAAACCGCAAAACTTACGCGCAGCAGCCCATTAGGGGGCTTCCAAATCTCTCGCAAATTCAGAGCGACCCTGTGGAGGACAGACTGGGCTAGCAAGATTGTTCACCTGTAGTTCGGTCCACGTCAGACGTTGTCAGCCAAGGCAGTAGTTAATACATAAATAAATAAATAACGAAAAAATGATTCGCGTCACGCTTTAGGATCTTGTCACGCCGCGTCACAATGACAACTTCTTTACCGGTTACCCCTCCGCACCGATGAGCCAGCCATATCAGTCCGGTGCACCCAGCGCTGGCGGCGCCGACTTCTTGCCAAGGCCGCGTCAGGAGATGGAGTATATCTGTGCTGGTATGTACCTACTCTTACACAGACTAAACCGCAGATTCAATATCTCAATCTCCAAGACTGTGGTGCTAAGAATGAAATAAAATCTAGAGAACCTATTCGCTGTCGAGAATGTGGGCATCGTATCATGTACAAAAAGAGGACCAAACGAAGTAAGAATTCGGGCTTGTCCGATGCGTTGATCCTGTGCTGACTATTTCCACAGTGGTTCAATTCGAAGCTAGGTAGTCCCCAAGGGACTTCGATATCATATGTATGTTTCGTACCAGCGTTAGAATGGAAATAATGATATTGTACGTGACAGATGTACCATAAGTATTATCCACATGTGAGCTCACCAACGACCAAGTTGCTTAAACCACAAGTTAAGAAAGCATGTTATTACAATCCGTTCGAGAATAGTAGCACAGCGTGGCGCAATTTTGAGCGACATTTCCTGGGCGGTCCAAACGGCCACATGTTTGTCTTTGGAATCGACACACTGAAGGGGCTTGATGTTGACCAGGATATCATTGACGAGCGTGATATTTACTCACAAACAAGTCTTGACCGTTCGCCGCAACCTTCCATTTATACTCGTTCCCCGAAACTTTAAACCTCCTCGACCTAGAGGATTTTTCACCGATAGCCAGGCAAACTGACGTGGAAACTGCTTACTGGCTTGTACCGTTCTTTATTTTCCGTAAGTCTTTGATTGGAACCTACGAGAAAATTCTAGTTTGGAGAATTTTGCTAAGTATTCACCGACTAACCTCGTCGACACCAAACCAGACAGTTCCACTAGTAGTTGTTGGCCACTCGATTCGACCAGTAATGTCCCACCGAAGCACAGCGAGATTCTTTCTCTTGAAGGTTGTTGTGGGCGTAATGTAACCCGCTGTCGGATGGTGGAACTAGATTGTGGCACGGTCGAGTCAATGATTTCAAGAGGCACTGGGAAATGAACGTGCCCTGTACACCTCCAACCGCTCGGGCGCATTCTCGATCACTTGATACACACGAAAATTACGCATATCTGTATTTCCATCATACGCGAATCGCAAATTGATGTCGGGCTCTGTCATCGCTTCCTTTCTTTTGCTGTGAGTGGAAGAGGACTAAAAGAGGGACTTGGGGCGAGTGGCAGGCAGTACAAATCTCACTCGAGGCCTTTAAAAGTTTGTACGGATGTTCGCTACTCAAGTTCCGAAATTGAGATTAATTGCGACGGGTAGATGGCAGAGGATACGTACATACGTACATATAAATATCAGAGTGTACTGCTCAGGACACTGCGATAAGTACGTGATCAAATACATCGCATTGAAATGGAAAGTTAGCGTAGGTTCAGGAGAGCATATGATACAGATTTGCTGGGCCATGGCAGACCGTGACATCCAGGGAACGACAATCGGTCCCTGGATATTTTAGCGAAACGGCAATTGGGGCCGTATGACGCTGCATCTGTAACATTAAACAAACAAAAATAAAATAGCCGATTGCGCGACTTTTGCAGCACTGCGCAACTTAAAAACAGTGACCCGCAATTTTTGCAGTCACCCCTCCATTTTTTTTTTCGAGTGGATCAATAAGACGTTTTATCATAATATGAAGATACCCATACTACAGCTCAGAGATCTGACTACCTCGAGTAGACCTGTGGCAGACGGAAGTACAAGTAGGACAAGGAAGAGCGTGGGGGGCGTGTCCTCAGAGCCTTGCGTTAACTGCGTGGAGGACGCATTCTCTGCGCCGCGCTTCTCGTACACCTTCTGGAAAAGGCCTAGCGAAACTTGTTGAGTCTCGCCGATCTTCTCCTCGATTTGCTCGGCAGTGACAGAAGCATCGCCGGGAGGCCTTTCGAGGCCAATTCACTAAGTTCGCCAGCGAGTTTCGACACCTTCTCCCTCTCGGCAGCATCAAGCTGCTCCTTGAACTCGTTCATTGCTATCACAGGTGCGAATCAATGCAGGAAAGTGAAGCACCATGTAGTAAATACGTACCCTTCTCTGTGTCGACACAGACTGACTCGCCCTTGTTTGCTTCCTCGATGAGTTCCCAATGGGCCTTATCCACATCGGCATACTTCTCAGCGTCAGAGATCATGCACTCAATGTCCTTGTCGCTCAGACCTGACAAAGACGTGATCATCATAGACTGATCCTTGTTGGTTGCCTTATCCTTGGCGGTGACGTGGACGATATCATCTACAAGGGATGAGGAAATTATCTGAAGACCTGTATAAGAGACATACCAGCATTGATGTCGAAAGTGATCTCAATTTGAGAGACGCCCTTTGGGGCCGGAATACCGACGAGATTGAAGTTGTCAAGGAGTTTGTTGTCCCTGACGAGTTCACGTTCACCCTGGAAAATCTTGTCCTCAATGGCGGTCTGGCCATCGGCAGCGGTAGAGAAAACTTGCGACTTCTTCGTTGGGATGGTTGTACTGCGGTTGATGAGTTTTGTCATGATACCATCGAAAGTCTCAATGCCGAGGGAGAGTGGGGTGATGTCGAGAAGTAGAATGTCGGTGACATTTCCAGCGAGAACACCACCCTGGATAGCAGCACTAATGGCAACGGCTTCATCGGGATCGACACCTTTACTCGGCTCACGACCGAAGATCGACTTCACGGACTCACCGACCTTAGGCATGCGGGTCATACCACCAACGAGGAAGACTTCGTTCACCTCACTAGACTTGACTCCAGCATTCGGACAACGCTTTCTTGCAGGGATCAACGGTACGTTGGATCAGAGGGCCGGTAAGGGTCTCAAATTGAGTGCGGTTCAACTTCAAGTTGATGTACTTTGGACCGGTTGCGTCCGTGGTGATGAATGGCAAGTTAATTTCGGTCTGCGTCGTGGATGATAATTCAATCTTGGCCTTTTCGGCAGCCTCACGAATGCGCTGAATGGCCATGCAGTCTTGATTGAGGTCAATGCTCGACTCTTTCTTGAATTCATTGAGGATGTGGGTAACAAGAGCGATGTCAAAGTCCTCGCCACCAAAGTGGGTGTCTCCATTGGTGGACTTGACCTTGAAGACTCCTTTGTGCATCTCCAGGATGGAGATATCAAAAGTACCACCGCCAAGATCGTACGTGGCAATCACTGATGATTCGGTACGATCAAGGCCATATGCCAGTGCCGCAGCTGCCAGCTCGTTGATGACTCGAAGAACCTCAAGGCCAGTGATTTGACCAGCGTCCTTGGTGGCCTGCCGTTGCACATCGTTAAAGTATGCGGGGACCGTAATGACCGCATGACTAATAATAGTAGTCAACACTGGGGGACTCCTAACTAGTATACGCGCAACTTACTTGACTTTCTTGTTGAGATACTGCCTGGCGGTCTCACGCATCTTGGTAAGTACCATGGACGATAACTCCTCAGCACTCTAGAAAGTATATTAGTTCTCTTACTGATCCAGAGGGGTGAAAAGGCATACGAATTGTTGTCTCTCGCCACCGATGTCAACCTCGACAGCTGGTCGAGCATCTTGAACACCCTGCAGATGATATAAGATGCTTTCCTATTTAACAATTGTCGCATGTACTAACCAGTGCTTCATGTCCTCCTGGACCTCCACGTCCTTGAACTTGCGGCCGATCAAGCGCTTAAATGTGAAGACAGTTCTGGTGGCAAGTGGACCAATGGATGGAGCTTGGTGCGGTGAAGGGCAAGAGCAGTGAATTTCTGTATCTTGGTCTTCAAGCCGGACGAGGATGGGGGCAACTCCGGGCAAGCGAAAAAGCAGGTGATAAAATGAGTACGAAGAGGCATCAAATTGAAACATGTTCATGGCTGTAGTATTCGTCTTGTCATGCGATGGGCTGTGTCGGTGGTGGTTTCGACGAAAATATGATATGGGAATCCAATGTTGACCGCAGGTGCCCGCACTCGCACTGGTAGTTGGTACATAGCAAGTCGTGTTGCGGTATATCCGTCTTCCTCGGGCTCCTTGGCACTTGCATCGTTGGTAGTCTTGCATGGATTCACGACGACGAGGGCAGTGGAGCTGATTCTAGTGCAAGGTAAGTCCGCACCTGTGGGCCCGTGACCGTGGGAAATGGTGTCGCACTACTGAGACAGTGGCGACACACCAGCAATGTCGATGCCGTGGACATGAGCTCCATCGCCCAGCTAGCGTTCCTGCCCCTTCCACAGCCCAGCCTTGGTAGATGGCCAGCTAATATCCAGACCGCTCATGGAACCATCAAGAAAGTGTACGATCAAGCTCTTTATGTCCTGTGATCTGATAGTTTTCCGGATCCCACTCGGGTTTCATTCCACATAGACGCACTCACTTCAACTGCACTTCCCATCCTCGAAGCACTTATCCCTAGTGGTGCTAGTCATGAGGACGAATCTCTGCCTCAGGAGTGGTTGGTGGGTGTCGCAAGGCTCATTGGGCAGGCAGTGCAAGATCTTCGGGACGTGGCACAGGTTGTTAATATGTTGTATGTCCGATTTTCTGTCAGTGAATGGCGCTTGACTTCTTTTCAAGTGAATGGCGAGAGGTTAGTATACCTGAGCTTGTAACGGAGTCCAAGAATGGTCGGCGCGGACGGCCTCAGAAGTCTGTATGCCCTGACTTCCTTACTGAGGTTGTCACCGATAATAGCCGTCACATCAGTCTCAGTGAACTTGCTCGCATCCTAGGCATTAGCCGCATGACACTCTGGCGAACTATGCGGAAACATGGCCTGAAGCGGAGCTACACCGTATTGAGCAACGATGACTTGGATGTAGTTGTGAGGGCGTTCAAGAAACACAAACCAGAGTCTGGATTCTGCTATTTACTCGGACACTTACGCCATCATGGGATTCGAGTCCAACAAAAACGAATATGGCAGTCATTGTCTCGCGTTGATAGACTAGGTCAGCGGTTACGTGAACATCGTGTTATAAAACGCAGGGTGTATCGTGTCAAGAGGTCAAATGCGCTCTGGCACATTGACGGACACCACAAACTCATCCGATGGGGATTTGTGGTCCATGGAATTATTGATGGTTACTGTCGAACGGTGTGTCGCAGCGCTTACTGACATGTTTGATTGACCTTACGCTTTCAACAGATTACTGGTTTATGTGCCAGTACAGACAACCTCGCATCAACCGTTTTCAATGTATTCCTCAATGCACAGGCAGAGTATGGAATGCCATCACATATGAGAGGTGATCGTGGTGGTGAAAATATCGACGTGGCTACATACATGGTAGCTGTCCAAGGTCCCAACCGTGGATCATTTATGTGGGGATCGTAAGTCACAACTACGCGCCAATGGCTGTCTTTTTGATGTCATGTACTACAGGTCTACCTGAAACTCGAGGATTGAACGCGTGTGGGTCGAAGTTGGAACTCAATTTGTACGCCGCTGGCGGGGATTTTTTTCTCGGTGTGAAAGACTTCACTGCCTTAATCCTGGTGACAGCAGTCACCTGTGGCTCATTCAAAGGCTCTTTCTTCGGGAAATTAATGATGATTGTGAGGACTTCCAGTGCGAATGGAACCTTCATCCAATTAGCGGGCCAACGACCAATAATAAAAGTCCACAGGTGTGTGAAGCATATCATTTTAAGGATGGGCCGCACTCAATTTTACTGACATATCCACAGGATTTACGGCTTATCAGTAATGTCACGCTAGGAGAATACTACGACGAATATGAGGGGATCCATCCCCTCACTATTGAGCGATATTATGGCGTTCACGGCCATGTACGGGTTCGGCGGAATGGCCAAACGGGTGCAGGCCATTGCCCCGACGAGGAGCCAGAGGTCGATGACGAAGAAATTGCCACAAACGAACATAATGGTATTCTGAGAAGGGTTGGAGCTGACCTCCAGGAGCAAGTGCGCCATGAAGCAGTGGAAGTTCCTGGCAAAGGATCACCTTTCGCATGTGTCAAAGACGAGGCAGAATTTTGGTCAGTGCTTGACCGCGTTGTCATTGAAGATATCACACCAGCAGGGTATGGAGATGATCATGGGTCAGAAGGTGATGAATCAACAGAGGAGCACATCACAATTGGTCGGCAGGGAACATGGTTTGTTACAGTATCATTAGCAGAGCCCATATGGGCAAGACGGGCAAAAACCTGGTGTCAGGCACTCGCCGTTCTAACTCTCTTCGATGCAGATGGTTATTTTTGATCCCCCCCTAGTCATACATGCAATGTATTTACTGTACATATGGTCATGGTCAATTCAGTGGTTGTCGAGTTGAGCACAAGCACAACACTACCGGCTTAGTCAACATTAGACAGACACATCAGAACTCAGAGTCCTGCCTCGAGCTTCAGTCTTCACTCACTCCTTCTCTCGTTGCCGGTAGTTGGTCCAATCCCTCCATGCCAGATGTCGACGAGCGGGCTCTGCTGCTATTTCGATGAGAACGGAAAACAATGCAGTTGCAGGATGTTTACCGCACCTGCCAACAAGAATGCACGTTATCACTGTCGTGAGTGCACGCATGGTTTCAGTAATCACCCGGAAGCACAGTTTAGCAACAAATCCCCGAAATTGACTATGGATGTAAAGGTAGAGCCTGCAACCGGCAACCGGCTTTTGGATGTGTTCCATCAACGGAAGACATCTCGCACTATGGAGTTGCCTAACTCCCTCCAGCATGTGCGTGAAGAGGTCCTGAAAGGATTCTGTGCTGGTAGCAGTGGGACACAACGAGTTACATCAACTAAAATTAAGGTGCGTTGGACCACTTCCTAAGCCAGTGTCCATACTCCAATATTGATGATCACAGAAACCTAACTCTACTGGGAAGCGGGTCCCATCTGGTAACCATGATGGGTCCCAGCAGGATGTTTTAGTTGGAACGTGGCTACTACTGATCGATGCGTTGGATGAGGTATGTGCTATTGAACTAGCTCCTAACAAGTATTAATCACAGATATACAGGCAGGTGAATTGATCCAGACAAAACCACTGTTGAGAACAGAAATGTACACAGCAGAACATCGGCAGTGTGTGCACACTGGTGCCAATGCGGCCAAATTCGCATTCCGGCGGGACTGGACTCACGACGATGTCGACAAGTACCTCAGAGAACACGTTTTCCCGCGTCCGATGGAGTATGCACTTATGCACAAGAAGGGTAAAAGTAAGGCGAGCTGTTGTTGGAAACTCGCCTTCAAGGAGAAACAACGATTCGGACTCGCAGTGACCGAGGACCTTCCGACTGGCCAGGATCTATTCTACTATCGAGGACGGTTTAAATGTGGCACAGATTCGAGCATAATTATAGGTATGAGTTATGCCTTCCACCTGTTAAACTACTAATATATCAACACAGCATTGTGCGGTCATGTCCCGGAAGAGGAATATGCGTCTTGGGGTCTAAGACAGCATCAGGAGAGTAGTGAATTCCAGCCAGCAAAGCTTCGAGAGAGTAGCGACTCCATCCCTCCAGCAGCCTCAAGTGAAGACTCCGAAGACAAACGGACAATATTTGAATCCATGATGCGGAAGCAGGGACGCAGTCAGCACCCTGGTACGATGACCAGAACCCTGTTCTAATCACAGCTGACCTCTGAATTTTCCCCTCTGTGCAGACCAACCAAAAGGGAAACGAGGCCGATATCAATCACCGGTAATCGAGATCGAGAGTTCAACTGACTCTACTCAGCCACCGCCCAGCACCCAAGTTCCTCGCATCCATGGTGGATCCATCAGGCCATCAACACGTAAGTCCCATTTCTTTGTTTTTGACATGTGCTCACACCGCAACAGTTTTTCTCCCATCAGGCGACAGTGACTTATTGGATGTGGCTGACCTCCTGACTCAATTGAAGGGTCTCTCGGTTTCTCCACCTCCACCCACATTCGTTGGCCAGGCGCCTCTCGCCACTGTGAATCGCTATGTCTCGTTGCCCCCCAAATTTTTACAGGATCTTGATCCCTTTGGATCACTGGTCAACTCCCCCCTCTTACACCCGTATGTAAATCCGTGGTCACCTGATTATTTCCTTGGTGCGGCCGACTACTTTTGATTTGGAGGTAACATGCTATTGAGTATGAATGGTCATCCACTTACATCTAACCGTAATCCACATTCATGTCTATGGAATTTTGAGGTACCACCCACATTCGTTTAATCAGCATTCATGTCGACGCAGTTACATCCTGTAATCACTTGTCCCCAGCATCAATATACCGTTGATCTCGAGGCTTAGCCCTCTTCGCAAATATTGTTGTGGTTTGTTTACTCCTGTCAGCGGAGCCAGCCACATGTCCTGCTCGTCGACGCAAGTCCAATCCCTCTGCAAAGTGATGGATGACCAAACCCAAACCATGCCCATGCGACGACATCACATGTTCTACTACGAAGACGGAACCCATGTCTTCCAGGTGAGTTACCTAGCATCGTAGTAACATCTATCAGGCTGTTTACAATACATCCAGGCTCAAAGTTCACTATTCAAAGTCCATAAGAGTGTTCTCTCCGACAAATCCATCGCCTTTAAGTCTATGTTTGCTGCACAAGACAGTACCGGACTTCCCCAAACTGATGGACACAGCGACGAAAAACCAATTATTGTGCCTGATCAAGTCTCCGACCTAGGATTTGAACTGTTTCTGTCCGTGTGCTACAACAAGTAGGTCGATCCGTATGCTGCCATTGAAAATATGCTATATATTGATGTTGTTATTTCAGATGGCGCCCAGATACTTCACAGGCATCCGAGACCACCCTTCTTCAGCTCCTTGAGCTTAGTCGCATGTATGAGTCCAAGGACGTCCGTGAACACGCCATCAAGCAACTCGCCTCTCGCCGCTATACCATCAAACCTATCACACTGATCTCCATTGCCCTAAAATATCATATCAAGGACATCTTCTGTTACGCATTCAGACGGCTCATCCCAAAGCCTATAAACGAACTCAACCACGCCGATTATGAGCTTCTTACTGTCCCTGTATGGATGACGCTCCTCAGAGTCAAGGAGCGACTCGAACTCCACCGCCGTATTGTGGCATGTGAGCCACCACCTATGGTGCATTCGCCGTGTTGCCAGGACCACAAGAGGTGTGTTGACGACTGGCGCCAAGTATGGTGGAATGGCATGGGCCGGTACTTGCTTGATGGTCGTAGTCCTCAGCCATACAACTCTGCGGTCAAGCAATTTGAAGGTCTTAGCTATGGGAGTGTCGACCCCGAGTGTTGGAGAGTGATGCTCGCTCTTGTCAAGGAGGGGAAGGCATTTCAGCACGAAGATGATCTCATTTACCGCACAGCTCGGGGACTGGCAGAGTACTTGATCCACGAACCCTTCTTCGGCGATGATATAGACATGTGATCCTACAGTTGTACATCTAGTGTCGTGGCCATCCACCCAAAAAATCACAGGCCATATATATTTAAAGTATTAATGACTGCAAAAGTTGCGGGTCACTGTCTTTAAGTTGCGCAGTGCTGTAAAAGTTGCGCAATCGCCTGTTTTATTTTGTTTGTTAATGTTACAGATGCAGCGTCATAGGGCCGTAATGACGACTTGTCTAAAACGTCCGCGGTGGGCGCGTCGTGGGGAAATGGCAACTCTTCGATCGTAATAGCGTTCCAGATGTATAGTCTCCTGCATTATGTGTAACGAGCACTTCAAGCAGGCGAGGAAGAAAAAAGACAGGGAATGTAACGCATGCCCCAAAAAATTTTATCGTCCAGCTAGTGTGTAAGGTGTCACGATGCCTGACCATTCTTAGCATAAGAAATTTACAGCACAAGAGCTAGAGAACGTGCTCAACGAGTGATTCCAGACTTTGGATCGTTTGGTGGTGACCGAGTGTCTCAAAGAAGCACGAGACGCTTCGTATATGTGGACCTACAACGCAAGTCTAAAATTTAAAAAGGTCCAAGGGATTGCGGCAGACGAGGAATCACGCTCGGTCGCGGCAGCTTTCAGATCCTCAGACCTCGTGAGAAGGGTATAGTACTTCCTAGGACTAGTGGATCTGCCTCCAAGTACAGTCGGCCCTGGAAAACTTGGCAGCATTCATATCGAAGACCCGAAACATTTTTTACATCATACTTGCATTGTGAGAAGCATCCGTGGCTCCAGACCTTCCGGAATAATTGCGTCGGAGAGTACTGTCCGTTCTTGCCCCAAACTGAGGTGGCATTCTACTGACAACCCGGGATGATTATCCACGTTACTCGGTTTTTGTGTACACTATTACACAAGGGAGGGGGCTGTGGAGCGCTCCACCATGCTATTGGTGCTGACAGGCTGTGACCCTCCTCATGACAACCGCCACTGGTCTGACATGTCAATTTTTGACATACTCTCATTTCCGACTCCCGGAGGTAAGTTCCCAGACCAGTAGCGAGTAGTGATATCTTGTAGTAATCATTCGTGTTATGATAATAATATCTACCATAGCCTGCGGTAGGTCGTTTACTGCATCGCCTTTAACGCCAAGTTACATATACGGAGTGCTTGGACGTAGGGGGATTGTTGCAGCAGGCGCAGCATTCAGATGTTGAAACTGGGATAGTGAGCTCCTTGACTGCATATGCGGCTTAGTGTTGCTCCACGGTCTGTTGACTCGACCTATTTCCACAAGAAACAACCATCCTGTCGACTACATGTTAGCCAAATTTTGAAGTCTTCTGACGCAGCGTCACCGAGTGATAGGGGCTATTACTGTTATTATTAATCATAATTTGTCATCGCGGCAAGGCGCACCGGGACGAAGCCACCAACGTTCACCTCATTCGCTGCGTCGCACGAACACATCTCACATCTCTGAATCCGTTGCTACAGTTTGAAAGAGTCCCGGAAAGTCGGTCCCCGTTGTTTTTATGTGAAAGTATACGCCGAAATGCCGAAGGATTTTTTAAGAAGTGAATCTCGAGAAGATGACCTCGTAGGCAACTTATAACGATCTATTGCGCATTTGTCATGAGTCTTATATGATCACTAATGATACAGGATTCGGAGATAGGCTCTCCTGGAGATCATGAGAGTCAAAGTGGCCAAAACTACGGTCCCAATAAGCCTGGAAGGAAGAAGAATCCCAAGTAAGGCCTGCCGACTGCGTCCTGCGTTCCCGTTCGAGATTGAACATCTTTAGCTCCCAGGCAGCCCGTAGGGACCAGAACCGCATCGCGCAGCGCGAGTTTCGTCTAAGAAAACAGCAGAAAGTACGCCTAGCTTTCGTAGGGTGTCTTGCCGCTGAAATGTTGAGTCCAGATACGAGACCTCGAGGCTCGCGTGGAACTCCTCTCCGCTTCACAAGATGAAGCTCTGACGGATCTTAGGTCCATCCTAAAGGGTATGTTAGCCCCCTATCGGGAAGTCGGAGTCACTGAACTCTCCAAGACTTGATGTCGGAAAATCTGATGCTTCGCAATTTGCTAAAGAGTGTTGCTGGTTTCATTGGCGAAGGTGCTGGGGGTGTCATGGCGGAATTGGGATATGAAATGCATGAGTTTGAGGCACTCCTCAACAAATCTGAAACAGATACAGCTTGGGAGAGTTTTCAAAAGAGAAAGCGGGCTCAGAAGACGGCACAGTCAACTGAATCCATGTCATCAACTCTGGGTCCCCAAACTGGGCCCAGCAAGAGACCCGCCGAGGATACCGCAACGTCCAGTCAATCCAAGAAATCTAGGGGGATGGGTGGGTCCGACAATCCAACGGAACGACATGAGGCGTATCCGCTACTTATACCAATGAGTACAACCGTGCCGCCGCCGCCACCAGCTGCAACAACGTTATATCCACCTCCGACACGATCACCCCAGGAAAACATCTTTTCCGACCTTATGCGCAATGGACACGCTACCTCTTCTGTTTTCCTGCCTCCCACACCATCGGCGACCCCAGGTCAATACCCTACGCCGTCATCATCGAGCGGGTACTCGTACTTGCCACAGATGAATTTAATGGATCAAGGGATGAGTACCATGTCCTTTTCTTCATCCAAGAATGGAACAGTGCGTGCCCAGCCACGCGTTCTTCCGCAAGCCAATGCAACGTCTGAGGAACCAGACGACGATGGGGAACCTGAGGACCCAAAGAAGGTTGAGGCCATGAAATTGATCAGGTATATCGTTTCTACATTTTGCTTATAGTTTCCTTATTGCGAATACAGGTATCATCTAGACAATTATACACGAAACAACAATTATTGCCTACCTTCCTCTCTACGACCGACCTTAGTGCAAAAGTACGTTTGTCAGTTTGGTTCTTTAACCACGGCTTCTCACTGTAAGCCATTACAGGACGGTGAATCATGGTATCCTCATTTTTTTTTGGCCGATCATTGCTTCAAGCTGACCTTAATCAGAGAGCATAATTGATCGCATCATTAACCCGGAGTTGCGTGATCGCATCATACTTTTAAGAGGTTGGGAACTCAGCTAATCAGTGGTATCCAACTAACTGATGTACGCCTTCATAGGGCAATTCTCTTTGGCTGACTGCTTATATGATTACAAGAAAGCTATAAAAGTACATGGTGACGATGTTCTCGCGCACTGCAATTGGGAGTTGTCGGAGTGGTGGCTACAGAAATATAGGTTTGGATCTCACGCTGTTCAGAATGAAGTACCCTTTCTTACGTCTGCATGGCTAGTTATTTGGTCGGGGAGGCAACCTTGGAGACCTGTAATCGCTGGAGGCGTGAACGTGGAGAAGCAGAACTGAAGTTATCAACCACTGGTGTGCAGGGTGAATCCCCGTCTTAACACGATGCTACTACCGTTCTGGGTGAGAAGGCGTCTGCGCGCAGACATCTGGTAACCACTCGGAAGTCTGAGGATCGTATATATATCTCAAGTCGCTGCGTCGTTGCGTAGTCTGCTCTCTCTCAAGATATTAGTAGCCTAGTAGCATGTACATGTATTACGCTTTACCGTTCAGTATCATGAATGAACAGCTCGGTAGAAATCAATCAGCTTGCACGGAGAAATACAGGATTTGGGTTTTTAAAACATTATGCTCATTCAACTTCGAAGGGATCTGTATGGCACAGACATATTATACTTGGATAAAAATGGGCGCGCGATAACGAATGGCAGCACTGCAACGGAACACATAAGATTTGGATTGCAAGGACGGATCCCTACGTACTCACTCCCCAAAGAGGGAACAACTACCATGAAGCCTTGCGGACACCAGGGATCTCATTGTTTAATGCTTTCAACCGGAATTGGTACTTCAACAATCAGTTGGGAAACTGAACTGGCGAATACCAAACAAAAATGCACTCACTCTGCAAAGTGCAAATTCACTCATAATGCCTCGCCCGCGGCCAGACTCGGAGCAGCGATTTTTAACAGTGGTGGGTCGAGTGTACCTCCCAAAGGTATTCAACTGCAGCTGTGCCTGATGGCGCACTTGTGGCGGAAGACTTTCATTGCGGGCTACGTACAGATAAGCGCGGCGAATGACTTCGTTTGCCTTGACGAGTTCGCGAGCCTTGATGTCCCGTAGGACACGGATGTTGGGCATGGCTGGCGGCGAGAGCTTGGTTGTCCAAGGTTGTAAATAAATGTCAAATGATTCGGCAGGCGCCGGGTAAACACGAAATCGCGCCGGGGGGAATTTTGCTTCTCTCCAAGAGATAGTGTGGACATGGGTTCAGCTGGTACACCTTCGTCAATGCCTCTCAGGAACCTGTTTGCTAATTGCCTCTATTTTACAGTTTTAGAATGCTCAGAACCCTTCGCATAACGTCCCAAAGGCGTCGAACATTTGTCTCCGCACTTTTCGGGCTCACATTCTTCGCCGCGGTACTGACCGTGTCTGCATCGAATATCCTGCCTTGCCCAGTGCGGCCTAATAGAAACCGGTATGCAGACAGTGAAGAGACAGTAAGTGGAGGTGGCGTGACAGGTATAGTGGAAAAGCGGCCGGGGAGGTGGATACAGGAGAGGACAATCTCGGAGGGTACATCTACAAGACGTCGATAACGCTCCCTATGCTAACCTCAGTCCGTATTCAAAAAGCCGCGTAGACTTTTCGGCCTCTTGTGAGGCATATCTTCTGCACACATCCAAGACATGGCTATACGTGCCAATCCTCAGGGTTGAGCGTATCTGGACGGACGAAACACGGGTGAACCTTGTTCCCGGGGACAGCAATGAACTGTGGGGAAGTTTGGATTGACTGCCCTACTGCCGCAGGTCCGTCCCACGCATTCGTGGTGGCCTGCGAACTTGATTTGTGTTGTCACACATAGCAATAGGCCAACATGCGCGGGAGGTGTGGTGTTTACCGCTAGAACAGGTATACCACCCACGGAATGAACGGACAAGGCTGAATATATGAAATCCGCGACTACAGCGACCTCGCATGGTTTGACTGCACAGCTTTCGAGGGAGGATGTGGTTCTTAGTCTGGAGCGGCTCTGGAAGTGCCTGATCCCCGTTTTCCTGCAAGCTGCCGAGGTTGGGGCACTGCTTGCACTGTCTTCTGCGCCACAACCGTTGAGGGTCGTGCTTCGATCTGGGCACAGGGCAAACCCCCATGTCTAGTACTCGATGCTATAAACCGCACCTTCAATCTGAACAGCCTCGTGGGCGGCAAGTGCTGTGGCAGTTTTCTGGAAAACTAGGAATGAACTGGCTACGGATCCCAGTTCGCCGATGGCTGATCGCTCGAAATGGTGGAAAGTGACTATACAGGCGTGTCTCTCATATGCATAGTTACTACAGCCTGCCACGCTTGATGCTGTGGCTAATGTCACGCTCACTCCTTCCGCAAATTGCACTTGGGCAAGGGAGTTAATGATTTTCGTTTGTGCTCGAAGTAAATCGGTACTTACCGGTGCCCGGGGGATTGGGTGTCTCCATGTTGTTACGGCAAATCAAATACGGTCACATGGCAACAACGTGGTCTATCCTTATGGGCGTCTAAATTTTCATACAGGCCATCTTGCAGCGCGGTCTATCCACAGGACATATTTTCAGCGGGGACAGATGTGGAACGCTCTCTAGTGTAGTATCTAACGGTTGAGTACCTCGGGAGTAATCGCGAGATGATCAGCCAGCGACCAAGTGGCAAGCTGTATAGTTGGATGATTGAAGTTGCCGCCTTACCTAATCTTGCATTTTCTAAATAGTTTTACGCGGTGAACACCGAGAAAGGCACAATACAATCGTTCTTCAAAACTTGGTGTGGATACCCGTTTTTCGATACCCAGCGAACAATTTCGCAACTCACCTGTCTGCTGACCATCTCGTTGTCCCTAAAGGTTTTTCCATTACTGTGGAAGAACTGCTCTGGAAAGCTGAATCGACAGCAGGCACACATAGATTGTTCCTGCCAGGTGCCATGCATTCCCCGGCTCCTTCCACGCCATCCTACTCGTCCTGGAAGTCTGTCTTTCGTCTACCAAGCTCCTCCAAGAAGCATTCAACCAACGGGAATGTACCGGCACTTGCTGTCGATTGCAACTCCCGTACGATATCTGCACCGCTGCAACCGGTTAAGAAGTCTGTTGGGCCGGTGACACCCAGCCCTTCCCTCTCACCTTGTACACTGCAGTCTGGGGACCAGCGTTCTTCCTACAATTCGTCCTTCACACTATCGAGTGACTCCAACACCGGAGTTGCGCCAAAACCGTTCGATTCACGAGTGAATTCCTGTCCATCGCAGCAGTCTGTCCAACCATCTGCAGCGTTGAACGGCTACGCAAATGGCATGGCTGCAACCGTGCATAGTCATGCACGCCCGCGCACGAAATCGGAAAAGATGCGTCTGAACCTAAGTCGCGCTCCACTACCGCCGCCGTCCAGTTTTCTCGCTCCCGCGGTCTCACAGCAATCATCTCCTCAGTCGGCTGGGGCAGCGCATTCGCGTCCAGGACCACTGTCTCCAAAGGCGATGAGTGCGTCTGCTACCCGCTTTATCCGTCGCGTTGCTTCCGCCCCGAACGCTAAACACCTTTTTTCGTCTGGTGCGCGATCGGGGGTACCCACCAAGAATGGGCTCCTGGCACCGGCAGAAGTCGTTTCTCCGGCACCTGTTAATGGACAGCGCCGGTCGTTGGAGAAAGGTGACGACTCTCTTGAAACTTCATCGTCGGGTTCATCCAGAACACGGCATGATCGATATCAATTTCCCGGCATTCCAAAGTCGAGGATGCCAAACAATAATACAACTAATAGCAATGGCAAGGCATCCTTCCGAAGAACGTATTCCAGTAATTCTATCAAAGTGCGATCGGTAGGTTTCCGAAGCGCATATGCGATAGTGTGATAAATTGTTGTCTGTAGGTTGAAGTCGGGCCGTCCAGTTTTCTTAAAGTCAAGATGTTAGGGAAAGGTGACGTCGGTCGTGTGTACCTCGTGCGTGAAAAGAAGTCCGATAAACTGTACGCCATGAAAGGTGATTTTCGACTTCTCGATCGTATGCCCGAGGCGTGCCCCTTATTTTCTTTTTTTCTTTCTTTCGATCTTTCGATCTCAGTTCTCTCGAAGAAGGAAATGATCGAGCGTAAGAAGATCAAGCGAGCGTTGACGGAGCAAGAAATTCTCGCCACGTCGAACCATCCGTTCATAGTGACACTATACCACTCCTTTCAGTCAGAGGAATACCTTTACTTCTGCATGGAGTATTGCATGGGAGGCGAGTTTTTCCGAGCCCTTCAAACGCGGCCAGGGAAATGCCTTTCCGAGGACGGGTCACGGTTTTATGCGGCTGAAGTGGTGGCTGCCCTCGAGTATTTGCACTTAAACGGTTTCATATACCGTGATCTGAAACCCGAAAGTAAGTTCTGCTGCTGTGTCGCGCGGCGCGAACTCTAAACGTCTACTATGCCATGTCCATTCTTATGGATACATTGCTTCTTCAGATATCCTTCTTCATCAATCGGGCCACATCATGTTGTCGGATTTTGATCTGGCGAAACAGTCTGGACATCCCGGAGGACGACCTGCCACCATTCACCAGTCGGAGCCCAACGGGGTAATGACATTACCTTTTACTTTATTCGCCACCCGGTTGACTCCATGCGGCGCTGTCTGCCTGGTGTTTCCTAGATCCCCATAATCGATACGATGTCGTGTACAGCGGATTTTCGGACTAATTCTTTTGTCGGCACCGAAGGTTAGTTGATTCTGGGCTATTCCCCGTTAGGGTGTATGCCGTCGAGCTAACTTTATTGCTTCGTACAAATGCAGAGTATATTGCACCTGAAGTTATCGCTGCGCAAGGTCATACGGCTGCAGTGGACTGGTGGACGCTTGGTATACTGATCTACGAGATGATCGTGAGTTGAAACACACCTTTTTTATTGACCAAGGAGAGGTGCGCTGATACACATCCATGTGCGATTGTGGCCTATTTTGGGATTGCCGTAGTTTGCCACGACGCCGTTCAAGGGGAAGGAGCGGAATGATACTTTTAACAATATACGGTTATTGCCAGTACATTTCCGGGATACCCCCAGGATATCTAGGTTTGTGGTGCTTGCGTTGATGGTGGAGTGATGGTGAGCTGATGGGCATGTGGTTAAGTGCATGCAAAGATATCGTTATTCGGCTGCTGGACAAGGATGAGCGCAGTCGGTTAGGGAGCAGGAGCGGTGCAAGCGAAGTGAAACAACATAAATGGTTTGCAAAGATCAGCTGGGGTCTTTTGCGTCACACGCGGCCTCCGGTACGTTTAGACTTCCCCTTATTTCATAATTGCGTGGGCGACTCGCCGGCCGGGGATGATTTGCCCGCCTGGTGGAGCACTCATAGACTGCGTTGAACAGATCGTTCCCGCAGCGTCGAACGGTGCAGACGCGATGAATTTCCGGCATCTGAAGGAGTCTAACTCGCTGCACCTTGAAAATCAGACCGGTTTGCGGACGAGGGCATCGCCCAGCACGGCGGGGTATGATGATGGGATGGACATGTCTCCCGGCAGAGATCTGTTTGGTGCATTCAACAGTGTTACGATCCACTATGATGGGGAAAGTTGAAGAGTCGTGGGCCATTGTTCTAGGTCCTCGGTATCTCTTTGTGGTGGAGACCATCAAGGACTGATACAGATGGGCGGTGGTTTTCTTCCCTACCTTTTGGACGGGGCTGTATCGGCCGGTTTGTCTGTTTCTGGTTGATAATGCGCCATTTTTGATTCCTTTTTTTTTCTTTTCTTTTTCCGCTGGAGATAACGACGGTTCAACTGTATAATTTGGCATTGCACGCACATATCGCACAATATCTTTCGCTGCTAGCACTTTTTTTTTTCATTTCGGTTTCATTATTGGATGGATATACTCTACGACACGATGCTCATATAGATGACGACGGGTTTAATTGAAACGACGGTGGACATACAGGGGTGATGAGAGGGAGAATACATGTTCCTTGCTCGCCGCGGACAAGGTTTCGGCCGGCCCGCGAGATTGTTGAAGGCTAAGTGGTGGCAGCGGAAGGAGGAGTGCTTTCTTGGTATGTCCAGAACGGGCTAGCGCGATACAAACGCGGTTAATTTGCAAATCGGCGCAGAGACCCCGGAGACTGCTGGTGACATTAAAAGATGCCGTGACTGAGAGCCTGTCCAGCACACGCGGAGACCACAAGCCTAGAGTGAGCAGAAAGAGAGAGAGACAGGGAGAGGGAGGGCAGCGGACATTGGCGAGAGGTCACATGAAAACAGCGTGGTGCCAGAACAGGCCTACCTCGGCGCCGAGGGTCTGGCGAGGGTGGCCAGATATGGAAAATGAAGAGCTTGTGTGTGCATGTATGGGGGCTGAGTGATTTCCGAGCCGCGGCTTGGTGTCATTACGTATATATGATAGGGTCACGTAAGGCTATTTTCGGTGAAGAGGGCTTCTCCACCGAGGTTGTGGTTTTGAACTGGGACGGCCATTTACGATCGAAGGAACGCAGCTTTGTTGTTGTCGTCCTCGTCCCCTCGTCGTCGTCGCCGGCGGTGTCTGTGTTTTTTCTTCTTATAATCCTTCTACCACTTTCCTTTACCCTTTATATATACCCCATCCCTCGCTGATACCCGCTTCTCCCCACTCTCTTACACGCCTCGCTCACGTCCTCGACATGCAAGACATCTACGCTCCCTCCTTCCATCCACGTCCCCCCTACTCCTCCTCCCCCTGCTACTCCCCCAACGACTCTCCCCCGGAAGACAGCCCCTCTGTCCCTCTCAAAATGCACGAACAGCAGCCTCTCCCCCACAAGTCAGAGTCAAAACCTCAGGCGACCTTTCTCACCAAGCTATATGCGTACGCATCTCTCTCTCTCTCTCTCTCTTTCCCTTCTTCGCTTACCGACCCCCCTCCCTCCTGCAGTCTCCTCGAGCGTCCAGAGAACCACCACATGATCAGATGGGACCCTGCTGGCGAGCATATCATCGTGGAACGGCCTGAGCAACTCGCCCTGCACGTCCTCCCGACCGTCTACCGTCAGTCAAGGTTTGCGAGCTTCTCTCGGCAACTAAACGTGCGTGCTTCTTTCCCCCGTCTGCCATACATTCATTTCATTCTTCCCTTCCGCAGATCTATGGCTTTATGCGCAAAGTAAACCTCCGCAACGTCGACCCCGCCATCGATGATCCCGATGCGAGCACTTGGTGTAAGCTTCCCCTCTCCTCACACCCCCATTTACTCCGTGATTAACGTCTTCCAGCCCATCCCACCCTCAATCGCCACTCTCCCCCCGAGGTCGTCGCAAACTTCAAACGCCGCGTTCCCCCGCGTCTGCCTAAACCCAGGAAACGCGAGTCCCAGGAGACGCCTACAATCCCTCCCCCTCGTTCTGCTATTGGCGTCGCTCCTGTGCCCCTCTCTGTCCCTCCTCCCATCGGCGCAAGAAATGGCTCGTTCACCGGTCGGGCCCGTGGTTTCTCTGCTCCTGGCTCGTTCACTCCTCTCAGCCAAGGAGGCGCTGCAGGCTGGGGCACCTCGTATCCTCGTGCAGCATTGCCCCCGCTCGCTGTGCCTCCTACCCTTTCTCACCAGAACCTGTACGGCCAATCCATCTCCCCGGCAGAGGAATCCCCCTCCACCCAGTTCAGCGCCATGGCGCCGGGAACGGGTTATGCGACTAACCAGGTCACTACGTCCCAGTACTCGTATCCGGAACCCAGCTGGTCGTTCTCTCCAAACAGCTCGGCGTCGAGTCACTCTGGCAGCCTGTCTTCCCTTTTGAACCCTCCTGCAAGCAACGGTTTCAGCACACGTCCAAACCCGACGATCAACACGTCTTACACTTCGTATCCTGCCATGCCCATGCACAGCGACCATACCCCTCCGTCTTTGTCGCCGGATACCCACAGTCGTCCCACGACGGGTTACTCGATCTCTTCGGTGTCGTCGCTGCCGTACGAGGAGTCCCCTCACCACGCATACCCACACGGCGAGTTCTCTCGTCCTGGCTCGAGCCATCACAGGCAAGACTTCCCCTACGTCCCGCCCGTCGTCGTCGTCGAAGCAGTATGGGCCGGGTTCCTTGAGCATTCGTCGTCCACGTCGCCATAGCCAGGCGATCAGCCCATACCCCTCGCCATATGACCACCATGCGTCAGAACGGCGTTCGCCTTCGCCACAGCCTGCTGATGACCACAACGTAAGCATGTCCCGTGTGCGCAGCGTGACACAACTGTCCTCTGTTGACCCGTACGGGTTTCCCTCGGCTCATGCCGACTTCGCTTATTCCGCCGTCGATTCGATGGACTGTCGGGGTGGATGGGGCCATCATGCACAAGCTGGCCAACGCCCTTCTACGAGCGCATCGTCTATCAGTGGGGCCTCACATACGTCATCGTCGCAGGCAAACACGCCGCCGCTGAATGATGGATATGCGGAGACGAGCATCAATCGCTGTGAGTTTCTGTGGCACAACTGATCCTATACGGCGTGACTTACTGACAGGTAGTTTGAACCAGTCTCACCTGACTTTGGAATCGTGCCATTGAACGATCATCTACCCTCGCAATATACCAAGCCGACACGCGAACTTTAGAAGTCGGCATTTCGCGGGGTTGTTAGAACGAGTGCTGCACGTTGGTTGCACGACTGCTCAAGTCAGATGTGACGATGATTCACGCTTTTGTCGCCTGTTTTTTGTTTTTGTTTTGTTTTTTTTCTGTTCTCTTGTTTTTTTTGTTTTTTTTTTTGCACTGATGACCACCTCTCCTTTCTTCCATGGTTGATTTTTTCTTGCTTCGTTATTGTGAAGCACTTGTTTGAAACGAAATTGGAAATGCCCCGTCCGTTCATTATTATATTTTCCACGACTCACCCATCCATCGATATCCAGTTCTCGCCTTGCATTGCTTCCCTCATCTGTCCATTCTGTCGTGTATACCTCTTTGCCATCTCATCTGTATCAAACGTCCCATCCATACACTTTCTGATACCTCGCGCTCTCTCATTTCGGTTCTTTTTCTGTCACTCTGGCTATGCTTATACGGTTACCCGTACACTGTTACCCCCGATCTTTGATATCCCAGTTGGCTTTCTGCGTACCGCGCAATCACCCTCGTGAGTTGGTTATATGATTGACCCCAAAATGGTCGTCAACCCAAGTTGGCCATGGATCGGATCTCGATTCGTGGAGTACGTATGAATCTGTCCCACCAGAATTCTGATCGGGATGGGAACCTGCCCAACGGAGTCACGTACGTAAATTTATCCCTCAGCTGCTCGTGTGTCCATTGGCTCGCGGCATTATTAATACACTCAGTTGGTTGGTTTGTCCTTGTGTGGGTTTGTGGTAGCTTGTTGAGATGATGATCTTGCTCGTTTTCCTGCTGATATGATGGGAACCACGAACGACAAACTTGTCTATGATACTTCTGCATTCTGTTGTACGAGCGTGATGTGACTTTGCTGACTGTCACCAAAGGGGGAGAGAACTACTGGCATGATGTGCCTCAGGCTAGCTCTTATTGTTTGAGGTTCCGGGCACGATTTCGGCTCAAGCTCTTCATTTTAACGTTCAAAGCCAAGTTCATGTCACTTGGCGGGCGGCACCAGGCGGTACCGTCTTTATTCTTCTTCCATTGCGAAAATACACGGTCGGCGCCCGTGGCCTGTTCCATGAAATCGTTGCGTGTCGCGGAAAGCCGTCTGTGCCACGGGCAGGAATGGTGCATGTTGCTGGGCAAGATCATAATAATGGACAAACACAGCAAGGGCCATACAGCAAGGTTCAGTCCTTCAGCAACACGGTGGCGTAACTTCATAACAGACACTGCCATCCTGCATTATCACATGCACAGGGGGGTTACACTTACATTAACTTGGTGTGCGTCCTGTAGGGCCAGCGGCGTATCAGCACGCATGCACGGTGACTCGACCGTTCTATTAGGAGCAGCGCTTGCTGTTTATGCGAGTACTGGTTGGTTGTAGTCATATGCTGGCCGTCTGCCCGGCACCATCTTCACGATCATGCCAACATAAATGGCGTGTACTCCATTTTCATCTCGACCCCTACTTAACGCAGCTGGTGTTCTTTTTTTGCAATCTGCACAGTATTAGAGGGCACTGACATGATAGGATTGCTACTGACAATAGACTAAACGAGGGAGACCGTCGACAGGCCAAAAGAGCAACGGCGTACACCAAAGAGTAAGTCAAATTAAGCACGAGGTAAACCGTGACTGAACGAGAGTAGACGAAATGAAACTTGTCGGTAGGAGGGGGGAAAAAAATACACCCTTGATATCAGCAAGGTAAGGCGGTTACATACATACACGATTGATGAACGAGTGTGTTGTGTCCATCTGTTGGCTGGCTATGTGCCCTAGGAAAAGGAGCGTGAGGGGAAAAATCGCGCACAACCTCTGTATAATGTCCGAAAGAACGTCCCATGGTTTGTTTGTCTTTTTCTTTTCTTTTTTTCTCTCTATCCGTTATGAAACAAGTAAGGCACACCTGGTCCGCGTCACCGTGCCGAGATAGGGTGGGAGGGCGCAAGGTGAGCTTCGGACATGTTTTCCCTGGAAGGAGGGAGACGACTGTATGGATGTAACTCTGTCTCTTCGTCCACAGAGGAATCAAGGGCTAGGAACGCCACCCGTTCCTCGGACGCGCTAGCGCCCACGTCTGTTTCGTCCTCTAGTTCATCATCTACAGCTCGACGTGCGACCCAGCTGATGTAGATAAACAGTACTACGCAGAGCATGATGCCGCCCGCCGTCCACATTTGGCTCCATCCACTTTCATCGGGTGCGACTTGATGTGTGCTGAAAGAACGGATTCCTGCACCGATGCTGGTGTGTACGATCACTTTGAAGAGGGAGAGAGCGGTACATATCACGTAAGTCTTCATCTCTAGCGTCGGAGTCGCCGCAAGAAGTGCATTTAGGACATTATACGGATACGGGGCCAATCTAACCAAGAACAGGAGTGATGGTTTGCGTTCGATGGCACGCACGGCTCGACAGAGGCCACGTGTGGACTGCAGCCATCGAGCGATGGGTTCACGTAGAAACGTACGCGATAAGGAGAAGACGACGATAGCGCCTGATAATGCTGCCGAGTATGAGATGATCGCGCCAGTCCACGGACCAAATGTATATCCAGACAATGTGATCAGCGTGGAGTACAGTGGGAGAGGGGCTGCACGAGGGTGAGAGAATTTCCGAGGATAAAAGAAAAGGACGAGTGAATATCCAACCAGCAAGTGTTTATTCCCAGAAAGGGTACTTACGGAAAGTGGTGATGAATATAAGACAGAAGAGTACGACATATCCAAAGTACTCGTCATTTCGCAGCCAATGCGAGAGTTGATCGAGACCTGTAGTTTAGGGTGTCCGCGCAATACATATCAGAGAGAAGGGAGACAGTAAGTCAGAGTCCATTTCAAACGGTTGGAGTTATGCGTATGGACATCAAATGCACACACGAAAACGTGACTAGGAGACCATGACGCGTGCGAGACGACCTAATTTTGTGTCCAATCAGAGGGATGCGATTACTCACCATCAAAGACCTCTGTTTTCCAGAATGCGATGGCGAGGAGAAAACCGAGACTGGTTGCACCATATGCGAGTACCGGAGACCACTGTTTGAACAGGTTCCATGTTCGCAAACCGCGGGGTCGGACATATCGGGATGAGGAGTGAGAGGAGCGTGCACAGTGCGAAGACACTGGACGAGATGGAATAAACAAGGGATGACTTGCAGCGGTATGGTCGTGGAGTTGGGGGATGGTCGAGATCGACGGAGGACAGGTTGAGAGGGACGAGTTTCTCGTCGTCAAAGGTGTGAAGGCGCTCGGCGGCCATCTGAGCTCGCACTTGTGATGACGCGCGAGTGTGCGCCAAGGGTCGCTGCAACTCTTGGAGTCCAGTCCAGGTATATTGCAGTGTCGGTCGATGTCCCCCACGGAAGACAGCAGGCAACAGTGACAGAGACGAGGAGGATGGCACCCAGCTCGATATAAAACGGGACTACACCGGGTACTGCGATCAGGCATCTGTCTTATATGGAAACAGTCGCACGCCACTTCCACCTGAGCCCATCATCATATTGCGTGTCAAAGGAGCCCCACGACCGACGCCATGCTCGCCGCCGGAATACGCGCGCGATACACTCGTATCATCACAGACGCTACACGGCAAAGGACCCGGGCGTACAGCGACGGACAGAAGCATTCTAAACACGCCGAATGGTACTCGTCTATGCTTCCCGGCATGATTCCTATCGCGCTCCTCGGTTCGGCAGTGTACATGGTATGTGTTTCACCCCTCGCTGTGTTTCAGCTGCGTTGTATGCCAAATACTCTGGTTTGAGACGCCATGTGATAGCGCGTTCTGATAACGGGAACTGATTTTATTTATGCTCCCAGGGTTTACACCTTGCGCAGTGCGCTCTGGCACTATGAAAAATTCCTCGACCAAGCTGACGCGCGCATACGCAACCTCGAAGAGGAATGTGGACAGGACTGCAACGGGAACGCAGCGTATCGTCGCAGCCATCCCCATCTAAAAGTCAGGGCTCTTGGTGGCGTTGGCTATGATGTGCTCCCCTAACAAGGAAAAGCTAATATTGACCTACGGAAGTATATACACCGGTAAGATACCAAACGACGACCCAAGTGGGTATATCTGAGCAAATCCATCTGTAAGGTGCCAGCGAAGCACGCGCACATGCCACATGGAGCAAGTGCCCGTCAGATGGTACTTGATAGCAATTTTGTCACCAAGGCAGACTTGTACTTGTCATACAGTTTCGACGAGCTGAGCACGGCGACGTCAGCATAAATCAGGACCTTCGCTACCCCTGTGAACTTACCTAAGAATGCCAGCAACCAAACCCGTGAACGACTGTGCGATATCCTTGCCGCGGGAGAGTCTGAATACGTCGTACGCTGGAACCGTCGATATCAGCAAACATGTATAGCCAACGGACGAGGGCAAAACGCACAGACGAAGATGAGGTCCATCACTAGTTTCGTACGGCTCATCCTTAACCAGTACGTTTTTCGCTGCAGTCTTGCTAACTCCTTCTCATCCACCTTGGAGGCTTTGGGCTGAGATTTAGAGGTCGCACCAGACATGGATTCTTGGTAGGCACGGTTCTCGACTGTAAAGGTGCAGCTGTCGACGTCTTCCCATACATTGCTTGGCTCGACTTACCTTCCCGCTGTTGCCCCTCGATGATGCTCATCTCAATCCCGTTCTGGACAAGTCCGACCAAGGTACCGAAGAACCAACACCAGTCCGCAAACCGCGCTGCCCTCACACCTATCTTCTGACCAATGAGACCTAACCTTGAGAGTGTATATATGTCATCTGAGAGGCCGTTGACGAGGTCCAGCAGTACTGGTGGAGGGGCAGCGAGAAGGGCCTGCAAGGACGGGTGTGAGAGTAGTTGTCCGGTGAACGGTGAAGACGGAGGCTTCTTGGCGGGGGCGTCTGCAAGGGAATGGGAAAGAAACGACCCATCGAGGGAGGCATAAGGAACAGTCTTTTGTGCGAGGATGGTGCTCAAGGGCGTGAGCCAGTTGAATAATATGAGCATTTTCCTGTCCATGCATGTTAGGAAAATGCTTTTCGCTAACGAGTGGTGATCTACCTGGTGAACGAGAAACCCGAGCGAGCAGAGTCTAACCGGTGGACCATTGCCTGCTGCCATGTAGACCGGCCACTGCGGAAGAGCAACTTCGTATGGAAGAGGAGGTATACCCGGATAGAATATTGCATCACTTTCTGTGCGCAGCATGGCATACATGAGGAAGTGACGAGTGGGGTGGGGAGCGAAGGATGCTCACGAATGCTTTATCACGACCATAGCTCGTTGCGAGTATATCCCGCCAGACCTCATGAGCGGGGACCTTGCTCTCTGCCGCCTTGACACGCGCGTCCTCTTCGTCTAGTTCGTAAGCCACTCCATCCCCGTCGTCCCCAGCAGTGTGATCCTGCGCGGCGTCTATACAAGCAGCTGGGGTATTGTCTTCCTTTTCGTCATACACGCTGATGCTGACGGAGCCAAAGTGAGCGGAGTGGGGACGAGAATGGGACGAGGAACCGGGTGTCATAGCTGTGCTTGTGCATGGTGTACGGGGGGGATGAGCGGAGAGCGGGTTCATCTGGAATGAGTCGGATACGTCGAAGGAGGATGGGCGGTAGAACTGGGAGTGCATGGATTCATGCAGGGCATCCGGGGACGAGACGGAGTTCTCGCTGGCGTGGGGGAACATGATGGACGACATGACATGAGCGGAAGAGAGGACCCGCAAGACCAAACACAAAAGCCAATTATGTAGACTAGCAAACAGGCGACACGCAGCTGATTAGCCATGTCAACGACGTCGCTGGCGTTCCGCTCTCCAGTCTCCCGTTCCGAAGCTGTGTCGCCCAACCCTGCACGCCCCGCGTTCGATACGGAGCTACTGCGTGCATACATGAAGAAGCTGCTGCAGACGACGATCCAGCACGCGGTCTGGACACACGACCGGGATCAGGTCAAGTCATGGATGAAGGATATCAAGGAGCGCATCAAGGACCGAATGCTGGAAATCCAGCCAACTGGATTGTGAGTGAAGCTTCCCTGGCTGTCCATTCTGTACATGTTAAAAAACCGCTAGCAAGTACATCGTGCTAGTACAGATCAACGAGAATCTGAATCAAGGGGGTCGGTAAGTACAGATAATCTCGTCGTCGAGGCAACGAGACGATTGCATTTGCAGGGCAGACATGGTGTCCCACTGGGAAGACGGGGATGCGTGCATACACGAGCTCTTCTACAATGTCAGTACTCGTGTGTTTTTGCATTCCTCTGCTGAAAGGGCGGGCAGGATTCAATCATTTGCACGTGCATCGCACTCGCGGTCCGAAGTTCGTCGTGACACGAACGGTATTATTGTATTACAATGCTAGCCATGTACGAACAAGCAACAGAGTAAGTACTATCACGACGGAGAGATGCGCCCGCGATATCGCAAGTACATACTGATGTCCGAGGAGTCCATCGGTGCGAGAGCGGTGGCGAGTTTTGATGGATGGATGCTCTTCACTTGTCTCTGTCTGGCAACACCTCAGCGGTTGTAAATTGATTATCCAACAGCAAAACACGGCTGCGGGGCCGGGAAGAACGAGCGCTGGAATATATTATACGACACAAGGGGGAAGGGGGGAGGGAAGGAATTGCTGCCGAAATCTCGAGGGGGTGAAGAGGAAGAACTGATATCGCGAGATCTCGTTAAGTTAGCAACTGGGTCACGGTTGCCTCCGGAATCTGTAGAGGGTGCCACCTCGAGGCCGCGTGCCGGCGAAAGGGGCATCGTCCTCGAGGCCTGTATTGACGACGGGCTGTATACTCGTATCTCTGCGATTGGCTGATCGGAATGCGTACGTACAGCTCGTGAGAGAGTCTTCATACGAACGAATGAATGAATCAGAGGGGCCAGGATGGGCTATGTTGTGCCACAGGCGTTTCCGGAATGTCAGCGTAGCGTAGCTTATCGTTGAACCCACACCAGTGTGTGCCCACTCACGTTTCATCGGATGTTTTTTTCTTTCTTTTTCACGAGGGCCCCTATCAGCACCCCAAAGTCGAGACCTCACTCGATTAATATTATATTACTAGCTTGGATGGTACGTACAACAACGTTGTGTTTAGAGTTTGATGCTCCTCGCCCTCCCTGGGGTCCTTGCATTCGACGCGAATGGCAAGTCGACCTGCAAATCCCAGCAGGGACGTGCCCGTCGTCCCGCTCCCCCCTCCCCGAGGACGATCGCACAGCCTCGCGCCGGCGGCAACGGCCCATTCGTCCGCCAACTGCGCATCCCGCCTGGAGTCGTGTTTGCCTGTTTAAGAGGCCGACCCGTTTCGCCCGCGGCCAACCCGCGCCAATGGAGCGGAGTGACCCAGGAGAAAATGGTTCTGAGATCGGAGAATGGACGGACATTGCAGGACGAAACTCCGTCCAATGCCTTCTTCTCCAGAGAAACTAGTCTTATATAAATATATCTTTAACCTTGCAGAGAACACCGCCGCAGCATCGTCGAAGCGCGTGTTCGCGAGATTATCCGTCGCATTCACAGATCCGTGGCGTGCTCCGGTCGTGGATCGAGATACTCTGCTGTTTCAGGAAAGTTCTTTGCCAATGCCTCGTTCAACAGCCTGTGGTATGACTGCCTCGTGTCAAGCCACTGAGGATCCCCGCCATTCAACAACGACAACTCACCTTGAGGGCAGCTATCTTGCCATTCATAAACTGATTTTCAGTCGCAGCCCGCTCTAACCGCTCCTTAGTCAGCTGCATCGGATTGCGTGCGTTATCGATGTCCGCCAGCACCTGCAACGGAACCATCGCACGAATGCCCTGCGACATGTCGTCAATCGTCGCCAATTGACGCACGACATCATTGCTGCCAAGTTCTCTTTTCAACAAAAACATGAGACCATGAGAACCGCCTTACGCTCTCGCACCAACTTGCTTGGGCTTGTCACGCTCTTTAGTGGAATCGTTGATCACCGTCGTACCCAGATTGTACAGTGCTGTAGCCACCCCAAGCAACTCAAGCTCTAGATCACCCTGCACACCAGCAGGTGGAGGAGACTGTGACGATCGTGGCGAGTCCGGAGCGTGTGGGTTCACGGAATCGGATGGAAACGACATGTTGGAAGCTGGCAGTGCAGAGTCGAGAAAGAACAGTTTCATTATCAAATCTATCATGTAATGTCTATATAAGGAATGGATCCAACTACTAGGGTTAGGGTTAGGAAAATAAAAGAGCAAAAAAAAGAGGGGGGCCTGCCCAGCCAGAGTGGCCATGGCAGGACTGGAAAATATTGAGACGGTGCATGAGCCGAAGCCCATACAAACCGCAGGCACCCTCTGGGGACAGGGTCGCCGTGCAATGGAAGGTCCCCACGGCCCACAAACCTATGTCCATGAAGAGGCTTGTGCCATCAAGGTAAGTATGAAGAAACACCAACGTCCGTCGAGGGCTTATATACACCTGACAGCGACGCACGGACCATGTGGCTACCCTTGCATGGAACTTTCCTTTTTCGACATGGTCCACTTACTCTTTTTGGAAGCTTTGCCTAGCACGTCGGTCGTCCTTTGCACGATGGCGGCCCACTAATTAACTACCAGGTGACCTCTCGTCTACGCCATTCATTGTCCATAAAACGAGTCCGATGTCACTGCCCTCTGAGATAGTGTTGGGATTACCGCGGTGCGCCGACCAAAGTCAAACGTGTGAAAATTTGTGTCGTCAAGAGTTTGCAAAACACCGGTAGTATACTGCAGCTCGATGCGCAGACCATGCAAAGGTCGGTAGCACGCTTCCGCATCGCACCTGCTCTAGTTTATGGCTGCGCCGTCCGCGTCACCGCAAGACGCTTTTCTGCCGCCGTCCCACTCCCAGAGTCATTCCCGGGTATCGTCCGCGGTGACGTGCATGATTCCGGTTCAACACCTCATAGCGTGTTGCGGGAACGAAAATTCAACGCACTCGTAAACAGCCTCTCTCAAGAGACTCCAGACTCTTCCGAAGTTTGGGCTTGCTACGTCGAATGCACCAACAACTTCGACCACCATGATCTCCCACTCGAAATCCACCAAAAGGTTCTCCGTAATTGCGTTCCCGATCCTTCCGTCCTCCGTCCCACTGCTGCCAGTGGTATGCGCGGCGGCGCACCTCCGCGTGCGCCTCACGTGTACGAAGCACGACTCAAGACAGTCATTCGGAATATTCGTCTCATGGGCGAGACACCCGCCTTGGAGGACTATCACCACATCCTGGCACAGTTTGCAGCAGTGGGACATTATACGGGCTCCATGCAAGTTTACAGCGAACTAAAACACGTCCATAAGCTCCAACCGACCGATCGCACCGTGGCCCTCTGTCTGCGCTCGATAGCACATCGACTGTCGCTGCCAATGTATAAGACACAGCGACAGAGGATCATGAACGACGCGATGAGCTCGTGTCGGAAGCTGCTAGAAGACTTCAAGTGTCTGGACATACCCATCACGTCTGTCGTGCTCGACCTCACCATTCGCATATTGAAGGACACAGCCGACGAGGGGGTGTTCTCGCAGGTCATGAAGATGGGATACGGCATCGATTTGGACAATTTGGATAGCAACATCGCACCCTCGGATAGTCAAACCATCTTGCCATTCTCCACTGCTGCGCTCAACACGACCCTCGACATGCTCGGCCGCTTCGGAAACATCTCTAGGCTCGTACAGGCATTCGAGGTCCTCACGCAACCTCTCCCTCCCCAAGCAAGCCGTCTTTACTCCATGGAGTTTGACGACGAAGACGATTTTGGAGACGTCAATCCTGCTTCCACCCAGCCTTACCACAGTCCACATGCATCGCCTAACACAACCACATTTAACATCTTGCTCAGACATGTCGCCCGTGCTGGACATACAACATTTGCCAGACACTATCTCTTACAGGCGTCACGGCTTGACCGCATTTCGGACAGATCGCTCCGGGCTCAACTGTATTATACGCCAGAAGATGTGGTCCCTGTGCAACTCGCGATCAACCGAGAAATGATTCTGTCTGTCCTTGGCTTGGCCAATCGGAGTAGGGATCTGACGTTGATGAGGTTCGTCGGAGTGATCACGCGTCGGGTGTATAAGAGGAAAACACAAGATATCCACTATTATACCCACTTAGAAGAATGGCTCCAGCACGATTCCTCGCCTTCTCGCCCTTCGTCATCGTTAATGCCTTCGTTGGATAGTTACTCATCTGATGCCCATTCTTCCCCCTCTCCCTCCGAAAGTCCCGGTGACAAATCTTCGTCAAACGAATCAACCACTCCCCCAAAACGATTCAAAATGTCCACCCACCTTGCGGTACTCCAAAAGGATCTGAACGATGTAGCGACCTTCTATGTAGACGAGTACCTTCCCGCATATGCCCGCATGAGCCAGCGTATCAAGGAGCGCCTCAGCCGGCGGGTCCGGAACGACAAGGACGTCTACCTCTCTACGAGGGGTCAACGAACTAAGGTGTTGGCAGAGAACTGGACAGAGATAGTCAACTACAAAACGGACAAGGGCGAGGTGGCAAATTCCCTTGGTACCGTCGACTCAGGGGGCAGGTCGGGTGCGAAGAGGCGAATGGGCGGTAATGGGTCTAGAGGACTTGCAACGATCGCCGCGGTGGGATGCAATGATTTTATACCGCCAGTTCCCCCGCTAGGTTTTTGTAAGTTGGTGAACAGACTATTTGCTAGTGGTTATTGACGGCTATCTTTCTCTAGTTGACCCTTCATACCGTGAGAGCTGAACTCAGCTGGCACTCAAGAGCAGGCACGAGGGTCGGTAAGCCGTGCCCCGGCGGCGGGTGGGAAGGTTCGAGTATTTTATGTATCATTAATGGACCGGAATGCGTTGAGTTCCAGACCCTGACATCACGGATGCGAATTTGCAACTGTCGTACAACCAGCAAGTCTACTGCAATTTTCCCTGGTCGATGGCACGGTCACTAACTACTTTGTTCATCGCGTCCAACCATACGCAAATATCAGCTTGAGATCCGTTGGGTGACATCACACCTGGAGATGCGGTGCTTCTGGAAACACTCACTCCTCCAATGTACTGAGCAAGTGCAAGCACAGGTAGTCGGCGGAGAGCACGACCAGAAAGGCCCTGTTCCTTCGAAGTAAATGAGAATCTTACCTTCATGTTACCAGAAGTTGGTGGTGAACTTACCCGACACATATCAGCAAGCTTTAGCAGCGCTCTGCCTATCCTCTCTTGCTCAGCGCGTAGCGATGCCGTGGTATCGCTCGATGAGTGGCCGTCAGTACACCAGGTATTTTCTTCTACAAAGATCGCATCCTCCAACGACGGGACAATCTATGGATTTCCATCAGGCCAAGCCCTTACAGGCAGAATAGGATATAAGGCACTCGAGGCACTCACTACATGCTGCAGCAACCCCTTGGCGACGAATTCGCACAGGGCACTCCGCAGGATCTCATATATTGCTTGGCGAGGAGGCATGCCCACGTATTGGACGATGTCCGCACGGTCCACAAAAGCAGAGTCTACATTTTATACGCAATAACCATAAGTAACGAGCTTTCGCATTTTCGCATAATATAGACCTATCGCTTTTGCAAGATTGCTGGTCGACATCACGAGAACATTCTTCCGACGCTTGAGCTTGTCAAGCTGTGTAAGGAGAGCGTTGACTACCTGGAGAGATGATAACATCCATAATGCAGAGTCGTGCTGGAGAACGTACTCGTAAACCGTCGGATGGTTCAGTTCCGGCCATCGCTCCCGCCCTAGCTGCCGTCAAGGATTCGACTTCATCTAAATGGAAAAGGGGGTCATTGGAATGCGTGGAACATAATGTATCCAGGAAAGATTATAAGTAACCTATGAGAACCACAACGAAGCAGTCTTCGTCGTCGACCATTTCTGCGATGTTGTTGAACAGGCGTTGCACGAGCTTTCCCGACTCAGAGAACCATCGCGAGAACAAAGAATGCGAATTAATCTCGAGTAACCGGGCTTGGGTATAACTGTCATATCCACGATCCCGTCGGATAAGAACATATCAGAGTGAACATCGGCGTACCGATGCGACAGTCGTATCGACAGTTTCTGTGCCAATGCGCGGCAAAGGGAGGTTTTTCCGGTTCCTGGAGGGCCATGGAGCAGTACGACTCTATTCCAAGAAACCAGATTGACTGGATATATCAGGAATGCTGCGAATCTTCGACCGGCACCAGTGTGTACTTACAGTCGATATTGGCGTCGCTCAGGACAAAGGTGGCGTGTATATAGTCCAGAAGCTTGAGTTTAATATTGTCTGGGTAGTACAGACTGTCCCAAAGGCCCTCCCACGATTTACACGGGAGCTCACATACGCTGGCGGCATGGACCTGATCGGCACCCTCGGCATCTGTGCCATTGGAATATTCCTCGACAATGTCAGACTCTGAAGGCTGGTACGTATGAATCTGCAGGGACAGTTCGTCCAGGGGGAGAGAATTGGCGGGACAAGAAGATTCGGCTACTACGATGCGTTCGACGGAAGACGCCAGTGCGGAGTCGACATCCCAGCCATGCAGAACAGAGGGGAGAGAAAGACGCTCATATGAGGATTGGATGAACTCTCGTACAAGGTTCTGGATGATGTCCACTCTTCTTCTTGACTTCGGCGCGAGGCGGACTTCGACTGGTAAAGGGTGAGCATGGCTCCTAATGTCAGCGAGAGCCACTTTACCATGCACTGTCCATCGCATCAAAGGCCCATTTGCAGTCGAGTCAGAGGTGGGTATGATTCCGTCCATTGGAGTATCCAAGCTCTGCAGCGCGAGTACTTGAACGCGTCCGACGATATGATCACATGACCGCACGGTAATCTTATCAGCTGGCAGCAACTCTAGTGGCCTCCATGATGGAGTCCAAAGACAAGGGTGAACAGCGTGAAGATGCTCTCCTCGACCCTGCCACCTTCCTTCCACCAAGTCCACTCCCAGCACCCACTGTCACGATCGAGTTTTGTGACAGAGTACGCTCGAATTAACGCCAGAAGTAGTGTGCCTACTGACATAACTCATTACAGTGCCGCTGGTATGCTCCTGTTCAAAGCTGGGACGCGGACGTAGGTTGAACTTATGGTCAATATAATAATCATATAGGCTGCATCGTGCGACATGGGTATCTACTGAGCTTCTCTTGACCTTCCCGCCCCCGACGCTGAAGGCTGTAACTGTGATGCCATTAAGTGCAGACGACACTGCTGGACGCTTCCGCATCTGGCTCAATGTCGAGGATGGCCCGCCAAAATTGATGTGGGACAGGAAGGCCGAAGGTGGCTTCCCCGAACTCAAAGTTCTGGTGAGCAGACTCGGTGTTATGTTTGATCCTGCCCTTATCCTGAGACTTTCCAGAAACAGCGTATCAGGGACTTCATTCAGCCCGGAATGTCTCTTGGCCATTCAGACAAGAAAGCGTGAGGGAATAAGGGGATATTATGGCTGACAATGAGAGTGGCCAAAGTGTATTTTAGTCACGTATCCCGGAAAGGTTGTACATAAGGCTAGCAAAAGCTATTTTCTTGGGTGCAGTCGCACTCCTCCGGCTGCCACATGACACAGTGTGGGTCGGTGGACGTCAGCAAAACTTATTGAAAAGCCCAGCTCAGACTGGCTTGAGTTTGCTCTTCATTACCACATCTTTTGACAGTCTAGCATGAGCAACGATCGGCTCGAAAAACTCATAAATCAATGCAAAAATAACGGTGAGCATACCCCGTCTATGGCTACAAGATTGTTCACGCTTCCTAGATGTCGATAGCAAGGTCGGTGCAGTTACAAAACTACAGGCCGAGTTCGAGGCAGAGGTTGAGGTAGGTATTGGGTTGTTCAAGTCGTGCATCCTGTGCTGAACGGAATCTCGGCGACAAAGATCCCAGACCCGGAACCACTCATCACCACCCTCAAGTTGTGTCTTCGGCACGCAAACCAGCATCTGTCTACTGCAACGCTTTCCGCGTTGCCACCGTTCTTGAATCTTGTAGTGGCAAACAGTACTCGTGCTCGGCCGTTTTCTCCCTCTTTGTCCACGTCGTCTGCCTCGGGTTCGGCCATTGACGTGGTTACCCTGCGGCATGTCATGAGTGCATTCCTTCCATCCCCTGGTGTCATTGAGCGACTGGGGGATAGCCGCGAAAAGGCTCGAGACAAGGCGCGCGAAACGCTCGTCATGATCGGCGGATTCGCATTCCGCTGCTCACCGTCAGGATCGAGACTTGTCACCTTAAAGACAGCTGAAACACCCATTGCAATGTTTGAAAGGCTTTTGAAGGAGAACGGATTGAGCAGCAAGGTCTGGAGAGTTCGGGAGCAGGTAATTCCTTCTTTACGAGTTGCTTAGGCAGACGGATTGATGATATTCTCGCAGGCAATCCTCGTCCTCGCCCACATTCGTCGCAGTCACCCAAACTTTCCTATACGGCCATATCTGTCGCTGCTTGTGGACTCTCTGGAGGATACCGACAGCAATGTTCGTGCCTGTGCAATTCCGGCCGTCACCGAGCTCTTCACTGGCCCAGGTGTGACAGACGCTGCACGAGCAGACCTCAAAAAAGAGATGGCAAAGAAAAACGTCCGCAAAACGATCGTGGATAGTGTTCTTTCGAAGCTGATGAACAGTACGCGGAACACAGGCGCGAGTACACCGCAAAGCGAATATTCCGATTACATGGAACCTCTTCGGAAAGAGCCTGCTCCATCCAATCTAACGTTGCAAAACAGGCGTCCCACAGTTACAGTTTCGTCGGGCGATCCTAGTGTCGCTGCACCCATGGCCCGTTCGGTGAGTCACGGGAGCGCAAGGGAGGCTTCACGGCCTGCAAGTCGAGCAGCAATGGTAGTTTCACCAACTCTCTCTCAACCTTCGAATGAATCGATGAGCCCTAATGCAGCAGCGGTAGAACCTGCCTTCGTGGGTAGTGCCGCTTTGTCATGTTTTAACTATCCTGATCCATACACAGATAGCATCGAGTAGGGATTTAGAGAATGAATTTTCCGCTATGACCAAGCCTTTCGAGGTGGGAAAAATTATAAATTTGCTATACCTCGCGATGAATATTTTCATCAGGGTAGAGAAACTGAACACAACTGGGCCGCACGTGAGCGTGCAATACAGCGAGTGCGGGGGATGCTCAAGGGAGATGTCCACACAAGATACCCAGAGGTCTTCTTGCAGTGCCTCAAGGACGGATTCATACAGAACTCTATGAAAACTGTGGGCCCGTCCTTTCTTTCTTAGGATGTTGCTGATGGGGACTCGTGATTTGTTCAGCTTGCGAGTTTGAGGACAACTGTAGCTGCCAACACATGTTCACTTTACGCAGAGCTTGCTCTCTCCCTTAAAACGGGAATCGATCCGTTCTATGAAACTATCGTCGTCAACCTTGTCCGAATGGCAGGTTTTACGAAGAAGATCATCGCTCAACAATCACAGCAAACCCTCGCGGCGGTCGTCCAATATGCTTCGCCACACCCTCGCACTCTTCTTCCTCTACTTTCCAGTACGCTACAAGACAAGAACGTACAGACACGAGTTTATGCGGTAGGTCACATCAAGGACTACATCCAGGTTCATGGTCTCCGTTCAAAGTCGTACATTGAATCTGCGGGCGGACTAGATATTATAGAAAAGTCTCTTAGGAAAGCACTTGCGGATCCTAACCCCGGCGTTCGAGAGAGTGCTCGTGGACTTTTTTGGGCCTTCAACGGGGTTTGGCATGAGAAGGCCTTGATAATTCTAGAGTCACTGGACGCTACAGCCCGCAAGCAGCTCGAGAAGGCCTGTCCAGACCCTGAGACTGTTGCTGTACTTCCGCCGACCACCCCAGCCACAAAGAAGAGCAGTGTAGCGGCGGCTATTGCTGCCAGTCGTGCAAAATCGAAGTCGAAAGCGATACCGACCTCGCCGCCTACTCTCAGACATCAGGCGACCTCTTCATCACACTCGACGCAAGCTACTTCGCCACCTGCGAAGAGGAAGGTGGCTTCACCGAGCAGTCCAACCCCTAAATCTTCTGATGGAAGGAGCTCGCCTTCACCGGCACCTCGACCAGTCACATCTCCTCGTTCATCTCTGTCGCACCCAACACATCCGAGGTCCCGCGTTTTATCTCACAACGCGGGCACGCTAAGGTCTGTTAGCGCGTCGGCATCCACTTTTGTAGTCCATTCTTATCCACCTTCGGATTCCATGCCAACGAGTCCTACCGACGCAACGCGTCGCCGCACTTCATCTCCTCTTGTACCTGTGTCGCCTCCAGGCCGCAACTCTGCCGTGCGTCGGGTCACGCAGCCACGCCTACACAGACCTCACGATTCAAGTGTACCTAGTCATCCAGTTGCTCGGATGGGTGTCGTTCCAGTTCCCGTCCAAGAACCACCTGCTGCGCATAGTATTGACGACGAAGAGTCTCTCCTCATGCCCGTTAATATACCTATCCCAGATGATAGCGATTCGGACATGGGAGATTCCGACAACTTAATATCTTTCTCTACGCCGTATAAGATGTTTCCCCCTACACAGCGTGCGGCTTCCCGTGAACCGTCGTTTTCAGGGGTTTCGACGCCGAACACGGTGTCTAACACACTTTCTGATTCACCCGGGAAGCCGAACGAACATCCACCTGTGGAAGATGCTCTCCGGGCTCGCGCGGAACAGGCGCAGAGTGCCGCTGAGCGACTTCTGGAGTTGACTGATTCTGAGGAAGAGGTTGATAGGCACCCTGTGATCCCGGCATCATTATTGCTTGGAAGTGGCACCATCGCACAGAACCTGGGGAGGCCAGCTGTACCGGCCACGCAGAAGAGCCTTGCGCCTCCAATGACACCTGATAGCCACAATGCCGCCATCTTCCGTCAGGCAGCTCTGTTTAAAAACAGCCCAATCAATGGCAACAAACCAGCTGACCCTCTGATTAAACCTTTAAAGGATCAATCTCATGAAAGTGGTTGGTGGTTGAAGAGAGCATCTAGTCAGTTCTAGTTTGTCACGTGCTTGGTGTATATTCTGATTCTGCGATGCACAGCGATTGATCATGGCACGCCGTTGAGGGGAGTTGAAATCGAAGATAGATTACAAGAGCTTCACGAATATATTATTGCGCTCGAGAAAGGCGATGCTGACATACGTGTTCTTCAAAAGTTGTCCCTGGTGTGTACGAACAATCCCATCCCACCAGATTCTGCCTCGCCTTTGAGTCCCGGTCTTGGCCTACCTTCAGCCACATCCCCATTCCTTGCAGTGACTCGTTCTCTGCCGCCGCTGATCCCCGATATGTGGAAAAAGGACAAGAACTTCGAGCGTCTGTTTGATAGCCTAATGAAATTCTTGCAGCCATCCAAGGTGGGTATATTTTGTTTAATCGCTCGAACTTCCCCTTCCACCCTTTTCTAGGACGGTCAACTCCTTGAATACGCTTTGGTCGTTGTTTGGGAGTTGATTGGAAATCAGGCAGCCCTCTTAGACGGCCGGGAATCAGATCTGTTCGCTGCATTATTCAGAGTGCGTTACTCTAACACGGCGGAAGTAAGTAGGATCCGCACACCGCTTCAGAGTACTGATGATGTCAGGTACTCGAAGCCACAAAGACTATCCGTGATGCTCTCGCGGCGCGTATTGAACCTGTCTACGGTCTTACGACAATGCACAGCAGTCTACGATCTTTTCTTGCGGAACCGGCGTCAGACCCTTCGGTTAAGGCTGGGTCACATGCGTTCGGTTTGATCGCGCTCGGAAAATTCATTCTTCGGCTACCTGCGGAGGTCTTGGAGGAAGAACTGCCAAGGCTCAAGCAAACATTCATTGCTGTACGCTCCCTCATTTAGGCCATTACGAACTGCTGATGGACGTTTACTTTCTCTCAGGCGCTAAATGATGTCTCGACGCTCGTCGCACGCGAAGCTGCATATGCTGCTATAATTGCTGCGCAGTTGGTCTTGCGGGATGAGGGACATCTATTTGCGCTCCTCGACGGGCTCGATGACAACAAGAAGAACCTCCTGACTTACTACTTTGAGAAGCATGGTGCTCGGGGGCTCGATTTCGCTGTGACGTCGGGGGGAGGTGCAGGAATGACGAAGCTCGAAGGACAAATGGGAAGGCTTGACAAGTTGATGAATACGCCGCGAGGAGGACAGGGCAAGGAATGACGCGGGCATGTTTCACTAGCGCTTGCCATCCTCCAGTTTTCGTTTTTTATGCTTGTCTATTTGTATTCCTCTCCTCGTTCGCCCATATCACTCGCAATATACCCACCTATGTCAGTCCTGCCGATTACCACTACATCCTTGTAATGTGATTGGAAACCTTCATGTTCTTGCCTGCATGTTTTTAGATACCATTTCCACCCATTTGTTCCGTAATAGATGAAAACGACCTGAAATGGTAAAGATTGCTTTCTGTTTTTCTGGTTCATCGCCGAAGGGCAAATCTCCAGACGTAGTACCCAATGCCCGTAAGCAACCCACCGACGTGCCCAGCCGAATCCGTCGTAGTGCGCTGTACATCATTTAATTTCAGTCACAGTCTCAGATATCATCCTGGCCAAAGAATACGCACCTTGTCCGAAATACTGCGCCATCCATCGTAAAGAAGGATACCAGGAAGGAACACCCACGCCGGGCAGGGGATGACGAAGAAAATTAAAAAGGTGTTGTTAGGGAATGCACATGCATACAACGCAAGGGTAGCCATAATTGCACCTAGCGTGAACGTCGCAAAGATATTAAACACAGATAGATAGTATGAAAATGGTGACATACCACTTGCACCATGAGAGGAGACGGGTTCATGTCTAACGAAGGTATTCCACGCTAAACTAGCGAAGCTTGAAGATATGCCACCTGCTCAGCGCATCGGTAAACGCGATCTCGGCGGTCGACGGTCAAAATGCAAACCCAGGAAGTAAAGGACAAGGAATCGTTTGTTCCCTAACAGCCGCATGACCGCCGGTGCCATGAAGTAAAAGGTCAACCCATTAAATAACGCATGTGAGGTATCCTTGTGCGAGAAACAGGCAGTGAGAAGTGTCCAGCTGTGCAATCGGTAAGGGAACGGTAATTCATGGAAGCCAATGGGTAACTGACATACGCCCCGCGGATATGTTGCGTATGTCTACAAGGAAATTATTCCTCAGAAACATCAACGGGGTTGCATCACCCATCACCCGCTAGTGCAAGAAAAACACAGTGGTAACTGATCACCAAGAGATGCTAGGGAGTGAAAACACGTACATAGCTAGAGATGGCACTCTGCCACGCAAGGTATACACCAACATTGATGGCGATTATGCCGTAGAATATGACATTGCTGTCTAGCGAGCCAAGCCAATCCCGACGAGGTGGAGGTCTACCCCATCCGGAAGAGCTGCCGCGGTTGGGCCGGAGACCGTCTCTGTGAGTCGCGTTCAAAGCCCTTGTTCGGGCGAATTGAAGAATGCCCTGGAGAGGTTTTGATAAAATGACACTGCCAGCCACCACGGTGGAGTTGAGTAAGGGCTTGCGGAAGACTTCCACAGGGAAGTTGAGTGAGCATTTTCCATTGAGTGGACGGAAACTGGGCTCAAAGAAACGAATACCGCACGGTCGACGACCGATAGGAGCTCGCTTGGACAGTAAGATGGCGATGTTGGCCATCGTGGTGACTGGCATGGTGTGTGAGGTGGCGAGACACAGGGGGCCTTGCCACGGTCGCCGTGTCGTCGACCTTACTTGCTTCGCAAACACCATTATTGCAAAGGCACTACTGGGACCATGTCGCACCATCTATTCCTGCTGTCGCCGTCAGACACGCCAATCTACAGCTTGACGCATTACTCTAGCAAGCCAGCTCAATCGACATCATATCCATTGGCGTCGAATCTACCAACGTGGTCTACGTCTGCATTCGCAGGGACGCTTACTGCGCTATCTGGAGCATCAAGTGCCACGCAGTCGCACCATGTGCCTGGAGGGGGTGTGAAGATGGGAGGAGGACAAGACCGGCATGTGGTGCAGATGATTGCCAATGCCAGCCTTGATAACATCGAAGATGTGATGCGGAGAGAAAATGCGATGTATGAGTGCCCTGCTTCACGAATGAATGAGATCTATGAAATGGTGACATGACAGGTATCTAAAGTCTGTGGACAAATTCAACGAGTGGACGGTGTCTGCATTCGTCACGCCTGGCAGTAAGTGTGGTGCTTGATGTGGTTTCAAAGCTGAGGGAGGTTGGTACGCCTGCAGATGTGAAATTCGTACTGCTGCATGATCAAGCGAAGAACGATGAGGGGATCCGGGCGTTCTTCCACGATGTGTGGGAGCTCTACGTGAAGGTGAGCAGTGCCATCCATCGGGCAGGCCAGGTGATCGACGAGGTGGTTGCAGACGATGCTGAATCCGTTTCACACCGCACACACTGTCATACGGAGTGCAGCATTTGATGCACGTGTCAGGGCCAGTGCGAAAAAGAACCTCTGAACAGGACAGGAGACAAAAGGATTTACACGTGGCCCCGTAATAAGATGTGATTGTAGCGTAGTTCGAGGCTGTAACTCGGAACCGGACAGCCACCCAGTCTTGATCGTTTTCAGGCGTCGTCGCCCTTCCACTAGCGCTTGGCCCTTGCTTTCTCTCCCTCCAAACCCATTAGCTGTTTCGACTTTATCTCTGAATCCTTCAAGAAAACAACATTTTTTTTTTAAAAAAAAGAGGATCTTCTGCTTTCTTCTCTCCGTAATTATACTCCTTCGCAGGCCAAGGCTAGTGGTGTGCACGACGTCGTCCACCTCAGACAAAACAGAATCCATTTCTTCAGTTTCTTTTCTTTTTTTATATATACCACCCTCAGCTGCACCAGTGAGTCCGCCATCTGTCGTCCTTGGCCCTCCCTCATCGTCCTTCAGCTGTATCATCTGTCACCTATAAGCACCCTAATCGCCCATTTCATCGTATTGTCTCCCGCTCCGTGTGCTACTATTGCTGTCTTTCCAGGCGCTCTCCTCTCGTATCGCTCTCTACCACCTCACTCGTCTTGAAATACCGCTATGGCCACCGCTCATCATACCAGTCACCGTGCCTCCCTCCTCAACGGCCTTCGTACTGGCGGTGTGCGCTCTACCTCCATGAGTGCCCCCCACACCGCTGCTCCCGGCGCTTCCTTCAACATCCCTCGCTTTGCATCCACCTCTGGTCACCAGTCCCCTTTCGACGAGGAGGACCTTGACCAAGTGGGCGAGCTTTTCACTCAGCAGCTTCACATCCACAATAACAATGGTCTTTCTGGCGCCGGCCCGTTCACCCGCGCACTCGACGGTTCGAATAATGGATTTGTGCGGCAGCGACTTGCCAGTCAGAAGGGTCTGAACCCGAACAGCGTTCCGTTCAGCCCGGCTTACTCCCAGGAAGTCCATCAGCCGGTTTCTTCCGCCGACGCACAGCTTCATGCATACCAACAAATGCAGCTGATGCAACTCGAAATACTGCGCCTGCAGGTCAGCCGTTTCTCCTGAAACTGGGACCATTACTCACATAATTCCCAGAACGCCCAGATGCAGCGCAACCATCAGGTACAGGCCGTTGTCTTAGCAGAGGCTCTCCGCCAGCAAGCCAAGCGTGGCGCCTCCGGCCTGAGCTCGGCCGCCCCCACCATTTCCAGCTTTGACATTGGCCCTAACCCTCCAGCTCGTCGCCCTTGCCAGGCTGAACTGCTGAAGGCTCAGTTAGGGATAAGTGGTACTTCCCCTCAAGAGAAAGTCCCGATGACCGCCACTGCTGGCGGGCGATATGGCTCTAGGCCCACTGCCAGTACGATTGCATTCCCATCGGCACCAGAAGTTCCCGAGAGCTGTTCACCCCCCAGGCAGACTTTCGTTCACCGAGCCGCGTCCTACAGGAGCTCACCACCTCTGAGTGATGCTGCCGACGAAGAGAACGCGCCTTCCAAGTCTGATACTGCCACTTCCTGGAGACGCGGGAGCACGACCAATTCCGTACTCAGTGGTTTACGGACTACTTCTACTGCTTCACTCCAAGTCAAAGTTACTCCCCCGCCTGGTGAGCGCCTCTCACCGCCTCCTGCTGGCAGTTCGCTTGGCAAGCTCCGGCCGCGCCCGTTGAGTTTCATATCCACCGGTGCCCGCGGTGTTCCCACCGTTACCATCGATTCGGAGCATGAGGATACAGTGTCCCCAGCAAGTTCGGCTTCCTTGTCGATCCCTTTGACGCCTTCGTCTTCCCACGATATCGCATTCCTTTCTCCCCGCGAGGAAGCCACGAAGAAGTTGTATGAAGGGCTTGGGGTTGGTCGTCCCGCGCCTTCCGTCGTTCCCAGCCTCCCATTGGCGCCGCCACAGAGACTCGTTAGTCAGCCCATTAGGCAACCTCGTGGACCGCCCTCTGGCGCTGATGAACTTGGTCCGAAAAACTTTGCCAGTAGGATCAGGCGTAGGGCCATTGGTGGACTCAATGTGCTCATGGATGCGCGTGAGCGCCGGGAGTTCGATCGAGGTTTACTGAGAGCATCACGAAAACTGCGAAGGTCGCAACCAACAAGCTTTTTCTTTCGATTTTTTCTTTCTCTAACGCTTTCGATTCATGCCTTCCATTCCTTGTCGCTTCAAGCAACCTATCTGTTCGGCGCTCCGACTGCTGGTAGCAGACCATCGGAGGCACGACCCAAATAATGGACACGTGTACCCACGTCATTTTTCACCCTTACCACCCTTCAAACTTTATCCAACGGACCTGTGTTACCACCGCAGTCCTCTGGTCTACTTTCAACCGACCTGTCTCGTCTCTTGACCGTACGTTCTTTTTGTGAACCGTTAGTTGTAGAAGTAGGCAGATTGGGCGTTCAGGTGCAATGGGAAGTTGATCTTCCTTCACCTACGTGATAAAAATCATTTCGATGCTCACTCTCGTGTTCACCGTCGAGAATTGTATTGTTTGATGTGTGTCCTGTTCATGAAGGCGTGCAACTTTCTGAGTGACTGCACTTGAAGTCCGTGCTTATGTCAGTTCGGCAGAACTACCAATTTTTCTTTGGTACCACTAGGTATCAAACAACATGGCAATAACGGAGGACAAGTCGAGGCGGAACAAGAGGAAAGTGCGTGAACTGGAGGTGGAAACGAAGCCTGCCTTCAGTGACGCGGTAAATTTGGACATGGTGAGCGACGACGAGGGAGGCGGAGATGACGATCAGGACGCGGACACCGACCATGAAGTTGAAGACTTTCCGGAGATTGACACGGGAAGTGACAGCGAGGTGGGAAGTGAAGAGTCGGAGGAGGACGAAGAGGATGAAGTGAGCGAGGAAGAGGAGGAGGACGAGAGTGAGGAAGATGAGGACCCGTCCGAAGAAGGGGATTCTGGCTCAGATTCTGCCATTCATATATTCCCCAAAGTCAAGTCCACTATTTCGAACATTACAGGACGACCAAAACGCGTATACCCAGAGATTGAGCCAGACTACGAATCGGATTCTTCTATTGAGGACGTGGGTACGCTTATGGCCCGTTCTCGTACGTCGTACTCATGACGGCGTTATTTAGGACCCCAACCGCATTGGCAACATCCCCTTGCATTGGTACGATGATCTTCCGCACATAGGCTACGACATCAATGGAAAACGGATCCTCCGACCCGCTAAGGGGGATGAGCTAGACAAATTCCTCGAGACGATGGAAGACCCAGCTTCCTGGTACGTACATCCGGAAAAGCTCTTCCTCAACTGATATCTGGCCCAGGACCTCTGCATTTGATAAGAACACGCAAATGAACAAGCCCTTGACAGCCGAAGAGTTGGAAATCATTCACAGGCTACAACTGGGCGAGAACCCCGATGCTGCCTATGATCCTTATGAACCCACAGTGGAGTGGTTCACTGGGAAGGGAAAGGAAGAAATCATGCCCCTATCTGCCGCACCTGAGCCCAAGCGCAGGTGGCTTCCCAGTAAGTGGGAAAAACAAAAGGTATTTCTGGTCTTGTAGCCATCATTTTGAGCATACCTATCGGTTGTTACAGATCATGAAGATCGTCCGTGCCATACGTCAAGGCCGAATTGTAGGCTCCAAGCCCAAAACTGCGCAGAATACACCACAGTTCTATGCTATTTGGAATGAACCTGCGTCGAATCAACCTCCGCCTCTCCCTGCGCCAAAGCTGCCGCCACCCACTCACGCCGAGTCTTACAATCCGCCAGAAGAGTACCTTCCTACAGAGGCAGAGCGCAAAGAATGGGAAAACGCTGAACCAGAGGATCGCGAGCGCGACTTCATTCCTCAAAAATACGCGGCGCTGCGACTGGTACCTGGATATGAACGATTTATCAAGGATCGCTTCAGCAGACAGCTGGATTTATATCTCGCCCCACGCGTGCAAAGGAAGAAACTCAACATCGACCCTAACAGCCTTCTACCTAAGCTACCGAGTCCCAGTAGCTTACGACCATTCCCGACATATCAAAGTCTCAAAGTTATACATCCTGGCAGTAGAGTAAGGTGTGTAAGCGTGAGCCCAGATGGAGCGTGGGTGGTCAGCGGCGACGAAACTGGTGTTGTATACCTTTGGGAAGTCATCGTTGGCCGCGAGGTGAAACGATGGGTGTTAGGACAGCAAGATCGGTGCTATTGAGTGGTGTCCCCGAACAGATGTCAGTTATTTTGTTGTCAGCGTGTACGTGTTGGTCGACCAGAAGCCCTGTGATCCTAAGCTAACGTTTCTAGGGAGGACAAGTTACTTTTCATCGTGCCACCAAACCTTCCTAGTGCGGTTCTTTCATCGACACAAAATGCACTTACACCTGCTCCTCTACCTCCTCCGACAACATCGCCCATCAAGTGGGCATCTACCTCTCGGGCAGAAGATGATATAATATTGACCATCACGCTCCCGGCTATATCAGGCCTGTCGAAACAAATAACATGGCATCGTAGAGGGGATTATTTGGCATCAGTCTGTGCGTACCTCCTTTTGTCACTGGTTTTTTGTCTTGTTTATCGTCCCCCATCTCCAGCTAGTAACGAAAGCCAAGTATGGATTCACCAGGTGTCCCGTAGACATTCTCAGGCCCCCTTCAAAAAAATTAAAGGCACCATTCAACTCGTTTTGTTCCACCCCATTAAGCCGCATTTCTTTGTTGCTGTAAGTTTACGGATCCTCGCGCACGTGCCTTCTTAAGCACGTCCCTTTCAGACACAGCAATATGTCCGGCTGTACGACTTAATGCAACAGAAGTTGATCAAAACGCTGATGCCTGGGATAAAGTGGATATCTTCCATGGATATTCATCCTTCTGGTGATCATGTTATCGTTGGCGGATACGACAGAAAGCTCTGCTGGTTTGATCTGGAGTTGAGCGAAAAGCCTTACAAAATCTTACGGTGAGTGCCCTCGTTACATTTTTGCGACAAGGGTAGATTATAAAGCTGGCACTTAGATACCACAGCCGAGCCATCCGTTCACTACACTTCCACCCAACATACCCCCTTTTCGCCTCTTCTTCGGATGATGGCTCCATTCAGGTTTTCCACAGCCGAGTATACAATGATCTCACAACTGATCCGCTAATTGTACCTCTAAAAATTCTTCGTGGCCACGACGTCAATGACGGGCTTGGCGTCCTGCAGGTCAAATGGGCAAACAAGCAACCATGGCTTGTGAGTGCAGGAGCAGATGGAAAAGTGGTTGTGTGGTGTAGTAGTAGTTGAGTCCGTTGACTTCGTACACATGTCATTTTCCATTCCAAGACGATGAGGATGTGATCAAGCCGTAGGTTCGACGGCTCCATCACTTCGTTGGGTACAGGTGTTACTTATACGAAGGCTTGGTATGTACGAAGACAGAATTGTGTCAAAGCCCGAGAATTAGGTACCGCACGCTCGTTCTGGGTTTGGGGTGATGCTATGGAGTGAATGTCGACCAAGGGGGGCGAAGACACTTCTGGATATTCAGAATTTCAGACTTGAAATTTGGAAGGTCATCTCCGCCGTGAAGGTCTCCCGGCTCTCCTCCGTGCTGCCAACTCCCCCTGGCGATTCATGCCCTTTCGTTTTGGTACGGGATCCATTCCCTTTGATTTCCGCCATTCTTCCCGCCGTGAACCACGGGGACCGTGAGTGGAAACATGATTAGATGCCTCTGGATTCGTTTGTGCCTGTTCTGACCCGTCCAGATCCATCGTATCTTGAAAGAAATCGATAAGGACAATAAAATAACAGCATCTTCCAACATACCTCCATGAGGTGTAGCACAGAGTGCTGGGTTACCTTGAGGAGACAAATATCAGTAACAGTTTTTCGAGGCAACAAGTGTGGAGGTGTGGATCGGGCTGATAAATCCACGAACCTTGGCCATCTAGTTTTGATGTTTCGAGACCATCATCGACCTCACTGCCTTCCTTATGCTGCTTGTTGATAACACCAGCGAGTTTAGCATTTAACCTGTTGAGACGAGCGGCGTCCGTTGCCGCGTATACGCCTTCTGTGCGTTTTTTAGTGCGAAATGCCCGCTTCACCTTTGAACGTAGTGACTTTGCCATGGGGGTCAAAAACTTGAAAGCCAGTACTCGTTGCCTCTTGCTAAATTTGGTTACCCACATATTCCGTCTCATACCATGAACACCTCTGACTATGCCACGGAGAGGTATCGAATGAGCACGCCTTGTACTTTGCTTTCCATATCTCCGTCTCTTGCAGCCTTGCATGTCGCCAGATTTCAAAATCTTCACCCTGAAACAGCTGGTAATCTAAGCAGTACACACTGTTCATACTGCGGGGCGTACGCATTTGACGGACAGGGTTCCACCTTCGTTTTGAGACGCAACAAAAAGAAGAAGCGGACGGGATATCCCAAGAGAGTGTACAGGAGGGTCTGTCATACGTGCGGACTTACTACCAACACTCTTGTCCCATGTCTCGATACGACAGCCATCACTCAATCAGATGCTGCGCCATCCCCACTCCCCTTGAAAAGAGCTCCAGATAGTGCAATAACCGATGCTTCACTGGATAAGTGCGACCTCCCTTCCAAGCAAGAGATTCCATCTCCGCAAACCTCGACGCTACCCACTCCAATCGAACACTCGCTTCCTCCCCGGTCAAGGAAAAGTCAGGAAAAGAAAGCACAGACCCTGCGTGAAATGCTTTCCCGTGACCGACAGAGGGAAGAGATCAAGAAGACACAGAAGAAAAATGACACTCAGGGAGGTTTGGCTGCTTTCTTGGAAGGTCTCTGAACGGCATGCTTCCGGGGTGAGCGGTTCGTCGAGTTTGCGGATTCTTATCTGAACTGGTCACCGCGTCAGGTCTGGAACCTTTCAACTCCGCGTCGGCGTGATTATCTATCGCACGTTGCACGTAATGAGCGGAGCTCTGTGATCGGCTGCTGCGCGAGAGGTAGGCGTGTGCTGCCTATGGCATTGAAGTAGGAGCACCCGAGACTTTCAGCAGAATCTGTACCTGATCTGAAAGCATTGTTTAGACTGCATATACCCTTATACTCACCTCTCAGAACAAGCCCTAGTAGAACATGAACACGAGGGACGCAGGACTAAATACCATCTACCATCCTGGACAGCGTTGGCGGATGTTCCGGCTAAACGGGTTCCATGTTACATATGAAGCCTAACGTTGCTTAATTCACTGTTTCTGTACCGATAGGTAAATCCTAGATCGTTTGGGCTGACTGACACTCTGTTCAGCGTTAGTGCGGATGAATCCACCTGGCCAGTAGAGGAACGTAAACTAAGTTGGCAATAACCAAAGGTAGGGCATCCAAAAGGTAGAAGTACACCTCTGCTGTAGCGAGGAAGCCTTGAAAACCGCAGGAATGCTAGGACATGGTTCCCCGAACGAACCTAACATTGTGATATGACGATGCCATGCCTCGGATCGGGAGAGTCACATACGAGAATACCGATGGAACTGATGATGAGAGCCCATGCCAAGGCACGCCAATCCCCGTACCGAGGTTTATGTCGGTCACATTTCCATACTTCTGGTCTCAGGGCGCAAACGTTGCTCAGGAAGCGAATAACAGTTGTAGAGAATGGTCCGCCAAGAAGACCTTGTACACAAGAGAGTTCATTAGTTGACTTTTGCAAACCACACCGAACAGACCCACGTTGTGTTCGCCCACTAAAGCTACGTTCCGACTGTGAGATATGTGGAGCCTCCTCCAGCGGCATGAAAAACAGTAACCCCGGCAGTCAGTGTGGGGCCTGAAGGTGACGAAGTACCTCACGAAGACACGCGTGATTCGTCGATCGGTAAGGGGATGTATTCCCCGCAGGCTAAAAATCCAGTGAGCTGACTGAGCAGAATATAATAAGCTGTTATGAAAGCGCATGGCCATACGAGATGGATTATGAGGCCAGCCAACTGAGGCCCATGCACATTTAAAGGAAGAACGCAAAGACAAAAACGACTGTGTAAGTGCAGTTGTTAATACCACTGCTATGTAGTGACGATCGATTGAATTCAACAATCGTACTAGCAAAAAGAAGACAAACATACTACATATAGCAATACCAGTTAAAAGGTTTTGAGGATTATTACTTAAGTCTAGTACGAATCCACAGAAATCACGATGGTGGGGTGCCAGGCATTGGAAAGGGTTCCGAAACAAAGGAATAATAGGGCTAGGAAGTATCTGGCACTTTTGAACAACGTTACCATTCCTGCAGACTCTGCAGGGGAGGGGGGGACAATATCATGCACCAATGGTAACGTGTGCAGCCTGTGCACGAAGGTTCCGGGACAAACTCTAGTATGAATTCTTCATGATTGATAACAGCAGACTAGTAGTGGGGTCACAAAACAAAAACGATTGCTTGGCAGGAAACCCCAAGGAAGCTACCAAGATGGCTGGGCCGGTATACGTAAGTAAGACATTTGGGCAATTGAAAATAAATAAATAAATAAAACGGTCACCGTGCTCCGTAGCTCAAAAGAACTGGGGGATGAAGTGTAGGGTGGGAAGGCATTGCGGTTGCCCGAGAACTGTCGCACTATATATCTTGTAGAATCCAGATGGGGCACGCAGAAAAAGCTAGCAGGATTCATTGCTTGATGGATAGGGCTATATCCATTTCTAAGCGCCCTAACGGTGAGACGAAACCATGCTCACGACGTGGTGTCCGTAGCACATTGTATATGTATGTATGCCTCAGTCTTATGTATGAGGTGGTGATGTGATTTTCTGCTGTGCACAATACAGAAATGGAAGCCTCAGCTTTTTGGGGCCCACAAATCGTACAACTGCCTGTCCGCAGGATCGAAAGAGGTAAGCAGTGTGGTATCAGTATGAATGACTGTTCTGCGAGCGCCGAGGAACGTGGAACTCTGACTCCGGAGGAACCCTGGGGTCAGCGACTCTTCTGCAGGATAGAAGCTAACAGAATCCGACATAGTGGTTGAGGTGGGCGAACCATCACCCTGTTCGTGGGATAAATCTCAGGTGTGGTATGGATGTCGCACTACTCACTGACCTCGGTAGAGTGAGTTGCGCGATTCCTGATACTAGGCGTCGCTGACAGGACAGTGCCAGATGCAGTATTGCCTGTGAAATGAACAGTGCAAAGCAGAAGTTTCTATCGGGAGAAAAGGGAGTAGTAGAACATACTGGATGAACTCATTTCCGCGACGAGGACAGGCTGGGACGGGGCCGTGAGTTATATGCTTTCCGTTTGTGGATATGTGACGTACCCATAACGCGACCTGTGACGCGCCATCACGCTTCGCCAGCTGCCACAATGAACATCTTCAGGAGTCGTAAGTAAAGATAAGACCAACAAAGTAGCATCTTCACTCACACATTACAATACAGTGCTGGCGAAAGTATGGCGTATGTACTACCCCATTCAGATTCTCGTTTTGCTCGCTGACCTGGTGTGGCAGAGGATCCCAATGCCGCCGAGGTGGTCAAGATCGAGTCTGGTCAGTTGTACCTCGTGAGACCTGGAAATATTCGGTCTTCCAGGGAGTGCATGTACGAAATAGCTTCTATTGGTTGAAATTCTTCTTCATGTTATCCTCAGCTACAATGAAGCGATCGCCACCATTCGTAGAGTCCCTTCGATCGACCACAACTTTCAGCTCGTGATCACCCGCGTGTACGAAGAAGGGGATCAAGAGCTACTGGAAGATGAAGACGAAAGTATGTAAATTTGTTCTCATCACGATGTTCCGTGTCTGTAATAGCTCTTCAGCCGACGAGGAAAGGGTGTTCTTAATCAGCGAAGAACTAGAGTTTCGTCCAGGGGTAGGCGAAGCAGACAGTCAAGCTACGTTCGTCTGGCGCGATCTGGACGGAGACGTAGACGAGCTCTACGAGTTCGTCATGACGGAAGAGACAAATGGGCCCACCAGGGCTTTCTTCGAAACCTGCATGTACCGCGCCATGTACGAAAGGAAGTACAGGATGAGTGCGGACAACATTGGTGATCAAGATCTATCTGAATTCACTTGGAAGTGAGTGGATCGTTTCCGTTCCTTCACTATTCACTAACTATCCGGAAGACCTCCAGCCCCGAAGGGAGCAGGGAAAGTTCCTCTGGTAGCGTCCGAGGGCCCATTACCGGCACGATCCCGCGAGCCTTCTAGTCCGTCACGAAAGGTGACGAAATTTAGCCCTAAAAAGGTCAAAGCTATGCCTGCCAACACTGCCACGGTCGTCGGAGAAGACGCCCAATTCTTCGTGTGGGACGTTGAAGTGGACGGATTTGTAAGTGCCCATGATGGATTGTTGAGGGCCAAGATCCTCGAAAGCACATCGAACGACTACAATTATTGGATTGTGGCTACGGATGAAGAGGAGGATCTTATTATGCACAAGATTGCAGCGGATATGAACCCCCGTTGGTCGCCGAAAACTCAGTCCCTGACATGGAACTTCTACGTCGACGGTGCATACGGCAGCTGGGCATTTCAGTTCAACTCAACTGATGCGTATGAAAACTTCAAAGTCGCCTTTGCTCGAGCAGCTTGGGAGACTCTTCATCACACTCCTTTCAACAAGATCAAGGTAAGTCATGGTTGTTCCTGGTGGTAATCCAGAATTCATGTATGACCAAGCCCGACGAGCAAGCATACGTAATAAGTGCCACCAACGAAGACGTCGAGATGCGCGACGCCCAAAATGAAGAAGGGGATGAAGAGGAAGTTGTATCTGAGCTTGACCCCGACGAGGGTACGTCCAGTACCTTGCTCCTTCGCTGTCGCATATTCATTCTACTGTCAAGAACCAAGTGAAGATGAAGAGGATGAAGAGGAAGATGCTGTGTCTCCTCAGCTTCAGGGAGAAAGGAATTCCCAACTGACCATCGGTTACAAGGGAGACCGTTCTTACGTTGTGCGAGGGAATAACATTGGAGTATTTTCTCATGCTGGCCACAACCAAGTCAAGTACTACGCGACTATCAGTAAGATTTCCACTCCAAAAGGGAGGGAATTCAAGCCGCGCGAGGTATTTATTACTATTCTGATCTGCTGACAAAACTACTGAAGGTTCGTGTCCAAGGTAATGCTACATGATCAGGACACCAAGATGGTCTTGATGAACCCGTCCGAACCCCGTTCCTTATATAACATGGACATTGAACGTGGCAAGGTGGTCGAGGAATGGAAAGTCCATGAAGATGTGACAGTCGACCACATTGCGCCGGATAACAAATTCGCGCAAATGACTCCAGAGCAGACCCTCGTAGGCGCTTCACACAACGCCCTCTTCCGGATAGACCCCCGTATATCCGGTCTTAAAATGGTCGACAGCCAGTACAAGCAGTATGTCAGCAAAAATAGATTTTCGGGCCTGGCTACGACCTCAAGCGGAAAGCTGGCTGTGGCGAGTGCGAAGGGCGACATTAGACTCTTCGATTCCATTGGGAAGAACGCGAAGACGGCATTGCCGCCCCTCGGAGATCCTATTATTGGTATCGATGTTACTGCAGATGGACGGTGGATCGTGGCAACCACCAAGGCATATCTTCTCTTGATTGACACGTTGATTGGGGAGGGTCGGTACGCTGGTTCCCTCGGCTTTGATCGTAGTTTCCCCGCGAACGCCAAACCGATGCCACGACGCTTGCAACTTCGTGCTGAGCACGTTGCGTACATGAACCAGGAGATTAATTTCTCCCCCTCCCGGTAAGTTTTGTCGCCCACATGCCATTGTTTTCCCGATGAAAGCGAGTCCCCTAGATTCAATCAAGGGGAAGGACAAGTGGAAAACGCGATTGTTACGTCAACAGGTCAATATGTTATTGCGTGGGACTTCGCGAAAGTGAAGAAAGGCCAACTTGACAAGTACGAGATCAAGAAGTATGAAGACAACGTCGTACAGGACAATTTTAAGTTCGGAGATGACAAAGAGATTGTGAGTGCTGCGGATACGCCGGTTCCCGTCCCTTACCCCTCCCTTTCTTTAGATTGTCGCGCTAGAGAACAATGTATTAGCGATCAACAAGAAGAACTTGAAGCGACCTACGAGGGCGTCTCTCGCCGGACCAATGATTGGTCTACACGACAGGTCCAGCATTGTAAATAGCCCCTACTAATCACTTTTCATGAAATGGGGCGGCGTGTCAACGGGAGGCGTGGTATGCAGTGATCCAATACCCAATGTATATTTGTATGTGCTCTCAGAAGATGGTATCCTGAATTCGCTAATAGTAAACGCCCCAAGAGATTGGCAATGTGGTAAATAACACAAATAAATCACCCACTCGTTATATTTTCCTGCTACGATATCTATATGTCAGTGCCCTTCTCCTTCCCGTCAGCTTGACTCCGCGCTTGTACATGTACACTGTCCCTCGAGTCCATGTATCTCCATACACCAAGATGCCACATAACCCGGGGTATCATCAAAGTCAGTCCTATAATGACGGTGGTCCAGAGCATCGGACTCCAGCGCGCGACGTCCCATCTTTCATCACCCAAAGCCCACAGCGTCACGTAGAGATGCAAGACGTCGCCGATAAGAAGTGGGATCAACAGCGCACGAACAATCTTCTCCTGCATGTCAACTTGGGAAGCTAGGTGCCTTCGCGCAGCAGTTAACACGAAAAAATTTATTAATCCCATAAGGGCACAGACGTGAGCAAGCTGAACGACCGTGACGACTGAAGCCCTTGGCAGGGGAGTAGGCGGGGGACTGTCAGCTGGCCAAGGCGCTTGAGTGTTGTGGGTCTGTAAGGACGGGGGTTTACTGAGACACATTAGGCACAGAAAAATCAAAAGTCGTCACCGTTTCGGGGTCGTAGACTGCACCTATGAAGCCCAGAATGGTTAATGCGGGCTCATAATACGCGAAGAGCGCATAATAGAAGTCAGGAATGGCTGACTGTGGGCTCTGCAATGGTCCTGGCTTTGTAAGGGAATTGGACATGGTGAGGTGACAGCAGGTGTGAGCCCCTTGTCATTGATTGGTGAGATGCTGTCTGGAGTGAGAGTGATTACGGGGCAACCGTGTTTCACCTGGTCAGCACCGAACCGGCTGTGAAAGGGTGCCGAGAACTGGCGTCACGTCTGCCATGGCGTTTACTGTAGTAATAAAAGAACAGGCTATAATCAGATCAAGCTTGGAAGTCAGAACTGCTTGCATTCGAACCGGCCCTAAGCAAGCCAATCACTGATGTTTTTTTCTTTCTTTCATCCTCTTCATGAAACTTCACGGTCCTTTTTACCAGGCGGGCGGGTCTTCTCCTCCACACTCAACTCGCCAAATGGCGTGACCAAGACTGCTTTCTGTGTTATAGAAATGGAGGGTTATAATGCACAACTTGATGGGTTTGGTCACACACCTGCCCAATGTGAGGCCGTGCTTCGCGCCCTTCTGACATGCGCTTCCCACTCTATCTTTTCATTATCTCGTATCATAGACTGCACTGTCTGCACAGTATGTGTGTAGTAGCTTGGGTATTACTCCGTGTCGAGTTTCTTGTTATGTAATCCACTCGAAGTTGCTTGCTTCCTCTTCTCGAAGCTACATATGGAGCACGAGTATAAATCCTCTGCTGCGGTCTCCATAAACACACCGAACTGCAGTGCACCAGAGTCTGGAGAATGCGCAATTCAGACAGCTGGGACGCATACTCATGGATCGGACGTCGGGTTTGCGATCGCTCACCACCAAGCCGTGAGGAGCGTGGAATCTCTCGCTACGATAGATCGTCCTCCAAGCGACGCAGAAGAACTCCCTCCTTCGAAGATATACCACCCACTTTCTCCTCATGTCCTGGCGCTCCTCATGCCTTCTTCCGTCTTTGGGACCCTCGCTAGGCTCGGTCTAGAGGCTTTTACGACCTACAATGGACAGAGCGTGTTCGCTTTGGCATACGCGCAGGCCACTGGTTGTTTCATTATGGGGATTGCGCTGGGCATGAGAGCCCCTTTTGGGAGATAGTAAGCATGTGGTCTTGTTCTTAGTCACATTGGTTATTGACTTAAGCAGCTATGGACCCTTGTACACGGCGATGACAACAGGTCGGCTCGGTGACTGTATTTCCGCGATAGTACCTTTACACCTGGCTTTTCAGGATTCTGTGGATCGTTGACTACGTTTTCCGGATGGCAAGTGGATGTCTTCGACTCGTGGGTGAATGCCGGACAATATCCCAGAGCAGGTCTCCAAAATGTCTAGTTCCTTCGAAATCGTCTGCAATATCGATTCTTAAACCCCTTTACGTTTTCAGTTCCTTGATGGCCTTACCAAAACTTGGGTTACTCTCGTGGTTTCCCTGGCTTCCCTATCGTTTGGCGTACATGTATGTGGGTTGATCGTGCCCTACTTCCCCGCACCACGCCCTCCAAGCAGAGGCTTCCGGTACACCTTAACCGTGGCATCAGTCCTGGCTTACGCTGCGACATTCCCCGCGTACTTTTACCTGCCCGCCGATTTTCGCCATCAGGCAACTGCAGCGCTCCTATTTTCCTATCCAGGAACGTTATCTCGGTATCTCCTCTCCATATATCTCAACCAGCGCAGCAAGTATTTTCCTCTCGGAACATTTGCCGCCAATGCGATTGGGACTGCCCTTCTCGGATTATTCCACGTATTACAGAATCTCCCTTCGTCTGTGTCACCTGCTGCATGTTCCCTCCTCCAAGGGCTTGGCGATGGGTACTGTGGGTGTCTTACTACGATAAGTACGTTCGCCGCAGAGGTAGTTGCGTTAGGGGGATGGAAGCCTTGGCTTTACGTGGTGATTAGCTGGTGTATGGGACAGCTACTACTCTTGATCATCATGGGGACGTCGTTCTGGGCGGGTCATGTGAATGAGCGTATGACCTGCACATTTAACGCCTCATGAACGATTTCGATAGTGTTACTCTGTTTACAATTACTCAACCGCTGAAGAGGGCTTGTGTCATTGAGCGGAGCTCCAATCGTTGGCATTGCCATTTTGAGTGAGATATGCGGGCAGGGTATTAGTGGAAACTCGCCAAAACGACTTCAGCTGGTCATGATGTCACGCCCAACCGAAGGAAACGAGGACGAGGTTGAACTGGCGGAGGAAGTCATCAGTGGAAATGGTGAAATTGACGAGGTGATGGAAGAGGTTGAGGAGGGATACAGTGAGCAACTCGGGCCTCATGAGTCCGCCTCCAACTGACCCCATCGCCTCACCTCTAGCATCATCGACACCTACATCAACACTTACATGGATTAGCTGGTTCTGCTCTCTTCCTGGTCACGAATACTTTAGCGAAGTGGCAGAGGATTTCATTGAAGATGATTTCAACCTCACTGGCCTAAACACCATGGTACCATTTTGGAAGGAAGCGATGGAGATGGTTTTGGACGTCGAGCCAGGTATTCTTCTACTCAGATTGCACGTCAAGGTCGCTATAACACATTTCCCTTGACAGATGAGGACTCTTCAAGAATTCCAGACGTTTCCATAGTCGAGGCGTCTGCCGAACTGCTGTACGGTCTCGTTCACCAGCGTTATATTCTTACACGTGCAGGCCTACAATCCATGGTTTGTTCCCGGTGATCACATGCTTGGTCCGACTGATCTTATGCGTTGTGCAGGTGGAAAAATACGAAAGTGCCGCTTTCGGGATCTGTCCGCGAGTGTACTGTGTGGGGTGCAACGTTGTCCCATGTGGTCGTTCCGATTTGCCTGGAATCGACACCGTGAAGTTATACTGCCCGAATTGCAATGACATTTATGCTCCTCCCAGTAGTCGCTTCCAGGGTGTTGATGGTGCCGCGTGTCTCTATTAATATTTTTCCTGCCTCTACTCACGGCCCTTTGAGGAATATAGGGGCATTTTTTGGTACCACGTTCGCACATCTATTTTTCCAAACATATCGCGAGCTTGCGCCAGCACCTTTCTACAAGCTCTCACTGTCCGCAGATTCCTCCTTGTCACCTGGACGGTCCCCACTCAGTGATTCAGGCAATAGTACATCTCGACCATCACCGTTCGTGAATCCGAACCCGCATGGAGGTCAAAAACGGCCAGAGGGGCGCGTGTATTCCCCGCGAGTATATGGCTTCAAAGTGAGCGAACAAGCGAAGTCTGGCCCTCGTATGCAGTGGTTACGGCTGAGACCCCAAAGCCCGGACGAACTGGATTTGGTAGATTGGCGTGGAAGATGGATAGATGACGAGTATGATGACGTAGATGAGGTGGATGAGGAAGACAGACGGATGGAGGATTTCGATCCGGTAGGAGACCTGTTCTGAATGGTATCTCGCTACTCATTTAGGTAATCCATCGAGGACAGGATGCCGCTGATGGGGAAGAAGAGGAAGAAGAAGAAGAGGAGGAGGAGGAGGAAGGGGATGAGGAAGGGGGTCGTAGACACCAAGCTAGAGGTGAGCAGTCTGTCGACTTGATGCCGCCGGCAACACCTATCCACCTGCCTTCCTCTGCTCGCACCTCACCGACATCTGACCCAACTCGCCTTCAAGAGAACTTCAACCACGCAGCAGCGAGGAGTTCGGTGCCAACAGGAAGGGTGAGGGTGGTCAGGCAATACTGAATCATTACCGAGGTAAATCTCCAGTTAGCGCAACTATGTCCTCCAGGCCACAACGCCCCGTGAATATCAATGTAGTTGGCTCACACACTCCTCCACCCATCATCGCACGTAGCTGCGTCTGTCCATGAGCATTATAGGGTTCGATCAGTTGTTTTGCTCAGACTCTGAATATGTGGCGAAACACAGCTTTTCCTCTTGAGCATTTCAGTGTTCCGACGGTTCTGTTGTCCCCATCCCGTTGGGTTAGTAAATTTCTGGTTAAAAAAAAACGTGTATTCTACGAGGTAATGGACTAGATACACGTTATTTAAATTGGACATGATGACTGCAGGGACCCAGGGCAAGGATTCTTTGAAGTGACAGGAGGCCTACCGTGCATAGTCAGTGCTGTAAGACCACCTCTACGAGCGGAGCAAGGCTGGGCATGCGGTGATGAAGGACTTCCGATGATCCGTTCTACCTGTGCTACGAACGAGTCCGTGCACACAGGACACCGTTGGGTTTCATCATGTCATACCTCCATTTTCGGCGGTATGTTCTCACGGACAAATCAACTGTACAGGTCCAAGCCACCATGATCATTGTGGTCTCTGCGCAACGCGACGTAACGCGAAGCAGCAACGTCAACCCTCGAAGAACGGTTAAGATCATGGCTCGTACCAGTATGTTTTCGTAGGCATTGGACGGAGTAGCTCACGGACTGACCAGAGCAGATCTGCGTTATGGCTTGAACAAGGGATATCCTACCACCCCCCTTCCCAAGGCATCTCGCCCAAGCCAACGGAAGGGCATTCAGTCAACGAAAAACAAGTTCGTGCACTCGATAATTCGCGAGGTTGCAGGATTCTCGCCTTATGAGAGACGAGTACTGGAGTTGCTACGAAACTCCAAGGTATGTTTACGTGGGATAGACAGAGAGCGTGACCATAATCGATTCTAACAGGACAAAAAGGCGCGGAAGTTGACCAAGAAGCGGGTGAGTTCTAGTCAACATATCTTGCCTTTCGTAGCCTAAGGAATCCATACTATCTCGATCTCAGCTTGGTACAATGCTGCGCTCGAAGCGCAAACTCGAGGAGCTTGGTACTGTCATCCAGGAGAGCCGACGGGCACACTGAACGACATTCTCGATTTTATGCATTAGCTCAGTAAATTCGTGTTACTCTCCACCTCATGCATGCTATGCCATGTCTATGTATTACACACTGCGACTCTTCCGAAGGTTTCATTATGCAGAGAGCGTTGGTCACAGCTTTGTCAGCGAGAAACCATGGTCGGCCGACGCCGTGTTTGAAACTCCGCATCCCGTCGGGTTGCAGTTGAAATGCCGAGATGCCGGCTCGGATCACATCACTTTATTACGTCACGCGACTGATTTTTTGTGCGTGATGCGTCGGCATCGGATTTTGCGGTTGAGAAACTGAACTCTGGCACTGGCTTGCCCATCGAGCAGCATCTATTTAACTGTGTCGTTTCACCGCCTGCAGCTGCTCGAATGTCACTAGCAGTGCCTCCACCGAACCGTCATCGCGCATCCTCCACCAACGTACGTCCCGCTCTGACAATAAATACGCTGGGTAGACGACGTTCGTTGTCGTTGGCCCTGCCGATTCAGCAGAGTTCAGAACCTTCCACTCCCACCGCTGCTCACCCAGCAGCAGCCAGCATTTCTACTTCTTCTTTATCTCAGCCATCTCAACCATCTATGTTGGGGTTGCTGGTCTCAAAGTGCCTCGAGCTGTTGCACGTGCCCACGCAACATTCTATCAACTGGTCCACTCCATCGTCTCCTTATTCAAGCAGCGATGACGATTTAGTGCTTCCCCTTTCTGCCTCTTCACAGAAGGCTACGTTCGGTGATGTTTCTAACGAGAAACAGACTTCCAAGTCACACCGGCTGTGCCTGCGCACTCCTACAGTCAGTTGTCCCTATTCTTTAATAAAAATATTAGGAACTTCTGACCTCTCCCAAGGTGCACGAACCACTCTTGCTCGTTGTGCTCTTGTTCCCCTTGTCAACGGCACTCGTCTTTCTGTCCCTGTACTCCCTACCCATCTCTGTCACCTGGCCTCGTACCCTTTCTGAACTTGCAGAGCTCAATTTGGAGCTTCAAAGATATTCACAGAGTGGGCCTGGCCCTCTTGCACATGTCATAGGTGTGCTATCCGTTACAGCAGTGTGGAAACATGCATGGTCCATTCCGGGAAGCGTCATCTGGGTACGTGACATATTTTGGCTCGCACGCTCCACGAGTCGTGCTAAGCATCCGGCTATTTAGAATGTCCTTGCCGGCGCATTATTCCACCCGCTGTGGGCAACGTTGCTTCTCTCCGCTTTGACAACTATGGGCTCGGTATTTGCAACTCTACTGTGCATGCCTTTGGCACCTTCATTGAGTCGCCTCTGGCCGCGGGCATTGGAAATGACTCGAAATGCCATCGAGGGCGAACCCGATTTGTCTACCAGTTCAAAATTAAAGTCACCAGCTTGGGTCCGTCTGTCCATATTACGCCTCGTCGGGATTGTACCTTGGTCGGGAATTAATATCGCGTGCGGGGTGTGTGGTGTCGCATTGTCCGACTGTACTCTTGGCTCGTTCATCGGCTGTTTACCATGGACCGCTGTTACGTGTCAAGTAGGTAACCAGTACTTTTCTATTGTGGCAACTCACAGATAATTCGTGTCTAGATCGGTGACATCCTTCAGACTGTAGCGTCCGCTGCATCACCGGCACATGAGACTGTGTCGTCGTTGTTGGCATCCCCTGACATTGTGCTCAAGTTGGTAGTCCTGTCCTTCCTCTCACTTGCACCTATTTTGGGTCGGGAACGGTTGCGCGCCCTCGTTCTAAAATCACCATCAGTACAATCGGACATTGCGAAGGTGGACAAGCGGAATTGGTTGCTTAGGTGGCCAACGACGATAAGACTGCCATCTAGGGCGCGATCGCGCACTGAAGACAGGAGGCCAGACCAGACTGCACCACCCAAATCTGCTTTTCCCTGAGCACCCAGTGTCTTACCGGTTCCGGGGACTATTGGTTATTTATTTTCGCCAGGCATCACGGGGTTCGGCGTTCAACGTTCACTCACATCTTTCACCCATCTCTACGAAGATAAGGTGGCACTGCCATCTCTTCCCAGTTTTGTTTTAGGGTGAAACTATACCCACTAATATCACGACCATTACCCCTACCTGTTAACGCATTATCTAACGCCATTTAATGACCCACCTGTAACCATAATTACTTTGCTTTGGTAGTCTCATTGACTACCGGTTTTCATCCGTCCCAGCTCGATGCCGCTATAGCACTCCACCTACGCTGCATAGGTTTTGCGAACCCTTCAATATTTCTGACGCGAATGACTGGTCTATCCGCGATTGTAAATACCGCCTGGTGTAGTAATGGTGTATAAACTCTGAAACGCGTCTAGGCAGCATACCCTTGACAAATCGAGGCTCTACGATCATGTCACTAGTCTCCAAGGCGCCCTGTGAACTCCACGATGCTACGCCAGTTGATCAGGTACAACAACAGCCCTGAGTGTACCTGTGTCAGCAGTTACCTCCCCCTAAACGGTCAACAGAATGAAGGTTTTCGGCGTGGTTTGCCCTTATCCAACCAAATGGCGGTGGCCTTCTTTGTGCTGAGACGATACGCGGTTGTCGTGATTGAGGACTTCTCCTCGTGGCTAGTTCTCCCACAACGCGATTATGGAAAACATGAGGTGAGCATCCGAGGCGTCCTGCCTTCAACGTGGGCTTTGACCTGTAGGCAATTTACCTGAGCAACGGCTTACCTGTGCATAGACTTGAGGCAGCCCACCTTTTAAATGAAACTACTTGTGGCCCTCTATTTAATTGGCGGCCGTTATAACTTTTCGATCCGAGTCCAGTACTCAGTGTACTATCCTCCCCCCTGGTCTCTCTGTTCCTAACTCGGCCTCCATCTTTTGGTACACTCTGACAACCCTTCCTCAAGGATTGGTGTCTAAGACTCTACCAACATGTCTCAATCGGACCGTGGGAGGCACTCGATGAGCCGCAGGAAACCCGTGCCGAAGTTCATCCCGTCGCCGCCGCCTTCTCCACCCTCTTCGCCAGGGGCACCTTTTGGGCAAATATCATTTGCTTCTGGTTCCTTGGCACAGACGGACATGCCACCGGTAAGTCACAGCTATAGTACTTCTCTACCAAGGGCACTCAGTCCCAGCTGTCAAGCTCCCTGAGGATTGGCGTGATGTCATTGACAGGATGGTTTCGAAAGAGAGACATTCGACCTTACCTACAAATAACACGATTGTCGACGGAGACGTTTTGGTCAGCGATACTGACGGACAGATAGAAGGCGAAAGGCAGTCTCAGGCTAGCACAGTAGGCGAAACGTCGCAACGTTAACAATGACGCACTATTGACAATTCATTTTAGGAATTTGGAACGACCAGAAGTTTCAGGTTCGCTCCACCTTCTCCTTGCGAGACTTGTGATGGGGAAGCTGTACCTCGCCCTGACTCTCCCACACCCTGGTCGAGACCAGTAGGCAAGCGCAGGGGCCAGGCAGTAGGAAATTTCCCACCAATAGGCATACAACAGTCAATGATTTTGTTGCAGGAATATCGGCCCCCGACACCTCCTCTGCCACGTCAGCACTCACGATCCCCAACGTCGTCTGCCGAGTCTCCGACCGTGGCGACCTCACACGAAGTAAGTGAGGGGAAAATGGCACTTATGTCTTTACCAAAAGCCATCGATCTCAAGCCGCGTAGCTTGCCTCCGATTCCTACTTACAACAGGTGCAAGCCAACTATATCACCTCCGCTCCCCGCACCCAGGCCGGTGCGGCCTTTGCCTGATGTGCGCAAAGTGCCCCTCCCGACTCCGCCGCCTTCCTGGTCTACCCATGAGTATCCCATATCACGTTGCCCGTCAAACCGTGGTTTTGTCTCGTCGGAAAAGGTTTCGCCTACTTTGCGTTCCGCGAGTCCTACGCAAACACCCTCACCCTCTACACCATATTCCGAAAAGAACTTCTCTCGCTCAACGCAGGCGACTAGTGTGAAAAGTGGGCAACATCCTCATAATCCATCTGTAGAACAGGTGCGCATAAAGAATGAGGTGTCTACTGTGTCGAAGAACCTACCTGCTAGGCCGGGTACTCTTCGGCAGGCACTGGCACGAGGATTGAACGGTTTGAAGCGATGGCGCGCGTTGGTCGCCTCGGCGATTTTGTGCCGGTCATAAACGCCCCCCCCTTTTTTTATTATTGCATCTCTCCTTGGGACTATGGAAAGTTATAGCACAGCATATTATACTATGACACACAAGTTTTACTCATGCATTGTCTCATCCTGGGCGCCGGTACTAGGTAATTGATAGTAATCGTGTTTATTTACACAATAGCGTTCCTACTTGGTCCGAGCTGGTAATAGCGAGGCGTGCAAGCACTCGTAAACATGACATGACCGGGGTCTCCTCTCCACACCCCAAACGTTCGAAACGTGTTAAGACAATGTCGGTCTGAAACGTTACTGACGCTCCTCCTGCCCGTGATTCACCTCATCCAGAATTCGGAGGATCATAGTTCATAGCCTCCACTTTACTTTTACAGTAAACTATGGTCGAAGTTTCCTCACCGCCTCCTCTGCAAACGAATCGCGAAATCTTCGAAGGAAGCTTTTCTGGTGCACAGGATCGGCCGTTCATACCCAAGCTGAAGTCCGATTCAACGTCTCACCATCCCATATCGCATAGCCTCTGCGAGTTCCGCGAGCAGGAGGGAACGGAAAACCGCGAACGGACACTGTATGCCCTTTGGAAACATTTACCTCATTCAAGCTATCATGGCTCGGATACCGTGGCCACCCGGCCACAACTCAGTGACACATTGACTTTACATAGTGGGGAGGCGGACACCATGCGGAAGATCTATGACGATGAATTATTGGGGCGGTGCTGTGGTGGAGGGCATATGGCGGATGGAAGGCCGACCCACATACAATGGCCTGAATTTAGGAAGTACGCGGAGAGTAAGGAAGTTGGTAAGATGCCATGGCCTTTGTTTTCCCGTCAAAAGTATCTTCTGTGACACTGCTGATTATAGAGTTGTGGACCATCTTCCATGACGAACTGGATCTTGATGGCAATGGCTACTTGGACCCAGAGGAGCTGCGGATCGCGTTGAGTAAGGCTGGTGAGTCGTCATCCCGTCCCCGTCCCCGTGCGTGGTACTCGTGTTCAACAATTGGTATGGCACGAAGGCATCAAACTCTCACCGGCCGGCCTGGCGGAGTTCATGACGGTTTTAACATCGTCACCCTGCTCACATGCGGTCGACTTCCGAGAGTTCAGGAACTTCCTGCTTTTACTACCACGAAAGGCGTCCCCCTCTGAGATCTACCGATACTACAAGTGCAAGCGATCCATGAGCGATGATGGACTCGGTGCTGCTAAGGCAACGATGGAAGGTCTGCCATGCTGTCTCCTCATGAATACTCACAGTCGTCAACTCTCTTGACTAATGCAAGGTGATGTCAGTTTGGGCGCGAATAACAAGCCGCCTCCAGCACCGTCATCTTGGAACCCTACAGAGTATACCCCAGTCGACGATGATGGCGACCACCCCGAAGAGGACGCAGAGGAACATCATGACTGGCTTCAAGGCAAGACGGCAATCAAGTTCTTGTTAGCGGGAGGGATCGCTGGTGCAGGTAATGGTGTTTCCGTGGCCTTTAGCTCAAGAATCTTATTCTGCACCAGTGTCTCGCACGTGCACGGCCCCCTTCGATCGTCTCAAAGTCTTCCTGATTACTCGCCCTCCGGAAATGGGCGGTACAGCACTAGGACCAAAACCTGGCGTTGGGGGCATAAAGGCAATAGGTGGAGCTGTAGCGCGCATATACGCTGAGGGAGGCGTCCTCGCGTTTTGGACGGGAAACGGGCTCTCTGTATTGAAAATTTTTCCGGAGTCCGCCATCAAGTTCCTTGCGTACGAATCTGCTGTTCGTTGCTACTTCATTTCCTCGCGGGTGTTGTTTACTCATTTTCTGCTCACTAGAAACGCGCCTTTGCGAGACATCGGGATCGTGTCAGCGATCCAAGAGACATCAGTGGCAGTAGTCGGTTTTTAGCTGGCGGAATAGGGGGAATCACGAGTCAATTGAGTAAGTGCACTTCTTAATTCCTGGTCGTATTGCTGACCCGTGAGACAGGCATATACCCTATCGAGACACTCAAGGTAGAGCAGCGGACATGTACTTTACTTCTTTGCCCACGTTACCTCTACAGACGCAAATGATGAGCTCGACCGGCGACCAGCGGCGAAGTTTGGTGGAGGCGATGCGACGTTTGTACGGCCTGGGAGGCATACGAGCGTACTACCGCGGACTGCAGGTGTGTTCCCTTTATTTTTCTTGCTTGTCCCCCTTTTTGAAAGAGATACAGATTGGTCTGGTTGGGGTGTTTCCGTGCGTATGATTCCGTGAGCTGCGTCTGAACTTGGTGACGTAGCTGTTATTGCAGGTACTCTGCCATTGACATGAGCACATTCGAAGCCCTGAAATTGGCCTACGTACGGTCGACTGGCAGAGATGAGCCTGGGGTGCTCGCACTTCTCGCCTTCGGTAGTATTTCGGGGAGCGTTGGCGCTACGAGCGTCTACCCCTTGAATCTTGTCCGCACCCGCCTACAAGCTTCAGGATCATCTGGCCATCCACAACGATATACTGGTGTCCGAGATGTCATCATCAAAACATACCAGCGCGATGGTTGGAGAGGTTTCTATAGGGGACTATGTCCGACATTAGCCAAGGTCTGCGATCTGTCTATGCACTTCAATTCCTTTTCCGACCAACACTTCAACAGGTTGTCCCCTCGGTATCGATCTCCTATCTTGTTTATGAACATAGTAAGCGAAGGTGTGTTTGTCTTCACATTTTCTCCAAAACACATTTAACGATGGGCTCTAGACTTGGTGTTTAGAGGTAACTACGACCTGCATATAGACCGATCAAGATTTCGTTTATCACATAGTTCATGCATCTGTACAGTTTCTCAGTGCAAACAGTGCCCACGAATTAGTCCACCCCAACAGTCGAGTGGGACTTGCGCGGCAGTGCCTTGGGGCTGTTGAGCCCTGAAGATAGCGCGAATGCATTGTCTTGCTGGATGCGGTAGTGTCTGAAGAATTCCCGAAGACATTGGCGTTTTCAACTACGTCCTAGGAAGTTGTCAAAGAGAATTGCTCCACTGGACGAGTGGCTCTGCAGAAACGTAATGTGTCATGAGGCGCCCCAAATCCCCAAGTATCTATGGGGGGGAAGCGGGAGGACTTCTCATATTGCGGGGCAATTGGAGAGTAAAGAAGGGGTGGTAGTCCCTCAGCAGTCAAGCGACGTTGGAAAATCACCGGCCTACTGTCAAGACACGCGGCTGTGTTATAATACATCTGAGAACTTGATTGTTTTTCCTTCGTCGGCTACTGCTGGAGGAACAATCATAGTCTCCACTTACAAGGGAAATGGGAGAATTGTGCAGTGCATGTAAACAACGGCATGACGTTGGTTTCAGCAATTCTTCCAATACGGAATCGTGTCAGCAATGATAAAGTGTAGTCAACAGAGTGAGGTATGGTCGTTGGTAGGAAATAAGGACGGTGAACTATGTCCAAGCCGGCTGTGCACGGGGACACAGGAGAGCGACGCCATCCATGTGGAATTCACCTAACTCGAAGCAATTTCACTGAGGCGTCTGTGCACGGAATGGGGCTAGAGACTAGGCTGTGGTGCAGGGCATGGGGGAAACGTACCGAGAACTTGGACGGACGGAAGACCAACACTTACATAAAGAAGCCATACTTGCTTGCTTTGGCGTGACCTACATGCTAAGATGCATAAACTTAGTGTTCTCTAGCACGGGTGCCACATTCCGGAAGGGAAAGGGACAGACGGAATCGCTGGCTGGACGCCGCAAACATCCCTGGATCCCCGCTCAATGCGAATCCCCGTTGAAAGTCTCTGGTAATAAGCCATCTGGCTGAGGGAAATTGTTTTGCTTGTTCGTCTTGTATGTGGCGATGAATGTTAACGCTGAAGGCCGTCCTTTGCTGACCACGACGGTCGAAGCACGTACCTAGAGTAAGATGGAGGACAGAGACAGAGAACATGGAAGATAAAGCTTATGTGCAGGTCGTCCGATTTCCAACTGGGGGGTGAGGTGGATGTGCTTTTACAGTCTGAAATTGTCTACACTCCGGACTATCCCATCGAAAGAGGTGTCACTCGATGCTTGCGATGCCTGGGGTGACAACCCCGCGATGACGAGCCCGGCGTCGTCTGGCTTGACGGGCGTATCCTGCTGGTGTGTGTTGACGAATATATCTAATGCTCTGTCCCGTCCATGTGAGCGGCATCCGCGCTGTTCAGTTTCGTCCGCATCCAAGATTGGAACACGAGGTAAATGGCGGCTCGGATTGGCTGAGTACATACGTCGCGCAGGCTCCACGGAGACGATACTTGGCTCTTCCTTTGCCAACGTGCCTTCGAATAGTTGAGCTCATCGCTGCCATTACGGTAATCAGGACGTCGCTAATACTAATTAGATACACTTGTAAAATAAAAATAATTTGGCGTGTTTTCCGCGTCTACCCGTCACCCAAAGTTTTTCTTTGCTCCTCCTCGTCCCCATCCAAAACGACCAATGGCTGCCCGCGCGGTTCTTTCTCGCCTCATACCCGCGGCGACCCATGCACGCATGCCCCGCAGTGCCAGTGCGAAATGGGCTCGCTGCTATGCTAGTCAGGCCGAAAACTTGGTAGGTCCATGCTCCTGATGACACCGACAACACAATCCTCACTCTTTCACAGATGACTGTCAGAGAGGCGCTCAACGTGGCCATGGAGGAGGAAATGTTGCGGGATGAGACCGTTTTCATTCTGGGCGAGGAGGTCGCACGGTATAATGGTGCATACAAGGTGTGTCTCGTCGAACCTCCGTCCTTTCCTCGCCTAAAGTCACATCCCAGGTCACCAAGGGCCTTCTAGACAAATTTGGAGAGAAGCGGGTCGTCGATACTCCCATCACCGAGATGGGTTTCGCAGGTCTTGCTGTTGGTGCTGCACTAGCTGGTCTTCGGCCAATGTATGCTCAACCTCTACCCAGTACCAACCTAACTCACTTTTGTTGATTTAGTTGCGAATTCATGACGTTCAACTTCGCTATGCAAGCCATCGACCAGATTGTCAACTCCGGAGGAAAAACCTACTACATGTCCGGCGGTAATGTTCCATGCCCCGTTGTCTTCCGCGGGCCGAACGGCGCTGCCGCCGGCGTCGCGGCCCAACACTCTCAGGACTATGCATCTTGGTATGGTCAAGTCCCAGGCTTGAAGGTTGTCAGTCCATGGAGTGCCGAGGATTGTAAAGGTCTTCTCAAGGTATGTGGACCCGATGTCATAAATTGGACCCGCGTCTCACATACTCCTCTCCGTAGTCAGCCATTCGTGATCCCAACCCAGTTGTCTTCTTGGAGAATGAAATGATGTATGGCGTCTCCTTCCCAATGTCTGCTGAGGCCATGTCCGACAACTACCTCTTACCTATTGGCAAGGCCAAGGTTGAGCGTGTGGGGACCGACGTCACCATCGTTGCTCATAGCAAGATGGTTACACATAGTCTAGAGGCTGCTGACATTCTTGCGAAAGAGGGCATCAAGGCCGAGGTCATCAACCTTCGCTGTATTCGACCTCTTGACATTGAAACAATCAAGGCATCAGTTAAGAAGACTAACCGGTAAGAACGTGCTTGATATATCCATTTTTCTCTCGGCTTATCTTCGTTGTAGACTCGTCACTGTTGAGGGTGGCTTCCCGGCGTTTGGTGTAGGTAGTGAGATTTGTGCTCAAATAGTCGAGAGTGAGGCTTTCGATTACCTCGATGCTCCTGTCGAGCGTGTCACCGGTGCTGACGTCCCAACACCGGTATGTTTGCGAACTATATTTTCTTTGCAAGTACGCTGACACGTGGGTTTGTTTTAGTACGCCACAAATCTCGAATCACTAGCTTTCCCGGACACACCTCTCATTGTCAAGGTTGCGAAGCGTGCACTATACAGAACTAATTAACATGCTCACAGTTCAACTCTTTTATACTTAGTACCTCGGCAGTTTAGTTACACATCAAGGCAATAGATTACTCCTGGGATGACGTGACGACACTTTTTGGCGGCGTGGGTTTACAATGACCAGGCTGAAATAACTCCAGAAGATGCACAAGGATAGCTGAGTGTATCCTAAGTATAACCCGAGGGCTGTGAGGCTCAGACCCCTAAACGTATCCGCACTGCATTTGCATGTGCCTGGAGCCCTTCGCAATCTGCCAGTATAGCGACAACGGGTCCCAATCTCTCCAATCCCTCCTTCGTGATCTCCTGTGAGGTTATGTGCTTTTGGAACGACTGGGTGTTCACGCCGCTAAACTGTCGCGCGTATCCGTTAGTCGGAAGGGTATGGTTCGTCCCCGATGCATAGTCGCCGCAACTGCCAAGGTTTAACACGGGTAGTTCAGGATATAGTCCAGTTACCTACCTTTCAGGAGTATATGGACCGACGAAAACGCTTCCCGCATTTTTGACCCGATTGACCAGCGTGGATGCGTCTCGCAAGTGCAAGATCAGATGCTCTGGTGCATACTCATTGGAGAATTGCAGTGCCTCTTGCACGCTCTGCGTTTTGATGATTAGGCTTCGGGATATGCTCTCCCGAACGATGTCAACTCGAGACAGTGCACGGGCTTGCTTGTCGACTTCTGCCTCCACTGCAGCTAGCTTGGCATCCGACAACGCCGCGCCAACCAAGACGACTTGCGAGTCCACGCCATGTTCAGCTTGCGAAAGCAGGTCAGCAGCAACGAAGGCAGGGTGCGAATCATCATCTGCAATGACCTGCAAAGTAGAGAGTACCGCGTTCGTTGTTCACAGCAAGAACAACGAACGCGGTGCCCACGCTGCTTTTAGAGTGGGCATATCGCTCCGAGGAACGCTACTCACCAACACTTCAGATGGCCCCGCTGGCATGTCGATCGATACCAGGGCTTCAGTATCGTTTTGAACGAGCATCTTGGCTGCTGTAACCCATTGGTTACCAGGTCCGAAAATCTTATCAACCTTGGGACATGTTTGTGTGCCATAGGCGAGGGCTGCAACGGCCTGGGCACCACCCGCCCTTAGGATGGCATGAGCCCCTACCAAATGAGCTACGTACAGGACCTCAGGAGAGATGCTGCCGTCTAGGCGAGGGGGAGTGGCAATCACGATCTGCTCGCATCCTGCTACTTGTGCAGGAACACCAAGCATGAGAGCCGTCGACGGTAGCACAGCGGTTCCTCCAGGTACGTAGAGCCCCACACGCGCGATTGGACGTGCGAATCGTGAGCAAGTTACCCCGGGCGTGGTCTCCACAACCAGGGCCTTGCCATCGATTTGTGCTGCGTGGAACTTGCGCACGTTCGCATATGCTGTGTCGATTGCATCTTTGACAGCATGATCCATTTGGTGTTTTCCTGCAGCTGAAAGTGGCGGAGGGTAGAAAGGTGGGAGGAGGACGGGTGCATCAAGTTGTACTTTGTCGAATTTGGCCGTGAGGCGAAGTAGCGCGGCATCTCCTCGCTCACGAACGTCATCAACGATTGGTTTAACCTTGGAAATCATTTCATCGGAGCGCAAGACAGGACGCTTGAGCAGCCGCTTTCTTTCTTCCGGCACAGTGGTAGCCAAATCGACAGTCCGCATACAGATCGACCTGTCTGCACCAGCAACAGGAGAATCAGACACAACAGTATTCTGAGGCGCGACTTGTGGAGGGTTATCCACTCCCGATACCCATTGGGATTTGGCATTCCCCGACCTCCTCGTGATTTTTAGTGCCTTCCTGTTCAGCGACTGCTCGATATCTCTCAAACCTGCTCCCGCGGCAACGCATCGAGTCAAGGCAAAGTAAATCAGATCGCTAGCTTCAAACACGATCTCTTCCTTGGATTCCTGCGCGGCAAAGTTCGTCTGCCTCTTCCATAATTTTTGCTCGCAGCAACGCAGGGTCTTTAAACAGTCTGCTTGTATAGGAGCCCTCTGGGGCATCCGCCAGACGAGCCCTGAGCGTGCGCTCGAGTGCAGAGAGACCACCAACATCGCCGAAACACGACGGTCTGTTCAGGTGGCAGAACCCTGCGCCGTGTTGAACTACACGAAATTCGAGGGAGTCGGAATCACAGTCCGTGCAGATTTGGATCACGTCCTGCGTTGCACCTGACGTCTCGCCCTTGCGCCACATCCCGTGTTTGCGTGATTGGTACACGCCTTTACCGGACACAATAGATTCCTTGACGGACTCCCGAGAGGAGTAGACTAGGCCAAGCGCTTTCCCTCCTTCCGGGTAAGAGGTAACAACGGTAGGGAAGAGTCCATCAGACCTGTCTGAGATTAGGGGAGAAAGGAAAGCGTCCCCAATGTTAATCTGGGTCTGCGATGTGGCATTGGTGGTGAGCTGATGAAGAGGGATAACAAGTGACGCCCCGATCGCAGCTAGTTTCGCGATCAATGAGGTAGATGGATTGTCCGTAGGCAAGACATATATAGTCGAGCCAACGAAGGTGGATATGGACTGGATAAGGTCAATATCGACCGCGAGCATTTTTACCAAGACCCCGCAGACCGCGTTGCGGAGTGAGTCGGGCACCTGCGCTGACGTTGGCAGCATCGAGTAGAAGAAGTAGGCGATCGGCCGGAACGGTACCGACCAATTTTTTGGCGAGAGTTAACGGGACGATCGCCTTTTCTGCGCCGTCATCAAGGGTGGCGATGATCTGATCTCGGTCGAGTGAAGTGTCGTCCACGAGAACATATCGGTTCAGGTAATCTGGAACAGCTTGGCTGGACCGGACTATCAAGGATGTAACGCGGGAGAGTGCCCGTAAAACACTGTCCTCTGCTGGCTCGCTGTCGAGTAGAGCGAGGAATGGGGGTCCCATGACGTGGTCGCGGTGTGACCCGATAATCTTTATCCGTTTGCCAAACTGGTAAAATGATTGGCTGACGAGTCATCACCACTCGCCCTGACAGGCCTTCAAGACTGAGCCCATGATGGAATACAATCCACGGTATCCACAGCCGTTCACCCTTGAGCAAGTGATCGCACTTGATCCCGAAGTCGCCTCAGACGGTGAGCGACCATATAACATGGCCGCACTCGCAGTGTTCATAACCTTGGTCAGAAATTGGCCGACTGCAACACTCAATCATTCACTTGCAGCGCACTCAGAATGAACTGAAGGATTACTTGGAAGACCCAGACGTTCGTCAAGCTATCGAGGAGAATAAGGTCACAATGCACGTACCCCAACTTCCCGCCGCTCCTCCAATGCTGAGCACGCCACAGGGCATCCCAGGACGAACGTATATTCATGCTCAAGCTTGCATTGACCCACCATGGCTTTCATCGAGTTGGGAGTCCAAGCGATGTAGCACTCTCATCTTCTCAGGAGAATGGATCAGATTGTACATTGGTCGGACGTGATGACGTTATTCAAGCTGACGATGGTATGTACTTGTAGTAGCTACACCTGGTGGACTCTTTCTAAGATCACAGGAGGCTGGTCAACCTCCCAGCCTGGTCTCGAAAAATTACACATTACGTGCCACATTTTCAGTGCTATGAGGTATTTCTGTAAAAGTTATGGGAAAGAGAATTCAAATGCGAGACTTGCACCCGGGAACGATTAAGAGAAGTACATAAGAGTCGTCATGTTGTTGTGAAGGGGCTTAAAGTTCCGCTTGTAGGCTTCCAGAGCACTTTCAGCTCCCGTAGTATCCGTATGCGTTGCGGTATCAGAAAGATTGATCCCACCCTGAGGATCATAATGATTCTTAGCGCGACTACAGACAATGTCCGCATCTAGTAAAGTGTCAGTCTTTGCTCCAGCATCTGAGAATCCACTTCACAATAAACGGGTGCGGGGATTGAGACAGAGCGAGTTGAGCGTGCGTAGACATGACACAAAGCAAACGCCAATGATTGGAGGCCGTCGGCTCTGTGAAAGTTATTATGAGCACGAGATGGAGATACAATACTGGGGATCCCACTGGAATTTGTTATCGTCGTATAACACGTTATAATGGGCAGGTCGACTAGTCCCTAACAGGCCGCCGTGGCTTATTAAGTACCAGTCAAATTCGACCGGATGAGCTATAACTTGGTCTACGACGGTCCCGGCAGGGCAATTTCCACTGCGATCAGCATCCCCGGGATTCGTCGTGAAAAGGCGGACATGGTGGCGTTTGGCCACGACGATCATCGTAATTTTGGGATTGATATTTAATCTCCTGCACGCCTCTGAAAGAGAATTTTACTCGCGATACTGCCCAACTACCACATCATAGCAGCATACCTCTCAGCGCTTCCAGTTCTGTCAACGAAAGTCAACTGTTGAAAGCGCCTTTGAACCAAAGCCAACCTACCAAATTCCAGTACCTCTCTGAACTGTCCCTCGGAAACGCCGTCTACAGGACGTTGTTAGAAGACGCTAAAGACACTAGTGAGTAACGAACCGCGGAAGAATATCAGCCGGGTAGGGGCTATATTACTTGTCTTCTTCTCGAAATTTCGCCGGTACTTCATATACATATCTAGGATGTGCTGCGAGCAACATGAGAAAATGGAAACGCGCAAAAGGATCGTTTACCTGTGCCATCTCGCTGAGATCCTCAATGATCTCTTTGCGCGACGTCTGCACACGACATGTAGCGATGTACTTCGCGGTATCCGAGTCTACGTTTCCGACCAATGCTGTGAACGAGGGGCGGCCTTCAGACCCTGGGGCTGGATGGATGACGTCGGCGCCTAGTGGCACCGTACTCGGTCACGTGGGACAATGAAAGAACGTGGATCATACCCATTACGACCGTTGGATTGCGCGGATCCGTCAAGATACTAACAGACTGAGGATCAGGAATTGTATTGATGCCCCCGAGCTTAACATTAATCCTATACTTCGTGAAATGACAGTATTGAAGGGGAACACGAAAACTTACTTCAAACACACGTTCGCGTAGTACTGTGGCTTTGCCCGGTAACACTTTGAACTTTTTAAGCACTGCGTGGCCACACCGACCTAACCAAATTAACAGCCTGGCAAACGAACTGCACGAGCTTCGTCACTCACTGTAACGTCCCCAAAGCTGACGAAGTAGATTAGATGTCATGTGAATTCCAGAGGAATCTCACTCACTGTTTCACCGCTGTGTAAATGTCGTTGGCGTTGTCCGGAAGAATTACTACGATGAGCGTAGGCCTTTGTCGAGTTTGTTGGAAACACTCATTGCCTGCTTGGCGAAGTTGCTTCGGAGGATAATTAGCCACCCGTCAATTTGGGCCTGACAAGACATACATCTGCAATTCGGCCTTGGCCGTTCTGCCAAGTAACCATAGGGCTTGTGTCGTTAACCCTCATCCCTGAGAGTGGAGCGAGTCTCGCCAAGAATGACACCAGTTAGGTATTAACTCACCAACATCACGAGAACATTGTACGAGCCCATTGATCATGTCCTGGGCGGACTGTTGATTGAAGCGCTGTTGGCGTTCATAGACAACCACGATCCAACGGTCGATGGTCGCCGGGCGGAAAAAACGCTTATCGATCCTAACCGAGGATGAAGCATAGAAAATGTCTAGAACACGAGTTCTTACATATTCCAAGCCCCATTCGCTGGGGTCTGCAAAATTCCGTCAATGAACACAATAAAATACCTGATGTCCAAGACGTACGACTACTGGCTGCGGACTGCCTTGGCCGTACCTCAACTTCGGTGGCGGCAAGACTCGCGCTGGGAGGTTTATCGGGCCAGAATTATCATCAACACGCATCCCGAATTCACGCATGTACTGTGACTGTCCATACGCCAAGACCTGAAAACCTCTCAGGTAAGTTCGAGACGAGATAATTATAGGCTGACTGACCGAGAGTCCATTACTGATGCTTGCCAAGCGCTCGTGAGGCCTCTTCGTAGCAAACTCGAGGACATCCTTAGTCTTCTCAGGGGGGACCTGCTTCCGCATTATTTGTCCCTTAGGGACCACACAAAGTTCTACCGGGATAAGCGCTCCCGCACCAACCTGCCAACAGTGTAACAGCATAGCTTCCAAGTACACGCGGAATGCTTACCTCCACGCAGATGTTGTCAGGATATTTGAGGGGCCTGTTGAGGAGATTGCGGAAATATTGTGCGACAGTCATCGACGTGCCGTCTCGCATGGTGAAGCTCAGACTACTTGCGCCTACGCTACTAAGCTTCTTGACAACTCGTGGAGTTTTTCGCACTCGCTGTCCGGTGTACGTTGTGGTTATCCGTACACCAGCGATAAAACGCTGCAGCCGGATCCTTTCCCTGTCGGGCATCCCCCTTTGCGGACTTAAGAGTTGCGGTTGTCCGGGTCTTCCCAAAAAGTCTAGGCAAAGGTCAATGAGAGGGCCGGCCTTGTACATGGTACCCGTAGAAATGTCGACGTTGACGAGAAGACGACCGATTGCGGGCCGTACTGACTGGAAGTACCCCCTCCAAAGAACTATTCCAGAGCCGATATCTTTAACTTCGCGATCTGTGAAGAAAGACCTGACATTGAATGGGTATTTCATGGTCGGCTCCATGCGGATGACCACGTTCAATGCCTACATATAAGGGCCCATCTTAGCACCAAGTCAGGTAATGACAACGATGCTCACCGTTAGGGCCGTTAAAACCGTGTTATCATGGGACTGTTTGCCCATGATAAAGCGTTGCAGGACCCTAAAAACGTATCACCTATGCATATATTCGTGTCGGAAGAACGTGATAGCGACTTACTCGGGGTTGATTGTGGCTACCTTAGTCAACCGGATTTTATATACCTTTGGTCCGCGTCCACCAGTATTTTCTCCGGGACTTCCCCTGTTCGCGTCGTCGGAAAGGCTAACGTTGAACTTCCGTGTACACATTTGAACGGAAGCCCTATGCATACTGACAAAAATCAACTTACCTCTTGACTGTCGCTTGGTCCAAGCGCAAGTTTCCTGGGTGCGAACATGTTCTTTCTGCCATCGTACACGGCTGGAGGAGTAAAGATATCCACGGCCTCAACGCTCATGAGATGGTTGACGAGATCCATATTAAGTCGCGCCGGAAGAGTCTTCTCTGAAGGGAGATATAACTGTAACGCCATGTTTATGAGATAGTGGGGATGACGAGACAGGATGGGCAGGATACTTACCAACTGTATATAGCAAACAGTTGTCGATCAACAAGATCGCAGTAACATCGATTATGGAACACCTTACCGTCATAGTGGTGAATATATCCTTCGGGGGGCGTGATGTTAAAGAAGTTGGAAGCTACGGTAATTGGGCGACCAGCAGAGCCGTAGCCCGATCGTCGCACGCCAACCACTTGAACATGCTCCCCAGGCAACGCGGTGCTGGCAGCAGGGGGTAGACCGCCTCTCGCGGGAGGAGGACCGCCTCGACCGCGACCGCCACCCCCGCCGCGTGGTCCACCACCACCACCACCACCGCGTCCCCCGCCGCCACCACCGCGAGGGGGACCGCCACCTCGACCACGGCCAGGATCACCTCTAGGAGGCATTGCTACTAAGTTCTAAGTGAGAAAAGGTCGATGCAGAGGTGTTGTTCTGGGAAGGAGAGGACGAAAGACAAGTTTGGTTGACTTGTTTGTCGCTAAGTAGTCTGCGGAAAGTTTGTTCCTATTATTGTTGCATGCAGGCGTCGTGTTATCGATGAACACCCTCGTGTCCCATCGGAGTCGATCATCGTAACACAAATTGAAACGAAAAAGTCATTTCACCACATGTTGACCATATCTGTCTACCGTTCTCACCCATAGCCACGTCGCGGTCATACATGTGTTGATAATCGTGAACATGCCGGGATATCAAATACGTTGGAGTGCCAATAAGAAGCCCAAGGGATATTCCGCAGCTAACCCGCCGCTCCAACGAATGCAGTGCAGACTATGCTACCCGTAACCACTTCGTGATAGTGTCATGCCCTAGCCCATCAGCTATCAACGGCTGCCCGTGGCCCCCGTTTGGATCAAAGTAGATTCCCTTGCTTACACCGTGAGTGGATAAGTACCGTCTGACACGCTATAAATCATGGCAAGATCAGCTACCGTCATTTCAGGCCAGTGGCAGTTCGAGAGGACTAAGGCGATAGAATGATTGACGTGTACTCACCTCTGCGTTGAGGATGGCATCCCTACCTCCTAATACCACAAGCGTCTTGTCGGGATCCCGTGCGTTTGGAATGTCTTCAAACCACAGCGAATTCGACACCCAGTCAAAGTGACGCTGAAGTGTATTTGCGACTCCAAGTTCAGTGCCCACGAAAAACCTCATCAACAGATCTGATCCCTGGCAGAACCGCGAGGATGAGACGAAACACAGTCATACAACTCGTCTCATACCGTAGTGCAGGGTTTGTATATGAAGTTATGACACATGTCTGTGCGGCTCAGGTGTTATTGGAAGTTCCGGTGACTTTCTAATATACTCACCGCCTTCCCAACAGCAAATCGCTACAGGATCCACGAAGCATGAGCGTATGGCCATGTGCGGGTATGCCTTTAGGAACCATGAGTGTACAAATGACCCGCTGAACTCAAAGAGGTTTAGCACTGGAGCTCCACGCTTCCGAACGACATACTACGAGTGGCTGAGCATGACAACTCCAGTCGACATCGATTTGGGTTTCTTGTCAAATTCAAGGGTATCATTAAGCTCATCGGACGGTGGAACCCAGCCCAGCTTTTGCAGGAGACCAACCAAGCAGGTAATCATTTCCTTCCTGGGCATCGGTGTTAGGAATCTAGGATGGAAAATATTTTGACTGATATGGGGTTGCAGAGGGAATAAAAGTGGGCGGTCGGAATGATTCCTCAACAGGTCGGAGAGGAAAAGTTTGTACTGCAACATGCCCAAACCGAGACCGTGCAAGAACACGAGCGGACGTCGATCATACACGGCGTCCCATGATTCGGGTATGCGCACAAAGTACCTGAGTGAAGAAGGTTTGTCGGTCAGAGGATTGGGTTATGATTTCGGGGGACTCACTCTAGACCGTTATAGCAGCCGAAACGTACGCCGTACGAAGATACGAGCCAATGTTTGAGCACCCAATTACCACCTAGCGCCATGACATACCAAGTGAGAGGTCGCCAGTTGACATTCACCTCATCTATGGTGAGACGGACAGGTTGAACACCGACGCTAGGCTCGTCAGGGATTGCTTTCCCTGCACGTTTCTCTACATATGAAAGAGCTTCATCTAATAACAGCCGCTGTCGTCCTGCCAGGGACTCTAAGGGAGGCATTTCTCTATTGTAAAACACCCAATAGAGGTAAGCATAAATGTCTCGCTTTTTGACCGATGACCAGGTTGATCTGCGGAACCTTGGTATTCGAAGTTCGAGTTGTCACGTAGTTTCATCGCCAGATGAGAAACTGACACGTACCACGCTCTCATCCGTTCTCGAAAGTCTACAGCACGCGGGTCGTCTGCATTAAGCTGGACGATAGCCTCAGCCGGACTGCCTGGCCTCGCATCATCTAGGGACTCTTCGTCATAACTCTCCTCGGTAAGATCTGCAAGGCCACTCTTCAAGACACGGATAAAACCTGCCTGCCTCTCGGCCAGATCACCCGTGCCATTTGGTGGCGGTCCAGATATAGACTTGAGAAGTCTGTAGTGGTGCAAACTAAACAACACCTTGGACAACAATGATGACTATCAGCGCGGCTGAACGCAAATGCGACCCTTAGCTTACCTCGCCGATGGCGACCGCGAAGCACATTCTACCATTCCAGCCAAATAACCAGATGTTACCAGTCCACAATACGTATATCACAAATGACCATGCAATGGGTATCACCGACCATAAAGGAATCACAATAAACAAGAAAATGGTATAAAACCACCAGGACCTTGCGGGCAGAATGTAAGGTATTTCCGCGATGTCAGTGGCAACGTGGCGACCGTCCTGAGGATGGGAGAGTGTCATGTGGGTATCTTCGCGGCGCGTACGATGGCTCTTATAAAAATGAGCGACAGAAGAATGATGGGAAAGAAAGTGTCCTCGACCGAATCTACGAGCTGGGATCCGAGAGAGAATAACAGTTAGTACTACGTAGAGAAGGCGCAAATCGGTTAAGACTTCGACATCGGCCGACCCCTTACGTGGCGGTCACTTTGACAACTGAAATGTAGCCGACTCTCAAACGCAAGCCCCAGCTTCTCACCCCGTCAGGACTTCAATCGTGTTAGAGATCAGGACCGAGCGACATTCATGGAAGGTGACTAAGATCTATACCATCAAAACCTGCATCTACAGTAGCCTCGTATTCCTCCAGCGAAAGCAAGTTATCTTTTTTTGCTGGACACGCGCGGGCCTGCTGTGGCTGCGTCGTGCTCACTTGAAGCTTGTTCGAGGACCCTGATGCAACGCCCGATGTCTCGGAATCTAACTCGGGAGCACCGCTTTCCCTCAAAGACAATAACCAAATGCATCGAAGTTCACCCCGCTTCCCCCAACCATCTACGGCAGGTCTGAAATCAGCGTAAAGTGAGTATCCTAATTCGTTGAGCTTCTGCGGAGAGTAGCTTTCTGCCAGGAGACGCAAAGATCCCATTACATATGGGGTCGCCTGCCGGAACGAACGAGAAATATATGAAAACGCTATGCTGGGCAAGGCAGGTGAGCCTCCCGAAAGAGCCAACCATTTGGACGCGCGAGTTTGGTATAGTGGACTGTCAATGGGATTAGGGGCATTCGAAATGTAACGGGGCACAAATACATACATCCTACCCAATACCACAGGGTTCCGTGAGGGGTCCTTGATCATAAAAAAGAAGATATACTTGCCGCCGGCCCATCAGATCAACGTATGGCTGCTCGCCTTCTGGAAGTGTTTCAGTGGCTTTCTTCCTTGTTTCCTCAATGACCCCTAATGAGGCACCCTTGGAGACCGCATTCGCTTCTGTGTACACGGACGCTTGGAGCCAGTCAATGGAAAAGGGGACTATGGTAAAAACTGGACTAACCGATGCTTAGAGATTCCTCTCTGTCGAAACCGAGCCTTTCGGCCACAGTCATAGCCCATGCTGTCATGACCGGGGCGCGATTGACTACCACAGTCTTGCTCCTCAAAATCTATGCGCCGTTAGAGTAGTAGAGTATTGCAAATGGCAAAGCGTGCTGACCCCCTCATCCAATATTTCCCCAAACTCCAGGTTCCCGTACGTGGAGGCCTCATCAAACGAGGATTCCTGCAGCGGTTCGTTCAGATCACTGTCATACCTGCGCTTCTTCCTGGGGCTTGTAGCCTAAGAAAGGCAGTCATTATCGACTCTCGACATCAAATGTGCGAGTTTACCGTGTCTTGTACAGCGGGTGATTGAGTCCTCGTTCCTGATTTCGTATATCCGGCCTCGCGTATGGCTGCCAAGATGGACTTACGCAGCTCTCTATCCTCCACTCCCAACACAATCAACCTTGTGTCGTCAAGCTGGGACAATCTCGTCGGCGTGTTGAATTTCTTGAATCTGCAAAGCACAAGATTACTGATACTGGGCCACGAACATCGCAATGTATGTGAACGAACGCCTTGTTTGCAAGCGCCATAGCCTTTGACGCCGCTATGTCGTTGGCAGTAAAAATCTTCAAGAAGGCATGCAGGCTGAGTTTCCTGTCAGTGGGATCCATGTTCATCGCTATTGCCAGGCGCAAGTATCCCGTGAGTCTCAGTAGTGTTTCACGCCAGCACTGGTCGATCACAAGTAGACTTAAATTACAGCCAGCCCAAAATTCCATTCCCAGGTCTATAGATAGGAGTGGTATAACTGGATTATTAATTCCTAGGAATTTTTCGCGCGAGGAGTATTTTTTTACAACGGATGCCATCTATACGAAACATCCCTCACTTGTCCAAAATCGTAGTGTCTACAATAATTCCAGTGACGCGGTAGGGGTCTGGAAAAAAAAAAATCAACACAGCAACCAGCGAAGAGAAACCTGGTCATACCGATGTTGGAGGCAGGGCGACGGTCCTCCAGGTATCCATAGCCTTTAGCAGCTACGTGTCGAGGAACGCGAATCGAGGCACCTCGATTGGCGACACCAGAACTGAAAGAGCCAATGTGACCAGTCTCGTGACGACCTGTGAGACGCAGTTCGTTGTCCTCGCCATAAACGGCAATGTGCTCAGCGTGCCTCTTGGAAAGTTTCTCGATGGCCTCTTCGATGTATTTCATGCCTCCGGGCTCTCGCATCGCTTTTGTGCTGTAGTTCGTGTGGCATCCAGCACCGTTCCATTCTCCCTGTAGAGGCTTGGGATGGAAAGAAACTTTAATACCCCACTGCTCAGCAATGCGGATCAAGAGGTAGCGAGCCATCCACAAGTGGTCGCCCATCTCGATACCTTCACAGGGACCAACTTGGAACTCCCATTGCGATGGCATAACCTCGGCGTTGATACCGCTGATGTTGATGCCAGCATAGAGGCATGCGCGGTAGTGGGCCTCAATCAGATCACGTGCAAAGACCTTGCCGGTACCTACAGGAAGGGAAATTCAATGAAGGATAACAAAGCAGGTGATTTTTTAATCTGGTTTACCTGCACCGCAGTAGTAAGGACCCTGAGGGCCGGGGAAGCCACCCTTTGGCCAACCAAAAGGTGTGCCATCGACGTCCAAGAGGGTATACTCCTGCTCAAGACCGAACCAAGGAACGGCGTCTTTTGCGAGCTCCATGGACTTGTTAGCGTGGTAACGGTAATTTGTTCTGTTAGGGGTGCCGTCGTTGTTGTAGGTTTCCGCAAGGACGAGAATGTTGTCACCGCCACGGAAGGGATCCTTGAAGATACGGGCAGGACGAAGATAGACGTCTGAGTCATGCCCAGGGGCTTGGTTTGTGGAGGAGCCATCGAAGTCCCAGATACGAAGTTGGCCGATATCGGTGACCTTCTCGGCAACGGTCTGAACAGTTGTGAGTGGTTTTGGAAGACGACGAAACGAAAGCGAAATGCTTACAGTCGTCTTTGAGCGAAGACCGCCATCGCCGTCAACCCAAACGTCTGTTCAGTGTTGCCCAGTCAATAACGCTCTAATAGCGCAGGATTGCAACAAGCATACATTCTGCCTGGACTTTTTCGCCCTGTGGAAGAGCGAGGTAGGGGGACAGAAGGTCGTTGTGGTAGGTGATGGTGGTCATTGTTTGCGAACTGATAGATGAGGAGGTAAACAAGAAGACCTGACGGAGAGATGGCGCTGCCAAAGGTCAATTTAAAGGGTGTCCCGGGACTGTTGCTGTCTGTTTATTTTAGAAAGGCACGCATTCCGATTGGACGATAAGCACCCCGTATCTTTCATTTCCCCCCATCCTTCGGGTTGCATAAAAAGGTGACCGGAAAATCGACCTAACGTACAGACTCGATTCGACGTGTCGTTTTCTATTACGCGCAACTCTCCAATAGCCCATTGCTGCCGTCTCATCCGTGAGGTCTGGATAACAAATTGTTCGGGCCATGTCAGGATCAATTGTTGTGGGCTTGTTTCCACTCGGCCTCTCCACCGATTGTATACATATCCGGCCGTGCCATGTCCGACGCTCTAACGACCAACTACTACTTATTAAGTAGTAGCCCATAGTGCTCCTGGGTCATTCCAGGGACTCCTGACACGGTGACACTAAGCAAGCACCATCTATCAAACCAACCTGCCAGATTGTTGACAACCCTTGGTGCCGCATTGCAAATAGCATTTATCGCTCTTTGCGGCAAATCTTTCCCTAGGATCTCCAGGACGTCCATCAATCAGGTTCTCTCGAACAAGCGGTTGCCGAGGTAAGTGGAAAGACCAAGCCTTTCATCGATTCATCAATCATCTGTGTGAGCACAACTTCATCTTTCGGGCCCCAGCCGATATGATTCAAATACTGCGCGCTCGGCGGATCATGCCGCCTCAGGTGACCCGCCTTGATAGTGGGTAAGTATTTGCTGGGCTGCATACCAAGTAGCTCAGGAACAATCAAAAGTAAACAGTGCCCGTCAGCCACAACACCCATAACGCCACACGGGCAAAGGTTTCCTTCCGTTTGCCAAGATTCCGTTGCAGTGAATGGGATGAGATTGACTGGAACTTATTGCGCCAGAATTGGCTTATGTAAAAACGTCGTTATGGACAACTCTAATTCCCCGCACCACAAAGGGTGGATAGACTATTTTCTCGCCGCTTTCCTTCTGCTCCCAGCTTTCACGGCAGCAGCCCGCATTCCCCTTTTTTGGGCCCCAGCTTCACTGGTCCCATTTGGAGCAGTTGTTCCACCTGCAGGATTCGCTCCGTAGTCGCTACCCTCCCCTTGTTCATCGCCTTCGCCTTCTATTCGCGCGGGCTCGCTCTTGCCTTCTATGGCCAACCGAAACACTCTTCGTAGCAATGTAGGAAACCACGTTCTCGCAAAGGCAGGCGGTGTAGCTGTCTTCTCATTTAATTCGTGGAGCTCCCCTGAACAATCCTGCTGTCAAGAAGTGTTACCCTGTGTTACCCCGTTTGTGCTGGTGCATAACTCGACGGACTTACGATATAGACGGCGTCACCATCAACAATCACGTCAATCACTTTGCCAGGCACCGTCCTCCCATCCTCATCCATCCGCGGCCCGCCTCCGAGGTTGACCTTGACCTAAATGAATTAACTTGTAAGAAAGCACGTCAGCACTGCATCTACACGGACTTGCCTTTCGCTTCCCCCCTGATTGCACCATCTTTGGACCCCACGCACTAAGTTTGGCATCACAGATCGTTTGACGAATGCGGTTTAGATCCCGGGAGTAGTTCACCATCTGTACCAGATACTGCAGTCCAGTCGTTAACAACGTCAAGAAAATTAACACAGTCTGTCAATCAATGAATCACGTTGACCCGGCGCCCACCAAACCCAATTAGCAACCACGTACGCCGAGTCCTGGTCTAAACCTCGTATAATAGTAGCCGGTTCCTCTCCACTTGGGCACGCCATTCTTGCAGAAGAAATCATAGCTGCGGATGTCGTCAGTGAGAATATGCCAGGGTCAAACGATGGACATACCGCGCTCGACCTTCCGGACTCCGCAATATATTCACGATAACACCGAGCCTTGCAAATCGTTCGTGTACACCTCTGACACCGGGATTTTTGTCCGGACTGTGTATGTCAGCAACCGTTCGGTCCGATATTAGTCTGCGAGACATGCGCACTGTAGTTCTATGCTCTTTTTACGGTATGCCTTGTTGACTTGGGCAAGGGGCGCGGTTGGAGACACCTCTAGCCAAGAGTAAAATGTTGTCCCCTTGCCTAATTGCGGAATGAGCCTAGTATAGCAGGCTACAAAAGGAATCAAACCTTCAGACGCCTCCAAGTCGCTGACAAGGTCGAAAATTTCATAGTCTTCCTTCCGTTGGCTGTAAGCATAGAAAAGTGGGTATTTCGGTGCAGCTCACTTTCGTCCACCTGGTCACCAACACACCTATAAGGGCACAGTCGAAGAAGCAAATGAACCATTTCCACTCACGCCAAAAACTGCCGTGGCCAGGGCAGCAAGGAGGACACCGACCAGAACGAACCGCATGGTCACCCAACCACAGTGAACTTGCAGGTGCGACAGCACACTCCGTCGATGGTCACGTGACGGTGCCTAAGCGGGTATCGGAGGCCAGCGCCAAACGTTATGAACCTCCGCCAGTGACTCGATGGCTCCTCGAAGAAAATGTCCTATCTGCGGCAGTAGGAGATGGCGCAAGGATTCCGCTAGTGGAATGATAACTTGCAGCGAGGGACACGTCCTTCAAGTAAATTGCTGCTTGAGCTCGATCCGCGTGAAGTGCTCATGGCGTTCCGCTTATTAGAACTACAGGACGGAGTCAGGAGATGCCGAAGATTATGGTACTCATACCATGAGGAAGCGCACATTGAAGTCTACTCGCGAGAAGGGAATCGTGAACAAGGCAGACCCTAAGCGTGAGGAAACATCTCGTTCTTTCGACATCGCATGCTGATACCCGATAGTCTATCACGGCGACAGAGCACGCTTCCATTACTACCAGTGTCTCCAATTACTACTCCGGAAGCAAATTTCAGCGTTGATCAGCCTATGGAATCTTCCCCAGGAGTTCGAGGTAAGAAGGATGACCATGAACAAATGTGGCGCCTTTTACTTTTTTTCTAGATGATATGTAGAGATCTGTGGGCGCTGCACTTGACTTTGATTCGCGACCCTCCGCCTGCGGAACCCTTACAACATGCACAAGAGATGAAGGGTCCTGCGCCTAGAATGCATAAGGAACGTTCTGATATGTCTGATGCGAAGGGTTTTGAGGACGATCAGCAAAATTCCTGTGCGGGATATTCGAGCAATGAAAATAGCACGGATTCGGAGCTGGAAGCTCTCCTTCAAGAAAATTCTGCAGGAAGTTCAACGGCTTCGGAGGACGAAGACCACCATGCTAAGAAGAAATATCATATCAAGCTGAGCACGCGGTTTATTGGTGACTCTGATCATCCGGTGAATACGGTTGCTGTCCTGGTACTGGCATGCTGGACTATTCGTTTGCCACTTGTCTATATGGACATTATCAAGTGAGTGATCATTTCAAGGGTACCCATGTGTGATCGATGGACCCCCTAAGGTTTTGATGTACCTCACAGTGCCATCGAGGACCACTCCATCCCCTACCTTGACCACGTCCGCTTCTTACCCTCATCGCTTACATGCCATCTCACGAAACACGCCATCCAGGCGTTGTCTCCGCATGTGCGAGATTTCCGACTTACAGTTTCCTTTACCTAATGGATGAGGTACAGCACGCACCAAGAATTCCCTCACTCCATCGTTTAGTGTCACGCTTAGGCAATCGGCTACACTCGAACTTTGGTCTTTCAATTCCAGAGTTGAATGTTGCTCCGATCCTCTGGCGGGTAGTCCGTCAGTGCTTTTGTGGCACTCGTGCGTTTCTATGGGCAAGATAACGAGGCTATCTGATGATCTGGATCCCAGCTATGTTGTACAGCCTGAGTAAACGACTGGGAAGCGTGCTATCACTGCCAATTTCTCTTCACCATTCATTGGCGCCCGTTCCGTCTGGTGTCGAAAGCCGCATGCACTACAATGCACCGCCCGAGGCTGCCCTCGCCAGTTCAGCTATCGTGGTTTTGAAGCTTGTCTATGGACTGGATGGGAAAAGGAGGCAAGTTGTGATGGCAAGTAGTGGTTGCGTCGTCGTGGATAACTTTGGTACCAGGCTTCCCAGGATTGCTCAAGACGTGGCCTGTACTTTCCCTGACGTGGATCAATTTCTAGCCACACTGCGAGAGGCCAATCGCGCTAAACCATTCATCAATAACCATCCGTTTAGCGCTCGGATACCTATGTAAGTTTTGGTTTTGATGGTGGTAAAGGTATGCCAACTCATAGATATGGAAGGTCAGTTGGTGATTTGGGCCATGCGAGCTTGGACGAGTATCTTGATTTTTGCGAGGAGACGTTGGTGGCGCCACAAACCAACGGTGAGTTTTGTGTCCAGCTGTACGCCGGTAGGGCTGAAACACACATGTGATGGTACCTTTGACAGAGCACCGGATTCTCGACAACTATTTCCCCCTTTCGAACGAGAATGCAATGAGAAGTCAGACTGTGGTCACGAGTGGTCCTGTGACAAAGGCAGGGTCGCCGATGGAGACGAACGACAGTGAACCGGACATTTTGCAGCCGGGAGAGTCTTATACAATTTACCATTCTGAAGACGTCCTGGGAAATGTTCCCTCCGAACTGGACGTAATCATCCAGCGGGCGTGCCGATGGGCAGGGGTAAGTAGCGATTACTTGTGTAGCGTGGTGGAGCAATATGAGCGGCGGTTAATGCGCTGGTGGCAAGCTGAACGACAGTACGAAGGGGAAAAACGTTGGGAGGATGGCACTGATGCGGCTGCCGCTTAACGCGACGTGTCTTTTCCTCGTTGTCCCTCGCATTATTGAAATGCGGTCGCACGTGGATATATGTAGACATGAGGGGGGTGACTTTGCCCTAAGCAGTGTAGTATTACTGCGCCTGTGCCAATATTACTACGTTGGATTTATAAGACATCATGTTCTAGTCCTTTTGATCGTCGTCGTCGTCCACAGTACTGTCGCTCTTTTCTCCCGTCACTCTCATGCGGCGGCTTGCTTCTGTCTTCATTTCACGGAGTGACAGACCAGATGCACCTTCGACTGTCTCGAACGAAGGCTCGCAGCCCCGACAACCTAAGGGGCCCAGTGTACTCGCCTCCCTAGCGAGAAGAGCGACTCAAACCTCCATACCATCGCTTCTCCCTAGCAGTCTCACCAATTCATCTTCATCCTCGTCCAGTGGGTCCACTGCCCTCCAAACGCCCATCGATGAAAGCTTGCCACGTAAGTCGAGCAAGAAAGGCAGCTGGACATCCTGGATAGCATCTAAGAAGCAGGCTCGCAGAGAGGCATGGTCTTCATGTGCCCCACCATTTGCAGCCCTCTCTCCACCCAATGTCGATCTCGGTAATGAGACTCTGGATGCCCGCTCTTCCCCGTCTGACGATGGCTCTGATCACTCGGAGAGCCAGTCGTCACAAATGGTGGTGCGAACGCGAGCAAACACCCGTATCATCCTTTGGAACAGTCTCGTTCACCGTTTGGACTCACCGCCGCTACTTGACTTACCTGAATCCGCCGCATTCCCTCGTTCATGCAATCCCTGTCGGAGTCTTCGTCGTAAGGAGACCTTGGAATCCAAGGTGCACAAAAATGCACTATTGTCGCGCCTGGACAAATTATCTCCATCAGAATTGTCTTCGATAATGGCGTGGTCTACCAGTGTCGTGGTAACCAAAAAGCCTTCTCGTGATCCTTTACATGATTTCTTCCCTGAGGCTAGGGCAATAGCACGACATTCCGAAGGTCTTCGCACTTGGGTCTCTCGGCCTTACTACGAGGAAAGAGTTTATGTTTGGACCCAAGAAGAAAAAGGCGAAATCACTTGTTCTCGTGTTACAGGGCCGCAGCTTGGCGTTGCGGCTTTGGAGTATTCCGAGGTACTGGACATCCTTTCCGGGCCATTATCGGAACCCCCAGATGAGCCATCAGACGGTGCCATCTTCAATACCACCGCTGAATTGCTGTCGCTCCCTTGTATCCCTGGTAAGCGACCACTCATGTTCTGTCTCGTTTGTGGTCTAAGACTCTGTCAGGCCTCGACTCTCCCGCCGTACAAACTTCGCCTCTAAAGCCTTCATCACGTTCCGTGGAATTGTTCCCTCCCTCCACCATGACTTCCACATCACCGTCGGCTTTGCTAATATCGAAGACGATAAAGTCTGAAACAAAAACAAACCCTAGCGGCCTAGTTCCTAAAAAGGGGGTCCGATTTGCAGAGGATGACAGCAAGGATGACAAAATTCCGCTGGGATACATGCTTCGTGTTAGGAAGAACAAAGAACAGAAAGCAAAGTTTCTTCGTCACGAACGCGAACGCAGGGCGATAGTTGAAGCCGAAGTAGCCTCGCAAGAAGAGGAACGAGCCCGGAGAGAAATCGGAAAGTTGGAAATGGACAAATTGCGCCGGGCGAGGGAACAAGAAAGGAAACAGTTGGAGGCACAGGAGAGACAGCGAAATTATTTGGAGGAAGTCCAAGCTACCAGAATCAGGCGTGAGGCTGCTCGTGCCGGACAAGCACGGATCCCGCCTACGGCTTCCTACACCCGACCCCTCGAACGCGACTGGTCGGAGTCTCGGAACCCTGCGCGTCCTCCAATGCGCAGAGACGGCTCTTCTCGTGGCTCGGAACCCGTACCGGTGATGAATTTACCTTCCTATGACGCTTCTCCGGCGAGTTCATTGCCACCCACTCCCGGGAGCCAGCGCAGTTTCTCTCGGCCTCCCTCCGTTTATTCCGCTCACACGGCATCATCAGAAGATGTGCGAAACCGGGAAGCCAGACGTATCAGCAGACGAAGTTCAACTGTATCCGACTCTTCAAAGCACGCGGCATTTCAGGTGCCATATAATTACGGAGCTTCGCTCATGGCCTTTAATCCCTCTTGGGGAATGATCCCTCCTGTCCCCCCTGTATCTGCAATCCCTCCTGTGCCCGCTATTCCACCTTTCAATACTACACCGTTCTACGGGATGGAGATGCCTTTACTACCCCCAACTGCTCCGTTCATGGTGGACCAGTATCGTTCTCGCTCTCCTGGGTCACGCAGCTCGTCATCAACCCGTGACCCGCCACGGCACCAGCTTAGTCAGACTGTGCACTCTGATGGGGCGTCGTCCAGTAGATTCTCGATTCACGGAACTAAGTCGAATTCTCCCCACAGGCGCTCTACTGATGGACTCTCACCGGTTACCGCCAGTGGGAAGTCACCATTGGAATGCAGCACTTACAGCCAATACGATCTTCGCAGTTCCCCATCGTATCCCAACTCTTCTCGAGCTGACTTGCGCCACCAACCTGGTACTTACCCGGAGCCTCGGGCGAGTTCTCCAAGGCATGCATCAATATCTCCATCTCACGCTTCCCAATCGCAACGACGGATCGTCATTTCATAACTACTCTCATGTAACCTTACATGACATTGCATTCACGCTCTTTTTAATATTGTTACACTGGATACCCCCACTCCCTCTTGCATTGGATCTATCCATTCAAGTATTCGTTTCGTTTCTCGGGCATTATGCTTCTGATATATGGAGATTCTTACCTTACTCACACGTACCTTCATTCGGACTTCGAGGAACAATGTGCGAACTAGCGTTTCTTCCTGTTACAACAGCATGGATTGTGTGTGGAGCTTGATAAATAGACGTCCGGCACTCTCTGCTACCTAACTACATGCAACACACGTTCCGCTTGACAGAGAAAATCGCAGGAACAGAGTCCCACCACTGAATACCACTTGTTAAAGCGAAGGAGCACTGTTGCTAACCAAGGCCACCCCACGGTCCGCGTATCCTGCGAGCTAACTGTATATCTCGTTGCATTATCGTGACACGCTTTGCGTGGATCGCGCATAAATTCCTAAGTGCACAAGATCAGAGGGACGTTCGAGGTTGTCTTTTTGGGGAGACCCACGCGTCCTCGAACAGGTGGACGAGGAATGCCTCTGTTGCTTCCTGCAACGCAAGGATCGCGGAACTTTGCCATCGTAATCCCGTGTCCCCCATGTGGTAGTTGGTATCGGTCATCATATCTAATGCGATTTCCCGGACCTAGAATTCCGTTGATCAGAGGGCTTCGGGTGCATAACGAGGAAGGAAAAAGTCGACACACAACGCGAGCAAAGGGCAATCGTCGCAGTAGCAGGTCAGTGCTACGTTGGTACTTGCGAATTTCGCGTAGAGCAACTGTTCCTGGGCGATAGCGACGCTTCTTTCGCTGACCATCTTCGTCAGCTGCGTGTGATTGGTCTAGACAGAAGATGCCGAGACGTCAGAACACGACGCGTCGAATCTGAGGTGGCTCACATGCGTCCTTCGTGCGAGATGACGAAACTGCTGAATCTCTAGGAGGATGGCCACCGGTGCTTTTGCGTGCAGTATGTTTCGATTTCTTGGAAGGACCTGCCTCGTTGCCTGAGCCGTGGCCGCGAGCCGTTGAACTTTCGGTCATCTTTCTCTTCTGCGCCATCTGGGCCATGGCAGGAGGTGTTCTCGAGATGCGCGCTCGGGTAACACGTTCACGCAGTAGGAACGTCGTCCGACACGAAACGATTTCAGGTGGCCTTGGAACGCGAAGTGGTGTTGTTGGCATTACCCGATTTGGCAACAGACCCTAGCAACTTACAAGTGCCAGCAGATCTTGGATAGCGGCAAGTACGTCGATGGTCTCGCCAGTCGTCACCGGATATTATCGCTACACAGACATATTCTTCGAATGGTAAGATCTGTGTCGATGCAGAACGGTCGACTGTACACTCAAGTCAATAGGCACCAGGCCCTCCCCAACCCTGAGGATCGGAGCCCTCTCAAGGCAATTTTGGCACAAGACGCGTTCGTGCATCCCGATCACCCTCTTCACAAGGAGGGTGCCGAGGGTGCAGAGCTGTATCTTGGTAAACCATCATATGGTGGATATTCCGCATGGTGTCCATGACGAGCATACAGGAACACTGCAAAATTTTGAGTCACGACTTTTGTTCTCTTCAGCTCAGGTCGAATACCTAAGGTACTGGCTGCATGCAATGCAGCTCACCAAGGATCTTATACCTCTTCCGTACTCGGACTGTCTTCTGACGGAGTCCAATTTACGTCATGTCTCCCCCGTCCACTTCAAAACTAGAGAGGAACTCAGGACTACATTGAAGGTAGGTGGATGACGAGATCGACATCTGACAACGACTTGATGTCCATAACAGCAAATCGAGAAAAACAACAAACGCTTGAAGGGTACGAATCCAACGCTTAATGTCCGCCGTGATATCTTCGAGCGGGTTCGATCTCTCTGGGCTCAGCAGCAAGGTACCTGGTGTGCGCTGGATTTTGAGGCCTGGGATAGAGACCACACACTCCTCACCGAGTTTGGGTGGAGCACCGTTCGTTGGGATGGTGGATCAAAAATTGAGGATCAAGGGCACCTCATTGTCAAGGAGCACAGGTATTATACCAACACCTTCGTGTCTAACAATCGAGACGTAAAGGCTCTTCTTCTCTCTGCATATCTTCACTTTAACCTTCAACCCACAGCACTTTTCATTTGGCAAGAGCGAAGAAGTCAACAAAACTACGTTCAAACGGAGAATTCAAGCTCTCGTGGAAGACCTTAAGAAGTCAGGCCCTCTCTTCCTGATTTTCCACGACAATAATCAGGACATCAAGTTGGTCCCTTATTCAACTTTACCAGGTTCAGAGCTGACCAGGGATGTGAAGGTACCTCAAGTCAAAGGATGTCGATGTGCAACTCCCAGATGTTGTGTTTTTACTTCCTGATGTGCTGCCCAAAGATGGTGTCTTCGTCTTAGATACATCCGACTTGTTCGCTGCCTTGGAGGGCGAAGACGGGGGGAATCGCAAATCCTTGGAGCGCACATGTCGCCATTTGCAGATTCCGACTTCACATCTCCACAATGCGGGAAATGACGCTCATGTAGGTCGCTTTGCTATTAATATGCTCGCGGTATTGAATTCGCGCAGTATACCATGCTCACCTTGATATCTATGGCCTCTGGTGAACCCATCGATATGCAACGCGAGAGGCGGTGGCCTAATCGCACATCACCAAATTCAAGCGTCCCAAACAAGCCGCTTAATGGAGCCGGCGTTAGGGTTCACTTCGAGCCCTGGGAGGAGGATGACGATTGTTCAGATCAAGAAGGTGTTTGCGGACCGGTAGTGGACATGAATCGGTTCAAGGCGGATAGTGACGACGAAATGCCTTAGTACCGTGCATAACAAGTACACGCGAAAAGGTACACATAGTCTAACCCAACGATTGTGTCTCAGGAAGCCAAAACAGACCAACAGATGCATTACTCATCCTTTTCGTTGATATCGTCGGCATCTCCATCATTATCCTCGTCGTCCGATCTATCGTCTGTCAAAGTACTGGTGATGGACCTACAAAAATAAGCTAGTGTCATCAGTCGCAAACAAAACAGGTAGACATACCGAATCGCAATGCGCCAAATGAGATAGTACCAGAAGAGATTGAGCATTTGCAAAAGAAGGATCGGCGCAAAGATCTGGTACTTCATCCACCACACCAGCCAAGCACCTGTCGGTGGTGCCCATACGCGGGACACCTCACTGGTCGAGGTTTAGTGCAGCGATCAAGGATGCGGACAGACGAAACGTACGGAACGAGATCAAACTCCGTCCAAACAGACCAAAGAATGACGAAGTTCAAGTAATGGCGGAAGTATCTGGAGGGGGGGGGGCTATCAACTGAGAGAAGTCTAGATTGCAATGAAACTGACGTCCAAACCGCGATGAATACCACGAATGAAACGAACTTTGCACGTTCCAGCTTGATATAATTCAGGAGCTTGGAAAACTACGGCAAGATCGGCGAGAGTTGCAATCCATGAAAACCCTGACTCACAGCGAGGAACGCGTCTGGTATGTCCATGCTCATATATACAGCGTTGCCTATTAGTGTGAGGTTGACCAGGTAGCTCCAACTATGGAGAACGCAGTCAGACAAAGATCCTGAGTAAAGGTGGGAATAGATTGGTTACCCAATCAGCCATAAAGTTACTATGTGATGGACAACAAGTTCCTGGTAGTCCTTGCGTGGCTTTTCCAGACCAAGGAGAAGAACGATGAGTTGCTGGCACCAGTACGCCATATGCATCAAATAATAGCGTTTTAACTCAGGCTTCATTTCCCACTGGGGGTAACCTGGCGTAGCACAGGAGGGTTAGGGCCGGAAGTCCAAGGTTGAAAACGGGTCCGTGAAACTGACCAATCCAGAAGTACTCCGTCCGGAACCAGTACGTTGGCAATTGTCCCATGATGCGCTGGAAAGATTGACACTAGATGCAAGCAGGAAAGAATGCCGGACACTCACGTAGCCCCATGCACCCATGATTGCGAAGTATATTAGTGCATAGCCCTGCTCACCAAAGCGATCCAATATCCCTTCACGCTTAATACCAAGATAGCGGGCAACACGGTGGCAGACATGGATAATGATAACTTGCCGCACGAAAGAGAAGAAAATGATATAATATGCGAGGAAAACCAGATCTAGGTACCCTTTCGCGTATCGTACGTCCACTGAGTCCGACCCCACAGGGTATGAGATGAATAGTAGGGGACTAAACGGGTTCGACAAGCCGGGTGCCATGTTCTGGGCGACGAGTTCCCAATTGAAGTAGAGAATAACGGGGATGGCGAGTAACTTGAACGACGACACTGGCGAAGAAGGTCGGTGGTCCGTTGTGCGCCAGCAATGAAAACGACGAGATGATGTTCACCTGGATTGACGACCCATCTCCAAGACTTGAGGTCACTCCAAAACGTACTTCCCTGACGACCAACAGTCGGCACGGGGAAGTAGCTGGATTCTGGAGTAGCGGAATCCAGTGGTCTGCGAGGTGTATACGGTGAGGAGGTAGTGGAAGATAAGGAACGGAGGCTCACGTTTGAGTCACGAACGGACCGGTCAGGTGTCTCCTGTCGGTGCTGGTGTATTGTCAATATGGCGGACTGAGGACTGCGAGTAATGAGGACGCACTCGATGCTCTTGAGGTTCCCCACATGACCACGTCTTTGATGCAGTGTTGACGCTGGAGGAGAACGTTTCGACATAGTGGCCAGCAGAAAGAAAGAAAAGACAGAAGTGTGTTGGCCAGTTGACAAGCCAGTGTCTGGCGGTGTCAGGGACGTAAAACCAGGGGTTAGCATGTTCGGAACGTTCTGATCGACCCTACACTTGGTTACAGTAGAAGCGACTACCAGGCCATGTTTCCTACTCTGGGGCTTTTTCAGTCGCTATCGTGTCCAGAGGGATCCAAGTGTATAAGACCATGGTGTCTGTTCTCTCATGCCAACGATGCATTCCAACAGCCCTTGATCGCGTCTGTGTCTGCGTCACGCCCAAAGGCTCGGTCGTCCGCCACGACATCTACACTCCCATCCACCGTCCCTGCGAAAAGGTCGCATGAATTGTCCACACCAGCAACCTCATTGGCACGGAAGGATGTCGCCAGTGAACCTCCCTCACAACGAGTGAAGACTGTATCCACCAGTCGCTCCGTTGCACCACAAACGACGGCTCATGGCAACGTCAGTAGTTGTTTTTCCTATCACTATGGTCCGGGGATTTATCCCTGTGTATAGGGTGCACCCATTCTCCGAGTGACCCCAGCACATTCTCAAGTCGCAGTACCCGTGCGCCAGGTGAATGTATACATCCCTTACATACCCACATGCCAATTAACTTCATCCTCATCAGACTATGCTCAAGAATCTGTACGACCATTTCATCGTGCTGTATGAGGCCATTCTACCATCAAATCCTACTCTCGCATCAGAACATGCTCTTCGCCAGGAGGAGGAAATTTACAACAAATCAACCAAACTGACTTATCGAAATGTGGGTATCCAAGGCCCTGCTCTCATTTTGAACTGGCACCCAGTTCTATGTGAATTCAGGCAGTCATCAACTCAATCGCAGCTCTCAAGAGACGGCCCGTTCCCAGTGCCATAGCGCATCCTTCCGTTGGTACTGAAGGGGATATTGCTGCTCGTATCGAGTCGCAGAAACAACTAAGTGAACTACGCCTAACCAGGACTGTTGTGCAACAGCTGGTCATGACGTTAGAGACTATGAAAAATTGGGGTTACATCACCGAGGTGCCCCCTGGCGAAGGAGGAAGTAAACCCGACGCGAAGGATCAAGTGAAACAGTGTGAACGGTGCGGTCAACCATTTTCTGTGAGGAAAGATCCAAAGAAGGACGAGTGTTGCTATCACTGGGGTCGGCCTTTTAATAAAAAAATCAATGGTATGGGAAACCTCAAGACATTCACTCGCCAAATTTTCGAGTTGATTTTTTGCAGGCGAAAAATTGCGCTTTTACTCGTGTTGCTCGAAGAACGTGGGCGAAGATGGATGCTCCTGGGGATGTCATGTGTTCTACGAGTCCGATGCAAGTGATCTCCATACTCGCCATGCCTTCTCGCCGGTACGCCCCCCGAAATCTTCTGATGGTGGCGCGTCAGTGGAGATCTGCGATACAGCTTTGGATGTCGTTGCTCTCGATTGCGAAATGATTTACACGACTGGTGGTATGCGAGTTGCACGGGTTTCGGTTGTGGATGGCACAGGTAAAGAGGTATTCGATGAACTAATTCGCATGGACGACGGAGTCGACATCATGTATGTGTACCAGAATCCGTGCGGTGCCTCTTATCTAACTTCTGCACCAGCGACTATAACACCCGGTTCTCTGGCATATGCCAGGAAAAACATGAGAAGGCTTTTCTAACGCTCTCATCTGCACGGCAGTCGCTTGATGCGTTCATCAATTCAGAGACGATCATCATCGGTCACGCTTTAGAGAACGACCTCAAGACACTGCGCATCATTCATCATCGATGCATAGACACGGTGGTTTTGTTCCCACACAGAGCTGGCCCACCATACAGAAGATCACTGCGGGATCTGTGCGTAGCTAAGTGGTTCAACTAGTCAAGTAAGTGTGCGCTGAGGTCGATTTCAGAGCCAAAGAGCATCTTGGTATTGTAATTCAGGCAGGAGATGGATCAAGTGGACATTCTTCGGTAGAGGATTCGGTAGCAACTTTGGACTTGGTGCGATGGTACATCCTCAACAAGGTCACCCCAAAAAAATCATAACCTGTAATTTCGTACCCTAATTGCACGCTTCAAGGCTGGACTATAAGTATCTCAGCTGGACAAGACACCAGGCAGTACCAGTGGATACACCTACAGAACTAGCAACTGTAAATCTCAGTGAACCAGAAGACCTTCGGGAAATATGTAAAACTGGTTTGAGAAACTTGACAATGGGTGTCTAACCGCTGCGACCTCCTCCGAGACGACCAATGAGATCGTCACTGTTCTCTTGCTCTTCAACACCGTCCGCTTGCGTCACCTAGCCCTTATTAGATGGCGGGAGCACAGGAATGGAGCAAGCACCCACCACACGAAGGACTGACTTCTTTGACGATTCCTGCATCTCTCCAGCGATGATTAGCTCGTCCAAGATCTGTCATGTTTAATCAGGAGTCAGGTACTTGTACAGGGAATACTCACAGCATATGCTTTTTGGAAATTGAAAATACTTGTAATATGTATTCAGACTAAACATCCAACCCACTAAGAACTTGCAACTTACAGGTCTAGCTCGCAAACCTGGTTCACGTTAATTTCGAAGAAGAGTTGAAAATTTTCCACATACTCACGTTTCCGAAATACTTGTCCAAAACTTCCACGTAACGGTGGATGATCTCCAACGCGATAAGCTCATTGTCCCCTAAACCAATCCCGCAGACGAAGAAAAGAGAGGCATATCTCCGATAGACCACCTTGGTATCTGAGAATACATGAGACGTTGAGTCTTTGATGTCTTGGCCCAATTATGCAAGACTTTCACCCTTGTATTCCAGGAAATTACACATTCGTGTTCTGCGAGCCAGAACCAGTTGCGTTACATCCTTCACGATTTTGGCTTTTGCTTTGGGTGGGACGGTCATGAACCACTTCGCCAGGCGCACTTTCCCTGGCAGGAAACCATCAAGTTCAGTCGCGACGTTGGAAAACTGGACGAGCCTTGCCGCGACACGAGCAGAATGTAGTTGATCATTGCGAACGGTTGGTGGCTGTGCAGTACTTCGCCTTTTGTCATTGCTAGTCCTTGCCATTCTGCCTCTATTAGACTTGACCTTGACCAATAACTCACACCTATGATCTCAGCTGGTTACACTATCATCGAATCATCTAGATCCTAAAAGTAAATGAGAGGCTGACGCAAATGATATACGGTATGTGTAATTTATCCAGACGGTGGATTTCTAGAGCTGAACGATTAGAACACCCAACATGCGTTACGTGGCTACCTTCGATGCCCTCTTGTACGACTGTGTGGTTGAGGTTTTTTCGAAATTGTCGACCTTAAAGGCGGAAGGATTCAGTAATTGGTAAATGGACAGAAATCAATCCAATGAGCTCAGATTAGATCAAGACGAATTCAACGGGCACCCATTCGCTTAGCGTGGGTTCCCTCCTGACCAGTTTCTCATCTCCCCACGAAGATTAAGGCGGGCGTATAGGGACTAGTCAACATACCGATGGCCATGGCCCAAAGCTCCACCCAGAGACATCTGCAATGGACGGGTTTCCAAGTTCCGTTTTCTCCTAAGTTCCCAGTAGTCGAGCATCCACGTCTGAACCAATCCGAAGGCAGCTGATGTTACCCAGTACAGAACAACACTCTGGTGTAAAGCGTAAGTACAGATTCCGGCCGTAACTAACTGTTACGTACCCCGGGGACCATGGACGCGACAACGATTCGCCCAACGGAAACCAACCTGAGAGATGATTTGACAATCTTTTGAGGTTCAAGAACGGTTTCACCCCGTGCGATCCGCTGTTCTTTCCACTGCTGAACTTGTTCCTCGCGCTTAAGTTGAGTATCTGTCATAAACCAGCGAGAGCTCTCTACATTGGCTAGGGTGATGAAACCAAGTGCGATAGGCAAGGCCCCCGTCGGATCCGCGTGCGTAAGGGTAGACAGAGAGAAGAAGGATTCGGAATCGAAGGGCGTTGGAGCCTGTGATAGGCGAGAGAAAAGGATTGAAAGGCCCACGAAGATAGGAAGCTGCGTGACAGGAGGAATGAGCATTGTCACTGCCGGTTGACACCGATGCTCTGCAAACAGTAGCTTCCGCTGTTTCGTCAACTGCGCCACCAGGTCAAATCAAAGGCCCTTGGAAGGGAAGACCGACGCGGACACACGATTTCTTTCACTCTCTTGCTATGTATGGCCTGAATTTGCTCCTTTGTACCATGCACCCTCTCTCTCGTCATTTCTTCGGATACACTTCTGGCGACCTGGGGCGCCATGGAACGCATGATGGGCATGACCGCCTCCTCAGCTCGCCACTGTCGCCGCTTGGCCTATGCGTTGTCAGAAGGTCGTAACATGGACCAGGGATCACTCACCCATATTGAGAAGGGGACCGTCAGAACAAGTCGCGAGAGCACTGTGCACAATATGATGGCAGTCGAATAAGGGGGCCAGGACGGTGGTATTGGCAAGGCTGTTGCGAGGTCTAAGAAGCCGTCCGCGAGGGTGTCCAAGCTGGTGATAGTTCTGTGCGGGGACGAAGCAGAGAGCAGTTGCCTCTGTGTCCTACCCAGGCTGCGACTCGTGCGAGAAGCATATCTTGCCAACATCAATCACTTGGCAGACTCTGGTAGGTCAACTCACGACCCCCTCCGTAACGAGACAAACACAGGCACACAAACTTCACTGAGGCTGATGTTCGAAAGCCAGTGGGTAGCATAAAAGAAATATCATGTACGGGAAATGGCACACATCATAGCTCTGCATAGCCTACTGCATTAAGCCTCACCCTCAGAAGACCATCTGATGAGGGAATTGGCCCTTCGTTAGCCCAAAACTAGCTTTCAGGTACTTGGCCAGATTCTCTTGCTTCCGAACGGCGGCAACGACAGCCTTGTCGACCTCCTTTTGGTCAGCCGACTTGGCTTCGGGGAAAGGTTCCTTCGGCTTAGGCTTTCCCTCAGAGAAAAACTCTAACTCAGCCGAAATTGAACCTTTGATGGCAGTTTTGGCAAAGTAGGCATCATCAATCCTCGGGTCAACCTATGTGGAATGTGAATTTGACACGGGAAATGAACGATAAAAAGTATTACCTTGAATCCCTCAAGATCTATCTTTGTCGAAGTGGCAATAACATACGCTTGGTTGACCCTCCGCAAGGGAACGCCATTGATCTTGTACGGGCCAGTCACCAACAACAAACCGCTGTCCTAACTGCTTCAAGAACACGACCCTCTTCCCTCTGAACCGCCCAGCGAGTAGAATGAGCACCGTCCCTGGTACGATAGATGGTCGAAGCTTGGTTGGCTTAGGCGACTTGCGACTTTTCTTTGGTTGGCGAACGTCTTCCGCGGGATAGAAACGCGGGGCTTTTGAGGTAGGTACGAGGCGAGTACCGCCGTTCTTCTCGCCACCAACCTTGACTTCCTTCAATTGGGAAACCTCGGCAGCGGCTGCCTTCTCTGATTTTTTTGGGCCCTTGTACAGCTGACGGCGGGCGCCAGCTTGCGAACGCGAAAAGCGTCCAATTCCGGGTGCGAGTTGCCTGCTACGGGCCATCTAAGAGGTGATCGTGAGTGAAACAGATCGACACCACATCCATCTCGCGCATCCGCCATCCATCTCAAAGGCGAAACAACGGTACCGGCCCATGACACAAGACGGACAGGATGTCCAAAGAGACCTGTATGCGAACAGTAAGGCGCACTTACGGGGTCGGTGTCTTGAGGAATTTGTCGTGGAGGTCGTCAATGGCCACGGTGGGGGCTTGGGAGATTGGGTTAGTCGGAGTTGGCCTAGTGGGAATGAACTTCCTGATATGGGAAACGCTATGGTCCGTTTATACCACCAACGATTACAGTAAATCGACCAAGCACCCTGACTCTTACCCAGGATACCCCGGCTGCGTCATGTCTCAAGGATTTCCGGAAGGTGTGATTCATTTGGTACTCCTAATCGGTCCTATCTTCAAGTGCATAGGAAAGATCCCCGCATGATCATATGGTTCGACATAGATAATACGCTGTACTCAGCAAGCACCAAGATTTCACAAGCAATGGGACAACGCATTCACGGTTGGTCGCGTTTGCCGAATCCTAGATGGGAACCAACTTGGAGAATATCCAGCATACTTCGTTTCTATGGGACTTGACGAGGACGAGGCATCGGACCTACACTTCAAGTACTACACACAGTATGGACTTGCTCTGCGTGGTCTAACACGTCATCACGACATAGGTATACCCCTTGATACTATGTTGGCTACCTTGGACTAAAAGTTCCTATGCAGATCCTCTTGACTTTGATCGTAAATGCGACGGCACTCTTCCCTTGGAAGAGCTCATCCAACCTAACCCCAAGTTAAGAATGCTCATTGAGGATTTGGACAGGACGAAAGTCCGGGTATGGGCATTGACGAATGCCTACAAGAATGTACGCATGAATCGGTCACACGGCAGTTTACCAATCTGTACTCAATTGCATGTGTAGCATGCCAATAGAGTCCTCACCATCCTCGGTGTACGCGACCAAATCGAAGGCGTAGTGTTTTGCGATTATGAAAATCCTAACTTTACCTGTAAACCAGAGCCAGAATACTATCATAACGTGAGACTTGTGACCTGTTTCCAGGTGCATCTGATGTCGTACTGTCCCAGGCCATGAAACAGGCTGGTATTTTCGACCCGTCCAAATGTTTATTTATAGACGACAGCAAACAAAACGTTGTCGCGGCGAAAAAGTTGGGCTGGGGACGATGCGCACATTTTTACGAAGCCGGGCTTGAGGCAATGGAGGGTGGAAAATTGAAAACTTTGGGTCGGAACGGTGATACCGCTGCAAGCGCGAACGGTGTTGTAGTCATCACCGATCTAGAAGATCTTAGAAAGGTCTGGCCAGACATATTTTCGAAATAATTCGCCGTACCCTACGTAAAACTACACTAGGAATAAATGGATAGCGGGAGCAAGGGGACCGCCATTCAAAACAATGTAACTGTTACAACCTGGGAAGCCTCGTTTACTTCTAAGATAACACCACTATAGCCATAGAGCCCTGCAACGCTGTCAAATGCAGCTCCTATATAAAAACGGGCACTTACGGGATACAGGACTAGGTAAAGTAATTGTGTCGTCGTCATCCGTACGGTCGAGTACCATCGATTGCGGCGGTGGATCTCTTGGGCTCAAAAAGTGGCTAATTGCCTCAAACTGGAAACGGTGAGAAAAGTGGCTGCAGTAATCACCGCACGGGTTTCCCACCTTGTCCGAGAGACGCATGCGTGGAGGGGTATCTTGATACGTGTGGGTTAGTTTCTGTCATTAACACTGAGAGCAAAAATCACCATCCTCGTCGTCTTCAGGTCTTCCTTCCAATTCCCAAGGACAACGTTTATAATGCTGGAACAGAGGCGACCCAGGCTGCAACCCATGAAGAAGGGCGGATCAATCATTGAAAGCAGAGTGCTCACCACATTGGAGTGTAGTATGATCTTGCGTACTCTATGAGTTTGGCCAGATATAAGGAAGTCGATTCCGTGATGAAAGTAGTTGTAAAAATCTGCGAACCGAATCTCGGACCATTCCAACTATCGAACCGTAGAACTCACAATCATTAGAATAACTGTCCCTCATCTAATTGTGGGTTCGGGGAATGAATAGCCATGCGGCCATCTTCTTTGTAATAAACTCGTGATGGGGGCCCGAGGTCAATGTTCAAGTCTTGAGCAGTGGTTTCTCCTAGACATATGTGCAGCGGAGACGACGAAGGGGCAAAAAAATGAAGAACAATTCCATGATGTATCTGCAACGTAGTGAGGCATCAGTAACGATAAACCGTTTGGCATGAAACTGAGATGCCTTGATAATTGCCCGCGAGATATCCCCGAACATTACTGGACACGGGATGACCTCGTCCAAAGCGTCATGTTCTCCCGATTGTGTTTCTTTCTGAGTAACAATGATCCTTTTAACTTCCTTGGAGCGTTGATCAGGACCAGTATGTGGCATCCCGCCTTTCAGGCTCTCGTTGATGGCGTCATCCTCGAAGCTAAACCAGACCCCAGGATACCGCAACTCGTCACCAGGGTATGTCGGACCAAATGCTCGAGTTATTTGAACCTTCACAAGCGGATCACCACCTGAGCAGATGACGGAGTCTTTGTACCGCAGAATTATTGGAGGATGAAGGTCTGTAATCTTCCTCAGGCAGATCGTGTGGAGGTGTTGGTGATAACCAGAAAACAGGAGATCGAAATGCGGACGCAAATGAAGGATCACTGGCGTCGTGGAGGCGTTTTCTGCGTCAAACTTAACCTCCACTTGAGGGAAGAGGTGCTGGAGGCTCCGGAGCATAGTTAACACGGCCCACAACGATGAACCTGATGAAAATGAGGGCCAAGAGGGCAATGATATGAAGGAAAGAACGAACCTAGCTCAAACATACCAATTCCAGAGCCTGGTCTTATATCGACCTCCAGAGTTGAAAGCATGATGGGAGGGAGTCACTGGCTTGGGTAGTGGTCAGGAGCATCACCTTGTCTAAAAGCGGACCTGAGTACCGCAAGACACTATCATCCAGTTCCATATTACAACCCGTCTCCCGCGTAGTATTTCAGAGCACTGTAAGTACCTGCTATCACAGCAGCCGGTGGGTACCATCGGTGCGCTTGATGGCATGCAGAACAACTCTTCCCCTTAGGTGCTAGGTCGTTTTGAATGTGGACATAGTGACCATGATCAACGGCCGCCAACGGACAATAATCAAGGTTCAGTTCTCTAACAGTTTATCATAGAATCTCGTCACAACGCAACTCCCCAGGTTTTTCGCAAATACAGTCACTCGCTGGGCCCAGAAGCTCTGCAATTCCTGGAAGAAATTCTCGATAGGCACGAAATAAAGGATGAAGATGTAGAGTTTTCCATCGAAACTATAGCCAGGGAGTATAACAAACAAGATGGTATGTGACTCCTATCGTTCATAGGTTGCCCCTTATACCCGTGTAGACGCTGTAATGAAAGTTTCACTTGATATCCTCCGACGGGTATATGATTCGCTTCAAGACCAAGGCGCAGATGACACCGAGTCAGAACTTCTTGACCCAGACAGCCACCTCTACGTCATAGACGCATTTGAGATGCCCCTCTGGAACTGGTCGCATGAGCGTGGAACCTTTGAGAGGTAGGCTCTACCTATTTCCGAGCATCACGCATTAGGCACAGTCCAAAGATCACCTATTCCGTCCACCATTTCTGGTACCGCAGAATCGCGAATAAACGCCATAAGGAATCGACTCTTTATCATTAGGCAGAGCATCTTGCGCAACGAACACTTCTCCCCTTCTACTATTCCTTCCCGTGACCGGGAACACCTCGTTACTGTATGTGATGAATCCTCCTCGTAAACCAGCACTCTACCACTTTCATCTTCCAACAGCTGAAGTCGTCCAAGCAATTGTTGGGGAGGGCGGGTGAAAGATTTCTACTACTGGGCATGCTCGTGCACAATAATGAAGGGACGTTATGCCTCGAAGACGCAGATGGTAGTGTTGCATTGGATGTCTCTAAGCTGGTCAGATTCTTCCATGATGACCTTCAAACAGGTTTCGACTGACACTTGGAAGGATGAGCCCGGCGAAGGACTATACACGGAGGGGTGTATTGCCCTCGTTGAAGGTGAATATACGAAGGATGGAACCCTCGAGGTTATTGCTATCGGACAACCACCCTGTGAGGATCGAGAAACCACTCGGTCAGCCATGATTCCCGTCCAGCTAGCACTTGACATACTAACGGTAATCTTCGTAAGGTCGATATATGGTCACATCGATTTCCTGGGAAAAGGATCGACAACTCTCCTTGAAGACGTATGTGTGGCATGCGCTGCGTAATGCCTGGTTCGATCTAACCTTGTACAGAATCAATACGTTCGTCGAGTGCGTGAAGAGTTGTCTGATGTCTACTTCTTTTTTTTGTCGGACGTGTGGCTTGATAATCCAGGAACATTTGTTGGTCTCCAGAAAATGTTCGATAATTGCATTGAGAACAGCTTCATCCCGAGGGTTATTGTCATGTGCGGAAATTTCACGAGCCGCTCGATCGCTCAAGGCAGTGCACGAGATATCCAGCGATACCACGGTATGGGGTTCCAAGTGCTTTTCTCCAACACTCAGTGACTGGTCTACCCATAAGAAAATTTTGACACCCTCGCCCAGCTCATTGCTTCGTACCCACAAATCACACGTATCACACATTTTGTGTTCGTTCCAGGCCCACTGGACTTGACTAGCAATGCGACTTTGCCCAGGCGTTCCATTCTCTCCTCTTTCACTTCCCAATTGAAAGCGAAGATCCCGAAAGTTCACTTGACAACAAATCCTTGTCGACTGAAATTTTTCGCTCAAGAGATCGTCGTTTTCAGGGAGGATACCATGGCAAGAATGTTGCGTAACACTGCAGAAGTGAAGCCAAACGTTTCCGGAGAGGATTTGAGGCGATATGTACGCGTCCTGCTTGTTTATGGGATTCTTCTCATTGGCACGGTACCATCAGCTCGTTCAGACTCTGCTCGACCAGAGCCACTTGACGCCTTTGACGTCTCAAATCCAGCCAGTTTCGTTTGATTTTGATCATTCTCTTCGGCTGTACCCATTGCCGACAGCAGTAAGGCGGTCATTGCCCATTGTATATTCACTGATTATATGTCTTTCTGAAGGTCGTAGTTGCTGATCGGTATGAAAAGTATAAGCTAACATATTCGGGCTGTCACGTATTCAATCCTGGTAGCTTTGTTGGGAGTTCCTTCACATTTTCGACGTATTGCCCTGCAGAAGGTAGCTCAGAAGAGGGGTAAGTCCGGAGCCAACGAAGAGACACTGATTGACCATAGTTTCAATTCAGGATTATACCCATGAATTTGGAGGACTGAGAGGGACGCAAAGTAGTTGTGTTGGACCCAGCGTACTATTGAAGTTATGTACTGACTTTTGCCTTGAACGTAGTCACGTGCTAGATGACGTTATATATTACCTTGCTTTCAGAGCAAGTTCACCTACTAGTGTTAGTGGATCAGATTTAAGTCGCTGCCCTCAGCGTCTTCCTCTCCCCAATACATCATTCGTTCTACCGATCCAAGCACTATCTCCTCGTGCTCGGAATCGCTTCCGGCATGCTGTCGTCGCAGTTGGTCTCCGGGCAGTCAAAGCTAGTCCTTGGTGGTTTAGTTGTTGCCTCATGTGCGCTTCTGTGTCCACCAGACCCATATTTCTGGATATCAATCTTCGCCTGGTGCTTGGGACTGGCGGTGTTCTTGTCTTTCATCCGTGCGTATCTTGCACCGTTCGTCCTCACGCGCTTTTCCAACCACATCCGAGTTCGGAGCGTCAGCTTGCGTTCCATTCGCGGTCTATACTTCCGCAAAGGCAATAAAACTTGGCATATCGACCGCTTCGCCTATACTTATAGTCCATCCAGAGATGGGACGTCCAAGGGGCTATGCTTCAGAATTGAAGGCTTTAAGCTTGAGGTTGATGCAGTCAGAGCGCCTCAGGCGAATCCACGCTCAAAACACAGACGGGGACTCGCTCTCACCGGTTTTTCGCCCTCGCCGCTGGCGCTGTATATTTGGTCTATAGTATCCAACCTTTACTCTGTGTTCGATCCAATGATCCGCCCCGCAAGTCGACTAATCGTGACTTCCATCCTTCGCCAGTTCATCCTCCTGATTCCTAGGCTTACGGAAACACTCCAACTGGAGGTCGACAGGGCAACAGTGTCGTTCAACTCCGTTCCAGAGATGTGTATCTGTGCAGAGAACGTGGTACTCAAGGGCCACGTGTCCTTTACTCAAAGCTCCCAGGGCCGGCGCGTTGAGGAGCCTCACCAGTCTGAAGGGTATCAGACGTTGAATGCCAGGGCCCTTGCAATGGGCGCGTGGAAGTCTCGTTTGGTCAATAATTTTCAAAGAACATGGACTCGAACATGGGATCACACCCTGGGTTTAACAACAGGATCGATGGCGTTTGACCTTGTCGCCGGAGGTATTGAAAGTTCTAGTTTTGGTCAGTCTCGGATATTTGACGTCACTCACTACTGACATTCCCTCTAGGTCACGGCAAGAAGGAACTACTGGTGTGCATCTCAAGCCCTATCTTTATCGCTGGATCTGCGCGTTTTAGCCCGAGGACCGGTACGGTTGAGCCAAGTAGCTTGCAGAGCCATATCAAAGTGGGCGGGATTCAGATCAACGTTGATGCCATACAGGCTATATTATCGACGTTGCCTATTTCTCAAGCAGAAGAAGCCCCTTGCTCGCCCGGCTCAGCTACTGGCCTTATTGTTTCCCCTTGGGTAAGGACCCCTTTTAGTGCAGTGAGTTTTACATTGCGGCATCAGTAGCAGTGCTGACCATTGGTAGATGTCACTGAATTCTGAGTATGCCGGATCGCAGGTGGAAAAACGAGAGAAACGGACATCACTAGTGAGGACGATACGCTTTTGCCAATCTGCCCCTTTCTTACCCCGTGGTCTAGCCAGTGGAGCTTGTGCGAAGTGTGGAAATTAGTTTAGGCTCTATTACAGTTTCAAAGATCCTCGGGGGTGGCCATTACCAACTTGTTGCACGAGGCTCATCTTGTTCGTTTGAGCCCAGTGATTCCACTACTCACTCTGCTCATTATGCGTGGCTGGGAAGACGTTCGCCACTTTCGACGGCTTACCACTCTTCGTTGATTATGCAAGATATTTCCTTATTCAAGGTGGAAACTGCCACTCGGAGAAGAGGAGAACGCCCACTTATATTCGTCGGATCCACCACTGTACATGGCAGCATTGCCGACTGGCCCGCAATAACTCCAGTAGACCCAGTGCTTCGTGGAGGCGCGACCGCTTGCGTCCTTCTCGACGTCAAAATCGCTACGTTGTTGCTTACAGACAAACTCAACCTTCTGATGCAGCTTGAAGGTGGCAGGTCTTCGGAGAATATGCCACAATGGGATGACCAACCGTTGTTACCTGCTATCCTGTCACCAGTGCCACAGGTGGTGTTTAGCTTCGCAGTTGGGTCAATCTCTGCTCGGATGGAATGCCTTTCCCAATCGAAGGAGCCAATAATTATGGAAGTGGATACGAACGGAATCATCCTCAATGCTACCTCGAGCTTCTATTCAGGACCGTCAATTGTCGCGCATCGAGGTGCTTACGATGTTACTCAAGACTACGTTCCACTACGTATGACGATACCTCTCCGTTGCGTGTTACACCCCGTGTTCCTGCGGTTGCGCTGCAACTCTATCAAATCTACTGGGAAGCGCATGTCAAGATGGGGTTCTGAGTCTACACTCAGTGATACAGTGTTCTGCCTGGAAACCGTCGAGGTAAATGGAACTCTCACGGCTTTTGGAGAGCTACACAATGAAGACCAGCCGATCATGGCCAGACTGAATACTCGGTCTTTCTTCACCACTCTGCATTGCCGTACTGAGGCTGCGCTGTTTGAGCTGTGGCATCCCAAAAGACTCGAAATCCTGAGCACTTTGCTGTCGTCACTACCGTCTTCACGCCTTTCCACGAGACCTTCGCGGGGACCACCAACGTTACCGACCGGGTACTCTTTGTCCTTAGCGATTGCGCGAACTGCACTTTTCGTGACCGGGCCAGACATTAATCCCACCGCTGACGAGGCCCTTACTCTTGGGGTCGCCTTCAGCACCGGTATCTCTTCTCAATTTTGCTCCGTGGCAGCCGACCACATTCGTTCTGTGACGTACTCTCGGTCAGAGTCACAAGATCGACAAAAGTTATTTCTTCCTCCCAACAGACTTGGAGAAGCGATCCTCTCTGCGAGGGCTTCCAACCCATCCACTGGCGGTGTCGCATTTGGAAAACTCATGCTTTGGAATACGAACCTTCGCTCAGCAGCAGCAGATCAATTTTCCATGGATGATCCTCTCATTCTGGAGAGGGATAATACAATCCTGGATGCCAAACGCATCGTGTCGATGCAGAACTTTAGTATCGACATGAAGTGCACAGTGCAGCCATCATCCCCAGTTCGTATAGGGTGCGATGGGTCTTTCACTATAGACAGCTTTACTCTGTTCTTTGACCTTTCTCTGGTGCATTCTGCATCCGCAGCTCTCCGGACATTGCAACGTTTGAAGCAATGCACGGGTGTGTCGTCTTCACCATCTCCCCAGCGCCCTTCGACAAGCGTCACTTTGAATGGTACAATGAAAGTCTTTCGTGCGCGCCTCAGCTTTCTGGATCAGAAGATTGTAGCACGCGTCAACCATATCGACATCTCCACCAATCCTGATGGGAATCAAGGCTATATTGACTCCCTATTCTTATGGGTTCCAGTGGAAGCCCCGAAAGCACGGGCAATCAACGGGACTTCGTGGGAAGAATTGGGCCGTATGTATAGATGCACGCTGTCGTTAAAGAAGTCCTTGTCGAATCAGGTAAACGTTGCAACGGATAGCCTGCGAGTGCGCATTCCCTATGGCTACGTCCTTGCAGAGCTGTCGCAGGCCACAGTCATCACCGTCAAGGCCATGCGGCACCTGATGCATATGATGATGGTGGGAAAGTACACCCCAATGCCTGTTCCTGTCGCAGAGGACGCAAAACGTGTGCCAGACATAGCGTTCACGTGCAGAGTGCTCTGTCTGGAAGCTGCGGACGATCCATTTGAAAGTCAACTGGGCTTCAACTACAGGGTTGGTTTAGAAGCAGCTAGGTCGAGGCACCGTCGGGAAGAAGCATTCGATGCGAAGGCTTCAGCCATTGTATCGGGTATTTCAGCTTCCCGTGACCCCCAATCTCTACACTCCGACTACCACTTCGATGGCAACCATTCGATTACTCTTCAGGAAGCGCGATGCCGCTTGGATATGGCTCATTCCATGGATTGGATGTTGAGGCATCAGCGCCAGTCCCGAGAGCGCGCTATTCAAGAGGATTCGGTTTTCCAATTACTTCATGGTTCCATACCGCTCAAACGTCCCACGAAGGTTCCAGACTTAATCTGGTCTGCAGATATCCAGCGTGTCCCGCCATTGATTCGTGTCATAATTTCCGGGCTGCGTCTGCGCGTTAATGAGCCTTCGTTCTCTCTGCAACGCCTTCATGACTTCTTGCACGAACAGGGGAACGGAGTTCCGCACCAGACTTCGTATTCCCTACTTGTTCCCATGCATCTGACGTTGGCTCTTGCATCACTTCAGGTGTCATTGCGCGACTATCCTTTACCGCTGCTGTACATTCCTCCCCTGTCTGATGGTGATGACTCCTGCACATTTCTCTTCGATTCTGACCTTGTTGTCGCGGAGGAACTGGGTCCCGAATCATCGGTCGAATGGATTCCTTGCCCTTTCTATGACTCCGACGAACTCCCTATTCATAATACCCAAATGTTGCTTAAAGTACCCAAAACACTTATGCCTGTGAAGACATACGCACAACCGTCGATACAGGTGTCAGCGCATGGTCCTACTGCATTCGCATGGGGGGTGAGTTATAGTCCAGTACTGCAGGACGTGGTGAGAGTTTTGGAGAGTTTGACACCGGAAGCCCGAGACCCTTCCTCCCCTCTGGGTTTCTGGGACAAGGTGAAGTCATGACCACCATACTTTAAAAGCGTTTCAGTCCTAACGGGGTCTACCAGCTGGGGTTAGTTTTCCACTGGAGGATACATGTGTGGTTCAAAGAGGAAATACGGTTGTATTTAAAAGGTGAGCATGGAGGCCAATAATGATTCTCCATTTTAATGCCGGATTAGGCAGCCGTAATCCATACGTACTGGAAAATGAAGGGGCTGGCTTCGCATTTTGCTGGCAGGGTAAGCCACGCATCAATATAGGCTTCGAAAACGACGCGCGAGAGATTGTGCAAGTGAGCAGCGATGCGATGTTAATCGTCATCCCGAAGTATGCCAACATATTGCATGGTTCTCGTGCTTAACTGAACTGCAGTCAGATTCGACTCCCCGCGTATTACTGCGCTTACACAAGGTCGCCTTGTGTCCAGGAGCGATTGTGTCAAAATATGTGCCAAACTCAGTTCTGGTGTAAGATTTGGCGTAGGGATCGTATTTGAGCGTACATGCGGTTCAGAGTGCAAGACTTGTACCGGTTCTACTTTCGACCGATTCTGTCGAAAGTTTACTTTTAGGCCTCACTATGACGTTCAGCTTGTTCGGGCATCGGAAGCGACAGTAGCTGAGGTGAGTGCTATTTTTTCATCAGTTGGTGTGTTGCTGATTTTTATAGGCCCGCCAAGATTCATATGAACAATTCCGTTCGGACTTCCTGCATCTTTCTATTTCATTGGCATCGGGGTTATGTCATTCGGAAGCAACTCCACCACCAAGTAGCCTCCATCTGACACCTAAAGCGTTCACTAACTTTTGGTCGTGGTGGGGATTGTTTGATGACTTGGCGGTGCCTATCAGGCAAGGGTCGTACTACCCTCAAAAGCAGATGTCGCCCAAGTTCTCGCGTCATCTAGCAACGATTAAATATCGGATATCGCTGCCGCAGGTGTTCATCACTCACACATACCTGGATGACACAAAAGAGTCCTGGGTCAACGGGACAACATGTTTCGTGGGTATGAAAGCCAAGGTTAACCTCCTTCAAGCAGATCTGCACCAACGAGAGCAAGAAACCATCGCCCCCGGCAAGGTCCCCGATAGCATCCAGGTAGTGCGCCACAAGCCATTTTATGCTGCCGAGGTCATAATGAAGGATCTCGATGTTCGAGTTCTGCAAGCTACCTTTTCGGAGCCACTTAAACAGGCTGTCCCTGTGTCTTCCGGTCCAGACAACTCTCCCAAGGCACCCCTTTCGTCAAGTTCTGAGATGCCCTCTTCCTGGATGGACAACGATGACTTCGTCGAGACAGATTGGTCTCCCCAGCAACAGCCTCGTGTTCAATTGCTACGGGTTCTTTCGTGCCCCAAGTTGACATACTTCAAGAGGCACTCGCAACACGCTGAAATCCAGGCAGAAAATAGTAAGTTTGGTAATGAAGACACGCATATCTGCCTCCTTGGCTGTGAACCTTGTAAGATCACTGATTTCGTTGCGTTCTGGACCACTCATGTCTATCCAGCCGTCCCGCAAGTAGAGATAAGCCTGGCGAAGGCAAGGATCTCTGTGCTTCAGGAAGAAATGAGGTCAACAGAGAATGTAGAGGTACGTGCCTAGGTTTCTGAACAGCTGTGGTTCGTATCGTTCAAAATGCACCAGAAACACCGTGCATTAGACAGAATGATCATCTTACTTGGAGAGTATGTCGCTCATCTTCGGGAAATGGACCAACTTTCCGAGGCAGCATTGAGCAACCTCTCGAATTACTACATGCCGTCTGATTTGATTTCCGCAAGCGAGTGGGCTGATTTTGAGAATGTTTATCAAGTCCATGCACCTAGTCTCTTCATGTGCGATTCCGTACGCGACGTGAGTCCTGATTATGCATCTAATGTGTGGTGGACTGACGGCTGCCCGAAGCTGCTGATCCAATACTACAACTGCTCGAGAGCGCGTCGTGGTTTTGAATATCATATGGCAACTCGGTAAGGCGATCGACTTTCTAACCCTGCGTCCTCTCACTGCTCATAATAGAGCCGTCAAATTCATAAGAGATCAGGCTGAGACGTTGATGCCGCGTCCCAATGATCAAAATGCTGACAAAATGAAGACGTCGGTCAATGCAGCGCAAGCAGCGGCATCTGCTTTGCGGCGGATACTAACCAGGGAGCGGGGAAGCACATCGCTGGATATCCAATCGGAGGTTCCACCCGTGCCTCTTGAAGTCAACCCCCTCGATGGCTGGGAAGAAGGTGTCATCCTCCGCAAGAGTCACTTCTGCCTTCTGCTGAAGCCTCAGATTATCCTCCTGAATACCGAGTCTTCGAATGGTATAGCGGAAGCATCTACTGTGGTGCTTGCCGCCGTTCAAGCAAAATTACAGTCGTTTAAAATAATGGATGCCTCAAACCTTGAAGACGCTGTGAGTGGCACTATTATCACAAGGTGGGTAGGGAGAGAGCTTCACAACCAATTTTACTCACTTCATCCGCGCCAGAAACTACGTGTCGCTAGATGGTCTTCAAACTTTTTGCCCGACTCTTGCAAACTCGCACGGTGACGGACCGGTGCCTCTCGAAGTTTTGATAGATTACAGATGTGAAAGCGATGCATTTGATCGCATAGTGCCTCAAACCAATGCGACAGGTCGCTACGACCGGTTTAATCGGCTTCGTCTCCGCACAAAAATCGCTCCATCCAATCGCGTGTACGGAGAGCATCCGAGCAATTCGCGACATACGCATCTTTATGATGAAACAGTGAGGCTCGTCGCAGACTTGCATCGGAATGTACTAATTTGCAACCAGGACCTTGTCGAGGTTCGTGTTCCCCAGTTCACAGTCTCAGCGGACACTCGTCACTTCCAATTTATATCCGACATCATCACGAATCTCGTCCTCTTTTCCGATGTTGCACATAAGGCTCGCCTGGAAAAATTGGAGACTCTCCTTTTCGCTTATGATTTCACCGACCTCAGATCGGCGGCCCAGGTGGTTACTGACCTCCAGAACCGTCTCAGGAGTGCGATTGATACGTACAACGATGTCGTCCGCCAACTGCAGGGCCATCGTTCGGAGCCCAAGTTAGAAATACTAAAGCTTCAAGCTCATGTGCACCTACTGGCGGAGGAACTCAATTTAATATTTGATGCGATTCGACTTGCTCAGAGCAAGACAGATGACAACATTGATCAAAAGTCCGCTTTACTTCTGCGCGCCTCCTCTTCTGAAATCTCTTGGAGAATGAACGATGAACGTCGGGAACTCCTAGCTAAACTGGCCTTGCAAAATATCGACTTCACTTGGCTAAGCAAACAGGACAGCTCAACAGTGAGCAGGTTGACGATTTGCGACCTCCAGGCTTTCGACGGTTCTCCTCATGCTATTTGGACGGAAACTGTATCGAAGTATGAAGAACCTTCTAACCATTCGTCAAACAAGGTGCATGCCGATGCTGTGTTCTTTCCCCAAGCTCACTCTGATTGTAGCGAGATCTTTTTCTGGACGCCAACTGGATAATATTAGCTCCTGTTGGCGGCATTACCATCTACGAGAAGTTCCAGGTGGATTTTCATCCCATTCGGCTTCAGCTAGATGCTCGTCTTGGTCAGCGTATTATGGAGTATATATGGCCATCTCGGCGAGGGAGGGATAGAAAAGCAGCATATGATTCGCACCAAGGGAACGAGGAGGTCTCGGGCCAGAGTGCAACTAGGACATCCTTCGACTCTCCTCGGTTGTTGCAGAAACCGCGAACGTCTCTGGACTCCGGTGGACTGACTCCATGGAAAAAGCTAGGAGGGTCTCGGTCGTTCACAGACTTGCGTAGTGCTGCAACAGAATCTGCACATTCTTTGCACGGAGTTCAGGAGTTGGAACCGGATTCCCGTGACAACTCACGCGGAGACAGGAAAGACACCCGAGGGGAGCCCCGCAAAGACGACGCGGTCGAGATGAAGTCACGCTCATCCCAAAAAACCTTTATATTAGTCAAGATTTCGAGGTATGTCTTCCTACCGTACTCCTGATCAACGGCTCAATTCCCACACAGCTTCGAGCTCTTATTGAGTATCATGAAGGCCGAATCCTTTGAATGTCGCGATGCACGTATTCGGACTCACGCTCTGGAAATCCGAAATCAGACTTGGAGTGTAACTGTCCCCTTGTTTCTAAACTGAGCAGCATATTCTGACTCCAAGATAGTTTGAAGAACTGGTAGACCAGTTCATTCCTTCAGACCTAACCTGGAAAGGTTGGGTACGGATGGCTTTTCAGCAGCCACTCATACCAGTCCTCCCAGTTGCCCGCGAGCTTTTCTCTAAGACGAAACTGATCGCTTCCAAAGGCGCAACACGAGCGGACTCCCGGTTGTCACCGAGCATTAACCCCGCCAATAGGAGTAAATACACTGCCAAAGATGATACCGTTAGAGGCAAGCGACCTCGCAGGTCGTCGTCAAGTACCCGCCCTGGAGGCTCTGAGGCTTCAACCATAAGTATGACTGGACTACCCCTGTCTAAAGAGGGGGAGGTGACCACTGAGCAAACCTCCGTTGGTATAACGCGGGACACCAGTAGCAATAACTCACGAGGTCGCACGAGGTTACTCAGTGTCTTTAGTCGAGGGAAAGGTGCAGCAAGAGGCCCTCTGTACTCGAGCGTGAGTGTGTCGACAGATAACTTGTGCACTGGTCTCTTAACGTACATTCAGATTGACCACAGTTCCTGCGATGACCCTTCAGGGTCAACCACAGCTCCTTCCGGTTCCTAGGTATGTAGGACTAGTATATCAACATAACTCTAATCTGCTAGTTGTTCATCTTCGTTACTACTGCCACTTTTGAAACGACCACCTGAAATGTAACATGATGCAGCAAACGTCCGGTTTTTCGAAGATTTGTGTTGAAAAGTCTCCACGGGATTCTCAGGGTACAAAATGATTATTATCGTGTACCGAGATTGCACTTGTTGACCGGTCGCTTTCTGAGTTGCAAAACTTCACATTCGCAACGGCCGACTTGTGAATACCCCCTATACTAAGGCCCGAAGTTCACCTTGATCAAGATGCCTGGATGTGACTTGAGAGATGGGGCGCCGACCATGGAGCTCATCGAGATCGTCGCCATTACACAGGTGTCAGACTAGCCTCTGAGGTCAAGACAATGGTGGGCTAGCACGGTCACTTGGATGCAACACTCATGAAGGTGAGCCCTGGTGTGAGTATCATGAGCTACATATTGTTCAGAAGCTGAGTGGGCACACGCGTATCTCCACCTTAAGGGCTAATTCGCAATACCATGGGTGGACATTTCACCAGAGAAGCTGGTCCTGTCCACACGGTTGTTATTTCAAAGTTGGTAAGGTAATCGAGAATGAGAACGATGTGTGTTTCAGGTCTTGAAAGGGAAGACAAATGCGGTACTATTTGACTGTATCACGAATGAAAATAGTTTCTCATGCCCATGAGAGGTTTCGGGATAGTTGATGGGACGAGCCGATTAGATCTGATTGTGACCCACTTGTCAACTCAGGGCAGGCATTCTCCAGAAAATACAAGATCACACCAGAAAAGCGGGTTTCGCTTCATCGTTCTCTTCCCCCGTCCTCCATCTACGAAATGGTTTTGTCCAGCGTTCTTGGCTTCCCTCGCATTGGTATACTATACTTACCGATCCTTGTCAACCTACTCACTGTTATCCTTAGGTGCGAACCGCGAAATCAAAAAAGCCGTCGAGGCCTACTGGGCCGGTAAGGCCTCTGTGGAAGATCTTACAAAGGCTGCTGCCGATGTCAGAAAGGCCAGTTGGACAAACTTGAAGAATAGAAATGTCGATTTGATCCCTAGGTTTGTCCAGTCACTTCGCTTTATGTGTCGACTCTGATCGTCCATCTCGTCAGCGGTGAATTTTCGCTGTATGATCACGTCCTCGATCATTCCGCAGCATTCAATGCCATCCCCAAGCGATACACTGGACTTGGTTTGTCCCCTCTGGATGTTTATTTTGCTATGGGCCGTGGTCGTCAGGCAGCCGGCGTTGACGTCCCCGCTTGCGAAATGAAAAAATGGTACGTCCATGCCATCTGCTGTAACCACTATGCTGATTTGTGTGCAGGTTTGATTCCAACTATCACTACGTTGTCCCTGAACTTTCCGAGCAAACCGATTTCAAATTGCTCTACAACAAAGCTCTCCAAGAGTACAACGAGGCGAAGGGTCTGGGTATCAACACCCGTCCTGTTATTCTAGGACCTATTTCATACCTTGTTCTCGGGAAGGCTGCCAAGGAAGCTCCTGCCGACTTCCAGCCCATTTCGCTCCTGCCGAGGCTTCTCCCTGTGTACAAGCAGTTGTTGTCGGAGCTCAAGGCAGCGGGCGTGGACTCAGTTCAGGTTGATGAACCCATACTAGTGCTTGACAAGGCTGCTGGATTGGACAAACAATACGCATCTGCTTTCGCTGAGCTTTCCCCTGTTTCACCCAAGATAGTCTTGACCACCTACTTTGCCCGTCTTGATTCCAACATCAACTTTATCGCCAAGCTTCCCGTAGCTGGCCTTCACATCGATCTGGTTCGTGCTCCAGGTCAACTCGATGATGTTCTTGTGGCCATCAAACCTACAAGCATTGTTCTCTCACTTGGTGTTGTTTCTGGTCGCAACATCTGGAAATGCGACTTCGCCACAGCCCTCAAGCAGGGTCAGAAAGCTGTCGCCGCTCTCGGCGAGGACCGTGTCATAGTTGCCACGTCTTCTTCGCTTCTGCATACTCCAGTTACCCTGGCTTCGGAGAAGAAGTTAACACGGGAGCAGAAGGATTGGTTCTCTTTCGCCCTGGAAAAGGCTACTGAGGTTGCTACTATTGCTGCCTTATTATCTGGCTCTCAAGACCCGAAGATCGCCGCAGCGTATGAGGCAAATATAGCTTCCATTTCCAAACGCCGGGAGTTCGAGCATACGTCAGATGATGCCGTCCGTAAGCGCGTGGCTTCTATTACATCCGATATGTACCACCGGAAGAGTCCATTCGTCGTTCGCAAGGAGATACAAGACAAGCACCTCAATTTACCCAAGTTCCCTACGACAACTATTGGTTCTTTCCCTGTAAGCACATCGTTTCGACTTACTCATTCACCGAGACCTTAATTTTCTGTTCTAGCAAACGAAGGAGATCCGCAATGCCCGTGCTAAACTCGGCAAGGGCGAAATTACCGAGGTTGAATACGAGGAATTCATCAAGAAGGAGATCGAGGAAGTGGTCCGTTTCCAGGAGAAAATCGGTCTTGACATTCTTGTGCATGGCGAACCAGAACGGAATGACATGGTACAGTACTTCGGTGAGCAGTTGAATGGCTTCGTCTTCACCCAGAATGCCTGGGTGCAATCATACGGGTCTCGGTGAGGAGTCTTGACATTCCCATAAGACACTGCCTGAGAAGCTTTTGTTTTTTTAGATACGTCCGCCCCCCCATTATCGTCTCAGATGTTAGCCGCTCCGCCCCAATGACCGTCAAGTGGAGTAGCTATGCCCAAAGTCTCACGAATAACCGAATGAAGGGTATGCTTACTGGTCCTGTCACCATTCTTAACTGGTCGTTCCCCCGCGATGACGTCTCGCGCAAGTTGCAATCCCAGCAACTAGCCCTCTCCCTCCGCGATGAGGTCATCGATCTCGAGAAAGCTGGTATTAGTGTCATCCAAGTCGATGAACCTGCCATTCGAGAAGGCGTGAGTGTAGTACCTAGTTTCACTCTTGTTCCGTTTTTAAAGGTTTCCTCGTTTTAGTTGCCGCTTCGTCGTGCCGACTGGGACGAATACTTGGAATGGGCTGTCGACACATTCAAACTTGCAACCGCTGGTGTCACGGATGCCACTCAGACGCACTCTCACTTCTGCTACTCGGACTTCGATGATATCTTCCCATCCATTCAACGCCTTGATGCCGATGTTATTTCCATCGAGTTTTCGAAGAGTGACATGAAGCTGCTGCACACATTCCAACACTTTGGCTACTCTAACCAGATCGGTCCTGGTGTTTATGACATCCACTCTCCTCGTGTTCCTAGCGAAGAAGAGATTAAGGAGCGACTTAAGGCCTCCCTGGCCATTATCCCTGCTGACTTGATGTTTGTAAACCCTGTAGGTTATTCTTTTGGTGCTATCTGAGACAGTGCTGACTAGTGCTTGCAGGATTGTGGTCTGAAGACTCGTGGGTGGAAGGAAACCGAAGGTACGCAATTTTGCCTTCACTTAGGCAGCGGCATCTGAGTCACCGCTTCTCAGCTTCCCTCGCGAACATGGTCGCCGCGGCTCGCTGGGCCCGCCACAGCGCATGATTCCTTTTTCTTGCGCTTCAACAGCGCCCAAAGAGCAATATTTATCCAAGACTTCTACAAGAAGGTACCACTTGACCTTGGGTTGTTGTCGCGATTACATCGTGTCCGGCCCGATGACACATCATCGTGCGGACGACTTTTACGGAGATTCTGCATTGTGGGCTCGGCAGGAGTCATGGCAGTAGAAACTTTCCGCACTTAGTAGTTGGATTTCAACAATCCTAGATTGTATTGCATCGTCCAACATCGTTCTTCAATGAAACCACGTGCACGTCATTCCTTATCTACCGTTGGTCGGAATCAGCGGCATGCCCGGACCGTGCAGTGCAGTCCATTGAGTTATTATCTCTGTCGCCGCTCTCTCAGCCCTGTCTGCACGCTTGGATCACTTGCTGGATCCATCTCAACATCATGTCCGACAACTTATCGTTCGTCTTGAAGAAGGTTGACACTGTGGCATTTGAACAGAGACCGATCCCAGATAGTGAGCAGTTGCCTACCAACAGGGGTTGACTTGTGTCTTCGGGCAATCTGATCTGTCGAACAGTCGGTTCCCATGACGTCCTTGTCGAGGTGAAAAAAACCGGTGAGCCTAAGACCTTCCATTTGACGTTTACTACATATCTCTCACAATTGGCGTAGGGATTTGCGGATCGGATGTGAGTGAACGCACCTTCGTCTCTACAATTCAAGATAATTGACGATCCTTCGACTCAAGGTTCACTATCTCGTGCACGGTAGAATTGGCAAGTATGTCCTAGAAAGCGGCAAAGACATGGTCAATTTCTCTCTCTTGTATAAGTATTTCCGCCCTACACAACCATACTTATGCTGCCCTCAGGTCCTAGGACATGAGTCCTCCGGCATTATCGCCAAAGGTGATGTCCCGCCTAGAAAGACTCCTGTGACTGCTATACCAATATCTTGCACAGTTGGTCTGCTGGTCTCCCATTTGAAGCCCGGAGATAGGGTGGCTATCGAGCCTGGAGCTACTTGCAGGACTTGTGGCGCCTGCAAGGAGGGACGATACGAGGTATTTCAGCATTCGTACGGTAGAAAGACCTCGGTCCTACTGACAGATCTACCACGCGTAATGTCAAGCTTTGCCCCAATATCAGATTTGCTGCTACTCCGCCTTTTGATGGGACACTTGGGAGATATTATGCTGTGCCCAGCGACCTCGTCTACCCTTTACCATCTGAACTCAGTCTTGAGGACGGCGCCATGGTATGTAATTTGCCGATGCTTGTTGTGCGAAACTCGGTACACTTGTCCAGATCGAACCTTTGTCTGTAGCTGTCCACGCTGTTGTCAGGCTCGGAAATTTCAGGACCAATCAGTCTATTGCTGTCTTTGGGTGCGGTCCAGTTGGACTCCTATGCATGGCTGTTGCCAAAGCTTTCGGAGCGTCTCGCATCATCGCTATCGATATTATCCCACATCGACTCGAGTTTGCAAAATCCTATGCCGCCACAGACGCATTTCTGCCTCCACCGCTAGAGCAAGGTGAAACAAATGTCAAATTTTCCGAGCGAGCTGCTGCTGCGATGAAGGCTGAGCTCGATATCGCTGAACAAGGTGCTCAAGGCATTGATCTCGTGGTTGATGCCTCTGGGGCCGAAGTTTCCATTCAGACGGGTATCAGAATAGTCAAGTCAGGAGGCACTTATATACAGGTGGGACATTTTCTAAGACTAGGTGGTGTTTGGTGTAAATGTCATTCGGCAGGTCGGAATGGGCCGACCAGAGGTCACTATAAACGTTGATATAGTGTTGTCTAAGCAGTTGATTATGAAGGGTTCCTTCAGATATGGTGTGGGTACTGCGCATCACTCCTTTCTGGCAGCTGCTGTATTCGGCTCCCTACCAGGCCGGTGATTATCCTCTCGCGATCTCTCTGGTAGCACAGGGAAAGGTGGACCTGAGGCCTTTGGTTTCGCACAGGTAATCTTCGTCTCCAATCATTAAGTATGGTTTCCAATGACCGCCCGTCAGGTTTCCGTTCCAAGATGCTCTCCTTGCCTTTGAGACGACTCGCCATGGAGAAGGTAGCGATGGGAAAGGCGTAATCAAAACCATAATATCTGGCCCCGATGTGAAGGTTGATGAACTGTGAGGGCAGAGATATAGATTCTGGAGGGCTTCCAAGAGGGAGCGGAGAGTTACTAACAGTTGAATTACTTTGGCCATCCTTGGGGATGCATTTCTTGTGTGAGACGATGTATTGGTCTTCGCGTTGTAAATTACGTCATGTAGTAGGTGCCTGCGTTCGTTCTGCTCACACCTCACCGAAATGACGTTCCGCTCGAGAAATGCTTATTATTTGCGTATTTCATCCACCGTCGTCTTGCCGCTATACGTGGGCTACCCGATCTGATATAGTGTTTTCCGTACTGAACTTAGGACAGGTCTACCTTGATGACCAACACCTGGATTGGATGTCAGACAGGGTGTTACAACACGTCGTGTCCGATCTCCAACCGTTGTTTGTCCTTCCTCATGCATCTTTTGCATCGTTCAGACCAGTCTTTGCAGGATTGTTCCGAAACTTCAGGCGGAAAGAGACACTCATTTCGGACTTGGGGCTGCATCAGGGAAGAGGAGCACGGTTGAAGTTCACCGGGGCGGTATGTTCTCTTGCTACTGCCATTTAATTAAGGTCTCGTTCATCAAAAGTCCTTGGTTTGAGCCAGACTTTTATCAGTTTGCTTATTTCTTTCGGAAGATCGAGCCTCATGCTGTCGTTATCAAAGTACGTACCACATCTTAGCCATGTCAGGTTGGAGTTGAGAGAATATGTCAACACAGTCGAGGCAATTCATCGCGGCGCCAGCTCGGTTGCAGACACGTCCTGAAGTCGTCTCAGAGGGAGGCCATGCAAACCAGAAGAGGAGGAGGGGTGCTGATCAGGGAAGTCGTAAAAGACGGAAGACCAGAGTCGAAAGTGAATTCCCAAGTTCACCTGCTGAGACTGGTGAAGATGATGGTATCAGTTTACACCAAATGGCACCGCGGCTCTCGCAGAGGGTGGGCCTCACGACCCCCGGTGCATATCGCGAAGAGGGAGACGAGGTTCTTGTCAGCGGTGACGACGCAGACTCTAGTGAACCATTGGGTTCGGCCTACACCACTGAATCGTTGCCACGCAACGAGCTCGACTTAACTGAGCGATCAGCCAGCATAGAGGTCGCTGGAGAGACTACAGCAGTTGGGAATCGCGGAGACGTGGACATATCGACAGAAGATGTTCCCCAGTGTGAGATACTAGGTGCCTCCGAAATCGATCTTACTATGGAGGGAGACGAGGAAGAGGAAAAGCCAAAGCCAATATTGAAGCTCAGCTATCAATCCCTCAACATCTCCAGTCATTGTCTCTGTGTAGTGGTGGAACCCTGGCCCTCACAGCACCCCACTGTCCCGTTACAGCCTATCCCACCCGTGTCAGCGGTACCACGCTCGGAAGCAAGCATTGGGTCAGGCACGGACGAGGATATTTCGTTGCAGAGAGGACGGACACCGCTGTTCCTTCCAGAATGTGATGAAGTGACCGACCTAAACAGAGCACGTCTACCAGTGCCTCTCTTCGATGCTGACTTTTGCCAGGCAGATGACAATGGCTATGACAGTAATACGCTCATGAATTTCAGTCAAGTACTGAACGCTACAGGTCATACAACTGTGGCTTTCGCCGAGGACGACGATGATATGGAAGGAGCTGTGTTGTTTGGGGATGCAGACGAAGTGCGGGAGTTTTCGTGATCTTGAATTGCGTTCAGCCACTGGGAATGTTATGCGCGGCCGAGTTCTCGTAGAATTGCCGATTTGCGAGATTCTGAGACCTCCCGAAAACCGGCGTTCGTCATGTTGAAAGTACCATGGCCTGCAGATAATGCCCGTAACCGTGTTGAGTAATCTAGCATCTGGCTCAAAGGGGCCACAGCGTGGACGGTCAGCTTTGAGCGAGGGATGCCCGCGATGAGAGCGGAGGACGCAGATGAGGGTGATAATTCCACAGGCGGGATGTATGTCGTGTCTGCGTTCCATCGACCCGCTCCACCTTCGTTCCCGACGGCGGTTGTGTCGGAGGCAAGATCCAAAACCTCCCCTCCACTGTCCATGATGTCCTTGACAACTTTACCAATGGTATCTTCGTGTACAGAGATCCTCAACTTGATGTAGGGCTCTAAGATGGGTCCCATTCTTGCACGTTTTAGGATATTTCTCATAATAGCAGAACTCGCGCCAGCGAGTATAGATGAAGGGGCGTCTCGTGGTAAATTGAATGCCATTATCTGAACCTTGACGTGCGAATATGGAAGCAAAGTGTGGGGAGAGCTGGAGAGTGCACTTGAGATTCCACGAGCCAAATTTGTTAGTGGGTGAAGTTGGTTGGGAGACGCATCCGGTGCGATCAAAGGGTTACCCTTGTTGTCAAGTACTAGGTTTCCTTCAAATGCTGGATCGCCCTGCTCGCCCGCCGCGAGCGGCGAGATTGACAAGGAAACTCTGGCTGTGACGACTTTACCTGAAACCTCGGTAGACCACTCTTGAAGGTCCGAAGACATATTCGAGTCGACTGACTCTCGGTAGCTTACTTGGCGTCTGCCAAACTCGAAATCTGCTCGCCACTCTTCCCTCAGTCGACCCTCGATGATTTCCAAATGTAAAGCCCCAAGTGCGTGAATAAGGATCTGACCATCCTGAACGTCCATGCGCACCGACGGATCCGTTCGAATCAATGCTTGTATGGCCTCCTGGACTGGCTCCAGGTCAGAGTGGGAATTTGGCATTACGGAGACCGACATAACAGCAGGTGGAAGAACAACACCCCGCATCGACTGGGTGGTGGCAATTTTTCCTTGTCCCCGCCCGGACACCAACGTATCACCAGTCCGAGTGAAGCGCAGGCCCAGGAGGACCCCTACGGATCCGTATGGAAGATAATCGACTTCTTGGGCCTCGGATGCATAAAGCAGGAGTAGTTTGGACACTTTCTCCTTTTGCCCCGTATTCACGTTGAACAGCACACTTTGATTCCTCAGACGTCCTGTATAATGAGTTACGATGTCGAAATAAATATGACATCCTGCATACCTGAGTAGACGCGTACAAACGTCATCCATCCCTTACGCTGGTCCCAAGCGACTTTCCATGCGAGTAGGCGTAAAGGTCCATTCGCATCTTCATCTTCTATCCGCACGTCAAGAGGACTTGCTAGTAATTCCCCAACGTAGTCCATTACCAGTTCCGTTCCAACGCCTTTCGAAGCGGAACCGCAGAGGACGGGTAGGACTTGGTTCCTCAGGGTAGCCCTGCGCAAGGGCGGTATGATATCCTGGGGTTGAATCTGGAGATACGATGACGGTTCAGAAGGAAGCGCCAGTAACTTGTCCATGAGTTCCTCGGAAAACATTGCAAGATTCTCTAGGAGTGCCACACGTGCAGGTATTAAATGAGGAATGACGGGGTGTTCTTTCGGCAGTAATCTAGCTAGATCAACCGAGTCTAGAGATAGCGGGAGGGAATGGACCCTGCATTCGCCGTCCACGGCCCACTCCCATAACTGCCATTTGACGAGATCTATGAGACCTACAATTCCCGGTTCAGCGCGCGCGTAGTCATCGGGTTTCACGGAAGCGATAGGAAGGGTGACCGCCAGTGGGTTAGAGTGAAGCCCATGTGCAATTAGTGATATTAAAGATGCTCTAAATGATGCTCCTGGCCGATCGAGTTTATTCACGAATACTAATCTGGATGTTACGTTGTATCTGCAGGAATGTGAGGAGTGGAGGTGAGCAGAGTTGCCGAACACGCGCCTACCTTGATAACTGTCCCCATACAGCTTTAGTCTGAGCTTCGACGCCCTCTACGGAATCGATCAATACGACCGCACCGTCAACTACGCGACTCGCGCTTTCGACTTCCATTCCAAAATCAGCGTGGCCTGGCGTGTCAATAAGATTAAAGGTCCAGTGCTTCCACTTGACCGGTACGCTTGCGGATTGTATCGTTATTCCTCGCTCCCTCTCAGCAGGCAGGAAATCGGTGATGGTACTTCCGGTATCGACCGAACCGGGGGATGATATGTAAGAGGATTTATGTAGAATAGACTCGGTTAGAGTAGTTTTTCCCGAATCTGAAACCCGTGAGCTCGTAACAGAATGAAAAGTGGGTGTTCATACCAATATGAGCGACCAATGCCATATTCCTGATGCCCGAAGGTTCGTCATGAGGCTCGGAGGCGAAACCTCGCGCAATGGAGACGAGCCTCCGAGAGGCGATTCTGTTACATCGCAAAGCGTAGAAAGAATGTATCATAACCCTACTGGGACCGCAACGTGCTTCGTATCAGTCTCAAAGCCGTTATTCGTGGTGGATTGGAGATGCCAGTGGACGTTTTCAAGAAAGAATAATGCGTGGCACGCAGGGTAATAAGACATACAATAAACCTAAATAGCGCTACAGTACTATTATTTGCCTGTTGCAACATGACACTTTGGTCCACCTACTACCGTCATGACGGAGCCAGACAGCTTTGACGAGCGACTACGGCAACGTGCAAATCGCAGCCACCTTTTGGATACAATCCCAGTCGACCTAGAACCTCACGGTAACATTCCAAACACGCCGCTGGCAGCATCTACGATATCATTCGCACTTGGTGCCCTCTTCTCGCTTGGAACAGCGCTATTCCTCTCTGGTAGCCATGTTTGCCCTTGGTGGGCGACATACCAGTTAGGCTTTTTCCTCGCTGCATGGTCTGCCTTTCATTGGGGTGAGTTCGCAGTAACGGCAGGATGGAACCGAGACAAATGTAGTGTAGACTGTGAGTTCTTTTTCTCCATCTGCCATGCTCTGTATACATACGTCTGTGCCAGCCTTTTTATTGGACAATGGTGCCACCTATCATGTTGCAAATGGCAGCGCGTTAGTGGAATACCTCATCACTCTCTACTTCAAGCCTTCCTTGAAGACGTTTCCTTACATATCCCAACTTGGTACGTTTTGCTTGCTTCACATAGCTCAAATATCCAACGCCAGAAGGAATCGCCCTCGCATTAAGCGGTCAGATTCTGCGGACAGCAGCAATGATTTATGCATCTACTAACTTCTCACACTCCGTCGCATTCCGAAAGAGGGAGTCGCACAAGCTTGTCACAGACGGAGTTTACTCGTAGGAGCTAGTTTTTCTATCTGTAGTTGACCCTTACCAACCCTCTTCTTTTGTTGATTAGGTGGTCCCGACACCCCTCGTATGCAGGGTTCTTCTACTGGGCCTTGGGGACCCAACTGGTGCTGCAAAATCCGGTTTGCTTTATCGGTTTTGCAATGACTTTGTGGCGGTTTTTCTCTCGCAGAATTCGAGGTACGTGTATCGGCATAGTGAACCCCGCGTAATTCTGAACCTGTTAAATCAGCTGAGGAACGAGCATTAGTCCAATTCTTTGCCGAGGACTATCATGCATATAGACGACGAGTTGGCACTCGAATACCATTCATTCCCTAGTTACCCCAGTGTAACTCTCATTCATAGTAAATTTATCACACAACTGAGAGCACGGGAAGGCATGAAATGCATGATCATGTACATGGTGAAGATCAAGACAATAGTATGAATTTTCATGTGGCAAAGCATGGCATTCACATCTAATCTTGGATGATGGTCCTCCGTTCGGACACGTAGATACCATCCAAGAATTTACGGATATCCTTGTTCCGTACTCTGCAGGAACCCTGGATAGAGGCAGCTGCGAGACATGGATTAGTGGGACTTGGTGACGGGCAATAAAAGACAATTACCTGATTGTGAGACGTTTTCGATATCGTTGCCTTCGAGGATGAGTTCGTCTTTCTGAGCCTTGGACTCTGATATCGTAACACCATCCAACATCTTGACATGGCGAACAGTCTGGTGCAAGGAGTCAGGCAATCCTTCTCTTCTCCGAAAGACGACTAGACTACCTTCTCCCCGAGGAAATTACGGATCTCCAATGACTGTCCTTGTTCTTGGATAATACAGTTGACGGGGAAGTGCGCGTACACGGCACGCATTTTGTATTGGAAACCCTGTACGAGTCAGGTGAGACTGTGTTGTCTATCCCGCAACATTTGGACATGCCTTCGTCACCCCAATGACCATGTTGTTAATAAGACTTCTGATGGTGCGCAAGCATGCAATATGCTTTCGGCCACCTTTCCAGACAGCCAGGGTAACTTTAATCTTGTCCTTCCCAGCCTTGACTGCCCGGATATCCATGTCAACATGGCGAACGTTTTTCGTGAGTGTTCCACGGGGACCTGTGACCTTGATAACACGAGACTTGATCTCGACAGTCACGCCTTCAGGAATGTCAAGCTCTTCGGTCTTGAGGATGTCACGCATCTGGCAAGATACCATGTCAGTTCGAAGTGCATCCCAGAGCGGGCGATCACATCCATCCCAGTCTGCTGGATGCGCGACCCATCAGGCGGACAGAACAAGGGGGGTTCCTGCATGTCTGCAGTACTGACACGGCCGGGGGACACTTACTTTGCAATTGTGGGTAGTCTTGAGGTCGCTCCGCTGGCCCTGGTGTTGTGCTGCAATGCGTTGGTGCGCGGACCTTCGGCAGATTGCGATCGGAGTCTAAAAATGCCCATGGCGGTGATTTGTCCACGAGTGGCATTGCTCTTCTTTACCTTCATCCACCATCATCGTTTCGTTGGAGTCGCGAGTTTTCTTCACCTGAGTGCGAAATTGTTAAAAAATCAGTTTCTCTGTCGCATTTGTCGGTGGATCCTAGGTGAAAACCGTGTCTCTTTTGCGAGCTTTGGCATTTCAGCACCTAAGCATTTTTACGCAATGTCGTCGATGTACTCCCAAGTACCTGCTTATTCCCAAGGAATCTACCCTCCTACTCCAGGGTATCAACAGCCTGCCGGTCTATCATATCCCTACCATCAACTTCCGTCTACCCAACCGCAAGCGCCTGTTTACCATGTGGATCCGAATTCATTCCGTCGTGATTTTGCGACTCGTCTTGCAGAACTCACCATAAACTCTAGACCCATCATCCAGTCTTTATCGATGTATGCTCAAGAATACTCCAGGTGGGCAGATATAGTTGCACAATGCATCCACACGCATATTCGCAGGGTGAGCTCTTCTGTTCCTTTTGCACTGGCCTTTACTCTTTCACTCGGCGGGATGGGACGGACCAGCGTCTGCATGGGCACGGGCTTATGTCGTTCGAGACTATGTAATTAGACATCTCGTCGTGTAGTTTTTGTTGAGCAAAGAGTAATCCCTCATGGCCCAATATGCGGCCACCGCTGCCACCAGCGGCGAGAGGACGATCCCATGAGAATTTGCTCCGCGCCGTCCTTCGTTTTTGTTTTTTTTGTTCTTTTCGCGAGTTGTCCCGATGTGCTGACTCATCTTGCTGCTTTTGGTTTGTTTGTCATCAGGTCCCTCCGTGGATGAAATTGCCTGCGTTTTACCTCCTTGATGCAATATCCAAGAACGTCTTCGAACCTTATGCACGCCATTTCGCGACATTCGTCATATCCTTGTTTCTGGAAACTTACCAGCAGGTTGACCAGCCCACCCGCAGCAAAATGGAAGAGATGTTGATCACCTGGCGAACCGGCGCACCGAACAGCAAGGAACTTTTCGGTGTTATCACACAACTGTCCATCGAACGAGGTATATGGGGTGGTGACTCGTCCTCTCCTGCAGATGTACGTTTCATGTTCCTCAAGTCGTACTGTCACTCATCCCATCCCAAGGCATCGTCTCCAACGTACCCCAGCACTATCTCGAAAGCGCAGGTACTTAGCGAACTCGAGTTCACGTTGGGCCAGAAAGATAGGGCACTACATGCCAACCCTTGGGATGTTGCAGTTCAGAAGCACGTTGAGGTTCTGCATCAGGTAAGGTGATATCAATTCGCCTCACGTATGATGCTTATGCATGATTGCCAGCTCCGTAATCTAGTAGAAGCCGGCGTCTCCCAGGATGAATTACGACAGATCCTTAACCAATTAAGGTCACTTACACGTACAACGCCCCAAGTACAACCCCCGCCTTCCTCGTCTTACCCCTCGCATCCAACCCAGTCTACACATACTCGCTCATATCCTCATTACCATGGAGCTCCTGCGGCACCCTCCACATATTCTCATCAGTCTGAACAGCCTAAACCGGTTGATGTATCTACTCTTCTTCCAGCGGCTTCGTCTGTTCCTTCAACATCTCCCCTCCCCTCGACTAACATAACAACACTATACAATGCTTTGCTTAAGGCAGGTGTCGTCTCCGCGGGTGGTGCATCGTCTACAAATCACCTACACGAAGTCAAACCTCCCGAAACCAACACTGCTGAGTACAGTAGAGATGCCAGCCGCGCGTATAGGAAAGCCGTCTTAGCAGAGAAGGTCAAGCTCACTACAGCGGATATTTTAAAGTGAGTGGTGCATTTTCTTTCCAGGTGCTTGTCAGTGACTGACCATTATCCCAGAAAACGTTCGTCTGTTGTCGACCTCTTATATAACAGACTGCCTGTGCAATGCAAACAATGTGGATTGAGGTTCAGCCATGATCCCTGCGGTAAGAAGCAGATGGACGATCACTTGGACATGCACTTCAAGCAAAACAGCGGGGTCGGGCAAAATGTTGGCCGGGGACACAGCAGATGTTGGTTCGTTAGTCTGGAGGTATGTATTTCGAATTCTAGCTGTCCCCAATGCCAGCTCAATGGATTTCTAGGATTGGACAAGGCAAGGTACTATTGATGTGAAAGGCAAGGGACGGGTCGATGGCCCACGATCCCTCTCTAAGAAACTTGTGGATGCAGCGCAGCGAGATGCGGAGCTTCGTGCTCAATTTGTTGTGGTGCCACCTGGTGATGAGGCCAAGTCAATATATTGTCCGATATGTAAGGAGATTCTGAAGTCCGAATTCCTGGAAGATGACGAAGAGTGGGTGTGGAGAAATGCGATTAGAAAAGATGACAAGGTATGCGCACATTCTTTTCCGCTTGGCGTCCTTTGCCTCTGTTACTTACTTTGTTTGTAGATCTATCATGCTACATGTCATTCTGAGGCAGCGACTTCGGCACTCAGTCTGGCTGCTCGTTTGCGCAATGATGGGTCCAGCCGTAGTCGATCTCGAACTCCTGAGGTCTCTGCATTGCGTTCTACCCCGCCGAGAAGTACGGCTACTGGCCCGTGCAAATCCCAATCAGCTTCACCTGACACGAAACGTGCAACGCTTAAGCGCAAGGTTGATGATGAGGGTGGATTACCAAGTGCAGTATCAGATGGTACGCCAGCGGCAAAGAAGCTCGCTCTTGCAGTGTGAAACGAGTGACACTCGCATAATGTTCATTACCATTCAATCATCAAATCATTTTTATTCTATTACATTATTTGCTGAGCATTACTACTACATGGCATCTGTACTACATTGCAAACCATAACCAACAAGCCACTGTCATTAGACGGTTCCACTGTGTGATCCCTGCGCCCTGCAGTGTCGCTTGTGTGGAAGTGACTTTGAACAAGCGTCCATTGTACCAGACCAACCAACTAAAAGTTCTTTGCCTCCCTGACGATGTCTCCCAATACCCATATGGTCCTTCACGGGCAGGGCGTCGCTAAAACGCGTACGTGGCATAATCCCGACTCTATCCAACCACTCAGGGCACTGCACAATATTAATACAGTGCAGGAGATACCCTCGCTCGATGCCACCTTGAAAAGAATTGACGACATCGTGAACAATGATGTTGAAATGGAGGTACGCACCCAATCGACGAACTTTTGCGAATGAGATGTATTCATGGTCATGTAGGGCCCGCTTTCTGAACAATCTACAATTATTGTCATAGATACAAATATTCTGCTCGAATTTCTCGACATCCTACAAACATTCGTGTTGGATATCGAACAACAGAAATTGCCGGTGTTGTTGATCATCCCGGGTGTGGTAATCTACGAACTTGATAGGTACGTTGTATCGACCTTCATTCGTTCTGCCGCACGTCATATTTCCGCCTCAGCCAGAAGAACCGCGACGGACTCTCTTGGTTTGCACGGAGGGCATCAACATGGCTACTAAGCAAGGTAAAAGAGAGGAGAACAGTCAAAGGTCAAGCCCTGGGGGAAACTTGCAAGGCGTCACGAAACTGGAAAAAGAGAGAACCTGGCGAAGTAGAACTCCAAGGCAGGCGCGAGGATGATCACTGACAGTGTGGTGCACAGGAGCTTTGCACGGAAAGGACGAATGACAGTCTCATACTTGACTGCTGTCAGTATTTCTGCCATCAACGACGTACTTTTTTGTGCAGCAAAGACAAGATCCTTGCGGTAGAAGCGGAAAGTACCGGTATGTCCCAAGGCCACGGACTGTGGCGTCGGTAATGACAGAAATACATGCCAGGTATACCGACAATATTCCCTCATCGAAGCTCTTTCTGCAGCCGGGACATAGCGCATGCAGTGTTCGATCAAGCAACTGCAAAGATGTTCAGCGGGTATTACCCTGTTTACAGCAATGAATCCATGGAACAGGTTGGGCCTATAGCGACGCTGGATGAAGACGGCATGGATGTCGATGATGATTCCGCAGTGACACAAGCAGTTCGACCGAGCCACCCCCTGGATCTGTTACATCTGCAGGTCATTGAGTACTTCTCCCTGCTTCTCCTGGATCTGGTCGGTGTAGTAGGGAACGGAGAGGTGCAGAGGTTTGGGAGCGGTGATGTCGGATCTCGACACGCGCCGTCATACGCTCGAAAGCACATCTTTTCCTGGACGGCCTCTGATTGCGTGGAATATTTGGATAGCAAAAAGCGGTGTCCGCGATCGAGTCCAAGAGTGGAAGTGTTCCTGATGAAGCCATACGAGGGTCGAGGTTCCCGGCGGGGTCAAGACTGGTCCCGTCGGGACTGGGAGGTAGCGCTGAAAACGCTGGCGGTCATTGGGGAGCAATGGGAAGCAGGCTCCGCCATTCGCGACTCTATACCGGCGGTAGAGTTCCATGTGAGTCGGATATTTTCCATGCCGATGCGGCCGACGGGGCAGTGAAGATGCGACGAGGACGGTGATGGAGTAGTAGAGTACTTATGTGGAGCTAATAGTAACAAACACCGGTTTGGATTAGGTTTTCTACACTAGCAATTAAATAGTATGACATAGCTTTCAACCCTCCGCCACCAGGTTCCCCTCGTCTTCCATGGCAAAGAAACGCGTCATACACTTTGCCCTTGTACTTCTCGGCCTCATCTTGTTGGGAACTGTCCTCGTTCTCTCATCCGTCTCCTACTACCTCGCCATCAATTCCACCGCGTATCTGTCTGAACTCGAGGTTCCTGTGCTGGGCAACGCGACGAGATGGAACGCATCAGAACATGGCATGGTCGAGCGCATACCACGCATTCTCCACCAGACCTGGAAGTCAGAAACTCTCCCATCTCGCTGGAAAGCCGTCTCCGAAGGATGTCGTGAAATGATGCCAGACTAGTACGTCTTACGCCGTGCTGTTCCCTTGCACTTCTTATCCTGTTGTGTTACCCACAGCGACTACATGCTCTGGACAGATGCCAGCTCCAGAGAATTCATTGCAGAACACTACTCTTGGTTTCTCGACACCTTTGATAATTACCAGTTCACCATCCAGCGCGCCGACGCTATCCGTTATTTCGTGCTCCACCATTACGGTGGTGTCTACCTAGACCTCGACATAGGGTGTTTACGACCTCTTGACCCTCTACTCATCTATCCCGTGATCCTGCCTAAAACGATCCCTGTCGGTGTCTCCAATGACCTCATGTTTGCTGAAAGGAGACATCCTTTCCTCGCTCAGACGATCCATAACCTTGTCACGTTTGACCACTCTTGGATCCTAAACTACCCAACGGTGATGTTCTCCACGGGCCCAATGTTCCTTTCGGCACAGTATAGTATCTACACTTCGTCCCACCCCTCCGAGCCCGGGGAACCCAGTGACATTCGCATCTTACCAAAGTCTCTCTATGGAAAAAACGCAAAAGAAAATGAAGCACCGCACTCATTCTTCTCTCACTTCTATGGAAGCAGCTGGCATGCAGACGATGCTGCATTCATCGGGTTTTTGGGCCAGTGGGGAAAGGTTTTGCTCTGGGTTGGGTTGTTTGTCTTGATTTTCGGTGCTTATCGACTCGTCATGCCAAGCAAACCGAGCTACAATCTAAGGAGGATCGGAGGTTACGAAGTTTTGCTGCCCAGATGGAACCAGCGGAATGGTCGCTGGCATCTCGACATGCGATGGTCTTCACTGCCCCCATCTGCCGTTTCGACTCAACCACCATCACCTGCGACTTCCGTGCCGCAGTCCCCCCTAGAAGAACACGTTTCCCTACTTCCATTGCCTTTCGATGTTCGGCCAAACTCACCTGCGTCTTCTTCTGATGCTTCTTCTTTCGAAGCGTTCCCTTCAGCTGGACTTCGGGGAGGCTCTTTGCTCAGCGACGCTGTTCGTCGTCTGAGGGATCGACTTAATATGTTGATTTCCCCCCATACAAGCAACCCAGCTGTTGCCCGTTTGCGGTACAGCAGCAGGCGACAGCGGTCACGAGGAGTGCTATTCTTCCTTCCAGCTATTTTTACCCAATCCCAGGTTGTGGAATTACCTCCACGCAGTCCTCCACCACAGCCCTCCATTTTTCCGGCTTGTGACCTTCCCCCTGAAAAGGTCCGCAACGCAAGTCGAAGTGGGCCCTTGGGTGGAGAAGATGATCCCGGCTTCCGTCAAGGAAGGTCGTACTCTCCGCGACCCCAAACAGACAGTGGCATATCAGACACACTATTCGACGTCGACGTCGAGTCATAGTCATCGCTGCCCACCTTCGTTAGGGACTACCTTACTATTAGCAACGTCTATTGCTATTGCTCCAACTTTGTGAGAGGGCCTCACGAGATACCAAGGTTTGCTGTGGATGCTCGGGTTTTTACGTATGTTCATGCAGGATTCAATTTTACTGTAATTAGCTTTGTTTTTCCCGTCGTGACCTTTACCTTCGATCTCCCATGTTTCCTCGTGCAGCGACGGCATTCTTATAGCATCTACAGTACGCTACGGTACTACGATATTACTTAGCTACGTATCCTTGCGACCTAAATTTACACCAGATTTTCTTACGCTGCTAAGCTCCATGCGAGGTTTTGCAGGCAAGGATGCCATCAACAGCGACAGTGCGATCATGGCCGCCGCGCTAATGGCGTAGGTTGCGGATGGCCCACATGTCCAGTAGGAGGCGCAAGCTTCATAAGCGGACTGTTTCAGTGCAAGTCCCTGTCACAATACTGCGCTCGTACCAAGCAGAGGCCCTATTGCACGGCCTAGCTGACCAGAAGAGCGGAACAAGCCTAGTGCGGTGCCCTTGGCGAGTTGAGGGTGCCCTGCTGGCTCTCCCGTTTCTTCGATAATACCTTCATCACATTGCAAAGATGCGTACGATGTCAGGGAGCTAACAACCGTTGCTGACGTGAAGGCAAGACAAGCAGCAGCAGCCTGAAGTAACCTGATGGCGGTAGTAGGTGATGTAGGGACAAAACGGGGCACTAGAGACAGAAGGAGAAGGCCGATTGCGCAACTGAAGATCCCTCGTCTGGCCATTCTCCCTTCCCCAACTTTGGTGGTTGCTCGGCGTACGTATCCTCCTTGAAGCAGTGCACTTAATATGCCAATCGACCCAATGAGTGCCCCATTCTGACTGTTACTCCAATCAAATACTTGGATCGGAGGTTTAATTTAGCTCTTTTAGCACAAAACGTTGACTTACAATCGAAAGTGAGGAATGGAAGTGTGAATTCCATCCCCGCAAATACACTGAGAAAGAGGAAGTGGAAACGGCGCAATACCTTGAGCAGAGCTAGCCGTGTTTCCGGCGCTGGTGGGGAAAGACACTGCTTTGAGCCTGGGAAAGATTGGTCTGCGATGGGCTTGCGCGCAGTGTTGAGGCGCAGACCACGGGTCTCCGGTAGGAAAAGAAGTAAAAACCCGGTCTCTATCACCAACAATACAATGGTGACAGCGGCTGGCACAGCGCAGATGTTCAATTCTACTCCCATGGAGTGTAAGGACGCAGGGAAAGGCCGAGATGCAAAGTATGCCCCGATGGGAGGACCGATGCAGAAACATAATGCAAACGCGATGCCGACCTGAGCGAGTGCCTTGGAACGTTGAGCAGGCGCCGTTACATCGGAAAGGATTGCTCTAGAGATGATTGAGGCAAGTAACCGTGGATTAGATGGATGGGTCACTCACGTAGCAATTTGAACATTGCCTTCACTAAGTCCACCGATGATTCTGGAGAACATAAAGGACGCGAAGGTGGTTGACTTCATCCACCTTCGTAGGATCCTTTAGCAACATCGTCATTAATAAACTGGTAAGAAGCTCACACCAGTGCGGACAGTATATTCCCGACCATCGTAATGAGGAGGACCCGCCTTCGCCCATACTTCTCGGAGAGTGTGCCAATCCTCGGTGAGACGAGGAACTGGAGAAGGCTACATTACAATAAGCATTGCTATATTAGCAGTTGCGGTGACCAGGGCACGCACGAAAATACTGAACCCATCAGTCCTCCTACACACTTGTAGTCACTCTGTATTCGCACTGGCAGATCAGGCGATGGGCACTTACCCAACAACACTACATCCCATCTTTGCGGATTGCTAGGTGGCTCGTAGAATAAGCCTCTAAGCCATGCGACAAAGCCCAATGTTCGCGGCAGCAAGTTGCGTGGATCTGAACTTTCTCTCTGTGGACGTCGTCAGGACAGTTGTCCGTCGCAAAGTTTTCGTTTCAGCGTGCATACCACGGTATACCACTCAATAATCCGAGGAAACAATGGAAGAGGAATTGTGAATGCTTGGTGAACCGATCAATCCAGGCTGCTCCCCCGTTCGTCCGAACCCGACATACCGAATAGATCCAGCACTAAGGACAGAAACACGACCCTTTCTATGTTCTTCATATCGAAGAAGCGATTCTGCGTCTGCACCATTTGTTGCTGGTTTGACACGGTTGTGCATATGGAGCAACACTCTAATGCAGTGGCATGCGAAGTAACTTGGTAACAAAATTTTGCCACGAGGGCCCCGCTGACTTCCGTGCGTACGGGTTTCAGGGATCTGAGCACTGCTCCGTTACCGCAGGCTGAACTGCAGCTTGAACCCTCTATATGTAAACCGCTAATGTTGTATGGGTAAATACACACGCAGGACCTTCATACATTGCAACTAGTCCAGTTCATACGACGACACGTCCTGTGCCGTGGCAACAGTACCACGGAATAGCTGGTCTTCAGAAGCTTGAGTAAGCCCAGTCTGAAAATGTGAACTCGTCTCTGTCTTCGTGAGCTCCCGCAAAGCCATCGTGGCGTATGCTGCTGTGCCCAACGTCAAGTTAAGTTGCAGAGCAAGGAATTTTCCATCCTCCACTACTCTCGGAGGATCAAATCCAAGGAGGTTGTCCTCATCAGCCTGTGCGAGTGAGACGTCAGGGTCTGTGTATCTGATTGTAGACCACGACAAATTTTTTGGGAGCTGGAAAATCTTTCGATAAGACCCGTTGAGGGTGTACTCTCTTTATCCAGAAGTCAGACCCAAAGTAGGACAGCTACCCGAGTCAACCCACTTTTGTTTCCGAAGGAAGTTGTCTGGGTCCAACCCATCTTTCTTCAGGAATTCCCGATAGCGCTCACCAAGTGAACCACCGGGATAAGCGACATCCCTGCCTGGAAGCGGCATTACCACATCGAAGATAGAGTACTTGTGAGCATTCTCAGTTGTGAGCGTGATGATCTTCGGTGGCACCCATGGCTGCTTTTTCTTGGACCGGGAACTCTGGCCGTCTGACGCAAGACTTGAGTACGGCAGTAGGAATCGACCAAGCATGTAGTCACCTTGTTGGTCAGTAGTTTCATCTGGCATCATACTATCATTCATCTCTTCATCGCTGTCACTGCTTTTTCGAGCTGATGCCTCCTCAAATACAAGGTCTCCGGGAACTGCCCTTTCACAGCCACAGATACGGATGCGCTCCGATACTACAGCGTTCCATACGTATGACTGGTAAGCGTGGATGTACATGAGCCTAAGATTGCGGGGAATCTCGAACGTTTTCAGCTTGTAAAATTCAGTTCCGCCTATGCAACCTGTACTCACTGTTGAAAGTGCACCCAATGCATTTCTGGTTTCCCCTCCCTGTTTCTTGTAACTTTCCAAAATGCATCTCTCTGCTACGACGCGTCGTGGCATAAGAGCAAGAGCACGGTCTAAGTCACGGTCAACAAGCCAGGCTTGACGCGCTTGGACGACATCGGGGTGTTCACCGGGTCGCACTTGGAGGATCAAGGACACCGCTTTGTGCCAATCCGACTTCAACAAGGCCAATCCTATGGTATGTGTAGGGACTGCCGCAGTTCCAAAGCGTTGCATGCCTGACAAAGATTAGCTTTGGTAATTAACCATCCTTCAGAGATGCATACCATAATAATTTATGAAGCCTTTGTATTTTAGACTGTCCATCACTCGTTCCACAGTATCCGGCGCATCGGCCTGCAGATTCCTAGCAATTCTCTTGAGACCACGAACGGGGGCATACAGAAGAAGAAGAGCTAACCGGAGAGTGATTATAAACTCGTTGCCCTTCAGCATGCCCAGTTCAAGCCCGGCCTTGCGGTAGCACATGTCAGTGATGCGGATTCCGTGATCGCCACGCTGAGAAAGGGCATCGCGAACGGATCTACGACCAATCTGGTTGCTGGTTTTCCAGATGTCCTCCACCGTTTTGTTGCCGCGCCGCAGCGAGACTCGTTGAACCGTAACACCGCGCTTGTCCTTTGTTCCAGCCACTCCGAAATCTTTCACGTTCACATGCAAGGTGCGCGAGAGATAGGCTAGTGCATCTTGAGTGTCCCGATTGGTTTTTTGCATCGTGAAATGAATATACGGAGGAAATTCGCCCCGAGGAGGTCGCGCTCCTGGCGCTGCCGAGGGTTTAGGAATTCCCGTTCAGCAACAAAGAATAAGTAGCTCTCACTTTGCCCTCCTCCACTTCCACGCCCCCGTCCTTGTCTCGACCACATAACGATTATTCTGGACCCCTGATCACTAGGAGCTTCCGTTTCTGTCTCAAAACTTCCTTTAAACAGCTCCCGAATTTTCACGTGTACAGCTGTCCTATCGGTCTTTGAACTAATGGGCTGAGATTTGGGTAGGTGCCAGAGCTCTGCAAGACGGTTCATACTTGTACTTACATTGCTGAACACTTTCTCGCTTTGGGAAAGGTCACCGCGGCCTCTCTGTTTCTTGCTCCCTTGCGGGCGCGTATGACGGTCCCGGCCTTGTTTTCCTTGGGAGGGCTGTTCGGAAGACCCCCCGTTGTCGGGTTGTGGGAAGTCATTATTATCATTCACTCGCGGAGGTTCGGGACTTTCGAGGAACATTTTCCGAAGCTGGGCAATTGATTCGTCGGAGAAATAAGGTGATAGCGATGATACGACTGCATCACCCCAGGCCTCTTGATTTGATAGCATAGATACTTGACTGACTGAGCTGCCTGCATGGGTGATTTGGGAGGGCCCTGCTGCCTTCACATCCTCACTACCATCTTTCTCTAATGCCGTTAAGGGTAAAACTTCAGCTTCCATAGACACCTCGGCAGGGGTATCCTGAGATGGGAGGTTTGGGTCTTTTTTTGAGGACGCCGGCTTATCGAGGGTCTTGAGGTGTACCACCTGATGGTCCTGGTCCACCTCGAATACCAAAAAGTCGGTAAACCTTGATTGGTTCATGAGCCGTGTGCACAAGGCAGGCAGGCGTCGTACCTTTGCTTGATGATCCCACAAATTGGAGGAACATCCCGACTGACGTACTCTGTTATACCGACATCACTTTCCAACAGTTGACGAGTTGTGCAGGAAGAGGGGATTGACAACCGGTTGCGCAGAAGGACATGGCTAGATGGCAGGATGCAACTAGGATCGGTGCAATCTGCACCAGTAACGGTGGTGCCCTCGTTCCTTTCGTCGACGTCAGCGGAGGATGCCTCTACTTTGGCTCGCTTTAGTGAACGAAACTGTTCGTCGTCGTTGTCGTCGCGGTCTCGGCTTGTTGATGTAGACATAAGACAGTCAGCTGGCGTGCTTGGCAGATTTGATGCAATCTAATCGGGGGTCACTATAACATACTACAGTTCGAGTCTATACTCATCGCACAAGTACTACTCTCGTCGGGCCATGCCAGCTCCTCATCTTCAAAGCTACAAAAATCGTGCAGCGAAGCACTCTAATCCCGCTGCTCGAGCTCTCCTTCGGTGTATGGAAGCAAAAAAGTCCAACCTCGCTGTAAGCGTCGACGTCACTACGACGAAGGACTTTTTCGATATCATCGAAGCTGTCGCACCATACGTCTGTCTCATAAAGGCATGCCGCTCTTCGTTTCGCAATCATCTCTTGTCCTTACGAGCCCTGGAGAGAAGACACATGTTGACATCCTTGAGGATTGGAATCCTGGCGTAACAACCAGATTGCAACACCTTAGCAGGGAACATAATTTCCTTATCTTTGAAGACAGGAAGTTCGCTGATATCGGTATGGTTTTTCAATAGTACTGTACTACAACACCCTGAGGGGGTTTCTAGGTAACACCGTTGCCCTGCAATACTCCAGTGGTCTCTACAAAATATCTAGCTGGGCACACATTGTCAACGCCCATCCTGTGCCGGGGCCCTCAATTATAACGGGTCTCGCGTCAGTGGGCATGAAATTGCAGGAGGAAAGAGGACTGCTTCTCCTTGCTGAAATGAGCACGAAAGGTGCGCTTACAACAGGAAGCTACACAGTCGAAGCAGTCTGCATGGCCCGGGAACACCGAGACTTTGTCATAGGTTTCATCGCGCAACATCGCATGGAGAGTATAGGTTTGTCTGGGACTGATGACGTCGTTGACGAGGATTTCTTGATCCTTGCCCCCGGTGTTGGATTAGATTCCAAGGGCGATGCCATGGGACAGCAGTATCGCACACCGACTGAAGTAGTGACTCAGTGTGGATGTGACGTGATAGTCGTCGGTCGGGGTATCATTGGAACCGGCCGTGATATCGATGCTGAAAAAGTGAAGGAGCAAGCGCGGAGGTACCAAACTGCTGGCTGGGAAGCGTATGAGAAACGTATTGTAACGAATCAATTACTTGGCGAGTAGGACAGATATTAGAATGACAATTAGAACAAAATCATCTTAGTAAACCCTGTAATCCTCTGTCAACGACTAATAACAAGCGTCCGAAGAGATCGCTAGCGAGGGCTCAAGCGCTTACACCATGTTACCTGAGTTTTACCTCTCCTCCCTCTTCTTTATTCTTCTCCGCTTCCTCGGCTGCCTCCCTTTCCTCCGCCTCTACGACTTCTACATCCAGAGGGAAAGTGAGGATGGCAGCAATGCCCGTTAGCTGGTTGAGTTCTGCAGCAGTTGTCAGGCGTCAGTAACACGCTTAAGTGAGCAACTTACGTTGTCCTGATTCATGCATACTAGAAAAGATTTGCACTTCTCCACCTTTGTGTTGCACGTTTTCCACCAGTGACACGAATTTCTTTCTTGTCTTTGGGTCGCTGGACCTGCGTTTCGTGTTAATATCGATCGTTGGCCAAGATCGAGGCTACGTCACACCGGAAAAGTTCGTCGGAAATTAAAAGTGTACCAATGGCTCCCCGATCTGCTGCTAGACAGACATGATCAGGGCCGTACCAAGCGCGCATTTCGTCTGACGCTAGCATCTTGAAAAACCTACACCGAATGAGCCGGAAGGATCAAGCAGACATCGCATAGCTCACTTGTCCAGAACAATTCCTTCGCGAGCAAACTTCGTCTCCTTTAGCTGAGCAACGATCTACGGAGCCCTGAATTTGAGTGTACTCGAAGGCGTCGCATGATCTAAACCATACCTCCGGGCTTTTCAAGACTTCGATAAGGCTGTGAACGTGAGGACTGCTGACATGAACCTTGACAGTCTTCTCCCGCAGAGATTTGGCCAAAAGCTTATCTCCTCTTCGACTAGCTTCGTTGGTCATCCACGTATAAACAGATTCCCTTACCCACCCCGGGCTAGCAAAGACGATTGCCCGGAGGCTCGGGTTTCCAAAAGGAATATGCCGCACAAAAGCATCGTACACCATAGAATAGAACTTCGTCATCGCTTTCTCGTACTGCGACGAGCCAGGAGCAGACGCCTTGCGCGGTATGGATGTGGATATTCGATGGGTAACCAGTGTCAGATGCTGTGATAGCAAGCAGAATGCCGCGCTGCCTTCCCCGCACACGACTGCACCGACTTCTGCACCCCGCCCGGGGATGCAAGATTCTTCGACGCGGGCGAGAGCAATACTGTCCCAGCCCTCCGACTTCTCGACTCGGATGTCTCGATTGACCTCAATGTCTAGGGTGTGAAACGCGCCAAGTCTTACATACTGATTTTCGGATACTACTTTGCCGGATATATGAAGGACGGCGGTGGATTGCATACTCGGAGTTGAGCTGGATCCTTGGTTTGCTTGATCGGAAGAAGATGACTGTGCACCACCGGATGACGAATACTCCACCTTTGACACCTGAATCTTGAGGTTAAGCTTAACGCGATGAGATTCCGTAGATCCTGTCGCAGATACGTTCTGTACACGGCTGGACACTACGTTGTCGTGATTTTCCACTAATAAAAGCCGGAAGCGAAACCGCACCGAACTGCAGGAGCCTTAACTAGATTATCCTGTTGGATGAGGTTATAGAGGTGCCATATGTCCTCGTTGTCTTCGGGACGGAGGGTGACATATCCCTTGAAACAGTAAGAAAAGGAACTGGTCAGTGCATACCAAATTACCCACTGATCCGTTTCTTTTATCGATGTACTTGCCAACGAGCTTCATGGTCGATTGCAGTGACAAGTGATGAGAGTATCAGTTCGACATACAAGGTTTCTAAATTAGGAACTCTTCCAAAGTATAAGTCCCTAATCATCCAAATCAAAAATATCCTCGTCATCGGCAGCCCTCGTCCGTATATTTCTTCCACTCGCTGGAGAAATAGAGTAAGATAGAGCCCCTAATTGGTCGGCAGCTTTCTGTAGCACACCTAAAAAGTAGAACCAGTGAGCGAGCATCGTGCACAATCGTTAGCTACTAACGTACCGCTCTGAGAAAGTCTGAGTTCAAGTACAGCAGTCTCAAAGATGTCACTGTTCCCAATCTCTTCAAACCCTATGAGACTGAGATCGACTGGTAAGCGTTTGGATGAAGAACGCTGGCAGTGATGATGCTCACCGATCCTTCATCACACCATCCATGAAGGACATGACGCACGGAAGGACCTTAATGCCCAGCCGCTGCACCAGCCACGGCACGTTCTCCGCGAAGACGCGAAGGAAACGCGTTGCGGAATATTTCGGTGCCAATTTCTTGATCGCTTAACCTGGTCAGCCCGAATCATGGAAGGGCTTGCTATTCCTCACGGCTAGATGTTTATCCATGATCTCACAGCGTTTGAAGTTGCTGTGGTAGAAGTGAATCACGCAGCGCGGATCGTGTCTGTTTCGACGCACGGGTAAGAGAGCGAGAATGGGGATTGTCTGCATCGACTCACGCACTTATGCGAATGATCTCCTTCTCATCCACGATTTCTGAATAAGTACCGTAGGCATTGGCTTGCATGTGTTTCAGCTTGTCCACCCTACGCACGAGAGTTGAGTTAAGGACACCGAACACGAAACCTCCAAGTCGCCGCGCTCACTGAAGCCTAAGTTGCTGCAAGCCCCGTTCACGGAACGCGGCATTCTCGTCGTTCTCGATCTCGGCCTCCAATTCAGCAAAGATCGCATCGTCGTCTTCGGGTTCGTCGCGTGCTCGGTTAGCTTCTACCACACGAGAAGCGAGGTCATTCAACTTGGTGTCCATGGTCGGGAGTGGAATGAAGGAGAAACAGAGTTGTTCAGACTGATCAGTGGTTTCCATTTTCGTAGTGCCCCTATCCTAGGTTCCAGCTTTCACATTTGGGCAGGACTGCGTACTGGACATCATTTATATAGTTAAATAGATGCCATGAACCCCATGGACCACGAGATCAACAAAAGGAACAAGCAAGCAGACAACGTCGAGGGCTTTTACCGCGGAAGGGGCCTTCTCACCGAGCTTACTGCAGGATATGCCATGTCGAACGATCTGGTTTGGACGAGTGAGGTTAGTATGAGCGGTCGAGTAGTCGTGTGGTACTTGGTGCAAGCCCAATGACTCTTGCATGAAGTAGAGTAGTTGTTATCGCATCCACTGTTTGGAGCATGGGCACGGCGTGTCGTCTAAAAACAGAATCGGAACCCCCCCACCTCACCCGTCACTACAGCACGCCAACACAACTGCTCCTTCTTTGCTCGTCCGCGGGCAACCACAACAACGACAACGGCGGTGTGGGAGTCTTGACAGCGCTTCTGAGTTCCCTATCCGGCGACAAGACAACGGCAGAAAACAGACCTTGCGTTGTCGCTCGCTCAACCTGACCGCCCGATAATTGCACCCTAGAGTAGATGGAGGACGACGGATCACCACCCCCACTGCCCACACGGCGAGAGATTGAACTCGAAACGGCGCTGCGCAAGCGAGATGTGCAGGTTGCTGAGTTGACGGTGAGGACCTGATCCTTTTACTTTCGCATCCCCCCTCTCTGCCCACGTCGTGCCCACGAGCCCTCTGAGACGTCTGCAGGCGGGTTCAATTCACATGATCCTACGTACATATTCGTTTATATATCCCTCAAACTGTCGTGCGTTTGGATGTTGATGTATGCTCTGTTCCGAACACACCCTTCTCACACCAGAACGAGGTCGAACGACTGCGGCAGTACCTCGTACAACACCCGCCACACCCGTCTACAACAGACCCGATCCCCTTACCGCCCAGTATTGTGTCACTCCTCCTACCTCATCTCCCAAAAGCCCTAGGCTCTGGTGGGACGACCGGTCCGGCCAATTCGAGTACGGTGAATACGGCACTGACACATCGTATACGGGTCCTTCAGGAAGAGAATGACGAGTTGTATGAGATATTGAGGTGTGGGGAGACGGGAAAGCTCAAGGAGGAAACCAAGGGTCTTAGACATGTCGTTGGAAGACTCGAGAGTGCACTGCGAGGTGCGTACGCTCATTATCCCTGCCCACCCGTCTACTTATGTCTCCGTCGAGACAGAATCACACCAGGTCATCACGACGTTATCGTAAGATGTCCAGCTTGCTGCGTTTGGTTGAATAGTTTTAACAAGTCGTATCTCGTAGAACTGAACTCGACAAATCATACTCAAGTTTCCAATCGTCGTTCAAACCGAAGCATCACGCCAACGCACACTCTCAGCCCTATACCGCGCCGCCTCGCGACTCGTTTTGCCAACCACGACACTACTCGCATTTGCAACATACACCCCAGCACCCGACCCCAGGTCAGCCCGCCAGCAATGGCCTTTCAAGGCCTCCACCCACCGGGCCTCGCGCGCACAAGAAACCTCGCCTTGCACCGGATTATAACGTCAAAATGTCTCCTGCGCACTCCAACGCATCTTTGCCCCCACTTCCAAACTCTTCGAAGCATCCACAGGTTCAAACACAGCCACAGCAGCCGCAAATAAAAGACGAGTCCTCTCGTTCACCTTGTATACCACCTGCCGACATGCGCCTGAAGGGAAATGCGAAAATGGAGATCGAAGAAGATTCCAGGGCAAGGCCACGTTCTCCGCAAGAACACGATCGTGAGCGGCATCGGGACAAGGACTGGGCAAGAGACAGGGATTGGGAGAGAGAAAGGGGGAGAGAGCGCGAGCGAGGCCGTGACAGGGAGAGGGAGCGCGACCGAGAACGATTCTCCAAACGAAACGGGTCAGAGGGTAGGGGAACGGGAGGGAGGGGAAGGAACCGAGTGGCACTCAGCCATCCGTATTTGAGTGGAGATCGGACGTTGGCGGAAAGAATGGGACTCTGAGAGACTTTTGCTTGCTTCTTTCACCTCTATTCGACTGACTCGTACAAGGAATGCTTAATGGAGCGCCGACGGTATGCACCTGTGTGCCCCGTATCCTCCCGGTCAATTGATTGGACTATCCAGTGTATTTGGTAGGATCCGATTTTACCCCAGAGACGTCTTCCAAATAAATTGGCTAATGTATTGTTATAGACCTGTATCCCTATCCCGTGTCTGTAGTCACACCATCTTGAACAAATGGATATGCATATTTATGGGAATTTCATCACTGCGGGAGACGTATCTGCCGTGGGTTGCCATGAAGACACTTGCACGCTGAAATCGGATGTTTGGCTGTGTACTTTTGGCAGTTGACCGAGCAGTACTAGGGTGTAGGCGAGAAATCATCGACGTCATCCGAAAGTCAGGCGCAGTTCTGTGCGTGCGCACTAACGAACAGTCATCACGGATCTTTCCCGGCGGCGTACTGCCAGGTTAGCGACTTCATCCAACTTGGCGCCGGACCTGTCCAGAGAACCGTCGGGTGGTGCCCGATTGTCACGGTAAACTACGCATGCGCCGGCCTAATCAGAACACTCGATAAGTTTTTCTGTTGGCAGAACGCTTCATTACAATGATAAATGGGAACATCGTGATGGCAGGAAGTTTTTGTGAATATGGCTATATGCTTCTTCGTAATCCAAGCAATCCGTCGGTCTACCGTCGCGCTTGAACTCTGGTGCTTACACCAGCGCCTGCTGGTTCGGTGTGAACCGTCTCAGGCGAGCATCCTTCAAGGCCCACTTAGGCCTGAGCGAGGTTGATTAAGATTGCTTGCAATAAAGGGGTCCGCAACGGAAGTAAAAGGACACGATGTCTGTGACTGGCGCGCGGAGTATAGCCTTCTGACAAACTAAATGTTCAACTTTTGATAATCGATTGGGGGTATGTACGTACATGGTGGTGGAATGGACGCTAGTACAAGACATAATGTTTCAGCTGCCATCATCGAAGTCACCTATTACGGGTACACTAAGTAAAAGCACGGGGACAGAGGTTCACGGACAGTCACAAGTACGAAAGCGATGAGATAATAATACCAAGGTAAATTAGAGCGAAGGCGAAGACTCGTTGCATTACTAGAACGAAAGTGTATCGGTCGGTGCATGAAAGGAAGGTAATGGGGGGGAAGGAAGGGCGTCGGGTCGTGTATAGGGGTGACCGCAAGGGTAATTGACAAGATGGTTACACCTGCGCAACGGCAAGGATGAGTGGAGCTCAGGCTCCGCGGTGAAGTTGAGAAGGGAATTTTCATTTCCTCCTCATTTCCTTCTCTTTTCTTCTCGTGTCTCTCTGTTTCAGACCTCGCAATCTCTTCGAGGAACGTTGTTATGCATGGAGAAGAATTGCATGCACGTGATAGCATTAGGGGCGGACTCGCAATATTCTCTCGAGGAATGGGAGAACCGCTCGTCGACGCGATGACGCGCACAATGATCGTGCAGAGCCTGGTGAACGAGAGATTGTTTCTGTGGAGGCTGCAACACCGACTTTTTATCGGTTGGTGCGAGCATAAACTTCGTGGGGATAGGAGGTACCGGTGGCGGTGGTAACGCGACGGCGGCACTTGGAGGAGGAGAACGGCAGCGAGGGGATGATGGGTGATCTGAGATATGTTTAGACGTGCGTGTGGGGAGTCGCCTGTGGAGGGATGGTTTTCCGGTGCCAAAATCGTCGTCGTCGCCAAATAGACTTGCCCGTGCCCTGCGATCTAAACGGTCATAGGACCTAGAAGAGACGAGGGTCTTTGGGATGAGGGGATCTCCTATAAGACTAGGATGGACAGGAGGAGAGTATTGTTGTGCCAGGCGAGTTCTGGAAGACTTCTTGGACAGGGGCGGTGGGGATGGGAGAGCGGCAGGGACGAGTTGGGGTGATGGCAAGGGCGGTGGGGGCGAGGTTGAACGAATGAAAGACATGGCAGAGATGGCCAGAGAGAAAGAGAGAAGAGTTCTGTGGAGAGAGAACACAACATTAATTGCAATATTTATACGACCTTTTGTTGTTCCGAAGCGTCAACGGACATTCGGAGCGAGTTTGCCATATTCGATCATATGACATGACATGACAGAGGACATGGTGTTCGTGGCGGTGTCGCGCCCTCGGCTCGGCACATCTACACCCGACTCCTCGTGGTCGTCCTCCCTGACTCGAGTGCGTATGTACATGTAAGAAGGAGTCGACTATCCTCGTTGGAACATCAATGACTCGACAGGAAGGTGGCAACTAAAACACGCGGCCACTGAGTTGTTCGCCGATCACTACTCGTCACATGTTTCCTTCCCAAGTCCGGCCATCCCAACCCCGGACTACAAGGGTCACTAGTATTGGGCAGACCGATGTGTAGGCTTCGAGCTTGGCACAGACGTGGAAGTGGGGGCGGGTGAACAGCTTCTCCCGTCTGAGTTTCTGGGTCGTAGTCCTATCGACGATACACTGGAAGAACAAAGAAACCCGGGCGGCCAATTTACGACACGTCTACCAGCCAACGAGGGTGTCTTCAAGCTCAGCCATTTTGGTTCATCAAGATGCACAGCAGAGATTAGTCCCAACGCAATAAGGCACGACTACAACTCGTGCCTTCATATAATATGGCACCCGATAGCACCTTTTTTTTTACTAACCACGCAGCTTTGGATGAGGCAATGAAGTGTACGTTTGTGTATGAACCAACTCGACATCCATCATGTAAGTACTCAATGTGGCGGCAGCTAAGCCTCGAATGACTAGCTTCCCTTGGCATCCCCTTCTTTTCCCCATTACTTTAGTCAATCCCTGTTCCCCTCTGCGCCCTTAACAAAGAAATAGCTTTGACTATAGCAGACCGTGAAAGTTTGCCATCTGACCTCCGTTGGCCATCGTGTAATAATTCGAGCACTAGCATGTGTGCGGCGGAGATGAACGATCCATGAAGGGGGTTTATTAGGCTAGAGCGCATCCCGGTAATCAAGATGGAGATGTTTCAACGCCCTTTTTGTAGCCCGGGCATGATTGATTAATGGCTGAGCGCGTGCACTACCACGGACATCGGGCAGCAGGGTTGAATAAACTGGGGGCACGTCAACGACGGTTGCATCTCGCATCCGGTGACTCCAATGACGACCTCCCCCCATGGTACACCGGCGGGTGGGCGGAAGCGCACGACACATGGTTTGAAGGGTGTGGGAATGACATTTTAAATCGCTCCTAGAATCTTCTTCAACCCCTTGAAGGAACTGCCGCCAGCGCTCTGTTTACGCCCGTTGCGGTTACCAAAGACCTGGCGGACGTCTTCGTACAAGGCATAGTTTTCACGAGGACTCTGTGCGTGCGTGAAGATGGTAAAGGCGTTGGGGGAGGCAGGGGACGTGGGCAAGAAGGTGGTGGTATGGGCAAATGTAGTGTAGGCCATCTCGAAGTAGTAGGATCTCGGGAGATGTCAGGGTATCTGTTGTTCGCCACGGGATTCGAGTACAACTGCTGATGGAGAACATATGAGCCAAGTGGGTGCTCGATATATACTCGTGCAGAACCAGGGCAGCAGACGAGCAACGACGCGGATAGTCACCATCGTCGCCGTTCGTAGCAGGGAGAAATTACCCTGTCTGGCTATTTCGCATGCAATCAGCCACAGGGACCTACACGTTACCGACAATCGAGCGACCGTTGCCTGGCTACAAGGAGGCAATCATAGCCGATATTTCCTGAACAAGTAATTCCTAAGCGTTCATCGGTTGCAAGATGTCGGATTGCACCTCGAGGACGCCAGGTGTGGCGTTGAGCGGACAATGGTTCGCTCGGACTTTGCACCTGTTTGACATGGCAAACAAGGACAAATAAACTAATCTTTGCTGCAAGTAAATTTTCAAAGGTTGTTCTCTTCAACGATGTTGATCACATTGCTTGGGGAACTTGGTGAGTAGGCCTCTTTTTTCACACTTGGTTTTTCTTTCCATGGCGGCGATGATTTCAAACTTATTCACACTATCGGAGCGCACTGGTCTCTTTGACTTGCGTGCGATGAATACCAATTACAACGGTAGATGAGCCGACCACACCTTTTTTGCGTTCCATTTCCTAGCATTAAGGACCTTCCGCTAACTTCATTACAGAGCAACAGGGTGAGAACAATCGAGGTCTCTGCGATGTACTTGATGTGACGTGGGTTCAACGATATATTGTACAAAATTTTGCTTGTTGCACGTAACAGTGGAATACATGTGGCGTTCAGGTGGCACTGTTGGGTTCCTCTTGACTTGCCTCCAACCCCTCAAGTGCATCTTTAGGAACTTGGCCCTGTGCGTGCGTCAAAGCGCCCTTCAAGATATACAAATACGGTCCAGACTTGACAGGCCAGGGCGTGGACTGGTATCCGACCAATAAATTGCAGCGTGGACATGAGAATCCATACTGTCTTTCGTATGCCCCTGACCTACAGAAAAGTCAATCTATGGTTTACGACAGCCTTCACGTCCCACAAGACCAAGGGGGAGGGGGGGCATGAGTGACTACATGGTGTACGCACCTCTCGACAAGCACAGGTGCAGAACAAGAACTTGCATTCAATTTGAATACAACTGCTTTCCCCGTCTCGTTTGCCCGACAACGAATTATGTATGCGCTATCCGTGCGCCTCCGTGGTAAAGCAGCGAGACTCTTCTCGATGACGAGCTGCCAGAGCGGACCAGAATCATGTTCACCGGGTGCGAGTAAATCTGTGTTGACCACGTACAATGAACTCTCCGCATATACAGTCTTCATAAGCAGAAAAAAAAAGGCGGTGAGCCAGCACAGGAGGTGTAGAACCGGCAACTCACAGTATACCCGGAGCGCGGCAGCAGCTGACGCCGTCGGTTTGGCTGAAGGGGAAGGGAGTCAGCTGGAGAACAGGACAAGTCTATTGTTTTACCGTCCGTGGAAGAAGAGACCGCTGAACGAGATACGACCTTGGGCATGACGACGATGCCTTGGATGTGATACTATTTTCTTGCGAGCGGGCTGACATCAAGGCGGTATTTGTGTCACGTGGTTTGATTTGCCAAGGTCAATTAACAAGTACCGCAATTGTTTGCTGCCGTTCATAAAGCACCCCCACCGGCAACCCCGTCTCTTTTCATGGCAGAGAAAGATGCCAGCTCAAAACTTCGAAAGGCCGTCAAGGGTAACCGTCACTAGTCGAAAAATCGTCATGGCTGGGCTAACGTGCGCAACTCAGAAAACAATCTCTTTCTTGTCAAAAGACTCATCCAACGAACCGACATGCGTAATCCAGATTCCACACTCAAACGATACACATCCCTAACCTGGGCTGCTGTGCTTGGACATGAAGAGATCTTTGAATTTTTGCTCACCGCTGGCCATGACGACGAGGAACTCAGCAGGGTATTCTTCCTTGCACCCTTTCCTCCGCACAGGCTGACATTTTTGGCTCTGCAGGACCTTGAGAATAACACGATTCTAATGCTGCTTGCTGATTTCAAACCACCAACACCCAATCCCTATGCTCCTGGCCCGTCTCAGGCTGATCTCATGAGCGCCGCACTACGCATGGCCAGACTATACTACGACCGGTATCCTTGGATTCTTGACTGGTCAAATTCGCAAGGAAAGACCGCCTTGCATATGGCTGCGCTGAAAGGAAATGAGGAGCTCGTTCGCGTGTGTGGTCGCGTGATTTGTTCCGCAGAATTCGAGCTTACTCCATATGCACCCTTTTCATCCTCAGATGCTGTGTGACTGGGGAGCAGATTTCGACCTATCAGATAACAAGGGAAACACACCACTTCACTAGTAAAGCATTTGCTGTATTTTGGTTGATTATGCGCTAACGCTGTGTCAGTGCGAGCGCGTGGGGTCATATTCCGGTATGCCCGATTTTGGCGTTGTGTCTCAAATTCATGAATTGAGTCGTGTTACAGATTGTGCAATTGCTGATCGAGAGAGGCTGTCAATTTGCTGCACGTAACAACGACGGGTTCACGCCGTCTGACTACGCGTATTCGTGAGTCGTTCGAAACTGTCATCTGACGGGCACTCAGCGGGGAACTAGCTTTAGCACGAGAGATACTCTACAAGACTCTGCGCGCACGCAGTTCGAGGCTAACAGAAAGATGCGCCGGCTCGTTTACGCTCAAGCCGCTGCCAGGGGCCACGAGTGGGGTGTTACTGCTGCAGGATTCGAACGACCGCCACCTGTTCCTATAAAAGACTATGATGCCGGAATGACTGGAGTCCGTATGCGGAGTGGTTCTGGTGCGACCACAACCACCGACAGTGGAGATATCGATAGTGCTGGAGTTGGAGCTATAGGAACGAGTCTATCGTCATTGTCGTCCTCGGCGTCACAACAGTTGTGGCCACGACCCGCACCCGTCATCAACTCTTCCTCCCAGCGACCGGAGAATGTATCCTCCGCAAGTAGTAGTGGCGGTACATTCTCGGTGCCTTCGCCAGGGCCATCACAGTCAATGTTGTTGAACCCCCATGCGCCAACGCACAAGTCATCGTTATCTCCCATCGTCGACCGGTTGCGTGAGCGAGACGCAGATGAAATGGAAAAATACAAAAGGCGGAACCGAAGCGGTAGTGGTGAAACGTCTTCCACTGACAATGCAAGGTCACAGGTAGTTCCGTCGGCCAATTTCACGTCGGCCGGGCCATCTTCCAACGGCGACGATATCACCGCGCTTAGTTCATTGGGTATTACCGGCTCGACGGCTCCCCGCAAGCGGTTACGACCGTCGTGGTCAGCTGCGCAACTAAGAAGTTCTCCCTCCTCCGCTCCAACGCCGTCCCAAGCTGCGCAGGCAGACGCTTCACGAAACCGAGCAGGGACAAGCCCCGGTAGCTCGCGTTTTGGCCAGCCATTGCTGACACCGGGCGCGATTCTCACGCGGACAGCGTCGTCTGATACCCCCCGTCATGAGGAGAAGGCCGTGGAAGAACCGGAGAATTTAAATGGGCCATCATTGCAATTAGCTCACTTGCGTGAACCACCTCGAAAGCCTGGCATACGTAGCGCTTCGTCATCTACAGCGGCGGCCATTGGTCGTCGGCTGCCATTCAATCTTTTGTCTAAACCTGCTCCTCCACCTCCTGAGCCGCCGCATGGACATCGGCGCGGTACATCGATTGCGTCGATACGTAGTTGAACATTTTCTTCCTTTCATCATAACCATTCATTCCGGTGTAAGTCCTACGTGTACATGTGCTGTACCCCTTAAGGTCGACTCGTTTTTCGAATTAGCTGCATGGACCATCCGTACATTTTGTCATTCTGCATTCTGTCTGTTATAGTGTAGCTCTTGCAACACATCTCTCGCTGGTCTGTTTTAGCGACTTGGGATAGAAGAATTGTGGGAAATGCCGAATAAGGTGGTCCTTACGTATTAGTTCAAAGGGGTTATATGACCCGACTTGCTGTTCCATTCTGGTCTTCCGCTCGTCCTTCTCTCCAATAAGCATGACCATCCCGTTTGGTGCGGACGCAGACCCCGACCCAACCTCCCAGATTGCGTGGCCTGCCGCACGTCACAGGCAACGAACATTGTCGACAACTCCTCTGGACAACGGCTCTCACTCGGGCGAGACCGCCATGTCATACCAGAGTGTAACAGGCAGTGGGAAGAGATCTCATGTGGAACCCAAGCGTGCACGCTTTAGTACGTGGGACCTCTTCACCCTGAGCGTCTCAATGGCAGGGGCGCAAGTTGCATGGACCATCGAGCTGGGGTACGTCCATCCGCGTCTCTTTTCGCTCCCTTTCACAACTATTTTCTCTCGATGTCTAGATATGGTACACCATTCTTGTTATCGTTAGGCATATCAGAGCAGGTCACCAGTCTTGTCTGGCTTGCGGGTCCGATCAGCGGGCTAGTCGCTCAACCGCTCATCGGTAAACACCTCGCCGTTCACTTGATGCTCCCCGTATACTGAACAACTTTGAGGTGCAATATCCGACTCGTCTACTTCCAAATACAGACGCAGATATTGGATTGGCCTCTCAACCGTGGCACTTGTGGCCGCAATTCTAGTTCTGGCGTATTGTGAGAGCCTGGCTGCGGTATTGGTCGACTTGTATGGCGGAGGGTTCGGCGACTGGGATCCCGAACGTGACAAGCAAGTAAGAGCACTGCTTCCTTTGCATTCTTGCATTTTTTAATCCCCTGCGTCTAGGTGAATAATGTTGCCATCACGATCGCTGTCGTTGCGTTCTATGCCCTAGATTTCGCTTTGAACGCTTTGCAAGCATCATTGAGAAATCTTTTGCTAGATATCACGCCGCCCGAACAACTCAATGCAGGGAACGCGTGGCATAGTCGCATGACTCAAGCCGGTAACATCGTTGGTTATGGATTTGGTACGTTCCCCATGGAGATACCGGGTCCCGACTGTACCCATGACACGTGTTACGTGCAGGTTTTTTACCCCTTGCTAAGATCCCCGTTCTAAACTTCTTGGGTGGTGATCAGTTTCGTAAATTCTGTATAATCGGCATGGCCACCCTGGTCATCACTGTGTGGATAACTTGCTGGTTCCACGAGGAGAAGCCCTATGTCAATCAGAAGAGAGATAGGTGTGTATCTGATTTGTTTACGAGACCCTTCTGACCCCTAGCGCTCGCCCACAGGCAGAATAAGCTCACAGATATCCTAGAGAACATCTATAACGCCATCACAGACCTCCCGCGGTCCATCAGGAAGGTATGCCTCGTACAGCTGTTTGCCTTCATGGGCTGGTGCGTGGATATACATGTCATCTGGAAAGGCTGTTGAATCCAATGTTCAGGTTTCCTTTCCTTTTCTACTCGTAAGCTGGCCCATACCTGATATGAGACACAACTCTAATCACGAGCAGCACGACATACGTGGGCCAGGTAATGGCTTATCAGTTAGATGGGGAGCCTGACATCGAGCACGCCACGCGCATCGGCGAGTTAGCCATGCTGCTCTACAGTATAGGTATGTTTGCTCTCCGGAAGTTTAATAAGTAGAAATAAACGGTCATCAGTTGCGGTGGTCGCTGGAGTTATCCTCCCTCGACTCACGCGCCGTGATAGCCGTTTACTTCCAGAAGACGGTGATGACGATGCCAGTCGTACCGAGCGTCTACGAGTCCTGCTTAATCGCTGGCGGGAAGAGGCAGTGCAGAAGGGTAAACAATTTAAGCTTCCTCGGATGCCGTTGCTCCTTCGGGACATATGGGTAGGTGCAATGCTACTGTTCGCCGTCCTTATGTTTTCCACGTTTTGGATATCAACGGTGAACCAAGTACGTTATTTGTTTGGGTCTTCGATATTTGTTGATGGGTGACATCAACGCTTTACGAACGGGTAGGCAACTGTGATGATATGCGCCGTTGGTGTGTGTTGGGGGGTTGCATGCTGGGTGCCATTTGCTATAGTCATGGAGGTGAGTTTACCCGTGATTCCGAGGGGTATCATCCGACATTTCTTCAAATAGTTCGTAAAGGACGTGAGCGAACGCCACACGACGAATGTACGTCGGCCTGGTCGCCGCTCCTTAGATGAACGCGATCCTCTCTTTCAGTCCCAATCCTCTCGTGGAGAAGATGGCGAGGGAGATATCCCCGGTGAAGCTCTGGCAGGGAGTACCCAGCCTGTTGCGGGGGGAACCATACTTGGGATCCACAACCTTGCTATCGTGACGCCCCAGTTTATCGTGCGTTACGTTTTCCCGTGTGATGTTTGCTCATTGATGGGATGGGAATTCAGATTGCACTCGTGGCAAGCGCAATCTTCCACATTGTCGACGAATCCGGCTCTCCCGTGGCAATGCCATCCCCAAAACCAAGCTTTGGGGACGGCCTCGGTGAACACACAACGTACTATGGTAAGAATGGTGTTGCATGGGTGCTGCGCTTCGGTGGCCTTTGTGCGTTGGCTGGTGCGTTGGTGGCACAGACTGTGCCACCGACCAAATCAGAGAGGGAGATGATGGAAGGTTTGGAGATTCTCAGCGCCCTCCGGGACGAGGAGGAACCTTGATACGAGCTGCAGGATACATTACTCTTTACTGTAGTATTTTGATATACAGTGACTCCCTGTACTATATCCCCCTGTTTCATGTACATAGCTCATTGGATAATTGGGTAATACACATTTGCATGTTATGTATGGGTTGAATTTTGCAATACATGAGGCGCACGACCGCTACTTTGGGACCATTGACGCTTAAACTCTCATCAACGTGAATCCCCAATCCCAACCCCTTTCATATCGTGAAGCGACGCTCTGCGAAGGAACGACCGTCAACGCAGGCATTTGGTTGCCAAACAACGCCCTAAGTAACGGAAGGACTAGATGCGGCGGTCAAGTAGCATCAAAGTTCACATAAACCAAAACGTAAAAATACGTACACTTATTTGGCTCGATACCCGGTCGGACGAATATCTTGGATACCAGTGTCCTCGTGAGGAAGGATGAGAGTGCAGGAACTGACTTTAGCCTTTTCGCAGCATCTTCTATCGCTTCGGCTATGACAGCCGATGGAGATGCCTCACCCAAGAGGCATCGAACGAACAGGACTGCACAACCCTCACCCAAAGGCGAAAAATAAGAAACTTCCCAGTACAACTCTAATTGTCCGTCGTTGCCAGTTGGTGTAAGGTTGCCTGGCATTTATGATCGGTTTCGTGTCACAGAGCTATGGAAGAAGGAATATCACCTTGATGAAATTCTGGTGTGCGCTCAACGATCTCTTCGTCATCATCCATGTGATCTGGATCTGATAACGCGCATCGCCCACTGTGTACCACCACCACCTTCTCTAGACGCGCGCCGCGTGGAAGAGATGTGACGACGGCGTACAGTGTTGGTACTAGCGGCTTCTCGACAGTGTCGTTAGCAACCGCGTTAACTGAAACACGCCAGAAGCAGGAGCTCACGTCGTTTGCCGCTGCAACACCTGCTTGAACGTGTTTCAAGTCATGCACGTCCACGAGGTAGTAAAGCGCAAGTTGTACATGTCCGCCCTGTCCATCTGCATTGGTCTCCTTACCCGCGCCGTCACTTCCCCCAAATCCCCCCTCGTCCCCGTTCCTACTGGAGATGGGCGCAGCCCGGATAACTCTTGATGTGTGTTGAAGGACGAGTGCTGTTTCCACAGCAAGTGAAGATGTTTCTAGGCACAAACGAATCCCAGGGTCGCATTCGACATCAGGGGAATATGGTGGTAGGATGTCAGAAGATGTAGGGAGTGTCAGGGAGGCCGGTAAGAGACCTATTTGGCCCGAAATAAATGTCCATGGTGAGATCTGATTGATGATCACTACTTGGGCAAAAATTCGAGGGTATAAAGGCCTGACTTACACTGACGGCTTGTGAGTACGGACCAATATTTGCGGGTGCCCAGTAACTTAGGCTCTGCACATGGAGGGATCTGCGTGTCCAGCTGTTACGCAAATGGGCATTCTTTTCCGGGGTTCTCTCGGGGGCCCATGCTACACACTCAAGGGTCACACTTTCACCGGCAGCGATGCATGCTCGCGCGGGAGGGGATGCCCCAAAGAAAGCAGAATAGGCAGTGTTGGCTGCAGAAAACGTAGAGGAATCCAATGTAGGAAGGAACAGCGTGATCATGGCAGACTTGGCAAGGACTTCACTCGGGGAGGAAGTGGTGTACCGTGCCAGAATATCTACGAGACCTGAAGGTTTTTAATGGAAATAAAAGAATGCTACAAACCTTTCAAGTTATGGAAGCATTGAGTCACTTGCTCGGCGACAGAATGTGAGGCATTCTCGGAGGTTGTATGAACATTACCAACTGCGATCCAGGGGCCGAAAGTACGAATTGATGGGGGGAGGGATATAGCCTGACTGACTGCGGGAGTAATGTGCGTGGGAAGAGTACGGGAAAGAGGAGAACCAAGAGATCGTGCAACGTGCATGCGAACATCCTGGAAACATGGTTCCAAGAGTGGAGGAATGGGAACGTCTGCTTGCTTAGCTTCGATGGACAAATCGTCTTCGTTTTTGTGCACGACTTCTGCCCTGTTGATCCTGAGATACGCGACAGGAGCTACATCACCTTCCATACTTGCCATCTTCTCTGTTTCTTGGAGTATTATTTTGCCTTGGAATATTCTAGGACAGTCGAGAGTGAACGACTCGTATTCTCCGCCCTCACCACATGGGTGGGTGCCGTACATGGCATGAAGTTTAAGGAGTGTTGGATGCATGGCAGAGAGGGAGATTCCGAGATGAGAAGGGATTAGGCCGGCGCCGGCTACTTTGATAAGGACAGCGTTGAGATGGGCAGAAAGCATTTCAGAGAGAAGGGCAACTTGGTTGCGCTGCCATAGGTATGCGAGAGGGGTGAGGGAAAATCGGCGACAACTTGGGAAAGATATGACTGAGGGAAGAAAGGAGGAGGAGGGGATGAGCTTACACGTGTTCTACGCGTACGCGTTGATAGTTGGAGAGAATGGCGCCGACGGCGACTCCCCGGACATCTGGGTGATGTTCCTTTTGAATGACAGGATAATTATAAGGATACATCCGAGGTGAAAGAAACTCACGAGTACGGTCTTGAGTAGCAGATAAAGGTCTTCGGTTTCATCGCCTGGTGTGCCAGAACCGCCCGGTGACGTCGTGCCATACTCTGGGCCCTGTTCGAGGGGATGGCCACAGATGACACGTCGATAGAGGGGTACGCGGAGCGCGTCTGCGATCAGTGCGATCCCGTCTTGACCGACGGTCTGATACAGGTAAGAATCAATCTCATCTGACCAAGTCGGTCAGGAGCGTGTGTGAAGAGATCAGGAGCAAAGACCTTTTCCAGACTCTGGGGAAAGAGTCGCAGCGGCAACGAGTTGGTGGCCATTTTTCAAGCAATGGAGTAGGTTGAAGCAGCTGTCTTTTCCGCCGCTGAGGAGGGCGACGTACTTCATGGAATTAATGGGAGGATGCTGGGGGCGGGCGACCCCTCCTTGTCGGGTGGTGGTGACCTGCCAGAGCCCTGCCCCGCCTTGAGTTTTATTTTCACGGCGAAGGATGCTCTCCGCCTCGCACTTCACTGGCACCCCGCCTGTCCACCCGCTGTCCAACCCACCTGGCATTCAGGTGTCGGCGGCCCACAGTGTACACTCACACCACCACTTCTCTCAAGAGCAGCGGCATGGCATGTCCGCCAGCCTCCTGCCCACCCCGCCCTCCTCGCCCGCTGCCTTTGGTCTTCACCCAATTGAAAACACCCTGTCGCTCCTAGAGTCCCTCGTAGCTTTCTATCACCAGGAACGCATGTGGGTATACAGAACACGAGCCCAGCTCGAGATGGATATGATGCAACGCGTCGAAGAGACAGCCGCAAACGACGCCGCCTCTGCGATTGGCGAGGCAGAGAATGAAGGCGGGCGATCAGGCTCATCGTCGCCTCATCAGAACACATCCCAGTCCTCCCCACAGGCACAGTCCGACTCACAGGCCTCCCAGCAGCCAAGCGCTACATCCCCCCAAGGCACTTCTCCTTCACCACCCACCAAATGGCTCAAGCGCAAGAAGGCCTTCAACCTTCGTCTCGAAGGCATATCCACCAGCAGAGGTGGTTTAAGTAGGCCCCGCCCTTACCCCCCACATCGTCCCCGCCAGGGTTCCAGCCTCAACCCTGCTGGCCCACAGCCACCGCCCATCCAACCGCCACATGCCTTCTATCCTCCACCCGCTCCCAACCACATCCCGGGGCCAGCAACAACCACCCTCACTTCTCCTTATCTTTGCCACCCCTCCTTTGCTACTACATTCGGCCCACCCTCTTCTACACAACCACCCACATATTCTCAAACACCCACGCAATCCACCATTCCCGACTCTCACCAGGCAGCCATCCCATTGGTCCTTGGCGCAGGTGGACGTGAACCCTGCGTACAAGTATTGGAGATGTTTGAAAAAATGATGCAGGCTCGTATGGAGAGTTGCGAGCGTGTCACTCGAATGGTCAGGAGTGCCACCAATCTAGGTGCATCCAATGCATCCGTCAGCGGTCCTGTTGGTGCGCCTGGCCTTGCAATGAATATGCCCACCGTCAGCGGCCCTGTGGGTGGTCCGGGAATAGGTGGTCCCGTTGGCCTGACGATGAATAGCTCCCACAACGTAACGATGACGCCGATGGGAGTGGTGCCTACCGCAGAAACCTTCGCATCAGGCATGATGCAGGGAACTGTATACGGCACGCAGGAGCAGGAGCAATCCCAAACGCAGGATTTTCCGATGGGTGTTGCTATGGGTTGAAGTCCGGAGTTGCGGTTAAGGTTGACAGGTTCACGCAGGTCACTGCACCTATCCTTCTAGCTTTGATTGTTTTTTCTACCCACCTTGCTTCTCGTTGCTATTCCGTGACTATCGTATACCAGTACTAGCTATGCTCCTGCTTATGTAAGGGATGAATTCGTGTCTGTCTGCGCTGCGGCTGTCCACCTCGTCAGCGCCCATCCATGTCCATCCGATATGCGCCTATTCCAAATCCTCGTACTGAACCAGACACAAATGCAGAGCTCGACGCAGCTTTCGACGACAGCGACGATGAAGCCATCGACGAGTCCCATCCCTTGCGTCGTCCCACGCCGTCTTCCGAACTGAACCTACCTCATTGGAACGACCATCTGCAGGAGCAGTCGGCTCTGACATACAATTTCGACTCCCCCATTCCAGATTACGACCAACCTCCTCCAGGATCACCACCACCTCCTACTGCTTTTGCATTACCAAATTCCATAGGGAACAACAACGGTATCATCCCCACGTTCACACACAATGACATCCCACGGACACATCCTTCCTGGTGGAAAAGGGCCACCACGTCACTCTTACCAAACTACCTCATCTCCCGCTTCAGAGTCGATGTTTCACCTCGCGGTAGTAGACCCGTGATGGGCGGGGGAACAGGGAATGACGGTGTTTTCAACAACATTGCTGCCAAGCCTTCCACCTCTGGAGTTCGTGTTCAAGATGGTCAGTAGATCGTAATCTTACTTTCATTGCGTGTCGAACAATCCTCATTGGTCGTATGCAGGTGATGACGTCTACATCGTTCCCGAAGAGTCCTCTGCCATTCCTCCGCCTTCCTATGCATCCGCACAGGCAGATGCCGTTCCCCCTTATCACACATCCACACTCCTCCTCCCATCCTCCGATGGCCCTCTCACCCAGGGAAACATCATCGTCGATGCCCTCCCAACGGGTACATTATTTGCATTCCTCTGGAATGCTCTTGTCAGTACCACATTCCAGTTCATCGGGTTCGTCCTCACATGGGTGATGGGTATGACCCACGCTGCGCGATACGGTAGCCGTGCCGGTCTCGGCATTACCCTCATCCAATGGGGTTTGGCTCTTCGTTCACGCTTGGACGAAGTCGGGTCGTGGAACCAGCCGACTTTTGCGACGGCCAAAGAAGCGGATGAGTACTACCAAGACACGAGTCGCTACAATGCCTCGTCCATCGAACAACCGAACGCTCCCAGCGGATCCCAGACAGACGATTTTTCGTGGAAAGGCGACGTCGCCCTTACCAGCCCGGTGGCAACGGAATGGCTCTCATTTTTCCTCATGACAGCAGGTTGGTTTCTCTTGCTGACATCCACCCTTGGATTCTGGCGCGTGAAACGTTGGGAGAAGTCGATTCTCGCACCATCAAATCCGTCGCCTGATCTTCCGCCCCCACCATTGCAAAGTCACGCAAGGTCCTTTTCCGAGGTTGATGCAGACACCGAGATGCCTTGGCCATCATTTCTGGCGCCTATGATGCAGAGCATTGGATCCCACCGATGGTCACGCCGTCGACGAGACGCTCGCGGTGTGAGTGGAGGCGCTGAGGTACAGGAGCAAATAGTTCTGTCCACTGACCCTGAAAGAGCTCGGAGGGCAAGAGATTTTCTTGATAGGGAGCAAGCCATGCATGAAGAATTGAGATCAATGGGGATAGTTTAACACCGACTGGGGGAGGTGGATCTACATAGCTTTGGTTGACATGTGGATACACGAACAGTATACCATGCATGTACTTGGTTTCAACCTGATCATCGACTCGGACACATGGCCCCAACAGAGCACCAGCTGCGCGTCTTGTATACTCTACATTATTTTAGACATCACCATTTTTTTCGAGTACATATGTTATACTGCACATCGTGGGATGTATACAAGAACTATGTGGCTTGTTTGATATAAGCCTTGACACGGGCTACGATCTCTTTAGAAACACCTCCACATTGAATTCTAGGGCAGAACATGGATAGGTGATTTCAAAATTCGACAGCACGGTCGGATGCAGAACGCCGAGGGTGCCTATCTTGATGTCTCTTGAGGAGGGAGGTATAATGGCCCCATTCACTTCATCGGCCAAATGAACAAGCTCAGATTTACGGGCTGGGAGAGGGCGGAAGTAAAGATCGGCAGCTCGGCCAGGGAAGTAGGCTGGATCTATTCAGCGGGAGTCAGCGCTGCGTCAACGCAGTATACAGGGGAGGAAAGTACCATTCCCCTCAACGATGTAGTATCCGCGCTCGCTGGTATGATCCGTGCTCGTGATACGCGGAACTTCGAGCATGCGCATCGCGCGGTCGAGTAAGCCGTGAATAACTTCGAAGCCGGCCGTCTTTGAGCACCACAGTGCAGCAGCATGCCGCTCGTTACGTGCTTGTTTCTCCTGCGTTGCATCTTTGAATACTACATCGGAAACCTCGAACAAACGAATTGGCAGTGCGTGAGAACGGTTCTCACGGACGGTCTTGAGCAAGCCAGGGAGGAGGGAAGTGCGCACGACCTGGAACTCGAGAGTTTTGGGGTTTGCAATTCTCACTGCAAGCGTTCCAGGATCGGGGCGATTCATGAAAGCAAAATTCTCGTCGTGGGAGCACTGACTTGGTGTGTCAATGTCTCATGCACTGAGCTTGAAAGGCAGAAGTCATACCAAAATAAGGGGAAGCGCCTCCACCCACCCAGCCATCGCCCATTCTCGTCGTATAACGTCTGCTAGGCGGGATATCGGCAGCGGCTGCGCAATTGTACTTGTTTTGGGAAAGATGTCCGGAAGGTTGTTGTATCCATACGCAACAGCAGCGTCCTCTACGATGTCGCATTCGTGGAGGATGTCCGGGCGCGTACACGGAATATCAACCGTGATCTCATCCGTATAACCTGGATTAGAAGAAGGTGCAGTATTCAGGGTGAGATTGAGAGTCATCCGCGTAAGGAGTAGGGCTATAGCGGGGACAGAAAGGGAAAGACTCGTGCAGGAGTTGATGTAAGAAGCACGCACTGTCGTAGTGCGTGGGGAGATATCAGGAGATATACGTGCCGATCCATCAGCAAAGACGAGCTTCACGGGCTCGATTCTAAAACAGATGAGCTGGCTGGCATCAAACGAGAGCCATACTCACGTATATGGTTCCTCGCAATACTCTGAAAACATCGTCGCGACCATATTCACAACTATCTGTAGTTTCGTCTCATCTGTGGCGGTCACTTCAATCAACACGTTCCGTGTGTTCAAGGATATTTTGCTGTGCTCCGAGTTGATAATCGGAGGGAGAGAGAGTACATGATCTTTTGAGTCATAAATAATCGGGTACACTGGTGCATCACGAATGATGGGTAGGAAACGGGAGACGTGTTTATCACTCTGTGCCCTTGGTGAGTGATCAAGAAACGGTTTGCTGCATAACAACATACATCGTAGATCGTCATCAGTTCCTTTGCTGTATATTCGACACTCTTTCCAAGTGCCTTGAACTTGATTTTTTCGGGATCACGAGCTTCGAAACGGAAAGGTCCTTCGATTGTATCCAAGTCATGGGTACCAATAGCAGCAACCCAACGACGCCGACCGATATTCTGGTTGAGTTTGTCCTGAAGGTCGATGAAAGACTTGTAGGAACGGGGTGTAAACGCGACGTTTCGCAAAATAGCACATGCGATGAGGGGACGAACATGCTGTGTCTGTTCGAATACGGTGATGAGCATATGCGAAATAAACGCTGTCAGTAGTCGACGTACCTCTGGATGGATGTTCATGGTGATTAAGTTTTGCTCGCCGCCAGGAGGGTAGACAAGTTTGTATTGGGGAGCCTCCTGTCGCTCGAGGAAAACACCCAATGCACGGGATATGCCTTCAATGCAGAGAAGATCATATCTTCAAGCGACGTCAAAATGACTGAGAGCCTAAGTCGATCATATTCTGACCTGTTGGCTGGGACTTCGATCTTGAGTTGCTGGAGGCTACGATGAGACAAAGGGGAACGGATCGCAGAATATTGTACATACCGGACGTTCCGCTGGAAGTCCATTCTTGATCGCTGCTTCTACATCTTCTGTTGTCTATTGCGGGGGCTCGCTCGGACCTGATCGAGAAGAAAAGAAAGAAACACGAACGTCTTCGTCCAGTTCTAATCCATATTCAAAGCAAAGTCTATCAAACTCATCCGTGGCTGCATAGGCGTCGATCAGTGAAATGTATGCAATGGTCAGCGGGCAACGTACTATACTGCTTCCCAAGCCTCTCAAAAAGATCAGCCTTGTCTACAGGAACAGTGGGCATCTTGGAGAACTAATTGACCTCGGCTACTGGTGACGACGGCAATTGCGAACTAACGCGATACAAATCTCGCGCGAAACTTGGAGTTATCTTCTGAGTCCGAGTCAGGCAGGGAGGTTCCCCCCGGACACCCCTCGCCTAGACCGGGGTCTCACAACATCCTGTTCTCGACTGTACGGTACGCTTGTTCAAAAGTAAGTCATGACACGTTCCTCTCCTGCAGTCGACCTGATTTGTTTCTAATGTGAGGAATGCGACCGCTTTTTCACTTACTCGCCACACTCTGGCTTTGTTCCGCATTGCAGGCGTACGCCGAGGATGCACCTACACAACTCTACATTCATCACCGTGTGGTCCATCCAAATCTCCCAGTAACATACTGGTCCAATTTTGGGTCCATTAGTATTCCTCACCCATCCTCCATTTTGCCGTCTGGTACGCCAGTGACATTCACCCCATCCGAAACCTTGCTCGATGACCTATCCGAGTTCGCGGAGAGCGTGGATCCAGCGCTCGAGGAGTCTCTATACCAGGTAGCCGTGGGGAGACCTGAGCTATCAGAAGGGATATGGCCTATGTCAGTCATGAAGGGCGTGAGTGTAGCGTCTTCGGCCCTACGGTTCCAAATTGAATAAAGTCAAGTGTCTGATGTTGACGTCGACGTCATCCAGTATCACAATTCACCTTTCTCCCTCTGGCGAGGTGTTGGGACTAGACTATTTTCTCTCGTCTGTTCCCCCGAACGGTTCATGCCCTCCGTCCTCGGAAACGACTAACTCCTACCCGGTGCACAATACGACCGTTTTCGTCAAGATACCCAGCTCACCGCCGTCGTATGTCATAATTTGGTGTTGCACACTCACAGCTGTTGATGCCTTTCGTAGACCAAGGCTACGTGCGCCACCTCCCTTGACACCAGAAGGTGTACCGGTTTCCCCTGTCCCTGAAAAGACTTTCTTGCAAAAGTATTGGCTATACATAGTTATAGCCCTTGCTGCCCTGCGTATGTATCGACTGATGTATCTTACTGGACAAAATCTAACATTACGTCTAGTGATTTCAGGACCGCCAGAAGAACCTGCGGCAAGCGGGAATGGACCCAAGGCTGCGAATTGACTGGACAGTTGCGAAAACTCCATGTCCGGAGCTGTGGGGTTGTAGTCGGAAGGGATGTCTCATTTTTGACCCAGTTGTTAGCTTCAGTAGAGAGACTGGGACGGCGTGCGCAGCTCCATCTACGATATTTCCCCGAGTTTGCACCGAGACTGGTGCGGAAGGCTGTTATCCAAATCTGTGAGTGACTGGGTTCACATGCCATGCTCGTGGTGAGGTCCGTAGGGCGATTGAGATAACTACACATGGAGATCCGCAGCCCACTAGCCGAAGATGCCTGCTTTCATTCGTCCAGCAACGAGGGCCGACGAGCCAGCGCTCTCCAGAATCTGTCTTCTGACAGCCGATGCTGGTGTCTCTGCTGAGGGTATACATGCTTACCCTGAGCTTCCTGGACTGATCTATGCTCTCCCCTACGTTAACCTCCCCGGTACCTGGGCATTCCTCCTCGTTGATAAGCCTCCTGAGGATAGTGAGAACGAAGACGTGGTGGGATATTGTATCGGTTCGCTCGACACTCGCATCTTCGAAGCGGCGGCATCTGAGAGATGGTGGCCGCCCCTTCGCGCCCAGTTCGGGCCTCTCTTGGAACCCAACCAACGGGTAGAGCCCCCGCTCAAGCAGGCGGACCGCACGTACATTAACACCATTCTCAACTTCACCCCAGCATCTGACGCTCAGATCAAGTTCTCTCCTGCACATTTACACATAAACATTTTGCCTTCACATCAGAATAAGGGGTATGGAAAACAACTAATTGGGAGGGTGATACGATATTTGAAGGAGCAAGGCATGGCAGGGGTATGGTTACAGATGGACTCCAGGAATGTGAAGGCAGCGGGCTTCTACTCGAGACTTGGGTTCGGCCTTGTTGAGGGCACGCCTCCAACTGTAGTAGGAATCACAGTCGAACAGTGGGAAGAGAAGTGGGGGGAATTGGACAACGAGCCATCTCATTAGTAGTCTACGGTACTCGCCAATGTCTGATTCTTCGTTTTACCTGCTGGTATCATCACTCCGGTTCAGCTTGAACACCAAGTTACCCTCCTACACCACTTATATACCGGGTTGTCTTCATGCGCTATTGGTCTAAAACATGACAGCTGGCGAAGTCTCTACACCCTCGATCGACGTCTTGTGACCGACGAGGGTCCTTATGTTATTGATGCCATATCTGTTCAAGGTCGATTAGCATCTGCTGGGATAGGATACGCATGCTGTCTCACCGAATCATCGTTGGCCGCTCAAGGCTGATACCCCAACCGTGCACGCGCACATCCTTCGGCAAGCCCATGGGCTCCAGCATTTCCGCGCGAAACATGCCGCTGTTCCCAATTTCCACCCACTTTTGTAGCATGGGGTGGAAGGCGAATATCTCCAGCGACGGCTGCACCGCCGGTAAATAAATTTTCATGTATTGTCAAGAACACCCACCTCTGTGTATGGGTTATAGGCCGGTTTGAACCGCAGATCCGTCACACCCATTTTCTTAAAGAAAACTCTCATAAACCCTGTGACGAATCTGAGGATTGGTGACTCCCTTAGACCTTTGCCAACTCACCGATCAGGTCAGCCAACGTCAAATTTCTGTCAGCAACTACTCCCTCCACCTGATGGAACTCTGCAAGGTGTGTTGCGTCCATTGTTTCATTTCTGAAAACCCTGTCAATACTGAAGAGCTTTGCAGGACGGAATCCATCCCCTCCGGAGTCGCCAACGTTTCCATGTTCGTCTATGGTTTCCCCTCTGCACCTCGCGGCTAACTTGTACAACATCGCACCTGAAGTCGCAGTTGTGTGTGTACGTAGGAGAAGTTTATGCGACTCCTCGTCCGACCATGGTGTCCGATAGCCAATCGATCCATAGCCGCCTTTCTCATGTACGGTGGCTACCCTCTTGTAGTAATCTTCAGGTGGTCTTAGGGATGTCGAAGGGTCTACAGAGGTATTCTAAGCGGCGGTCATCGATTGAAAAGAAAACAAACCAGAAAGGTAGAAAGTATCTTGGAGTTCTCGTGCTGGATGGAGCTGTGGCACGAACAAAGTATCGAAACACCAGAACCCGGACTCGACAAAGGAGTTCGTCGGCATTTCCTCGAAACTGGGATAACTTTTCTTAGCACGAGAAAGTAATTCCGACCACCAAGACGTACCCCATTTCAAAAAAGATATTCCGAATTTCTTCTCGCACCTTTAGAAGTGGGTGGAATGCTCCGCCTGACGTGGGTATTCCATCCGCTTCGAAATTGTATTTCTTGAACGTGGCGCTCTTCCATGACCCTCTTCTGCGCATTAGTACTAGATCAAGAAGCTATCGTAAGACGCACGATGTGAGCATATCAACAGTCAAATCTGTCTCGGGTTTCGCAATCGACGTGCTGAAATTGGGACCTTTATGGACAGTGAACCATTGACCTTTCCTAAGACCCGGGTTGATACAGTGCTGTGTGGCTCGATATGGAGATAAAGTACCTTTGGACGATCAACTTCCGTTTTCTTAGTTCTGCGACGGCTTTCTCGCCAGCCTTCAAGGTTCCTGTAGAATCCACCTCACGCAACTCTAGTTGAGTAATATCTTGAATGGTAGGTACCTGAGCGATGCGTTACAAGAAAAATGGCAGAAGTCGAATCAATCAACCCACCGCCTTCACGAATCCGCTGCCCTCTTTTGTGATCCACCCGTTCTTGAAAGCACGGCTTTGCCCCACTTTCGCGGCTTCGTCGCCGATCTTTCTTTTAAGGTCTTGTACACCAATGGGTTCCCCTTCGCCCTTAATCGGTAGGGCTGCCCAGACACGCGCCTCATGAGAACCTTGAAGGACAATTTGTGCACCTTCTGGTGTGAGCACATGGGAAGACGTCTCATGTGTTTCGTAGGATATCATCTACAGAATCGCAACTAAGAAATGAGCGTGCACGTCGCAGTGGATCACCTCTATGTACCTCGCGACTTTGCAGAGAGTTCAGTGCACCGAGGACGGCGATCTGAGCGTCCTGACTAGCTGCAGAGCCCGTTTGTCCAGGGATGACGAGTGCCCTCGTATCATGGATGACTGAAAGCTGATTTAGCGTATCCAATATAAGCTGCTGGAGAGCTTCAGCCATGGTGGTTTCGTTGCAGTGATTGAGTGGGCGAGTCAGGTTATTTCATCTCGACTGCACGTGATCTTATGAGGTTGACTCCCGCTAATACTGGCACTGATATTGGTAGTGTAATACACCATGACCAGCAGGGTTCCGTCGAGCTCTCCGTGGCCCGCGAGATGGCAGGAAGCCTGGGATGCTTCTCAGCCAGCGTTGGACTCGATTCGAGGTTCACTGAGCTCGCATGACGCACCAAGTCCTCGTCCCCTTCGCGTCAACCAAATGGACTCCGAGCTCCTAGATCAACAATTGGTACATCTACTATGCGAGCCTCTGCAAAGGGCTCTCGGAATCGCGAACGTACGAAGTTCCCCGTGCATTACGCTTGTTCTGACAATTGCAACAGGCAGCACTAAAGACACGCTTTGAGCCGGAATTGACCTTGCTCGTTCAGGTCGTCCTTTATAAGTTCTCGGTCTGGAATCTCGGGGCGACCTATGGGGCAAAACTTCAAGGCCTTTCGTATAGTGCTCCAATAGACGCAAAAGGTCAATTAGCCCGTAAGCACCAGTATTGACCGCATATGCCATGCTAAGATGAACAATCCAAAGCCTCGGGACTTCGGCAGCGCACACTCATCATGCATGGCGCTCTCACGATATTGTTACCTTACTGTTACAATCGCTTAAGGACTGGTGCACTTTCTAGAGCTTGGCCTGATGCGCCATCAAGTGACAAGCGACGCATAGCTTGGAAAACCCTCGCGCATCTTGAGACCACTCATGCACTGGCTGCTCTCCTTAATACAATGGTTTTCCTATGGAATGGCCGGTGAGTCATGAGGCAGCCGAACTACTGATATACCTACCCTTCAGCAACAGGTACCGCAGTTTGGCCGATCGTCTTTTGAACTTGTCATTGGTCTCCACGAGAAGTAAAATTACGCGGGAGGTCAGCTACGAGTTTATGAACCGCCAGATGGTCTGGCATGCTTTTACAGTAGGCTCTACTTCCCCTGAACCCATCCCCACGTTCATCACTCGTGGATAGGAATTCCTGCTCTTTTTGGTTCCTCTCATAAGCCCAAGGACCCTCCAGCGGCGCTTTGCGAAGCTCTTATCACGCCTGACGTCCGCAGTTCTCCCATCTTCCAGTGACTACAAGGTCCAGCAGCGAAAACGTGGCAAATACGAGACACTACCAGCAGATCAATGTGCGATATGCGCGGAAAATGCATCATATACACTGGGTCTCGGTTACTCAAACACTCTAACGACTTTGGCGCCCTATTCCTCTGCCCAGGAGAGTATCTCCCACCCTGCCTCAGTCGACGAAGTACCTGCATTTCCGATTTATACCCCATACATCACGTCATGTGGGCACTTGTACTGTTATTATTGCATCTCTGAACGCATGATGCGTACGGCTGATGAGGGGTCGGAGACTGGCTGGGAGTGTCTGCGATGTGCAGAGCATGTTCGAAGCGCCGACAGGTGGGAAGCAGAGGTGTCGGTGGCCAGGGATTCCGCCTCAGGGAGTGATTACGAGTTCAGCAGCGAGTTCGGTAACACTGACCTTTCAGGAAGTGTTAGCAGCTACTTGGGATCTTTAACGGAGTAGACATAATAATCAGACTACAAATATCCCTTCCTTCTACAGTCTGAACCATGCTGCAGGTATAGTTACATGACAGCCCTCTAATTTGACTTGCTAGCTTTCATCATGTCAACAAGATTTCTAGTGCTAGAAGTGAGGACGACAGCGTAGCGAGATTCGTGCAATCTCTTTCCTGCCTTGACGCTATCTGTCACCCACTCAGGTTTAACAACGTGCACCAAATTGCGGCGCTTAGATGTGAGAAGCTTGTGTGTCTTTGACCCACTGAGCTGTTGAGACGTCAATATATGTGTCGCCCCGTTCGGTGTCAGTCTTTAGACGGCATGAGTACGTGGTCCACATGCAAACCAGGACCGTGCCACGCACAAGGTCGTTCCCCCTGCGAGGGCGACGATGTGTTTCATCTCGATGTCTGTGGTACCGCTAAGGTAACCACTAATATACACCCGAACACCCCGCAAGACGCCAGTGGTAGGCTCTTCCTTGCTTTGAGCAGCTAGTTTCCTGTTTCGATCGTCGAAGTATTGCCTGGCACCGCAGTGTCCCCTCCGCTCGCCGCGTTGATGTCCATTGGTAGCGGACACCACAGTGTCTGGAAATATGAGAGTCGCGATTACGTGTTGTTCACGAGTGACGGATATATACACACCGGATCGCTCGTATATGTTGGAGTGAGTGATCGGATTCGACTCATCCGCCAGAGTGCGCAGGAGGTGCTTAGTTACCTCCAAGTTAGATGGTTTCTTCCCGTCGGAATAAAGAGGGGCAGAAATCCTGGATGGCGTAAATTGACGAAACGAAAAGATGCGCCACAGAAGTCACCGTGCTAGTCGTTGCTTGTCTTCGTCAACCTTCTCAAGTAAGGTGCGACGAGGATAGGGGCTCGGAACGGTTTTCTTGGGTGGTGAAACAAGAGCTGGTTTTCTAACAGTTATATACTTGTCCATGATGGTAGCATGTATGGTACAACCTGCGGAATGCCGCCTCACGCGGTGGGTGGTGGTAGTGGTGGTTCGAGGACGCGTCTCGACATCGACGCGTGAGACCACGGTTTCACGTGATTTGGTTGTTATATTGCTCCGAGTCACCCGAAGGCACCTCGCGGACGAATAAGCACTGGGCTGACCAAATTAAACCACTGATGCGCGGCAGTTTCTTCTTCTTATCCTCCCATAGATTCCCCTCATTGTTATATCTGAAACGCTTTCTTCGTTGCAGGACAATGTCTACCCGGAGTTACCACGATGCAATAGAACACCTTAATTCATTGCAGACAAACGCTGCTGCTCTTGAGGCTGCCAGGGCTGCCGGTCCCCGTCTTAACCCGAATGCGATACCCGAGATGATCGAGTTTTTGGAGAGAATTGAATACACTGTACTGCTCGTTCCGATGTCATGTTCGCTGCACCTCATATGTGCTTGTCTAGTGCGAAGATCTTAACACACTCAATGTTATCCATATCACGGGCACCAAGGGAAAAGGGTCTGCCAGCGCTTTCACGGATTCGATACTTCGGCATGCGAAGCCAAACTGGAAAGTTGGTATGTGTACCGCCTTCCGTCGATCGCTCTTCTCCCTCACTCGGTTTTCTAGGCTTGTACACGTCTCCTCATCTCGTTGCTGTTCGGGAGCGAATTAGAATTAATGGAAAGCCACTGTCGGAGGAAGATTTTGTAAAGTATTTTTACGATGTTTGGGATCGACTAAACAAAAATGGTGTAAGTGTGTTCTGTGTATTAGTATCACTAGATACGTTTACCTTGTGTGTAGCCAAAAACCCCTGATTTCCCGGTCATGCCCAACTACTTCAGATATCTCACCCTCATGGCTTTCCACGCATTCATGTCAGAGAAGGTACTCTAGAAATTCTAATACTTGTATTTCTTGATCATGCTGGTGGTTAGGTTGACGCAACGATTCTCGAAGTCGGTATCGGAGGAGCTGGTGATAGCACCAATATCGTACCAAAACCAATCGTCACGGGCATAACTACTCTCGGTCTAGACCATACCGCAGTCCTTGGTAAAACCATCGGTGCCATTGCATGGCAAAAGGGGGGAATATACAAGGCACGAATCAAAATCTCAAAATTATTTCGACGTTGACGTTTCGTCAGAAAGGAGTCCCCGCACTGAGCGTTAGTCAGCCAGAAGAAGGAATGGAAGTCCTCAAGAAGAGAGCCGAAGAGTTGCAAGTATGTATCCACGCTTGTCTGGATCGATTTGCTGACATTCTGTCCACAGGCAGCTTATTTCATGGAAGTCCCTTCCTTACCAGGAAGCGGATCCATAAAACTCGGTGCAGGCTTTAGTTGTGGTTCAGCTTTTGACGTCACTGATAACCATTAACTACGAAAAGGTTTGGCTGGTGAACATCAAATTCAAAACGCAGCTCTCGCTGTTCAAATGGCACATACCTTCCTACACTCAGTGGATGCTTCCGGACTTCGACCTGAGCCACTCTTGCAACTCCCGGAACCATTTCTTGCTGGCCTAGAATGCACCAGGTGGCCTGGTCGCTGCCAGACAGTGCTCGACCCAAAATTTCAAGATACAACCTGGTACCTTGATGGAGCGCACACTGCCGAAAGTTTGTCTTGTTGCATGCAGTGGTTTGTCCAAGCAGGTCTTGGGTTGAAGTAAGTCCGCTCCTTTCCAGTCTCGCATTTGAACACTCCAGTGACATTCTCTGTTAGGGAACCACAATCCACTCGTGTCCTGATATTCAACTGCACTAGCGGGCGTTCTGGCCCGGCATTCTTAGGTACCATCCTGAAGAAGACAAAGGAGTTACTTCTGCGACAGGGGCGTGAAGAAAAAGTTGAGAATTTCTTCAGTCACGTCATTTTTTGCAGCAACGTCACGTACGCAGATGGTCATTTCAAGGGCGGTAAGGCTCCTTATATTTTAGCACAACATCTTATTGATACCTCATAGACCTGACTTCACGTGCTTTGTCAAATGCTGATCTTCTGCACCTTACAACACAGCATGAACTTGCTGCTACCTGGTCTCAGCTAATTCCTACATTCCCCTCCGATGCCATCCACGTCCTCCCATCCATAGAGCACGCCATTCAGACTGTGCGCAGGGTTTCAAACGCCGAAAGGATCGACGTCCTTGCGACCGGTAGTTTGCATCTCGTAGGCGGCGTTATCGAGGTGGCTGGACTAGCCTTGGTTGCCCTTTGATATAGACCTTGTTCAACACGTTATATATCCTTATTCGTGATGGTAATGGTCCATGTACATTTTATCAACCTCCGTACCGATGCCCTCGATTATCGAGGTACACGCGTCAAGTATTCTTGACTTCCACTCCTACATCACGAAATGACATCGGAGAATTGCGCGGTAAAAGGACAGGCTGGACAGGTAAGGTATATTTCATGTCGAGTTCTTCCAGCACTGTCTTCAGGTGTCGCATAAAGTCATTCCTACGTGCCCATCTTCCCCCCCAATCCTGCCAGTTCGACCGATCTAGAATAGGCGGTCAGGTTTCCCTATGGCAGGCTTTTGGTGGGTAAACCGCTCACGCTCAACACCGATCGTGAGGTGAATTGCGTTCTGATATTCCATTTTGTCGATATTGACAGCACAGTTGGACCATTCGCGATTGTTGTTGGCCACATATGCTTGAACGCGCTGCCTCAACTGTTCCACAATTTCCAATGGTGTACCATAGGATATCATGATAGTCGTGCTCTCCCACCTATCGGAATGCAAAACGCATACGTCAATAAGGATCAGTAATCAAGAACAAGAACCATTGACATGGAGTTACTGCGGCGCATGTTATGAAGAAGCTTGGTGCTGGATAAAAGTGAATTTGGCACAATAATCTCCTGACCATCAACCCTGCGGAAGACGGTGGAGAACAACCCGAATTCTTTGACGAAGAGATACTAAACCAAGTCTGTTAGCGTTTGACACCGACATTGGACTACGAGGATAAAACCTGGTCGTCGATCATGACAAGGTCGCCCACGTCGAATACATGGGTGGAAAAAATGAAGATAAGCTAAAGATAGGAATTAGCCGAGCTTAGCAAAACCACACGCTACCCACATACCGACTCGAAGAGGGTCTGAGCGGAGTGGCCGAAAATGAATGAAAATCCGAGGATGATAGTAGCAAGGGGAACCAAGGATGTAATCGTGTTGTTTCGGTTGAATATAAGAAGACAAGCGAAGAGAATGCCGAGCAATGCGATACAAACAAGAACTGCGTCGAGTTTCGCCACTGCAGAACTTACGTCCTGCAAAGCCACGTAAATTAAATTAAGAACAGAGGCAAATCAGTGGGCGCAACCTTCAAGCTAGCCGTCAACGCCTTTCTTTCCTTGTAAATTCTTTGGACGGCTTCCCTCATCTCTCTTTTTGAGATGTCACCGTTACCATCTTTATCAAAGATGGCAAATGCCGCATGCTTGACTGCAGTCAGTAAAGTTATCCCGAATATGAAACAAGATCATCGCATACTGCTTCAGCAGTGGAACGGAAATAAGGGTAGAAATCTTGCAGGACCGGAGTAAGCCAGGCGAATAGTATACAAGTCGGTTGCATACCTTCCACGACAAGGTACGACCGCCCAGGACTTGTAACACTCAAAGCGCTGAACAATTTCCTTGCGAGTTTCCGCGCAGAGGCAAGGCCACTGAGTTCGCCACCCTTGTAAAACTTGGAGTTCTTCAAGGCGACCTGACCGATGGCGCCTCCTACATGATCAACAATCACAGTCGCCAAAAATTTGCGTCTCCGACGCTTGATCTCTGCGCGACTACGCTTCCTTTCGGGAAGTAGGTGTTCATTGTGTTCCCCTGAACCAGTTGGTTCACCCTTCTGTTGTGCTGTGTCCAAATTGGACACGTCCAACGAGTTTCCAAACGACGAAGCTGCGCTTTTGTGGCCTTTTTTGCCATACGGTGTCTTCTTCGGAATTGGTGCAGCCGTGGCATTTGACAGGTGGTCCAGTGCCTTCAAGCCCAACCGGTTCTCAGCCAAGCGATCAGCCAGAGCGCGTTCGTGGAAGTTGATCGCAACAAATCTCAAAAAAAGTTTCTCCACAAAGAGAACAACACCAGCAGTGAAGAGTGCCTGTTTAAAGACCACTTGTGACGAAGATAGCCCAAGTAAGGAAGAGAAGTCATACCTGCATGATGCGGTTGATGATAACCCAATAAGAACCTGGGGGCTTCCATACACTTCTGATTACCGACAAAGCTATCCAAGCCCATGAAATGTCTAGCAAAAGCTTTAGCCATGCGGAGACTGCGAGTGTCAGCTGCAGGGTAGCAGGTAAGGGAACTAAGAAATCAACAGTACTCGTGGACCTGCCTCTATTTGTGTCTTGAGACGCTCCACCTGACCCCCAAGCAAAAAAATGATCGTAACAACTGTCCTGGGAATGGCGTCGACGACGAGGTATGTCACGCACGACGCAGCCCATATAATTGACAACCACAACGACCACGCGCGAACTTGAGGGCGTACGGTAGAGTTACTGTGAAACCGGATGTCCACGACCAATAAAGGAGTAATAAGGATCGCTGTCCCAACGATACCGACCAGCAGGGTTCGGACAGGACGGGCCAACTTCATAAACGCGAGCCAGAGAGCCCTGCCCCTTCTAGCTTTCGTTCCTTCGTGGGTTCCTTCGGCGGCAGAGGGCTCTTCTTCGTCCCAATCAAACTCATCGGACGTGTTCGTCGAACTCGAGTCCGAATCGACACCGTCGTTAAGGAAGCCGGATTCTGTGCCCGTGTCTTCACGACATATCCCACTGTCGTCATCTTTCAGCTTCTGCCCACTGGTCAGGTTGGTGTCGTGCTCAGAGGGCGGCTGTTTTCCTAGCATGAGAGTGTGTCAAACAGGTTACAGAAAAGGGCTGGCCGACGACTGGGAACTTATGAGTGGCTACGGGTGGCTACGAGGACTGCGAGCCCCACTTCGCGTGCCTCGATATTACAGTAACTACGTAAGCGAACGGGTGAGGTTTCAGCCTGAAACAATAATGCTGAACAGTAGTCCTAGATCCTGAAAACCACTGTGGAATCCAGATAGCAACGACGCATGCCTTGTGGTGTCAAATAAGTTGCCATCCCTGCAGTTCGGGCCACAGGAACCTGGTACTAGCCGCTCGTCTGACTCTTGAACTGAACTAGTAGAAGAAATATAATTCTTGTAATAGATATGGCCTTATGGCAATCCTTGTATTTCCTGGTGAGGGAGAAGGTAATCACCTGCACTGAGTAACGGTCAGTGCCCGAAAAATAAATAACGAGCATACCATTGCAGGGTTGTAGTAGGCGTCCAACATCCGACTTGTCATCCTCTTCCCACCCAGCGCGCTTTCCCCGAAAGCCTGAGTTGACGGGGGAGCTTCCATGACTTGTGTCTGTAACACCTTTCCTTGACGGGAGGGCGTATCCTTAGCGTTACCACTGCGGCGGGCGAGCATACTTGTCCCAAATTGTTGCGTCGGTTGAACCTCGTCTGAGTCGGTGCACGAACGATCGATATTCACTTTTTGTGGGGCCACCAGTTGTCCGAGAAGATCCCTCGCCTTGCCAAGGATACTTTCCCGGGTTTCTGGAAGGGTCTTGACCGTGCTGACGACGTGTTTTCGTTTGTTCCTTTTTCCAGGTTCTGCAGAGACAATAGCGTCCATAAGAGTAGTGGCACTCTGGCCGTGAGCCCCAGTAGATATTTGACGCTCGTTCGCGTGCGGCGGGGTTACATTGACTTCCTTATTGACGAGAGAGAGGAGTGTAACTGCGGAAATCGCGTGCCTCTTAGCGCACATTTCTATGTGGGTTCTCTTCTGTTTGACAGTCTTCTTAGCTGTCCACTGCAAACCGCAACATACACATTTGGTAAGTGCTGAAATCTTCGCGCCTGTGGGTTCGCCTGACGGTTGTTTTGGGAATTGGCCCGTTTCTACATGGGATCTCGACGGTGTCGAGGAAGAATCAGGCTGACGTTTAGGGAACGACGAATCGTGGGACGGTACACGATGTCTGAGTGGCTGATATGCAAACTGGCAAAGTTGCATGCAGCTAAGTTCGTCCACTTCGTCGTGTTCCTCGGGATGACATTCTTCAATGGTTGTGATTAGAGGAAGTGATGGACAGTTTCTATTCAGTGTCGGCTGCTGGAGTGTACCGACGTTGGGGACGCTTGGCTCTCGAAATTCGTTACGCTCTACACGTGAAGGGGGGAAGTTCTCGATATTAGTTACACTGCGCACCTGTTACGTAGGACATACCCTCTTCCGAGCTGCGACCACCTGTGGTATTCCTCCGCTCAAGTTTCGTTGTCGATCGTTGATCTGTACGAGACATGCAGAAGATCCCAATGGATCGAGGTAACGCGCCGCACCAATTTGGCAATGTAGAGAACCTGGTAATGAAGAAGGTTCCTCGGTGCTTTCGCACTGCACCAGTACTGCTGGTCTCCGTTCCACTGTACTTGTCGTTGACTTGCGATGGTGTTCTCGACGCTGTCGTCTGCGTTCTTCTCGTTCAGGCTCAGAATCTTCGACGACGTCTTGTTCGTGTTCTCCCAGCTTTCTCTTCATGTTGGTGTAAGACAAGTCACAGGGGCCAGTGAAGAGACGCGTTATTTAACCTTGTTTGGTGTAGTCCATCCCGTTTCCAACGCGTTACTACAAGATTTAGTGACTCTGACCCACACTGAAATTGCATGCTCGTTTGAGGACCCCTCATCATGGGCAGTAGCACGAACCCACAGGACAGTGTCGTCAATCGTCAAGAGCTGTTAGAAATCGTATATGCCGCATCGTCACAGATCCCCGCCCAGGTCCAGGCATCCACAGAACGGCTGAAGACGCTACTCGACAACGTCGGCACCTATGATGCCCTCCATGAGATTGCTGCTGAGAAATCTCTTCCGTTACAAGTGAGACAGCAAAGTATCATCCAATTTAAGAATTCTGCATTATCGCATTGGCGATCAAGGAAGTACGTCCACCGTTTTCTTTGCGGTGGTCCCTTGGCCAATGTGCTATTGCCAGACTCCTGTCGGAGGAGTATCGTAATCGCATCCGTGCGCGGTGTATGGTTTTCCTGAATGAAGAGGATGACCTTGTGCGTAAACTTAAACACCCGCTCTTGCACCTTTCTAAACCTTTGCTTTCAGATTGCAGAGTGTAATGAGGTGATCGTGGCAAAGATAGCGCGACTCGACTATCCACATAATTGGTATGTTTTGTGTCTCAAATCGCGATTCCTATTAGGCCCATATCAGTTGAAAGGCCCTCTCTCCTAACCGACCTCCTCTGCATCATCGAGAGTACCCTCCAGTCCTTATGCACGTCGTCATCGGCGAGCATGTTGTCAACCCTCGCGTTGCGTCGTGCGCTCAAAGTTCTAAATGCCGTTTTAAAGGAAACATCCAGCATGAAAATGTTGACGGGCGTAAAGACGATGGGAGAGGTGCGTCCTTGCCAAATACTTTGGTTTCTACCCTGTTCATTGCATGCATCAGATCACAAATCGACTATGTGGTGTTTTCCTCACATATTACTCTGAGTTATGTCGTTCCCAGTTATCACCTATTCTGTCTCCCCTTCATCCAGCCGTACTATCTGGAGAGCACACCCTTTGCATCATTGTAGTAGCTCATCTCATCTACAAGTGCCTTGTCAAGCTGGCTTTGTGGTCTTGGCCACGAATAGTGAGGCGTAGCAAGGATGACCTGCAGGATCTCCAAGTATGGGTATGTCTGTGTTATGTTTATGAACAATTCCTCTGGTAACATCTGCCGGAAGTTCTTGGAGCTCTTTCAGAGTTCCGTGGCTCAACTCAAACTACTTTCAGAACAGCGGATTAGCTTTGTGCTTGCGCTCAGGTCATTGCCCGATCCCGATCCTGTCGCGGTTGCAACAATCAATAGCTTGACACGTCATGTTCGGATCTTCGGGAAATTCTTTCGCAGGTTGCAACAGTTAGAGCCCGCTAAATTTGTCGAGCTGCCTACGTGCAATGCAATGGTTTTGTATTACTGGGAAAAAGTGGTCCAAGCCGCCAATGGATCTTCGGACATGATAAAAGGTAAAGTTCAGTTCCATATTCAATTGTTCGAGGTTCTTGAGTGACCTTGTTAGATGCTTCGGATGCCGTTTTCCCCGTCCGGTTCCTTGTACAAGCCATGGTTCTCTTCAAGGAAAATCTTGCGAAATGGACTCCATTCCGCAAAGGCGGTCCCGTCTCTGAGACTAGTACAGATTGTTTCTGGGATGATCTCCCCCTCGCTGATGTGCCCTCCCCAGCACTTTCACAGCAATTCGTGGAAGACGCGGTTCGGCTGCTGGTTACCCGGTTCATTCCACTCAATCCCACTGATCTAGAAGGTTGGATGTCTGATCCTGAAGAATGGGTAAGCGAAGAGGACAAGGAGACTGATCACTGGGAATATGAACTGCGCGTAGGTCTCGTCTCGCCCCTGGCCCCTGCATGACGTCTGAGACTTGTAGCCTTGTGGCGAGCGCGTCCTCATGACGCTGGCCTCACAATATCGAGACTACGTCGTTCCTCTGATGGTGACAACATTCAAAGATGTCGTCTGTAGGACCCTATTTTTCCCCCATGCGACACTGGAGTCTGACGTATTTACAGCGCAACCAACAACCGACCTTCAGAGTATCATCCAAAAGGAGGCAATATATTGTGCCATAGGGCGATGCGCAACGCGGCTTCGAGATGTTATACCGTTCACTGAATGGATGCAGCATTATCTGGCGGTTGAGGCAAAAGAACGCAATCCCAAGTACGTCGAATTTGCCTATGTCGGACATTGCATTAACAAGAACAGTTTCCCTATTATCAAGCGTCGCATCGCCTGGTTAATCGGAAAATGGATCGGTGACATGGGCACTCCTGCTGCAGATCCAATTGTATGGGAAGTCCTCATCCACCTTCTCAGCGACAGGGGGGACGGTACAGATGCCGTTGTCCGATTCACGGCCGCGAATGCCATTCGGGAATGTGTTGATGTGAGCGAAAATCACCAACCGTTGCTTATAGCCTTCTAATAACGAAGAAGACCGTCAGTTTTGATATCACCGTCTTTGCACCATTTTTGCCAGTTGCTGTCACAGAACTCGTCAGACTCATGCACGAAGTTGATACCATGGAGATGAAGCGACGGCTCGCCAAGAGTCTAAAGGTTATTATAGAACAAGCAGATTCGCAGATCGTGCCCCACATCGAGATGATTGCTGAAGGCATCCCAGGCTTATGTATGACATATCTTAGCCGTTGAAGCGTTGTTAACCAGACCTTCAGGGACTGCTGCGGGGGAAGAGTGGTTATTCAAAGCTCAGCTGCTGGTTGTTGTTGCGAGCTTGATTACGGTATGCCGATTGAGGTTTTTTTTCTCTCGTCAAAACTAACTCCTCCAAGTCTGCCAAAGAACATTCGTCAACCCTTGTGCCGCTCGTGATTCCTCTAGTCCAGGACGGCTTGAGTCCAGGGGTAAGATAGATACCGCATACAGTATCGTGCGGTTGCTTAAAATGGCTATGAAGGTTGCAGTTCACCTAGACGAAGATACTTTAGGTCTCTGGCTCGCAGCACTTCGAAATGCTCCGACGCTACAGGGAGTCTCGGGTCCTAGCCTTCTGCAACTGTTCCCCCTGGCTATCTCACTACTAGTGGGCAACCTGGATCTGTTGGGAAAAGTGATACTTATTGTTGAATCGTATCTCTTCGTCGACGCGCCTCTGGTTTTACAGGCAAGTTGGCAAACAACCCCATTCTCTGTCACTCACGTTATGCAGAATTTCGCCTTGGAGCTTTTGAATGCCGTTGCGAACGCATTGACAGGTCAAGCGATAGAGACAAATCAGAGAGGAATTATAACCATCATGTGTTACATGACGCAGTTGGCACCGTCCTCGTTTTGGGCGGAAGCACTTCATAACTCGGGCATTTTCAATCATGTGGTTAAACTTCTTCGCGACGACGAGGTATGCCACCCAGAATAATGATCTAACGTGGTCTGTTGACGGGCCTTATTTAGTGTTCTTCCGCTGTATTGACGGACTGCGTCTTCGTTCTTGCGCGTATTGCGGTGGCTGATCATGAAATGTTCCTCCGTTTGGTATCTGCTGCAGCCCAGGTCAGTAGTGTTCCGGAAGATAAGATATGGGAGCCCATTCTAGATCAATACTGGAGACAAGTACGTCTGTCACCACCAATTTTATTTCGTTCATCAACCACTTCCCGTAGTTTGACCACATGTCCGAACCGCGACATCGTAAGCTGGCAGCAATGGGTATCGCTGCTCTCGTTTCGACGGGCCGCAGTGAAGTACTTGATCGTCTTCCCAACGAGATATTCAATCTCTGGACTGATGTCTTGTACGAAATAAGGGAGAGCTTGCGAGTGGCGGATGGCGACGATGATGGGTAAGCTTTGCGTAGAAAGCGTCGCATATCCTTCCATCTGATTGAGTGATGGCAGCCTGAAACTCTACTGGGATGTGGATGTCGCGCCAGACAGCTACTTCGCTGGATCTCGAGACACATTGGAATATGATCGCAGGAAGCAGGTCAGTGTTCTTGCAGAACCTAGCAGAATCATGCTAAGCTCTTCTACAGGTTTTCGAGCGCGACCCCGTTCGCACAGTGCAGCTCACATCGTACTTGACTAGTGCCCTTCAGGCGGCGGAAAGGGCTTGTGGAGGCGCACAAGTTTTCAAGGAAAAATACTTGGATAAAACAGATCCCACTGTGCTGACGCAACTGAAGACGTCGCTTGCAGGATAATCGACATGCATGAATGACATGTATCACTTGTACTTACTGTATCGCCATCATTTGAATCGACCAGGTTGCACATCGACTACGTAGGCAATTCGAGTCCAATGAGAAGTATTACAAACAGAACTGAAGTTGCATACTGTGAATGAAGTACTACCTGATGAGTGATCACATAAGCTACAAGTTGTTTTGAAGCACTCGAAGGATATTGTTCTGTTTTCCATGACATCCCTTGGAACTGGCATCGTTCCTGCTGTGTGCCCTAACAATACGACAGAAAAACCACCCGGAGCGAATGAATGCGACAAAAGAATCTCCCGTGAGCACAATCCATTGCGCTGCCCTGTCACTTCCTGAGTGTTCCACAAGATCGCGCTCGTGCAAAGGACTATGTCGAATTACACGACCAAGTTCAGGTTGGATTCCTAGATGGCCAAAGGTTGCTCAAACGGTACTCTGATGTCTCATCTAGTCTAGCATGAATCTGTTGGATTCGCTGGAAAGCTTTCTATCATCCTTTCAAAGAGACTTGTCCTCGGTTTCCGGGCAGATATCTGAGCTGCAGGAACGCAGCAAGGAGATAGACCGGAGGCTTAAGAGTCGGCGAGTATGGCCCTTACTTGCCGTGTCAGAGCACTTGGTTGATGTTTCTCGCAGAGAATCGAGAAGCCTCTATCGAAACTCGTGTCTGAATTGACCATTTCACCAGCTCTCATTCTAACCATCCTCGATACTGAAGTCGGAGAGTCATGGATTCCGGTCATCGGTGATTTCGAACGCAGGTTAGACGCGCTCGAAGTACGTGCACGAGTTAAAGCTGCGAGGGATCTAGGAGACGTTTCTGAAGGCCTTCGCATTGTTGTACGTCTTACCCTCTTTCCAACACTACTCTTGACCCACCGATGTTACTACAAGGCAGCGACGAAGCTACGCGCATTCTTCCTCGCTCTGCTACGCCCCATCAAAGACAGTGTGACCACTAACGTGCAAGTTTTACAATCGTCCATTTACATGAAGTACCGGCCGTTGTTCTCTTTTCTACAACGTAAAGCCGCATCTGTTGCAAAGGAAATTCAGGATTCGTACATTGCGGCTACCCGTACATACTATGAAACGGCATTCCGTCGTTATATACGTAGCTTGGGTTGGCTGAGGGTGCGTAGCTTCTCTGGTATCATCGACAATGGCCCTATTTACCGTGGTGTTTGTCTAGTCTAAGGTTACGGAGAAATTCGAGACCCTCGTTGTGCTGTCTGCGCAACAAGATGGTTCTCGTCTAGACCACGAGCGACTGGCCTATGCAAAGATGGACGGTTCAAGTGTCATTCTAGCATACATGGCAGACGACAAGGCCCACGTAAGTACATCCGCTTGGTTGCAGCTCTATAAAGCTAAACGGGGAGAAGAAAGAACCCCTAGAGGCAATTCTTCGCTCTCTGTTTCTAGTTTTGATGGACAATGCAACTGCCGAGTACTCCTTCATTACAACATTTTTTTCATCACAAGTTGCGCCAGCTAGCGATCAAGACAGTGTTTTGTCAGCTTCATCGTTGCCCCCTGACTGTGGTGTAGTAGATGACAGGAAATCCATTGCCGGCTCGGAGGCCCGAACGGAGGTAGCAAGCCCAGGCCCTTCTACAGGCAGGAACGGGCTTGGAAGACTCACGGATATCGATAAGGGCGCGCGTAACGACCTTGGAAACCTGTGGAAAAGGGTATTTGACCCGGTTCTCGAGTATACCAAGGTAAATGTGGGCATTTGGAACAACTTCGCGACTGACTTTTATTATAGGTATTTTTGGTATCAGTCGTTGAGCCTCCACCGCCGGCCATCCCGCTACTGACCATGGTCCGGTTAACTGAAGCTGTTTTGGCAGAAGTACAAAAACGCCAATGTTTGCCTTTGGAGACGTTTTTCTTTACCATGCGCTTGCAGCTTTGGCCTGTGTTCCAGAAAGTCATGACAGAACATTGTGATTCCCTGAAGAAGGTGGCCGAGAAGCCTAGTGGTTATTTTGCTAGGACCAATCCAACAACGGATGCCATGGTATCAAATGTAAGTATCATGACCCCCTCAGGTCATCACCTTCAAACTGCATTGACGGTTAGATCTGCCACAGCTACACAGTTATGTTCCAATCCTTTGTGCTGTTGACTAGCGAGGCGGAGGAGACGATGATATTCAGCAAGTAAGTTTGGAAGCTCGACGTCGATTTTTTTTTAAAATATGAATTTGTCTAGTTTGTTCCGTCTCCAGCAAGAACTGGACAAACTCATTCTTCGCCATACGGAGTTCATCGCTGACCCAACGGTGCGGGCTACAAAACGATCCGCGATATATGAGATCCTTTTGCAGGGACTGATCGTGAGTCAATCAACATAGTACTTCGTTTTCTAACTGCTTTGCGTGTCGTTATCCAGAAAGGTAGCCATCTTACACGACACCCTAAGGTGCAGATGGAGCTTGACTACTGGACCGAAAAAGAGCGATCTGCACGTCAAATCATTCTCTCCGCCAGTCGGCATAGCAAGGTCAGACAGTGATCCATGTATGTGGGTTGTGCCTAGTATGCAATTCGATGGATGTAGAACATGCGAATGACGGAGTATCGACGAGCAGAAGGAATAGAATATACGACGCTGATAAGTAATGGAATGCTATGCCTGGAATATCGAATAGATTTAAGTGTTCACCTGATAGAAAACCTGGAATGATGAGGATGTATGTTATGTTAATATGTAAGGCAAAGGTGAGTTTTACTTCTGGTCAGATTTATGCATTGAAGGGAAAGACGACTTCAGCAAACTATTGCCGCTGTATTTCCGAATGCCCAGCTTATTTAAAACATCTCGCACCTCCCCCGAGTCAGCAGTAACTGCGCGCTGCTTCGATGTAGCCTTGCCCGGCGCAAACGCATGACGAGTGCGGTGGAATTCGTGAGACAGAGAGTGATTGAGAGTTGACATCGATGGTTGCCTGGCGAGAGTAGGGTTAGAAGCTCCTGCACGACCTTCCAGCGCCTCTCTAAGATCCGTAACGCCGACTCCCCTGACAGAACGGGTGAGACTCTGCAGCGACAGATTTTCAATGGCCATCAAGGCGGGAGACAATTTAAGCAAAGGCGGTACACCATCACCTAACGGTCGGTTGTGATTTGGACGCTCAGCAGCTAGTGATAACACTCAGCAATATTTACAATGTCACGAACAGAACTTACAATCCCGAAGGGCACCTTCCACTGTCCACTTCGAACTCAGCTTCCGGATTAGTCCCTGTTGATCAAGTGCAGTTGTTTCTTGAACGTTCTTGGACGACGCCAGCAATATTAAAACTTCCTCCGACTTCACGCCAGACCATTCTCGCGGTAATTCGGCCTCTGACAGGTCCGGGAACGGTATCTGTGCTTCCGGGGGACGCAATACCCCAGGGGTGAACGGTGCTATTTGAGGTAAGGTCATGTGGCCGTTCAAGGTTGACAGGTCCTGCCCATTACACAGATAAACTTAAAATTTAACAACAGAATTTGATGTGCTCACATTTTCCACCCTACAAATTAACTCGGGGCAGTTCCACACTTTACCGATCACGAGCCAGAGACGGGCAAGAACTTCCTTCAGGGAAAAAGCGCGCTGCCGCGTGCCAGCATCTGCGCCGTCCTCTATCTGGGCAGCCGCCTCCAATGCGACTAGCATGGGAAAACCGGTAAGGAGACCGCGAACAGGTACCTCTTCGTGGATGGCAGAGAGAACATGGAGAATAAGAGCATAATCCGAATGAGAAGCCAAACACGAGGAAGAAACCTTCCCAGTTACCGTGTCCAAGAGCCGGAAAGCGTGGGAGGACTTGCGTGACCGTGCTGCAGGGTCAATCGAACGGCGACGCGATGGAGTAGGCGAAAGCACATCGCCAGAATCAACATTCAGAGGGATATTCCCTTCAGTCTCTCCGATACTGGTTGTCCCAGTGGTAGTCATGTCACCGTTGAGTGAATAACTCGACGGTGCAGAAATACCCAAAGAAGATCCCAGATAAGACGATGTCGCAAGCAAAAACAGGTAAGCGTGGATGGCGTGCAATGACCTCGTCGCGGAATCACCGAATAACATGAGGCTGATACTATTTGCCTGAGTAGACGAATTGCTCGCTAAATCCCGAGAACGCCGAACACGATCCACACCGACTTTAGGAATTTCGCACCGCAAATATGTCACCAGCGTTTGGGTATAGTCGCTTCTCACGGCAAAATCGCTGTCACATAGCAAGGTCAGGGTATCGTACCAGATTTCCCCGGATACCTTGGTCCGCTGAGAGACCCGTGAGAACGTATCCGACGGTGATGTGGAAGTTCCGCGCAGGGACAGATGAGGTTGGTCATTACCTTTATAACCTCTGTGGTCATCGGAAGCGAGCATAAGACCCAGAAGGCCTGCCAACAGACATCGAATCGCTTGAGAACGACTCTCTCTCCGTTGATTGACAGAGCTCTGCATGTCAATAGTGGTTAAGCGGCTAGCGAGCTCGCTTGCCAAATCTTGTATCTGGTCAGAGTAATACACGCGTGCACCAAGTGAAGCGATGCTCTCCACCAGTAACGGGAGCAGGTCGTCGTTGGGATTGGCGACGACTCTTCGGAAGACCAGCGTGATCAAGTTCGATACGATGTCTGACGTCGAGAGGTTGACCAGAGGGATGGGAGAGGTGAAGATTGCTGTGAGCATGCCTATCAATGTCTTCTGCTCACTGGTGCATACTGGTGCATCTGGTGCATTCCAGTAACCGCTCCACTACACGGGATGGGATGGCGTATCGATATTGATATTGAGCCCAGTCGCATGCCCTCTGGGCAAACCACCGACACTGATCTGCCCTAGCCCAGAGCTGCATGGCATCCAGGTTTTCAAATGCAGACTGTATGAGGGAACACACTTGTGTGGCATTTGAGTGCTTGAATAATTGAGATAGAGCGCGAATGGATGTGGATAGAACGTCGGCGGACGAGGGCCCGGCTTCCCCATCGACATGGACATGAATGGAAGCAGCCCTTCTTTCACTCAGTGGGCGCGAGCGAAACTCTGCCAGATACACGGTGTCCGTAATGTCCTTGGTGATCTGCTCACTTCGCAAGGGTCAGTACACGGACAGTCCGGGGATTGTCAGGACCTCGCACCACTCAGCAAGAAGTTTTATATCAGCATGAATGATGTGGGGCAATAAGGCACTGGTTAGAGACGATGCCTGCGGCTTAAACTGGGTAGCGGATATGTAGAGGGCTTCCGAATTCACTACTCCAGTTACAGCGGACAGACCGACCAATCGAGTTCTATGGAGGGATCGTATCAAATGCTCGTTTGGAATTGGGGATACGTACCGGTTCTTGAGTTCATTATCGAAAGATTTTCTCTCTGCGTTGCACTGCGCAGAAAACCGCTTAACAACAACCAAGTAATTCTGAGTTAGACCACCATCCACACCAATGACGTGGCCATCGGTGTAAGTGCACCATGCCGTGAACTGCAAGACCTCAGTTTATCTTGCTTGCTGAATGCAAACTTATCACGCACTACACTGGCTGCCCGGGCACATATTTCCAAGTCAAACGACATAGAATCGAGTGTTGTTCTTAAGCAAGAGACCAATGACGGCGATAAAAGTGATATATCGTGCCGACATTCGATTGCCAGCGTTCGCACAATAGTAAGAGTGATCAGCAGAGACCTAAATGAGAGGTGAGGGCTGGCGTGTAAACGATCGCGAGGAATACTTACGCCCTAGCGCGCAAGTTACCAGCGACTGCCTTACCGCAGTCTGCTCTAACACGCTTCTCCAATTCAGCGCCCAATTTGTTAATTTTTCCTGGGTGATTAGCAGCATAATATGTAAGACGAGATAATTCCTGGGACTTGGGGCGGTAGTCAGGCCCTGAGGCGAGCAGCGCAGAAGCAGGAGGGTAGCACGCTGCGATGAGGGCCACGTGATTCGGTGTAAAGATATGCATTGAGAGTGAGAGCAACAGAAAGGGTACTGTGTTGTCTGCCTTGGACTTAATAGAGTGCCAAGCAGACGACTGAAATTCCAGCAGCTGTCAACCTGGACGAAAAAAAATCGAGTACTTGACAAGTTACCGACCTTGCCCCTCACACGCAACCGGATGCGGTTGCCTGAGGTCATCATGAGAAAATCTTGTCCATCAAAATGAGTGAGGCTCACCCTGGCTGAGGCCCACAGCTACTGTGATGGATCTCTTGCAAATGCTTCCGAGTCAATCAACTATGGTGGTGGAGGCTACTACACCAGCAGCTAATGCGCACACAGCCAACGTAGCAACTCGCGTAGTATCGTGATGGGACCCAACTGTGAGGACAGCATTACGTAAGGTAAATACAGTAACCATCAGCCCGACAGAGCATTCTGAAGGCTAGAACTATTGACAACGGAGTCTGTGTGTGGTATGTAGCGCTCCATTTCGTCTCCAACGTGTTCATCACACCCTTCGTCATCGCTCTCAACTGACATTTGAGGGACTTGATTCCAGTCAAATCCATCGGTGTCAACGATCACGTCCTTCAGCCCATCAATAACCTCGGAATGAGACGCCTGAATCATCACCATCCACCGCTTGCTGATCATCCAGCTAGCGACACCCTTAGGCGGGAGTAAAAACCCTTCCTTTGGGGGACCGCGGTATCGTTCTTTACGACCCACACCACGTCGAGGCTTCTGCGCAGTAGCTACTTTGTCCTCCTTGTCTAGGAGGTCGAAAAAGTGCTGTAGGCGAAGGCTGCGCCATGGACAACCCCGAACACGCAACACTACGGTACGTGTTCCACTAGTGGGGTCTTCTTCAATTTCCGACTCTTCCGACGACATGCACTCAAGTTGCAACGCTCCATCGAATGTGACGTGTTCGAACACAGGAGTCCGGTTCCTAACTTCAGACCGATTCCCGAGTTTCTTGACGCTCAGCTCAGTACCAGTTAATATGCGAAAGGAACGGATAACGTACTATCTTACGTCGACTTAGCCTCCGAGCACGCATAGCCTTCATGTCCTCGCGTTTCCGATGGCTTTTCGCGGCGGATGCATCTCTTTGCGACTTGAACTTTTGTCGTAAAGTCACGAATGCCTGGTCAAAAGCAGCATCTAAAGATTTCTTCCCAAATTCCTTGTCTGGAACATGCTTGTAGACGCGTCTGTTGGCTTTGAGGTCCTTCAGAACACGCTCCTTCATGCGGCTATTATGTACTGATTGTTTTGGAGTTTTGTCCCACACGAACCGTACTGGCTCATCGGGACCGAGAGGAGTGCCTTCCAAGTGGCCATCCGGCAGCTGCTTGTCACTGTCCAGATGCATAACACGCAACAGGTGGTTGCGTATCGCATGCTTTTCCAATGTGTTGGCGCAACCGGTGAACTTGAAGGGAGAGACATACCTGTATAGTCAGACAGCGGTTATCGTGGTGGTTCCGGCGTCGAAGCCGATGCTGTGGGAAACTAGAGCTAGCGTCACTGCTGTCCTGGTCGCTATCAGACATGGTAGTCGATTTTCCTCCAGGAGTATAACTGCCATCGGGGAGTGAGGGGTCGACGTTGATAAACCGCGTTGAGTGCAGTGAAGGTGATGCAAGTGACGATGCTGGACCTGAAGTTCCTGCTGTTTGTCCTATTGCTAAGGAAACCTGAGAGGTAGGATGGGCACAAGCAGGGGAGAGAGGCGCCGGTTGTTGGATGACGCTGGAAGAAGTCCCCAACTGCAAAGTTTCCAATGCGGAAGCGGGGTCACCGGTTGATGGAACTTCTGGGGGAATAGATTGGTGTGAAGGGAGACATGCTCTCAGCGCTGTGACTTCTTGTTGCAGCTCAAGGATGCGGTGTTCCATCTCCGCTTTCTGAAGAGCGTGTTTAGCCTCCATTTCTCGTTCCCAAACTGCTCTCCGTCTCCTCTCAATTTCACAAGCTTCTCTTGTAGAGGCAAGGAAGCGAAGCAGCTCTTGCACAGCAGTGACACGACCTGCTTGAGTGGAGGGTGGTGGGCCGCTACTGGGTAATATTGAGCAAGATTAGAAGTACACAGAATGGTGCTGTTGCTCACAGAGGTGTCGTAGGTGTGTCCCGAGCTCTAGATGACTCTGCCATAGCTAGCTCTAACTCTCCGTGGTGTGTGACATGTTGCTGAGTGGTGGGCTGCACATGCTGGCTTGTGGTAGATGCGTAGCTTGGTCTGGACCGTGACTGGGTATAATAGGGATTGAGGGCGTCAGACAGTTCACTTGTGGGCATGGTGCCATACTGCTGTCTGCCCCAAGTACTAATAGCTGGAAGATTGGCAATGGTTTGTTTGCGCTTGTTTGATTCCAAGGCTCTTGCTAAACAGGGGACGCGTCATCTCTACACACAATTTACATTGGCAGAAAGAACATTTCTCAAGACTCACAATCATCATGGCCGACCTAGGAAGCATTTTTGGAAACCAAATTAGGGCCACACGACCATCCGTCGACGTGACTGTTCCCGACAAGTGAGTCGGATTAAATCCTCAGGCGTGCGATCATTCATGTGGTGGTATGCAGCGGAGAAGTCATCCATATCTCTTCGCTGGCTCTCTTAAAGGCACGTATGAAAAGCGTGTAAACTTTTGATATTCCTTACCCTTTTGCCTCAGATGTTGAAGCATGGCCGCGCAGGGGTCCCGATGGAAGTCATGGGCCTCATGCTCGGGGAATTTCGTTGATGAATACACCGTCCAAGTGGTCGACGTATTTGCCATGCCGCAGTCCGGTACTACGGTCACCGTGGAGTCCGTAGACCACGTCTTCCAAACGAAGATGGTCGACATGCTGAAACAGACCGGCCGGTCGGTGTTTATTCCCAGTCACAGTTCACCTCTCACACACCCATAGACCTGAGATGGTCGTGGGGTGGTATCACTCGCACCCTGGGTTTGGGTGCTGGCTTTCAAGTGTTGACATCAATACGCAGCAGGTGTGTCCTGTGACCCCACTTTGATTGTCCATACCCAACACTTTTCACTTTAGTCGTTCGAACAAATGCAGAATCGCTGCGTCGCCGTTGTCATCGATCCAATTCAGTCCGTGAAAGGGAAGGTGGTCATTGATGCCTTCCGTCTTATCAATCCACAAATTGTTCTCTCTGGGCGTGAACCGCGACAAACGACATCAAACATTGGACATATCAATAAACCTTCGATCCAGGCGCTGGTCCATGGACTGAACCGCCACTATTACTCCATCGCGGTCAATTACCGCAAAACAGAGTTGGAGCAGTCGATGTTGATGAATTTACACAAAAGGAATTGGACAGAGGGGTTGAAGTTACGCGACTTTTGTTCACACAAGCAGAGCAATGAGGCTGCTATCAAGGTTTGCTGGGAGGTTGAGCATGGGTCGTGTTATGCTGATATGGTTTCAGAAAATGCTAGCTTTATCTGGAGCTTACAACAAGTCTGTGCAAGAAGAGTCCACGCTATCGCCGGAGAAGCTGAAGACGCGGCATGTTGGTAAGCAAGATCCCAAACGGCACCTCGAAGAAACGGTCGAAAAAGCAATAGGGGATCAAGTGGTGCAGAATTTGGGCACGATGTTGCTGGCAGAACTATAGAACGTGTTGGAAACTTATCCCTTACACACTTACATGATCCGCGCGGCGAATACCCGTAAGGAATTCCGTACCTAACATCCTCAAATGGAGTATAGTGATAGGGGTGGTGGCCCTGAGGTGTGCTTCTAGTTGTCAAGTGATTGATTACAATCCACTTTGAGGGAGTCTCGATTGCGTATGCTGGTCTGTTCACGGGGGAAGTAAACTCATCTGCCATGATGCCCCCAGCGCCCTTAGGAACCTGCCTGACATGGTATTCTTGCACAAGGTTTGGTGATGATTACTAAGGTTGGGACTGGTAGAGAAGGAAGTAATTGATGCTCGAATGGAGGAACAGACATCGGGTGGTAATCTACGATGGCTTGGGTAAAACGAGCCTCTGAGACTGGCGGGGTGCAATTCTTGGATTGCTAAGCTGAGGCAATATGCCCATCATTTTGGCGCGACGTATCGCCTTACCCAATCGCCGCTGCGTTTTGGTGGTGAGCTTTGTTTCGACGCGGCTCTTGGTTTTACCCATTTCGGTGATAAACGAGGCGAGCAGGGTAGTATTGCTCGTCTCGTACACGGGGTCTATTCCGAAGTGGCGGAGCGCGTCACGTTCACGAGCTTCGCGACTTCCCGGAGCTACGAGTGGCTGAGAGGTGGAGAGTCTCTGTTTCTCGAAACGATGCTCGTGAGACCAGTAGTGCGGACGGATGAACTACGCAAATAACAGTTATTAAGGACACAGTCGGGAGCGATAACGGAAGCGATTCCTTACCAGACCAGGAGAAAATTTCCTTCGAACGCCCTTCTGCTGCCACGAGATGTTGGGGTCGACAGTTGCTTCTACGAGACGGTCAGACTGACTAACGCGGTGGGGAGTCAGCCAACCTTGAGCCTCTGCCTTGTCTGCTTCGTCACTCATAATTTTCTTAAGCTCGTTGCGGTCATCCTCGACTGAAGAAAAGTCAGACACAAATCTTCTACAGGAGACAAGCCGTGCTGTGGGTCGCAGCGCTGTCGACCGCCGAGCAAGTTCGAGGAACATGATGACGGTGGAAGGTTAGCTATGACATAATCATACATTTCCGGAGTTAGTGATTAGATAATAATCCACGACCCCCAGACACCTGAAGTGAATAAAATGTCCGTTGCGTCGGTTGAGTTGTCTGCTGGTTTGAATCGAGTCTTCACCCAGTCACCCCGCTCCCGTGCATGCCAATGCTCGCCTGGCCTTGACTTGTCCACCCTCCAAGTCGTCGTTACGCTGTTCCCTCAGGTGCGCACTGCCGCTCCGTCCTGCAAGTACATAGCTCATATCGACCTGTTATGATTATCCATCTCACCACTTAGGTCCATATGTCCAGCTCATTCAGTCGTCCCCAGTCTCAGTCCTCAGCTCAGCTCGTCGGTGTCTCTGAAAACCTTGTCTGCAGTCCACCAATCCAGTCGAATCCATCCACTAGCACAAATGCATCCACCTCCAATACCGTCTCTATGCCTTTCGTCAGACGACACGTTACTCGTCGTCTCAAGACCGCAAAGGCAGACTGCGACAAGGAACTTCGTCGAGTAATAAATAGCATCACCACATTCTTTGAGGAGAAACTGCGTGAAGGCGAACAGGACCGCGATATCGACTTTCGTGATCGCGACAGAGATGTCGACCGGGACTCTCAGTATGACGACTCCGACCACTTACTACAGGACCAAATTGCAGTGACCCGTCCTGCTTCCATGGCAGACGATGACTCCGATAGTGTCTACGATGTAGAATCCGACTATCGTCATTCTCGACAACGTGCGTTTCCAGAGGATGCGAGTAAAACAACTCCCTTTCTAACCCATCGGGCTTCATTTCCTGGCCTATTTGCAGCATCTAATTCTCCTTCACTCGGCTCCTCTTTACGCAGACAGAACACCCTTCACTCCACACCTCCCTCTAGCTCAGGTCCCAGCCCCATCATTCCAAACAGTTCACTATCTACCACCGCAAGTCCCCGCAGGCAATCCAATGCTGTGCACCCCGTGGTCTGGCCAAGTCAAAGCTTATCTTCTCGTCGCCTTTCCCGTGCAATCCAGATCCCCGTCCGTTCAGGCAGATCTACTGCCCAAAGCTCTCGTTCAACGTCCAGATCTCGTTCACCCCTCCCTCCTGCCCCAATTCACGCCAACTTCTCTGACACTGCGACTTCAACTTCCATCAATCGCAGGTCCTCGCGCATACTAATAGACGATCCCATCGACCCTATCATGTCTGCGCTGTATGAGCTCATAGGCGTTGCCACAGATGTCACAGAAATGTCCACAGCCCAGCTGACGGCACAGCCAAAGATATGTGAATCGCTCGTTCAACGCGTGCAAGCCATCGGGAAGGCCTGGGATGACCATCCAGATTGGCACGGACGCAATTGGTATGTGCAGGTACTCCTTGCCGTCGCTAGCCTCAGCCGTGTGGTGGAGTGGTGGGAGGCAGAGAAACTGTTCTGGAACTTTGACGACAACGAAGACGAACAAGACGAACCATTGATGTTTGTCATGAAGCCTGCGGATGACGTTCTTCCTACTTCAGCGTCAATAGGTCGGTTCCATCCAGCAGAGGGAGCATTATTGCAGTTCTCTGCAGATGAAGAACAGCGCTTCCGTTCGACCAGGCAAATTAGTCAGGGCAGGCGATCAAGAGAAGAACACGTTAAAGATTTTACTCGGAAGTCCACATCTCCGGAGCCAGGCTCCCGCGTGCCGCATAAGTCAATTGAAACCAACGAATCTGCCCGTGTCTTAGCAACAGAGCGATTGCGACTACAGGCTGAAAGAACTCAGAGCCAAAACATTGTTTTGGAGCTGAGCTTGGACGGTGATCACTTCGTATCGGCAAATCATGCATGGAGACTCGTGGCTGGGTACGTTCAACGTCCTTTCAATGGAATTCACAGGTTTGAATTTAACTGTCATTAGTACGGATCCGGCTGAACTTCTTGGGACCCGAATATCAAATCTTCTTGTGCCGTCAGATTGGTCAGTCTTCAGGGATGCGACGTCTCGTCTGCAACGAGACGACACTCGTGCAGTCGATGTACACTTCAAACTGCAGGTGCAGCCCGATGGGGAGAAAGAGGGTCCAGCAAACGCCGTCTTGTATCAGCAAATGGAGGGCCAAGGCATACTTATGATCGACCGCGAGGACGCCCAACCATCCCATACGTTATGGATCGTGAAGCCGACAGGTCCTCCACGATATGAGTATTCCTCTCCCTCTATCGTCTTCGAGGGAGAGGAGGCAGTCGCCGACGCAGTCCCAGCGACAACTGATGCCGCTGAAGAAGTTGACCAACGCCCCGGTATGCCATTTCCGTTCGCACAACCGATCTCTACGGAACCAATTCTTTGTCGAATATGCGAGTGCCAGATTCCGCAATGGTACTTCGAAAAGCACAGCGAGACCTGCGTCGAGATCCATCGACTGGAAGCAGAGATTACGGAATGCAATGAGTCCATCAGCGAGTTAAAGAACACAATTCGTGATCTTCTGCTCGCAATCGAAACTTCGCAGCCTCCCGTGACTCCGGAATATCGTGGCCTTCCGCTCTTCACTCCGTCAACATCGCCGAGTATGTCGAGTCCGTTGCAGTTGTTCCGTACCAAGAAAACAGGGATGGGAATGAAGAAATTGCAACGTCGATTTTTGGAGCAATTGGACGAGATTTTGCAACTGGCTGTTGAAATTACCATGCCATCGTTAAAGGAGGAGGAGTCGAAGGAACCCATTGAACGGCAGCGGTTGCTCACTCCAACTTCCGAGCAAAAAGTAACGCAGGTGCGAAGTTGGTGCAAGCCAACCATTGACGATGCCGCTTTGAAACAGCTCGCAGAAGACACTGAGCGCGTCATGCGCCAAAAGGTTGACAACGTTGTACGCATGCAAAATACGATTCGGTACTCGGAGAAAGTATGGCACGAATGGGAGCAGAAAGTCGGAGAGTGTTTGGCTGCAGCTGACTTTGATGACGAGAGCGACGAGAGCGAGCTCGAGAACGATGTGGACGCGGCGTCCACCCCCGCAGCGGAGGCTGCTGACACTACAGCCTCCGGGGACCAAACCGCAGTGAACTCGTCGGAGGATATTCTTTCATGTGATCCTACTCCTATGGCCTCTTCGTCTCCCGCCGCTGTTGGAACACCTAACGAAACTCGTTCCCTAGTGTCCATGCCAGCGCCGGCCGTTGCTCCGACAACATGGCAAATAATCAACAAACTACCTACTCGATCATCCACCCCATCATCCATATCTTCCCCCTTAGCCCTTGCCGTACCTATCACGGCTACTTCCTCGGATGACCACCCGCCATACATGGACTTGAATGACATTCCCGGCGAGGTTGGAACGATCAGAACTCGGAGATCCGCTTCCAATTTGCTTGAACCCCGTCTTTTGGTTACCCCACCGTTATCACCAAGTATTCAACCGCGGGATGCTCAACCAACCCGCCGTGGCCATCGTAGGCATTCTACGGTCAACCCCGTATTTAGCCCCACTACGTCAAATACTCCCCTCTCGCCTCGGCAACCATCTGCGGTGCCATTATCACGATCTACACCCACATCCATCAAGGACTTTGAGATCATCAAACCCATTAGCAAGGGTGCATTCGGTTCCGTCTTCCTTGCGAAGAAGAAGGTTACGGGCGATTATTACGCTATCAAAGTGTTGAAGAAAGCCGATATGATTGCGAAGAATCAGATCACGAACGTGAAAGCCGAGCGCATGATTCTCATGAAACAGGCAGAGTCTCCTTTCGTTGCAAAGTTGTACTTCACCTTTCAGAGCAAGGACAACCTATACCTGGTGATGGAATATCTCAACGGTGGTGACTGTGCTGCTCTTATTAAGTCTCTGGGTTCTCTTCCCGAAGAGTGGACGCGTCAGTATATCGCTGAGGTCGTCTTGGGACTGGAATACCTGCATCAACGCGGCATTGTTCATCGGTTTGTGCTTTTTTAGTTACAATGCACGAGTTTCGTCTGATTAGTACATTACAGCGACCTTAAACCAGACAATTTACTTATCGATCAGCATGGCCACTTGAAGCTGACGGACTTTGGTCTGAGCAGAATTGGTCTTTTGGGCCGTCAAACTCGCGAAGGTCATCTGGGCTTGCGTCCTCGTGTAAGATATGATTCACGTTCGCGACCTCCTTCCCTTGACTCAGGCTTGATCTCATCTCCCATGTTGTCTTCTGATGGCGGAGGTTCGTATTTCGTTCAGGGACCCCAGGCCGGGAACCGGGCAGTAGCACCGCCTTATCAATCGCTTGCAGACGACATTAGTGAGTCCAGTGGGTCGGAGTCAGTGTCGAATTACTACTCGCGCCGAAGCAAAGCTGGCGAGAGCCCGCTGCAGTCGTTTGCCAGTGAGCTGACGACGGATTTGCGTTCATATTCTGGGGGTCATACTCCTCCTGGAGAACAGAAGTTCGTTGGCACCCCGGATTATTTGGCTCCCGAGACTATTCTTGGACTGAGAGGTGATGACGCCGCAGTCGACTGGGTATGTCATTACGTGGTTTCTGTTCCGTCATTACTTATGCGATTGACAGTGGGCTCTCGGAGTCATAACGTACGAATTCTTGTACGGTATACCGCCGTTTCATGCGGAGACGCCAGAGAAAGTGTTTGAGAACATTCTATCCGGTCATGTTGAATGGCATGAAGAGTGGATTGATTTCTCGGATGCTGCTAAGGACTTCATGCAGCGACTGATGGACACGGATCCCGTCACTCGACTTGGCGCGGACGGTGCTGACGAGGTCAAATCCCACCCATTTTTTGAGGGGATTGAATGGGATAAAGTCACGTCGGCGGAGGCAGCTTTCATACCACAGGTCACGGATCCCGAGTCCACGGATTATTTCGATCCCCGCGGAGCCATACCACAACTATTCCATGATGACGAGATATCCCTTACCAATCCCCTTGACAGTCCTGCGATCAACCCTGTACGACAGAGTTCGCATTCACATTCATCTTCTCAGCATGCCAATCGGGAATCTGCGCCGTCGCCTGCTAGCGACGACTTCGGATCATTCAGTTTCAAGAATTTGCCCGTACTCAAACAGGCTAACGATGACGTGATACGCAAGTTGAAGACGGATCAACTGGCACCCATCGCGCACACCTTATCGGATCCGGCTTGTCTGGTGTCGAGGAGACGAAGCGCGTCACAGCGTCATAAAGTGAAACCTCCCAGCGTTGTTACTGCAATTGACCAGAAATCGATCTCGCATGGGCCGCCCTCCCCTTCTACCTCAACGTCGTCGATTGCGTCGTCGCCATCCCGAGCGAGTATTCCGACTACGCCGGGAAGTGGTTCAGGAAGTCATATTCGGAAGCCCTCGGAATTCGGAGCTATTGAGCGATTTAAACTAAATCATCTTGACGGTATCGAGCGGAGGAACACGATGCCCAGTAGATTGCGAACGGCATCGATTTCGAGTAGCACAGGTGACGGCTCTGGCTCTGAGAACTGGCTGCCCTCCTCTGCAGGTCAAGGATCTAGTCATTTTGAAACGCCACCCTCCTCTGTCCACTCCATCGATTTGCGTAAGGGACCTGATCCGAACGATCGCGCCGTGACTTGCCTGCTTGCTGAAGATAATCCCATAACGGCGAAGATTATCGAGACGTTGTTGACTCGTCTTGGCTGTCGTTGTGTTGTTGTTGCTGATGGCACTGAGGCCATCAGTGTCGCCATGGGAGATATCAGTGAGTGGCGTATGTCACCTTGAGTGAGAAACAAAACTAATCTTTATCGCAGAGTTTGACTGCATTTTGATGGATTTACATATGCCGGCCCGTAAGTATTTACTCGTCGTCGGTTGCGACTGCCGCAAGTACTGATGGGCGCATGACGACCAGTTGATGGCGAGAGTGCCGCCAGATATATCAAGGCGACGAACAACAAGAACAGCTCGACGCCTATTATCTGTGTTAGTGCCTACAGCGCAACGGATGCGAACGAACCCAACAATCTGTTTGCGGCGTCCTTGGGCAAGCCATTGCAAAGAGCGGACCTGCTTGCTGTGATGCGCAAACTGGGATTCAAGACGTCAGCGGTGCAGGGTGCTTCATACCCTGCGAAACTTGTTGCTTTTCGCGCATCATGAGTGATTATGCTATTGCTATCATGCTGTTTCTTTCGTTTTCGACTGCATCATATATGTTCACACGTTTGTGCTCGGCTATTTCCCAGGTCCGACGAGCATTCGAGCATCCTCAATCTGCACACTATTACTTCACTTTCTTTTTGCACAGCTGTACGCTAGACACGACTGATTACCTTGTACGCCACCATTATATTCGCACAGGACACATTTTGCAACCCCTTTGTCACGTGAGGGAGGAAGCAGGCTGCCAAGAGAAAGTTGGCAGAGTGCTCCTTAGCGAGGCTGTTCGTTTCGATGTGTCCGTGCGCGCCATCAACGTAAAAAGATAACAGCAAAGTAGTGAGGTCTGCTTAGTCAGCAGGAGGCCTTGATACCCAGCTGCCACTGAGAAACGATGGATTATTACTATTCGATCGTAACGGGCGCTGGAAATCTGGCAGGACATGTGTCCGACTGTACCTGGACTAGCACTCCCGGTACCCTCATCCTCCTGCTACACAGATCCTAGCTGAACATCCTCATCCAAATAGATGCAGTCTTACGATCATAGAGGTGATGCAAGTTCTCGCACAGTCTCGTTCCAGATGTCTGACCACCATATGTGTGTAGTCCAATACGCCCCTCAACGCTACTCATCCGTACAAGCAACGCCCTCGAGGCCTCCCCAAGTCCCTCCAAGGCCCCGCCATGCCAGTTTTGCTGCACCCGAGTCCCTACCGCTCTCGTCACCGCGCATGTCACAGCCCTCCATACCCGTGAGCCTTACCCCAGGTAGACTGCGGACTGCACGTTCGACTTGGGATGCGGCCGTCTCACTGCCTCTGACATCGCGCCCCAGTCCATCCGGGTTTCCACATCCGTCTCCTCCCAGTCGCATGACCCTCTACGGCGACTACTTCTCACAACCACAGCCCCCGTTGCTCCCTCCCCCTCCTCCCTTACCTCGGAAGCCACATGTCCCAATCAACCTGCGCCCACCGATTCCGCCCAAGCCATCTGCCCTTATCTCATCCGCCCAACCGAGAAATCCTTTGTACCCACAGTCAATATCAACTAGTATCGCATCTGGACTTCCTCCTTGGTCCCCTGATGAATCTAGATCTCATTCACCAATTGACGACGACAAGGACTTCTCATTCCCACCGCCCCTCGCACTTCCCGCATTGGATATAAAATATCACGAGGACATTTTGGCTGCTCGAGAGGAGGAAGAACTTGCAAAGGCACTCGAAGAGTCGCGGTTATTGGCAAATGTGTTCGATGAGCGCCCCGCCTTTACCAATATTGTGCACAAGAGCCCTGCATCTACGAAGGCCATCCCGGCCAGCGGCGAGAGTTGGCTCAACATGAGCACTCCGTCTACCGCCCAGCATTCACTGGATTCCTTGCTTGACGAAACATCTTTGCAAAAACAATCAGATGATAATAAGTGTCTTCCGCATAATACAAACGGGCGCCCTGTAAACGAGCTCCTCCGATCTGCTGCGACCGAGAGCCGTGATACACAGCCCACGTCTGCGGACTCAACCCCCGCCCCCTCCTTGTACTCCAACGTCGTATCTAACCTAGTCGCAAAACCTACTTCCAATGTCACCGTCACCTCCAATACTTCTACGACGCACGTTCCTCACCTACCAGCCTCACCCGCACCAAGTTCCCTCACCCGTCCGCCTAGCGAACCCTCAGTATCACCGCAGCCTACAACCGAGACCTACCCGACATCCCCATCTGTTCCTTCCGTCTCGGGTCTTAGCTCGAATTTCACGTCAGATAGTAGTGTGTCTGTCGGGAAGTTTTATACTGGGGATGTTCTCTCAATAACTGCAAGTAGATCCCAAGTGACGTCCGCAAGCTCCAGTCTGTCTCTGGATTCCAATATCAGTCCCAACTTTTTGGAAGGAGAAGATGACGCTGATTCACCGAAACGTCCGGCGATCCCGTACTCAGCAAATCAATACGTGGAGCCAGAGCTACTCATGGGTGTTTGTAAGTACGAACGTGTAGCCGGCGTTGCATCGCCTAACCTTTACTGTTTAGCACTAGGATTCAACTGTCCAGTGATTTCGACTTTGTTGACGCCCATGAAGGAACAAATGCCCAACATCATTACTCTTCCATACGGAAAACCCCCTCCTTGCTTCCTTCAAGCCCCCAGCTGGCGCCGTTTATTGAAGTTAATGGCTCGGCTCAGCGCCACTAGAATAGAACCAACCGTGGAAGCGCTGAGTATGGCTAAGCACGAGTTAAGATTACGAACCGTTATACAGTTCGTAAGGGTGAGTCACTCTTTGTTGAGCACGAGCGACTTTTGACAGGTCCAAGGTCCACCATTCCTCGTCTGACTGGAGAACAGTCCTCTACTTCACCACTGATATGCCCGCCACACCGTCCGCACATAATTCACAGAAGTACACGAATGGCGATGTTGGTGTGCTGCCGTTTTCGTATACGTTGTCTCCCCTCCCGACGCTTCTGAGAGACGGTGCAGAATCGCAGATGGCAAAATACTACGTCATCCCGTCGACGCCGACGACACCCTACCCCACTCTTCCTATCAACTTCCCAAACCTAGCCATGTACCTGCAGTCTGCCGTCGAAGACTCCCGCCGGGCTGCCATTGACGGCTCCAGCGGAATGCGGAAACTGGCACAGTTTATTGACAGCTGCTATCCGAATGACACTGGGATGGCTGCGCTCGACGGAGATGCCCCAAAGAGAGGAGTTGGCGGGATGCTGAAGCGGGTGATGGGCAGGTCGAAGGGAAGGGGGAGCAGAGGGAATGAGGAGATCTATGATCTCGTGACTCCATTCGTGTCAGAGGACTGGGGCTGATACAGACGCGACGAGTCCCGTACGGCCTTAGATTACCCCAACTACAGTAAATTATAGCATGCACTGTACGCCAAGCTAGTCACAGTAGTACATAGTAACCAGACAGAAGTTGTGCCAGTGTTTGTGGCGTTAAGCACTTCAGTCGGGCGTGCGGGCGCGCGTGCTCAGACCATGACCACATCCAACCCAGTCGAGCCCGAGTCTCCTGAAGATCCCACCACTCTCAGTCGAGGAGGAAGGTCAGGTCCTGTATCAGCACAAGACTTCTTTCTGAATGCACGTTCCCAGACGCTATAATACACACCAGGATAACAAACGACGAAAGACCTCTGCGCCGCATAGCAAAAAAGTTTCACACATATGCATCTCTAGTTCACCCATCGCCGGTTCACTCAAGTCATGCAGGGAACATAGACGATGCAAGGGAGGCTTTCCTAATTGAACTCTCTTCGTTCGAACTCTCGCTCAAAAAAAGTATCATGGTCTGCGAGGCAGAAGCACGGCAGGTAGAGGAGTACCAACGCGAGCGGCGAAGGATTGGTACGTGTGTTCCATCAAGGACTTGGGCACACAGCCGACCAACTAGTTTACTTGCAACCACCTCCCTCAGAAGCGGAACATGAAGCATTGCGTGCTCAGATTGCCGAACTCAAGATTGCACTTGAGCACGCTCAGACAGAGCGCAAGAGGAAGATAGAGTACGATTCCGTTGCAGAAAAGATCAACACGTTTCCAAGCCGTGATGAACTCCACCAGTACGTATCGTGTATCCCTTCACTAGAGCTGTCGCTGACTTGCTGTGGTGCTATTTAGAGCCATCCTCTTACTAGAGAATGACATGGCAGCTATTAGAGCAGAGCATGAGACGCAAGAACGCATCATTCAGGGCCAAAAGTCCGCGTTGGACGGTATCGTCATGGACCTTTCATCATTGCGGCTATTAGGGAAAGATAAGGATGTTTCGCAGCTCGGTAGTCCGTTAACAACCCCTGCCCCGGAATTACCTGACTCAGATGAAGGTGGTGGAAGTTCATTGCCAAAAGATGACGAGAGGCAAGGGGAGGGCATCGAGTACGGAGAAGTCCCAGAGGGGAAGGAAGATGGGGAAGATGACGGATCGTTTGATTTGTTGTCATCGTCAAAACTTGGCCCCTCCTCCCAGGGGTTTCTATCACACCAGTCTGGTACGCCACTGTCATCGCAGAGGGACCCTCAGGCCCAGGGAGGTGTGTCAGCTGATGTAGACGATGATATCGAGATGGGGGAAGTTGCGGAGGATCCCAAACCCAAGAGGAAGGCCAGGGAAGACTTAGAGGAAGGAGAGGCAAGCGACTCCAGCAGCGCGTTGTCAGATCCTCCAGACGACTAAAATGAAGTTTGAGGCGGCGTCTCTTTGTATCATTAGATCCTAATCTGTGGTGCTAGGTTTGATTTCTACCGTCATCAAGTCTCGCGCGCAGACAATCTCTCCATCATAATGTTCCTTGGCTAAACATGCGATCGCCTTCATGATCCTACCGGCCTCTTCATTCCCTTCGTCGTTCCCTGGATACCTAGCTGAGAAGTGGTTGAGAATCAATTTCCGGGCTCCAATAAGGGTGGCGAACGCCCCCGCAAGTTGAGGGGTTGAGTGTCCCCGTGTTTTTGCGCGCGTTTCGACACTTTCAAAAGTATCGTCGGGTTTGGTAGATGAATCTACCCCTGGAAGATGGGCATTGGTTGCCTCGTGAACGAGAACGTCGGGCGAAGTGGCGATATCGGATATAAGGGAAGGATCATAAGTGTCTCCAAGTATCACGACCTTTCGACCTGGTCAGCGAGGAGGGCCGTGCAGTACAGTTCCATCTGGGAGCTCGATGCTTTGTCCTTGTTGTAGACGGCTCATGCATGTCATAGGTGCCTTTGTCCTCTTAATGTCAGGTATGTATTTTTTAGGGTCCATCTTCCCCGGTATGGGGGCCTCCGTTATCACGTATCCTACGCACGGTACAGAGTGCAGGATGGGGCCTGCGCAGACTGCAACGGCATCATCTCGGAAGATATTTCTCCATACTCCATCGACTTGCGGTATATTGCGACCGGGGATCTCTGAGGTATGGATCGGTAGGGAAGAATTGTCGCCGTCTGGTGGGTCATCAGGGAACCGCAACTCGTGGACGACGTACTGTCGTGCCAAGACGCTGTGGGTGTATGTAAGACTTGCTCGAACATACGCACGTGTACCAAGTGGACCGTAAATCTCCAAGGGCTATAAGCATCAGTCAGGAAGGCGGTGATGGGCGACAGACTGAGCACACTCGCGTCAATATCGAGCTGAGTCTGCAGACGAGGATCGCCGACGTCACCGACGGCGCCTCCGGCACCGTTAGCTAACGTAGATATTAGTGGTACCAGCCCGAAAATGTGATCTCCTGTATGTAATGACAACTATCAGTTTTATGGAACAGTAGAGCACGGCGTACCATGTGTGTGCGTGATGAATATCTTCTTGATCTTGCCCATCCTTAAGACGCTCTTTTGGAGTTGGTGCTGGGTAGCCTCACCGCAATCAAAGAGCCAGACGTCGCCGGCCTAAACGCAATGCAAGAGATGAGTGATTCCGCGTAGAAGACGGTTGGGCGGAAGCTGTCCCAAGGAAAACGAGATCCATCGATCCGATGCCACTTTTTCTTGACATTATTGTGGGTGCCCACCGCGAACAACTACAAAACAAGATGCGACTGTCCATTTACTCTCGCGGCCGACGTCGCCTGAGACCATCAAGAAAAAAAACAATTGTCCCTGGCAGGAATCGAACCTGCGGCGTCACGGGATTGTGCTAGCCACAACGTGACGATTTAACCACTAATCGACAGGGACTTCACCGAAGCCGTCGAATCTTCTTCCTTGGTATACTTTGGCAGGACTAACAGGAGTTTCACCTTCCAGGCCATTGTAACTTGGAATGCATCCACGCAACATATACGCAGCCTCACCTGATTTTGTTGCCCTCGCAAGGAGTTATCCACCACTTAGACCATAGTGCGTCCTTTTGCAGTGGTGGTCGCAGGTGTTGATCGTCATAATCTCAGTGTCTTCCTTACACATACCGGTCCGTCGATAGATTTCAAAAACCCAATTGCCCAGAGGTCAGGATAGTATGGTTTTTTTTGCATAGGAACATGTATTCATTAAAGAGGGAGGCGCTTGACGGAAGCGTTACTTCGTATTGACTTCGATATCAGTCTCAGCTTACCAGAGAACCGTCTCTGCCCCCCTGTAAGTGCCTCTGTTTCATGACAAGATAGTATTCAGAATTCCTTCAGATTCCAAATAGGTATCTTCCCTCCACTTTCGGGTTTGAAGTTTACACTGCTCACCCTTACCAAAGGTTAAACTATGTTCTTTGGATACAAGACATCATCAGAGAAACAGCCCCTGATGTGGCAGTAGTACGTGGGATTGACATGTGTGCTCTGGCATCTTTTCCGAAGGCACCTCTATTAACCGTGATGTACAGAGGAACGGGTGCTTCTACGGTGTACCCCTTACTTGCATGCCGCCTAGAGCCGACATGGCAATTTGTCGCGACTGGTAAGTCAGTATGCTTCATGGCAGCAAAAAGACATTTTACTAATGAAATGAACACTATCGAAGACGTGGACAAGGATTCGTTGACTTCTGCTCGAGAGAACGTCAGCCGTAACCATTTGTCAGGACCGGGTAATAATTACAGAAACGTCTCCGAGCAAACCTTTACTCTTTCCACTAGAAAAGGATACCACAGTCAATGCACGGTGACTATATTTTATTCGATTTTGCGAAATTAATTTAGTCGCAGGTACGAATTTACTATGTGCAATCCTCCATTTTATTCCAGTACGGAGGAAATGGCTCAGTCGGCGGAGACAAAGGAGTTCGGGCCCAACGCGGTATCTGATTTTTCTTTATGCATAGATTCTAACTCATGTCCTTTTCCAGGTTTGTACGGGAGCTGAGGTGGAAATGATTACTCCAGGTGGAGAGGTAGCTTTTGTTTCGCGTATAATTATGGAGAGTCTTCGGCACAAAGCTCGGTGCAGGTTGTCGCACGTTTTTGGCCTGTTCATGGTTTTTTTTCTCACCCGTTCTAGGTGGTATACATCTATGCTAGGTAAAATGATCTCTCTTCATGAAATTGTGTCCCTTCTGCGGAATAACCTGGTAATGATTTTCCATCTTCTTTTTCACAGGGTGCTGATCGCTACTAGGTCGACAACTATGCCATCACTGAATTTGTACAAGGCCAGACTCGCCGTTGGGCTATAGCATGGAGTTTTGGGACTCGACGTCTTCCGGATGTAAGCACAATAATTGTTAGCCATTGCTCGCCGATATGGACAAACTTTTGTAGGTCCATGCACGAATTAGCAGCCCAGCGTTGCAGGGAATTATGCCGTTGCGGACGACCTTGTATCAGCCGCTCCCCAACATCACTTCTACCGCACTTTTGTCCGGCATCCTAAGTCAGGTTCTTGCGGATGTTGACGGTGTATCGGTCACGTTGGATAATTCCAGTTCCGGTGATCACATCTACCTGGTGCGCGTATCGGCAAACACATGGTCTAGATCCGCTCGGCGGAAAAAGACTACAGCTCCTTTACAAACGGATATGCCTCTCCAGTCAGCTCCAGTCATGCAATGCCGAATCCAATGCCGACATGGCCTTTCGCCTACGGTCACTGACAACCACAAGCTGCAAGGAGCGTACTTGGATTATCAATGGATCGATGGCAAGGAGCGTAGTATCTTTGAGAGTTTTGTCAGCCACGTCAACCGCAAGGCCGCCTCGTCCCGGTTGACCAACCGTTGATCTAAGCTCCACGACATGAATATTTTTACTTGGAGGCACGCTGTTGGAATACCTCGTGTGACCTGCAAGTGTGTGTGTGCTTCGCAATCTCTGGGCAACGTTACTTACACGGTCCTTTGGATCATTATCAGCTTACAAGTATCACCCTTGGTATCATAATTCAAGAAAGCTGCTCCATTTATGGGTCTGTGTGCGGCCTCGGTACATGTAGTGTATGAACGATAATCTTCTCGCCAGAGTGTTACTCGTCGTCTCAATCTTACCGTGGCCATCAGTACTTCCATGGATGGTGACCACGACCCCAGCAAATGGATTCCAACATTAGCCGATATTTCTGGTGTTTTTTTTGTTTCCATTGCATGTGAATAGATGTCAACGAAGATACTCAGGCTGGATAAAACAACAGTAGCTATGCAACAATCAAGGTTAATCAAAAACTGAAATCAGAGAAGTTGCAATCAGAACCCCATGCCTTCATAGGTAGGAATGAAACCCGCATTCCCTGTATGGCCATCAAACCCCCGACAGACACCCACCATGGCCCACATCCAAAGGTAAGTGTACATGGTTAGAGGAGGGGATAAAGAATTCGTGTGCCTAAATGTCACGGGAGGACGCATCGACACGAAGATCCTAACACACTGGACATGTCAGGATATATCAAGGAGTCGATTTGTACGACTGCAGTACGGCAGTCCACCTGTAGGAAAAACTAGGTCAATGCAAAACGATGACAATATGGTATTACCCACTCTTCCTTCTCCGCCTCCAACTCGGCAATTCGTCTCTTTAGCGTCCTACCGGGATCCGTGAGCGAGCACCGGTAGCACAGCATAAAATAGTCACTTACGAATTCTCGTGACTAAGAGCATTCCTAGATTCCTTCGTCTTGCTGAGATCGTTAGTCATGGCTTGCCATGCTTCGTCGTGAGGGAGATTGGCATCGTTGTACATTGCATCCAATTCCTCATTGAAAGCCTGAAAGCCGTCGAAACTCGGACTTTCTTGGCTAGTATTACCCTCCCTTACCTCATACATGATTTCCTTTTCAGCTGTCGCGTCCACAAGCAGACTCTTGACAAGCTCACGTTGGCGTTTAGCGTTCTGTAGTTCTGCCCTCATCTTGTCATATTCCTCAGCCTTCTGTATCCGTAATGAGCCCAAAGTTCGTATTATCCTGGTGTCTGCATGCGTACCGCTTTGAGGTCTTGGAACAGTTGTTCCAGACAAACCTGGAGCATCTCGTGGTTAGTGACCGCGCGATTTATGCACTGATCTGCGTCTTTGGCTGACACCTCCAGCCGGCTGATGATGGGGTTGCCAGTGGCATCAGGTGTTAACGGGCTTTCTGAAATGAAACTACTGTAGGGACGTATTCGAGGTGTCCCTTCCGTCTGCCGCTTGCCTAATGAGCTGCCGCATTTCGTTCAGACGGGCTTGAGCTTCCTTCGTCTTAGCACAGATCAGTACGCCGTACGGGCTCAGAGTGAGTAACATACTAATGGCGGAGGACTGGCCCGTAAAGAGGTACGTGCAAGGGCTTTATCTGGCGACGGTGACCTCCGTGGATCTGCTGAACCATTGCATGAGGTTGCCCTCAACTCATCTACGTCAAGCCTGATGCGTTTGAGCGCACGACGAGAACCGTCGATCTGACAACGGGAAGAATTTAAGAATGTACTATGCGTTACCGCGGGAGAAATATACGACGTACGTCTTCTTTGGTAGTGGAAACCATCTGCGTGATGCGTTCGATGTATCCAGTGTAAGCGAGTGGATCTGAGGGGCGATTTGCCTTCTTTTCAAGTGATACCTTACGCGGTGAGATTGTCCTTGCGGTAGTTTTGGATAATGGCGACATCCTTCTGTACGGCCTCCTCGGTGAAGGGTATACACTATGTCCTGAGCGTACGGAAGACTTCTTCTTAATAGGCAGAGGCTCGATACTGCTGACAGGGGCAGATATCGGTGTGTCTGCCGCTGTTTGCTGTGGACGCTTGTGTCGGGGAAGAGGTGAGGAAGGCGTATCGTTGCGAAGAGCAGTTAGAGAAGGCTCTTCCAGTCGGAACGTATCATCCTCTAGCTCCATATCTGAATCTTCCGTTGTTGCGAGCTGCAAGCGCGACGATGCAGGGCTGGTGGGAGGTAATGAAGGACTACGTGGACCGAATCGGCGAATCTCACTAGCTGGTGGCACAGAGGGCTTCAATAGTGAAGAAACTCCCGAGGCTGGCGATCGTGGTCGAGACTCCGATGACATGGGACTGGCTGCTTCCATCGTAGTAGATATTCGTGATCCGCGTTTCAACTGTAGTGGTGGTCCTTCTGCCAACATTGCATTGTTATAGGGGCTATGTAAGGTTTGGATTGAAAAACTCGCCTTCGTATATAGTTTCCTCAATCTGCGTGTTTTCCCGTAATGGGGGAAGTGGCTTGCCGTGCTGATTCTGGCTGTTTCTCCGAGCCAGCTCCAGCCGTGACGTCAAATCATCTTCCGACCTATCCAGGCTCACTTCTGCATCGTCAGGGATTGGATGATTGTCTCGAGAAGTGGAGCGAGAGGCTGGCCTAGATGAAGGTTCTGGAGAGCATCGACTGTTACTAGGCGACGGTCCTCTCTTGACCAACTTCCTACGCGAACTGGTAGATCTACTGACACTGAAGGAGTCGTCTTCGCCGGAAGCCAATGACGTGGCAGCGGTGGTTGTTGAACCACCCGAACGATAAGAGAACTTGGCAAGGCTGCCATCTCCGGTTGTCGTAGTTTGAGTGTATATTGAGGACCGACTGGTAGTCGACTTGGATCGCGAACGGCGATGGCCACTAATAGAACCACCAAATAACTCGCTTCTCGTCGAAACCGGTTTAGAACTAAAAAGGTTCCTAGATATCGCATCCAAGCTGAAAATATGCGCTCGCGATCGGGCACTGGCGGTAGGTGTCGCCGGTCGAGAGTCGTTACTAGTACGGAATTTGAACAGCCCATAATGGTGAACTGTTCGCGTTGAGACATATCGGCAAAATCATCTGAGGATTACTTACTGGTTTGTACGATACGTCCTGGTATTCGTGCCGTTTGTACGATCTCCTCTTCGGGGTCACCACTAGGATCCGTCGATGTGACGGAGTACCGCGAAATCTCGCCTGCCATTGGCTGCACTCGAACGATCACGTAGGGCGGGCCATCCATACCAAAAGATATCGGATCAGCGGTACCGAGGGGATCAATGTGCATCACAATCTTGGTCTATTACCAACTGGGGTGAACTCCAGGTCCGCTTTTGAGTCAAAAAGAGAAAACCCACCTTCTTGATTTCCTGCAGGAACGCAGTGCGCTGATAGACGTTGAAATATGTCCGTGCCATAGTAGTCCTGCTGCCCTTGGCCTCGACTTCCGCCTCGTCTGCACAAAGCACTACAGACTGACCGTATCTAGTCCTGTACTTCGCTTGAGCCGACCATAGATTCTCCAAAAATCGCTCCTTTTCAACAGCGGTACGAGAGGGGTCCAAGTTTATCGGCGCCGGTGGGAAAACTACAGAAAGGGAGCGGAACGGGCGACCCGACCACCTGTCACCCTGATCCTGAGGAGGGTTCTCAAGATACACATGGAATTCTTAGCAGGAGGATGCCTCAGTCACAAAACCGATGAAAAAGTATCTGAGACAGGAGGATGCTTACCGGAATCGCCGACATCCGCGGCTACAATATCAGTTATGTCAAAAATGCCTTTACAACTCATGCCACTTTTCTTGAGTCCTAGGGGTAGACCCCCTGTCTTGGCCAATTTCTGCACTTCGTCCAGCCCAGCCAACGTCTTGCCACTCTTCTCTCCATTTCCAGGGCGCTTGGCGATCATAAGTTTGTCGTCAAACAGGAAGAGCGTACAATGAAGCGCGGTGGCAGAGAAACTAGATGCAGACGTGGATGCGCCCATAGGGGCATCCATGATCACATCGTCCACATCGATGCAATCAATAAACCGTCGCGAGTTAGATATGAGTCCAGCAGGGAATCCATCGATAGTTGCACTCAGCGAGTACATCACAGCAGCGCGCTGCGTCTGTTCGTCTGTCTCTGCTTGCGCAATCTTGCTCGCAATCTCGTCCGCCTCTATGAGCAATGCACGCTGCGGATCGTCCAATCCCATCGACTTCACCATCGTTCGGAATAGTAGCGTGTATCTTGGTATCCGTTGCACGGGGTCCATCAAGAGCTCACGCAACCCGACGCGATTCCTCGAGTCCGCATTGGAGTATTTGATTCGCTATGGGCGAGTTAGCTGACCAGCGCAGAGACATAAGAAAAACCGGTAACTCGCATCAACATAAGCGGCAAACCCTGACGATTTCTTCATCATCTCCCTCTCGAATATCGTCTGTGCTTCCTCCCGCTTGACATAGTACTGTTTATAGTGCTCAAAGCCTCTCAGTTCCTTAAAATGTCTCAATGCAACGTCACCCACACCCCCCACCGTCCTCGGTCCGTCCGCTTCCATCATCTTCTCGAGATCCGCAAGAAACGCCTCGTTCACGGGTAGGAGATTGTCGATATTGCCGAAGAGGGTTTTTGCCTCGTATGGCGGGAGAATTGATGTGCTCTTGGAGCGCGAAAATTGACGAAGCGGGTCTGCGTAGTCGTGTTTGAGGATTCGTAAGCGTTTGACATAGGATCGTTCGGTATTTACGAGTTCATTGATCACATCCAAGAGCGCGGACGCATCCGTAGTCGGTCGTGGGCGTTGGTTGGGACCGGTCTAAGATACAAAGGCAGCATAAACGAGAAACATTGAACGATCATACTTGCTACGGATCTTACGAAGATAAGAATACTTACGATATGCTCGGACAATGTCGTTTCACCAGCAGAAGGTAGTATGTGGTGCTGGTCCTGTCCAAGCCACGGATCACCGAGGGATAGCACTAGGTCCTGTACATCTGCATAGCGTTCAGACGATGGCCATCCACTGGCCCGACGTGTGCTGGAGTCGACGACCCACTCACCATCTGGTAAGCGCTTCCCACCCTCGCACCCTTCCACGACAACTCCACAATAGAACACGCGTCTGATCACGTTCTGCCCGTTGCCTGGTCCGCTCCTTCTCGGGGTGTCGCCGTCCCCGCTCGCAAGAGGGACAGTTTTCCTCGGAGAGCCATTCAGTGCCATTTCCACGTTTTCATGCGAAAGAAAAAAACACCGATCTTGAGAAGCGATAGTTGACAGCAAGTCTGCTCTTGCAACAGTATACCGACCTGTCTACACTCAAACCAAACCGACTAAACTGTTGCCACTTTCGGTGAGCGCTTCAGCACTCTTGGATCACGTGACCGCGTTCTTGGACAGTAGTAAACCGAAAAGTGCAGGACATGCAATGCAGGTAATGTATCCTAGCCAAAATAGTTGAAGTGAAAATATAATGAAGCTCTTGTGTAAGTTTATGCAAATCGATGATAGTGTACAACCTTCTTGTTATCCAGGTGCGATGCGATGCACATGTTCCCAATACTCATCTCTACGATGCAGCGCTACCCATTGGCGTCAACCGCTGGAAGAATGACAGACTCCTCCGTAACTTGGATACCCCGGCACTCCCAGCACATTCTCCTTCCCGGTCGCGCAGGCTGGCTGTCAAAGACATAGAAGCTCTCCTGGAACGCGTCGAAAACAACTTTCCCCTTGCAGGGCCCTCATACCCAAGCTCGAAATCAACTGATGAATGCCTGACGTGCCCCTGCCTCTGGGTGGAGGGACCATGTCTATGACTCGGTAGCGACAAACGCTTGAGGTCGGACTGGGAGGAGTACGGCCGATCTGTGAGGAGAATCGACGGGCGCCGTACCTCAGGCCCGAGTGACTTGGACGTCGGGAGTTCGTCCCTGGGGGTGTCAGGTGCACTCCGCGAGCGGTGCCTGAACGTCTCTCTCGACCACCATTTGAGTAAACCTTTGCCGGACGTACCACTCCCGACGGAGGGTTCACGTACCAGCACCGAGACAGGCGATGCCGAACGAGAGACGAACAAGCCCCGAACGTTTTCGATCATCGAACGGCTGCGTTTGGGTGTGCAACCTTGCTGATGCGATCTGAACGAATCCTGGCGTGCGATGCCACTCTCAAGTCCGGGCAAGTTGGTCGTGATGGGACCAGGTGAATCCAGAGGAGTGGCCAGTGCAGTGACCGACGTGGATGAACAATGTGACACTGGTGAAGGCGACTCTACAAACACATCCTCAGACCCCACTGGTTTAGCCATGATAACCTTGAGCTTCTTCGGTTGCCGTCGCTTTCTTACTGGCCTATTGGGACGCAGTACTGGTCCACATGTCTCCACGTCAAGGGACGAGTTGTTTCCAGCGTCAATAAAGCTCGCCCGCCGAGGAACAAGCACGCTTTCACGCCTAGTAAGCTTGTTCTTTGCAGCGACGCTCACCGCGCTTGCCATGGTCAAGCCTGAACTCGAGCGAGAGAATGAGCGAGCGACCGTTCGTCCCTCAAAGAGATCCTCCTCGAGTGCGCTAGCTTGGTAGCGCGCAGCGAGTAGTGTCTCCGAAAACACGTCCAGCAAATCACGTTCGACCTGCTCCCGGGCTGGAGTGGTAGATCTGACGAGGTGAAATGTGCCCGATTCCACTGATGACGTTGGGTAAAACTTGCACGAAACCGCAGAAGCCCGACGGCTAACCATGTCAACCTTGGCGTAGTCCACTCGATGGTTCGTTCGACAGGAGTTCAACATGTCGGCAGGATTACAAGCAACCTCTCCCGTCGCCGAAAAGTCGGCATCGCTCTCCAACTCCGGAATAGAGTGAATGGTTGGCAAAGGAGCGACAATCTCGAAGGGAACGTCTTCTACGACTATGTCGGTTCTACCGTCACCGTGAAAACTCGTTGGCGGATCACCATTCCATGTCGGTTCTTCGGACAGAGCACTGCGAATAACGTCCATCCAGATATCTTTCTCACGCCGACACGACGCCGCGAGTTCAAACGTATGCCCCTTAAATGACAGGCGGAACCAGCTTGGAAGTAATCCTGAGCAAGTCACATCAGACAACAAAGCAGTGTCATGGTTAGTTGCACAGCCTACCGCCATCCGTACTCGAATCCGTGAGCTCAAACCCTTTCAAGCTGAACCAATGCCTCGGTTCGTATGCTTTTAGTTTGGCCACTTTGGCGAGCACGAAGAAGCCACCAGTGAACAGAAAAGCGCCGAGGTACTTGGCCTTGACCGTGCCCTGATTCCCCAAACTTGATCCGTAGTAATAAATGACATCTAAGGAGCCAACTATCTGACAGGAACCCAGGGACAAGAGAAATCCAGGGGTCAGGTATTGCGAACCGGAGTTTGTCGTAGATGCAGCGATACCCTGACATATTCTGGACACGATGAGGCTAGTTTTGACGGCAAGGTCCTGCTGCCGGCTAGCCTCGTCCACTGAACTGGTCACAGTACGCATCACGTGGGCAGCACGCTCGATAACTTCGTGACAGGGACCGAAATCGGGCTCTTGGGCCGGAATAGTAAACTGGAGTTGGTCGAGAAGTAGTGGGTACTTGCAAATCCTTTGGACCGGCTTGATCAGGTAGTCTACGAAGAGAAGGCGAGGACGCCGAACACCAGTAGCGCTATCGTTGTGACCATTTTCGGAAGCGCTGATATTGGGTGGTTTCAAGTTGAAGCTCGACAGGACGTGGGGGAGGACCTGAGCGCGAGTAGAGACGTCCAGGGACGAGAGTGAATGTCGCCGCTTCTTCCTGGATGACATCGAACCGGTGTCCAAAGCCACAGGGGAACCTTGATGATCATCTGGCTTCGTCCCCTGTGGAGAGTGTGGAGAGGTTTCCGTCAATATTTCTGTGGCGATATCGGCACACCGCTGTTCGAACGCCTCCCATTCGGATGGGTACTTCTGTTGAACCTTGTGCAGTACATTCAATGCATCTGGATGGCCTGAGCAGAAGCTTCGATAACGGTCGAAGCTAGAAGCCTATACACAGGCTATCTATCTAGGTCACATGAACAGTCTGAGGGGAGACTCACGTGTTCGATGAAGACGGTTGAGACCGCATCGATTGCACGTTGCAAGTCGGCAGGATTGGCGGGCCGCTCCAGCGTGTCCTCAACACTCCACTTCATGGGAAAACCAAACTGAGCGACCGCGGCGCGCAGTCGACGCACGAGGTTTTCGTGGAATTCCAAGATCTGATCCGCATTTCGGGTAACTATATCCAAATCCGACGAAGAGAACAGATGGCGAGGTGAACATTTATCCTTATCCTTTGCAGGGGGCAAAGGCTGGAAGATAAGCAAGTTGTGTGCGTAACAGTCTGTGGAGTGTGTGAATGAAAATGGTTTGGTACCGTTGATATGTTGATTGGAAGGGGCACGTGGATTGCCACCGAGGTACGACATGCCAAGGAGAGAAGGGGTGCGGGAAATGGGAGCCGCGCTAAGATTAGACGACGAAGCGTGGGTGCTGGACGAAGCACTGCGGCTTACGAGTACGGGAAGCAAACGAAGGTAAACCTGGATGGGATGGTCAGGAAGCCAGACGGAAAAACAGATAGCGTGTTACCTACGCAGACGAGTATTCTGAGGTCGATCAGGTAGCCCAGTTCTGTAGAGAGCAGTTCCGAGAGGGCATGACAACGTCTCGAGTTTTCCTTGGAGACGGACGACGAACACGGAACGTCACTTGGCTGGTCATGACCTTCCATTTCTGGATCGTCGGTACCAATGTGGAAGAGAGGGCGAGGTTTGGACGTATCTTGACGACGACTGGAAACAGTGGGGAGCGACGCATTGGGCCCAGAATGTGTGGAATCGGGTATTGGCGGGAGGGGTTTTGAGACGGGGGTTGGCGGGAGAGAAGCCCTCCGTTTGACGACGACGGAAGGGTCTGAGTGATTTTTGATACAAGGGGGGACGTGAACGGAGCGTGGACGATGCGAGAGAGAGACTGCAGGGGGCGTTGGGGGTGTGGCAGTCCATGTTGGAGGGGGTATACTGGTACTGGGTGTGTTTGGGACGATGCATGATGCCATGCCGTGGTGGTCGTGAATGCTTGGTGTTGGGGTCGAGAGCGGGGAAGCGAGGATGGGAGTGAGAGGGGCTGCGGGAAAGGCGAGGCGGGCAGACCTGCGGCAAGGGTGATTATGAAGATGACAATGGTCGTGTAATAAGGATGGGAGGAAGCGGTGTTGAGGAAAAGCACTAGGTGCGTGCGCCATGGATCTGCTAGCATTACTTTTGAGGGACGGCGCAGAGCAATTCCCCTGCATTTTAGGGAGAGAGGGGGGAACTCGAGAGAGATATAGGCTGGCTGACAGGAACAGCCGATCACACCACACACGCACACGCACACCACAGCACAGCTGCTAAAGCATTCCCCCAAGTCTAATTGGCATGCTGGCCTGTTCCTTTTGGGCGTCATGCCATGGCGTCATTACACCAGATCTATCCGCCCGGAGATCGACCCGTCTATTCCCGTGAAAACCATCTGATCGATCACCTCAGCATCCGCCACGGAAGTGTGTCCCCCCCCCCTCGTTCTGTTCTCCCTCCAGACAAGTTGTGCTGCACGAGTTCGAACGTGTACAACAAAGAATACGTCACGTCAGTATCACACACTAATCTGCGAGACAATCGAATTACAACATGTAACGTAAAAGCTGCACTAACTCAAACCAATGGACCAGTATCTTCCCCCCTGAGCAGAAAACGTTCCCGTCGATCCTCCTCTCAATCGTCAACCACAATATCATCGTTCCCTCGACCGCAACGTAGATACAGCAAGACCTGCACGTTCACAGCTTGGTCAAATCCACTTTCCTGTTACGGAATCAGATATTGCCTTTTTCGTCAAATTGGGCCTCGATCGGGGACCATCCAATTTGGTCAAGACACCCGGCCCCCTGTGTCACAAGCGCTAGAGTGCTCAGTACAAGTCCATCCGGTCGTCAGACCGCGCAACAAACGGTATGTTTCGTGCTTCAGCCTGCTGGCGTCGAGTCTTTTCCTTGTCCAGAAACTGGCACAACTTGCCGATGTTCTCCCCGCTAAACACCCGGAATACTGCCTTCTGATCATCTGGCCATCTCTGTGGAAATGAATCGCATCATTTTATTATTTCGATAACGTTTCCAAATTCTCATACTCACCTCAGGCGGTGGATCTGAAAACCTACCAAGTCCCTTCCGCCGCGCTGCTGGCACCCCCGTTACGGTCAACTGTCTCAGTTGACGGCTGCGGCGAATCAGGTGGTGCAATGATTTCAGCGATATCCGGTCACAGTATGACAGATGTAGGCGCTCCAGAGTCGGAGTGTGGTCCCCAAGAAAGTAAATCGCATTGTCCGTCACTTTGGGCACTCGTACCAACACAAGTCGGGTAAGCTTCTGCAGCCCCGCCAGTTCCATCACCGCCAGATCTGTCAGCTGTCGACAAACTACGGCTCACTGCATCAGTACGACCAATAGGACGAGTCCGGCCCATCCACTCACACGCCAAGTCTACGGATCGGAGTTCGAGACACTCCTGTGCGAGTTTCATGACCCCACTGTCCGTGATGTGTGGTACATGAGCCAGATTCAACGCGCTCAAGCTCACCCCTAACTTCGCTACGCTCTCCAGCGCATCGTCCGTCAAATTCGTGCAACCTGCCAACGATAAGATGTCCAGCGCAGGACAATGCGCTACCACGCCAGCCACTGCTTCATCCGTAATCCTCGTCAGTCCACTCAAATCAAGTATCCGCATATCCACCGCCGTATGGCGTAGCATTAACGGCTCAAGTTGCTCGATCCATGTCAGCGGCCGATGGGGCAGTGGCTTGTCCTCCGACTCCGGCTTCTTCCCTCTGTCCTTGATTCGGTACGGAAACGCCGTATCCGTTAACTGGGGACACCGTGCGAGGGAGAGACACCGTAATTTCCGAGAAAACGACCATACATCCCGTACGGAAACCGCCGTGATGAGGGGCCCTTCGGACAGGTCGAGCTCCTGGAGTCTGGGAAACGTCTTCGCAATCGCAGATATCGTTGGATCCGTCAGTACAACCCCACCTCCGATATAGAGGTACTCCAACGGGGGCGCTTTCGCAACGAGCTCGAGAATGCTCACGTCCGAGACGTACTTGCACCCGTTGATTTGAAGACCGCGCAACCCACCGACAGTCTTTGCGAGCTCAATGATCGTTCTGTCTGAGAGATCGCGTACGCCGGTGAGCACGAGCGACTGTAGTTTACGACAGCCGTAAATCTCGTTTAGGATTTGGTGCTCCGTTATACCGGTAGAGGGGTCGTCGATGATGATACCGCGGGTCATGGCCCGCTCTTTGAAGTTCGCTGGGAGCCGGTTTACAATGTGTTTAAGTTCAGGATACCCTGGATCCCAACCAACATCCAACTCCCAGTCTAATGCCATCATGTCCATCATGATCGTTGTTTTCGGGATCGCTCTAGGCTTGACTTCAAGCGAGTATCGTTATGTGTTCCTCCTTTGTGTATGGTGTGGTCGTGAGGCGACTTTCTGGGTGTGTGGGTTGGTGCGACTAGAATACAGCAAGTGGAATGAGAGATAAGGCGGGTATCAATGAGTGGCTGACATCCCACTGCGCATTTGGCGTCTTTGTTCTTGTCGAGATGCGCGCCCATAACAGGCTTGCCTTGGCAAAATAACCCACGAGGCTCCAGACTTGGACGACAACCAGATGACATCCACGACCAGTTCAGCGTCCTCCTCGACCATAACACCCCGTGGACCACCCTATTCCGCTTCTGCAACGTCGACACCCACCACTCTTCAACCCAGCGCATCGCCGTCATCTTCGCGCCACCCACATCCACAACCACTGGTACCATTAGAAGACCCTGCCCCCCGACGGTTTCCCGTAACACCTGCCGTGCTGCGATCTATATTCGCATCATCGCGTACACCGTACGAGGAAAGATCCATTTCGCGGGTCGCGTTTTTTAGGTGAGCAGGCGTCTCCCCAGAATTCCTTGGGTTTTTGGATCGAGCCTCGATATGATACCAAACTCGTGACGTTAGGTTCGCTGGCTTCTTGCTGAGCTGTGTCGCAATCAGCTTTGCCGCTGCGAGAGGTAGGAGAGGCGGAGCAGGGCTACTTGGAGGAGTCTGATCATTTCTGACTTGTATCCGGCATCATCCTACGCGACTACAAAAGCATGCGTGCAGATTTCTAAACCATCTACATATATGCGACAGCAAGGCATGCGTTGAAGCATGTCCGTTGCATTATACACATTATAATGTCTACGTTCGGGGTACGCAGGACGATGTGGAGAAGACGGTGTAAGGCTTACACTGTGCGTCCCTCTGTTCATACCCCCCTCCAGTGTATGGGATGCACACGCAGTGAACAACTTTTGGAAGTGTATCAATCCGCACCCCAGCCGTTCTAGATACCAGAAACAACCTCACTCGGGCCCGCCTCTGGAATAGTACTAGTGTCCTTATCGAAATCGGGATCAACCACTGACTCATGGTCGTCCACACTGGCGGCACTCGTCACCTTCCGGCGACGTATCGAAGCTGCGGCGGGTGGTAAATGTGCCTTTTTGACGCGAAGAATATCCATGATTTCTGTGTCGGAAATAGTGAGCCGCCGATCCCAGGAACAACATCGGTGTGCAATGACAGCATAAGAAAAAAGAAAAAAAAAGTAGGCGGCGAGAATCTCGTCCCGCCACGTAAAAAAAAAAACAGATTACAGGTAAGAACGGACCTTGGTGTGTCATGTCCTCGTACCCCTTGATACTCCGCTTCATCGTGAGCCACCGTCGTTGTAGGGAATGCGCGCTCCACAAATTCCAATCCTGGTCAGGAAGCGTTTTCCAGTCTATCTCCGTGTCATCCCTGACTCTGAGTGAATCCACCCTGTACCGCCGTCCTTAGCCTTCGGTCTACATGCACTGCACGATGCAACAACTCACTTGTGGACCAGGATATATGCATCCTGGGGGCTCCACCGCGGTTTCTGACCCTCATTCTTGACGGTTTTACTGAGTGAATCCGTCCTGAGGCAACTAGCATTAATACCAATCCCCAGAAGGGATATTGGCTTACGTACCATTTTATCCGACACTGCTGCCTTCCACGTCGGTTGCCCATCCGATCGCTGACTATCCCCCAGAACACGTCATTGTCGAGGTCCTTACCCTGTTGAATAGTCATTTCCGTCACTATTCGTGTCAACTCTTCCTCCTCTTCTTTACTCCATGGCCCGGTCACACGTAGCTCACGATTCGCAATATGGTTCCGGTAGCGATCCCGGCAATCGGAGGACATACGACCAACGCGCTCGCTGACCTTTTCCCATTGTTGGCCTAGGTCTACGACGGCTCTACGCGGCAAGTAGTTAGTCAAGTCCACGTTCACTAAACTCAGGTGATAGCTTACTGTTTCAATATGCTGTCCTCTTCCGGAGTCCATTTGCCCTGTTGCTTCTTGGGATGGAACGCTCTCCGAACGTGATGGTAGACAGCTATAATGGGACGCTGGGGCACGGCAGTCGCTGTGCAGATTATGGTTGGACGCGCCGTGGACATGTGAATACTTGACGTACTGATCTCCGACCAAAATGTATTGTCCTTGCCCTTCTCGTTTCGTTGGAAGATGATTTCCAGTATCTGATCGTCGGTAAGTCCCCGACCCTAGAGGCAAAGCCGAGCAAAGGATATCAGCCAAGGTTTTCAGTACCTGGACGTGCTTGAACAACTCACCGCCTTAAACGTTTCGATGGCTGTTTTCAGCTGCTGCTCTTCGATTGCCGAGAACTTGCCCTTCTTGTAGACAAGTCCTTCACTCATGATTAACAGCACGGTCACCGGTAAGACGGTTGTATCGCAAACCTTCCGTTTTTACGAGTTCAGCCAGCTTACTCGCATTCATCCATTTATTCGCAAGCATATACGCGTGTTCCAGGTTGGAAGGTGCGGGACCCGGAAGATTCATATCCAACACGCGTTTATGCGATGATTTGGTCGACTTTGGGGCAGTGCTGAGGTTAGGCCTTGCAGAGGTGGATGATACATCGGCCACCGGTGCTAACCGACGCGGAGTATCAGTGCCACTGGGTGCTGGGGGAACAAAACCTGGTAGTGAGGGGTTCTCGCCTGGGACGTTGGCAGTAGTAGCAACGTCTCCCAGCGTCTTGAATACGCCGGCTATTTTGGACATGTCCATGTCCTGGATGGCACGCAGTATATCATCATTAGACGCGAATTGGAAGTCAGGCACAGGACCGCCCAATCCTGGAAACAGTGGTTGCGAGTGTGGCGGATGCGAGGGGTCAAACTGGGGAACTTCATTGAAACCGTAGTGTACGGGCGGGAACGGCAAGTATGAGGGTGGTTGGTCGGGTACCATGGAATGGTGATCCTGGTAGGGTGGCTGATGCTGGTAAGGCTGTATATCAATGGGCTGTGATTCGGACGACGTAGCGGAGGCCGCAGCAACGACTGCGTTCAGAAAGGCGGCAGATGCAGCGTGATGGTTATCTCCCGACAAATCGGGGTGGTGTAGGTCATTCGGAAGGGAACCTGCGCCTTGAGGAGGCACGTCTTTACTTGTTACGCTGTGTGTGTCCCCCACTGCATCGTCCTGGTACGGTCCTAGGTGTATTGGATGGCCGTGTTCCGTTGTGTCCGTCAGATGGCTACCTTTCTTCCTTTTCTTTTTGCGTTTCTCGTCAGAGGCCTCATCGTCATCCCTGGCAAGCTTCCGTCGCGACGTCTTACGACTCTGAGATTGGATAAATGCATTGTTAGCCTCACCGACGGCGAGCTGCAATGCCCGCTGAATGTCGGATGAAAGGCCAAGGCTTGTGTCGCCCATCCAGAATAACAAAGTATTTAGGGTGGGCCGTCGGCGACTTGGATGAGGGCAAGCGCGAAAATAAACTGACTACGCATAGATCGGTCGACCGCTCTCATTCCGGGAAGATCCTCGGACCGAAATATTACCATATTTGTCAATAGTCACACTCCCCGCCTCCCTCCATCTCCATCTCGTCCGCCTCCTCCTCGTCAAACCACCCCTCCTCGTCCTCATTAATGTCATACTGTTCGCTCCAGTCACACAGATCATAATCAGCACCCTATACAATGATGAGTCCGTCAACACCGCCGCATTCATCCACAGTGCTCGTTGACGCACTTCCAACAGACCGTAAACGAACAACTCTTTTATCCGTCTTGCAAAGTCAGCGCTCAGCTCCTCTGGAGACTCCTGCACACCTGCTGCTGTATCTCTCATGTCGCTATCACTCTCGTCCTCTTCTGGAATAAATTCGTCCTCTTCTCCACCTCCTTGGCTGCGCTTGAGATATCTCATTCTCTCGGCTTCTCTCTCTTCCTCGTACTCTCCTAACAAGCTTCCCAGTTTCCCTACTTGCTGCGGCACCCCGTCCAAAAATCTTTTGTTCGCCCACTCCTTCTCGTCTTCAGCAGCTCGCTTTCCATATCGCTCACGCCCTGACCACAAGTGCGGCCACCGAACCTTGGCCGACTCCAGCTCGAGTTGCTTTGGTGCAGTTTCTGTGTACCTTAGCCGACGGTTCCGCATCTCCGGTATGAGGCTACGCTGTTTCGGCGTCGTGACCAGCCCGAAGCTCGTAATCAGGTGTGGCGGTATTTGATGCAGGAACTTGCGCAGGAATTCGACAGGTGAGTTGCTTGGGAGCGGGCTGTAGTCCAGAGGCAGACCGAGATATGATAGCAATACGAGATCGCTGAAAGTGTTGCCATCCATGTGGTGAGATTGCCGAAGAGAGGAGTAGACTCGAAGGTTAGGAGTGTGCTTATGTAACCGATCGTCAAGTACTGGTTGTCACAGTAATCAGGATTTGTATGTCTCAAGCTCCGAGCTCTGTTCTAATCTCATGCCAGTGGGACCAATGCAAGGTTTTATTGCCAAGTCGTGACGAGCTCTTGAATCACATCCGGGTGGAGCACATTATGCCCATGATGCCCATGCGCAAGAATGAAATCCTCCTGATGAAAAAACTTGATAAGGAGAAAACCCGAGCTGCAACAATGATTCCAGGCTAGTGACAATACATCTTTGCTGTTTTCAGTCTTTATCAGACTTAAGGTGTTCAGGTGACGACAGTCGGGCAGATGCTTCACCGACACTTGAATGGCCTGGCTCGGATGACGAAGGTGGTGGATCACGTCCCCAAGAACACCCACAGGTAACTGTGCTGAACCACGACAGTTCACCTCCCCGTGACAGAGGCTCGACATTCTCAACGGGGTGGTCACAGGCACCCCAAGCTGTGATGGAGTCCCACTCAGAGAATCTGAACGATTCTCAAATGTCGGGTGGATGCACACATCAGAATTCCATGCCTCAGACACAGGCAACCTACCATAGTCAAGGTACGGATTCGAGTCAGTGAAGGAATTGGATTGTATCATACATTCAGTCGAGCTGTATCTTACCACACCCGATAGGTGTCACTCACTACTGGTAATAGGATAGCTTGATACTCCTTGATTTTCCGGTGGCTTTTTTCTGGTTTGGCTTTGTGGTGTCCTACAATGTTATGTATGTAAAGCTGCATCGACCTACTTGATTCAGCTCGATGGACTGCGACATTCATAGTTTCAATGGCCACTGCAAATGAAAAGCTAAATGTTGAAGGTAACAACGACGAACCGGCGGTCCCTGATGTTCCGAAGGATCTCCTGTTGATCATCTTCATTCATGGGTACGTTCAAGACCGAGTATCTGCTCTCTCCCAGTCATAAGTCTCGAATCACAGGTTCAAGGGCACCGATTCGACCTTTGGGAGCTTCCCCTCCAGACTTGAACACATCCTCACCGAAACTATGGACAATGTAACCGTTGAATGTATCGTCTTTCCGGCTTACGAGGTTAGTCGCCTGCTATCTTCCTCCGAACCGCGAGAGTGTAAGTATTGATGTATTTCCACAGACCAAGGGAGAATTGGTGGGTGAACAATAACCTTTACTTCCTAGGATCCCGCAGAATTGAAATCTTCGTTTGCCCAACGGCTGCGCAGACTGCGGCCGTCGAGCGTTTCGTTGACTGGCTCACAACCCTCACTGTTCAGAAAGAGGTTGCTCATGGCGGAGGTGCCGGAGCTGCCAAGATCGTCCTTTGCGGCCACAGGCAAGTTGAAATTTTGATCGCTATTCACCTCAACCCTCTCCTCACGGTGCTGAAATAGTATGGGCGGGTTACTAGCAGCCGATGCACTCTGTGCTTTGATTAAATCAAGACCTGACGAGGGTGCCCCACTGTGGTCAAGAGTTATCGGTTGCATCGCTTTCGACACACCCGTAAGCCTCTTCGGCCGCCATAGAACCCCACTTGAGTACGCTGTATCCTTAGTATTTAGGTCTGCACCCTTTTGTATTCAAGAACAGTGCAACACGAGCAGCAGAGGCCGCAGATACTGCACGCACCGTTGTCTCGGACGTGCTCTGGTTTATGGGGAAAAATCGGGATTCACCACAGGCCAAGTCGAATCCATCTCTCCCCCAGATTGCCCCAGCAACAGAGTCAGAAAGTACCTCCAAATCTACTGGATGGGCACGTTGGGCACCTTCAGCCTATGTAGTAGGGGGAGCTATCGCCGCTGGTGCCGCAGCAGGAGCTGCGTACTGGCGACGTGAAGATATCACATCAGGGTACAATTGGGCATTCGGGCATATGAAATACGTGGGTACTCTTTGGGACGGGGAAGGAATGACAAAGCGACTAGATAATTTAATGCTCGCCGAAAAGCAAGGAATAATCTTTAAGATGTAAGCCGCTTTCGCCAAATCTCAAGCTTTTATTCGCTAATCTACTTGTCTGCCTTCTCAAGGTTCTATGTACTGCTCCCGCCCTCTCTTCCTTCATTCCCCTCCCCACGAACATTCGTCGTGTTGCCTTCCCGTTCATCTCCGGCTTTCTCCAACTACATTATCAGTAAGAACTCGGTCGCGACGGATGAGATACAAGCGCACACGGGCTTGTTTGAACCAACTACAAATGATGGTTATTATGAACTTGGACTCGAGACTGCAAAGATAATTTGCGAGGCGGCGGCAAGAAGCGGGATGCATTCTACTGTACCCACATGAGCGAGTCCATGCACAGAGAGTTCAGGTCAGCTACGGCAGTGTCATAATGCGTTACATCCTATACGTCCACATGTCCATATATCTGTATTATGACTGGTTGAATGTTAGCTGCATAGCGTATGCATCTTCACCGTCGGCGTCTGTAAACTCGTAAGTTTACAAGTTTTGCCAGCGTCATTCATAAGACGCACAATACTTCTCCTCGATGCTTTTAACAGTGAAACCCAGGGTGTCCCGATAAAGACTAAGAGCGGCACGATTGGATTTGCGTACATGCAGCGACACGTATGCGGCACGATAGATGGTCGACATGGCCTCCTCTACATGATCCATCGAATGATGATGAGTACAGCAAGGCGGTCAGAGGGCAGCATAAACGACGCACGGGATTGCAGCATCAACTTCTTAGCCAGCCCTAATCGCCGGTATGATCGTAGCACTGAAATCGAGGTGACGTGTCCGTGAGGCACTTGCTCACTTTTTTCTGGGCCATCGTGTTCCTCGGGTTCCTCCCTATGTGCAGTCTTTTCAGTGACTGGATACTTCTAGGGACGTACGGTCAGGCTGAGGGTGCTAACATTTTGGCCAGTATGTATCCGACTACACGCCCGTGCTCCTCCGCGACGTAGGATAGGGATGGCCATGTTAGTGCATGATAAAGATCTGATATTCCACAAAAAAATTGGGTGTATAATCAAGCGATGGATTGGACCGGAACGCACAGTACTTCATGGTATAGTTTTCAGGAAGGTTGTGCAGATTACAGGCCTGCATGCCTGGGAGGTCTTCCAGCCTTGCTTGTCGAATATTCATCGGGAGACGTGTATCGGCTCGTGGAGGAGAGAGTGAAACCTTGAAGTTGTCTGGCAGATAAGCTCTTTAAAAACGCGCTTTACAGCAACTTGACGACTCCGTTACACACCGCGTCTGGAACCCAAACCTATGCAGTGAACTGAGTGAATCGTGAAGCAAAATGACCCAGATTATATTACTCCAGTGCGGTCGATGTACATACATTCAAAGCTAATACAGCCTACAAAAACAAAGCTAGAGATACGAAAGCAATGACTGTCCCAGCAGTTAATGTTTACCATGAATACGTGCAAAATAAGGGAAACAATTCTACATACGACTTCTTTGATCATCATTGCTGGCTCTTCGTTCCGGTACTACTCGAGTCGGGCAGATTACTGCTACTTGCTGCGGAGTTGCGTCCGAAAAGAAGAGAAGTGGCATACAACTCGGCAGCATTGAGAGTATTCCTTAAACTTCTTCTGACACTCCGGCCCCTCCCTTCTGGCTCACGTGGGTCCGAGCTTGCATTGAAGGCAGGTGGGGTGCCAGGAGAGCTGGCATTAGCAGGCGGCGTTGCGATAGGAGTAGGGGATTCAAGATGAGGCCACGGGACAGGGTTGTCTGGCAACACCAGCGGGAGGGGAATGGATTGGTTCTGTCTGTAGCGTGCTTCAAGCTGACTCCCCGCCGAATGCATCACCTGCGCGATTCCTTGCGTTGCCCCATGAAGGGTATACGCTGGAGTAAATGCGCGATTTCCAAATGACGGTGGTAATTGGTTGAATTGATTGCTAGCACCACGACCATGCCCAATCTCAGCGTAGTTGTAATCCGGTGTCAGCGCTCCGTTACTTCGAGAAGATGAAGCAAGGTCCTGATATGTACGGAAGAACCCAGTTCCGTTGGACTGTGCTGTCGCTGCGCTGCGGTTAGATGCAACCTCGCTCGGTGCTGGGGAGGCGGAGGTTTCCACAACGGGCTGAAGCCCGAATCCTCGCTGCCGGTTTTGCTGTCCACCAGAGGGTTCTGGGGCATGGTGGGTGTGGTGGGTGATATAATCGGTGGGGGTATGAACAACAAATGGCTCTGTGGTGGCAGAGGGAGCCGATCTACTCGGGGACATTGGATTGTGTTGTACGGCAATGCTGGAATGCCGCGGAGTAAGCATGGGCTCTACAAGACGGTCACGGGTGGACGGCTGCCCTCTTTGAATGGCGGGTTGGAAATGGAACCTCCTGTCATACATGAAATCGTCGTCAAGGTCGTCTTCATTCCCGGTCTCCATGTCCACGTCATGGGGAACCTCGACAAAACTTTCATCAAAGTCATCCTCGTATTCTGTTTCCTCGTCATCTCCTTGCATCTCCTCCGTAATGGTGTTAAAGAGATCCGTAAGAAACGATCTGAGTTTCGCGACACCGTTACCCGAATAAACGCAGAATGACATTCTCTGGCTCACGTTGAACTCCTGCAGGTGGAAGTGAAGCTAAGCTGGGGAGGGGGAATAAGACACGGACCTGGGGCGGTTGCCTACAAAATTGCTGCAATTCGGGCTTCCGGAAAGAGGGTATGCCAGTGAGACTCAAATGCGTGAGCTTGTGTAGTTTTTGAAGCAAGAAGTGAATAGCCATGACAGAGATTTGATCGCAATACGAAAGGTGAATGCGCTCGAGGGTGCTATGACGCTCCGCAAGCGCATAGATAGCCTCGTCCGTCAAGTTACTGACCCGTACGAGGCCAATACGACGAAGCTTAGGCAAACTTGCCAGTTCAAAGACGGACATGTCGGTTAGAAGCGAACAATCTAAGACACTGTCAGTGTGTCAACGATCCGAAAGGAAGTAGACTCACTCGCAAAATCGACGTAGCGTAGCCGAGTGCAACATCTAGCGAGAGATTTGATGGAACGGTCGGTGATATTGACGGCATGACCGAGGTGGAGGTAGTGAAGATGTCGTCCAAGAATGCACACACTTTCCACTGCTCGATCGGTGAGTAGGGAGCACTTGGACAGGACAAGACTCCGAATTTTAGGTGCATGTGATACGATACCCTCCACCGCATCATCCGTTATAAGCGCACAGCCTGTGAGATCTAGCATACGAAGATGGACCAATGCCTTTGGGAGGACTAGCGGGGGTAGCTCATCCAGTGCTCTCGGGATGATGAGGGGAATGGTTGTGTCCCTGATTTTGGTTGGGGCCGGGAAGGCAGCGTCCGTTAGCTCTGAGCAGTGAGAGAGCCTAACCTCGCGCAGGTGAGGGCAATGAAGCCATAGATCGCGAACGGGTGTATTCGTGATGTGTTTGCAATTGTTCAAGTCGATCTCTAGCAAAAGAGGGCATGCTTTGGCAATGGCAGAGACGGACGGGTCGGTTACCTGCTCCACACCACTTAGCTTGACGCGACGAAGAAGTGAGCATTCGCGAGCGAGGGAGAAGACGCCTTCGTCTGTGACGAGCTTGCAACCAGTCAAATTAATACCCTGTAAACGTTTGGAGACGGCTGTTAAACCGGAGATGACATTATCGGTCGTTTCGACGACGCCGGTGAGGTCGATGGCGATTAGATTGGGTAGCCGGGTGAGAACGCGTAAGAGGGCGGCCTCGGAGATGGCAGAGCAGTTGACGAGGGTCAAGCGCTCGAGGCGATCGCACTGTGCTAGACGGGAGAAGAGGACGTCTGTGAGGTCGGGGCTGAGGAACAGGAAGTTTACACGCTTGATGAAGCGTGCGTAGGTGAAAGATTGGTCAGGGAGGTTGAGAATGGTAATGATTTTGACGAGGGTGGAGATGCGAGTCAACGCGGGCCTATGCCACAGTAGCTCGACGGCACACTCGCACCAAGCACGCGAGACGAGCATGGAGTGATAGAGATCTCTTGGAGAGTGGAGATGCTTGAGGATGTGTATGAGGATTTCAGGCGGGAGATGGGTCATGGGAGGACGAGCAGAGACCAGATGGGTTGACCTCGGGGATGACCACTGAGCTGGGCTGATGCCGGGCGGGGGGTCGTCGTCGCGAGAGAAGAAGGCTGATTTGCAGGGGTACTCGTCGTCATTTTCGGAGAGCGACGTGGTCGACTGCGACGCCGACTTGATGCGATACACAATTCTCGATGGTCGTGCTGGGGCCATCGTTCAGCGAGCGAGCGAGCGAGCGGTGAGGGCGGCTTACTTATGGGCTATGACAGCGATGGCACGTGGGAGACCATTTCCTAATATGGCACACCCATGTGGTACCCTCTCATCGCAAGGCAGCCTCGTGTCTGAGCCAGGCGTTGGCTTGCATGCCCTCGGTCAAACTCGTCAAATAACTGTTCATGATACCATCAGACAACGCCAATTCATCTTCTGACCACAAATCTGTATCCAAACTCCAAAAACTTGCAGAAAAACTCATCACTCGTTCATCTCCCGCTCCCTCAGTTGTGCCCCCATGTGGTCCAGATACCCAGCAACCCAGTTACCTCGTCGGCGCAAACCTACCTCCCCCTGGCCCAGCGCACTACGCCGTCCGTCGCGCTTTGTGGCTCACACCAACAAAGACACCTGAGCATGCCCCCTCGTCTCCGTCCCGCCTCCGACTCGAACAACTGCTCAGTCAGCCTGGCGCTGCCCGTAGCGACGAAGCTTGGAAAGGCGGCGTACAGAAGGTGTGGAAGGGTCTCGTCGGTGGCGGAAGACTGCGACGCAGGCTTCCTATGAATCTAGTGGTACGTGTGCTTTCGTCACCAATATGCAATTACGTCTCCTTATTCCCCCCGTGTATAGATCCAGGTCATACATGCTGGTTGGCTACGGGACCCGGAAACATGGCCTGCCGGTGCAGAAGTGCCAGAGTCTGACGACGACCCTTCTCACAAAGCAGCTCCTCCATCCCCTCTTCCAAGACTCACCAGTCGACAAGAATCATGCCTGGCAACGTCCAAGTCAGATGACAAACCATCCGTGAAGCATTTTCACGACATTGGAGAAATGCGTTCCTCAGGAGTGGCTGCCGCAGCGCATTAGCCACCCACATAACGGATAAACGACCGAATGCTGTACGATCGACGCGTCGAACTTGTATGATCATGTAGTATATCCCTGTCACTGCCTCTGATGTATGAAGGGCGTCGTTGCTCAGTGATGTGTCCAACAGTCCAACAATGTCATGCTCGGAGATCTAATGTACAACGTGGACTATGTGACATGTTCCTCTCTGGCCATGTTCTAAAATATATACGGCAGAAACATGGCGAGCATGATCACATTCGGGACGGCGGCGACACCTGCGTGATAGAGGGTGAACGTCTGCGTGCGAACAGAACAACACTTACTTACCAGGATGACACCGTCCCCTCGGACAAAGAGCATCTCCATTTTTCTCTTCGCGACCTGTATTCGTTGGTGTTAGTGACCAGATTTGCAGTGGAATGGGGTGACGAGCCTTCACTGTGCCCTGGCCCTCAAGGGTTCCATCCACAGCATCTACGATCATGACGGTTTCCTCGACATCGCTGAGGATGAGATTCATGTGACCGTCATATGCCTATCAACGACACTCAGCAAGGCAGCGAAAACGGTCCAGGGTGTATGACTCACGTGTAGGACGCCGCTCAGCTCGCGATCACCGCGAATCTTCACAAAGACGCGTTCGCTCAGCGATAATCTTATGAGGTCAAACGGCTCTTGTATTCCTGTCGACGAGGGATCCATGAGTACTAGTGTAAGGGGCGGACAGGATTAGTCAGCATCGTTCCACGCGTCTTTCCTCCCAACCCTCACGATGCCAGTGAGTACCCAAGCCACATTGGCTCTATGCTCGCTCACGATTCACCACCAGAAACATTACTGTGACTATTGTGATGTATTCTTAACGCACGACTCTGCTTCAGGTAGGTTGAAGAGCTCTGCACATGTTCCTCATCCTCATCACACCCAGTGCGCAAGGCCCATAACAGCGGGCGTAACCACCTGGCTAATGTACGGGACTACTATGCTTGTGAGTCTCGTTTTGCAGTTCACATGAGCACCGCATTGATCAGAAATTTCAGCGCTTGGCCACGACAAGGCGCAGAATATCATCGACCAAATTACCGCAGCCTATGAGAGCGGAGGAGGGCCTCCCCCCGGAGGGTTCGGATTCGGACCACAGCATCTACTTGGTTCTGCCCCACCCTTTGGCGGAGGACCTCCACCGTTCGGCGGACCACCCCCGTTTGGTACGTGTCAACATCCCCGAGCTGCGTATGTCTTTCTCACCGAGAATGCAGGTCGTCCACCATTCCCGCCTCCCATGCCTCCTGGAATGGTCCCACCTCCAGGTGGTGCACCACCTTTCCCTCCCGGCACAATGCCTCCCCCAGGTGCCTTCCCAGGCGGTAAGTGTGCAAGGGATGATTTCACTACACCAAACTCATCAATGTGATGAAGGCCCGCCACCATTCCCTCCCAACGGCGGTCCCCCGGGTACTTCCATGCCTCCGTTCCCCCCTACTGGTAATTTTGCCCCACCTGGAGGAGTTCCTCCCCTCAACCCAAGTAACGCACAACCTCCAGCCGATGGTCCACCACCCGGCATCCATCCAGACAGGTTGCGAATGATAAGCAGTGGAAGATGACGGTTTGGGATTTGGATGGTCAATAGTATATCACCTTTTCATGTTGTATTCCCTCAAAAAGTCCCTTGGATAAAATTACTATGACTGAGCGAGTAACCTTGTACACGATAATATGCTATCAGGTTGGTTTATGGTAATCTAGCTTTTTTGCAAAGGCCTCGCTGACAGGTGTCAGTGTTGCACTGGAGACCTCGACGCAAAACTGGACTAAACGGCCATCGTCCAGCATCTGGTGGATATCTTGTTTCGCATGTTTCTGGTGGTTATGCGTCCATAATCTGTTGACAACCTTCCGTTTCGACTGATGACCGTGTAGCCGGCTGCGTGAGTCGGTAGGATGACTTACTTGATCATTCATAACGGACCAGACAGGGAACAGACGGGTAAGGGTCCATGTATGGGCACCGATATAATACCAAATATCCTGACAGGGTCGATGTGATAAGATTGATGGAAGCGCACTTCAGGCTCACCTTTTTCGCTGACAAGATGAAAGTATGGAAAAAGGGACGTGTTGACAGGTTGTTGATAATGTATTCTGCCGCCGATAAGTTGTCCGATTGAGTGCCCCAGTCAAGCAATAGAGAGGCGGAAGGGCAGTCCATCGTGAACGGTTCATAGACAAACGCCATGTTGTCAACAATCTGTACGCGGAAGCAGAAGTCGTCCATCTGCGAGAGGCTAGTAATTGTGATGATGGTTAGTGCACCCCTTTTGTTACTACTATAGATGTGGCGAACTGACCTTTCTAGGGAGTACACCTGGGTTTGATCAATTCAATGCTCAGTTGCTACAAAGCAATGCTTACCATGTCTTCAGAGAGGCCCAGCCGCTGTTGAAGCCCTTGCCACGGTATCGGGCATACGACCTTGGCAGATTGTGGAGCACGGTTCGTAGACATATTCCAATTCTCATCTGCACTCAGTGAGGATGGCTTGAAAAGGGTGGACACAGGTGACCTATCCTGTGGAGGTGCTCGTGGAGACAATGGTTTTGGAGGGCTTACGACGGTTTGCGGAGTGCGGTTCGTGGCCATTCGCCGACTCCCATCCACAGTCGGCGTAGATGGCTTGAAGAGGATAGACTTATGCCGTGGGGATGCACGTGAAGGAGACAATTTTGGAGGGCTTTGGGGTAGCTTTGCGTTGAGTCTCACGATTGGAGTAGACGGCGGAGTTGTGCCCGATGGCTCGAGTCGAGGCGTCGCGAAACGTAGAGAGACACCGGAGGTTGATAGCACCGGGCTAGCGTTCTTGGATTCACTCCCTTGCACCCCGACGGCCGGACGATGTGGGGAGCTCCGAGCAGACACAGACAAATCATCATCTTCAGGCTGACGAATGGCCTACTAAGAGATACGCATCAACTGTCATGGACGATCTGCGTACCAACTCCTCTACGAGGTCTCGTAGTACACGTTTCACGCGCTTCAGTTTCTGAATCACCACATCATTCGCTGCTGATCGATTGTCATGGTTCCGACGTTCGAGTTCAGCAACACGACTCTTGTACAGTGTTGTCTCATGGGTTGAGTCCACGAGGGCTTGGTTGAACTGTTCCCCAATGTGCACAAGGGTTTGCACGACGCGTGAAAGCTAGACTGCAAGATGAGCAACCGATGCCGGGGCAAAGGGATATAATAATGCTCGACCTCTTCCTGTGCTTCGTTCATCCTCGACCGTGGTGTCAGGACAGCGACGTTCGGTTTGCTGGATTCCATTTCCACGAGACGGACGACAGGTTTCTTGCAAGATCCAAGCTGGTGGCTTTCGAATCAAGGGAGAGACGGATGAGATCAAACACACGCAACCCTTTCACCTGTTACATACCAACCATGCTAGATGACATGGCATAGGCAAGTTCCTGTGTGTCACGTATAGGTAAGTATCTCCAGATGTGTGGGTTCGACAGATTTGTTCCGGCTGTCGGGTCTCACCCATTCATATCCAACCATCAATATTCATGTTTGGCCCAAAAACCATCCCTGCTTGCAGGCCAGGCTTATCGATATCCTCGACCAGACGTACAATGTCCTCCACTCGACTCTCGCCATCCCCGACGCCCATCGTCGATGTACACACCCACGTATACTTTCCACGCTACGCTGCCGAATTACGTGCACGCAGCTCAGCTCCTCGAATTTTGACCCGGACAGGTGCAGACGGCAAGCCTGAAGAACGGCTCCTGATATTAGATGGAGAACCAGGATCAGGACGCTCCGTCGGTCCTCAGGTGGGTTCCGGAGTTATCTATACTCAGCGGCATTCCGTTCATCCCTGTTGGACAGTACTGGAACAGGGAAGAAAAGCTTGAGTTCATGAAAAGACACCATATCCATGTTTCATTCGTAAGGTCTTGACCCTTTCAGACATTTCACTCCGCATCACCGGCCTGACTTGACTCCGTCACTCAAGCTCAGCAAACCCGTGGCTTGATTTTCTTCCTGCGGAACGCGCCAACACTCTTGCTCAGGCGCTTAACAACGACCTCGAGGAATACTGCGCGTCTTCTCCAAAGGCGGATGGGTTCCCGGGTTTGAGGTCCATCTATGGTTTCGGCCTCCTGCCTCTCGTCCCGCACATTCCGATTTCCTCAGTCATCCAAACCATCGAGCAGATCAAGACATTGCCGCACGTATCAGGCGTTATAATGGGAACGAAGGGTATCGGTAACGGCCTTGATGATGACGCGCTGGAGCCAATATGGGAGGCCATCGAAAGCGCGGGACTTGTGGTTTTCGTTCACCCCCATTATGGCGTAGACACTCAAGCCTTTGGCAACAAGCCGAATGGTCACGTACTTCCTCTTGCGCTTGGTTTTCCATTCGAAACCACCATTGTGAGCTCTGACTCCTGGTTTGTCTCGGTCATCCCAGTTCTGACAACACGCGTTGCAAGACTATAACCAGGTTGATTCTGGCCGGTGTGTTGGATCGTTATCCAAACCTCCGGCTTCTTCTTGCTCACTCAGGGGGGGCTCTCTCTCAGCTGTCCTCTCGTATTGCCTCGTGCATTGCACATGATCCGGTGGTGGCAAAGAGACTGCAACACGATGCAAGGTACTATCTTGGGAAACTTTACTTCGATGCCGTCGCATATGGTCCCGAAGAGCTTGGTTTTGTAAGCGAGACCATCGCACGCGCGGAATCGTACAATGCTACAGGCTCATACAATGCGGACGCTGGGAGCACAAGGATGTTATTTGGTACCGATCATCCATTTTTCCCGCCCCTAGAAGGGAGTCAAAAGTGGCAGAGTGTCGAGGATAATATGAAGGCTATTCGAAACGTCCGTGGCTGGAGCGAATCTACCCAAGCGGACGTTCTGGGGCACAATGCATTGAGGTTATTCAACTTGAAGTGTTGAGTAGCCCTCGTACATCGTAACGTCATCCTGGTACCTGAATTTTCAGGCTGAAATCTATGTGCGGTACGGACTGATGGACTACGCTTGTGCTCAAGATGTCGATTTCTATTTTAAAAATGAGTACCGAGAACAATAAAAACTGAGTCGACTCCAACTCACCATCAATCACTCGCTCGTGTAAGTTGGCTTCTGTAATGTTTCCGCTCGATTCAAAGAGAAATTTACGTTTGCCTGCCCACTTGTCTTTCAACTTGCGAGCAACAGTCACGAGTTCTTCGCCTTCGATATTGTCGAGCATGATGATGTCGGCACCCGCCTCGATCGCTTCATTTGCCTCAGCTTCTGAATTGACTTCCACGTCAAGAAGCAAGCTGAATCCCCCGACAGAACGCGCTTGCTTGATGGCGGCAGTGATTGACCCTGAATTTGGGACTGGTTGGCCACTGGCTTCTAAAGAATGTGAAGATTCTAGACCCACCAGTCGACCAAATGTGATTGTCTTTGAGCATGATCATACTAGATAGATCGTGGCGATGGGGATCAATTCCACCAACGATCATTCCGTACTTCTCGACGAGACGGAACCCTGCAGAAAGTGAGGCGGAATGGATGACTGCAGACTTATATCATCTTCTTACCTGGCGTGGTCTTCCTCGTGCCCGCTATGATACCTTTGTAACCATATCCTACAGCCAAATCCTTGATCTGCTTCGACCTACGTTTCCACGTTTCTTAAAGACAGGTCGAAAAGAAGTAGATCTGTGGCTTACTTTGTTGCAATTCCACTGCATCTGGCAAGCAGGTTTAGCGCTACGCGTTCTCCAAGGAGGAGATGCCGGGCTTTGCCTCGAACGGTGGCAACGTGTTTGATGGGCTGGAAGGTGTCTCCCTCTTTCATGTGCCATTCCACCCTACAGGATGATCAGTCTGATGCTCACGCAGAGATATCTATTTACGTACTGGCAGCCGAGCTGATGGAAGATCTCAGTGACGAATGGACACCCTGCCAAAACTGCAAGCTGTTTTCCCTTGCCAAAGAGAAATGCAATTCTTTCAGCCTCTCCAACGACGTAGCCACCATAATCGAAGGCCGGCGTGTCCTCAGCGAGCCAGTCACCGACTTGGACCCTCCAACTGGGTGGCAGCAAATGTTCAAACGACATGATCACAATTGCCAACTTGGCTTGTGAGAATCTATCCAAGTCACACAGAGGCAATAGTACCCGCGTGATGCCAAGCACGGTCGCGACTCAGATACTCACCGGTGCACAGTTAGTGTCATGGAGTCAGCATGTCTCTCATCTTAGCCTTGTAGCTGTCAACACGTAAATTACCACCATCGTCCAACAAAAGTCAACTGCCAGCAAGTCCTGCACAAAAACGTAAAGTACCTAATACGCAGAGCCGTTCACCAAAGAAAAGAACGAGTGTGAGGACAAACGAGGGATTATTAGATTGACACCTAATAGTCCACAACAAAGTTCAATCAAAACGCAGTGGTAATGAAGGCAGTCAGGGCAGCAAGGGCAGCGAGTAGTCCAGACTGGGTATCGACTCCTGGAAGTGCAGCACTCGAGCTAGTAGGCGTGGTGCTCGTGTCCGAACTGGCAGTGCCAGCCGACGTAGTGGTAGCACTTGACGTCAGGGCAGAGATACTGGACCTGTGTAAGGAACGGTCACGTTTCAATAAAATTAGCAGTAAGTAACTCACGAAGCAGATGTCGTGCTTGTAGAGGTACCCGTGGTTGTCGACCCAGTAATGCTGAACTGATCGGATTGAGCAAGCAAGCTATCAAGGTGTTCGGCATCCTGAGCAAGGTTGACACGGAACCCATCGCCAGTGGGCCAGCCCCCACTGGGAGGGTTGCACTGAATCGTGCCAACGGTACCGTCAACGAGGGCATTGAGTACCTGGTTATTGATAGGCATAACAGTAGTGTTCTGCGGAGGTGTAAGGGAAGAGATATTAGGAATTGCTGTAATGCGCTTACAGTGTTGGTTAACACGGCTGTGAAGTTGAGTGGGTCGGTGGAGACACGGTTCCATGTCAAGTAGTTGGGACCGGAAGTGGTCCAACCTTGCGAACCACCGGGAGACGTGACTTGATAGGCAAAGGCGGAAGAAACGCTCAGAAGGATGGCGGCGACAACACGCATGGTGGACAGACCCACTACTGAGTTGGAAGGGGAAAAAAAAGTTGTAGTTTATACTCGCGGGGAGGGATTCAAATAGCCCGCTTGGCAATGAAAAGCCTGATCTGGCCACGAAGCGAACAGCCCTGTAAACGAATAGTTCCCACGGCAACAACCCCTTCGAGTAAACCGATCGTTGAATGCATGTTTGCCGCACGGTAAACGAGTAGGCCACAGGTCCAGGTTCAAGGACTAAACTATGGATGTGCCCAGTGCATTAAGGCTACGGGAGTTGGACAGGCGACTTGCTGGGACAAGTTTTGCTAAGGACACAAAAGACCAAGCTTTGCCAAGTGTACGTACAATTACGACAGTGACAAGACATCTTCGGCGTCTGTCCAGAGATCCTTTTGACCCCAGACACTGGCAACTGCCGTAAATACCATCCAACATGACGCGTCCGAAATTGCTTCCGCCGCCTCGACGCGGTCTGCGTTCTTCAGGTCTCGCCGTGTCTGTAAAATCCCAAGGCATGCACGCGCAAGATTGCGGAGGAGACTCATTTCGTCAGCTGACACCGTGTCCTCCACCTTCGTGAGAAGTGAAAGCATCCATCGCGCATGACTGTTGGTAATAATCGTTGAAGCGTCGTCGAAATTTTGAAGGTGGAGGTTAATCCAATGCGCAAAGTACATGAGAAGGTGAATGGACATTCGCTAACGTGCTCGTCAGTGGATGGTCACGAAAAACGAAACGACGCCTCACATGATCGATTCCTCGCAAGCGACTTGGCGTGGCTTCCCGGGGCATTAGTTTGGCGTCCTCTTGCTGAGCTTGATCCTGTAACATCGAAATAGTAGCGAGGTTGTTATCTGAGGGTTCGGTCATCACCCGAGAGGGCAGATTCGCAACTGCAATGGTTTGTGTATCATTACCGGGAGTTTCAACGGGGTTCTGCCCGCTGGGAGGAACAGTGTCGATTCCTTGGCCTGCATTTCTCAGACGTTCAAGAACAACCGACGTGTTGTGTGAGGGCTTGGACTTTTTGCGCGACTCTGCTCGAGCAGCAGGACTCCACTCCGATTCCGGTCGGCCAGCCAGAAACTTCCACCACGCCTCACGGTCCTTCTTCTCCGGGATTAATGACTGGATTAAACTGCTATGTCGGACATGTACCGTGGGTTGCATCATGTTCTGGATGTCATTGATGGCAGCTCGCCCCGATAGCTTAGAAAGTACTCGCACCTTTCTGAGGTTACGGAAACGAGACTGGAAGATGTCCCGCCACTTCTCACATGGTAGTACGCCCTTTGCAAGCGCGCTCAGGGGAAGAACAGGAGGACGGACTGATTCCTCGTAAGGATTGTGTGCCCTTTTAATACGTGGTAAACGGCGCGCATCTCGTCTATAAAACGGATCAGGAGGGTACAAGCACCCAAGGGTAGGTGACGTATGAACCTGACGAGAAAGAGGTATTGCATTCCGTCTGCGGGATCGCCATTGAAATCCTCTGGAAGATTGGCTACTGGCAGTATCTGCTTTCCCGGGGCAGGTTCATCCAGGTCGGAATCTTCTGGTTCCTCCCTCTTGCGTTTGTTAACCATCCTGTCGCTTGAGCTCGACGTACGGAAAGGCCATCGTGGGAAATACCACAGTTCACTGAAGAAAAAAACCAGGGCGCTGAGTGATTTTGTGCTAGTTCAGACAATCGACGATGGCACACTCAATGGACGATGAAATCGACTCAGAAACCTTGCAAGCCCAGATGGACTTGTCAATGTCCTTTGCGCACAACCTCGTGACATCATGGTTGCAATCTACTCAGGTGGCACAGCCGCACTCAGGTATCTCCGATGCAGAGCGTATACTAGAAGAAGAGCTGCGACGACCTCCAAGGTAGGTGCAGCATGAAGAGTAAAGAAAGCGTTCTGATCGAACAATCCTCGTGATTTGTCAGGTTGGGAGTTGGTGCACCCGCTCCCGTGGCCAGTGTTACAGGCCGGGATGCTGCTAAACTGCGACATCGACTCGCGAAAACGGGTGATAAGGCTTTGGCATCGATGGAGAGGCCTCTTCAGTCGGATCATAAATCAGATGAAGATGAAGAAAAGGGCAAGCCAACGAAACGGACAAAGAGAAACGACCCATTTGCCATGCCAGGGCACAAAAAGCGCAAAAAAGTAGGCGACGCGTCGAACAAGTTGTCGACGCCTGAATCGAGCCATCCGACAAATGGGGCCAAACTACGCGACAATGACCAAAACGCGCCAACGGAGAAATTTTCTGGAGAACGATCTATCCATGGTTAGAATATAACCTGCAAATCCTTCAAATTCATGGCTGACGAAATGAGTAGTCACTGGCTTACCAACAACAGGCGTAACACTAGCAACATCGGTAATAGCAATGTCCGGTCCCAGTCCGACCCCACAAAGTTCTGTACCTCAATCGGACCCCACACCCAGTCAGGATTGCACCGAAGGTGGTGACAAAAGTAGTGCACTGATTCCTGATACTGCTTTACGATCGACCGGTACGTCCGGTGTAGCACATACCACTTGACTCCCCTTACTCATCACATGGAACGCCTTGGAACTCCGGTTCGGATGCGTACAAAATTGCTGACCATGACACCACCTCGTGGTCAGGAAGTTGCCCCACACCATCTCCCGTGTCCGTCCAACACAGCGTTTCTAGCAAAAACGATCGTCTTTCTTTGCTGAATCTTGACGGGCCCGTCGGCAACTCTACCACCCCGAATATTTCCAGAAAGCAACGCAGGCGACGCAAAAAGAAAAAGAATGTCATGATGGGTACCGGCACGGGAGCCACTTAACACCCACATAGTACGTAAATTTGGATGTTGCGTTTCGAGGTTTACCTAGTTTTCATAGAACATGATTTCCAAATGCGTCGTTCGGCCGTTGGTAATGTGACCTACATGCGTGAGATCCAATTCATTTCGAAAGTGGCTCCTCCGAAAAACCACCAACAGGGTTCCGAGTCCATGGTCTTTCCTCAGCAGCGATACTGGATATGGTCCGTTCACTCGACGAGGAGAGCGAGGTACTTGTTACAAGGCTAATGGTATGACACAATCCGCCGAAATCCAAAGTACATAAGATGGAATAAGTTAGGTCTGTACAGTGTATCGTTATCTTACTTTGTCCTCATCAGGCTTCCGGTCCGAACTAACGACTTCCCACTGTTATAGGACGTCTGTCGGGAAGAGGATCTCCTCGAATAACCCCTACTGGAGTGTCGGCTACCACTTGGTCGATAATGATGATGTCGACTCGGCCTAGGAGATTGTGTGGGCGACGCTACACGCCGAGAAACTGCGCTCCGTGTAGCGTGTTTGGAGCTGCGGTGGCGGGTGTCGGATCTATGAGACCTTTTTTTCTCCTTTCCAAAGAAAAAGAAAGAGAGGCCCAAGGGAGACTTGGCCCCTTTCTTGGATCGACGAGCTGCCTTGCGTTCTTTTTTCCGTTCTCGGACAGCTTTGGCCTCTCGCATTTCGGCTATGCCTTTCTTTCTGAGGCTCTCGTTTCCGCTGAACGTAGCCCGCCACTTTACTAGCCAGCCGTGTACTGTTGATGCTTTTGGCCTACTTCGCTTGCGCCCATCTGAGTGATAGTGCTTGGAGGTGGTCAGCCGTATTCATGAGACAATCGAGTGAAGCGATACGCTTACAGATGACTTCCACTCGATTTGGAACATGTAGTGGTGCGATGGGCGTTTCTGGGGACGGCAGAGATTATAAGATGTATTTGTTTACTGGGAGAAGAGCACTTGGGTGTCTATTTATCTATCCTCATACATATAAAAATGCTTCCGTCCATGCTTCAATCACATTTCGGGCAAAGCCGATCCCAGGGTGGGGTCGTGGGGAGGGCCTCCGTTCCAATCACCATCCAGATCATTCCTTGGCTGGCTGTGTTGAATCCCCTCTAATTTATTTTCTCTTGAAAATACATCATGGATGGGAGAGGAGGCTAGGCCAGTGCTTGTACACGACATGTTATGCGTTCGACACCCGCAAATTTCCTGCGCGTTTCCATGTTGTCAAATGACTCAAGCTGCCTCGTGGCCAACATTTACATTCAACTGCAGCGCCTTCAGTGTCGAGTCCACAGCCTGACGCCGCCGCTCTTGACTGACAGTAGCGGACACGCGAAGGGAACGTGCCCTCTGTAAGGCGGCCAACCGCCCATCCTCGGAAAGTCAGGTTAATGTTGAAGTTGCTGCAAGGTTGTCACACTAGCAGCTAACCACGCTGCTTTCGTGTGCATGTGAGTCACGCTGTCAAAGCTCCTCTGCCTCGTTCCTAGCTGTTCTCACAGTGCTTACCACACAACTTGAGTGTTAAGGTCACTAGCTCACTATGTGTTCATATCAGTTAGCTGGAATGGACCAGAAACCTCTTCGACGAGACCCAAGCACCAGACCAGGCCCGCCCAATCTAACAAATATATTCGTCGCCGCAGAGTTGAATAGCAACCCCATGTACATTCCGAAAAGGTAGAGTCGACAGTTTGTCATGTTCAAGGCAAGCAAGTTATCAGTATCCCATATTTACAATTTCCGGTTGGCACGGACAAACTTTGCACGTGCCTGAATTCCTGTGGGAGTCGGGGAGAACATTGAATTGGGCAGCAAATACAACGCCACCGACGCTAAGAAACATGTCGACTCTGGAAGCATTACGCATCCTCACTGGTCCACAGATACCTACTTCGGTGGCCTTCCCCAGGAAGGAGATTGTAGAGAAATTTCACCGTGAATCAGACCCGAGGCTTGCCTTTCTGGCTCCTGCTCACCTTGCATGTTGCACTTTCGTTCGGTATTTCTTTCTCCACCGTACTTGCGACCAGTGGCATATGGTCCAATGATGAATCGATCTTCTTCTACTCTGTGCACTCATGTGACATCCTGTTGTTCGCGCAGCGGTACGCTTTTCTGTACATTCTGATACAGCCTGTAGTGACAGTTCCCGGTACATTACCAGTCTCGTTTCAGTAGCTATTGCAGTCTTGACAGCGGAAAATGCTGCCATCTACTTACCATGTACTCACATAGTTTCTTTCGTCAGTAAAGATCAATCAGGCAGATGTCTCAAGCCTTTCCCCACACATCAGAGCAACGTGTTTAAAACGCGCGGCGGGAATGCGGTGGACCACTGGAGGGCCTACTGCCTGGGCCGGTGGGGCACTCACATGCTTGGGGAAAAGGAGGGGTACAGGACCCCACGCCAATTAGATTGTATAGATCGGTATAGCGCACATAAGATACTCTCGATTATGTGTAGTACCAGTCTGAGGAAGAACCGGAGGAACGCCCTAGGTTTACCTGGCTGAGTCATGCTACTTTGAACCAAGCCTTTGTTAACGCCAGCTTTGGGAGTTCCCGTATAGCATGCCAACGGGCCGAACAGAGTCCCACGTATACTAACCCGTACTTAACCTGCATTTTGAGGACTTCAGTATCAATTTTCATACCGAGGTTGCATCGGCAAGGAATCTGAGTCGGCATGATCTTCACATATATTATGCACATACATAGTGAATTTCGTATTCGTGGAATCCAGCTCGGGTTAGGTGGCATTAAGCCTCTCGCGTTGTCGTTTCCCACCATCCACTGGCAGAGTACACGCTGACAGAACTGCGGCGTACTGCTTTCGCAACTCGTCCTCAGCCGTGCCTAGGCGAACACAACGGATTTCATGACCCTGGACCTTTCACACTATTGCTAACGGAGCCTTCGGATGATAACATTGTTTTTTGAATCTTTCAGCAGACGCTCGTAAGTTGAACAAGTAACGTACAATGGCTCCCAGGTAGCCGCATCTCTCATTCACTTCAAAATATTCCCGAGCAGGTATGACGCACATCCTCCGGATCTGCGCAGTAGCCAAAGTACGTGAGTCTCAAGCGCGGCGACAGCAATGCCAAACAGGTACTATACCCATGTTCCTCGCTGTGGCCCGGGGTACTACACTGCATTCATGCTAAAGCGCTACCACACTGGACTGTAAATTTCTTTGAAACACGAAGCGATAGCAAGCATCTGCACCTCGGGACAACCATGCTGTCTGAATGCTGTGCAAACTCGGTGGCCATATTTGGAAATACAGGCACGTTCCCTTCTAGCGTCTGTTAGTTCTATACTAATACGTCACAACTCAACGGCAGTCGGAATACCCGTGCCCGAGTGACCCACCTCAACTAGTCGTATCTACAAGCCGCTCGCCTTACCCAGAAATGTAGGCTAACGTTCCTTTCTCATGGCCACGAAGGTGGCGGTGAGCGCCCCCCACCTACCATTCTTCGTTTTCGGCACCGTCTGCCACACTGCATTTCAAGCTTTTACTCCCTGCTAGCGGAACGGCTATGAAGTAACATTATTGCAACACACCGCCACCACGTCCGCCCAAGCTCTTTGCTGACGATGGTGGACACGGCTACTCACTCCGGTCCGTGGTCGGTTGGACGCCCTGTGCGCTGCAGTATCTGTGGTGGTACAAAATGATGATGTCTTTGAGGGATGCACTGGACATTCTTCCAGGAATTCCGGGTAGATATTTCAGGGGAAATGGGTTGGAAAAACGTCGATGCCATCATCGAGGGTAAGCTGTACCTTGGAAAGTAAGTCCGCATCGTTTGGTGGCGTAGTCTAGTCCGTTGACTTTTTAATTATTAGTACCCACGCAGCTCGATCGTCGCGGTCGTTAACTGAACGCCGGATCACTCATATTGTGTCTGTTTGTTCCGACCCTATTCCAGCTGAGGTTCCTGAATCTGGAATCTCTCACCTGCGAATTCCTGTGGAAGATGTCGATTTCGCAGATCTCCTCATCCATCTGCCCACAGCCTGTCACTTTATCGACCAGGCCATAAGCAGCGGGGGCACCGTCCTTGTACATTGCCACCAAGGTTTGACGCGAAGTGCTACTGTAGTTGCGGCTTACCGTGAGTTTTCTTAAAATCTTTTGGTGTGTGAAGTCATGCGAACTACTCGGCTAGTAATGTGCACTCGGAGAATCGACACCACCCAAGCTATGTCGGTGGTTCGAGAAGGTTAGGTCTTATGCGCTCCTTGTTATGGGAATCTTGGCTTAGATCTGAACAGCACGAGAGCAAGTCTGGTTCAATGCCGGGTTCCAGGAACAATTAGTTCTATTCGAGCTCTGTAGATACCAGCCAACCACGGCAAACCCGTACTACGTGGGATGGCGCCACAAGATCGACATGCATCTTGCTAACCAACAGTGACATAAGTCCCCGCCCCTGTCACATCTCCCACCTGCATCACCCTCCTTAAAAGCATTTTTCAATACTGTACTGGTATAACATGCTTAATTGTGCTCATAGAAGATGTATTCCTCCTTCATATCGGTTTTCTTTTTCCTCCTCTGCCAGTCAATCTCTGTTGTTTTAGCATACACTTGTTTTCTCATACGGTCACTCGTGTAATCGCATCTTTTCCACACGCCATTCGCTGTAATTACACACTAATTCACGGGCCAGCTTTACTGTCTCTTGTCTGAACGTTTTCTTACCGTAATCGACCGCCACCCCACACGGGGCGGAGTTCAAAAAGAGTATTCCCACACCAGAGTGCAAACTTGTCTCTTTCACCTTTCAGCTTCAGCTGCAACATTCAAACCAGTCCCTCGCCATTCGTCGCAACTCACAATGGGTCTCTCGGTCTCACGTCTCCTTTCCACCCTCTTCAAGAACAGGGAAATGCGTGAGTCAGGCTTTCGCTTTCTGGCGTGGCCAATTCAGAGCGGACACGTACTAACACTACTCTTTTCTGTAGGTATTCTGATGGTGCGACCTCCAGGCTACAGCACGCGCCAAGTAATGTTACTCACTACCATCTAGGTTGGGCTCGATGCTGCAGGTAAAACGACCATTCTCTACAAGCTCAAACTCGGCGAGATTGTCACCACGATTCCTACGATTGGTGCGTATCAGGGTGGTGGCTATGTAACGAATTTTGGTGACGTGTATATGCAGGGTTTAACGTCGAAACCGTGGAATACAAGAACATCTCGTTTACCGTCTGGGACGTTGGAGGCCAGGACAAGATCCGCCCCTTATGGAGGCATTGTAGGTCGTGGTCATTGACAATATCTTCGTACTCACTCACGTTGACCCATAGACTTCCAAAATACTCAGGGCATCATCTTTGTGGTTGATTCGAATGACCGAGAGCGTGTGTCTGAGGCACGAGAGGAACTCCAACGGATGTTAAACGAAGACGAGCTGCGGGATGCCCTGCTTCTTGTTTTTGCCAACAAACAAGATCTTCCCAACGCTATGAACGCCGCCGAAATCACCGATAAACTTGGTTTACAAGCGCTTAGGCAGCGGACATGGTACATTCAGGTCAGTGTCAGTACTTCATTGCTATCATTGCCTCATCTCGCCATCGATAGGCTGCATGTGCTACCTCCGGTGATGGTCTCTACGAGGGTCTAGAGTGGCTGGCCAACAACATCAAGCGACGGGGAATGTAAGGTTCGATGGTGGGGTCAGTGTGCATCTGACACATTCCTTATGACCTTGTATGACACACTTTCCGCTGAACTGCTGCTTGCACCCCAGTTCCTTTGGTTTTCCTCTGATCTTGATATGCGAATTATGCAGCTAGTAAGGATGCGATAATTGCAGCTCTTTTGTAAGTTCACCCATAGAAATTTTAATACCTCCATGACTGCGTTTCCATCCGAGATCTTGTGCAACTACTGCTTTACGCGGTTGTCGAAATCTGAAGCCTGAGCCTGACCGACAAATGTCGGATACTTTGTCTTCGTTGTCCCCTGCAAGTTCCTAACACTAATGTGAATTATTTGAACCGGTACACTCAAGGGTATGGGTCTGCCTGGAGACTGCACGTAATATTTCCACCCCACATGACTTGCCATTAAACGAGTCTACCAACCGCTTCTGCTTCTTTCTTTCGTTTTTCTCCTTGTTCTCTTGATATGGTGTCACGGCGACCAGCCATGTACCTGACTTAGCTTCTCGAGGAGTGCTTGTAGCCTCCTAGGCTTTATATCCCCATATAACGTTTGTCGTACTTGCGGGTCAAGGTACTCCTGTATTTTGTCCTGCAGTACCAGCTCGGACCATCTTGGAAACGTGTCAAAAGAAGGTCTCAAGAGTACCCGCAGAACTTACCGCGCGCAGCTCTGAGAAGGTAGAGTTGAGATGGCTACGGCCGATGCGCGTGATCTCGGCTTCGAGGAACGTGATATCTGTCGCAATATTTGCTATCGCGTTTTCGTTCATCGCAGGTACTTTTGGTCCGATCATGAAGTTCTGCCAAGATAAAGAATTGCAATGTCATCATGAGATCAACCAATCATCGAGTGCTCACCATCAAGCTTTCAGCGATGTACCCAATAGCGGCTTTGTATGCATCGTCCTTATATGACTCCTCGATGGCGAGAGAGTCCACCACAGTGGTGAGCCAATTCATGAGCTCGTACAGATACATACTGGGCGTCCCCTCTCTTGTCTGGGGCGTCCAGGCATACTCCGAAAGATCGAAGAAGTCATCAAGCTTGGAAGTAATCAGTGCGGTTATCCGATTGCATGCCTTGGCGAACGGTTCCGAAAATGGTGACGAGGCTAGCCGTATGAGCTGAGTCGTTCTGTATAAAGACAAGTCAGGCACTAGAAGATATCAGCCATGAAGCACCAACTGCCTGAGATTGGTGGGATACCGCGCCAGCTCAGAACAACCTTTCGTAAATAACTCAAGGTTGGTCACAACTTGTGCAATCTGCGATAGTACAGATGTGCCTGCAAGGCGTTTGCTTATGCTTGCGCCGATGTGGTTCAATAGGAGTTTATCCAGGTACTGTCGTTGAAGTAAAATCAGGTACATGACACTGTAAATCAACTGTCGACTCTACCCGACTTAGAAGATCGTCGATGTTGCCGTGATGTTGTGACACTCCATCAACGAAATGGTAAAATTTCTGTATGAATATTCGAATCTGTAACAACAAGTCATTCGAGATGCCCGCAGAAGAAGGTGGGACTTACATCTCGACAACATAGGTAAAAGCTTTGTGACCACGGCAGATATAAAGGTGTATTGCGCCTGTTCGGGTGTGAGGAAAAGCTCTCATGAACCATAACGTAAGTCAAGTACTTCGCAAGTGCTCCGCGCTCTGCAGAGATTAACCACACTTCATTCAACATGGACTCCAGTTCGGATGCAGTCGAAGCTTGCATAGGCAGGTAGTCATCTTCAAGCACGGCCTGCAGTTCGACGTGAGATTTACGCATTCGCACGAAAACACGGAAAATAAATCGTGAATTACTTCTTCCAGTCTTTGACCACACTGTGATTCGAGTAGATCGGCAAATTTCTCGAAGAGTGCCAGCATCAACGTATGGAGAGGTTGTGTCGAGTATGAATACGACTGCAGCCCCGTCGATCAGTAATAAAGCGGGGGCATATCACGCGTCGACACTGACCTCGAGGGTCGTTACAAAACTTGTCAAGCATTCCTTCACTCTCAGGAACGTGTCCGGATCCTTTTCTCCCGTGAGGGCACTGCGAACAGCGGAAGTGAGCCGGGCCACGACCGCGTCCCAAAGTTCTTCGACTTCTTGTTCAGAGCGAAAGCCGGAAGTGGTCTCTAAAACATGAGATTCGATGATGAAAAAACCGCAGATCTCCTCGACAACATCGGGAAGAGATGCTAGCGGAAGTGTGAGGGGCAAGATTAGGTCGGATTGTGCCTGCTCTATCATCAGTTGGATCCAGCTAACAATTAGTCATTTACAGACCTTGCGATCGGCTTGATATGAGCTGCGTAATTCGTCCAGGGATTCCAGCGATGCATATGTGTGGATACATTGATATAACGGTTGGAAGTCAACCTTGACGGTATCACAGCACATGATGTTAACTGTAAAGAGAATCGCAATGTCTGATCGACCCGGTAACGAGTACCGTAGCACTACTCACTGTCTGACCTCTCGTTTGTCACCATTTCCACTGCGCTGCCCACGCAGCTGAGTCTTAACATAGGATCTTTCTCGCGACGAGTTCTCCACTTTCGAGTGCGTGCACCCATGGCCTCGATGGCCGCCCTCCCAACAGTGCCAGTGATATTTCTGATCTCCAAAAGCCACTGTTTCATTGATGCTGTGACAGCATCCTGGACTTGAGTGCGGAGCGAGGGGAGGGAAGAAAGGATGTGTTGGTAAAGCGGTGTTTGAGACAAAGCATTTAGTGGGGTTGCCTGTATGTCTTCTAGAGACTAAGGTCCGGGATATATAACTCTTGTCAGATAACGAGATTTCGATGGCTCCACTCACTCTGAGGGCACTCCAAAATCTTCCCTCCCTAATCATGTCACCAATACGATCGACAACGTCCAGCAACTTTAAACACGCCTGTAGCGTGTCAATAGCTTCGTCCAAATTTGCAGCAGTCTTCTTCGTCTGTAGTAGGGCTCGTTTCTTTTCAACGAGACCCCTGCCTAGAAGGGCGACGCTTTCGTCCAGAGTTACGATCTTCTCCCGAAGGCTGTTGGTGTAGGACTTCACAGTGAACAGAGTCGAGACAGAAGAGATAAATTCCTGGTAATTTTCAGTGCATATTGACTCTATCTCGCTGTCCTTTGACTCGACAAGTGCCTGGAGATTCCGCAGGTATACCTCTTGTTGCTTACTAGCATGGATCTGCTTAATTATCGGCCCTAGTTGCTCAAGATTCTCTGAGGAAGAAGAAGAGTCAAGCAAATGGATTTGCTGAAGTTGATGGTCGATGCTCTCTGGCGTGTACTGATGGTTATGCCGTGGTGGCATGGTCGGTGACTGCTCTGGTGGGCAGTCGAGGTCGAGGACCAGACGACTTACCAATTCCAGTAAACCCCTATCTACCCGACTCATACCGACTCAAGACTTGTAACTACTTGGCCCTCGCTCCCACTAACTCTCTGCACGGTCCCCCGCCAGCATGTCAGTCGCTAACTTCCATGTTGACGCCATGTGAGCACCCTATTACTTCCGTAATTCCGGATGATCATGTAGATCAGGCAAAAATCATCCATGGCAAGACTATTCGATATGGACGGGACACTAGTAGACTCGACAGCTGGCGTCGTCGGTGCTTGGGAGACGTTCGCGAAATCGTACCCGGGTCTAGATGTTACGAACATCCTGAGCAGTCTGTGTGGCCTGCGTTTCCCATCGGAGCATCCCCTTTCAACAAAACCTTACAGGTTCACATGGTGTCCGAACGGTCGAGAATCTCGCAAAATATTGCAATATCACAGATCCGGCCAAGCTTGAGGTAGCTTTGAAAATTCAACATCATCCTCGTTCCTTTTCTGACTCCACAACTAAAGGATGAGGCAGTCCGCTTTGAACATGCCATCGTTGACTCGTCGCGTGCGAACGGGCGGAAAGGCATCGTTGCACTTCCTGGAGTCCGGTCGATTATCGATGAGGTAAGCTGACCTGTAGGCATAAATTTATGACGATGCTGACACGGATTTGAAAGCTACTCCCAGCCAAGGGTTTTCCGCGTCCACGTTGGGCTATCTGCACGTCGGCAACGCGATCGTATGCTTCCGCTGCCCTTGAAATCGCCGAAATAGATATCCCGGATGTATTCGTAGTCGCAGAGGACGTCGACAAGGGAAAACCAAGGTAAGGTCGATATTGTCGGCCAAGGTCCTTTAAGCTGACCTAGAATCCCCAGTCCAGACCCCTATCTGCTGGGTGCCAGCCGATGTGGCGTCGAACCATCCAAGTGTAAGTATATCCACAGATATGGTGGAGGGATTTCTTGCCGACTGCTTCACAAGGTCTTGTCTTTGAGGATGCACCAGCAGGGGTTCGCAGTGGCCTCGCTGCAGGATGCAAAGTTGTTGGGCTGCTTACAACACATTCCAGGCAGCAGATGGAGGAAAGCCAACCCCACCTCCTCGTGTCAGACTTGTCTAGGCAAGTGAAGGGGCCTTCTCTTCTTCGCTCTATAACTTGACGACTTGGCCAGCGTGACAGTGAAGTTACACGAAGACGGTGTCGTCGTTTCAGTTCAGCTAGGAACGAATAGTTTAGACTAGATTCCCTCCGTTCAATAGTTGGCATCAGGATCATCGAATGCAATAGCATCACAAGGGGATGTATAATAGGGTATTTTCGTAATTCCTTAAGTCAAGGATGACGATATACTGTATCAGATCTCCATGGAAAAGTCGTACGCAGAAAGAAACGTTTTTCACTGTAAAACAGAATGACAACACGAAAGAAATGATCTAGTACTCGCCACCCTCTTCCTCGGCGTCTGCAGAGTCAATACCGACCTCCTCGTAGTCTTTCTCGAGCGCGGCAAGATCTTCGCGGGCTTCCGAGAACTCACCCTGATGCGACTGTGAGATGGCAAGGAGCGAGTAAAACGGAATACACACCTCTTCCATACCCTCTCCGACGTACCAATGGACAAATGCACGTTTGGAATACATCAAGTCAAATTTGTAATCTAGTAAGCTAGTCAATAAAGAACCAAAGCGGGTTGGACAACGGTCGCTTACCGAGCCGATTCCAAGCTACAGAGATGGCAGTGGTACTTGATGGCAATATCGGTCACAAGAATTTCTCGCAGACGACTGACAACTGAACTTACTTGGACAGCATACAGAGACTGCGACTAGTCTTCGCGAGGTCGCCGCCCGGAATGTTCGCCGAGGGTTCGTTGCAAATACCGATCTGACATACTGTGGGCTCACTGTGTCCGAATGATGAGCTCTCTAAATATTTACCTTGAAACCAGTTGGGCACCAATCCACGAATTGGATTGTTCGCTTCGTCTTGACACTAGCGACTGCTCCTTGGACATCCTTAGGTACGACGTTGCCACGGTAAAGGAGAGCACAGGCCACTGAAACTCCATGAGTGCTGGTAGTCACCAAGAGAAGAAATTATAAGCTACTGTATTTGCCATCCTTGGGGTCACATTTCACCTTGGAGCGAGTCAGTAGATTACCTCAAAACAAAGGTCCGTTTATACGTACCATCTGGTGTCCGCTCTCGAAACATGAAAAAGTCATTTCATTCACCGAGTTTTGTTCGTGCGTGGCCTTTTCAGCCGAAAGGAGTGGTGCGTAAGTGGCAAGGGGGAAGTGAATACGGGGGAAGCTAGGGATGCAATGAGCATTGAGAAAAAGAGGGCCAGTACTCAGACATACGGAACAAGGTTGGTTTGGAACTCGTTCAGATCGACGTTAAGAGATCCGTCGAAACGAAGAGAGGCGGTGATCGAGGAAACCACTTGAGCAATCAGGCGGTTGAGGTTAGTGAAGCTTGGTTGAGGGACACCAAGCCTCTTCTTGCAGATATCGTAGATAGCCTCGTTATCGACCTGAATAAACCATACGCGTCAGTGATGGACAAATTAGAAAGGTCATCGGCATTACCATGAACGAGCAATCCGAGTGCTCAAGAGTTGTATGGGTCGTAAGCACTGAGTTGTAAGGTTCAACCACGGAGCTGGAAAGCTGTGGGGCAGGGTACACGCAAAACTCCAGCTTGGATTTCTTGCCGTAGTCAGTGGACAGACGTTCAAGGAGAAGTGCGCCGAAACCCGAGCCAGTACCACCACCGAAGGAGTGGAACACAAAGAAGCCTTGCAAACCGGAGCAGTTGTCCGCGAGGCGGCGGATCCTGTCCATGACGGGGTCAATCAACTCCTTCCCAACTGTATAGTGTCCCCGCGCGTCTGTTGGAGTACCGCGATATAAAGTGATCAGCTACCCAAGGACGGGACGAGCATGCGGAGATGGGTCTTACAGTTATTGGCGGCATCTTCCTTGCCGGTGATCATTGTCTCTGGATGAAAGAGGGATCGGTAAGGACCAGTTTTGACCTCGTCGACGACACCGGGTTCCAGGTCAACATAGAGGGAACGGGGCACATGTTTTCCGGCACCGGTTTCAGAGAAGAAGGTTGAGAAGCCTTGGTCCATGCTTCCCTTGGCCCCTTCAGGTGACACGACCGTCGGGCTAAGATACGGTTACGACGAAACCAATCGACCAAATACCGAAAGACATACGCTCAATCCGTGCTCGAGGGTGTAGAGCTCCCCTGGATTTCTTGAGTCATCGGTCGACGATAGGAAACGATATTGACTTACAGCACGCATTTCCAATCTGAACACCGGCCTGGCCGACATGGAGAGAGATGACTTCACGCATTACTGTGAACTAGCGCTATTGAGGAAGGGGAAACTAAGTTCGTGGATGAAGCAAGTAGTCAAGCAACCCGTGGTCAAACAAAATTTGCGGAAACGCGAGCCTTGTTATGGTAATGTCCTCGCCACGAGGCAACGCCCTTCCGCCCATGTTATTCACACACTTTTTGGTATTCCAAGAACATGTTCCCATTGCAATTCCGTTATGTCGTATCAAATGGTATAGGTACTTATAGGTAATCGTGAAATCATCGAGGCAACAGCCAGAAAATTAGGTAGAAGGGGCAGCTACGTTTTACACCCAGACGAAACTAGTACTCCCCACCCTCCTCAGCATCGGCCGAGTCAATGCCAACCTCCTCGTAGTCCTTTTCCAGGGCAGCAAGGTCCTCGCGAGCCTCCGAGAACTCGCCCTCTTCCATACCCTCACCAACGTACCAAGTGAACAAACGCCCGCTTCGAGTAGAGGAGGTCAAACTTGTGGTCCAGACGACTCCATGCTGTGGAGATGGCCGTGGTGTTCGACAACATGCACAAACTTCGGCTGACCTTGGCAAGGTCACCACCAGGGATGTGTGCTGGGGGCTCATTGCAAATACCAAGCTTGAAGCCGGTTGGGCACCAGTCGACGAACTGGATTGTCCGTTTCGTCTTGATAATGCTGACAGCCGCATTGACATCCTTGGGCACAACATCGCCGCGGTACAACAGAGCACAAGCCACTGAACAATAGGTCACGTATTGTATTTTCAAAGCATCCAATTCAACGTACTGTATTTGCCCTCGCGGGGGTCGCACTTGACCATCTGGTTGCCGGTCTCGAAACACGAGAACGTCATATCAGCAACCGAGTTCTGTTCGTGATGGGCCTTTTCAGCGGATATAATAGGCGCAAAGGTTGCTAGTGGGAAGTGAATACGGGGGAAACTAAGCTACTATAAGCCAACCAACTAGGGTCACGCAGCGGTCATGCACTTACGGAACCAAGTTAGTTTGGAATTCGTTAAGGTCCACATTGAGGGAGCCATCGAAGCGCAGAGAAGCAGTGATCGACGAAACGACTTGAGCAATCAAGCGGTTCAGGTTTGTGAAGCTGGGAGAGCTAATGTTGAGATTTCTCTTGCAAATGTCGTAAATGGCCTCGTTGTCAACCTGTGGCTCCAATGAGTAACGTAATTATATCCCACAACGCGATTTACCGACCATGAAAGAGCAATCGGAGTGATCGAGCGTGGTGTGGGTCGTCAAAACCGAGTTGTATGGCTCGACAACCGAGTTTGCCATGGTAGGAGCAGGGTAAACACTGAATTCCAACTTCGATTTCTTGCCATAGTCGGTGGAGAGACGCTCCAGGATCAGCGCGCCGAAACCAGAGCCAGTACCACCGCCGAAGGAGTGGAAAACGAAAAATCCTTGCAGACCAGAACAGTTATCGGCGAGGCGACGGACTTTGTCCATGACGTTATCAATCTGCTCCTTGCCGATCGTGTAGTGGCCACGTGCATCTAAGCGTCTCGGTTAGTGGCAAGCACGCAACGTGGACGATGCATACAATTGCTGGCGGCATCCTCCTTTCCAGTCACCAATGTCTCTGGGTGGAAGAGACTCCTGTAAGTGCCGGTCCGGACCTCATCAATCACGTTGGGCTCAAGATCGATGTACAATGATCTGGGCACGTGTTTGCCTGCCGAGGTCTCGGAGAAGAAAGTGCTGAAGCCATCGTCCTTGGCAGACGGCGAACCCTCAACGAGGCGGCCATCAGGCTGTTTGATGTAAATCAGCTGCACGCGCTTGAGGCGGAGAACGAAAGGCAATTTACACTGAGACCGTGCTCGACGGTGTACAGCTCCCCTAAGAAAAGGGCGTTAGGATCACATTTGATGGTAAATACGCGTCACTAAGTGCTGTGTGCACGAGAATGAAGATATAAATGTATAGCACGTACAGCAGGCGTTTCCGATCTGGACACCAGCCTGACCGACGTGGACAGAGATGACTTCACGCATGATTTCTGATGGATTGACTGATCAAAATGGTTAGTTGGACTCCAAAGACGCGTCGAGATACGCACAGAGGCGAGAGGAAGGGAGCGACGGGGAGAAGAGCGAAAAGAAAGGGCCCAGGGTTAAAAAGAGCGAACAACACATGTCGCTTACATAATCCATCTATGTTCCCACGCCTCTCTCGCTCACACTGATGGCTTGTCTAGCACTGAGCAGTAATATTTAGGCAAGGGCATGATCACATTCACGCCGCTGTGCGGGGCTGTCGGTGAGTCCCAGACTTGTCCTCTGGCCTATCTCCTACAGCTCGACGACGTCCGCGTCCTGCTCGACTGCGGCTCACCCGACTGGAGTCCAGAGGAGCGCGCATTCACACCTGACAGCGATCCGGAGTCTTCACCTCCCAATTGGTCAGCTTATTGTGACTCTCTACGTCAGTACGTACTGGAACTCACCCACTGTACTCATTTCTGACAAACTAGACAGGTGTGCTCCTACCGTAGACCTCGTGCTTCTTTCTCATGGCGATCTTGCCCACTCGGGGCTTTACGCTTATGCTTACACTCGCTGGGGCCTCAAGGCACCTGCATACTCCACAATTCCGGTCCAGGCCATGGCACGAATCGTCACACTTGAAGATGTAGAGGGATTACGCGATGAACAAGACTTCGATGATTCAGATCAACACCACGCCGAGTCTGGTGAACATTTCAACCTTGCCGAGACCCAGTTAGACGGGGTTCCTTCGCCATCATCCCCTGGCAAGTTTGTGGCGACCGTACAAGAAGTACACGAAGCATTCGACTCTGTGAACACCTTGCGCTACTCGCAGCCGACGCACTTGCAGGGTTAGTCTTTCCGGCGAATTCCCAGTACGCTTGCTCTTAACACTTTTCCTTGTCTCACTTGCAGGCAAATGTCAGGGTATCACAATCATACCATTCGCTGCTGGCCATTCACTAGGAGGCACGATATGGAAGATTCGTTCTCCCTCCGTTGGAACCATCGTATATGCCGTAAATATGAACCATATGAAAGAGCGCCACCTAGACGGCACCGTTCTCTTCAGACAATCTGCTGGTGGTATTTTTGAACCCCTCGCACGGCCTGACCTGTTTATCACGGATGCCGATCGTGCAAATGTCACCACACCTAGACGGAAGGATCGCGATGCTGCTTTGATAGGTTTGCACAAACAGCATTCTTTTTCGCATGTGCTGAACGTGCTCCTTAGACACCATAAGTGCTACACTGTCCTCACGCTCTTCCTTATTACTACCGTGCGATGCAGGCCCACGTCTCTTGGAGCTCCTTGTACTTCTCGATCAACACTGGAAGTATGCCGACTTCCGCTACCCTATTTGCCTCTTGTCGCGCAATGGGAGGGAAATGCTGACCTTCGTCCGGAGTATGATGGAATGGGTTGGAGGAACAGTCAGCAAAGAAGATGTTGGTGTGGACAGCAGTGGCAAGACAGGTGCCAGAAGACGAAGGGGTGAGGATGATGTAGAGGACGAAGCACTCGGAGCATTTGCCTTACGATTCCGGTAATTCAATCTAATCCATGATCATCGCACGTTCGTGGGTTCTTATGCTGGCCTTTTCCAGGCACTTGGAGTTCTTCCTTAACTCACAGTCGCTCATGCACACATATTCGTCAAAAGAACCTAAAATTATTCTGGCCGTCCCTGCTTCGCTGTCACATGGCCCGTCCAGGTCACTATTTGCGGATTTTGCAGCCGTCCCAGACAATGTCGTTCTGCTCACGGGCAGAGGGGAGGAGGGCACACTGTCCCGCCTGCTTTTTGACCGCTGGAACAATTACCAGAGAGATACTGATAAGTGGGACCAGGGAAAAATCGGGAGTAATGTCATGATGGATGGTGTCCTACAGCTGAAGGTGTGTCCGGTGCCATCTTTGCCCAACCGGTGGACCTCCTGACTACGATCCAAGATGAACTCGAAAGTTCCACTACAGGGCGCTGAACTGGAAGCGTACCTTGCCAAGGAGCGTGCAGCGAAAGAAAAGGAGGCTGCTCACCAAGCCGCGATCGTCCGTAACCAGCGTGTACTGGAAGCAGACGAAGACGAAAGTGACGAAGAGTCCGACTCCGATTCTGAGGAGGAAGAAGTCGAACGTGCCTTGGATGACGACGACGACGAAATGGACAACTCAGATCAGAATGTCCGCCCCGGTCGGCGGAGAAAACACGACAAATCCGAGGATAATGCAGATTGGGGTGGAGATATGGACGACGGGCTGACAAAAACCCTGCTGTCCTTTGACATTTACCTCAAAGGAAACGTCTCAAAGTCGATGTCCTTCTTCAAGAGTGCCGATGGCCCAACTCATCGTTTCCGTATGTTCCCTTATGTGGACAAGAAACGGAGAGTAGACGAATACGGTGAGACCATTGACGTGGGCATGTGGCTGAGGAAAGGCAAAGTGTTTGAGGATGATGCGGAAACTGAAGAGGTCAAAGAGGCAAAACGTAAACAAGCTGAAGAAGAGGACAAGGTATTCCACTGTGTAACCCCCCGTTCCAGGTGTCTCATGGTCTCTAGAATGCTATTCGAGAACCGCCTTCGAAGTTCGTTTCCTCCGAAATTGAAATTCAACTAGCATGCCGCCTTCTCTTCGTTGACATGGAGGGTCTGAGCGATGGGCGTGCCATTAAAGCTATCGTACCACAAGTAAACCCAAGGAAAATGGTGGGTGATGGAATAGTTCCCGATGGATCCATATTCACTCGTCACCAGATTGTCGTGCATGCTCCTACTGCAGCTGCTAGTACCCTCATCGAGAGCTGTGGACAAATCCGATCAATGACGAGGGACATCTATGTGCCCTCAACAGGAGAAAGTATACAGATCGGTCAACACACAAATACTTTCTCGATATCTATTAGCGATGAATTGCTAAGCACATTGAAGATGTCGCGGGTACGTCGGTCTCCGCCCTATACCTTTCCATTCTTGCTTATTCCTTGCAGTTCGAGGACAACGAAGTTGGCTACGTAACTGGTCGTGTGACGAATCATTTCAGCTTAAACATTCCCATTCTTGAGCCAGCAGGGTCTTTGGTACCATCGGAAACTGCCAACGCAAGGGCTATTGTTCCATCAGACCGGATTTTTGGTGCCCGAGTAGCGCAGCCCCTCCCCCGGTCTACGATGATCGGGGAGTTGAAGCTCACGGCTTTGAAGGCCAGACTAGCATCTATAGGGGTTCCTGCCGAGTTGATCGGAGAGGGCGTGTTAATCTGCGGCGCTGGAGCAAGACGCGACCAGACTTCAAACAATATTGATGAGACCGTAGCTGTCAGGAAAACGGGGCGAGGAAAGGTCGAACTCGAGGGTAACGTTTCCAGCGTGTATTACATTGTACGGAGAGAGATCTACGGTCTACATGCACTTATTGCTGCGTAGAGTACGAGCACTGTTCACCTATTAACTTACACGTATCACTTGCAATCACCGAAAACGTAAACACATCACCATCACAAGGCCCCTTTCCCAGCGTCTTCCTTCAGACTCACTATCCTGTTTAGGACTAAGTAATCTCCCTGTGTTGCACCCGTTGCGGTGTTGGGTTGGTCGAGCATGGCGACACGTGCGTCCTTGTCCAGTGCGAAATACGCAACGCGGAGACCCTGGAAGCGAATGCACTCTTTGCCGACCAGTCGCTCGGGTGTGACCGCTGGTGATCGCATTTTCTCGATCCGCGATCGGATCTCCTCCAGAGCTTTCCTCATGGATTCCCGAGTCAACGGCCAAAACCCGATTTCAACCATGGCTCCCCGGATGACCTCCATACTCTTGGAATTGATGTCCCCCCTGAAATCCGGAACAGCAGCTAGCGGATTATCGCTTTTGAATAGTGGATAGAAGAGACGGGTTTCGTCGACCCGAACCGGACTCCCAGATGGAGCGTATTCGGCAACCCACTGAATGAACGCCTTTGGCTTCCGGGTGTCATGATGTTCCAGGCGGCAGATGACTTCTGTTACTTGACCGGTGGTTGCATCTTTGACGTACGACGTACATGTGATAGGATGCGGTGCCTGGAAAAGACCCACTGTCTTTCCGGGTGCGAGGCGGAAATAGTCTTTGGAGTCCTCGAGTCTGAAATCGTCGGTATCGATGTAGATAGTTCGGGTGAACGGGACAATGGAAGTTCCAAGCTCTGGAACTTTGGGATGTAGTGGTTTCTCGATCATAAGCACGTAATCCTCCGGTAGGTTTTCAAGAGTTACTTTGAGGGGCCGAAGTACCATGAGAAGCCGCGGAACGCTTCCTTCCAAATATTGTCTGACACTCTGCTCAAAACGCACTATCTGGATGTTGGAAGCTGCAGTAGAAACCCCCAGAGAGCTCACGAAATTAAGGATGGCCTCCGGGGGCACTCCCCGACGTCGAAGGGCGATGACTGTGTATAGTCGCGGGTCATCCCAGCCTGAAACGTATTTCTCCTCCACTAACTGCAGCAGTTTGCGTTTTGAGTTGATCGTTCCCTGAATATTCAATCTGCCGTATTCCGATTGCCTTGGCTTATACACCTCGAGGGCATCACACAACCACTCATACGATTGACGGGAAGCAATAAACTCGGTGGTACACAGTGAGTGCCTAGTCAAAAGGTCATTGTCAGTAGGCTGTGAGGGATAAGGATTCCTCACGAGATGTTCTCGAAAACTATCAACGAGACAGTGAGTGAAGTCGTATGTTGGGTATATTTTCCACTTTGGTCCAGTGCGATGGTGAGGAGCATCCAGAACGCGATAAGCGGGGAGGTCCCACATTTGTGGGTTGCCATCGGATAGATCTTGTTTCATCCGCAAGAACGCCTCTTTCGGGCGGTAGTGTCCATCCCTCATCCTCCGGAATTCCGTCAATGACTCTTCCACGGGCCTCGATCGGTGGATACAGGCCTTGGGACTGGAGACCTTTTCGCCACGGTCCGCTTTAATCTGTTCCTCTAAGCACTGGTTAGGAACGGGCAGCCATCCCAGCAATATGAACTCACGTGAGCAATGGCATACATACGCTTTGTCACGTTTGATTAGATCCTCAGCCAGGGCGTACAATTCGTCAAAATAATCGCTCGAATAGGTTATTTTCCATGGTTCGAAGCCCAGCCAGTGGACAACTTCTATTATGCTGTCAAAGTACCGCCCTTCCTCTTTCTCGGGGTTGGTATCGTCGAAACGAAGGTAGCAATTCCCATCGTGATGTGCTGCGTAGCCGAAATTGACGAATATTGCCTTGCAATGACCAACGTGCAGGTAGCCGTTCGGCTCCGGAGGGAAACGAGTGAACACTCGGCCTCCTGTCGCAGCTAGGTGCTGCTCGCGGAGATGTGGGTGAATCTGAGGATTACCTCCGGGTTTATGGAGGGAACCCAAGAAACCTTCTTCAAATACGACTCTCCTGGCTTTAGCACTTTGTGCCGGATCATACTCAGACACAGATGACTTGCTGGTATCGAGTGTATCTGTGGGGGGGATCTCTTTCTGCGTTCCCAAAAGCATATCAGTGCAACGTAGGAAACAACATTTCAGTCAGTGATACTCACTTTCGCCTTGGGTTTGGCCCCTTCTTTGGGTCCAAATTTCTCGGTGAAAACGCGTTCTACTGCGTTCTTGATATCTAGAGGATTCGCCCAGCGGAGGGAAGGGATATTCTTGACACCACCGATAACGACACCTAGATACGACCAGTTAGAAGCGTTATTCGCGTCCACGTATTGTTTGACATGGTCCTCGAGTTGTGCAGCAGTTATTGTAAAACCTGTCCCAAAAAATGAGCAAGCATCTGGGTGACTATGGATGAAAAACTTGCCGACACCGCATGTAGTGTTGAAATCGCTCTCGTCGACTGGGACCGCGTGTGCTTCGAAGTACTTCACGGCCACTGTAGGATATGCTTAACGATCACGGACATGAGAGAAGGCACGCGACCACAGACCATTGACCTGATCCACCGACTTGAGCTTCTCCTCAAGGATCGCCTTCGTGATGTACGCGCGTGCTTCAATTCCGGCATTCTGGGCCTTTCCGAGCTGCAATGCTAGTGCTGAAACGAGGACAACCTGCTTCTCTGAAAGCCCGGCTGACACAAGATTGTGCGAGAGAATGAGGTCACGAAGGATAGCGGCACCCTTGACGTTTTTTGCCGCCTCCACCGCCTTAGACTGGGGCAAGCCCGCCGACTTGAAGAGAGAAACAAAATCCTCTGAGGACGGAGAGGTCATTGGTGCTGATATCACCACGATCGATGGTACTACGCGGGAGTCATTTGGCAGTCACCACTTATCTACGTTGCCTATTCTGGGTAATCTGATCGCAGCGGAGCACTTCGGGGCGCCAGCCAATATGTAAGGAATCTTCAAGCTTCACATCCCGAAGGCCTCAAATGTAATCGGGCAAAGGCAGCGGAGGACACCCATGGGAGTCGGAAACAAGACGAAAGTCATTGCATCCTTTCAAACAGTACTGTAAGATCCCATCTACTAATGTATCACAATATATATATCGCCATTTGCCTAATCTCTTTGACGTCGGAACGCACTGACAACTGGGGGGGTTATGTTGCGCGATCTGTATTGGTAAGTACACATGTCACGAAGAGGCTAAAAGAAGCATAAATATCCATAAGAACACCACCACGATGGGACCAAATAAGCGGAGAAGAGTATGAACCAAATTCTACAGGGCCTCGCCTGGAGGCCCGGGGGTATCAACGATGCCAGTATAGAAGGAGTCTACCGACAGGCGGGGATCCGCAGGGCTGTCCACAGGAACCATTTGCGAGGTCTGCTGGTTAGATGGCTGCGATACGTTTTGAATATCACCAGAGTACGGGTGCGGTTGACCGAGGTCAACGCCTACAAAATCATGTGGATTTGGCAGGTTCCCGAGATCTTGGGGATGTGAGAAGCCATATCCTTGCGCAGCGTACGCGTGCTGACCATAGTAGCTAGCCTGTATGTGTGGAGTGCGCGTTGCATCATAGCCATAATCAGGATAATATGTGGCTGGAGGAGCAGAGACAGCCATCGGGTCTCCGTAGTGACCCATCTCAGTAGGGGTGGGGTCGTCTTCGATGGTATGTCTCGACTGAAATTGAGGTTCTGATTCGACATGATGTTTGTCGAAAAATTCTATGTCATCGTCATCTTGTCTCGAACGACGGCGTTTGGCAATGAACATGCCAACTCCGATAACACCTGCAAGTCCGAAAAGACCGGCCACAGTGAAGGTACCGGCAACTGCACCAGTATTAGAAAAGAAACTGTTTGGCATTGAGTACCCATGATACACCTTTAGGAGGACTAACTCTTACCCGGATGACGACTGCCCGGACGCAGAGGACGAACTGCTCGGAGCGGGTGTAGTAAGGGTCACAGTCACACCAGAGGAATCCCCGGAGCCACCGGACCCTGAATATGTAGATTGTGTCGCGACGGGAGCAAGATGTGCAGACGTGGAAGTTGACGACGTCGCAGACTGCGCCGCACTAAATCCAGGTGTTACTTCGGAGGGTGCACGACAAGTCAATATAAACGTACGTGGTGGATGAAGAGGTTGTAGTAGACGCCGCAGACGATGTTGCAACCTGATTCGGTGACTGAGAAGTAAGCGCGGCTACAGGCTGTGACGTAGAAGTCGTAGGTGTCGCCAAGGGAATGCTAGACTGAATAGAAGTGGGGAGCGAAAGCATGGACGTCTGGGGTGTGACAGAAGGCAACGGAATGGATGCCACGGAAGTAGGAAGAACCACCGACGTATCAATCGAAATACTGGTAAGAGACCCCAATAAATCGGAGAGCGTCAGGGAAGAGTCGAGCCTCTTGTGCCTCAAACGAGCGGGTGATGGATAGGCATTGCGAGCTTGTGAAATGGCGACGGTAAAGGAGAGTAAGGAAATACAAAGGAATGTCGGTGCGCGGCTGGGACGCATTTTGTCTCGGAGGGCAGGGGAGGGGAGGAGGAGGAGACTCTTCCTTGTTGCTAAGTCGATTACAGTCAATAATTAAAGGATGTGTCACATCACTGATCAAATTCATATTCAAATGTTTTGACTGTGTTACATCGTCACGTGCCCTCCGTCGACGACTTGTCCACAAGCAAGCAAGCTTATTGGCGAGAATATCTATGACCGCCGTCTCAGCAGCAGATCTCCGCAGTGCCCTCTCGCTGCCTGCTACAGCGCCGAGCCAATCTCAGCCCCGAAAATCTGCACCACAGCCATCCAAGAAACCCGAAGGCATATCCCGCGAACTCTATGCTCTCATCGGTCCTTCCGCACCCTCTCTCGCCGCAAACCTTGCCAAACCGAGGCTCAAGCAGAAACCAAACTTCAGTGGTCGAGGGACTACTAAATGGTATGTCTCCGCTAGTTTGTCCGTTGCTGTGCACTGACACTGTAGTAGGGAGTGGAGGCCCATCAGCCATCCCGCTCGAGGAGACACTTTGCAACTCGGGCACTGGGTAAAAGCGAACGAACCAGACAACGGTAAGTAGGCGTCTGTGAGATCATGGGTCTTGGTCATACTTTCTTCAGAGTACTTGTTCGCAAAGTACGATGTACAACCAGCCAAGTATACCTATTCCGACGAAGAGTACTCCACACTCTTGGAAGGTCTGTTCGTCCGTGTCCTCCACGTCTCGTTATCTCAATCTTAATAGACAACGAGTGGTCCAAGGAGGAAACGGATTACTTGTTCAATATCGCACACGACTATGACCTCAGATGGTATGTCATACATGACCGCTACGAATTCCTAGATGGTCCTCCACGCGCAATAGAGGTAAATATTCCATATCTTGCGCGCGCCAGCAGAGTGGAATGAGATCATAAAAGGATCTCAAAGACAGATACTATAGTTGCTGTAGAAAGCTCATTCGGAGTCGCCCGTGGTCGGGCGACGAGGCAAGCAAGTCTCAGTTGCTCAACAACTATCAGTTCGACAAAGGTCTCCCTCAATGGCACTATTCTTCCTTTGAAGACTAACACATCTCGGCAGAACGCGAAAAAATGCGGAAAAATTACATTGCAAGCCTCGAGGAGCGAAAGCAGGAAGAAATTGCCGAGGAGGAAGCGTTGTTCATCGAGCTGAAGCGGTTGGAACAAAACGAACGCAAGTTCAGGAAAGAGCGCGACGAGTTGCTTCGCACTCTACTTGGAATCGACTCTGGGTTACCTGACATTGTTGCGGAAGAAGAGGGCCCCGCTTCGCTTTCTACGGACGGCCTTAAGAAAAAGAAGAAGGGAACAATGGACCTGGACATTCCTCCGACTCCCACCAACGTTGTATCCTTGGGACCTCCCGCAACCAAACGACCGCAATCTGCAAAAGCCGCCGTTTATGGTGAGCGCATTATTCTACTTCCGTTCAACTGACTTTCATTATGCGTCAGACGAGAAACATTGCATCATGCGTGTCGAGCCACCAGCAACGGCCACCACGAAAACGACACACGTCCCAGTGCACTTGCGTAGCTTTAAGCTCCCAATTCCAAAGGCAACCATTGCACCAAAGGTAACTCAGGCACTTGCAGAAATCGGGGTCACGCATTCCCGCTTGGTTATGCCCACTCGCGAAAACTGTGCCAAACTCGAATCCCTTCTGGAGACGACCACAGCATTGATCGACACCAAGAAGATCGTGGACAAGGTGGAGCAAGACATTCGGGTTTTGAGAGCAAGGCTAGGATTAAGGGAAAGCGAAGGCGCTAATGGAGATACACAAGAGTCAATGCAGATGATGGACGTGGACGAATCGAAGGATGGAAGCGTAAACAAAGAAGGCGAGATAGATGGAAGATCGCAGAGTGTGGTCAGCACGAAGAGTGGACGGGGCCGAAAACAGGTACGTGCTTCAACATGCAGGTATACACATGGCTGGAGGTGGTTTTCCTAGTCACGTCGGTCTATGTCGGTGTCTTCGATAGACACTTCTGCGTCTACCCGGACTGGTACGAAGCGACAGAAGAGAGGTTAGATTTTCAGATATGCGGCGGTCTGTACATGTACAATCACATCACAGCTTGCAACACCAGTTACTGGCATGTATTTACGTAGACAGAACAGCACCTGTCATCTGTTGTTGCACTCAGTCCTACAGGCACGTAGCTGGGACTTGTGTTTGGAATGAAGTTATTCAAGAATTTGCAAAACCCATACATCTGGTATGCCAAGTTCGTATGTATGTACTTAGATCAGCGTGCCACCTACAATAGATGCCAATTAGGCTAGTTGGGAACATGTTCACGGGAGATTCCATAAGGCTTAGTGATGCCGGTGAAGCAACCCAGCAAAAGTTCCTTCTAGCCCGATGCATCACTCTTGCGTAAACCGGAGAACGAAATTCACGATGATGGCAACTTCAAAAATAAAAATCAACTACCTAACAGTTTGACAGGTAAACATGCACTCACTCAGAAGAGCAACACATAGGAGAGTCTGTGCAAGGATTTAGATTTTAGAAGACCTACAAAAGCATGAGATCTAGACCACTTACCGGACCGACTCTATCATCATACGGACCACGACCTCCGCGGCGGATAGACGCCCCTCTCCAGTGATAGGTGTATAATGCATAGATCATAACAGCCATAGCTGGGCGCGATGAGCGAATTACGCGTGACGAGGGTTCGCATCGTACTTACCCACTACAGAAAACATCGCGGCGCTGATCCTTCCCACCTGCACATCACAACTCATCTGTCAGTTAAAATGAACGACGAGATGGTGGTTGCGACTACCGACCTTGTCACCGAAATTGAGTAAGCCTACTGGCAAGTCCACCGAGGACGACTGTGAAGTGGAGCCATGACAGGAAGGTGCGTTCGTTGGCAAACGATACCTTTGGTTCTACCCGGATGGGGAGCGCGATTCGTTTGGATGCTGTACGCTGGAGGAGGGGTTGGGTAGACATCGTTTTATCTGACCTGTCGTCACGGGTCCTCGCTGGGAAATAACCTTTGTATGTGGCTGGACCCATCTTTCCACGCCTTCCAACGACTTGCCTTGCTTGACCAGGTTCTCTCCCAGCAACCACTCAACTCAACCTTGCGTGGGAACCGGCTCACCGGACCACACCGGCCGATAACTTACATTAGTGTGCTTCAAAGTGGCTAGTACTTTATGAAAGGCTTTCGCTACTATCCACCCGGTGTCGGCTTCGTGTGCATGACGCACACCTAACACATGCCTCAAAGCCAGTGATAATGTCTTGATAGCCCCTGAATTCACCCAGACCAATACCCTGCCCCCAAACCGTAATCGACATCCTGGCTTTCTCCGATGCAAGCAAGGTCCCGGTAGTATTCCTGGATCGCGTAAGTTGTGCAAATGGTGAGTCTTATGGTGTGTCATTACAAACCCGACTATACAATTTCGGGGATCAAAACTTCACAGTCCAAAACACTATCAAGATCCTGAATACGAGCGACGATTGCACAATCACTCGCGACCCTCTTATATTCGTTGTGGGGCAACCTCCTCAGCAGGAGCGCGTTGAACGGCCACCTCCCGAGGTGTTCCAACATCTTCTTACACATGGTGTTGTTATCACTGTCCACCTGCGCTTCAAGGGATTTTATATGCCAAGGACGAATGAGGACATATGGACTGGAAGTCTTCTCAAGATCGACCGACAGTGCGACCTCGAGGGGTTGCAATTGCGATGCGTGAATCTCACAGACGCGACGTGGGGGGCTTGTCGAACACCGCAGCAATTTGACCGCCGTGACCCAGTGGGCAATGGAAGGCAACGTAAGCCTCCGATTGAGGAATTGTGCACGGGGTAACTTGGCAAGAGTTTCGTACAACTTCAGTGCCTTTTCAAGCTCAGCGTCCTTGTCAGTGTCACTGGGAATCAATGGTATATGAGGCACTGTTTTGTATGGCGCGAGCTTGGCAGGGAAACAACTGTGAAAAGCGGACGCCTCTCCAACCCAATCCAAAACTGAAACATCTCCAGACTGTGGTATGATTTCCGCTAGGAAGCGTCCGAGCGCGTTCTCCGCAGATTCACCATAGAGAACTGGCAAGTGGATCTTGAAAATACCAAAAAGAGAATAGGCAATATCTTCTGGCCGAGTGGTACGACGATCCTGATGCCCACTGAAGCCTCGATCGGGCATCATCCATGCCTGGGTAAAAATTCGCTAAGATGCTGTTCCGCTATTCCTGTTGCCTTCTGAAGCTCTGCTAGCACAGCAGGATCCTGTTTTGTGATTCGCCACGTCATGGTTCATGAAGAGCGACCAGTCCTGCATATAGAACAAGTACGATCGGCGAAGCCAGTAATTCTTGGAGAGTCCAGCCCCGCTTGAACCACATACTATCCTGCAAGCGAACCAGCCTCTGAGACGTCGGAGAGGTGTACAAGCGTCAGAGAGGACCAGCGATACCACGAAAACATGGAACCGATGGCTTCTTGAAGTTCAGCACTGCTATCTTTGTCGATGCAACAAGTGTCGCTCCATGCCCACAAGAAACCACGTCCGAGAGCATGAATACAGAACTCTTGGACCTTTCCCAGGCCATCCGTGCCATCTAAATCATAGACGCTTGTACCTTCAACGTCGCGTAGTAACGGCTCGCCGCTCCCCCACCTGTGGGATAGCGTAGCATATTGAAAGTATTTGGAGACCTCTTTACGGACCTCCGCTTCGCCTAGCTCGCCATCAGATGCAGACGCCAACGAAAGTAGCTGGCTGTATTGAGGACTGGCCTCGAAATGAGAGAGCTGTGCACCTCGATTGCACACAGTACCTGTTGCCGTATACAAGAGTCGCGTTGGGATGTTATCGAATGTTTTGAAGACAATGCTCCTAATTAACTGCTTGATATGGCAGCTTGTGGCACCAGTCATCTTTACGGGGACTCGAGTACCCCGTTTTCTGACTTTCACTCCAAGGTAATTCGTAAGACGGTCCTGGGACAGTGGGCGATCTGGGTGCCCAGGGGCGCAGAGTGTGAAGGCGGCACCCAGTTTCTGGTCTGGAATTTTTCGCAAAGGCAATCGGCGAGGCTGAGGAGAGGTCTGGATTGATCTTGCAAGGGCGTACGTTCTAAAGTAGCCCGGCGGAGAGTTATGACCTCTTCCAGATCCGCCATGGCACCTTTCCTGCTGAAGCGCTCGTAGAGGCAGTCGACGAGTTTGGCAAGAATTGGTTGCCACTCTGGGTCATCCTGGGTTATGGATCCCAACGCAGTCCGTCTAAGGGTGATGATTTCATTCAAGTATGCCTTGTCATCTTCCCCCCTAAGCCGATCAGAAAGGCAGTCAGCCAGATCGGACAGAGTTGTGAAGCGATTTGGGTGTTCAGGGGGAGTGATTTCCAAAACGGCACGTTGGATGATGGTAACTTCCGTTAGATCTGTCATATCGCCTTCCTTCTTGAATCGCTCACTAAGGCGACTACTAAGCTCGAGGAGAGTCGGTCGTCTCCTCGGATCTCCCATGGGCATACTTTCCAACAGAGCTCTTGTGTGCTCGATGGCCTCGTCACATTCGTTTTCGAAACCCCAGAATAGTTTCTCTGCTTCCCACCACTCTACCACACGGCTAAGGCTAGCGATGGCAAGGAGTACCTGCACATACCAACGGCGCCCGGGCCGATCTGGATAGTGGTCCCAAGTCATTCCTATGGCTTGGACGCGCTGAACAAGTGATTCACATATATTCGGTTGTGCCTCCAACCGCGCGATGGACATCTCCGTTACATCTGTGGCAATGCCTATGAGCCCGTCCAGTGCGAAGATGAGAGGATCGGTGGGATCATTTATTAGTATGGGCGAGGACGTGCGATTGACAGAAGTCGAAGTCGCAGCGCTACCGCGGATTGTAGTAGGAGGGGAAAGTGAGGGAGATTCTGATGTTGAGTCCTTGGCGGTAGAACTACCCGAAGGGACGCGCAAAGAGGATGCAGACCTAGACACTACAAAGAGGCCCAGGAAATGAGGCCCGATAAGTTAGGAGGGAAACTACTTTACTCGTACTGTCTGGAGACGCACATTGTCGAGAATGACGGTAGTCACATTTTACATCGTAGGCACTATCGTCTGCCGGGGACGCAGGGCGGGTCACTGCAAACAGTTCACGCATGTCGTCGAAGTCGCTATGCTGAGACCCCCTGTCGACATCTCTGTCGCGATCGTGATAGTCAATGTCGCCGTTCTGTTCGCCTTCGCATCCCTCCTCAAAGAGTGAGGTGATACTATATATTACTTGGCGGAGTTCGCGATCGCAGTCTGCCTTTGCAGCCTTCAGACGACGAGTAACGTGTCGTCTGACGAAGGGCATAGAGACGGTGTTGGAGGTGGTTGCATTTGACTGGATTGGTGGACTGAAGACAGGGTTTTCAACGACACCGGCGGACTGAGCTGAGGACTGGGGACGACTGAATGAGCCGAACATGTAGACCCCGGTGAGCTGGATAATCATAGCAGGTTAATATGAGCGATCGCAGAACCGAGCAGCGGTGCGCACCCGAGAGTGATGACAAGACTACAATACAAAGGGAACGGACGCAGTTGCGGGCTCGAGGACGACTTGTAAAGGACTCGGGCGAGACGAGTCAAGGCGGATAGTGTCAGCCTATAAGATTGGCGCCGGGGCACTCGCGGAGCTATTAGCATAACCTCGGCGACTGGCAACCCCACTACGCAATGCTAAGTCGTTTTCCAGTATTCCAGTCGCGCATATCATGCAGTAGGATCACCATACGGCGATCTCTTTCCTCGAACCCAGCAGAGGCGTTCATACAACCTCTCCGGTCAGATCCGGGGATTGCTTGCCTGTTCCTCAACAAGCCCCAGACCAAGAATGCAATCTCCAAGAGGATGTTGCAGGTTGCGTTGGCATAGCTTACTTCCCTTTCTTATACCTCTGACTCCCGCTCCAGGAACTCCAAGAATGTCTGTACACCGCCAAGTTCGACAAGAGGTATACAACTCGAAACCGCTGGCATCCTTTTCGTTGGCTCATAGTTCAACCAGCATCCGTGCACTTGTCGTACGGTCAACGAGTGCAAATACCTTCTGTGCAGGTGCCGATTTAGCTGAACGACGTACCATGTCACCAATGGACGTTAACAAGTTCCTCGCCGATCTTCGCTCGACGCTGGGTCAACTCGAAGCTCTCCCGATGCCTACCATCGCTGCAATAGACGGACCGGCGCTCGGAGGCGGTCTTGAACTGAGCTTTGCCTGTGACTTGCGGGTAGTAGGTATGTCATGCCTACGGAACCATTATGTGGATTGCCCTCGACACCATTAGATAGGACACGACGTAACCAAAATCGGACTTCCTGAGACGCGTCTTGGGATTATTCCTGGTGCTGGGGGCACTCAGCGTGCTGTACGGCTCCTTGGGTTGGCCAAAGCGAAGGATCTTATCTTCACTGCGCGAATGCTGACAGCTACTGAAGCTCTGCAATGGGGTGAGCTTTCGACGCTGTTTTCTGTCTACTGACACCCCTAATGCCTTGTAGGGGTAGTCGATTATGTATCTACTGCACCATCCACAGGGTTCGATCGTGCACTCGAACTCGCACGAGATATCGCAAAGAGTGGTAAGTCACTACCGTCTGAAACACACGTTTTTCGCGGCTGGATACTCGGGATTCCGTAGCACCTTTGGCACTCCGCGCGGCTAAGCAGGCCGTATCACGCGCAGTGGACTTGCCGCTGGAGTCCGGTAGGATGCTACTTTCTCACTCATTCCTCTTGGCTCATGGATGCCAGGGTTGGATTTTGAGAGAGCCTCGTATGAAGTGCTCCTCGGCACCAAAGACCGCATCGAGGCCCTCGAGGCGTTCAAAGAGAAGAGGTTGCCAGTGTTTAAAGGCGAGTAGAAAACCAGGTAAAATCTATTAAGTTACAACATGTCAAACAAATACTGTGATAACGAGGGGCTGCACATAGGCAATTCTGGCGAACAAGCTAACTACGACCAACGACTGGAAATCCGCTAGCAATTCCACTAGGGAGAGCCATGGATATACCTTCCCCTATCTTGAGGCTTTCAAGTTCCTTCATCATTGTACTCAGACGTCCCATCCTGAAGCGATCCTTCAGACCCTTATTGCTCATGTCTGCTACCCCATCATCGGCTTCTGAAGATTCATTGAACTGATTCTCAAACTGAACCCAGTCACTCCTTTGTGCGAGGTATGGTTTGAGTAGTGACGAGTCGATGCGCCCAAGGTAGTTTATCCGTTATGTAGGAACGCAATATCTCCGGTCGTACAAGGAAGACATTGCCCAATTGTCGAATGAATTCGAAGCGCTCCACCAATGGTGGTATGTTGAACGATGCGATGATATCTTGGTATGACTTCAGATCCCTGTAACAAGCATTGATAAGTCAACGCGCCATGAGAAGTATCTTTGACACTCCTTACTTTGCAAGCATCAAACCGCCTGTTGCACTAACGGGAAATTTACGCAGGTGGTCCAGCAGAAGGCTATCTTCACCATCAAACCAAATTAACTGGTTACCTGGAACGATCCCACCTGTGGAAGGAGATGCCTATCTCGGTAAGGAATGCTTCTCGATTCTTTCCGCTGATGTTCTGTATCACTGCATCCCGGACTTTCTCAAGGACCTCACAGCAAGTGATGCACGGCTCTGTGTTGACTCTTGCGAATGACTGGTCATCATTGCGAGGCTTAAAGTCGTTTCTCTTCTGCTTGCTAAGTTGTAAGGTCAACCAGGAAATGATAGCTGAAAGCACATATGAGCAAATGGTTGAATGAAAGGCTGGCAATACCACTTGCCATCTGTGAGGACGCTGCAGCAGATTGTTTACAGCACCTTCCATGCGACTGATTGTCTGGTTGACGAAAACGGACATCTCCCGCCGTGTGGTCACGGATGCGGCAGCCAGAGGGAATATTGCAATGTTCATGTAACGTTGCCATAGGTGAGATATGGCATCCACCGAGTAGATCACTGTGAACGCTTGCAGGCTTGGCTCGACTTTTGGATCAGCGGAGTCTATGCGAGCAAGGGCCCTTTAGGTGGGTTAACGGCGGTCATCTGTGGATAAAGAAAAAAAAACTCCTACGATTCAATGGCAACCTCAAGGTAAGAATTTGCTATTGCCTCTGCCAGTACCCGAAGCAAAATGAAAGTGTTTTTGGGGCTGCTTGTATGTCAGCTGGCTTTTTCCCGTTGAAAGCTGTGCACTGACACATCGTTCTGAGCGCTGAGCTCGACGGATCTCCCAACAGCCTCAGCATGCCACTTCAACATCTTTTCGGCGGTATCGATGCTAAGGAGGCCATCCTCTTCTCGCAGCGGCTCTTCCACAGCTTTGTCATGAGCGCGATCTGTCCTCATGCCACCGAATCTCATTATTGCTGCTGCAGCTTGTGCAGATGTAGTGGGACCCGCAGCAGACGTGTTCGCAGCAGCGGCGCCTAGTCGATCTACCATACGATCGAAAACGGAAGCCTTACCCCGTTCTCGTTGGGTCCTAGCCTGAAAAGCACATTAATCAGACTCCTGAATCGACCAGGCCCAAACGTACATGATATTGTGAGAAGTTTGCAAGAAGGGTGGCATACAACTCCGCCATGTTTTTGCTTTCCCGTTCGAGATACTTCTGACTTTCGATGTATGGCACAAAAAGTTCTTCCATAGCTGCTTCCAGCATAGCAGCGACGGTCGTCGTCGTAGCGCTAATCATGTTGGAAGGGGCACCAGTAAGAGATCTCCGGAATTCAACGCCGGCCATGGAGGACTTGCTCGCGACCATTGAGGGAAGTTCATGTGTCTTCAGATCATCCACCAATGTGGAAGTCTCAACGTGTATCAACTGCAGAACACGCAGGTAAGCTAATTCTGATGATGAAGCACCTTTGCTCAGCAGCTGTTCCATGTATTGTTGAATCTAATGAAATATGTCAAAGTTTCGTTCTTGTGGGCCGTCCATATGATGCTTAGCTTACAGACTGAGCAAACACACGCTGAAGGAACACTTGCATCACAAGAGATGGATTCGGAAAGACTGCTTGGACGATTTGTGACTCTTGCGCCATAGTCGCTCTTATTTCCGCAAAGAGTTGCACAAGACCGGGCGCCGTCTTGGGAGGAGACGAGTCCGGGTGCGATATAGTCTTCCACCTGGAATCCTGTGAGTACATAGCAATAAACTGAGAATACCCGAACATTTCATCGCTTTCATCGACATGATCCTTAACCTTGTTAATAAAGAAGTCATGTTGATTGACGTAAACCTGCACACAAGACCCGCCGCCGTTGAAGTCGAGGAGTGTTTGAGCACAGTGCTGCAAGTACAGTAAGGATACCATCACAATGAGGGTTGATCCTTAGACAAACATGCATCATCTTTGGATCACCTTTTCGGTAGTAACGGTCGAAGAGGAACAACATATCTTTCTCGAACTTCTCGCAATACTTGTCAATATTTTCCCTAGTCTGTTGAAAAACATGGGGGTTCGGAGACACTTCGAGAACTGAGGCTTGTCTTACCTTCTCAGCTATGGGAAGGTCAACTTCCTTCGCCAATGTAGTCAAGCGCCTGAGAATGACAGCAACCTGATGTCGACCGTCTTTGCCTTCTTTTCTAAGAGCGTCTAATCTACTGGTTTCTCCGCGAGAAAACTGATTGTAGAAGTCGATCAAGTTATGCGCCGCCTGTGCTCGCTGTCTTTCGACGTGGACTGATTCGAGTTCCTCGCCTACGAACATCAACCTCCGTTAGTAATATAGGACATGTGAGGATACATACCTATCCTAACAGCTGTACGCCCAACTTCACTCAGTTTACTTTCCATAGTTGCAAATGACGATCCTACTGCCTGAACACTAGTCCATCAGAACACACGATTCGGGTACCCGTGTACTGACCTCGAATCCCTTGTTTAGTTCGGCCATCTTCCCAGAGTACTCCCTTTCCGCCACTCTGACGTTCTTCTCGAGTTGTTCTGTCTTGACCTGAACATCCTTGCGGACAGATATGAGGCGGTCGACAACTAGCTCAAAGGTGCGGATAAACGGCTTTGGATCGAACGCTGGGGGGAATGAGTCCATAAGCTATTAGCATGCAGATGGCGTACGTACGTCCCGAAGATGTCTTGGACTGGGAGATCAGTTTCTCGGACAATGAGCCGACGAAATCTTTGACATCAAATTTCCCCTGAAATTGAAGGATGAGCCTGATGCAGCAAGAACACAGCCCGTATGGAGACCTCGAATGTATCCAGACCAAGCTGACCTTCAAGTGAAGGGTCAAGCTGGAGGTGATCGTTCGTTCTCGCCATCCTGAGGCCAGTTATTCACTTATGGGGACCAGTAGTCACACAACTGAAGTGGTACAGGCTAGCGTTGTTTTGACGTGTATGCAAAGAGACTCGTAGTACTGCACAAACCGCCGCCTTGGAAAAAAAAAAGTCGTCCTCGTCGACATGGACGTCCCTCATCCTCTCCAGTCTATCTTGCAATCCTTTCTTGTTTCCGATGCGTCAGCTGTACTTTTTGCGCCTCAAGTCTTAGAACGACTTTCGTCTAGCTGTCTCGCGCCTTCCTCACACCTTCAGAAATGGTGCACTCGTATTACTTCACTGATACACTCAAAAGATCCAGGAGCACGGTGGGCAGGAATATCCTTTGCATATCGAACGTCTGCTCTATCGGAACAACTGCTAATTGAACATGCTCGGTCATGGATCGGAATTGTATTACCTCTTTTCTCAGTCTGTTAGATCATGTCTATTGGCCACGGAAGAAATGCTGATGTATAATCCAAGAAACCAGAACCCAAACCAATACTGAAGGTTTCAATGCGGTACTTGCGCTTGGTGCTTGGTGCTGCAGCGGGCCATCCCGAATTTCAGAGACAAGTCGCTGCGCCAGCCGTTCCAAAAATTTGTGCTGCGCTGTTACACATTGCAGAGAATTCAATCGACACGAATTCAAGGGTGACTTCTCCATGTTCTCAATTTTGTTTGGCATGCTAATAGATTACAGGCGCTGGCCACACAAGTGTTAAGCCAGCTTGTTATGTCATATCCGTCTCAGCACAGGGCTTTAAGTTCAAAGCTGTTTGCCTTGTGCTACGGAATTTTTGGAGGTTCCTCGCCGCAACCAACGCACGCTCGATTACTCGACGTTACGGCTGACTTGTTTTCAACGTTGCATTACCTTGGTGGTAAAGTCGGAGGTGTTAACACCTGGCGGTCATGTTTAGATGCCGTCCTGTATGCTTCGTGGGTCGCTTGGGCCGCTCTAAGAACTACTTTCCCCAGCAGCATGACTCATTTGAGTGGGCAAACGTTGAACATGGAGGGTACCACTCCATCATACTTTGGGCCACTGCCTGGAGATCCGTTGACGGCCAATCTACTCTGCCTGGACAGACTAAATTGCAACATCACTGCAATATGTGCTTTATTAAGGTAACCGACAACCATATCGCACGTTGTCTGTAGTCTCAGAACTTGGATGATACAGAGCACCCGTTCAACGACCAGTCAAGGTACCCACAGGTAATTTAGTCGCATTCAGCTGCGCCTTATTGGCGTGCACAGATGAAGAACAGCAGGTATGCCATTTCGTGATATCATTTGTCGTGTAACTCGACATTCATTTAGAGCGAGCGACTCCTTAACCCTCAAGTCCGTGCTCTGGAAGTGGGAGCTTTACCACAAATCTGGATGCATGGATGCCGCCTACTCTCTTGCTTGTGCCAAGTGTAAGGGCAATCGACTTCCTCCGTATGATGGTGATTTGGAAACACTTTGCAGTGCTCAGAAGCTCGTGGCTCCCAGTGCATCGCGGATAGTCACGATCATTGCCTGTCAACTCGAGAGGATCCAGGAAAAGTACCTGGAATTATACACCGTTGTCGACTTGTACTGAAATGAATCCCACAGCTCACAGCGCTCCGCTTTTCTTCAAATAGCGCACGATATTCTTAGCCATTGCTCCGTTGTCGGCTCATCAATTGCCGTCACTCGTCTTATGAGGACAACGATCGCATCGTTATCACAACTGTATCTTCCCCAATCTGCTCAGGGTGGCGATGCTTCTTCACAGAAAACAGGCAAGAAAAGGGTGCGAGATTTTCAAGATGGCGACGCTCTTTCGACTCGCCAACAAGTGCTCTGCGCCACCAGCGACTCTTGCAATGCAATTCTCGTTGCTTTGGATGGTGAGACCTTGCTTGCAAAGAACGTCAGATATATTCAGGTTGCTTCCAGTCATTCACGAAGGCCTGAAGAACATGGAGTTGCCCTTGCAAGTAAGATCACTCTCAACTCGAGTGCTGCTATCTCTCTTGCTCTCGTTGCCATCAACTCCCCCCCAAAGTCTTTCGTATGACCTTAATGTCTATAATCAATTTGTCAAAAGAGTGCGCGAAATCTGTCTAGACAACGCAGTAGGAACAAGCGAAATGAGCAGATTCGTGGGACTCGTCCTGCGATGTTGTGCTGTTGAAGGTGGTTTAGTAAGCTGCAATTTTGGTGATATCCGATATGTAATTCACCAGACCACAGGATCCAGCATCCCTCGCTAAATTGCAGTCCTCGGTGGACCTCTTAATTCATCCCCGAAGGCCACCTCCCTCACAAAGATTACCTTCTTTGGAATTTCTGTTGCTTTCTTCAGCTGAGGAGAACAAAGACCAAGCTGCCGCACGCCAGGCACATGGCCTCTCTGGACACAACGGGACGGTTGAGGGGACAAGTCCGGTTGTACTTGAAAAAATCGGAGAACCTGCACGCGTTCCATCTCTGGTCCAGGAACGAAGTCCAGCGCCGCCCTTAAAACCTGACCGGCCGACCGATATATCACCTCCCAACCTATCACCTCCAACGGACAGCGTTCCCGAGAGCCACGACATATCAATGGTCATGCATACACAATCGCATCCATCGCCGCCAAGAGTCCAACCCCTTCCGGCTATCCAACGACAAGAACAGCCTCCTAAACCAGTCATCACCGTCCCTGTAACGCTGATTGCCGATGAGGACAACGAAGAGGTGCCTAGCATTGATATGGATTCCGACTCGGACGCGTAAAACTCGAAACTTCTGGTTTCATGCAAAAGCACATTACCCCGTTTATGTGCTGTGAAACAAAATTAAAATGTGCCGTGTTCGACTCTCAGCCGTTTTGTTCGGGAAGCCTCTGGAGATTCTGGCATATCTTCGTCAGACTCATGACGAAGATCAGTGCGTGGAGCCTGTAACAGGCATTGTGCCTTTTGACAATAAGATAGAACTTGTTGTATAGAACCTGCATATCTGTTCTTACTTACCATGTTCACCAGCAAGTCCACGACGGTATTATTAGGATCCAATGCCTTGGCACGCTGAAAGAATATCTGAGCGCGGTCGATAAGATTACGGTCTGTTCCACCTGAATCATCGTTTCCTGCTAAACACTCTGGACTAGCAGCATGCATCATTACAAAGGACTTGCCTTCAATCATGTCATTGGATAGTTGTGCATTGAACATAGAACAGAGACCTGCGTATAGGTGAAGGGTCGGGTTGTCGTGGTAGGGGAACGATGGTAGGCAGCTGTCACCGTTGTTATCGAACACGACGGGGAAGGGACATCAACTACGCACAATTCTAACTCATCGAGGGCATCCCTGTGCCTGTCGGCTAGAATATAGAAATGTATAAGTTCAGTGAGGATTTTTTCCCGCTGTTGCACATCCGTCACAACAGGAACTAGCCGTTTGACGTGAGAGACACGGCACCTCGTCAGGATGTTGCAACATCATCGCCTTCAGGTAGTCGACCTTTGTTGGAGTGCTCTCTACATCGTTGACATGACAGTCGAGGAGGCCAACGCTTAATGTCCATAGATTCTTCCAGTTGACCTCGTTGCATCTTGCCAGAATGGCCCATGCCCGTCGCGCGCGTGCCATGTCCTGTTGCTGCAGACTGAGATGCAGTATGTCATATAGACGTCTGATATGAATGCGGCGCGAGGTTAGGCGTGGTTTGTCTTCGAGCAACGAGAACAGGAACTGATGATTGCAACTGGAGTCCATGAGAAGTATGGTGGCCACACACCTGCACGGCAGCGACAAAGCCAAGTAGCAGTATGGCACCACTTATCATTCTGCACAACCACCATAGTGCAGCACCACTACCTGTGTTTGCTCAAAATACCTCAAGTTTACCACTGGCTGGCGCACTTGATTGCTGCGTAGACAACTATTGTCGTGTATTCCCGACCCTGCCTCGCACATTTCACGTCCATGGACGGTGACTTTGACTTTGGTACTTCTGTGTGGGGAGCACCCACAGACCCTCCTCACTTGTTGAACACCACGATAGCCAGCACGTTTTCTGTACCCTCTCCCGCGTTGTCGCACGACCCGTTTGATGATTTCGATGACTTTCATACACCACCCCAGACTCAAAACCCATCCATTGTACAAGACGACGACTTCGGAGATTTTGGAGACTTTGGAGAACCAGGACCATCAGATTCTGCTTTCGTCTTCGAGGAGGACGTTAATTTTGAAGAAAATGCCACGGGTGTCGAATATTCCCAGTCAACATGGGAGGCATTACAACTAGATCCTCTACCTTCAGAGGAAGATTTGAGACGACAGGTGGAAGACATTTTGGGTTCGGAGTGGGCAAAGGATCTCTCTGAGGTAACTATAGATGGCCACATCAGACAGGCTGAGGGTATTGGCCAGTTCCTTGTGGAGCCTGCGAGGTATGTATTCCCGTTCCTCAGCTAACTAACTCAGAACCAAGATTTGCAGTCGTCAACTGTATAACATGCTGGTCAATTCACCGCCCTCTACGGAACCGATTAACTGGGTGCGGTCGCGCATCCGACAGCAACACTTGATTGCCTTGGGACTGCCAGTTAACCTTGACGAAATACTGCCCCAAGCAGGGGCAAAGCCCATGCCTCTTCTGAATGTCTCGACAAGGCCTATGTCTGCTCCACCCGTGGCACCGAATATCCTGCCACGGAGTGCACCTGCCTCGAGGGGTAACTCACGACCTGGTACGCCACGCTCGGGAACACCGCAACCCACTTTACGGATGGGAGTTCCAGTCATAAAACAACTTGGCCTGGGACCCAGGCCTCAACTAGATGAAAGGAGACTGAACGAGTTACTAGACCTCGATCCAGGTATGTTGTCATGCTTAGGTGTGTGACAGTGACGTGTAAGGCAATCATGTTGCAGAGGGACTTAATCTTTTACCCCTGGCCAAGTTGGAGAAATACCTTTCTGAGTTGCGATCAGAGACGACAAATACTTCTTCACTCCTGACATATCTCCTACAAACACGGGATGCCTTGCAGCAGGACTCTGAAACATATAACAAGTTGATTGCAGAGCTGGTGAGTGAGGCACAGAAGACTAAACTAGGGAAAAGGACTGGGAAGCGTAGTGGTACACTAAGCTAATAGGATTCCACATTGATTGTGTCAGATCACGTGACATGGCGATCACAGTAAAAACTTGTTAGCATGTCTGAGACACTACATACTATTCCTTCGAGAGCAGATTGTCGACAATGAATGTCGCGATATCCGTGCCTGCGACAGTCAAGAGCGTTTCCTTCTCATTTCTCTCTAGCGAGGACATACGCAGAATTTCCGTCAAGCAAATAGTTAACCCAGTGTTACTCGACGACCTCAACAGACCGAATATCGGCGGCCTTTATGATCCAGCTCTCGGCCCAAGTGATCGACAGGACATGTCAGTGTTATAGGACTAGTGGATACACTTTACCGCTGACCTTGTTTACCAGTTGTGCGACTTGTCATCTGAACTATTTCACCTGTCCTGGTCACTATGGACATATCGAGCTTCCTGCTCCAGTGTATCATCCGCTTTTTATGACGCATATGTACAATCTTCTTCGCGGTACCTGTCTATTTTGCCATAGGTTCAAAACGCGTCAATCGGTGGTGCGCTGCCTCTGTTTTGTCTTTCTAACAAAATATAACGTCTGCTAAACGACAGTTGTGCAAGTATGCTGCAAAGCTACGGCTTCTGGAACACGGTTTATTGGATGCTGCGCTTGGCATGGACGACCTCCACATACAGGACAAGGGTAATGGCGAGGGCGAGGATGAAGATTCACGAGGGGAAACCGTCGAGGAGTTTGAAAAGCGTGTGGAGTTGTATGTCCGAATCCATCTTTCCCGTGCACGCAGTAGAAGGGACCAGTACAAGGACGAGCTCGTTTATCAAGCGAGGAAAGACGTCATTACAGACTTTCTGAAGTCTACCATTGCCAAGAAGTGTCAAAATGCAGGATGTGGAGCGTGAGTCCGGTGTTTGCCTATCTTGACAGTACTGAACATCGTGCACAGTTTTGGCTACACATTCCGCAAGGAAGGATCTACAAAAGTCATAGAATACGATCTTCCAATCAAGCAAAAAAACCAGCATTTTGCATTAAGCCTCCGCCGCCCCGATGTACTTTTATCTGAAGGTCAACGGGGCGAAAGAGTTGAGCAACATCTGGATGATCAGATCCTTGACGATGACGACGCTCCGGCGTCAGAACCTGAAGGGGATATGGCATATTCTGAAGAAGAAGAAGAAGAACCATCAAAAAAAGAAAAAGAGTCACTTCCAAGGACGGCTAGTGGAAGGGTGAAGACCTCGCGTGGTCGTAATGAAAGGGTGATGGCACCAGAGGAGTGCCGGGCACATCTTCGTCGTCTTTTTGCAAATTGTCCTTTGATGTGTTCTCTACTGTTTGGGCGGCATGGGCCATTCACGCCACTTTTACGCAACGGGCTCACCCGTGCTTCCCCAGACATATTCTTTATGGAGGCAATCCCTGTACCACCTACGCGTTTCCGACCTCCAGCGAAAATGGGCGATTCGTTATTTGAGCACTCTCAAAACGAATTACTGGCCAAGATTTTGAACACATCATACAGATTACGAGACTTGACTGCAGATCTCCAGGTCTCCTCAGCGAAATTTTCGACTATCGACGATTCTTCTCGCAGACGTCTATTGGGATCACTCTTGGAAACCCTTGTTCAGCTACAGGTGGATGTGAACAGCTTCATGGACAGCAACAAGAACCCAGCGCCTGTACGTCAAGGAAAGCAACCTCCCGCCGGAGTGAAGCAAGGGTTGGAGAAGAAAGAAGGCTTATTCAGGAAGCACATGATGGCAAGTGATGTTATACATATACGTGTGTTCAGTGTGACTGATGTAGACTATCAGGGAAAAAGGGTCAATTATGCTGCGCGCTCAGTTATTTCTCCTGATGTTAACATTGAACCCAACGAAATCGGAGTCCCACCGGTATTCGCCCGTAAATTGACCTTTCCCGAGCCCGTCACTCCCATGAACTTTCAAAAGTTGCGACAGTGGGTTATCAATGGACCAAAATGCTATCCGGGTGCTACAATGGTAGAATACGAGGATGGCCGTCAACAGTCTCTGGTATCGCCTTCTCACGTCGAGCCCGCCCTCTGTACTCAGGCATTGTCGTATAGGAAAAACTCACCGTTGAACAACGTACAGCCATTGCCAATCAATTATACACTCCACAAGATGGGGGTGAGCACAACGGCCTCTCAACTAGAACAGCTTCCATCAATAAGAAGGTCTATCGACATCTACAGGACGGGGATATTTTAATTTTGAATCGCCAACCTACATTACACAAACCTAGTATGATGTGCCACCGAGCTCGCATTCTACATGGCGAAAAGACCATTCGAATGCACTATGCGAATTGGTCAGGCATCCTTAATTGGTCCTTCAACATTTGACTCACCTCCCACTTTCTAGTAATTCATACAATGGTAGATCTATTTTTTATGGTCCGAATGGGTGCTGACTTGTCGAGTATAGCGGATTTTGACGGAGACGGTAAGTCCATCGACGTCTGAATACCCAGGTGTCTTAACTGAGCCTTGCAGAAATGAACATCCATTTTCCTCGTGAGTCCATCCTTCTTAATGGTGCGGGTGATACCAAATCGCCTCAGAAAACCAGGTGGCGAGAGCCGAAGCAACGTATATCGCCAACACCGACAACCAGTATCTTGTCCCCACATCGGGAAAACCACTCCGCGGTCTGATTCAGGATCATGTCGTTGCTGGTGTATGGATGACTTGTAAAGACACATTTTTTTCGAGGGAAGAGTACTTCCAACTGCTTTATGGTGCCCTTCGACCTGAGGGAGAGTTTGGTACTGACTCGATAAGGACTCTCCCTCCTGCGATTTGGAAGCCCAGGCCTCTCTGGACTGGCAAGCAAATAGTGAGCAATTCTGGTGAAGGGGGTGATTAAGACACTGATACCCTGCAGATCTCAACGGTTGTCCTAAACATTACCCCCTCTTATGCCGAAGGGCTGAACCTTGAGGCGAAATCCAAGGTGCCAGGTCACCTGTGGGGGAAAGGGTCTTCAGAAGATCGTGTTATTTTCATGAATGGGGAATTGCTTTGCGGTGTTCTGGACAAGTCCGCCTTTGGTGCATCAGATTACGGTTTAGTGCACTCAGTGTACGAGCTGTACGGTGCAGAAATCGCAGGGCAGCTCTTGGGCATCCTCAGTCGGTTGTTCACCAAGTTTTTGCAACACAGGGCTTTTACTTGTCGTATGGATGACCTTGCACTGACCCCTGATGGCGATCGTGCGCGGACTACGATATTGCGGCAGAATGAAAGTCTCGGGACAGAGGGTGCCATAGAAAACTTCCCGTCGCTGGCCAATACGCCGAGAGAAGACATCCCGGCGGCGCTGACCACACTCCTGGAAGATGTTCTTCGGGACGACAACAAAATGGCCGGACTCGATGTTACTGTCAAGACGAAGCTAGCTGTGTTGACGAAGTCGATCGCGGACGCTTGCATTCCAGATGGTCTCCTTCGCAAATTCCCCCACAACCACATGCAGACCATGACCCAATCCGGTGCCAAGGGTAGCGCAGTCAATGCCCAACAAATATCATGTGCTCTCGGTCAACAGGAGTTGGAAGGTCGACGTGTTCCGGTAATGGTCAGTGGAAAGACGCTGCCATCCTTCAAGGCATTCGAAACTAGAGCTATTGCTGGTGGATACGTGGCAAGCCGGTTCTTGACTGGCGTAAAACCCCAGGAGTTTTACTTCCACTGTATGGCAGGCCGAGAGGGACTTATTGACACTGCAGTGAAGACATCTCGCTCTGGGTACCTCCAACGATGTCTCATCAAGCACCTCGAGGGCATCCGTGTCCACTACGATAACACTGTTCGTGGGAGTGACTCGTCCGTCTATCAATTTCACTATGGGGGTGATGGTCTAGACGTCACAAAGCAGAAGCACTTATTCCAATTCGACTTCATTGCTCGGAACAACATCACACTTCTCAACCGTTATCGCCCCAAGAACATATCCGGTGCGATTAATGACGTCGATGCTCTCTCATATATGAAGAAGGTACTCAAGAAGTCGAATGTCCGGCCCAGTCCTTGGACCCTGTCACCTCGTGAACTGCTTTCTCCTGCGATGGATGTGTACAGCCCCAGTCGTTTCCTTGGCTGCACGTCAGAAAAGTTTGCAGAAGCCATAGAAAAATACATCGATTCACATCCTCCGACCATCAAGCGGAAGTCGCACCAAGAAGTCATTCGACGAAGACAAGAGCCAATGAAACCCAAGTACTTCCGTTTGTTGATGAATGTGAAGTACCTGAAGAGTCTTGTCGAACCTGGCGAGGCCGTGGGTCTTCTCGCTTCACAGGGGTATGTCCCTTGAAAGCAGGATCACCACTTGCTGACTTTGGCACAGCGTTGGCGAGCCTTCCACACAGATGACGCTGAATACCTTCCACTTTGCTGGCAAGTATTTCACAGAAAATCGAACGAAATTGTCACTTAGCTCTTTGTAGGGCACGGAGCTGCGAACGTTACTCTTGGTATTCCTCGTTTGCGGGAGATTGTCATGACAGCATCCCAGAAACCTAAAACCCCGTCAATGACAATGGATGTTGTTCCAGGGACGTCCGAAAAGGATATTCAAACATTCTGCAAGAGGGCCAACAGGCTTACGCTCTCTCAAATCATTGACAACGTCACAGTAAAGGAACGCCTTGTCGTCAACAACGACGCCCGGCGTACGGAATTCCAAGTTGACATCCAGTTCTTCCCTGAGGACGAGTACGTTGCCCAGTATGATATACAAGCCGTCGAGGTTCTGGCCGTCTTTGGAGCTCGATTTCCCTTCATACTTAAGCGCGAGATTATGTCAGAAATGAAGAAACTGGACGCCGATCTCAGGCGCCAGATGGAGCAGCTTGGCAAAGGGAAAGCCAGCAAGGAGCCAGTTGCTGGGGAGGAAGTTGATGAGGTTGAAGAAGGGGACAAAGAAGGAAAGGGCAATAGCAAGAAAGCAAATGACAGCGAGAGTGAGCAAGATGATGACGACGTCGAAGATGCTAAAGTTGCCATGCGGAAAAAGGAAAAGTCGTCATATGAATCTGACGAGGGAAGTGATGTCTTCAATGACGATGTCATCGAAGCTGCGTATGCTTCTGATGGCGGTGAAGCGGGTGACCCTCGAGATTCTGAACGGCCGCTTAAACGGCGTAGCAGTCTCCAGGATCAAGCCGAAGAGGTTGCTGATTTGTTCCAACAGAATCTCAAGCAGGCAGCATCGTTCGAGTTTACTGCTTCTTCCTGTTCGTTCAAACTGGAGGCAAGTTATGACATTTGCATCGTTGGGCGATGGATGATTATAGCGCTTGCTTTCCAGTTCACCGCGGACTTCCCGAAACTTCTACTTGTGGGAATCGTTGAACATGCCTGTCGAAAGACTGTCATCCGGGAAATCCCTAGGATAGCGAATTGCTTCAGCGTCGTAACAACGAATAGCGGCAAAGAAAGAACGCGGGTAAGCGCTGTTCTTTACTTGTTGCATGATGTCACTGATGTAGTCTCTGCAGTTAGCTACCAATGGATCTAATTTGCAGGGTATATGGCAATTCGCAAGCGGCCCGGACGACAGTATCATAAATCTCGACACCATCTATTCGAACGACATTTACTCGATATTACAGACTTATGGAGTAGAGATGGCGCGTGCAGCGATTTTGCGTGAGATTGCGGGCGTGTTTGATGCGTACAAGATAGACGTCGACATCAGGCACCTCGAGCTGATTGCGGATTATATGGTAGGATTCCTTCAGTATAGATAGGCGATATTTCTGACGCATCCGATCAGACATTCGAAGGCGGCTACAAGCCCTTCAACAGGAAAGGTCTTTCTACGAATCCGTCGCCACTTCTCAAGGCCTCGTACGAAACGACTACTGCGTTCTTGTCGGATGCCACTCTGCATGGAGACTTTGACGACTTGACGACGCCGTCGAGTAACATAGTTGTGGGGCGACCGATCTTGACGGGGACGGGGGTGTTCGATGTGGTGATGCCCATAGGCGTGTGACGATAAGATACGTTGTGTCACGCATTATTTGCTTGTGTTTGTGCAGTCGTCCAATTATTTCTTTTCTTTTCCTTTTTTTATTTTATTTTATTTCACTGTGAGAAAGAAGTCGGTCAACGCCTTTTCCGACACGCCTCATGGCATCGCGGTCTGCCCATCGCACACCCCTGCAAGAACTCCCTGTGGAGCAGTTCATCGCTCCCAGTGCAGACACAAGAAAACACAAGCGCCCACTCTCTCCAAGCAGACCCAGTGCTTTGTGCAATCCCGCCAAACGTCGCATCCTCGATGTGGAAGGCATTTCCACATCGCATGGCCATGCACTTTCATCCTTTGCCTTCAGACCTACATCGTCGACCATCTGTGGCGCACATCTCGTCACCCCATTTCGGCCTTCCAGAAAACCAGACACACACTCTCCCATTGCCCTTCCATCCAGCAGTGATCCCTCCAAGACGTACCTGAACACCCGCGCGCCACATGGCCCGCCTTTAGGCCTTGATGAGGGAATCAGTCTTCCTCCAACTTCATCTAGACTCTGGCACTCTCACACGCCACCTACCGTTCATCTACATTACTCTACACAGGATGTCGACCGCCAATCAAAGCACTATCCGGGCTTCGACGTATATCATGACGGTCCCACCCGAGTGGGGTCACCCGTTTCTGCAGAGCCACCGCAGGACGACGGCGGACGTGTGGAGGTGAACTTGGAAGGAGAGGAGGATACCAAGGAGAACGTGCCACCCAAACGGAAGACGAAGAAAATATGTTCAAAAAGCTCTCCTTCTGCCCCGCCGAGCGACCCCACTAGCTCCTGCCTGCGCATATTTCCGCGCAAGAACGACGCCGGATACCCGGCGAACGCGCCCTCATCATTCTTGGCACCGCGATGAATAGCTTTTGCACTCAGTGCCTCTTTTTTTCTTTGTCTCACGGAAAGGCCGAAGGTAATGTGCCTTCAATGCTACCGCCCCTTATTGGCGATGAAAGTACATGTCTAAGGGTTTCATCCATTTACACTTACGTCTAGATAATTGATCATATGCTTCATCATTCGAAGACATACCATGCTTGCATTTCCACACCCGTATATTGCCTATACATACACACATACTCGCACCTTTTCATATGTACTAGTCGATCATATGCAACAACCAAGTGTGTCGGACTAGGTCGGTAAAACCTGACCACGTGTCAACAGACATTGCATAGCACATCCTACTTTACCACCATACATCGCGTCCACGTTATGTTTCGCTTCGCCATGCATCGCCCGCTCGTCGGTCTCATACTATTCATGTCATGGCTGTCTCTGGCGTCCGGGCAGTTTGGCTTTTTCGACCAGTTATTCGGAAACCAACAACAACAACGGGGATCCAGTGGAGGGCAGTACCAGTATAATGTCCATGTTGATTCCAGTGGGTCTCTGAGGTGTCCATCCTTACACAACTAAGCTCACACCGGGACTAGTATCATGCTCCACCTATTTGTGTCCAGACAGCCTTGTCTGTGTCGCTCAGCCGTCCGAGTGTCCATGCCCATATGCGGAAGATGTCCGGTGTGTCATACCAGATCTTCAAGACGGCGGAGGTGCTGGTACCGTCGCCTGTGTAAGAGGAACGGAGGGATGTTCAGTGATAGAACGTCTGGCGTCCCCGTTTTCTCGCTAGGCTCGCGAGAGTTATGAGCTTGTCTGACATGCCCCCCCCCATGTTCTGATGCGGCCAATTCCAGAACTTGCGCAGGGTAGTGTTGCGGTAGAAAGGAGGACCAGTTTCAGGCAGTAGTAGTGCACGTATAGAGTTGATTTAGACCAGTGAAATTGTCTATTTATCCCAAGAGCGATGACTGGTGGGCCCCCTGTCTCGCCATGCTTACATAACGAATATGTGAGGCCGAGTGCTTCGACTTGGACGACCATGGCAGCCCCGAGACCGACTGTGAGTTACATTGCATGTTCCTTTCTTAAGACCTTCGTTTTTGATGTTCCTTCGTTCCAGTCCAAGCTTCCACCTGGAGCAAACCGTATTTTGTTTGTTAAGAACTTGAATTATCAAATTACGGGTGAAGACTTGTACGACCTCTTCGGTCGGTACGGGAGCATCAGACAGATTCGCATTGGCAACGAAGCCAAAACGAAAGGAACCGCATTTGTTGTGTATGACGATGTTATGGATGTGAGTTAGTCCATACAATTTTAGTCCATTTGTTCAACCGGCATCCTGCCAGGCAAAAAATGCTCTCGAGCATCTGAACGGCTTCCACTTGCAAGAGCGGTATATCGTCGTCCTTTACCACATGCCCGCCAAGCAAGATGCTGCGGCAGCAAAGGCGGATCTTGCTCGCAGAGAGGAGGAACTTGTGCAACTAAAGAAGAAACACAACCTCGGAGACCTTTAAGCCTCGTTCTCCACCATTCACCATACATTTAGTTTCCAGTCCTGCATCCGTTGTATTATTTCGAGCATGACCCTAATGAACATTAGCTCTCTGTATTCATTTCAGGCGGGCAACTACGAAATCCCCTTCGAGGCGGGTCGCATGTCAAGATTCCCAATAAATCTGATGGCAATAAAGGTACCAACAACAGTATAACATCAATTTGTACGATACAGCATCATAGGAGTAGGTTCACCAAGACATCGTGCTTTGCCGTCTCACGGCCATGGACAATATCTAGATAAGTTCCGCAGCATTAACAGGCATCTCGTCCTACAATGTTTTATGGTTAGCACCGCGACTCAAAGGACTTCCAAGTGACTCACAATCTGAGTGCTGTAGAATTGCTCTGCAAGGTACCTGTGAGGACAGAGCCACTAAAACAATGAGGGCAACTCACCAATGTCACGGAGGATGCGGACATCATCGACAGGTGACGAACTGGATCGTGATAAGTGAGAGAACGTAATGACAATGTAGGGTACACGCGTACGTTGATAGCAACACCCTTTCTACCAAAACGTCCCGACCGGCCAATACGATGGATGTAATTCTCACGATTTCTGAGCGAAGAGTGTAAGTAAGCGAACGCCATGACGGGGAACGGATACTTACGCAGGTAGGTCATAATTAATGACAAGTGAAACTTGTTGAACGTCGATTCCTCGAGCCCACACATCCGTCGTGATAAGCACACGCCTATCGTCAACTTGAGCAGGTATTCTCCAGAGGGGTAAATTAAGCACTCACGAAGTACCACTGCGGAATTCAGCCATGATCGTATCCCGCTCTTTCTGTACCATTTCACCGTGCATAGAAGACACGGTGAAGTTCGCGGCCCTCATCTTTTCCGTCAACCAATCAACCTGCAAGTGGTGTAAGTCACCGGACCACACCATATGATTGGCGCCACAAGACCTTTCGGCGGGTGTTGCAGAAGATAACGGCTTGTGTGATCGTTAGAGTGTCGTACAGATCACACAACGTATCGAACTTCCAGTCTTCCTTTTCTACTGCCACGAAGAATTGCTTGATACCCTCCAACGTCAACTCATCACGTTTGACCAAGACACGAACGGGATCCGTCATGAATTTGGTGGTCATTTCTAGCACGTCATACGGCAACGTGGCGCTCAGTAATACGACTTGAGTTGCCGGAGGGAGGTATCGGTAAACGTCGTAGATTTGGTCTTTGAAACCCTTGTTCAGCAGTTCGTCTGCCTCGTCGAGAATCAGCATCTTGATGTTTCGTGTCCGAAGGGCTCTCCGCCGAATCATGTCAAACACACGACCGGGTGTACCAGATACGACGTGTTGACCGTATTCCAACTTACGGATGTCCTCCCCTATAGAAGTACCTCCGATGCAAGCGTGACATTGGACGTTCATGTAATCACCGAGGGCGAGAACGACGGATTGAATCTGAGTAGCAAGTTCTCTCGTTGGAGAGAGCACCAACGCCTGGGTTTCCCGGACAGACACATCGATGGACTGGAGGATGGATATTGAGAATGTGGCTGTTTTACCAGTACCCGACTGAGCCTGCGCAATAACGTCGCGTCCTTGGGTGATGGGGAGTATAGCACGTTGCTGGATGGCAGAGGGTTTCTCGAAGTCTAGCAGGGGATACGTTCGAGACGCAGAGACAAGACGGAATGTGGGACATACTGTAGGCGTAGATTCCCCGTAGCAGGTCTTCCTTAAGGTTGAGGTCGTCAAACGTCGAGACGACAGAGATGGCCTCTGAGGACTCAAAAACAAGTTTCTGGGTGGTAATGTGAGTACGACCACGTCTGCGAGGACCGCTTTGGATGTCTGACCTCGTCGCCGGGGTTGATGCCAGTCATTTTTCGAGTTGGATCGAAGAGAGCTTCGGAGTTTGAAATGGGGTCCTGCTCAACTGACACTCGACGGCGATGGACTCCGTCATCGAGACACAGCGACAGGCCCACGAGGACATCGAGCGCTATGAGATAGTTCTGTACTCGTTGCTGGCGAGAAACCAGCCAACACACGAGACAAAATTACAGTCGGAACACAAGGCTGCCCAAGTCCTCAGCCGCCTTTCTGCACGCGTAGCAGCTCTCAAGGCCCAGTACGAAGACGAAGACGCCAGAAAGGCAGAGACGGACGCTCTTACCGCCCCAACTCAACCAGGTGACCTTTCCGAGTTCTACGCGCGGTTGGTGAAGATTCAGGACCACTACCACAAGTATCCTGATGTTGCAGCAGGAGGCTTTGACCCGGAACTTGCTGCTCTCCTCGAAGAAGGTAATCAAGATGGGTTAGACGACGAAGAATATGAAGAAGAAGATCGTATGTATCCTGCACGTATCGTTCCCGTTCACTGCTGACTTCACTCCCTTCCCAGCCGTCGGACTGCTCTTCTCCGGTGAAGAAGCATATGGAAAATACGTTGACCTGTATGCCAGTCACACGGCCTATAACAACCTCAAAAATATCACCAAACGCCTGTCATATCTCCAGTATTTCGACGTTCTTCTGGCCGCTCAGCTTGGGAAGCTCCACGCCGAGTTATCTAGAGAAACCCTCCGGACAAAGGAATATGAATCGTGGGTACCATCCGCTTGTGTTGTTTGAGCCCTACTCAGTAATTCCATAGGTATATCCATTCCCTACATGATTATTTGTTGTCGTTCACGAAGAAAACCCAACCCCTCGTCGACGTTGACTCCAAGCACCAAGAACAGGAGTTAGAATTTCAGAAGAAGTGGGAGGCTGGGGAATTTGGTGAAGACTGGGATAGCCGCCTACCTGCTAAATGTGGAGTTGACGCTGCCCAGAATGGGGACATATGGTGCTCAGCTTGTGTGTAACTCTTTCTGTCCTATTAATCCCGTTAAACATTCTTTCAATAGGTCAAAAGGGCTACTCAAAGCAGACTGTTTACGATGCACACTTGAGTTCCAAAAAGCATGTCAAAGCGATTGCGAAACAGGCTACGTCCAATCAACCCCCACAAAATCCTAATGGCACGCCTTCCAGCCACTCTGTGAATGGCGCGACGTCTCACCAGGGCCCCCGGAACGCTGCCAGATGGACTTATCTCGCCTCCTTCCTTCTCGTGGAGCTGGCATCCACTATCGGTGATACGAAATCCAACGTAGAGCGCCGCTTCTCTCTGACAGCAAGGGAACGCGAGCAAGAGCTGCTCGAACGATCACAACCTATCGCGCCTCCAGCAAATAACGCGGAGAACGGTGGTGGTGAGGAAGAGGAGGAGGAGGAAAGGATATACAATCCTCTCAAGCTCCCCCTTGGCTGGGATGGCAAACCAATACCTTATTGGTTGTATAAACTTCATGGCCTCGGTGTGGAGTACAAGTGCGAGATATGTTCCGACCACGTATACATGGGAAGGTGAGGATCCAGTACACTCTTCGTTGCCACTTGCTTAGCCATGAAACAGGAAAAATTTTGAACGACATTTCCAGGTGAGTAACATCGAAAATGGTACCGACTCTTCAATCTAACCGCATCGTCTCAGGAACCTCGGCATGCTTTCGGAATGCGAGCTCTGGGTTTACCCAACACCAAACACTTCCACGAAATCACTCACATAGAGGATGCGCTCGCTCGTACGTGTATCTATCATTATTACACTACCAGCGACTTATCAACCTTGTAGTGGCCGAGAAACTGAAGCAAGAGGGCCGGCGTGAGATTTTCGAGCAGGAAACTACGGAGGAACTGGAGGATGATGAGGGTAACGTATATAACCGGAAGATGTACGAGGACTTGAAAAAGCAGGGCCTAATTTAGTTGGTCTAACCCATCGCCCCGGTATTATTCCGTGTACTTTACTCCTGAGTCAATTTACTTGGTATCACCTCATCCGTCTCCGCAAAGGTTTTACAAATAGTCCGTGAGTGAGGTACTTCTACCGTTGAGCGGCGTGGGCGACATAGGAGCTGGCAACCTTGACAAATCAGCGGCACGCGAGTAGAGTTCTTCGTCGGATGACGACGGTGAAGACAGGGGCGAGCTTCCTGGCGAGTCAAAGGGGTTCGACGGTGAAGTTCCCACATATGCAGGCGAGATCACCAGTCGACCGTCGCGTGATTCTGGCCAGTGTGTCATGATTTGAGATCACTTACAGATGCCCTCATGGCGACAAGCACTCACCAAGTTTTTCCCACCAACAAGATTCATCGGTACTCGGAAGAGGTACTTTGGAAGAAGCAATAAGCCATTACGACACGAGGGATACCAAAAGTTTCATACAATCCGCGGTCTCACTGGGGAGCACAAGGGAAGCAATCTTGTCGTCCAGTTTTTCTCCAGGGGCAGCTGCCAGCACCGTCTCAAGCAGTAAGCGGGAAAGCACAGCTTTCTTTGCTGCGTCAATGATCCGAACTTGAGTCCTGAAGAGGCCGAAGACTTCCAAAGCTCGTTCAGTAAGTAGGTTACTATAAGGTATGACCATACCTGGCCGATGGTCCGAGCCTTTCAACTCTGCCCGCGAATACACTGCCAAGTCCAGCTTGCCCTTGAATAGAATCCTATCTGAAAAGTCGAGAGTCAAAGCTATACGACGCTATGGAAGACTGGATTGCACACCTGTCCAGGCCGGTATTCGCATCTTTTCACTGGTATCATAATTATTCGTCCCGACGTCGTATTTATAGGTGGGAGAGAATAGCAGGGGCCCCTCTTCATACCCAACAAACGCCTCACGATCGTCAATGGCTTGCTTCAGCTTTTGTAACCTCATGAGAGAACATACTCCGGATGAATGTCTGAGACAAACCTGATCGACAGCAATCAAAGGATCGAACGCTCCCTGCTCTGCTAGTGTTCTGACACTGTCGTTGTCGAGATCTATGCGATAATTTGTGTCTGCTAGCCATACGACATTACTATCATGGAATTCCGTCATATCTTTTGGCTTGAGAGGCAAGAAATGATCACTTACTCGTGACTAGCTATGGATTTTCCTTTCAAAAAGTGAAGCCCTTTTTCAATGGTCTGGAAGTCAGCGTTGCGTTCGTCGACATTAGAATGACCAGCAGCTAAATGGGCCGTGATGAAACAGAAGCTGGTATCGTAGTAATCCAGACGGACACCGATCCCCCCCTTGTTGCCCGACATACCGCGAAGTCCAGTCTGTTGGAAGGCGTTAACATTCACAATGAACATAATCGAGGATATCTACGGACTTTTTTAGAAGCACCTTCCACGTTTCTGATAACAGCCGTCAATTCAGACTTGACGACGACGAATAATGCAGCGCCGACAAGCTGTAAACGAGGTTCGTTACTAAAGCCATCGCACCCGCCAGCTTCAGAAGTCAAACTACCTGCTCGCTGCGTAGGAGGACGTAATCACATGACTTTTGTGGACGCCCGTTGATAGCTTCCATAAGTTTAAGTTCCCATACGCGTCTGCAGAGAAGGTCAGTGCCCGAAGACTGGCTTGTTGACTAAACAAGACCGACTTCTTTTCCGGGTCGGTTTGCACTATTTGCTGCGGGTTGAGCAGAACTATCTCTTGGAATCCGAGAACAAACATGTCAGGGCTATCAGAATGTTTATCAAACGTAAACCAAACATATGCGATCTTCCACTTACTCTGGAAAGCCTGCGACTACCATAAGAAACGCCAACGTGGCCAAAATACGCAATGACGCACCATCTCGGGGAAAAAGCCACGGCTGAAGACTTTCAGACGGCGACTATGGCGAATAACGGGGGATTAATGCAGACCACGGGCAAGACACATGCAAGATTTACCCGACCGTTCACGTTCCATGTACCCACGAATAAATGGCACCAACGAGTGGTCGAATATTCGGAAATTCTGGATCTTCGTCAGTAATAGAAGGTAAAACAAAGTACCTATATATACCGTTCTTCGAGGGCCCTTCTGACAGTGTCATGCACAGGGTCGAATATACTCACTTGTGTCTGGTTGCTGAGGTTACCCTTCGAAGTGTTAACTGTTTAGTTGTTGGCGCTGGAAAGCAAGGTACTGACAAGGAACATATCAATGGCGACTTGCTTTCCTTTGTCCTGGAAGTTGTTGATGTATGCCCTTGAGACACTTTTGGTTGCGTCGGATAGCACACCTGAAGAGGAGGGAACATCAGCGATATACGCGACACATACAGCAGCAAAGTTACCAGCAAGTGTTCGCTTCCCGCTTCGCGTATAACTTGTGTTCAAAGCCCCGGTGCCAGCGTATATACGTGACAGTGCATCTCCATTTTCCGCCCAAAGTTCTCGATGATGTGTCCACAGAGAGCCGGAGTGAATCCACTCCAGATGAACCACTCTGAGGTATTGTTCAAGCGCCTTACGCGACAGTATATCCTGTACGAAATTGGTTCTGTCCAAGCTGACCACGAATTAGAAAAAACATAGGCAAATTCCACGCCAACACCTTACCAGTCTAAGCAATTTGTCCTGAACACTCCTCCTTGCTCCGTGATAAGTTCTCCCGTTGAAGCATCGGCAAGTGTGTAACCAAACCGTTCCATGCGATCACTAACAGACTTCAAACGCCTAGCAAGAACATTATATCAGGAACCAGTAAAGAAATCAGCGAGAAGCCTACTCTATGTCCCTTATGACACTATCATGACCCGCCATCTTAACTGCATAGTGGAAGTCATACTGGGTAATGCCAAGTTGATCACTCCATATATTCCGTGCCCGGTTCAAATGATTTGCATAAGCGGCCGTCAACGTAGCCTCGTTTTCTTTTGATCCAAGGAGGTTGATAGCGTGAACAGCTCCGTACTCGTCCATGAGCTGTGCAAAATGACGTTCGAAAGCCGGCTGGGATGCGTGCGGGCGTGTAATTTGTATACGCTGACCGAATGTTTGTATACCTTGCTGCTCCCAAAAAACTGCGAAGCACGTAAATGCCTGACGATAAGGTCCATGGGGACGATGACCCACGAGGTACGCTCCCCCGAACTTGCGTGTAGCTCATGCAATGCAGGTCCGTACTCAATATTGTCTCTGTCTAGAGCACCTACCTTTAGTACTGCTGGATGAAAAAAGGCTATTGCTCTTACCTCAACAAAATTTGCAGTGTTTCCGTCATCGTCTACGCCACGAGTATTGAAGCGAGTGCCCGCGCGCTTCCGCCCAAGGCGAGAGATCAAGGACAGTGTCACAATGACTGGTGCACCACTAACTGGCGGTGCTGGCAAGGCCATGGTGAAGACACCTACATAACCTTGTATGGCGAGGATCTATCGTTCGTGGTTGGCGGAAAGGTCACAGAGGACATAATCAATACCGCACGATAAATTGACATCGGTCAAGATCTTGGCGCTCTCCAGGATCAAGTTTCTCCCTGAAGTCGAGCAGACTCTTGACAACGTACTCATTCCAGATGAATCGGTCGTCAAAGATTCCAACATCATGTTGAGAGGAGTCTCCTCGGGTAAGTCGTACTGATAACCGTGAGGAAATGTCCCAACACGGGTCCAACGCATAGTAGAACGAGCCAGAGGAAAGTATTTTCGTGAGGGGCATACAGGGGTGTTCGAAAACGGGTGGGCTGGGAGTTGGAGGAAAAGTTTCCCTGTTCATGAGTGTGTCGACAGCATCATAGGTGGCTAATGTTTCTTGAGAGGAGGAGAAATCGTCCCATGCAGACGAAGTAAGGCAAAAGAATTGTACTTCATGAATTCTGGCCACCTTCTCTGGTGTCGACTGAGAGAGGCGGGTGTTCCCAACTTCCGTCGCAGAGGTTACCACTGCCAGAAAGATATCTGGATCAGGTGTAGATGTAAGTGACAAGGGTCATGTGGATTGTCAGGAAGCTGCACGCACCATTTTCCACCGAGATTAGGCCAAGGGATCCTTTCGCAACACGGTTGGTGACTCTAACGGCACTTGAGAGGCTCACTTCATCGGCAGGAAGGAATTCCACCACAACTTGGGACGCTGCCTCTGCAGCACGAAATATTAATGCTCTTTGAGGACAGCCCTGTTTCTCTTCGTGAGCGCTGGTTACTAGGTAGAGTGTTCGAGGATTTTGTCCGAGATACAAGTGCATCGGGATCCTGGCACTAACAAACGCAGCTGGATCTTGTCCCCTCCGAGGACTCGATGTGTAGCTGAGGTACAAACAAAGTTGATGAAGGTGTTGTTGCCAGTGATATCACAACAGATTACTGTAAGTTCCCAGGGCTGCATTAGCTCAGAAGTCACGGCAGGCCAACTGCAATATTTAAGCCCGAAAACGGTGATATATCGCCACAGAACTATTTTAACAAGCAGGTAAGATATAGGATCGGGAACAGAATTACTCGTCGTCATCGAGTCTCCGGTTGGTAGTATTGGACAGTCCAGGAATTGGAGTTGCATTATGATTCTCGGCAGTCGCTCGCCTACGAGATTGAAGTGACCGGCCGAGTGGCGGTCCAAGCCCCAATGAAAACTGACTTTCATCTTCCGTAACTCTACGGGTAGGAGTTCTTGGAGGTGGTCCTAGAGAGGGGGAACGCATTGCTATTGGAGACACCGGCAAAGGAGAACTGGGTTGTCGAACGGAGACTGGCGACGGTGGAGCAATAAGCCCCTTTGGCGCACCGGAGTTCGATTTTGCTGACCCTCCCCTCCAAAGTATACCAAACATAGACTTGAATAAGGACGAATTAACTCGCGGCGAGCTTGAATTCGGGCCAGAGGAGCTGCCTACGCCCGTAAGAAAATCAATGAAATTTTGTGAGGTAATAAAACCAATGAAGCTACCTGAGGTTGGAAGGGCATTGTCATTAGCACTGAGGCTGAGGAAGAGAAACAGAGGAACGAGCCACACGCAGACTCCAAAGAACGTTGCAATATCGGCAAACCCAGGTATCTCTGTCGCCGGCCCACGGTGTCTGGAATAGCTATGCCGCACTTCGCGGGAAATTCGCGAAAAGTACAAAAACCACGTGAAATGATTGGCAACAGCGAGAATGCAAGAAGCGATGAAGGAGAATGACGATAATGATATGAGAGGCCATGCACTTGAGAAATTTTGCAGATATACCGCGTGACATAGGATTGAGAACAGCGTTTGTGGCAGAGGAAGCGAGTCAAAGATGTACAATGAAGCATGTAAAGCAATGACAAGCTAAAACGCGTCATGACTGATACGGATCACAAGAGAGTGAGGGATACCCACGTATGTGCCTCGCTGTCCAATCAACTTCGCCATCCGAGAATATTCTTCGATGAGCTCCGATATATAAAGCAGTCCGCTGGCTTGAGGCAGGCTCATCAGACGGTCTGCTCAAACGCTGGACAAGGTGTGCCCACCAAGGGAAAGTGTCATGAACAGGAATGCAGCTATCGAGCCCACATAACTGCACCAATACCTCAGGGATATCCTAGTGGAAATTAGAACTGGACCCACCTGAGATGATGAAGCAACGTCATCGGTCTTGGACAGACAGCCTCAGAGGAACGGAACGAGGTTGACGTTGATTAACTGACTACGCGACCAAGTGCATAGCTCAGGTACAAACAGAAGTAAATACCTCAGCCTGCATGCACGACGTTCATTACACGACAACAAAATGACACAGACAGAAGACGGTGAAAGTGATGTAGAAGCACCACGCGGAGTAGCAGATAAGTACTATGCGGTCAGGAGCCTGCCCAGTATTCGCCGAGAAGTTGCCGAGAAGTACAGCAAACCATGATTACATAAGGCAGGCTTCATACACGGATCACGTGACTACATTTGCAGCTGACCAAATATAGTCAAACTCACACTCGATGAGTCCCCGCTGGTCTGCCATACTACTGCCTGCACCCTTTATGAAGCGATGAGCAACATGGAGAGTCAGTGAGCTGCACTACGTACACTTCACCAGCACATGCTTATCCTTGTCTCCAGAAACTCTGTTTCAGTTGAAAGTTCGCCTATTACCAGCACTGTAGTAGACTGGTGCTTATGGTACATTTTGCGCAGTTCACTGCGAAGACATTGAATCGGCAAGCAAAGAAGGCACAGAAGGACGAGAATGCAGAGAAAGCGCGACTGAAGAAGGCTGGTTGGAGCCTGCCTTCCATGAAATCTACTGACAGGCCCGGAACATGCAATTCACAGGCACTTCAACAAGGGAACACCGAGGGCGCACGCATATATGCTTCCAATGCTATAAGGAAGAAGACTGAGTCTCTCAACCTGCTGCGTCTTGCTAGTCGACTAGATGCAGTTGCGAGCCGGGTGGAGACGGCAGTAACGATGAGACAAGTTACTGGTAACATGACGTCCGTGGTAAAGGGCATGGATAAGGCAATGGACAACATGAATTTGGAGAGGGTGAGCACTAGCTATCCGCTGCAGACCTTGCCATGTCTCTTGACACGAATTCAGATCTCACTTGTGATGGACAAGTTCGAAGCCCAATTCTCAGACTTGGACGTGCAAACCTCCTACATGGAAGATGCCATGTCGAGCACAACAGCCGTCTCCACACCCCAAGACCAGATAGATCAGCTCTTACGGCAGACAGCTGAAGAAGCTAATATCGAATTGCAACATGACCTCAACTCCAAAGATCTATCAGGTGTTGCAGACCTCAAAAGCGACGAGATCGGTGAGGAGGATGATAAATTAGTTGCAAGACTGAGGGCTCTCCGACCAGCCATGTAATAATAGTCTACCCTACTCCCATGACTGCGCTGTGGAAAGGCTGTATCATATCTCCTATCTGTAACGATGCAAAGGATGAATAAATTGCGACATAACAAAAGAACCCAACCAATCAACAAAGGACATTACAGGTCGATGAATGTCATAAAGTCAATATTTACCGCAAAGCCGGAAGCTATGCATCATGATTTTCCACGAAATACGCGAACTCGGCCAAGAGGCCCTTCCTTTCACGTTCACTAACTCCGGTATTAATAAGTAGTTTTTCAACTCGACTTAGGAGTCCGTTTGGGCCATCAAGTGAAATGATGTGAGCATCGTAGCGGCGAACATCTGGAAAAATTAAGACACAGGGTCAATAACCCCGCAAGGAAAAATGGACGAGAACATTACACGTCTTGAATGCCTCGAAATCGGTCACGGATAGGATATTTTCAAATGCTTTAGTGACATCCGAACCATACGATCGACCGTTCGCCCGTATGTTCTCCCCTGCCATAAACAACCCAGGTATTACAGCTTCCTCGCGGACGCGTGAGGGTGCCCATGCCAAGCCAAGCCCAAGATCCAGCGAACGTCCTTGGCCCTTGGCCTTTCGTTCTTGCTTCAGCAAGCTCATATCGACGTCTCGTGAGGCCTGGCTTCGACCCTTGTAATGTTTCGGAGGCATGTCAAGCATCGGAGCCCAGGGTGAGTCAGTTGGTGCAGGGGGGAGGCGCCCAGTGTCGTCGCGGTAACATTGCCCCCCAATAGTACTGTTAGGTAGATTAGAAGAGTCGGGTAAAGGAGAGTGCGGTAAAGAAGCCGGGTGTTCAAAAGGGAATGCGCCATGTGACGCCTTCTGCGCACGTCTACCAGAAGCTCGGCCCCAGCTCGAAGACTGGCCAGGTGATGCATTAGAGCTCGCCCCCTTTTCAGTGGATTTCGAAGGTACCGAGGCGAACGATACCACAGATGTCTGACCAGTGTGGCTTGATATTAGATGGGGATGGACTGGAGAGTCGACACGAGCAGGTTGGCGAGTTGCCAATCGCGACTTCGTAGCCGGCGTCGAATCCGAGGACGTCGTACGTTCGAGGGGTAACTGGTTCTGGGAGCTTTTCTTTGCAGTCAGCGTAAGGAAGAACAGAAAATATAAATAAATTATGGATGCCTGACCGGTTAACCGTCGAACTGCTGTGGTTGAGTCCAGCGGACACAGGCCGCTCAAAGTCAAAGCTCCCCAATTTACTTCGAAGATTGCTCATATGGCGAGTCGGGGCGTTGCCATTAGGCAACCCCCCTCGTACACTCGGTTTATCAGGACCCGACTCTCTTGTTTTGGAGAAATCCTTCCCCCGAAGGAATCTAGGGGTGAAACGACTGTGGTTGGCGGCAGGCTCGCTGCACGGCTCTGGGGGAGGCTTGAAAGTTGTCGAGGTACTGAAGTCTGCATGTGATTGCGACGTAGATGACAAAAGCTCTTCTCTGGGTACGCTCCTCGTTTTTCCTTGGGATATTTTGACTTTACTCGAATCAACCTTTGGTGGAGTGGTATTGGGTCTCAAAGGAGTACTTGAATCTCCCGGTCGCTGTGGAGTAGGCGGGGTATGAATTATCTTTGGAATGGCGTGCACTGGACGTGGGGCTAAGAGTGGCAGCCCTCCGGTTTCGTCAGATATAGGACTCCACAGTTGGGAGATGCTGGACACGAGGCCGTGTACCCCATAAAGACTCCATGCAGTCACTGGCGCTTGAGGAATATAAACGATGGCCACTAATAAGCGGGTTTACCAATGAGCTCTGAGAGATGGACTTTGCTGCCGAAGCAGGAGCCTGCAGAGTAGCATTCGGCCGAGGCTGCTCCCAGTCTCCACTCTGCTTTTCTTTCCCTTTGTTCGGCTTGATTGCGAATTCGACCGAAGGCCGCCTGTGCTTAGAAATATTGGGCTGGACAAAGATAAGCGAACGGATTAGGTAGAGTACGTTATTTCTACTTGCCTGGTCCTCCGCAAGTGCAACAGCGCTGTCATGAGGTGTCTGATGTGCACCGACAGAATGACGCCTGCCATGAGACTGTACATGCGCAACAGGAAGGGGTAAATGACCAACAGACGATTTTGGAGTGTTGTGAGGAGAGTTCAGGCCAAACGATCGGCGGCGCGGGCTCGCTGAGAGAGGCAGTGGGTTCGATGGCACAGGGATTAAATGGCCGGATTGTTTTGGGCTAAAGGGTTGGTCACTATTTTTAGGGGTAGTAGGGCGGGAACCCAATCTCAACGACCGCCTACGAGAGGTAACGTTCCGTGAGGACTCGGATACCAGAGTCGAAGTTGATGCCTTGCGCTCAGAGGATAATGAGGCCGGGCGGCGAGCTGACCTAGACGATGATCGCCGTGTTAAGGTAATACCAAATAGTGTGTGGAGCCCTAACTTCCGCTTAGTAGAGGAGGGTGTTTCTGATCGGGGCGGAAGTTGTTGTATATTGTCGTGTTCGCGGTTTTCGCTGTACTCATCATGATCCTGGTTTAGTTCGTGGGTATCAGCAGCATTTCCATGTCGTGAAGCATACTCCTGGCGCCCATTTATCGTTTTTCTCAAAGCGTCGGAGGGAAGAGGGGCTATCGTAGAGTGCGTAGCAGTCGTAGTAGATGATATGGGTCTGGACTGAGATCGGCCAATGGATTTGGTTGGGGATGACATGTAGCTCGACGGCGGAATGTTGGAGGGTATATGTTCTGTTGAGAGACGCGGACGCCTTGAACTGAGAGACTGAGTCTGAGTGATAGATATGGCTTCGACCTTGGATAACATGGGTGGTGGAACGCTCGTTGGGGTGACGCTCTTTGAACGAGAGCGAGAACGGGAGCGAGAACGGAAAAATGCGTAGAACTAGGACGCAACAGGCATGAGATATATCAAGAATGGCTATGCGGCTGAAAACGTACCTTGTATCCAGCCTTGGACGACTCTGCTGGGTCCGACCTCAAGGAGTTTTCAGTCATGCTAGGTCGGGTATCCAGATGCGTCTTTGTGTATCACAAACAGAATTGTTGCATCAAGTGTTGCTTTACTAGGTCGTTTTCCAGAATCCTGTGCTCCGCCCGGACTCTGTATCCAGAAGTGTGACGCAACTAAACCTGGCAAAGCACGAGCTGTATGTCCGCACTTGGACACTGCTGGCCCCAGGGAGCACAGCGTTTCGGTCGAGGGGGGAGCAAGATTGGACGAGGGATGGGAATTCGTATGGACGGACTTAGAGACACTACAACACGTGTTAGAAATGTGCTTGTCCAGAAGACGTGAACGTGTCTTGAATGTCAGCAATTCCACAGGGCCATCAATAACTCGTTGAAGGGAATGGACGTGCCTTCGATTTGACCTGACTGCTAGCTGCCAGCCCCCGCACTAATACGACGAGCACAGCAACACACAAGGCAAGACGGCAACGGATCGTGGGAGTTGATGCATGACCATAACCCTAGTACAGGTTTCCCAATATGGACTTGATAGGGTTTAAAGAATAATCACGCAATTGGGTCATCGAATGTTCGCCATCCTGCAGCCTTAATGTTGCCTTCGGAGATAAGAATCAAATAGCATGAATAGGCTGGATTCTTCTTGTGTTGCAAGACTTCATTAATGTTTTCGAGGTCAAGAATATTGGCTTCCGTACTCCGTCGACCTAGGCAGCTTGGATCATACCAACTGCGGTGGTCATCCCATTGTGCAACACCGCCCCAACCGTCGTTTCCATGTGTAGACGCGCACGCCGCCCGTGAGACCCGTCTCATCGCGGAATCGGCGTCTCGCTCTCCTGGAGCAGCTTCCCGCCCCTCTGAAGACAGCGGCCCTGAACCCCCGTATGCCCGGCCGAATCCACTGTCATATAATGTGTACCACCATCCACGTCCGTTCCCGTTGACATATTCGGCGTCTCTTCCATCCTTCGACATCGCCTACGAGACATGGGGCACCTTGTCACCAACTCGCGATAATGTCATTCTTCTCCACACAGGCTTATCCGCGTCGTCACACGCGGCCTCTACATCCTTAAATCCGTCGCCAGGTTGGTGGGAAAAATTCATTGGACCAGGTCGTGCATTAGATACCAGCCAGTTTTTCGTCATCTGTTCTAATGTACTTGGGGGGTGTTATGGCTCAACCGGTCCATCGTCCATCGACCCAACCACGGGGCAGCGCTATGCAACCCGCTTCCCCATTTTGTCTATATTCGACATGGTAAAGGCACAATTTGCACTCTTGGATCACCTTGGTGTGGATCATCTGTACGCTAGTGTCGGCTCTTCTATGGGGGCGATGCAAAGTCTTGCGGCCGGTTGGCTCTTTCCACACCGAGTTGGCAAGATCGTCAGCATAAGTGGCACAGCCAGGAGCAGTCCAGGAAGTATTGCCATGCGCTACGCTCAGAGGAGTGGTACGCATCTCCCTCTTTTTGCTGCTCTGGACACAGATTTAGCTGCGTCTAGTACTCATGGCAGATCCGAACTGGAACAACGGGTTCTACTATGATGGCCTGCCTCCCCACACTGGAATGAAGCTCGCTCGTCGTGAGTCTAGATCCACAGACTTCTCGCAGCTGTATCCTAACCACTCTCAGAGATCGCCACTATCACATACAGATCAGGTCCCGAATGGGACTTGCGTTTCGGCCGAAAACTGCATGATACCGGCTTGAAAGACGAGTCTCAAAAGACACCCAAACTCTGTCCCGAGTTCTTGATTGAGACCTACCTCGACCACCAGGTATACGCATTTGTTCCATCATTCTTTACTGGATTTTGACCGTTGTCGTTCTCGGTGTTTGTAGGGGGAGCAATTCTGCCTCAAGTACGATGCCAACTCCCTCCTGTACGTGTCGAAAGCGATGGACTTGTTTGACCTAACATTACCGGCTATCAAACAACTCGGATTGTCTCCTGCCCAGAAAGCTGCTTCGCAACTTACACCATCTCCAGAGGAGGCTCAGACCATGGCCCTCTTGAAGTCACATCCACCTCCAGCCAATCCCCCACCTCACTTACCTGACTTGGCTGAAGGAGTCCGCCCCCTGGCATCGATACCAACCCTTGTGCTTGGCGTGCAGAGCGACATCCTCTTTCCGGTGGAGCAGCAACGCGAAGTTGTGGATGCCTTGAGGATGGCCGGAAACTGGCGAGTTAGCTATTTCGAGCTCGGAGGAGTATGGGGTCACGACACGTTCCTGTAAGTGTGCCATTTCGCTTGAATTGGCCGGAACAAAACAAGGCCAGGCACATTGCTTGCCCTAGTGATGATCGGCTCCGCATTTCTTCACGCTCTGCATGATTTCGCTGTGCGATACTTATTTGACCTCTCTATTTATAGGCTCGACGTCCTTAACGTTGGAGGAGCGGTCAGAGGCTTTTTGAGTTGAGTCGGACGAGCATCCTTCTAGCTCCTGTATAAAAACCACCTCTTGTACATACAATGGATAATTTAACAGCCCAGACTCTGGACCTCCGCCGCGATCATTGCAACTTGTTACTGTGACCATCGCCATGACATTATGTGACAGTTGGACCATGACAGTAAACGTACTTGCTTCAAATGTCATACTGACCCTAGCAAGCCATGCAGAGGTCGACACCCCAAACAGTTCGATGGGTTTGGTGCTCTTCTCATTGGGAAGCAGTCATAAGTCAAGACGGGAGTTCGTGTCCGAAATGCAAAGCAACGAAACTCTCTGAGCTCACGTCCTATCTTGGTGTCGGGTTCTCACTTCGGCTTGGTCCTACTTCAACTTCAAGTTGTTCATAACATCTAGCAAAAAATCATGCATCGTTTGCGGAGGTTCATCGCCTAAAATACATTTCTTTACGATACCACGCAGAGTGGGGAAACTCGTCTTTGATGGAGAGTGAGGGTATATAACCTTTTAGAACTTCCTCGAGGTCATGCGAGAAATGCAACCACGGCTTCACCGATCTTCCTGCGGTGCTCACCCGGCAACGAGAATACAGGAAGGGCAAAACATTATATACAGTCTTCGTTGTGGAAGCAATGATTGCGTTGAATAAGCCGCAAACAGTCTGATCGCCTTTGATAGTGACAGCGTCGTGCTTTGCTAAAACAAGTCACTGTGAAATCCTGACGTGTGTCGAATATAATGGCAAAGATGATTTCTCCAGAATTGCCGGACGTCAGCGAGACCGTGAAGATGTCGAGAGGACGAAGAGGGGCGAGCACCTGAAGTCCGAGTACTTGACGTGGTTGAGTAACAGAAGCTGCTCCGAGATACAGGTTTGATCGTCCACGATGCTGGAGTGATAGAGCGTCGTCTCGTTGGATGCAACGGGCGGTCCGCTTTCGGAGTGCTGGCCAGTAAGCCCCTGTGGGATGACCTTATTTGTCGAGCCATCTCCGAATCGGGAGGCGGTTCGGGCCAGGAGCTGAACGCACTTGGAAACGGCTAGTGTTGTTAGCTATCGACCCAGTCAACCACGATGAACAGGATATTTGGCTCTTCTGCTGGGAAGAAGCCGAAGCCGACGCTCCAAGACGCCATCAGTTCTGTAAGCCAAAACCAATGTCATTTTCGGGGACCACGTTCATCGTCCTACAGACGGACACACGCATAGCTTCCATTGAGGTCAAGATCAAGAAACTCGATGGCGAGCTCATGCGTTACAAGGAACAGATGAGCAAGATGAGAAATGGCCCCGGGAAGGTATTCATGACTCCAGGCTTATTTGAGGTTGACATACACTCACGCACACCGTAGAATGCCATCCAGCAACGTGCACTACGTGTATTACAGCAGAAGAAGATGTACGAATCGCAGATGAACCAGCTTGCTCAGCAGACCTTCAACATGGAATCGGCGGCATTGGCTACAGAGAACCTTCGGAATACGATGGCAACAGTCGATGCTATGAAGACTGCCAATAAGGAGCTACGAAAACAATATGGGAAGGTCGATATAAATAAGATAGAAGTAATATCTCCTTCCTTCGTTTCTTCTTCGTACGCTAATGCAAGACAGAACATGCACTAGCGAGCTGGAAGATCTGGTAGAGCAGGCTAACGAAATACAGGAGTCGCTGGCACGCTCTTATGCCGTACCTGATGTGATTGACGAGGCTGATCTTGAAGCAGGTAAGTATTTCAGTGGAGACGCAGAAACTATCGTCACCTCGATTGGCACAGAATTGGACGCCCTCCAACTTGAGGACGATGAGGAAGGCGGATCATATTTAACTGATCTCAATAAAGTCCCTGACTTCGTAGACGAACCACCAATGGAACAAACACAGGTAATTGTACTTGCCATGTACCCACGACGCCAAACTGACGTATGTGACAGCCTGTAGCTAAGGAAGCTGTGAAGACAACAGAGTAGCCACCATTGCATCACAACCCCACTTCTGTATCTCGATGTCTAGCACGCCAAGTACGTATCTGATGTAACACAAGCACTTATCCGTATCGCCTTTTGTTCCCTACTTCACTAAACCAGTCATCTTGCACTTGGGATTCTTCGGCAGTCGCCGTATTCACTATAACGGATTTACTCTGCGAATCTAAATGTCGTATATTGAGAGTGGGGTGCAGAACCAAACGAGTTTCACCTACACGCTTCCAGAGCTTCGATGCCATTTTCCCTGCCAATGCCACTTTCTTTCATACCGCCCCTGGGTCGGTTAGGATCAGATTCATTTGCGCGGCCTCTGATTGTCATGTACACACCAAGGGGAACTAGGATCATTGCGATGATGTGTATTGATCCATACAAGGCCTGCCTGAATAGAGTCTGCGACACGGTGCGCTTGTGATAAATTGCTGGTCCAGACACCAGCCCCAAGTCCATACTTGGACATGTTCGCAAGCGCCACGCCCTCCGCCTCGCCCTACGGCAGCGTAAAGGACTGTCACAAGGATAAAAGACAATGACCGACCGCGAACTTCTTAACCACAACTACGGGTCCGAAAATTTCTTCTTCCCATATTTCGTCTTGGACATCCACGTCTTCGATCACAGTGGGGTGGTAAAAGCATCCGCGAGACAAGTCAAAATCATCGAGGGGTGATATACCAGACATCCGATACCCCCCAATGAGAACTTTTCCGCTGTTACGACTACTCACCATCCGATGTATACGTTCAAGATGATGTTCCGATATTACAGTACCCATCGAAGACATGGGGTTCGATGCTGAACGACACCTTTAACTGAAATAGGAAGAAGTTACAAGTGGACGCACGGTTTCCAATCCTCCGAGCGATACTTCCGACCTTTTCTAGGAATACTTTCATGAAATTGTGGTAAATTTTGTCCTGGATGATTATGCGTGTGCCAGAAACACATGTTTGACCAGAAGCAATAAAGGATGCGAACGCAACACCGTTAACTGCAGAAAGAAGGTCCGCATCATTGAAGACAACGACTGGCGCCTGGGTACCTCGGCTCAGCCGCAGCGCCACCTGGCAGGGAGATAGTGGTCACTTTACCACCCAGCTCGGCTGTGAAAGCAGCCAAGTTTGACCCAACTATAGCTCCGATTGAGCGGCCAGTTTGTGTCCCGGCCTGAACGGATTCTTGATTCGACGACGAAAGAGCTGAGAACGTAAAACCTACTGTAATATCCACTTTTCGGACAAGTGAGTGAGATGCAAGCTGTGCTCCGGTGGAGGGCCCACGTCCAGGTAGAACGGTGAATACCCCATCAGGTACTACGCGTCCAGATCAACGTCGAAACGCCGTCCAAGAACTGCACTTACATCCAGCAGCGCTTGCGAGTTCGGAAAATTCCAGCAACGAAAGTGGGGCAAGCTGAAAGATATTACATACGATACGTGAGAAGATGAAAATGCTGCTCACCTCGGAAGGTTTTACAAGCACGCTGTTACCCGCCGCCAGCGCAGGTGCAAGTTTCTTCACAGCGATGAGTAAAGGGTGGTTGAAGGGCTTTATTCATCCCACAAAACATGAGCAAAATGGTAGCGACACACCCGAATGACTTGCCGTTATTTGAGCGACAACGCCGAGGGGCACCCGGTTCACGTAATTCAGCAACTTCCCTTGAGTGGGTGCTATGAATCCCTGATGGGTTCGCAATAAAGCTGCGAAATAGCGGCTGTATATGGTTGCAATTAAGTCTCAATCCTGGCACCCCTTGAAGGACAACCACCGACAGCCATTCGGGTAGACGACCTATCTGAGCGTTCATTTCGCGAATGGCTCTTCCTGTCTGTAAGGTTTCGATTCGAGCCATGTCAGAGACGCGCTCCTCTAACAACTGAGCCAGCTTTGACAGGACATTCGACCGCGAAAGGGGGGAAGCCTTAGACCAAACACCTGATTCATAAACCCCTATGTGCAGATTTAACTGCTTCGTCGACTGCTTCGGATGTTGGAGGCTCTATTCTAGCCGTCCCGTCGTCAGAGGTGAGACAACGTAAACTGAAAGGCGTACGGACAAAGAAATTATATCACCGGTGGCAGGGTTACGAACAAGGAGGCTAATCCGGCTGGTGTCACGGGAAGATCGCACTACATATCATAGCACCTACGGTTCTAGTAAGGGTTCGCTCGATTGGGCTGCGGCGGTCTTGTACTGAGCGACGTGAAACCAAGACCTGGCAGCTGGACGAGTTTTTGGCCTGATCATAGTGGGACGCGTGTAACAAACAAAGCACAACAAAAAATGTCACAGACGCGATACAAGATTACATCACGTGATTTTGCTCATCGGGACCCTTTTGCGGTACATCCGTTGGTGTTGGTGGGCCAGGCAGACCCGTCCAACTGTCCTCACCCACCCTCACATACCGCCCAAGGCTGCCACAGCAACCCTCCGCATTTCCCTTTGAATTCGAAGTCGCCGCATTCTTTCCTCCTTGCTACTCTCATTCACTCTTCACGCAATGTCAAACCCGCCACTGCGAAGGTCAACTCGTGCAGGTTCTGCCAAACCTGAAGGAGCGCCGGTGGCAAGGGCCGCGCCTCTGCCAGCAGTAAACGGCAAACATACTGCAGCCAAGCCGACGAAACCATCGAGGAGAACCGCCTCTCAGCCTACTAAGCGGCCTGGGTCGCCTACATCCTCACCCCCAAAGAAACGCGCACGGTCGGCAGCACCTCAGTCAGATACAGAGGATACGAAAAAGTCATCCCTAAGGAAGACCTCTTCCGGAAGGAGATTAGCCAGAAAGCCAACTGCAAATGGTCTTCCCGCTGTCGCGGAAGAACCTCAACAACTTAAACCGTATTTTAATCCCTATACTGTCACCCCCGGTGCCCAAACAGCCAGCAGCCCAACTTTTTGTCTGGGGAGCGGGTAATTTCGGCCAGTTTGGCATGGGTCCGGACTTTCTCGGAGAGTTTTCATCCCCGAAGAGAAATACATGGGTAGATCAAAAAATCAGTGAAGGCGCGTTTGGCTTTGAGGGAGCTGGCCTGGAGGCCATTGCAGCGGGAGGCTTGCATACCCTTTTCATCGATCAGAAGGGAGCGGTACGTTATTCTCTAGTATTTGGCACAGCGATTGTTGACAGTTGCCACCACGGGCCGTTAGGTCTGGTCTTGCGGCGTCAACGACGATGCTGCTCTCGGTCGTATCACGAAAGACGTCTCCGATCCCCAAAATCCTGGTTCATTCATGGACGTGGACACATTAACAGCTATTCCTCATCCCATACAGAGTTTGTTAGATGAGAATTTCCGCGCTGTCCAAGTAACTGCCGGAGACAGTATATCTGCAGCCGTCAGCGCTGATGGTGAGCTGCGAGTATGGGGTTCTTTCAGAGTAAGTGTACCCGCCGTCTCAAAGACGACTCCACTAATTGCCCGACGTAGGCTGCGGAAGGATCGCTCGGGTTCTCCTCGGCCGCTCGACACGAATTCTTCCCCAGAAAAATACTGGAGCTCAGTCATAAACCAGGAGACACCGAGAAGGTTGTCTCGGTCGCTGCCGGTAACAACCATCTGGTGGTTCTGACAACCCATGGTAATGTCTTCACCTGGGGGACCGGTGAGCATGGACAGCTTGGTCGGAAAATTATCGACCGCCGTAAAATCCATGGTACGGTCCCAGAAAAAATTACCTTGGGCAACCGGTCAAATCGGGCCGTTGTCATAGGAGCGGGCAACTATTGCTCCTTTGCTGTAGATGAAATCGGGGATGTCTGGGGGTGGGGGCTCAATACAATGGGTCAAACTGGTACAGGTGTCTCGGAGCTCCGATCGACGTCGGATGAAATACACACCCCGCGGAAAGTTCACTCGCTTTGCAAAAGCACCTTGGATGAAGAGGTCGTCCAGATAGCAGGCGGAGAACACCACACACTATTTCTGACATCTTCTGGGCGCGTCTTCGCCTGTGGAAGGTGCGATGGTGGCCAGCTTGGTCTGGCGGAAGGCAATTCAACGTATAACTCACGACCTAACCCTGATTTCGTCGCCGAACCTCTGGAAATCGTCTTCGATGATTCCAGTGATCCTATCACTTCCATTGCCTCAGGTACCCATAACAACATGGCCATTACCCGTGCTGGCGTTCTGTACGCTTGGGGTCAAGAATCACAGGGAGAGCTGGGCGTTAAGGAAGTAGAGGCGAAGACACCGACAGTAGTTGTGCGCAGGGAAGGGTCATTTGAGGCCGTCGCTGTTGCATGTGGTGGTCAACACTCCCTTGGCTTATTCAGAAAGAAGGCATGATAGCACATTCTCATCACCGAACGCTAATCTTGCCTTGTTATTCACTATGCCGCGTATACCGGCGTCCTGCCAACCATAGACAACTGAGCGCTGATTCCAAAAGCTTTTCATATGTACATACTATCGTAGGTACTTCACGCATAGTCTAGTCTCGGACTTTCGGTTGCGAGAGAAAAGAAAACCTATCCATGATTTACCTGGAACTCAGTAATCACTGAGTCAAGGAAATGTTGAATCCCCACAAACTCTATCAATTGTGTGCGTTCAAGTTGGGACAGGTAGGACTTGCATATGAAGAGAAGTATGCTAAGCATGAAAGGCTTTACGCAAGTATTGTAGAACAAAAATACCAATATTTAGATGGATCATGGAACGACGGTAGGCTATCAGGGAGTGTCATTAGTCGTAGGTCTCGGCCAGGCGCCTCACAATATACTGCTCGGTGGTGACCGGAGGATACTTGCTTGGGTTGCTGGTGCTGACACAAGCTGGCAGGGATTCTATGATAGCATCGAAATTTGGATTGCAAAAGAAAGCAATCGACTGCCTGGCTGGCGTCATTCCTCCCGCGGCACCTGTGTTGCTCATCGAAGTAAAGGGAGCCACTACCCGATGTAAAGTGGACCGGAGGGTATTATTACTCCAGCGAGCAAGCAAATCCCCTGCATTAACGACCACTGTACCTGGCTTGAAGAATGTTGGTACAGGCTACTTAGTAGCAGAGCAAACTTACAATAGGTGGCGCCGGCTGGAAATCTTGCGTGCGGGGATTCTGGACTTCTAAGCCTCCGACCTAGTATGACGACTGGTAAGAGGTCATTTCTAGCCAAGTGAAGAGGCGTACAGAATCTTGGAAAAGCAGTGTCAATGTCCCGTAGTCTGGGGTTACAGGTCAACGAAAAACCAAGAATGACAAAGATCCGTGTGGCGCACCAGAGTGTGCGCCAGCTCTTGCCTGTCCTTCTCGAGTGAGAAGCCTGGCGGGCATAGGGGGATATGACAGCAGTCTCAAATTATGGGATTGTTGGTTGATCTTATCCTCAAAGAAATCTTCCGGAAGATCCAATCCTAGTGCAACGGATCTCATGACAACTGTATGTAGCTCATGACATGTCTTTGGTATAAAGATGAGCTCGACCAGTATATGACGTCCAAGCAACTAGTCACCACTCACCCGGAAGAACTGAAGCATGGTGTCCTTGAAGCCAGGTACATCAATCTCTTTAGGCCACTTGTTCTTCCAGACAGGATCCCAGTCGCGACCAATTTCCATGGTCTCTTTCATGTCCGGTGATTTCTTGCGCAGAGCTGCTATCTCTTCCGCATCAGAAGACTGCGTGACGCGCTCCCTACCAACCTTGACATAACCACGATTTGCTCGGGGATCGTCCCAGGCTACTTGGTCCTTTGTAACATGTCAGTGCTTCTATCCATTCGACTGAGTGCTTGGGAAAGCCTTACCTTGATATGCTGTGGAAGCTTGAAAAACTCTGCACTCTGTTCGAGAATATTAAACTCGTGAAAAAGTAACTGGCAGGCCGGTGGTTAACCTTCTTGTATACGTTCTCAATCACATCCGGTTGTATGCCATGGCCTGTCAGGTAGATGAATCCGACTTCCTTGAAACCGTCGACTATATCATCCGCGACTTGACGCTTCTCGGCTTGTGAGGACACAGTTCGGAATGCAAGAGAAATCTATGAGTGGTATACGGAAAGGCGCGTCTGCATGCACATCCTGCATGCAAGAGGTAGTAAGTTGCCGAACTCACTCAGTCAACCCGACCAGTGCAAAACGAATCTGACCTCGACAAGTGCACTGTGCTTCCATCTCATAGACCCTCGCAATCGCAATCCTCTGAGGAATACAGATGGAAGACAGCAGGGGGTTAAAACTTTTGTTCTGAACATGTTAAAACGACTTGCTTTCAACAAGCGAACCTTGGATAGTAATAAATCCATATGTAGTAATATGTACTTAGTTCTGACTTGAGTCTGGGCGCTTGCTTGGGTGTTTTAGAGATGAGATAGCAATGTGTAGCCACGTCTCCGCTGATAGTACGTAGCTACATACATGACTGTTCGTCCCTTCGCAGATGTGGACGTGTATCTATCAAAATGTCTCCCAAACGATATCTGGCATTACCTTCCTCATTACTAAGGCTACTGGTTAGCGTCACACGGGTAGGGTGAAGGGAAGATATGACCGACTTCTCCAATGTTCCGCTGCATCGGCACGCTGCCATTCATTTAGTTTGTTGTTTTTGTCTGTAAGTAAGAACACTTCTTCCGCTTCTTCAGACCACACGCTGGCATTCCTAACTATGGAGATTGGAAGTTCTCTTCGTTCTAGGTCTGACAGGACATGGCGGCGCAAGTAAGAGTGAAGATAGTCTCCCTCCACCGAGGGGCGGAACGCCAACGGCGATGCAGACTTTGAACAAAAGAACACCTAGAAATGGTCGAGTTCCCAACTTTGGTCGTGAACTATTGTACGGAGCTCACTATATTGACAAATTCATCATGAAGGTGCTGGTCCGGAATCGCACCAAGGTGATCATGGAATGCCCTGCATTGTCCAAATGCCTTGAACAAAGTAGTCGCTACAGCCCTCGACGACATTGACCCGAGTTTCCCTGCAAAATTCTACACGACATCAAGTTTTCAATAGTGCAGATATGGTGAGAATCAGGTAAGACCTCACAACAGCAATGACACCCCTGGAAGTCATGATCTCTTTCAACTCATTCCAGAATTCAATAGTGTAAAGGTGCCCTGGCACTCCGCCTCCAGAGAAGCAATCATGGACAACCATGTCGAATTTCGAAGGATTACTTGGGGATGCTAACAGGGTAGCAACACGTCGTTGGAGCCAGCCACGCGCGTCCTCAAGAAATACGTTGTCATCACCTGGATGTTTCAAGCCAAAGTATCTCCTCGCGGCGTAATAAACCGCTGGATCTATCTCCACGAGAGTCGTGGAAATTCCATGATGTGCGAGGGCATCATGCCACTACACCAGCTCCAACACCTCTACGACAGCAGAGAGGTGAAACGTTAAGACTAAATGGTTTAGTTTCATGTAGCACTTACATTACAAGCGCTTTCTCGCAATGGCCGCCGGGGCATTCAGATGTACCATTGATGAGTCGTACTGCCTCTTGAAGGACGAATGCGCTATATATGGAGTCTCCAAGGTGTGTCCCCAACTCGTCCGTACGAGGTGGAACATTTCCCATAGTGACAATCGCTTCGCCGGTCCAAACACCTCCCAATAACGAATGGGATGCCCGGAGATAACGTAGGGAGTGTAATGCATCCGGGACAGTGTCCTTCAACGTATCAAGCAATTCCCCAACAACAATCATTCCGGTTATAGATTCTTGAGAAGAAAGTATGCGCAGGGGATATTGAACACTGTGATAGGGAAACTCCTCAAATTCGGATAACGTAGGCGTTCGCATGGCAGGAAAAAAAAGAAAGGTGGCTGGGAAGAAGTAGAGGGAGATATCGTTTGGTGAGACTGAGAACTTGATGGCCGTTGTGCATGAACCTATGCATGTCTTCCGCTGAACAGAACCCCATCCACCCAGCGTATGCGAGAATTCCTAGAAACAAGAACTACGTGCAGTCACAGTGTTGTGTTTCGTGACAAATATCAAGTCGTGGAAAGAAGCTTACGATGTAGTCTTTTCGAGGCTCCAGGGAGAGCTTGTGAACTGTCAGCTCAGCGATTGAATACGATTGCAGAACGCTTCTCGCCAGTCCAAACATGACAACAAACCGGAGCTAAAACAAACCTTCCTGCCTTAGTTGACTTGAACGTGATAACGACAACTCACACCAAAGTACATAATTAGAGACACTGAGAGGTGTACCACCGGTGCCAGAACCAGTATGTGGCAGGTGAGAGGACCGATTGCTGGGTCACCATACCTAGCGGCATAAATCCCGACCCAGTATGTAGTGTGAGGGGCGATTTGAACCAGTACCGCGAGACCCAGGATTAAACGATGAATTGCTGGTCTTGGAAAAATGATCGCCAACTGCCGTGCAACTGTGGACGACGAGGTCCAAGTACCGTTCTGTCAGTGTGCTTCCGAACAGAGGGTCGAGCGTTCTCTTGTATGCTGCGATGAAAAGAAGCAAGCCCAAGGTCGCTGCCAAGATCGAGGATACTGCTTGTCCGTTCTTCTGCAGTGCCAGCACAATTTGACCAGGGCCATAGACGTGAGTATGCATCGCTTCTTGCATGCCGCCCTGCAGGCGTGACCTCCTCTATATAATTAGTGGAGGACGTAGTGCCTCTACAGGGTCTCTTCAGTTTGCAAGAAGGTAGCTGTAGTGTTCAAGTTCGCTAAAGTACTAAATAGGCTATGTAGTACAACCTCCATTTCGCATCTGATCTGTCTCTTCATTCTTTCCACAAACTGGACTCAACAGCAGTAAATTCCGCGCCACGTAACCCCTGAGAGGGCGCGGCCCCACGATCCTCAGTTCTGAAAGTGGCAAAAGCAATAGAGTTCACGCGGGTCTCAGACTGACCATACGTGCCCACTGCCCGACCTTGAACAACGCGGATGATGATGATAAGCTGGGCAATGGCCTAGTGGGCAGGTCAGAAGACCTCCCCGGGTTTTATGCAGCTCGAGCGTACCTGGACGTTGGGGATGGACAACAATACAAGGTTGGATAAATTCGAGTGAAGAGCGAAGGAAATGATATAGATGATGCCCAAGACAGAGTACATAGCGGCAGATTCGACAACCATGGTCATAGCGGTGTTGTATATGTGTAGGTGCTCGCTCCCTACCAGGCCTTCCATTCCTCGTCGAAATTTGAGAAGTTGCCACGAAACGAGGAGAGTGTACATGACGGTCATGCCGACTTCAATGCAAAGATAGGCTAGTTGGGTGTTGAGGTTGTAAAACACCGTTCCACTGGCCCCTGCCAGAACAACGATAGAAAGTGCTTGAGGAGTAAGTTAGCCAGAGAAACCTGCTAAGCGCTCCCTTGATACCTACCAATCATTGTCAGAAAAAGGGCGGTCATAGACACTGCGACGTATTTATTCCCATTCCAAACCACAAGGCACCGGTAAAGCTATCGCGAGTGCGTTTCAGCATCGTATAGTCACACAAGGAGAGAGAGATCCACCAGAAGGGCTTGCATGAACCACTCCATGACATAGTAGCTGGATACATCAACGGATCTGAAACTGGGTACACGATCTCGCAGACATACCAAGTCAACGCCATAATGTTTATCCAATAGTTCAATTCATCCTCAATCAACGCCACTGGTCCTCCTGGTGCATCCCTCAGATCGATCCATATCATTTCGGTGAATTTGACATTGGCTGCAAAGCCGACCGTAGCCAGAATGAAGGTGGTAAAAACATAAGCCAAGAGCCACGGACGGTATACTACGCCGTTCCCGTGTCTACAGCCGGGACAGGATGGCCGCTGCAGCTTGGACGGTGAGTAAAAATAGGATCCCTGGACGTGTAGGACGACGAGTTAACATATTGTAAGTCAAGAAAGAATAACTTGCAACCTACCATATGAAAAAGCGGCCAATATCATGCCATCGAGACGCGACCGTTCGAGCCAGAGACCAGTGGCCGGGGTATAGGAGCCCGAGGACATTCTTCGGAAACCGATGTAGCACGAACTGCCGTACCCGTAGAGGCGGATTGGAGGCAGTAAGGGGTGTGAATTGATAGTGCCATTTTGGCACCGTTGTTATTATGGGAGCCTAGCAATAGTAACCTGTTGGCCATTTCATGATACTGTACAAGGAAAAGTGTGCAGCGGTGAAAGAAGTTAGACAGATCGGGTGATTGCATCAACTGCATGACTATTACCCTAAGAGGAACTTTACATAACTAGAGCAGTGAGGCTGCCTTTGGGTGCGGGATAGTATGCATGCCTCGAGACGACATGCACTACTCAATACAAGACTTGATACTTGCTTTCACACCCGAACCTTCGCATGACATCAAGTCAAACCTATGCAAACCATCCCGTACTAGTTAAACTCAACTCTAGAATACAAGATGAGGTCTTGGTATGTGTGTCTCAGGTATGCACACGAATCTCTTCAACCAAGTTGTCGATTACACCCTTCAACCTTTCAATCTCGTGAGCAACTGCCATGGGATCACCGTCCAAAGTGATAGCCTCCGTGATACCCGGAAGTGTCGTAGCACCATAACCTGCGGCCAGCCGAAAATCGACAGTGACGATGAGCACACCCATTACTCCTCATTACGCTTACTTACCTAACCACTTTCCCGGAGCCACACCAAGATGTTTGAACCACTCACGACCCTTGATACCGTCCTTCGAGATGAAAGCACGCTCAAACGCGATCAACTTCCGGTTAATCACTTTCGCACGCTTTAGGACCCTCAAAAGTCTCCGCTCCCAGAACCTAGGCCACCGTTAGAAGTCGGAAGTGATCACAGTAAGTGCAATAACAGACCCAGTCCCTGGTGGGAAACAACGCTGTCCATATCGCACCAAGGATCTCAGAGCTGCTCTAGATTTGTGTTCCGCCTTAGCCTTTTCGATATCAAGGTTGAGGCTTGCCGCCTGCAAATTATGGATCGAGTGGCGCAGCGGCGAGAAATCAACGTCGACAGAGGCAGCAGTTGCTAAAGTCACGACCCTGATAAGAATTCAGTTATCCCCGAGTCCAATCCGCAAACACGAGGATAGTTCCGTACTGATCCACGTAAGCTTCCAACTGCAGGGAGTAGTGTGTGGTATTCAGTGGAAGAACGAAGTCCCCTGACAGACGTAAGACCTGGAGACCTATGTGCTTCGCAATGGCAACCTGCACGCATTTAGTGACATGCGACTCCAATCGAAAGATACTCGTCTCACATGCCGAGAGAACGTAAGATCACCGTACAGCTCTTGCCACCTTTGGGTATCGAAGACAGAATGGTAGTGATACACCGGATCATGCAGAGTGGCCGTAAAGCATGCCTCTGCACACGGCACCTGGGCATGTCGTGAGCACTGTGTAAGTTTGGGTATTGGCTTCGACTCACTCCAATGTACTGAAGAAAAACAGTGTAGTCACTGCCGGAGCCTAATGGCCTGACCCCGAGATTATCCACGGATAAGTGGGCAGCGTGGTCCATGTTTAAGATTTCACTGTCAAAATTGTCACCAAAAAGTGCGCCTCTGTCGTTACGAGCATCCCAGAGAGTCCTCCCTTCGGATGTGGGATGTGGGATTTGCATTGCTGTCTGCATGAGAAGATGAGCTAGTAAAGGAGACGCGGATGTCCTGAGACGCGACCCAGACACGGACGTATCTAATTGTAACGTCAACGCCCAATTGTATGAAATCAGCTTAGGGCATACCTATGTTCACGTAGGCAACGACATGATCTCTAATCCATTCGGTAAAGTCCTCGCCCCATTCGGTGCTACCTATAAGACCAAACTTCGTTGGATGAAAAAGAAGGCCGCGATTAGACACATCAAGCCTCACCTCCTCCGCATCCCAACTAGCGATTACAATACTCCGTAGTGGTTTCCAGCCTTTCGTTAATAATTGGCCGAAGCCCCGAACGGCCTCGAGCATAGAGGTTATACCAGACGACGGGTCAGATGCCCCAAGAACCTTAACAGATTTTATGATTCCAGTTCAACGGAGGGTCAAAGTTGCGTACCCAGGCTAGAAAATGGAAATGATTCAACAAGCCTTACTAAGGAGGGGGAAGAATATAATATAGAATAAACACCGACCATCGCGGTGACCACCGACGACAACGACCTCGTCTCTAATGTGGCCAGGTATGACACCCATCACATTCCAAATGGGCGTAATTTTGTCGTCAACTGCACGCCTGGCTCGGTTAAATGACAAGTAGATCAACAGAAACGATACCATTATTAACGAGTCGTACGACGGGTTCTTCAGTGTGGTCCAACCATTTCAACAGTACTTCGGCGTTTTTCCACGAAATAGGGAGACTGGGGATAGTGGGCCTGCTCAATCCCTCCGTTCTCACGCTGTCTTCATACGAGGGGTAACCAGGAGTCGTAGGGTCGCCAGGATAAAGCGAGTTAAAGTGGACGGAACCACGCTGAACAGAAGTGGGATTCCGTGCAGGGCCGTGGGGGTATCTAGGTAAAAGTGAAACCTTAGTCAAGGAGACGATAGGATCGCTAGCCTACGCTTTATATCCGTCCTTTGAGGTGACAGTACCATCGTCTCGCGGGTCTGAATATATCAAGACCCCAGCAGCACCTAACTCCTGCGCCCTTTTCACCTAGAGTGTAGTAAGTGAGTAAAGGCGCACGCTCCCCTTCACCTCCGCTAACCTTTAGTCCACGGAAATTACCGCCATAACGAGTGAGCACAATTTTCCCCGTGAAATCGACCCCTCGTAATGGTCAGCGGGGATGAGTCATCTATAAATGAGGAATCGCTTACCAGCCTCAAGAAGTGCATCGTAATCTTGCTTTCGGCCATAATGAGCGTATACTAACTTTCCCAAAGCCTCACCACCTCGACTTAAGCCGTGCCAAGCTGGTGTAGCTGTCGCATACATGGCAGCGTACGGATCTGCCTCATCCGACACTTCTTCTAGTTCCGCAACCCAGACAGGGTTGCCATGCGTCCCGAGGATCTCCAGGCTATGATTCAGAGGGGTATTTAATATGGGAAAATAGGTATCAATCCACGCCATCGGTTTTGTGTAGGATGATATATCCAAAGTAGCTGAACGAGACTCGTTGGTTCCCGCGCGAAAGATGGGTAGGTCACCTGGAAGTGGTTCGATGCCCAGTTCGCCCTGGAGGATGGCGAGAAACGACTTTGCACTTTCAAAGTCTCCAGATGTGCCAGCCATATGAGGCTCCGAAGTGAATAAACAGGAGGTCGCAAGCGCGCTCTCTTCGTTTGGAATAGACCTTAGAAGGCTCGTCAAACTTGCTCGCAGCAGGCCCACTTGAGAAAGCGCTCACAAGAACAGTGTCTCCGCCTCCCTACCACACAGAGGATCTTTGCAGCCTTTACCAACATTTTGAAGATAGCCCTGAAGCAAATCTTGGTCCACCTGAGCTAAGTGAGCCCCCTCTTGTGGGGAGTAGGACTGCACGCAGGAATAGAGCGTGCAAATGATGAAAACAGCAATACTCGTTCGGAACCACTGCTTTGCTATGAGACGTGCTCCCGCGGTAGGTGGTGTGTCAAAAGCTATGACTGAAGTCGATTCGACGACGACAGCGGGTAGTTGTTTCTTATCCATGGGTCTCTGCTGATGGACAAGACCGAACAGTGTGTTGTAGAGTAGTATACGCACAAACTTGAGCGCCTATTAGTCCAGCTCCCGCGCTCGCGTATACACACAGACACTAAATCCAAGTCACAAGTTCACAAGGAGTGGTAACTAGTACATTCGACAGCATAACAATGTTACACGCATTACAACGTATTGGAACGTCTTTTTCTTTCAGGCCACGAGCGCGCTACACTCCATTTTATGACCCAAAGGCAGTAAATCATATCTTCCCGAGTACTAGGCAAGTTCGAGAAGGTATGTAGACCTGAGGAAAATGGATGACCGGTATGTTAACCAGTATGAGATGATTTTTCCTTACCTGCAACCAATTCTTTCTGTTGTTCCATTCCACTGGAGTCGTACTGTATTTGACGTCAAGCGACACATTTTCAAACCCGCCGAACCTCTTCTCATCGCTGCTTAGGACTGGCGGAATATTCCCCTGGTATGTCGACCCCGACGCGGTAGTCCGTGAACGATTTGCTTGGATGGAAATTGAAGATGAAGAGAAGTCCAGCTCGCTCGTATACGATGACCTTGTCTCCCTCGTGCTTGAGAGAAATATATAACTGTGCGAAAAGTACTCGATCTCAAGCGGGAAACGTAGCGAGTGGTACCATTCTCCTTACCTGAGGGGAAGATAACCAGCCATATTGTTCCTCGAGATGGTTCATTGCTGCATCAAAGTTGTTTAGGTATTTATACCGTAGCAATTCATCGTCCACGAGATTGAATTGACGGCGAGCATGGTGGAAGGAATTATTATTGCCTTCTCGGGGAAAATCGAGCCACTACACCGGGGATTAGTGGGACCTAGTGCGGGGAGGCACTCGCACTCGCCTCTGGATGTCCGAATTCGTTGCCCTCAAAGTTTAGATATCCTTCTCCGCCCAAGGAATGAACGAGTAAACTGAACAGCGTGAGAAAACGTCCACAAAACCGAGGTGGCATCGTACCGTATCATCTTGTGCAACGCAAGCCCTCGAGCAATTACGGGAGTCATTGCGGTTAAGTCTGACATGTTAGTGTCTTATACACAAACGTTTGAATCGCTCTTCGTCTATCATCCAGTTTACAAGACTTACACATTTCCTTGTCCATCAACCAGAACGCTATGGTCTTGTCACCGACCAAGGCTTGATCGTGACTCTCGGCATAGGCGATAGTTTTCTCCCCATATCTGCGGTTGGTCAGTGTATGCACTATATTCCCCATATTCCAATCCTCGTCAGACTTATGTTTGAGAAGCTTGATCCACATGTCTGGAATGGCCATGGCCAAGCGATAATCGAAGCCCACTCCGCCTTCTTTGACAGGAACACAAAGGAGTGGCATTCCTGAGACGTCTTCGGCTATCGTCACTGCTGAGGGGTAAAGCGTATGCACCACATCGTTGGCCTGCCGAAGTGAGACCTGAAGTTCGCATCAAAGCACTGGCTGCTTACCAGCATCAAATAAGCGATTGCCTCTTCATCTGCGTCGGAGCCGTAGTACTCTTCATAATTGCCAGAAAAGCCTGTCCCTATCCCATGATGCAGATACATCGTGCTCGTCACACCGTCAAACCGAAAGCCATCGAACTGGTACTCCTCCAAGTAGAAGCGTAGGTTGCTCAGGAGAAACCTCAAGACCTCGTGGGACCCGTAATTGAACAGTCTGCTATCCCACAACTCATGTCTGCCCTTACTGCCTTCATGGAAATATAGGTGATCGGTACCGTCAAAGGCATTCAAGCCATCCAGAACATTCTTAGATGCATGAGAGTGGACGACATCCAGGAGTACAATGATGCCCATTCCATGAGCGGTATCGATGAGCTCTCGAAGGTCCTCGGGAGTTCCGTAGCGAGAGCTAGCAGCAAAGAAACTCGTTACTTGGTAGCCGAACGCTGTCCACCCAATCAGTAGATGCGACCTAACGTGCTAAACGATCGACCCACAAGCGTAATAAGGGTGTTCCATTATGGCCATTAACTGAATGGTGTTGTATCCCAACCTGTGTATCCGAGGAAGCGTACTCTGCGTGAACTCCTTGTAGGTCCCCACCCGGAGTTCTGGAGTGGAGATACCGACGTGGGCTTCATATATTCTCAGAGATCGGGGTCGAGTGGGGCGAGGGTTTTTAAACTGGTAACGCTCGTCTGCAGGTGGATTCCAGAAACGGGACTCATAGGCAGGGGAGTACGTCAGATCTTGGGTGACTCGGTGAACCCATGAGGGCAACCTTTCAATACGTGTTCCTGACGGTAGAATCATAGATATCTGATAAAGTCGGGAAACAAATGAGTGCAGATGATAGCGCTTTGCTGAAATCTATCGTACTTTGACCTTGGAGTCATGTGGTATGGCAGGCTGGCCGCTCGTGTTCGGAGGTACCTCGACTTCCCAAACACCGTACTGATTCTTGGATAGAGGATGCGATGCCCTGTTCCAGTCGTCTGCCGAAGAGTCAAGATTATTAGTTATGACGCCAAGGGATAATCTGGACCAACTGAATTCGCCTATCAAATTGGCCTCTTGAGCATTGGGAGCCCACTCTCTGTAGACGACCGTGCCGTCATCCTTCACTGTGAATCCCATCACCTCATAACCCTTTGTGAACTTCTCGTATCCCCCTTCATGCTGGAAAATCGTGTCCTTCCACTGCTGGAAACGGGCATAACGACGTTCGATGGCAGGCAGGAATGGTTTCAGGTAACCATCTAGCCCCAGGATGTGGGTTGGGTCAAAAGTCGCGTGCTCTGACATGTGGGCGACGGGATGAAAGTTCTGTAATTGATGCAGCTAGAAAGATCTCATATTATCTGTTCGTTTGCCTCAGCCTCAATATGGCTATAGCAACGACGACACGGGTTGCTCCGATCAGTGGGTCCAAATACCCCAAGCTACGTCATACATATCACAGGTTCTTCTCGCAACAGAAGCACCATCAACATCATTATCATATCCACCCTCGCTGTTCCGCGTAAGCAACGACGTCCTGCGCTGATTCCGGGTTCGTTAGCGGAGCGACTGTTTTCCGGGAACCCTTTTGAACCTTGAATTTCAAATTTATGTGTTGTCCTAAAAGCCTCTCCACTTCCACCAAACAGTCATAACACTCTTGCTCGTCATACCCCGTGGGCGACTCTATTCTTCCTTCGCCAACCGCCTTCTTTCTAGTGCCGGGCGGTCTCAAGCGTTTGGAATACAATAGCTTTAACACAAGATAATGAAGCCACTGGTAGTGTGTCAGTGATTACTTTGATAAGGTTGCCTGCAAACAGCTAACCATGACGTTGGTGAACGGTTGATAACGGTCCCAACCACCGCGGTTCAACTTCACCATCATCCTGTATATGTCATATTGATAGTCCCCTATTGTGCCATGAGATACCCTTGTGACTTCATCGAACATGCTTACCTTCCCCCTCGAAAATGTCATCGTCGAACGATGTCCAATAAGTCACTTGGTCCCTAGGATCACTTGCATCCATTCTGGACAATCCAAGATCAATAATGGTAGTCTTGACACCAAAGCGGGTATCATCCATCGAATATTTATTTCCTCTGATCTGTGATTTTTTGACGGGAACGCTCCTAACGAGAATTTGTCCCCAATGAAGATCGCGATGCTGTACGGTTGCATTGGTAAGTAGTTTTACTTCACATCTGCGGGATATACCTCAAAGTGTACCAGATCTTCCGCTTGTGCGAGCGCCCTTGCAACCTGCCAAAACACTCCGCACGCCTGCTGCCATCCATATTTCGACGGACTCTTGAATACAAATGACTCAAGATCGGGCCCACCATTTGGTAATACGATGATAGCATACATCTGGTCGAGGGCGAAGGAATCTATGTGTATCTGTGAGTAGATGTATCGTGGTCGTCGCAAATATAACCAACCTGGGCGAACGCTTTCCGAGCCCTTTTTCTCGTTGTATTCATCCCATAGTTCCAGAAACAAGGTGGGATACTTTCCTCTAACAACATAAGTCTTCAGCAGTTTCACAAAGCCGCGGCAAAGCGCTCCCATCGCCCTTGTCACGATTATCTCTTTTAGTACATCTTTGGCGTCGGTAGACGGAGGCGTTTCGGCCATTAGGCATGAGTATTTATCTTCGTTTTGGATTGGAATAACTTTGAGGACAACGTCCCCAATGCCAAATACTTCGGAAAACGATGCCTCTCCGATCTTGCGGAAATGGACATCGACGTCTGCATCAACAGATTGCACTACAGGGTCGAATGGAAAGGTCTCAATGAATGCCGAGAACTCGTGGGGGCACGTCTGTGAACACTCGTTCAAGAGAGGTAGGAGGTAGTTTGGTGGTGAGTAGCTCTGGTCTTCGGCTGCGGCTACGTCCGAAATGTCAAGCTGCGCGAGTTCCAGGGATAGGTCCACCTCAGTGGGTGTTGAAGGGGTCAGGAATTGTTGCGCAAAGGTTGTCCTATTCGAGCTGCGTCGGATCGGTGTGAGTTGACGGGGTTTTGACACGGTGGGAGGGGGTAATAGCGTGAGTGGTACCGGATTCACTTCACGTAGTGGAACCTGTCGAGGCGCTGTCTGATAGGCAACTGGGGGAGGTGTCTTGGTTTGGATGTTCACGATCTTATAGGGAGCAGATGGTATAACAACTTCCACCCGTGGTATTGATTTCTCGGTGCTTAATGGACGGACGCGTCGGGCGCGACCACCGGCATTGAATTCGGTTTCTGACTTATCTGAAGATATCAACCGGTGTGTATCTCGTCGTGACCTTTTTGGCGGCATTGGCGTTTCTGTTTCGCTATCATCACTGACGACGATAGGTTGTGCGTCTCTACATTTACCGGTATAGGTTTTCGGCCGTGATATGTGGGTAACGTTGGTTTGCACGTCAGTGTGCGATACCCGCCGCTCTTGACACACTGTCTTCCCTGCTTCGTCCAAGAGAATGATATCCACAGCCAATTGGGGCGAGTGGGATTTCAAGGAAAGGCGCCGACAGGACTTACCCTTCTTACCCAGTGTACGGGTTATGGAAGCGGGGGACACGCCATTGAGGCGCACTGGCGTAAGAGGTTGACGATTCGCAGTGTCTACCTTAAGTGGGAGGTCCCTTGTAGATTTTGCCTTGATAGGTGTGTCAAGAATGCCAGAGCGTTTCGGTTTGCGCAGTACCCGGGGACGTGCAGGTGATAGGATAATCGCGTTCTCTCGTTGCACTTTCTTGCGAATGGGCGCTGTGCCTGGAGAGACCGCGCGTGGTTCATCCACTGGCTGATCTTCGTCCCTTCTGTCGGAGACGTTCACAATGCGATGACCTCGCCGACCGTATGCGAGGACCTGCTTTGTCCGTGACCCAAGCATCTGTTGAATGACAAGTCGTGTGCGTGATAACTATCAGTACAGGACAACAATGGGGAACTCTCGGATGTACCTATGGTGCCCAGAGTATGTGTTGGGAATACTGGGGAATAACAACCTTGGCTAGCTCTACGAGCGCGTTGCAACGCGTCCGTCACGTGCTCTAGGAATGCCCACGCCCCTAGCTTGCACTCTCGTCGATGCTGCCTATTATTTCATGGTATTTCAATGGCTCTTCCACCACCACTGCGGACTTCGGTCACTCCCCAGGAACTGGAGCTTATAGCGTCGGAACAGCTTGTTGAGATACTCCCTCTGATCACGATGGAAAAAACGGCTTTCATATCGGTTCTGTCGCGCCTTTAGGACGTACGATCTCCCTGATGATTGACTTGGAGAACAGGGTGCTTACGGTCCGCTACGCCCACCTGCCAAATGTCGCATCCCACTTTGGATGGCTGTAAATCTAAAGGTCAAGAAAAAGTGTCACATCAGTTCCCCCAGATTGGCTAAACGTAGGTATGAAGAACGGACCGTCCACATTTCACTTCACCCCATTAACGTATCTTCAGAATTTCTACAAGAACGGCTCTCGCGTGAAACCAGCTACCCCGAGTTCAGTCAAATGCCTTTCCGTTTTGCCGAGATCGCCAAAGCCATTCTAGACGTGTGAGATTCTCCGAATCGCTCCATGCGCTCGGCTTGACACGCAAACAGAGCGCCTGACGACATCCAAAATGCTGATAAGGTGAGATCGTTGTTGAAGGATTTGCGCGAAGCTCGGCAAGCAAAAAGTCGGGAAGGCTTGGCCAAACTAGACCATAGTGAGCTCAGTGTACGTCTTACTCGGATGGAGGGAATTTGCCTGATGGTCTTTCCAGCTGCCAAACTTATGCTCCATGGAAATCAATGAACTACGACCGTTTTTCATACATGCGATGAGTGTTCTTACCCAACTTTCACGGGAAGGGGAAGATCGGGCGGCAGAGCAAGCCTAAAGAAAGGAAATGTTACATTTCTCGATGCAGTTGTCCATAACTGCCGACACATTGCTATACGCCAACACAACACAAGACCTCCGAACTACTCGCCAACACCCGAGTAGGTTATGACCTAAATCGAAGCTGGCAGTTTCTCGATCAACAAGTGTAACTTCCCCTGTAATTCTTTGATCTCCTTCAAAATCGCCTCCTCGCTCGACTGGGAAGGACATGCGGGATTAGCTGCGCGAGTAATTCTAGCTGTAGCAGAGTTTTCACCTGTTCTGTATTAGGGAACCTCTTGACTAGTTGACCAAACTTCATTTTGCTTATCTCCAAACCTCTTTCCGCGTCCACCCCTTCCATGGGAGGATCGCGCACCGCTGGATCATCCGTGGCTTCATCCTGCTCCGGGCGCAGCCACTTGGTTACCCATGATTTTTCCATGTGGCCGGCTTCGCACAGGGCAATAATGCAGAGCGGTATGAAGAAGATAGTAGACATCACAACACGATTGAGCTTGATACAGTATGAGAAGCAATTGAATCTTGTTGACAGGGGCTCTTACCTTGGCATAAGTATTCTGTTTCACGCAAATGATGGTCCTTAAGAAAAAGTCAGCTACGCTAGTAGAAAACGGAGGTTAATTGCACGAACTCGAAGGGGGCGACCAAGAAGATCTCGATGAGATTAAACGGTGCAGGATAAACGTACGAGTCTGGCGCCCTAATCATTGCGACAGTCTTTCCGGCAAAGAATGCCAAATATTCGGCCTCAGCATCGTCCACCACCTACCCAACCGGTAAGAAGCCGTATCGGAAATCAGCGGTATACGTACTTCCGAATATGCAGATGCAAACAATGAGATCAGCACGTTCAACAAGATGACTACTGTCACAAGAGTCCAGCTGAGGGACGGTATGTGTAGGTACGACTTAGGATGGTCGCTAGGTCCACTTACAGATAGTACAATGTCAAGCCAGTGGGACTTTGACATGGGTTTAGCACAGCATTGACCCCAAGTATTATTTCAGAATCACCTTGCGGAAAACCGATCATAGTTCGGAGACCTGTACAGCAAGATATTGACACAACCTCATCTGTGCCCGGAAACTAGACTCACTGTAACAGTCCTTGTACAAGCACGTTAACAATCTAAGACGACAGTCAGAAATGTAATGTGCGAAAGAAAGAGGTCAACGTACGGCCGAGGGATCTTCGCTCTCTCCATCAGCTGCATCCAAAGCATACAGACCTTGAAAGAATCCAGCACCCAGAACCGTGAGTAGCTGTGTTTGAAGGTCAGATTTTGTACACAAACCAACACCCTGTCATTCACGAACAGCAAAGAAAATCCCCGATTCTTGCAGCATCCGTGCCACACAGAGTTGCATAGTACCAATATACCTGCATATACAATAAGATATCAGCAATGACCGCCAAGTCAACAGTACCACGTACTTAAAGCCGTCAAAAATGGTCACGAGTTCTAGAGCAACGTTAGCTGAGAAATTTTGCGGCAGATAACTTCCATACTCATCCTGTGAACTAGCGGTTAGTTGGAAACACCCTGGTTACAACAGACTTACCAAATGAAAGGAGCGACAAAACTCAAAATCTGAAAACTCCTCAAGCGAAGTAAACCAGCCCTCTCCCCACCAGTTGAGAGCTCTGCAATGCGATAGGTGAAGGCTGCAACAAGTAGGATATCGGTGATGAAGGAGACGATATCCCAGAATCCAAATGCTCGATAGGATGCAAACCGGAAGAATTGGTACCACTGCAAAGAAGTGAAACCATGAGCCTTGCTGTGGACTTTGCAAGCATCTTACCCTGTGTATATCTAAGTGTACGGGTCAATACTCGTGAGACGCGGTACGGGGGGTCGAGATACCTTCACAACAAAACGCCAATGCCATAACATAGAGTACATATTCCCAAGCATCAAAGTAAGCGTGATTGGGATCAAGTCGCTGAAGTGGTTCCCGCACTAGAAGCAATGCAGTCGTTCATTCATGCATAAACAAATTTTTCGCACCTGCTTGGGAGTAGACTACCAAGAAGACAAGCCATACTATGATCCTCAGAATATTTTGGTATCTAAAAAGCGTTCAATAGTGGGTAGAAGAGGTCAAGAGAAACTTACCGCGGAATCGACATACGGGCGGGGTCAAAGTGAGCCCCGAAACCTGCGTTACGCGGCTTATGATAAGGTACATCTTTTAGGATGTCAGTGGAAATTTTAGAACTGCATAGATTTGATCTACATTGTATGTCGTCCTCATCCTCCTCGTCGGCAACCTGGACGAGTTCCCCATTCCAGAGCCGGTTTACCACTACAGAACATGTAAAACTTGCAGAAAAAACTTGGATACATTATGCTCACCATCCTGAGATTCGCTCGACGACAGGAATACAGTACTGGTCGCCCAACTAAGCCTTGTTTTGCACAGAATGGTGATGAACCATACCAGTTATTATCGATAGCAATTTCCAGAGCGCTGGACGCAACGCTGATATCCCCGTCAGCGTGCCTATGCCGATACCGCGTGGTTACCATCGGTATCAGTTTGTCAGGTGGACTTTGATGCACGATTCTCCGCGCAAGCACTTCGCACGCTACGGCTATACGCCATGCTCTGATAAACCATGATACAACATGCCCAGAACGAAAATACCTACCGCGGCCCAAGTTTTCTCCGTAATCGGCAGGGTTATGATTAGCGTCCCACATGAACCCCGCATACGCTCTAAGAAGACAATATGGGAGCTGATGAACGTGTCATGCCTACTACAGGACTGCCGCGGCTGTGCGTGCACTCACCTCGTTGTAAAAATCGCCAGCTGCATCGACATACGCAGATATCACCTGAGGAGTAATGATACGACTCCCTGGGACGCTCAGACTCTTCGTATCGACTTCAACAGGGAGCAAGCGCAGAGTCAAGGCGCGGAGTCGCCGGATGAGTTCTGGGACGAGAAATGTCAGGTCATAATTGCGATGAGACATTTCGTGGACGCACTGGTCAACGTATCAGGAGATGGTTTCTCCGGGTGAAATGACAGCAAAGGCGCTTCCTGGTCCATGTCGCCGTATTGCTTGACTTCACCCTTGAGCTTGAGTATTTGAATTTGGGTCCCAGTGCCTCGGCACGTGGTGGCTGTGTACAAGTCAATCTGTGTCACGTGCTACACACTGGCTTACTCCTGGCATTAATCGCACTCCTTCATTAACCGTCGATGCCTGTGAGTGCGCCGACGACAACTTCGTTTCTGGTACGATGATATCCGCAGGCTTATCACTCTTCCTTCAATGAATTTGACGCTCGTCAAGCGGGGAACATGTCTATCCTGCCAATCAAAACTAGATACCGCGGCCCAGCTCCAACCGGTACCTTTCCTCCTTGACGATCGTGCTTGTACCTGCAAACTTACTGGAATCGTTTAGCTGACCCAGACCAGGCGGATATAATAGATGAGACGCTTGACCTGTTCAGGGCGAATTCTCTGTTCCGCAATTTCGAGATTAAGGGACCCGCCGACCGCATCCTTATTATACTCATCCTCTTTGTCTCCGATTGCTTGTTCAAGATCGGAAGTGCTCGGACGGTTCCAACCGCTCTGGAAGCTTCAAAAATGCTGAATACTCTCGCCGTGGACAACTTTCCTATCCCGGGAGATGCCAATTTCCCCCTGAATGCCCATTACGCACCACCTGACAGCAGGGTGGATGCAGGTGTGTGAAGCATACTTCGTGTAGCGATATTATATAGCTAATAGTATGGGCAGACTATTTGCGCACGTATCTAACGCAGGTCCGCCAAGAGCTGGCTGCTCGGTTGGCGGAACGATTATACGCGGATGGCACCAACAAGCCCAATAAGTGGTGGATGGCTTTCCAGAAGAGGCGCTTTATGAATCGCAGTCTGGCTGCATGAACATGGTTGCAATGCGAGCATTACCCACCGTGTGCGATGTCTGTATTACTACGTAAAGAAGACTTCAATCTATAAACTACCTTTTCTTCTTCTTCTCATTAGGGTTTTTCCTGCCGTATCCGATGCGTGGCATGCCATCCGGACGCCCGGACTGTGTCGACCGCGACTTGCTGCGCGTACCGCTAAGGATGTCCGGGATCCAATCAGGATCAGCCCAACTGCCTACAGCGACACCACTTTTCCCGTCCGACTCCACGAGACTTTTAATCATACGCTGTTCTTCCCTCTCCCTCTTCCCTTGTTCTCGTTTCTTTGCTCGCATATATTCTATTTGATCCTCTCGAAGGATGAGACCTTCGCCAGTGCCTGTCTTAGCAGAACCGGGTTTCGGTGCAGGTATGGGGTATTTTGTTCCTCGAACTCGGTATTGGAAGTTTTTCTTGAGATGGACTTCCATGACAGGGGCACCACCATCGGCATTCGGAGAGGAAACCGTGACAGACGTCCTTATCAGCGTAGGATTTCCACAGGATGGACAGAACTGCTTAGAGTTGTCCTTGCAGATTCTATTCAAGGTAAATGTGGGTCGTCACAATAGGTCATGTATGCTCACTTGAAACACGCATGACAACGGAGCACCCAGCTTTTGACTTTTTGTATTCTTCTGCCATCTGTACTTATTAGGTGCAAACCCATCTGTAATAAGACATTCTGCATGGCAAAATCAGCCGTCATGCAGCCCACTGCTGAATGCTGTTTCGGCCTCTTGTCTTTCTTGCTTTTCTCTTCTGACGGAAGAAGATGTAGTGCACGAGCCTTGTGCAACTCTACGTTACCAGGAGTTATCCATTCGCCTTCATCATCATCTTCGGAAGACGGGTCGGCATATAATGGTTCACTGTCGGATGGTGTTGCTTCGTCGTCCGAAGATGGAGGTAGGGAGGCAGAATCCTCTCCTTCCACTTGGCCTTCCACGTTGGTACCGATACCACTAGGATGGGGAATGTCGAAAAAGTCGTTTTGGAGAACATGGGAAGGATCAGAGGATGGAATTTGCTCGTTTGTTTCAGAACTCTCCGATGACCCGACTGGCTGCGCTGGTGAAGACGTTGACGAATGATCTTTACTTCCTTCGCTAGGTGGCTGTATGCTTGATACTTTTTCCTGGTCGGGTATCACCTAGTGGTCACCGTAAGTCGCGCCGGATTTGAGATAGATTGTCACCTTGCCTCCTGCGGAGTATCTCGCGAAGCCTTTTCTTGCTCGTGAAGAGTGTGGGTCAATGCCAACACACAGATATCCGCATGCGAAAGCACCGCATAGTCACCGGTCTTTTTTGCAAAATGTATAACTAGGTATGCGTCGTGAGTACTCCTGGGCCAGAATAGGGGAGTAGGTTTGGAAGGAACCTTGAGACAATGATGCGGCAGCTGGATTTGTGACGCTGACTTGGACGCCAGCTGAAAGCCCTAGTTGTTCAAAATGCTCGCGTGCACGTTTATCCTTTAACTCATCCAGAACTTGTGGGACTGTCAGGTATGTATCTGCCAAACCCCGTAGTGGTGATAGTGATAGCAGTGGTCCAGAGTCGAGGACCAGATACTTGCATCGTTTATTGCCTTCCGCCATGACAAGATGGGTGTTAGAGGTACCATCTAATCGGCGACAATCCTTGTCATAAAACCGATCTCGGCCGATCGAACTTACAGACCCCTCATAAAACACGATCGAGCGAATAAGATACCGAGCCTCCACTCAGTGGTAGATCTGTGAACATGGCAACGAAATCGTACGCTCAGAACCAGTCGTCTAGCCTTTGGGGATTTCTAACGTGCTGCTGCAGATACTACATCGTTGTCCTCCCTGGCGATGGTATTGGTATGTGCTTGCGTTACATCGACATCTACCCCGCTCTCAACTAACTATGACTGAATACCCAAGGTCCCGAAGTCACCGCACAAGCAACCCGCGTACTTCAGGTTATATCGGCCTCATCAGATGACGTGAAACTCGTCCTGGAGCCCCATGATTTCGGCGGATGTGCAATCGATAAGCATGATGTGCCTTTGCCTGCGTCAACCCTGACAGTGTGTCAAAAGGCAGATGCAATCCTGATGGGTAGACCTTGTCTGAATATCCGTGATGAAGGAAACTAACAAAACAATTACTCTAGGTTCGGTCGGTGGACCTAAATGGGGCCCGGAGTGTAAGATTCGCCCCGAGCAAGGACTCCTTACACTCCGCAAGGCGTTGGGCCTGTACGCCAACGTCCGCCCGGCTAGCTTTGCGTCTGAGTCTTTGTTATCATACTCGCCGTTGAAACCAGAGGTCGCTCAGGGTGTCGACATGATCGTTATTCGTGAACTTATCGGTGGCTTGTACTTTGGTCCCCGACAAGAGCAAGGGGACGGTGATAGCGCGTATGACACCATGATATACAGCGTTGCCGAGGTGGAAAGAATCACACGCGTCGCAGCACAAATCGCCTTGGCTGCTAACCCACCTCTTCCCATTCACTCGATCGACAAAGCCAATGTCCTCGCTAGCTCCAGACTTTGGCGCAAAGTCGTGACGGAAACTCTGAAGAAAGAGTACCCTCAGCTTACCCTTGATCATCACCTCGTCGACTCTGCTGCCATGTTAATAGTGTCTAATCCCAGGAAGTTAAACGGCGTTATCCTTACTGAAAACATGTTCGGAGACATGTAAGATCTCCCCTATCTTCTGTTACCAGAGCCCTAAATTCTCTCCACAGCTTATCCGACGAGGCAAGCGTTATTCCTGGCTCTCTAGGATTGCTACCCTCCGCATCCTTGGCGGGGGCACCGGCATCACCTTCAAGCCCCTCATTTAAACCAAACCTTGGACTTTATGAGCCCATTCATGGTTCAGCACCTGATATCGCTGGCAAGGGTATTGCTAACCCTGTCGGAACCATCCTTAGTGCTGCAATGCTCCTGAGGTACTCTCTCGGCCTTGAAAAGCAAGCTCAGGCCATTGAGGCCGCCGTCCGCAAGGTTCTCGACGATGAGAGCATCGGCGGCTATGGCCTGCGAACAGCTGATCTAGGTGGCAAGGCAACAACCGCGGAGTTTGGCGATAGGGTGGTAGAAGTACTCAAGGAATTGCTGTAGATTCCGCGCATCAGATGTACGTATGTATGTGCCGGATGGTTGTATGATATCCCAGAGGACAGCTCCACAGGTTTGCCCTCTAGGCTACTCTGACAAGGTCCATGCACGAGTAGTCCGCTGGGTTGCATGTGGAATCTATATGACAACTGTTCCACAAAAGCATTTTCAGCACCCTTAAAAGTAAATGCATGGGAACACATGTAAGTAGAGTAAATAGAACCATCCTAAAACATGTTAGCAAGCTTGCTCGCTGCAAGTTTAGCATCCAATCGAGGTCGCGAAGGTTGTATCCGCATAGACTGAGACATACTAGTAGAGCCAAGTTGTGCCAGCGGACCGAACGTCGCCTGCGAGGCTGAAAAACGACGAGAAGGGTCCGGCGTTGCCGATGAAGGTAGCGAAAGTGGCCGTGTGAGGGGGCTAGAAGATGAAGCACAAGAGGCGGTTCCGAGAAGCGGGTCCCGAGAGATGGGAGTGGAGGAGGAAGCAGGCGGCGGTTGCCCTCTAGGAGAGCCAGTCGATTGCACAAACATAGACTGGGTGCCATCTTGAAACCGGCCGCCAGAAAGAGACGCCGGAGGTGGTGGCGAAGTGGAAACGGGGGGGCGGACGCCTGTGGACGGCCCTGCAATTTGGGAGGAAGTAATTGGGCCTTGGTTGTGGATAGAGGCAGATGAAGTTGATGCAACGGCAGGGACACTGCTGGATAACTGGGGAACAGGGGGAGCAGAAGCAATAGGTCTTGATGCCGTCTTCGTGTTATCTTCCAAGGGTGGAATGATAGAGGGTTTTGGAATACTGTTTGGCTGGACGACGATCTTTTGATCAGCATTGCTAACATCGTTTTTGAGGGCCAGTAGTTCCCTCAGCAATTGCTTCTCGTACATGATGGACGAACGAGCGTGTTCGACCAGCGCAACAGTGACGTCGTCCGTAACAGTCTTACTGTGCACCTGTAATGCGCGATGGAGATTTTGGGAAATACCATTCGCGCGTTGAGCTAGCAACTGCTCATATTTGTTTGCCTAGAGAATATTAGCAAAAACAACTAGGACCAACACATAAACAGGTACCTCCTCCAGCTCTTCCAACGCCTCGTCCACGCGTTCGGGGCGAATATTGGAGCTGACTTTCAATCTTTCAATATTTCTTCTCTTGGATATGGCTGATTTCACTGCCGCCTGATATTCTTCGAGCACTCCCGCCCGCTGAAGAAGCGCTTCTTTCGCTGATCGGGCGTTCATACCTTGATAACCAAAGGTATCCCCAATGACAACACATTCGCTTATGGACTGCGCCTGATCGAGGTCAGAGAGACTATGCCACGTCCTCCCTAACTTGCGCAGCGCATTAGCAAGTGGGGGACGAGCTTCGGTAGAGGCAACGTTAACGAGCTTGTTTCCCATTTCCGCATGTGCGGCGGACAGAGCTGAGAGCAAGGTCTTTAGCATGTACGCTGCAACACGGAGCAGCACTCACCTCTCCGAGTTATGGCAAGTTTATCGATAGCCTTGGCGGCGTCGAAAAACTGTGTTTCGAGCTTCGTGAGCTCAAAACGGGCGCGCTGCAACACTTCATCCTCGTCTGCTACATCCCGCTTTATGAGACTAAATCCTGAGCCGGTCTTTCGACGTGGCCGAGGCATGGGCTGATACCCGAAATCGCTTTCGATAAATGAACGTAGGTCTTCATCATACATGACGACAGGATCCTCGCATATCCGTGTCAGCCACCGCTGGAGCATAATTCTCACCAGCCGATCATCTTCTTCGTCTGTCGGGGCCGAGGTCTGGGCAAGGGGTAAAGCTGGGATAATGGTATGCGGGCAGCTGTTGAGCAAAGCCTCGTAAAACTGCTGAAATTCGAGGTATGACCTAGAGACGTTGCGGTAGGTCGTTCCGGTAAAGTTTGATAGGTTCGTCTCCAAGGATTGCATAAGTCCGATGACCAGCACGGCCGTAAGTATGGGTACGTACTTGAGCATCAAATTTAACGAGGATATCTCTTCTGTTGCGGTCCAGTCCAGTGATCCGTACCCGGAGATATGGCTCTTTCTTCTCGAATTTTATGCCATTGGAGCCGACAGCCGTGTGGGGGGAGATGAGACCTGGTTCCGGCTGACCATAGATTCTAGGTTCCTTGACGAACGCTGGGTCGGAATCTACATTCCGTGGTGCAGACGGAGATGCACGACGCAAGGTAGGAATGGGCGAGTTAGGTTCGTGGGGGGTCGTCGGCCATGGTGGGATCGCATCGGTGTCCCCGTTCGCGAATACCGACGTCGTTGAGTTGAGAGGATCGAACATGGGCGGTGTCGTCGACGCAGCAGTAACACTGCAGCCAGACACGCTCTGCTATGAACGGAGTGGGAACCAACTTCTATTCTCGTAAGAGGTAGAGTACTACTTATAAGTGTAAAGATAAAGATATTAGTTAGATTTCTATTAGTTTGCGAGGCTGTGGTCGGGCGAGTGGAGAGGGAGCATGTGTCCCATGCGCAATACTTTGGTTCTGAGGTATTTGTCCAGGTCTTCTCCCCCGACTACGCCTCCTCCCACCGTTGTAACGCCGAGCAATCGTTGGCTGTTTTCCTTGATGGGCCGATACCTCCAGCTCCTTGGCACCATTGGCACCCGCTCTACCACCCTCAGTCCTTCCCTTTCGAGAGCTGCCACTTTGTCGGGGTTGTTTGTTAGCAAACGAACGCCCTCCCCTTGCTCCGATCCCAGCCCAAGGTCCCGGAGGATGGCCACGGCAAGCTCATACCCACGTTCATCCGCTTTATATCCGAGCTTGAGATTGGCAGAGACGGTATCGTGTCCGAGGTCTTGTAAATTATAAGCGCGAATTTTCGACAACAAGCCTATCCCACGGCCCTCCTGTCTCATGTAGACGATAACACCACGACCCGGGATGGACCGGGATGAGGCAACCGGCACGGGCTGCGATATCACGCGGATGGCCTCGTCGAGCTGTTCCCCACAATCGCAACGCATGCTGCCGATTGTCTCCCCGGTGAAACACTCGGAATGGATGCGAACGAGAGGTGCTGGAACATGTGGAGCCAGAGCGATGCCATTGGTTGGCGGCTGAGAGGGCTGGCGGGACTCGTGAGTGAGTGTCCCTACATACGCACCCCGGATGAGCCGCTCCTCGGCAGTTTCACTTTCGGTCCACACCGAGTCCAAGGAATGACTGCGGATAGGTGGTGCAGAGTATTGCCCGTCATTGGAGAGTTGAGCAGGGTCGATGACAATTGCAAGGTGCTCTTTGTTGTCGCGGTTATTATGATAGAGATGAAGGAAGACAGTCCCGTGGACTGTGGGTATCCGAGTGCGTGCCATACACGTCACTGTTACAGTAGTGGGTGCTCTCGATTGCTCAGCAAAGGGATGAACAAGTGTCTCCGGAATAAGGACGGGAGCAGCCGGATGGGGTCTAGAAGTTAATGGTGCTGGCTCCTCGTCCTGGGTGGTCTCGTGGTTTTGAAGACGTGAACTCCGGGGGGCTTGCCTGCTCACATAGGGACAGGGTTTGTGCTGAGTAGAATTACCCGGGGAGTACTTGGCGATATCGGGTGAGTAGAGGGCATGACCAGCGTGGTGATGGGTCTGAGGACCGGTAGCAAAAACTGTTGCGATGAGCAGGGGGTCGATGAAGGCATCTCGCCTGGGGATATGACGACGCTTGCCCCGCTGTGTGCAGAAGGCGTCGAGCAGCGACGGAGGCTCGCTGAGATGAGAGCCGAGCATGGGTGACTCTGTGAGGGCCATGGTGGTGGGATGAGATATCAGCTGCTGTTTGGATCGGACGTTCTCACCGACGGACCACTGCAGGCTGCCAGGGGGTGCACACGCGGTATCACGATTCGATGCGACAGCCTCGCGACTTTTCCCCTCAACCTCATCGCCATGACCGACTCTCAAAAGCAGTAAGCACAACTAGCCAGCCTGCCTAGCAGCTGTCAACCATTGATCTGGCAGGCCCACCCTCGCCCCTGGCCCTCCAAACACAGACGGGGCCTTTCAGCAAGCCTTGCTTAGAGTCGGGGAATTGGAAACCCAAAACACCAAACTGTACGAAGACAATCGTCGGCTCGCAGCCGCCGTTCACATGCTGCGCGAGCGGCACGCCTTTTTGTCCAAGCCCCAGGCTGCCCAGTTGCAGCAGCTCATGTACTTGCAAGAACTCGTACGCAACATAGAGGCAGATCGACTGCGTGCCACTCGTCAACACCAAGACCTCCTAAACAGCCTCACAAACGGGACCTCTCCCCAGCTGCTAGCCGCGCAGTTACAGCAATCTCGAGCAGAGTACACACATCTGCTCAAAGACTACAACCATTTGTTAGACAAGCATACAAGGCTCAAAGTTCATCTTTCTATGACCAACCCCTTACACCACATTCCAGTAGGTGTTCCAGGTACGCCGAGACATCCATGCTTTTAATCCATTCAAGCAACACCGATCTTTCACTCTAGTTCCGGTCGTGCCGAGCAGCCACGGTGGCAGTCCTGCAGCTACTTTCCCGGTATGGCGCATAGAGTCTCCGCAACTATCATCATTGACATGTATCCAGCGCCCAGATATCCCTATGCTAGGAGATCCACCTTGTGACGTTCTGCCCAGTCACAGTCCCCTTACATCTCCAACTCGCCCCCACCGCAATTTCCCGCTCCCACAGCAAGCTATACAAAGTCATGAGAGACCGTCCTTGGATGGTTTTATCCAGGTAAGTATTACCACCCAAACGGCTGTTGTGTCCGTGATCATCCGCGCAGCGTCAACCTCCTACAGTGCACAGTCAACATCCGCCTCCTACTCCACCTTCTTCAGCTTCGATGGCAGCACCAGCGGGACCTCCGCTTCACACGCCACAGCGACCCGTAACTAGACATCCAGCGAAGCCGCCAGTTCACATGCCCCAGTGGCATGCCGGCCCTCGTATCATGTCGGCCCCTGCCACCTTACCACAAGGTCATCACCCTTTTCCACAAGGACCCAAGCCAGCACGGGGAACCCATGGACTCGACCAGACAAAAGCAAAATCACTACCAGATGCTATCCCCAGACCTGTGCAGTCGCAGTCTGCGTCAATGTCTCCCAGCTCTGTCAAGCGATCCAGTTCTGCCCTGGGTAGTCCCGCAAGTCCAGAAGTTGATGCAAAAAGGTCCCGGGTCGAAGGATTCGATAAATCAACTCCTGACAAGCAGGTTACGAACGGTTTCCCTCTGCGGGACCAGGGTTGTGAGCCAGAGACGGATTCTGCGGATATTACTGAACAGGTAAAAGTGCCGCATCCAGAGGCCCCTTCTGTATCGCCCTCTGCAGTCGTCGATCAGACTGAGGCTCAGCCCACTCCGTTGGGTGACAAGGATCTTCGTCCAGACGAAGAGTGTGTTCGCATGATTTTTGAAAAAGACGCAGACATAGAAAACGGAGTCTTTTGTGACCCATGCCTGTATGTTTGACCGTTACCACACCGACTCGAGCGCTCACCATTTCCGCCTAGGAGTCGTTACGAGGCAGGCATGCTGTTGGAACCACCTGACATTCTTGTCAATCCGGATCCTGATTTCCTTTTAAAACATTGCATTACCATTCACCCTACGTTATGGGATGACCTTCGGCACCGAAGGGACCTCACTGAAAAGTAATTGTATCAAGCTCCAGCCATAACCCAATTGTATAATATTGTCACTGTCCGCATACCTTCATCGCACGTAGTCTCCGGATGTTACGACTTAGGGTCATGTCTGTTTTATTCATTGGTTCAGCCACTCCAGGTTGGGTGTTTTGGAAAGTGCTGCCGTCTGCGACAACGGTTCGATAGACTTCTTCACATCATGGACTGAATTGGAAAGTGCACCAGCACTGCAGGGTAGCGGGAACTGCGGGGCGCAAGGGACGCTTATCATTCAAAGCTTTGTGACTTTGACAGGTCAATCAAAGCAACACTGTTTGTCTTCCGTCCAGGGTACGCTAGTTTGCTCAGGGTAGGCACCCATTTCAGTTTGAATATTTGCAAACAGGCTTCCTTATGAATATCCGAATTGACAATAATCATATGTGCAGAACTCCCCCTGTGAGCTTCCCTCTGTACCTAACTGAAAACCCCTACACATTCAACTGCTTAGCAAGCACTTTGATCAACCTGGTAAGCCGCGCAGCCTCGTGCTCTGCCAGTGTCGCGTTGCGATCATAAACCACCGCTTCGGACAATGCGGGGAGGGTAGTTGCACCATATCCTTCAACAGCATCAGTACCAGGAACATAAAAACACCCCAATCTTAAAAAAAAAAACCCACCAAGGTACCTGCCCGGGGCAACACCAAGGTGCTTGAACCATTCACGGTCTTTGATCCCTCCTTCGGAAAGGAATCCTTGCTCGAACGTTCTTAATTTGTGGTTGACCTTCCTAACCTTAGCAACGGCTTTGATCAAGTTGCAGATAGATCCCTTGTGCCGCTGTCGGCAGACGTCGCCTTGCTGCTCGAAATTTCCCACTATATCCCATACGTGCTTCATATCGGCATGGCGGCCAACCTCTGAGGAGTTCTTGAGGGAATATCCCAATAGGTATTTGATCCAATTGCAGATACGCTTGATAGTATGGCTACCCCAGCGACCGCGAATGATCCTTCGAACCGCCCTGCGGAACTCCTTCTCGGCCTCTGCTTTCTCCATATCGAGCTTAAGGCTCGATTTTTGTAACTTCGAGATTGCCTTACGGAGCTTATCGAGTTTTGGGAGAACGTCTCTGTTGGGAGCGGATTCCTCCACACTACATTGTGGACTTAATTAGTAAAAAAAAGTAAAGAATCCGGACCATACTTACAGATCAACGTAGGAATCGAGTTCCACGGCGTACTGTGTCGTATTCAACGGCAACACGACGGAGTCCGCAAGACGGAGCATGATCAAACCCAAATTCTTCGCGACTGCGACCTGCCGCAGACGTTAGCCGAAAACATGTGGGAATGAAATGTGGTGTGTTACATGGCGGTGGAAACCAGGATCTCCATATCTCTCTTGCCACGCCTGCGAATCATAAATTGAGTGGTAGTGGTAAACTGCGTCTGTGGGTGTGTAACCGAAACCTTGATCAGAGCTGGCTATCTAATAGCGATCTCAACTCAATCTTGAAATAAAGTTCGCGCAAACTTACTCCGAGTCTTTGGAGAAAGACAGTATAATCGCTCCCGGACCCGAGAGGACTCACACTGACAGTCGAGTCATCCACATTTTCATAAACTTTGTTATTTCGGGTCCACATCTCTGCAAACTCCGCGTCTTGTACTCCAGTGTACGGTCCGGAGTCGTATCGTGCATCCCAGAGTGTCTTGTTAGCTTGGGTAGGGTGCGGCACGTCTTGCGCAGATCTCTTGATGAGATGCGCAAGAGAGGGAGAGCCAGCAACATTCCATCGGGAACCAGAGACAGATACATCTTCAGGTATTCAGCACCAAAATGGGCAGGAAAACTGTTCACTGAACTTACCGACATTGATGTATGAAACAGCGTGGGCTTGGATCCATTCAGCGAAGTCCTCGCCAAACTCAGTGCTACCCACTAGTCCGTGCTTCGGGGGGGGGATCAGGATTTGCCTTCTGCGTGCAAACGCAGTAAACTTGCCTCCTCTGCATCCCAACTAGCCAGCAAAATGGTACGAAGAGGCTGCCAACCTTGTTGGATCAAAGCACCGAGTCCGCGGACAACCTCCAGCAGAGATACTGTACCCGAAATAGGATCTGCACCACCCGTAACCCAAGCTAACCAACGTCTTTTAGTCCCTGTATGACCCCCAGACTGTTATAACTCACCATCTCTGTGGCAACCAAGGATAACTACTTCATCTTTGATGCGACCAGGAATCGCTGCCATGGTATTCCAAATGGGAGTCACTTGATTGTCAACTAAGCAGAGTAAAGTCAATCAATCACTGTCGCAGCCCCTAGAAAACTCACCATCGTTGGTCAACTTGATGAGATGGCCGCCTACTCTCCCGTTCAACTTCCTGCCTTCCTCGATCCCACCAAGCTCCTGTTCGAATAAAACCCTGGCATTTGCCCAAGAGAGAGGAATGCTGGGAATAGAAGGCAGACAAGACGGGTCGGTACGTGTGACGTTCGGATATGCAGGGAATCCAGGTGTGGTCGGATCACCAGGATAAGTGGACAGGAATGTCACCGAGCCACGCTGGATAGATGTAGGATTGCGTGCAGGGCCGTTGGGATAAGGCAAGTATCCGTTCTCAACGGTCACGCTACCATCGTCACGAGGATCACTATACATAATGACTCCAGCGACACCGTGCTGTTCGGCTCCTTGGATCTAAGGGAAAGGAAAGCCAAACCTAACACTCCAGCATATCTACAGCTTACCTTGAGACCGCGGAAGTTGCCACCATACCTGGCTAGGATTACCTTGCCAGTAAGATCTACACCAGCTTCGACGAGCTTCTCATAATCATCTCTCGTTCCATAATTAGCATAGACGAGCTGGCCTATGGCTTCACCGGCTGCACTCAAGCCGTGCCATGGAGGGATGGCATTCTTGTATTTCGCGGCAGTCTCATCTCCAGGGTCGCCGTCTTCAAGGAGGTCAGCAGTCCATATAGGTTGATTGTCGGAGTCAAGGATAGCAAGAGAGATGCCGTCAGCATTTCCGGTGTTCAAGACGGGGTAATATACATCCATCCAGGCAGAGGGGTGGTCGAGCGTTGACGTAGTACTGAGAGTAGCCTGTCGCGATTTGGGTGATCCAGCATCGAATATAGGCTCTGTCGAAGGAGCCGATATACCAAGCTCTCTCTGGAAGAAAGACAAAACATCTTTCGCGTCTTGGAAATCTTCCACTGAACCAGCTAAATGAGGGTGAGTAGCATAGTGACGCGAATAGTTAAGGGCCGATGCGGTGGACGGCACGGAGCTATATAGTATGCCTAACAGTCAAGAGGTATCTGGAATGATAATGATAATACCAAGGACTTACAGGAACGTCCTTTCGATACGCGCAGTGTAACCACTTCGCGGGTGTTTGTGAGCACCTTTGCAACCTCGGTTCAGGAGTACCGAGTGATGACTGGCGAATATACCAGAGAGCAGGAGCAGTGATGCTGCGGCGATGCCGAGGACTCTACGGAAACACGCAGGACGAACCTGTTTGTCCACAGCGGTGGGCTCCTCGAGGTCATGGTCTGCCGGGTTGAATACCCCCTTTTCTTTCTTGTCGATGACGGGAGGCGAGTTAGCCAACAGTCCCATTAATTATTAGGGCGCCCCGGAGTAGACCGCAGTTGCAGTCGCACGGCCTACTCTGAGCCTCTCTAATTTTATACATAAATCTCCAACAGTTTCCCACCCATAGGAGCAAAGTCTCGGCCGTTGTTCTCCGCCAAAAATAGAGGAACCCTTGGAAGAGGTAGGCGATGTCTTCCTCGTAAACGTAGGTATTCTGACTGGCGCAATCGAGGGACGACAGTCACTTGGTTGGGCCGTAGCTCTCCAATTCTGGCCCGCCACATTCCGTCTTCATCTTGTCCACCCACTTGACTTGGCGGCGCCAGCCATGTCAGAGTCAGCAGAGAAACCCGCTGAAGACGGTGTACAACCACTACAACCACAAACCACCAGTGCTACTTCAGCACCGTCTGATCGCATCGAACTCATATCCCGCGCCCGCACGTTCCTGAGCGCTCCCGAGATACGATCTCAAGACTTGGATGCGAAGGCTACCTTCCTCTCAGAAAAGGGCCTTACAAGCAGCGAGATCGACCGTCTGCTGCGCGAGCTGGTGAGTCGTTTTTGGTAGGACTTCTGGAAACGCTCATGTAATTTTTGCCGTAGCCTCCACCAATCCCACCGCGGACATATCCTCCTTCCCCACCTTCCGCGCTACCCAGCCTACTCTTAGGCGTCGCAAGGGTGTTTACATGGATAACTGGAAGCTCTGCAATCGTTTTTTTGATTTACTACGTGCGTACCCACTTATATTCCCCGATACGCATTCACCCCTCTCTCAGCGCTATCTGCTCCCACGTCTCTCCAAATCATATGAAGCGCGCTTGGCACTACGAAACCACCAGCTTTCCCTCCTCTTGCGCCTCAGAGACTCTGCAGAGCGACTCAAGTCAGAGCAATCCCAATCCTACAAGGAGTTCCCTCGTCTCTTCAAGTACCACGAAGAAGAACCATTCGCAAGCTTTGAGACATTGGACGATGTGATCGCACACGTGCAACTGTCACGATCGAGCACACCGGTCGGGTCGTCGGCATCACCGTCGGTTCAGGCCAACAACAAAAAGAGAGGCGAGGTGCCAGAATTGACGATCCTTCGGTGCGGACTGACTGAATTAGCCCGGTCAAAAAACGGAGGCAGAGGTGGCAATAATAGCCATGATTCACTTTCGGTGTCAACGGAAGAACTCATTTCCTACCTGGAAAGCAAGTTGCCGTGGATCTCGGGGGAGCAAGAGCAGGGTGCCCAGCATCAGGTCTGTTCTTCAACGTTCGAATCTGTCGCACACCACCATACTGAATTACCTCTTATAATACATAGGCTCTGCTGTGGAAATTCTTGACTACGTGCCCATTATTCACATCGTCACCGCCACCATCAAGCGAGAGCTTAAGCGATGCTAGAACTGTACCTCCACCTCCACACCCCTCCCACCTCCTCTGGAAATACACACCTGCAACCCCACCACCTGTACCTCCTATCATTGCTAGCCTCTCCAAGCTCCGATTAACTTTACCTCGCAAGCCGCAATATAAGTCCGACGCTAGCACTGTTCCATTTATGTCAGCATCACAGACGACGCTCCCTACCCCGTTCCAACGAACCCTTCAAGTTCTATCGGACTTCACGGGCTACATAACAACCCAAACGTACTCCCTTGGTATGTTGTCCTCTACAGCGCCATCATCGGTTATCCGGGGAACAGCGGCTGCGGGTGATTCAGTGCAAGAGGATGAGATACGTCGCGAAATTCGGGCCCTGAAAGGCTTGGTGTTGAACAGGAGATCATTCCTGCCTACCAGTAATGGAAACGGTACTGGGACTCTTCCAGGGGGAAATTAGGACGGCCTTCCAGCGAGTCAAGGAGGGTGGCCGCAACCAGATATTGTATCTACATGAACCCATCTTGGCAAGTTGCTCACAGCAGATGACGAAATAATAGAAATAAATACAACGATATAATTACAGCAAAACTCAGCAAGCGCTTTAGAAGGTGCGGTAACCGCCAATTCCACGACGTGCACAAGGGCTAGCGTGCCGAGTAAATCAGCCATTCACCCGTCTCGTATTGGTCTGCACGGTAATTACCACGCGTCTAGCATTGTCCAAGGAAGCTATTCTTCGGGAAAGGTCGACCAAAGTCGCCTCTCCACGTTGTCAAGTTTGGGTTCGTATAGGCCTCTAAGTAGCTAAAAATTCAAACGCACGTCAATGACACAAAATGGTCAAGGGCAAGGCACATACCTATTGATATACTTCGAAGTTGGAAAATCTTTCGGATCACACCCGATATTCCTGCTGTTCTTGGGCTGATACACCCGTATGTAGTCCACTCGCATGTGTGCAGGGAAGGGAAGATTGTCGAGATCAACCGGCCCAAAGTTCGTTGACATGCCCAGGTCCAAGATAACATACTAACGAGTAGAGTTGCATTTTTCCTTTAGCGCCATAGGCAACAAGACATACCATCGGTTCTTGAGGTACAGGGCGCGCAGATATCTGGACAGCAGAGTCGGCACCCATGCCCGCGACATTGAGTGTCCACGAAACCTGGTTATTCGATATCCACGTTATGTACTGTGACCCGAAATCAGATCACGACTTTGCGTTGGCTCGCAGTACTTACGGCGTTGTCAAACCCAGGAACGTACTGCGCCACGAGCGGTCTCAATGGAGTGTTCGAAGAGGAGTGTAGCAGAACTTACCTCGAACCCATATATCGAGAAACACCTACTGGTTCCCTCATAACAATTCTGATCCGTGGTAGTAACAACGGACGTTGCCTGCTGAAGGACAGAACCAATATACGTGTTATGAGTGGAAATCGTTGGATCGCGAATGATCTCGTTCAGCGAGGTATTCTTCCAAAGATATCCAGCGTTAAACGGCTGCAAGTCAAGTATTAATGTCTCGATACCGGAAAACGGCTGAGACAAGCTCACCGCCCACTGAGCGGACTGCGAGACCTGGCCCACAAAGTCACTCGAAATCTACAGTGTACACCTCAGCAAGACCACAGTACCGAAAAACCTTCACTCGCCTGCGCTTCAAACATATCAATTTCGGGTGCGGAACGACCAACGTATGTACCATCGGAGTGAACGGGTCCTGGGTGGAACTCGTCCTTGCAAGTGCAACGGGATAACTTCTGTCCTGGGAGCCATGAGAGAACGCCGCCTTTTCCTGCATCGCCATTCACCGTTGCGGCGACAGGTTGGCCGTTAATAGTCTGGTTCGCAACAGTGCCGACATCGCACGCATCGTAAGTGTACGGCCACTACATGCAAAATTTTCAGCTAGATCCAGAGCCTCAACGACCTCGGCAGCTCACCATTCCCTCGAGACTGGCACCATATCCAGCTCTTCCAAGGTTACCCATGGTCCATATTGCAGGCCAGAAACCTATGAAACCATGTCATCTTCACTGAACGTCAACGACAAAAACCACGGACCCATAACGTTAGGGACGCCAGGTAGTGACACATTCGCTTCTATGTACCCGCCTGTGAAGCAGAACTTATTCCACGTAGACATCATTCCTGGCAAGCGCGACGCAGTAATTCAAGAGGACAAAAGTGCACATAACGAACTCTACCTACCCCCTTGATAACTTAAGTTATGTGTGTTCTTCCGAGAGAGGGTTACTTGAAGGTAACCATCTTTGGTTACGAGTGCCTCTGGGCTATACCATTCCAGATTATTTGTTTCCTAAAAAGCCTTCCAGTACACCACATATTTCTGAGGGTGACAACGAACCCAGTAGTGCAAGTCGACTGCTTCCCAATAGGGATCGTCCCCTGGCCAGAAAGTTCTCCCTGGGACGTTAAACTCATCTGAAAAGACTAGTTCCATTTCTGGTCCACCGTTCCATGAGGGTTTCGTGTAGGAGTCCTTGGGGGTGTCAACATCGATGAGGGACCGGAAGCCGTAAATTTCTGGTACCTTAGACTTGAACTGTAAGGAGGGATAAACCAGAATGTATGGTTGTGTACCTGACCACTGGCATTGATACCACCCAGATTAAAGCCACCATTTGTGGACATTTTATGCCGTGTTAAAAATGAGAATACTGGGAAGCCAGCACTGGAAAGACGTGTTAGCCGAATATATGCATCATAGAAATGACAAGAAAGATGCATACAAGAGGGATATGAAAACAAACATGAGGACGAACAGACAGCCCAGGTTGATGCAGCGGCTGTCCACGCCTCGAGAGATGCATCCCGATGGAGAGTCATATTCCGGGTCGTGGAGGTCGTCATCAGGCTCCTTCGAGTCCGGAGATAGGTCCGTTCCCCATAACCTGGGATCGGGGCCAAGATGGAACTGCAGAACGTAAGAAGGAAGCAGCGGGGGTAGACGACTGGACACGGACCTGATCAGTCAAGGAGGGTATTCGTGAGCCTGCACCGGCTGAATACGGTGTTTCTGTCTGGGTCGCAGTTGAGACTTGAGGCAGCGAGAGAACAAAACCCACTCACAGTTGAACTTGCAATGCTCACTACTCTATCCCGTGGCTGTATGCCAGCCGAGCTTCGCCGCGAGGGGGTCGCAAGACTCGTTTTCGATGGGAAGGGAGTCAGGTCGTCTAGCTCTGGTGGGGGCAACATGCAGGAAGGAGGGGGAGTCAGGATGGTTAGTGGCTGGGAGGAGATACCAAGCGTGGTCCTAATGGATCCTCCCGTTACTACAGACTAATTGGCAACATGAATACCCTCCCCCTCTTTTGATGCACGCCACTCCTACTCGGCCAACCAGCTCGCTTGTCGCTGGAGCACACCCATTTGGACCAGAACTTACTCTTGTGTACCGGCTAAAACCGGGGATCCACGGTGGTCATTATGTCTTGGCGGCGCGACATGGCGACCGGGGCTCCATGAGAGAAGCAACCTCGGATCTCTGGTGGAGCAACCAGTCCGGATACTGTGGATCCAAGTGATATGCATCTAATCTCTCTGAAATTCGTGGCTCACTTTTAGTGCGGACGACAACGAGGAGTTCATAAACATCCCACAGGACGGTGAGATAACCTTGTTGTCTCCCCACAACCAGTAGGTCTGGGCCAACTCCTCTGGGCGATATTTGAGTGGGGCTTGCTGCGGTAGGTGTTTGCGGGAGCTGACCTCGCCGTTCTCCGATAATGGCCCAATACTCAGCTCCTTCCCGACGACCATATCGCCCCCGTTTGACTTTGCTGTAATTAATTTTACTTCTCATATCAACCCAAATCGGGGAGGAGTGGATACATGCCGCTCGACCCGAACAACGACCCTTGCTGTACTAGTACAAGTATCAGTTCTGGTTTACCTACTGAGGAAAAGGCAACCCACAGACGACTCTAATTTCCTCGTGATCGACGATATGATCGACGTTGACATGGTAGTTGGCGTCCTGTCACGAACAGCCTTCAGTATGCTACTCGTTGTCTGCCCAGCTCGGAATTCGATCTGACTTGTTGTTACAAAGGTCCTTTCTTCACTAGCTTTGTCCCCTTATTTTACCTTGCCCAAGGGCACTCCGTCAAGAGCTCTAGCGTCTGGCATTCTTTTCTCTACTGGGCCGCTATCTTTGCTTTCTGTGTGCTTCTTATTTGAAAGAAAGCGCCCGATTTTGCTAACCGTGGTGTGTCCCAGGGTCGTTGAAATGGCTCTCAAAAGTATACCGGAATGGGATTAGCTCGCTACCGCTCTTGCGGAAGCCTCTGGATTGGAGTGAACAGGCCGTTCTCATCACCGGTGGTACGATCTCTCCCCGCATTGCCATTGAGAATTACCACAAGCCGTCACCTCTTTCACTTTCCGTTTCACAGGTTCCTCTGGTGTCGGAGAGTTGCTTGCTAACACTCTGGCCTTCCGTCATGTCACTGTGGTCGTGTTAGACATCAAACCTATAGTGACAGACAACAGTACGCTCTGTTTCGGCTTCTATAACTCATATACCTGAAAATAAAATTAGGTAGCATCACCTTCTACAAGTGCGACGTCTCTAAATGGGATGAAGTGGAAGCCGTTTCAAAGAAAGTCATCGAAGAAGTGCGTCTTCCTAAAACAAGAATGCGTCTGAGGTTGCTCAGATGTCCCCCCAGGTCGGGCATCCCACCATACTTATCAATAATGCGGGTGTTGTGCAGGGAAAGCTCATCCTTGACCTCAGACCTCAAGATATCATGCAGTACGGTTTCTCCTCGCTATGCAAAACGCAGGTTGCGCAACCACCTTGATGCCACAGGACCTTTGGTGTGAATACTATGGCACATTTCTGGACCCTTAAAGCGTTCCTGCCAAAGATGATTGAGCGAAAGAGCGGCCACATTGTACGTTCCTATTAGTTTGTTGTCGTGTGAAATCATACGTACCCCCTACAGGTCACCGTTGCCTCCGTGATGGGTCTCGTCGGGAGCGCTCAGATGAGTGAGTACCATATCTAAAATCATGTGTGAGCTTCTTTTCGACATTCATCTAGCCGACTATAGCGCTTCCAAAGCGGCAATAACTAACATGCACGAGTCCTTGCGGTATGAACTCGATAACCGCTACGGCGTTCCCCAAATCCGCACGACGATTCTCTGCCCTGGCCACATCCATACCCCACTCTTCTCGACCATGTCCGTTCCTCAGAATTTCTTCTACCGGTTTTTCGTCCCTTCGCTGTCCCCGCTAACGGTTGTCAAGGCGATCATCCAGGCCCTCGATGCGCAGGAAAGCAGGACGATTTACTTACCTTTCTACACGAACTCGGCAGTTTTGATGAAAACGTTCCCGAGCTTTGTAAGGGATTTGGCTCAGAAGGTTTGTCTGTCTCCCTTCATGTCCTGTATTTCATCGCGGCCGCTCTTTGAGTGGGACGGTCGACAGATACTGACTTTTGGCACTAGTTGACTTATGCCGACTTCATGATGCAAGGTTTCCGTAAAGTTACGGCTATCAGGCAGGATGAAGTGGAGTCTGTCGCGCAGGCCGCAGCGCAGAAGAAGTGGAACTAAGGAAAGCTTGGCATGTGGTGCTAGGACTTGACGCTACTGATCGGCTTTCATTCGGAACCGGAACCTTATTTACCAATACTGCTCAGGCCTATTCGATTGTCATAATTGGGATTATAGGGGGTTGATACCGCAGCACGGGAAATGGAAACCGCCTGAGCCGGGCTTCTGTACCTGTCCGAGGTCTCGGGTCTTCCAGTCGCACAACCTCAACAGTAATCCAACTCGTGACTCGATTCTCGTGGTTCTTCACGAAGGCCCACACAGGGAGATAAGACTTGTCGTTTACATCCTTTCATGTCCCCTAAGAACTCCCACCTTGCATCCTTATGTCCAAATTCTATAGGCTCCACTGAGAACTCACTTCGGAGATTCTCGGACTCGACGGTACGGGGTGAAAGGCGTTCCAAATCGGACTTATCCCCGTCAAGGCAGTACTATTAGTCGCACCTTCTGACAGGCACGCCCCTATTTGATGGCTGACTATTGGTGGCAAATCTAACGTTGCATGCTATCGTATATGGTCCTGAACAGTACGGTACTCGACCCGATAGGTCAAGGAATCACAAGAACGCTAGCTTCTGATAGCACACATAGCTGAAACATTGATCCAAAACCACACTGGCTAAGAACACAACTGAAGAGCTGACAAATAGGCATGCAGTACATATGTAGCTAAAGCGAAGAGAACGATAAATGACGTGGGACCGCACTACTATGTTGCGCCATGTCAAATGCCAAGAAACTGGAATCGTCGACAAAAACGTGCCGGTGGAATGACTTGCTTGTACAGTATAGAATTTAAATAACTTGGACATGCGTGACAGATGCTGATTGGACGTTAACCGGACGACGAAGTAAGATATGGCTTGAAAGAGTGAGCGATACGTCGAGGGGAGCAATGGTGGTAATCAATACATTGCTACAAGATAACGGTTAGATGGCAATGATCCAAATCATTGCAACAGGTACCGTGTGTGTGGTATCGTGACATAGTGGCCTTCAGGGCTGCAATGATGTCGGTGATGTGAAGTCAATTTACAAGGAAGCGTGGTGAAAGATCCAGAATCGGGAACATTAAGAAGTGGTTGGAAGCCTGGACCCTTCAACATGACTGTAGCAGGTCATGCGCCCGGCTAGCATGTACTTTTGCAACCTGTGGGCGTGGATTCACATCAAACCAATCGACTGGCGCAAAGTGTAAGCAGGACTCTCACCAGCAGATTGGCAGTTTTGTACGTAGAGCTATACATGTGATTGATTCCGTTTTGCTCTAAGACCCGCGAGTACCGGTTGACCAAACCGTGCTTGTCTATACAAAGACAAGGCATCAGGATCAGCTGACAATGTACCTGGCAGCGCGATCACACTGACCCAAACCAAACCGGCGCAGATCGATCTGCAGGCACTTCAGTGTACCGCCTTCAATCCTCTCGTCACTCTCCTCCCAATCACCGCCTGAAGGAAGTGAAGGGCTGTCAGCCAGAGCCTCGAGTTCCCCAGCACAACTTAACATATGCCTTTCGCTTGGAGGGAAATAGTGCGGCAAGAACCTGAAACATCAGGTAGTGAGGGAGGACCCTTCAGAGGTTCGCGTGAAGCTGAAGAAGGGAACAGTCACCGGCTGCCGGATCGTGTTAAAGCACTGTTTCGCGAAAGGTGAGGACGGTTTCGAGGACAAGGGTGCTAGACCTCGCGTCGGTGCCGGATCGACAGGAGAGAAAGATAGAGGTGACGTGACACATTTTGAAGTCCGTTTCAAGGCATGCGACGAGGACTGGATAGTCTGGGAAAGATCGGGATATGAATGAGAGGCTGGCGAAGACAAGAAGGGTTCGTTTCCGATGGGTGAATGCGAGACGTAACCATCGTCAGCTTCGTCACTGGAAGAAGTTGCAGTTGTTTCTGTTGAGTGTGAACCTGCGCGACTGCGCGACGAGAAAGTGTAGATTTGAGCACTTTCGGGCCTTTTCCTTGAAGGCATCTTTACTACTCCGTTGTATGCAGAGAAACCTCGATGCCGTAGGTGAGAGCTCGAGCTCAGGGGTATCAAATCTGAAAAAGCGACCAGTTTTACTATTTTGAGTGCCCAATTGTCCATGTTTTCGTCAGACAGACCAACACACGCAAGGTCTGTGGACAGAATGGACACGTCGGTGGGTGAAGGGGAACGTGATTTTGAGCGCGCCGCTTGAGGGGACGTGGTCTGTTTCTGTTGTTCCACAGCACTGTTTAGCTTCTGGGATGCTGAAAGTGCGTCTACAAACGTATCCACGGATCTTGTTAAGACGGCCCCTGACTCGAGGCTGACCTCGTGGCCCAACTCGTGGGAGAGCATTTCATATGGTGTCGGAGGGGAGGCAAGGGGGGACGCAATGGGTGGAAAGGGCTCTGCATCGGAAGAATACAGGTCGAATCCAGCAGCCCTAAGTAGAGAAAGAACTTGGTGGAGTCTGGATTCTTTTACCTGTGATGTCAACATGAGCATACAGGCGAAGCCAAGATGATTGGGACAACGAACAAAAATGAAATCGCTTCTGTAAGAAGACTGGTAAAGAATGGAGATGCCTGCGGCTGCCAGAGGCGCAGACAACTCGTGGACACGGGCTCCTGAGTTGTCTGAGGGGGAGATGAGGAGGATGTCAGAGAGGGGACTGGTCCAGCAAGCAGCAGGTGGTTACCGAGTTGGTCTGAGTGTGAGTCAATCTGGAGTACATTCCAGTTTTCGCATGTTATCTCGACTCTGTCGCCATCAGACAGAGCACGTTTTCTACTGGAGCCTGAGCCTGAGCGAGACCGGTGTAATTGGCGGTCCTGTCTGGCTATGAGGTCCAGGTCTGCAAGGTTGTGGTGCTCCGCGAAGAGGGTAAGCTCTATTTCGTTGCAGGTGACATTGAAGAAGGTTGTATTGGGTTGCAATATCTGCCTGAGAATAGGGTGAGTCAGTTGTGGTAGACGAGAGCGGGGGATGTGCACGAGAGAGAGGGAGACCGGGAGGAGGGATATCGTGACATTGGACGGTGCGGGGGTTTGTGCCATGAAGTTGGTCGCTGAGAACAGACAACGAAATATATTTATGTTTTTGTACCAGATCTCATTTTCCGAATTCAAATCCGAGATCGGTTTCATTTCCCGGATCACCCTTATCAAGACTCGCCCCTGCTTATGTCATACAAACATGCATTGAATCAGGTGTCCAACAACACACATGTGGTAGCTAGGGATACACCATCTCTCCACAATCTCCACAATTAAAAATAATAAATACCAATCCTTGAAAAATAAAGCGTCATCGCACCGGCCCAGGGTGCCGTGTACGGCGTGGGTGTTGCCCACCCATCGAATTCTTCTTCGTCGTGGCAGTCGACGTCACAGGGTAGGGCTGAGGGCGCCGTGAACGCGCCGAAGGACGACGACGTAACTGATATCGGTTAGCAGACGGTGCCTCGCTGCCGGTAATCACTACAGGTCTCATTCGGCGCCGGCTCGGCGTAGTGGTTGGCTGGCCTTCCACGGCCAGATCCTCTGGTATACAAAGGGAGGGATGTGGTAAAACGGGCTGTGTCCGTGTCAAAGAAACAGACGACACTGATGGTGGTATAGACTGCGGACAGGGAGCGGCATCTGGCTGGGAGTCTTCTGCTTGTGAAGCCGTTACGATCTCAACGTCATTTGTAACGAACTTCATCGGAGTCGGTGTTCGTACTAACTTCAATCCTTGTGAGGCTTCTTGAGAAAGAGGAGTAAGAGGAGAAGTAGGGGAACTCATTCCAGGAGGTGTGACGGGTAGACTCGGTAGAGCATATACCTGCGTAATTGGGCAGGTCGGCGAGCGCGTCCTTCTGAACGATGTCTGCTCAAAGACCTGCGCATACTGCAGCGATTCTTTGTCGAGAGGCTCGGTAGCCTTGCGTTCAAGCCTTTGCGAGTGCGGCTTGGCAAACTGAGACGATATCCCCTGATCTTGGCTGCCCCCCTGATCCCACTGGGTCAGATATTGTTTCTTCGGCAATGGCTCAGGCTGTACTTGACGCGGTATTCGCGGCACGGGGATGATCGGTGGGAGCTTACTCTCATAGGCAAAGTCCCGCACTTTGATGCCAAGCGACGCCAGATATTCGGGCGAAGGTTGCTGCGACACCCGTGTTTGCCTTGGCATTCGAAGGTGCCTGAGAATTCTCCTCCATGGCCACCAGTACTTCATCATCATCATCATCTGCACGTATCTTCGAAAAACAGTGGCACAGGAGGGAGTACCCTTGAGGCTCCGCAACGCTTTGAATCAGACGCATATCGTCACTCACATGAGACACCATGTTGAGTGGTTGAGAGATATCGTTGTCATCACACTCATCCGATCGCATGCCTTTGCCTTTGTGTACTGTCTGCTGCATTCTAAACTCCCGATCAACAGCGTCCCCTCTCATCGCGATCAACGTTGCAGAGCTCATGTCGACAAGAACGTTTACGGTCGTAATCAGCAGCAAAATTCGTAGCACAAGAATGGAGGAGTAGTTTCAGATGCCAATGCTGGCCATTCAGGTCGTGGCTGAGGTCGTAGTGGTGGTCGAAGGAAGTGGTCACCGTGCAAGAGGAGTCGGCGCTGCGGTGCTGGTCGTGAGAGACTTTGTGTGATGGCTGATTCCAAATCGGGACGTGACGTGTGTTGTCACGTGCCTCATGGCTCGACCCACACGACCCTCGACACGGCGGGGCCCATCCTACTGGCATCTCAGCGCACACTCAGCCCTGCGGTTAACGGCCAAAGGCAGTACTTGAACGCTGCCATGTTACGCAGGTTCTGGAAACCTGTCGCTGCAACCGCCTTGTTCATCGGCACTCCAACTTACTTGTACTACCGCTACTACAGCAAACAACGAGCCAACTCCATCGAAATTCCTGTCCGCTTGCGTGGGGAAGACGGGAAACCCATCGTTTCCACCCGTACATTCCCCATGCTCTCCCAGTCCGCCGTTGACGAGCGTCTCTACGAACATGCCAAACAGGAATCCCTGCGGAGAGGCAGGACAAAATGGTCCGTTTGCACGGCCTCAGTTGCAGCGAATGATTCCCATCGAGGATGCACATGCCCACGCTATCGTTGCACGGGATCCAGATGACCCACTGGCCCCTGGCGAGTGGCTGTTCTTTACTGTCATGGATGGGCATGCGGGACCGCACACCTCCCGGTTACTATCAAAGACCCTCATCAACGCCGTCGTTTTGGAGCTTTCCAATCTCATAAATGACACAAAAGGCTATAAATTGTCCTGGAGAGCGACCGTGCAGAGTCCCGATAAAATATCGCTGGCTATACAGAAGGCATTCACCAAGCTCGACGAAGAGTTAATGTCTGCGCCACTCAAGCTTTTGGGTGCTAATTTCGACAAGGAAGCTCTAAAATCAAGGCAAATACCGGATTTGAGTCAACATCCACTTGCATTGCCCGTAATGCTTCCAGCCGTTTCTGGTGAACGTTCCGCCGCATATGCGTACCCCTGATGCTTATATTCGTCTAGGAAGTTGTGCGTTAATGGCTGTCTTTGACACTGCCAAACAAGACTTGTATGTTGCTTGTTCTGGGGACAGCCGTGCAGTCGCCGGCATCTGGGAAGAAGATGAGAACGGCGACGGCTCATGGAGAGTCGAGGTTCTCAGCGAAGACCAAACAGGACGCAACCCCATGGAACACGAGAGGTACCGTAGACTACGCAACAATCATAATTTCGTGAAACTCTTACAGGATCATATGCAGAATTCAATCTGAGCACCCGCCAGAGGAGGCAGAAGATGTTATTGTCAGGGGCCGTGTTCTCGGCGGCCTCGAACCTACTCGAGCCTTTGGGGATGCTCGGTACAAGTGGCCTCGCGACGTTCAGGACGTGTGAGATGTCACCATTTTTCAGTTGTCAATCATTTTGATCGTTCTGTTCAAGTCTCAACACGGCGTTCCTCGTTGGAAACAACAAACCCCTCCGTCCACCCCCTTCGACATTCAAAACGCCGCCTTACGTGACTGCGACTCCAGTCGTCACCCACCGTGCACTCCCCTTCACCGAGTTGACCAATGGCTTCGCGCCGCCAAAATCCTCGACTCCTCGTTTCATCGTCCTTGCAACGGATGGGTTATGGGATAAGCTAACCTCAGAAGAGGTCGTTGCCCTTGTTGGAGGCGCCCTTCAAGGTTTGACTGGAACTGTTTCAAAGTCCGAGCTCCACACACTTGCTCCTACGTCCTCGGGGTTGTTGTCAACTGTTGAGGGTAAGGAAAAGCGGTCCCTCAAGGACGATGACCATCCACACAGCGACTCTTGGTCCTTCGGAGATGACAACCTCGGCGTTCACCTGATTCGGAACGCTTTCGGTGGAGGCGACCAACATGCAATCAGGAGGTTAATGAGCATACCATATCCACATGCACGACGCTATCGGGACGACACAACTGTGACTGTAGTTGTGTGGAAAGACGACGAAGATGGCGCAGAGGAAGTAGCTACAGTTAGCACCAGGCCGGACCAGCAGGTTGAGATCTATAGCAAACCGTCAGGTAGCGCAAACGACGTATCTAATGCCAAATCAAAGCTATAGGTATGGCGCATGGTGTTACCAAAGACAAGCAACATGTCAATACATAATCCAGGTGCATCGTAATATTTCTCGTGCACTTGCACTAGTGTGACACCCGATAAGACTGCGTTCCGCTAAAGCACAACTGGTCGGCGCACATGCAACTACTCCAGCAATATTATTATCTATAATAGGTACTTCTTCTTTCCTGTATACTTTTTGCTGCTTGGAGAAGAGCGTGTTGCTCCCTGCGACACGATTATATGGGTTAGAAGCACTTCCGCAGAACGATGACTTCTCATGACTGTAGCTGTGACGAGGGCTCTGGTAATGCTTATTCCCGTGTTTCGACGACACGGGCGGCAGGGGGGATGATAACGTATGCCTTTTGAACGAACCCGGCGGACTTCGCCGCTCGCCGTCGCCATCTGGCGACTTGCGCTTCTTGTCGTTGGGTGGCAGGTTAGGTGACCCACGTGTAGGTGTGGGATGCCGAAATTGAGGACGAGGAAGGTGTGGCATAGAAACTACTAGGATTGACAGCACTTGAGGGAGGGGTATCAGCCAACGTTGAAGGGGTGGACGCTTCAGACGGGTCTTCGGAGGGTAATGCGGACGTAGGAGGTTGCGTCGCTGTTGGACTGTCGGTGGACATGTCGGAATCGGCTGGTTTTGGGTCTGGGGGGCTGTCCGTGCTGTCATCATCTCCGTACATGACGAGACTCGATAGCGCATTGCTGGTTTTGGTAGCAGCTGTGATCTTTCTTCTTAGGGCCGCAGCCTGAGGGTCGGATCCTGCTTGTGACACTTGTGAGGGTATCGGAGAATGTGTGTTCAGAGTAGGTGAGGGAAGAAGAGGCCCAATGAACGGCTGGTCAACCTTGACACCCACATCTTCTTCGGCTTCTGTGACTTTGCGTTTCTTCATGCTCGCTGCGACGCTCGGTCTGGCACTCGACGTTGCACTCGCTGTTGGCCTGGTACTGTTAACGGCAGCATCGAGTGACTGACCCTTGTCCCTGATATAGAACAGGATATATGCGCTCTTCAAGCCCACCGGTGGCCGAAATTCTCGTAACACCATGTCGTCGTTCATTTGGAACCACTGCCCATTTGCTCCCTTCACGTGGGCAAAATAGTGCCCCGAGTTCGGCCCACCGCCTGCATGTGAAGATAATACCGTAAAGCGAGTATCGCGGACCATACTGTCCCTCGCTCATGGCGGGCTGAAGGGATAGACGTTCGTCGTAGTGCACAAAGTGGCCGATCTTGCGACCCAGCGGAGAAAACCTCTTAAGGTGCACTGTCAACACCGCAGGGGCTTCATGGATCGTAAACCGCTTCTCCGCAACTACTGGCTTCTACACCTATCCAACAAGTCAGGGGGAAAAGTGACACACAATCGGGAAACCCACTTCTCGCACATATACTTGTCAGCACCCCTCAAACAGTCCACGGCAACAAACTTCTTGAATGCCTCCTTCAGCGTACTTGACCCGTAGATGTCCAAGCTGACGTCCAACATGCTGTCAAAAGTATCACTGTGGTGATTACACTCCCGACATGTTACTCGAGAACGCAAGCGACCGCCAAAAATCTTGTGCACCCACGTCGTCTCCGCTAGTTTGGGATCAAGTTTCCTGATGTCCCTGGTTAAGGCGTAATCATGAATCAGGAATTCAATACATTACTGGGGATACCCAGCCAGACACGACTTCTGCAGAGCGTCTATGGCATACCGAAGAAATTCGTGCGCATCCTCCTGTCTACCTTTACGCATGTGCTTCGCGATCACTGTCGATGCCATAGGTAACAATGGTCCACAGGACCTGTGATGGAGCAAGGCATAAAATACTCACATTGCAGCTTAGACGTGATGGGGAAGGGGGTGAACGGGCGTGACTTTTGGTGCGAATCCATCATCACCTGCCTTAAACTGCAGCTCATACAAAATCCATTGTTCTTCACTCGGCCTGTAGAATATTTACTGTGAGATGCACGAGACGTATACGAGAAACCTTACAAGGATCAGAATGAGAATGCGCGTGCAGAACGCGCAGAAGAGGCGGGGTATGCAATAGGCATTGCAGAGCACTATTGAGGAAGCACGTGTTGCCTATGTTGTGGAGGCCACTGCCCGAGGTGCAACCTGCAGGCCACGAAAGGTCTATTGTACCAGTGTGCAACTGCCGTTTCGGAGTCGACTGAGGCTGACTGTGACACCTTCTGAGGGGTAGCATACGATACAGAGGGAGCCTTCGGTAATTCTTGATGCTGCATTCCGTCAGATTAGATAGGTGACAAAGTCCTGACCATACTCACCTTGGTTGCTTTAGGCGTGCTGTTGATCGGGTTCATATTTGTCTTCAGCAACAGCGAGAGCGCCTGTAGACGACCCCTCGATAAACTCTATCGGAGGTGGTAGCAAGCTATTGAACGCTTCGATATCTTTGGCGGGACGAAGCTGAGAGTGGTCGTCTGACGCGAGCTGGGAGAACGGAGTGGGACACAAGGGCGAGGCGAGCATGCTACCTCTTTTCAAATACACGCTACTTTGGACTGGAAAACTTTTTCCAGTCGGACCAGCGCCGCAAAGGAGGCAGCGAAGACGGGCGAATACCGGCTGCAGTGTCGATAAGCGCTTGGAGACTCGAGAGATGGCTGGGATTATAATATGTGAACCCTCAAAAGATTTACTAAGCACTCTTCAGCTTGAAATTCACTACACAGGTTCGATACAAGATTAGTAACGCACCACATATACTGGGTATACAAATGAGTAGGGTAAACAAACTAGCAGTTCGTAGGTCATCGATGCATCGTCCGTCCGCATCGCAAAAATAATCGTAAAAGATCAAAGTATTAACTACAGACATAAAAAGAAAGTGTCAAAGTCGTCATTAGTTGTGACGCTGGGGGCAAAATGTAAAGGAGTATCCCCAGATCAACGCGTGCCGAATGAGAGCAAGCCACCTGCTGGGTGACTTGACGGGAAGCCAGAGAAATCCAACAAGTCCAACGATGAGCAACTCGATAGCGGAGAGGACGTTTGGGACCGCGAGAATGTGCTATCCTGGTCTGAAAGTGTTTCGAGAGATGGAATGTCTAAGGGAAACGAGAAAAGCGAGTAATCAACCGACCAGAAATTATCTGAGTATCCATGTTTCCGAGAAATATCTCCTAGGAGGTCATCGTTGGGCTGCACACCGACCAGGGAAGCATGTTGGTTCAACGGCGGGTATCGCATCAACGGTGGTACGCTGTAGCCTGGGGAAGAGTAACTTGAATACAGATCGTTGCCCTGGCTACTCAATAAAACCTCAGGAGACCTCTGCAGTGGAGAATATCCGGAAAACTGGTTATCGGGGCCTAAAAGGTGGTCAGCCACACGTACCAATGGAATGTAGCATGCCAGACACTCACTAACGATGGATACGGATGATTGACTTTCCGATTGACTCGCAGTGTGAGGGGCTAGGGAGTGGAGGTGCATGGTGTCCAGCTGTGTAACCGCTCCCGAGGCAATAGCGCTCAAATCCACTTTACACGGGTCTACGCCGTGCTTGCGTAGATGGGTTGCGAATGCGGAACGGCGCTTGATTCTGCATAGAAAACTGGGTGAGAGGCAACTTTGACAAAATCCTGCCTGGGTATTTATACCTCGTTCCACAATCAACAAGGGGGCATTTGTAGGCTCCCTCAGCCCTGTGCGTCTCTTTCCGATGGCGGGAACACGACGACGGGTCGCCAAATGCCTTCCTGCAGGTCCCAATCCCGCACACATACGGTTTTGCCTTCGTACTAGCAAACCGTCTGAGTCAAAATCTCCATAATCATAAGAGCCTCATACTGAATATTCAGGTGCGTCTTGAGACCGGAGAACTGTGCGAAACCCTTGCCGCAAGTCGGGCAGATATGAGGCCTAAATAATAATCATTATGCAGACATGCTAAGGGTGCTCAGCTACTTACTTGATTCCCGTATGTAGAAGCTGATGACGAGTCAAGTCACCCTTCCGAGAAAAAGCCTTTGCGCAGGACATGCAGTTCCACTGCCGGCCATGAGGGTATGATTGACGCAATCGACGGTCAGAGGAAGCCCGGGAACTTACGAGCGTCATGATAAAACAACACGTGTAAAGAAAGAAAATTATTGAACGCTTAACGACGATGTCCAGCAACGTCTATTAGTGGAGAGAACGGGAAATTATGAAAGAAGGGGTGAAGGGGGAGGGGGGAAGCGCTGGTACACTCTGCTTTAAATTGGCGCCATTAAAAAGCGCGGGGGGTCACTCACTCGGAGCACGTCGCTGTCATCATACGCGCTGCGAGTTTCCTTTTATAGCGTACTCGCGGACGAAGTACCATTGTTCCGAGGAAGGAAGAGGCCCGAAGGCCAACAGCTGAACATATAACTGATACCGGTCGCACCTTCAAATTGAAAAGTCAGGTTATGAAAATATCAAGAACAAAAAGCTACGAGGACACCGCGGAAGAAGACAATAGACAGGCAATAGCAAACGGAAATTGTCAGTATTTCTGCAATCTCCGCGATTGACATATCGAATGTCTCACCTCGATCACACTTATGATGCTTTGACGCTAGCCAGGGGGATAGCCGTGCGTGAGAATAAATAAATGGATTTATTATGAGGCCGTCACTTGGTAGTGATGGCCATCGCTTCAATGTAATCACAGTTCTTGAGTATTCTTCGGAATGGAAAAAATCATGTGCAATGCTAGAGTTGCGATCCAAACTCGTACTCGGATATCACCGTCGAACTATACTGACCATGACAGAGAATGCATGAACTGTCATTGACAGCCCCAAACGAGGAGTGCATGTGCCTGAGTATCTCCGTCATCTCGCAGCTTTGGTACCCATCGGAGGTGTCTGAGGAGGAAGACGTCAAGGTCTGACGCTTTAAAAAATTGACTCACATTTGAGGTAATAGCCACTGTTGCACGAGTATGCATACCAGCACACGGAGCGGTGTTTGCACTCATAGTATCCTATAGTACCCACGTCCTACAGAGTCACGGATGTCAAAAAGGCCACCTTCCGACCGTAGTCGGAATTTGGGTGACAACCCAGGAAATTTTGGGGTGGACGTCCAGTACTTCAGTGGTCAACACTCAACCGATGAAGCTGTGCAGAACAAAGCAAGTCGACAGCAGTCGACTACCCTAACCGTTATAATCAGATAAATGCTGTCAGGCGTCCGGGCGCCAAGCAGAGTGCAGGTTGCGACATTAATTCGAAGCTCTTGTGTTGTAATGCACGTCGAAATAAATCCATATCATCGATGTGCGTTGAGCCGAGGGAAGTCGTTTTGTAAGTCTTGCCCAATAAAAATTGCAGTTGTTCTGGGTCTGTCATCCGGTGTAGCTGCTTGTCCCTTTTTACAGGGATGGTGCAGTCCAGATGGATGTGCAGTAATCTAGGATTTCAGCGATCCAACGAAGACTTTCCCCTCCACCCGACGATTTCACGAACGGACATCGTCTCAGTCATATCCGGAGCAAATGCCAGGAACCTACCAACTGATCATTACTGGTAAGATTTGATCGGTCGCAAGCGAGCGGCAGGAGACTACCTACACTAACAATGATGATTAGTGGGAGACCGCGCTACTGCCTAGCTCACAAGCCCAAGCGCATGAAGACGGGCCAGAGAAATTTCTAGGTCTCCCATTTGGTGTGATAATGGTGCTGACATCGAGCAAATATGGTGGAAATATTCGCACTGAGATATCCATGAGAAGGCCATGGTATCCAGCGATCGCCACCGGGAGTCCAACGGAAGACTTCAAAGTCAAATGTGTTACATGGGGTCGACTACGCCCTCTGAACGACACGGATGTTATACTCTCTCTTGAAGTTTTCAAATTCTTGTTCCTTCGCCTTGATCTGGTCAGTGAGCGTGGAGACGACTTTCTTAATCTGCGGCACCGTGAGGTTCCTGGGTATATTCTTAGGTACATCAATTTTGCCTACCCCATCCCTGTTCGTTCGCAGCGCAGGAACGACCTCCTTAACGGTTCGTTCAACCAGAACACCGCCGATCAAGCGGAAGCATTTGCGATTTGGCTCCTTCTTCAGCGCTTCATCGAGGGTCGCAAGCACCAAACTTGGTCTGCTCTGAATGGCCCGAAATCGAAAAATGGGGAACGACATACGTGTGCTCCTCTGCCTCTTGTTCTAATTCACCGATCTTTCCTGCAATACTCTGCAGTTCATTTTGGAAGCGCGAATAAGTCTGCTGTATGTCTGAGATATCATCATGACGCATTCAGAAAGACCGTCATTGTCCTGCATACCCTGATCTGAAAGTTGCGGTGCTTTGGCTTTCGCCTTCGCCTTTGGTGTGGACATCGTCGGAGCACTTAGTGACGTTGGTGAGGAGATGAAATTTATGCAACGTGATTGGCTGGGGTGTCGAGATTTGTCAGCAGGTAGTTTCCAGTTAACGTTCAAGGCCACTCTGAAATACGGTGACCAACATGTCTCTAGCTCGCCAGCTGGGCGTCGGGCTTTCTTCTCGACTGCTAGGCGCACAACGCTCAACTACCCTCTGTCTGTCTCCCATTTCGTTTCGCAGTATCTCTTCGTCGCGTTGCTCGCATGCGGAACACCTGGAAAGACCCAACCGTTTAGACGGACCTCAAAATATCAGGTCTCCACCATTGGGCACTGGGACACTGACAGCTAAGGACGAGCCGGGAAAGGATATTGACCCCTACAAGGATGGACCAAGCGCTATCGACAAAGCGGTCCACCTGTTTTTCTTTACCGAAATCGTCCGAGGTAGGTGGACGAGGCACTTATCCGTCTCCATAGCGTGTCCGACATCCGTTATAGGCATGTGGATTGTCTTGGAGAACTTCTTCAGACAACCATACACTATCATGTATCCCTATGAGAAGGGTCCGCTGTCCCCCCGTTTCCGTGGAGAGCACGCTCTGCGGCGATACCCGAGCGGCGAGGAACGGTGTATAGGTATGCCCTTTGTAAATTCAGAGTGTGACATGCCCATTACGTTCCCTTTAGCTTGCAAACTCTGCGAAGCCATTTGTCCGGCGCAAGCTATCACTATCGAGAGTGAAGCTCGTCTTGATGGATCAAGAAGAACTACCAAATACGGTACGTATATCTCAAGACCCCTAACGACTCGACCACCATTAATCTGTGTGTACACAGATATTGACATGACGAAGTGCATTTACTGTGGTTTCTGCCAGGAGGCCTGTCCAGTTGATGCTATTGTCGAGAGTAAGTTCCTTCCATTGTCTTTCGGGGCAAATCCAACCTTGCGTGTAGCTCAAAACCAGGAGTTCTCTACGGAAACGCGTGAAGAACTTCTGTACAACAAGGAGAAGCTTCTCGCCAATGGTGACAGGGCTGAGGCAGAGATCGCTGCTAACCTGCATTGTATGTGCCTATTGAATTTCCTTGGATTGTACTGACGCCAGGGCAGCTGACCATGTGTACCGGTGAGGGGCCTAGAAGAGGGTTCTAACATTCCCCTTGTTCGTGTATTTATCAAATCACTATGGCATTGCAAATACACGATTGAATCTATCCTTTCTTGTGGCGGAACGCCTACTTTCAAATCCAACTGCTCGGGTCTTGGTAGGTGGCGTAACCATCCTGTTGGTTCTGAAGGTCTTGTTTGAGTTTGAGGGTATTGAACAGCTGGAGGTTCAATGGCATATGCACGTCTCCAGTTTGCACACTTCTTTTCCTTGGAAGCACACTTAATACGCTTCACGTTTAGGATGGGGCCTGTCTGGTTCGTTGGCCCGTGCAGTTACCTTTTCCTGTGGATGGGAGCATCACTTCATTTAATCAACATTACTCTGGCTTCGGTTCATCCCGACGGTCGGCAATCTCTGCCGCTCTAGTTTCGTTTACTACAAGGCAACCATCTTGCGCCTACTTCCCACGTTTCGGAGGTTGGTTTCGATTCTTGGTTGACAATAGTAGATCTCATCTTGTAATCACGCCAGTCGGCTGACTTCGCCGACCTGCGGAATCCCTATGTTGGTCTTAGATATACACTTCCGGTTGGAAGACACAGCTTCTCAAAGTCGCAAGATCAAAGATACCGTTCGAATGGAATGGGAGCCGTTGCCACTCACGAACCGCGTGTTAGGTAGCTCCATTCAGCTCGTTGCTGAAACTCAACGTGCTACCCTCGTCTGCCTTCCACCACGTACGACGTACGCCGATTAGAGGTACGCCCATTAAGACGGTGACAAGTGTTACTTCACCTGTCCTACAAAGTGATGGTATCCTGTGCCCCCCCTTCTATACAGCCACCTGTCACTCACAGTCATACTGACTTAGATCTCTAATGGTGATCTCTCCGTGGAACTTTTAGAGGGCGCTGTGCAGAAATATTTGATGTGCTGTCGGTCCACTTCCAAAATCAAATAGTACGGAGGGCGGTTGCCGCTGCCATAGCCAACCGCATGCGCTCCAGTTTGTGTCGTCTGTTTGCCGTGATTTGTAAAATCATTGATCGCGCATACTTTTCGCTACCAACTATCGCGTTCTTCAGGACTCCGATCCTAGTAAGCAAATTCACATGGATCTGACCAAGGCATTACTCACGCAAACCGTTTACTTATTCAGCGCGCCACAACCAACAAGTGGTGGCGGGATCGGGCTGTGCTGAAAGCCAGAGTTTTGAGCTTCAGGCTGGGTCGGATCTCCTATCACCGAGATGCGCCCCAGGAAATCCAAACAAGGGGTTAGTGTCGGGACCTGCGCAGCTTATTGTCTACAGCAGACAAACCCGGCATTGCCTTGTGATAAAGTCTGATCAGCTCGAAGATGGTGATGCGGGTGTCACCCCCACCGACGTCATCCGCAATTACGCTCAGGTTCGATGTCAGCTCGCTCGCGCCCGTCCCTATCACTGGCGTCTGACACTCGAGAAGGCAAAAATGAATGGTACACCGTAAAATGCCGTAATTTTATCTGCAATAGTGCGTTGTCTGAGGTACGCAAACATGGACGGCATCGGGGACTGGTGATCACTGCATTAAGCCGCTGAGCTCAGGGGGTCCCATGACCGCGCCATGACCGCCGAACATGTTTGACGGGAAAACCCGGAACACGATATGACTGTTTTTTTTTGATTTCCTTCCGTTTACTTCTCCCCATTGTTCCCTCTTTCCGTATTCTGTTTTGCAGGAATCATCATCTTCACGCTTCGGGTCGTCAAGTGGCCCGAGGTAGCCTGGTATGGAGTGTTCGGCGGAACTAAGAATAGATGACTGGGGATTGGGCAGCACGATGGATCTACATTAGTATTGACGTCGACAGTCCATATTCATCATACCCGAGTCAGTGCCCCTCTACAATATGAAAGTGTCCGAATCGGCAGAAACCGCAGTCCTCTGAAGACTGACCGCAAAAGCAGAACGCGGAAATTTGGCGGAAATACATTGAGTGTATACATATGCAGAACTTGTGGAGCGGCGGGGACATCGAGAAGGACTCAGACATGCTCAAAGACCACATCGGTACAAGATAATCTAAAATGGATACCTTTGCCACGGCATGCGGTCCCAATTCCGCTGGCCGAACCTAGCTTGCCAATGGACTCGCTTGCTAGTCAGACCGATCCTCCTCTGGTTCATCATGCCCACCATACGCCTGGGAAGAACCTTCCTGGTGAAGTCTTTTTGATGAACCTCTATCCCCCGTCCGATGGGAAGCGGGATTGTATCTCGAAGAGGGTGCTTCGCAGCCACCTCCTGAGCTATTGTTCCCAGTGGGAGAGTCAACACCGACGTCATCCTCTCCATCTACGTCCATATCATTACGAGATCGTTTTCTCGACATGTCTATACCCAGACGGTGTGTTTGTGGCGGTTGGCGCTGTTCTGATAGCAGCTGATACATGCTACTGCCGATTCGGTCACGCTCACGGGAGGGAGCCGCCGGCCTTCCATCTTCATGTCCATATTCCGTCTCCTCGCTTGTCACTTGAGGATTGTTTATGGACCGGGGTGCATAGGGTCTTGCCTGTTCCCGATCATAATAGTGGGCATGGTAGTCCAAACGCGAGTGCCCCTCTCCGGCGCTGGCGCTATTGCCGTTTCCCGAAGCAGAAGCTGACTCGGGTGTATCGGCCCGCGACGTCCGGCCGTACATACCCGGTCCAATTGGTTCGCGTGACGAGGCGTAGTACTGCTCTTCGCGCGAATGTCTATACGACGAGGACGGTGGTGGGTCCTGCAGTCTCGATCGCGAGTGTGACGGCGGAGGCGGCGACGCGTGCGTGTTTCCGTATTCCCGTGCTGCCGTCTCACGATCATAGTCGTGTTCGCGCTGACGCGACCATGGACGGTCACGCTCACGGTCCAATTGGCGCTCGTTCTCATATTCAATATGATTAATGTTTGATCCGGCACCCAAACGCTGGTGGTGATGAGCCCGCGCCGATGAAGATCCACGCGTGTTGACCGGTGAGAGTAAGGTCGAGTGAGGCGACGGATGTGTCATATGCGGCCGTTGATGAGGGTGAGGGTCGTGATTTCCACGTTCATGACTATCGTGTTGTCTTGGCCTGTCCCGCTCGTGGCCCATCGGAGGGCTGTGTTGTCCCTGTTGTCCGGGGGGCACGGATTCGAAGGGGTACTGCTGGGGATGCGATATGCCCCCGGTATGATAACCATGTGGGGATGGAAGTGGTCCCCGTAGTCGGGAAGATGACGAATGTGATCGTGAGCGTGCGTCCGAGTTAACGTTGTGGGGAAGGAGGTGTGGACTCTGAGCCTGAGAGTGTGCCGGCGGCCGCTGATGCTCGAGATGAGATTGGACAGGGGTGAGCTGGGAGAGAGGTGGAAGTTGACGGGAGTCCTGTCCAGAAGAAGAGCTGCGACGAGACATGTGCACCGCAGGCATGGAAGGAGGGACGCCGGGACCAATGGGACTATCCGAGACCTGAACTAGACGACTGTCTGGGCCAGAGATGACGCGAACGTTTCCAGAAGTGTGAATGTAGTCCGGCGTGTTATGGTCATTGACGTCTATGCCACGCGAGTGATCGCGATGCTGCATCGAAGCAGATATGGGTTGGGATGGCTGAGGAGGAACACCTGGCCCGGGGTGCATGGGAGGAAGGGCATGGTGACCGTGAAGGTCTGGGGAAGGAGGCACGGTGGACAGACGCTCGTACAGGACACTACAAACTCGGGTTGAAGAAGGGAAAGATCGGATGGCTGAATCTACTTACGCACGCTCCAATTTCATCCGCTGTATGGACTTCTTGGCCGTGAGCACCTTGAAGCGGAGCTTGTCATTGTCCTGAGGGACGGGAATACGATTAGAGAGGAGGGGACGGGGGTGAAAGGACGGGGTTGGCTCACCAACTCGATTTCCTTTACTTTTCGCTTCAGCTCCTTGTACTTTGCCTGATATTTTTCGTCTTCCACGCCGGCGGCAATACCAGCAGTGTAAGCCTTGTTTTTTTGCCGTGCAGAGGGGGTATTTGAGGCAGACTGGGTGAACATGGGGTTGTTTGAAGGACCAGGGGAGTGGACAGACGACATGGGAAGGCGGTGCTTGGCCGAGAAGGAACGCAAGAAGCTGAGTTGGCCGTGTTGGCAGGGCAGAATACTATTTTTATTATTAAACTCACAGATCGAAATGTGCGATTCGGTTGGCGTTCGACGTTCAACTACGAATCAGGGGACAGCAAGATGTCCGAACAATCACGACACACAGACTCAAGGTCAAAGATGCGCTCGTCTACCTGTCTAAGGCTTACGTTGTGAATTTACATTGTTATGGAACGAGGTTACACCAAGAAGGACAAGATTCAGGTCCTAGTGGAAAGTTGAAACGCAATGTGATAGTACGGTTTCTGCAATTGTGGCTTGACAGCTGCATGTGTGTCACTGCGTCGCCAAGGGCGCAAGTGGGGCGGCCGCACATGAGCGACCCATCCCACGGCTGCCCGACGCCGACTGACGACGTCCGGAGAGCTTCATGCGAATACTAGTACTAGTAATACTTGTACGGGGAGCCACGTGGCTTTAGGGCAAGTTTTGAAACGGACGTGTGTCATCGCTTCACAGTTTATCCAGTTACCCTCACCACACAGACACTCTCTTTTATCTTTGGAGACGACCAGTGAGTGCTGCCATCGGGTCTTGGTATGGTGAGTGACTGATGTGTGTGCAGTGTCCATACAGTACCGACAGTATGTACATGACCAAGTCTGGATTCTCTGAGGGGAGCCTGATGATTTTGGGGGCAGGGACATGCCTCCACCGGGGGGATTTGAGGCCATCAAATACAAGCGCAATCTTCCCTTTCGTGGACCAAGTGGATTGGTCATTCTTGGAGCGGTCACGACCGTGTGTGCGTATGGGTTCTATCGTGTTGGGAAGGGAAACTTGGAACGAAGGTAAGTTTGTTCTTGTGGGCAAACAAAGAGGCACGGATATATTTGGAATGGGGCGGTTCATCTGAGCTGGATGTTAAACGTGGCCCCATGTGGGTGCGCCCATCGAGAAACGTGTCTCCGAAAGAGAGGATCCGGCCGCCAGAGGCGTTATCAGCGAGCAGCTGCGCTTTAGCCGGGCCGCAGTAAAGTACAAGAATGGGTGATGCCAGATTTGGAGATGGAGATGGGAGCTGATGAGTATGGTGACACTGATGATATTTCTTGTTGTTGTTTTTCCGTTACAGGGAACTGCAAAGGGAGAAAGTTTGGTCCCGGATCCATCTTGTACCGTTGCTTCTGGCGGAAGGAGATCGGGATGCATACCGAAGACAACAAGCGGCGCTGGAGCGCGAAAAGGAGATCATGAAAGATGTGAAGGGATGGGAGGTGTGTAATCTACGTGAACCCCTGACTGATCGGCGTATCGCTGACATGATTTTTGATGTTTGGCGGGACTGGACGGCATGCAGGTTGGGAAGAGTGTTTACAATGGGAGACAGTATCGTTCGGTAGACTCTATCGTGCTCGTATGAGAGTAGATGTGAAATTCTATGATATTTTGGATGGTCACCGGGTGGATACACAGCCCAGCTGGCAGACGAGAGGGGTTAGATGCCCTTCGGAAGTGGCGGGGTGGCGACACAGAGACCCACATCGCTGGAACCCAGGAGGATGTCCAAAATAGGCAGGGGGACGAGCTTCTCCTCCCGAATCAAACGAGTCGAGTCAGCTTGGCAGACGAACCAATCGTCGTCGTCATTATAAGGACCCTGGCCATGTCTTGGATCATGTACAGGATTCAATGGACGATAGCTGCTCCTTGCCGAGCCCCTTTGTTTAGCTGTTATAAACGCCACTCGGTCATCATCCATCCCCCCGCCGTCGCTGTCACCCCGGCTCCGTTCACTATTAAAGCACCTGCCCCTTCCCCGCCTCCCCTCTCCTGCCCCGTTAATATTGCCATGCCCATCCCTGACTTCCGCGTCTCTCATCCAGACAAACTTGGATATCCAGACTACGACCACTGCGACCAGATGATCTTTGGCCCTCTCGACATCGACGTCTCCCACTCGTCCCTCCACGCTCCATGGGACTCCTCTCGCGACTACGCATTCGCCCAGCCCGTGTCCCCAATCTTATCTGACCAGGCAATGTCCCCGCGCCGCCCCTCTGACTTTGACGTCCCAGACACGTCCCCTGCAAGTCCCCTCTACGACAACCCGTCGTTTGCAACCGTCGACGACCTCAATCCTCTCCTCGATATCGAGGACAACAACAACTTATCTCAGTGGCTCAACGACTCCTATGCATTCGATCCGTCCTCTTCCTCTCCCATCCCAATACGGTCTAGCCACTCCGCCCCGCAGTCCAATCCCACCCTCTGCATGTCCTACTTGACGCAGAGTTCCTCTTTCTCTCCATCGGACATCGCAGCCTTACATTCCTTCCCTCGGTCTCTATCTCCGACAGATGGCTCCGACGGTTATCTAAGTTCCCCATCTCTCCCCCTCGCTTCAATATCACCTGCCGACACGTCCATGAGACCACCGTCGTGGGCATCTCAGCTATGGGATCCATCTCTCTATCCCCCGTCCAACCCCTCCTCAGGACGGTCTTCGGCTCCACATCCCCCCCTATCTGAGATCCCTTACACAGCCAAGAAGCAACGTTTCCAACCGAGAAGGGAAACGAATCCCTCCAGTCTCATGCTCCAGCCGTCTAGTGCTCCATCTCCTTTGCAGTCAAACATGCCAACTTTGACTCGCGGCTACAGCCGCCGTGCGGAGTCCGTTAGTGTCACCGATGATCCTGATGCGACCATTCGCCGCAAGAAGAAGTCCCCGCCCGTTCAGGATGAGCATTCCAAGGACATGAAATCGGCGGAAATTCGTGAGTCCAGCACAGCAATGTGTGTGTGTGTGTTCAGTCGTCATGCTGACTCGAAATGTCTATCTCCGATTTAGCTCCTGTGAAGTCACTCCTAAAGCTGCCAAAGTTGGCCCCTTCGGCATGGCAACTCTATTTCACAGACTGGATCCAACGCCACCAGGCAACGAGCACTAGGAAACTGAACGTCGCTCAAGCTGCCAAAGAAGCAGGTCAAGAGTACGCTAACCTGACACCAGAGCAAAAAGAAGTACGCCGCGTTGCACACTTGCCTTTTCGCCATTTGACATGTGCATTTCTCGTAGCCTTACAAACAGCGATCCATTCTTCTCAAGCATGCACGGGAACGCGAGAACGAGTCTTATCTGCGATCGCTCTCCCCCGAGGAAATCAAACGCGAGAATGCTTTCCGCACTGCCCAACGCAAGGCGGGTCGGTCTCGAAAGAGCAATTTGAAGGATCTAAATGCGCCGAAGAAGCCTCTGAGTGCTTACTTCATGTTCTTGCAACACATACGGTCCGATCCTGTTCTGGTCAGGGACATTTTCGGCGACGAACAAGAGACCACGAAGCAGAGCGTCCTTGCAGCCGCAAGGTGGCGATCGATGACAGATGACGAGCGTAAGGTTGGTATTGGTTGCATGGCTGGCTTACTTCATCCGATAAGGGGCTTTTTGCTAACATGCCCCTTTCAGCCGTTCCTGGCGCAAGCTGAACAAGAGAAACTAGAATACGAGACTGCCCGACGATTGTACTGAGGAAGGCACGACCGGTCCTCCAAATAACATCAATTTTAGTATTCTTCCCAGCTCGCCGTCAGACAGTCCATTTCACATCTTTCGCAACGTCAAGTCCGAATCCTTCAGCTCCGAGAGCGAAAGTGAAGGAATGACCCCGGACGACGGTAGCAGATATACCCGGTTTTGAAATTTGTTTCCTATATTCTCTCATTCCCTTGGTATATGCAGGTCTTTTTGTTCCCTCTTTTGAACACTCTTTAGTACGACACTGGACTCACCGTCACGACTTCGAGATGACTAGGGTTGCTGTACAATTAGATGCATTATAGTCTTTACCCATTTGTGTAGATATACCACTTCAGCGTTAGCGTAACGGCACACGGAGACGCTATGCTACTCTGATTAATTCCGCTGTAGGGAGAGATAAGCAACCATCTTTTGATGCGGGGCACCATCCTCATCGAATTCGTTCCCCTTAAAGCAACGTGACGTTCCATACGTATCAATCAAAAAGCCTGATAACATCGGAAAGCGAAAATCACCTCTGCAAGATAACCATACCTTGAAAGAATCAAAAGCATGTGATAATGATGAGCCGGGCGCCAGTGACACGCGGAAGTAAACCACGTACTTTGAATAGAACGGTTTGACAGGTATCTGTGAATGTGCAACCACCTTCACAAATTCGACATCTGATGGATGTTTCGCGTCTTCTTTTACCCACTCGTGGAGAGCAAGGACGAGATCCCGGCCGAAGCGATGTCGTCGGTAGGACTTGAGAACGGCAAGCCGGCTTAGCTTGTAGTGGACGTCACCATTGCTGCCAACCATCTTCGTCCCACGAATGGTGCCGATGGCGAGCTTGGAAGGCAAAAGCCGAAGCAGAAAGTGAGTTGCTGTCGGATCATATCTGATCGTATTTGTCAGGAGGCGCGCGCGCTTACTACACAAGGAACGAGATGTGTGACAGAACAATGGGGTTGCTGTAGAACGAAAGAAGCCACATAATTGGATAGACGTACTTGTCGTACTCGTCTTCCAATGAGAAACCTTGTTCGTGCACAAATACCTCGACTCGGACTGCCGAGGCACTGATCCAGGAGTGGCTGCCGATCCGGATGACCGCCAGCAGGGACTATGATAATCTCGTGGTCTGGAACGACAGGAACCAGTGCGGGAGCGACCTGATTAGACATCGGAATGTCCAGACCGTCCGATACTATCGCAGGGTTGGAGAAAGTAACAGAATCTTACCACTGGGCGATACGTCGCAGAATTGGAGCTAAGTACCTAAAACGAGCGCTGGGAACTAGGATCGGTTCGATTTTTGTAATCACCGGCATGCACATAGACAAGCGCGACGCTATTCTGAGAATGCCAAATCATCATCAGACATATGACACGGAAGTGGCGAGTCACATGGCGCCCCACCATACCCGTATTTACTTCTTGCGAGCCGGTCTTGTGGGACGAAGACGAGATTCGAGCCAATCCTGCTATCATAGCGGTGGCAGCGAGTCGGATGCAACGATACGTCGTCAGACTTAGGCACGTCGTACCGAGGGTCGATCCGAAACGTCTTATCATGGCTTTATTTATTAAACTTAACTCAGTCGTCTCTTTCCCCCTGCAGAAAATGAAAAACATATATACGCCAAAGCCCGAAGTAATACGACTGGCTAGTAAGTGGCGCGTGGCGTCAGAACCAAACGCCACCAAATACCTCTGTTTCGGACTTTGGGCCAAGCTGAGTATACGCTTAGCCAACTCTTTCCGACCTGCAATCAAGCTTGCAGGGGTTTAGGTCTGCAGGCAGGTAAATAGGGCTTGAGCCGTGCATAATTAAGGTTTTAGCGTCTCATGACTACGGAAGTTTTCAACACAGGCTTGCAGGGCACCGCGAATGTCGACTGCCCATGATCGAACCTCTGGCTGCAGCTATTGTTAACGGCGTCCTTCCTCGAACATCCGCTCGTCGTACGTCTGTCCTCAAGTCCGCCGTTACATTAATGGGAAACCACGCCCGAAAACCGTTTCCAGAAGATTTTTTCACTCCCCATCCACGCTCATGGAAAGGCAAGGAGAGGGCGCAGGACCCAGTCACGTTTGAATGCAGCGCATGCACCGGTTCTTTGGCCGGTCCGAATTCGGGCATTTGCTGCGCTACGAGGCATTCTTTATGGTGTCCGAGTAATTACCAGTTTTTCGTCTTGGCTCTGCTTGTTTCTAACCACTTCCATTTTGAAGAACGTACCCGGGTGTTCACGAGGAACGAGACAACCCCTCGTAGGCTTCCAGGAACCGGTAGCGGAACGGTTCCGAGAAGCACCCGGCGACATTCATCATCGTCTGCTCCGCAGAAACACACTCTGCACAGTCACATGCTCGAAACGATCTCTTCTCCATCGCAAGCACACCGTGACCCTGTAACGACAAACCTGTCCGGCACGATGGACATACGCTCCCTGCTCCACCCGTCCGTTCCTTTTGACCCAAATACAGCGTGGGCCCTCTATAGCGAATCCGTAAAGGATGATGTCTATGATCCGTTCACCCCCGATGAACGTCTTTTGTTTATGGAGAAGCTCGTAAATGCGGTTGAACCAGAACTTTATGAACAGACAGACATTTCTGCCTTGCACAAATGGGGTCTTCGTCTACATTCCATGATGCATGGGAAGGATGTTTGCGTTGCTAACATCCTGTCCGAGGACTTTCGCAAACTGTGTCTTTCCGCGCGTATTTATGCATTAATGGGTGACCTCACAGGCGCCGTACAAATTGCGAGGGAAGGGTGGAAGCGGCAGTTGACGGAGGCAGAACAGGGGAAGCTTGTCGACGTCTATCGAACTCTTCTCATAATGGCGCATTTACGTGAAGGGAGCACTGCTACGCTCAACCTGGTCATTGAAGAATGGAACGTTCTAGGGCCATACGTCGGAAGTTATCGCAATACCTTTGTCGGGACTTCGTTTGAGACCAAGACGGAATCCTTACGAGACACCGCCCGCAAAATAATCGCAGAGGTCACCAATGGCGCTGCCTTATTATCGTCGCGTTGGAAACATGGTGAGCAAGATTTAATGCGCACAGCTGAGCTACTCCTCCTGTCGTATATCCCGGAGGGTTCTTTGAAGGAAGCCCATGCCGTCATGGTTGAAATGCGGTCGCTACGATTATCTCTCCCTATATCCTATCAGACAGCTTTGATCCGAAGGCTTGCCAAAGCCAACTCGTTCATTCTCGCTAACGAGGTATTTTCGTTCATCTCCCCGTCGAATTATAAGCCATACCTCTCCGCCGGATTGTATCTGTATGCTCGCCAAGGGAACATCACACGCGCAGAAGAATTCTTCAACAACCTCCGAAAACAGGATTGTCTTTCTCCTACCGACAAGGCGATGCTAATGCATGCGTATGCCGTTTCCGGGCGGGTTGAGACCGTCATTGACCTCTTCAACGAGTTCTTTCCTGAGGATGAGGAGGAGAAGCCTACGATTTTCCACTACACGACCGTCGTCCTCGCGTTTGCTCAGCGGGGTGATTTCGAAGGACTGAACTTTTGGTTGAAGGCGATGATGGAAGCTGGTCATCCACCGGATGCCCATGTGTATAGCATTATCCTGGAGAGCTTTGCCAGTCGGGGTGACGTGGATACGGTGGCCGTTATCTTGGATCAAATGCGTGTTGCCAATATACAGCCCAGCCGCGTCCACTATACCACCGTCATCAAATTCCTGGCGCAGAGACGTGATCCCGCGTCTGCGGAAGCTATCTACAAGAGGGCCTTGCAAGAGGGCATCGTACCGGATCGTATTATGATCACGGCTCTTATGAATGCTCACGTCGAAGCAGGCTCATGGCCCGGCGTTATCCGCATCTTCGATTTTCTCAAGGGATCTAGGCATCGTAAAATCCCCCTCACCATTGAAGTTTACAACACACTCCTCAAGGCATACGTGATGATCGGCACGCCATTTCACACCGTTTCTATGCTCTTCCGCAGATTGCAGTCAACAGCCGCACGTCCTGACGCATACACGTATGCGTTGGTAATTCAGTCGGCTTGCGACGCTGGTCTGATGAATGTTGCTTCTGATCTGTTCGCGGAAATGGAGGACAGGGTCGGAAAATGGGAGCCGCGCCGTGGGATCGAGGTCTATGTATTGACCATTATCATGGCAGGCCATCTCCGATTGGGGCACAAGTCACAGGCCAAGGCTGTCTACGACGATATGATCGCCCGCGGCATCCAGCCCACATCCATTACATTCTCACAGATACTTCAAGCATACGGAAACCAGGGAACCGAGGACAGTCTGCGAATTGCTGAGGCCTTTCTCCGAGGTATAGTTGAATCAGACCCCCAGCGGCAGGTTTGGGCGACGCCAAAGTCTTTACAGTCAGCGCTCGAGGAACTTTATAGTCCTTTGATGACCGTGTACAGCAAACAGCGCGATCCCAAGGCCGTAGAACGCCTGTTCGAGGCTATGCTTGAAGCCGGAGGCGAGCCAACACTTTTGTCGCTTACTATTCTCTTGGACGTTTACCGTCGGACCGACAACATCACGGCCATCCGCAAGGTGTGGGAACAAATATGGGAGCTTGCCTTGCGTCTCTCTCGTGTGGACGAGCTATTCAAGGGTGAAGACAATGCACCTACGAATCCATTGTCACGCCAATCCAATTTGCTATGTTTACCTCTATCCATTTATATCGACGCTCTTTCCGCAGCAGGTCATCACAGTGCCGTACCTGAGATTTGGCTCAAGGTCAGGTCACAGGGATTTAGCTTCGACTCTCATAATTGGAATCATCTCGCGGTTGCGCTCGTAAGGGCAGCCGAACTCGATCGTGCCTTTGCGGTGGTCGAGCGGGTCATTCTACCGTACCAGCGCCAGAGCCTGATTGTGGCGAGTACCAGAGACCGCTTCCCGGAATCACCTTTAACATTTGACGCGGCACCGCCCGACGTGGACAGCCCTGCGCCGGAGTCCCCTCTCCACCGACAAAAGCGACGAGTGGCTGCCGTTAAGCTCGTTACTAAGAGGTCTAGGCGCAATTTGGATATAGATGGAGATCCGGACGACTTTGCACATCCCTTACACATCCTCCACCAAATCTTACCTTCCTGGAACGTGTGGCGTCCCCATCATATTATTCTAGAGCTCTTGGCAAGCGTGCTTCGTCATCTACAAGGTGGACGGGTTGTTCAGCCGGTGGGCGTCTCGCAGCAATCAGTCGGATCAGACAATGTTGCGAGCCGGGCCAAGATGGCTAGTGATACCCTCCAGCGCATCTACGACGAATACCCATCTACGGTCCGGGCCGTGCTGCTCCACGAAAGGGCATTATCTCGGAGAAATGCAATCAAAAGGGCAGATGATGGGTGGAGCTGATCCAGGCTCAAAAATCAAACGAAGTGTTACATTACTAGTTGATGAGGGAGACAATGCATGATGGATGATACGCTGCACCAAAATTAATTGTCCAATAGAGGCTTGGTGAAGTCTCATCGCGTGTCATCCGATTCGTCGGAGTCCCCAGATTCTCCTTGATGTGTTCTCCGGCTTTGCCCGGAGCCAGTGCCGTGGCGGTTTCGCTGCAAGGTCGGTCGTAATGAGTATCCGATGCCTGGTCCGAAGGAAGGGCTCACCAGTGGCAGTTTCTGTCCCTGATTGCCAAATGCAATCGACAACGGTGTTGTGTCTTGCGGGTATAGAGTGTCAAACCTCTCCCTTTCTCAGAACAAGCGCACTTACGTACCTGGCACACCTGGAAATCGCTTGGCAGAGTAGACAGTAAAGGCCTCCGTAAATGTTTGTGCTAAAACAGGAGATGAAGCGGTGTGTACACGAGTAGCAGCTGACCCGGGTGTTGGTGAACTGCAGAAAAGTTAGTAGGCGAGTAAGATGACGTAGTTCAGCGACGCCCTCACTCTCCAACGTTCATCAAGCGTAATCGAAGTCGAAACTTCCCTATAAATTTATGTTCAAGCAAAGGCAGAACGTGTCGTGAGCCAACAAACCTTCAGTGCGTACTGACAGGTCCTGGAAAAGAAAAAAGATTCCCGGTCTGCGGTGCTCGTCCAAGAGACGACAGGCATTTGAAGAAAGCGGTCCCACAAGTGTGCGGGTATAAGGGTGTCGGGAAAGGGAATGTGCGCTGGCAGGTGATGAAGATGAGGACGTGCTCTGAGAATAGTTATGTTGGTAGTATGTGGTTTGTGGAGATTGATGTGGGTGAATAGGTGAGCTGTAAACTGTTGGGTTGTCATATCCCGGTCCTGCCACGCTATACGATTCCTGCGGATATCTGCCCTGCCCTGATGATTGGTCAGAGAGAACACGGGACAGAGCCTATGCGTAGGATTCACCTATGTCTGCTGGTGGATGCGACCGCGCTGTGGAGTCAACCTCCTGGTTACCGTAGACACTGCCTTGAGAGGGAGTAGGCAGCCCATATGGAGGGTCCGCTACGGCTGACCAACTCCGAAAATTGCTCGTGTCATGATCGGTACGAAAGCCGGTCTGTCCATGCCAGGGTTCTGCCGAGGTGACCGCTTGCATGCCGTTTCTTGGAGCGCCACGAAGCATGGGATTCTGGAAGTTGGAGCGATCGACTTGCCCAGAGCCAGTTGCATGTGTATAACCCCATCCACCTGGAGAATCCGGCGAGGAAGTGAATGGACTTGACCCGGGATAACTGGCAGAATCAGGTACAGGTGTGCCCCCAGTTACGTACGGATAATTGGGGTGGTTATACCCAGGCGCTGACGGGGCACAGCCCAGGACCGGGTTGACTGAGGACTACATCGTGCGGGACGGCGAGTGGTGAATGTAAGAGATCCTGCATTGAGTGGCGAGAACTAACCTGTGCGTCCATTGGGATGCGAGACGGCTCAGTGGCGGAAGTTGGAGTGGAATGGGAGGAAGGTGGACTAGGGTGGTCGCTACGAGGAGAGTGCACCGTCGGATTACTGCCTCTTTGGTGCTTGGATTTGTTCGCACCGACGGGTACATACCGGTCCGACGCCGACGAGGGGTGTAGAACGAGGTTCATCTCTCGCGACCCATCGGCCGACCAAAGGTCGACGGTGACGAGGAAAAAAGAGCAGTCCACTTCGCTGCGGATATTAGTCAGTGCAAAAATAGAGGACCGAAGTACCTCACGCCTACTCGACATCTACGATGGAATTATCCTCTCGTCGAACAACCATTTTGGCAACGACTGCAGGGGCCAAAGGTCGTCGATCCTGATGGCGAGGTTACAAGGGTGATGACTGCGCGCCGGGAGGCGGAATTCGGCGTACCTTGTCACCAAACCCGCACATGCGAGCGCGAATTGGGTGCTGCACTACTTCGAGAGAGTAATGTCTGTGAAGTGACATTGAGAGAAAGGACGGACGAAATGCTTTCCACTGACTTGCGACCAAACCATTGTGACCACTGACCAGAATTGCTGGAGTCACCGTAACGCGTGGAGCTGTCGGTGGTGATGCGAGAGCTCGCCTTTTGCATGGTCTACTGGAGGCACGAGCGGTGGCTTCACGACTGTGTTTCAAGTCCGGTCCAATTTAGACGGACGAAGAACTTGACACTTGTGAATCTGATAAGATAACTGTTCTCACGTCGAGAATATCGCGGAAGAATTCCGAACGAGCACTAGAATGACTGGAAGGAAGAGGGGGCCACGAATGTCATGAGGGTTAGTCATCTCTGTCGAGTAGCTGTATATAAAGACGCGGTTGAACGGAAAGTACCTGTAAATTCTCAGCGGTTTCTACTTTGCAAGTCACAAACACCGCGGACGGTGTGCTTCTCGCAGGATGTACGTGCTCGATAGTTGATTAATATTCACGCTTGGTCGTGCGGTTCGTCGCAAGAAATGATGAAGCCAGTAAAAGGGACTGACAGGCGGCCGTGGTTGGTGTTAACGTTGATCTGATCCCCTTTAGCGAAGTTGTTGATGCCGCCTCCTGAAATACAAAATCTAGCTGATCGCTTGCTCGGCGGTCTCCCGCAGATCTCCAGCCCCTCCCAGACGTAAACTGTTTGCCCGTTCAAGGGAACCTTCGAATTGAGCCTTTCCGTCGGTTCGTTTCAATCACGACATTCAATTATCATTCCATGTCTCGTGAACCTGACCAGAATGAAAACCTCGAGGCAGCCAGGTGGCAGGTCCCATCGGCACCACATGGACCGTGGACCGACACTGCAGGGCCTCCCTTCCAACATTGATATCTGATGGCTGAGTCCCGTTCTCAAGGGATCACATCAGAAGTATTAGGCCATCTGCTAAAAGCCTAATTATCACCCTGGGAACAAGAACACACAGCCAGGTGGTATGGATAGCCCCATCGTATGTGCAAGTCCAAGTTCCTCATCCTCATCTGCTTCCATTTCACGGTTACATAGAAGCCGCCGCTGCAGTTATCAACCTGTCCGAGATTTTGTTTCATTCGCCGCACGGGACATGCTCGAGCGGAGATGACAACTGCCTAGAATTGGCATCCAATTAGTAATAACCAGTAGGACGTATCAGTTTTCCCACGCAACATTTCTTCCTCAAGCTCATAACACACTGCCCTTCCGTCGGGTCAGCAAGCAGTCGTGCACGCCAAGCAAGGATGGACCAAGCGACCGCAAAGAAAACACTCCAAGAGCTCATCAAACGCGAGGACTTGAAAAACAAGCATTGTGTTGACTGTGGAAACCCCAACCCCCAATGGGCGTCAGGTAGACAATTCGATTAGTACTACATTCTCAATCAGAATTCACGTGCACTTCTTCAGTGAGCTTCGCCATCTTCATCTGCCTACAGTGTGCAGGTATACACAGAGGCTTCGGCGTACATATCAGGTATTAAGAATACTGGCAAACCGATGATTGCGTGACATATCCGATTTCCAGTTTTGTGAGATCAGTCTCAATGGATACCTGGCAATATGATCAAATAAGACGCATGCAGGTACGTATACCACAAATTTCAACGGATCACCAACACATCATCAAACGTAGCTTGGAGGAAATGATCCTTTTCACATTTTTTTGCGGTCTTACACACCCGCTGATGAAGGGGGGTACAAAGATGGGATGAGTTCATATGACCTTTACCGTTGCTGGGCGGCAACCCAGTATCGCGAAAAGGTTTGTTCCGCTTTTTGATGACCGAGGTTGTTACTCAGACGTCTCCAGTTGGACTGCGAGGCCGCAGGTCGTCCGTGGTCTCCTTCGAGCCCTCCTGCCGGGCGTGTGACCACACCAACGAGACCCGCTTCTGCCCAAGGTCTTAGAAAGTCCCGTGCAGTATCGCGTAACCCTGTGGGCGGCATCTCATCCAACAGTTCATTCGGCATTTCTACTCAACCATCTTCTGACGTCTCTGGCGTGGACCAAAAAGCTGCCAACGAAGCCTATTTTGCGGCACTTGGTCAAGCGAATGCGTCACGTCCAGTCGACTTGCCACCTTCGCAAGGGGGCCGTTATCAGGGGTTCGGCAATACCCCTTCTCCTTCGCAACATCCATTTCTCAACTCAACTTCTTCTGCGGCTCCGTCACTAGCCAATTTCCAAGAAAATCCTACAGCCGCTCTTAGCAAGGGTTGGTCCATCTTGTCCACAGTTGTCGGTGGCGCTTCGCGTGCATTCAATGAGACAGTCATCCAACCTGGTATGGAACGTGTCAAGGACCCCAATTTCCAGGCTAGCATTCGCGGGTACGTTTCCGAGGCGCAAAGGCGTGCCCAGCTCGCCGGCCAGTCTGCCAATGAATGGTCGAAGACGCAACTTGGGGTCGATGTTGCCGATCATGTGGGAGGTATCGTGGGTTCAGTCAGGGACCAGATTGGTTCTGGACCTCCAGGTTTAGGATATAATTCCCTTGCCACCCACAACCAAGCCGAAACATCCGGATTGTACCATGATGACACAGACGACTTTTTCCACGAGTATTCCGATGCAACCGCGAGCGTTTCTCAGACCTCGACACAACATTCACTACAACCCTCGGATGCTCAGGTCTCGAAAAAGGATGACGGTTGGGATGATTGGCAAGACTTTTAGATAGACTCGTAATACTCATTTGCGGCCTCCGCCTGTAATGTCTTGGTCCAGCGATTGGATATCTTCACGAATATCCATTGAACTGGTGAAAGAATGCTTTGTGTTGGTTGTGGTGAGATTTGATGATCCGGGTTCAACGATAGCCGAGAACATTGCCAAGTCCCGTCTTCCCGGGTAAGTGGTCCGACGTACATTCCCAGCAACGCAGTCGTTTCCAACTGCACACTTGTTTCACGAACAACTTCGAGACCGGTGGTCTACTGCAGTCTTATTAGAATGCTGAGTACGCTATCGAGGGCTACCCGTCTGAACGCCGCTTGTCCTAGAAGCCGGTGGTACCATGCCACCATCATTCCACCCTTAATCTCCACATCCTCACCTGAGTTCCGCCAGAGAGCGGAGAGCATGGATTTACTTGTGGCAGACTTGAAGAGCAGGCTAACACAGGCCAGGCAAGGTGGTGGTCTGAAGGCTGCAGAGCGGATGCGGAGCAAGGGCAAGAAGCTCCCTCGGGAAAGGTGAGTTCTTACTTCTTACCACAGTCCGCTGTTCATCGAATCTCCAAATGAACGCATGTCATTCAGACTATCATTGTTGTTAGACCCGAGTACACCTTTCTTGGAGCTCTCCCCGTTGGCTGCGCAGGATGTGTATCCTGGCGAGAACGTTCCAGGGGCCGGAATCATCACAGGCATCGGGCGGGTATCCGGCCGAGAATGCATGATAGTTGTGAACGATGCAACTGTGAAAGGCGGATCTTATTACCCATTGACAGCGAGTTCTCTCTATCGATGGTGTGAATGTCTGCTAAATGTGCCTTAACAGGTCAAGAAACATATCCGTGCCCAAGAAATTGCACGAGAAAACCGACTACCCTGTATCTATGTTGGTATGGATCTTCCCTGTAGTGTCCGATGTGGCATACTTATCCGATCACAACATTCCAGTGGAATCAGGAGGGGCAGCTCTGCCGCACCAAGCCAACGTGTGTGATGTAGCTCCGGCATTAAAATGGGAGTCATACGTTCATTTGAACAGGTATTCCCAGATAGGGATCACTTTGGCCGAATTTTCTACAATATGGTGCGTCGTCAATCGCCGTTCTGTTACCACTCATTGATTTTCCCCTCGAAGGCACAAATGTCTGCTCTCGGCATCCCACAGATAGCTTCTGTGCACGGCATATCCGTAGCCGGTGGGGTCGGCTTTTCGTCTCACATTTCACATATATGCTGAGTTACAGAGTATTCCAGGTGGTGCCTATGTGCCTGCCATGGCGGACGAAAATATTATCGTACGAGAACAGGGACGCATTTTCCTCGCTGGCCCCCCTCTAGTGAAGGCGGCGACTGGCGAAGAGGTCGATGAGGAGACTCTGGGTGGCGGTCAGATGCATTCTTCCGAGAGCGGTGTGACAGACCATCTTGCGAGAGATGACAAGCACGCCATAGCCATTGCAAGAGGTATCATCGGCGATCTGGGTGCGGCAGGTGGAAAGACCACCCCTGTAGATATCATTTTCCGTTTTGCATTCTTGCGCCCTGCTAAAAAGAACCTAGCCATCAGCTCCAACGGAAGATCCGCTCTACCCTGCATCAGAATTGCATGGCATTGTTGGTACAGACCCCCGGCAACCATTTGACATGCGAGATGTGATTGCTCGTATTGTGGATGGTAGTCGTTTCAGAGAATTTAAGAAGGAATATGGGCCTACTATCGTTACCGTAAGGGCACTTTGACTATGTCACGAATACTACGCTAACCAAAGAGGGCCAGGGGTTTGCACATATCCACGGATATGAAGTGGGAATAATTGCCAACAATGGCATCCTTTTCTCTCCTTCCGCGTTGAAGGCCACGCATTTCATTCAGCTATGCTCACAACGTCAGATACCGTTATTGTTTCTTGTGAACATAACAGGTGAGCAATTTCGGATTTGGAACTGGCTTACGGTTCACAGTAGGCAGGTTATATGGTGGGGTCGAAGGCTGAGAAAGGCGGGATAGCAAAAGACGGTGCAAAGATGGTTCGCGCCGTGGCATGCGCCAACGTACCCAAGTTAACTGTAATCGTTGGAGGAAGTTTCGGTGCTGGAAACTACGGTAAGATATAGTATCATACGTTGATAAACTCAAGTAATGTTTTTCCAGGGATGGCTGGTCGTGCGGTAGGAGATGAAATTGGCTTTTGCCACCGGTACTAACCATTGTCAGTATTCGCCGCGTTTCCTGTGGATGTGGCCTGTGAGTCATTTTTGTGCTCTATAGAACCCAATCCAGACCCAAACTGTTTGATAGAATGCCAAGGTATCTGTGATGGGTTCAGGACAGCTGTCCCAGGTCATGACTGCAGTCTCGAGGTTAGTCGGACCGTTTCTTGTATCATGGCGCGGTCTTATCTTTGATAGGGATCCTGGCCAGCATGCGTCGTTGAAGGCGGAGATTGAGTCGCAATCCACAGCACTGTATTCTACAGCTCGACTTTGGGACGATGGAATAATTCAGCCAACCGAAACTCGTGACGTAGTAGGTCTAGGACTTGCGCTTGCTTTCAGAGAACGTACAAGTCCCCATACACCGTATGCCCGTTTGACAACATGGGAAGGGGGCGCTGAAAGATTTGGTGTCTTTCGGATGTAGCCACGGAAGTAACTTAAGGTTTCGTCACATACTCCGGTCGAGATGTAATTTGTAATTAAATTGAGCTTCGTAGTTGTTACCTGTAATTTACCATATCCTCCATACACGCGATGTCATGGCGTTGTAACGTCACAAAACGTTCCGCCGACCATGTCAGATGATTCACTGGTGAATCGACTGTCTGCAGAAACTCGTGCAAAGCTTCGTTCAACCCAATTTCTCACATCACTTCCACACATTGTCTCCGAGTTACTGCAAAATTCAATTGACTCCGGGGCTTCGCACATTGATGTTGGCGTGGACTGTGAAGACTGGTCCTGCTGGGTCCGAGATGATGGTTCGGGCTTCGCGAAGGATGGCCTAGCTCAAATCGCGAAAGGTTCTGAGGATGGGCGATATAGTATGGATTTCACCTTTCATGCTGCGAATCCTGAGCTTAAAGACTCGTGCTTTGTTGCAGTGAGCTCAAAAGCATACTCCGCTGCCTCTTTGGAGAGTGTCTCCACATTCGGTTTCCGTGGTGAGGGTACGGTATATCACGTGTAGTTCATTTGGAGCATCGTTTGATCTGACTTTGGCAAACGTCAGCTTTGGCTTCAATGGCAGATCTGTGTTGCCTCGAGATCTCATCGCGAACAGCAAGGTCACGCGAGAGCTGGTCCATTATTATGAAGGCACGTTGACGCGCACTGTCGATTTTTAGGAGGGGACAGGGCTGAACCTTGACAGGGTGGTCAAACTCTGTATACCGGGCCCTCTGTACGTTGGCGCAGAGAATCTGCCGGGACGGCCGTTAGCGTCCGGGACGCGTTTTTCAACGTTAGTTCGGGAATATAATTGTGCCGGCCGTGATAGCGTCCTAATTAAACACTAGCGTCCGATCCGCCGCCTGTCTCATCCTTCCTCCAGCAAAACACTTGAGATAATCCGGCAAGAAATTGAATCGTACGCACTAGTTTTCCCGGGCATATCATTCTCCCTTGAGAATACAAGCCAATCCAACAAGGGTGGAGGCAACCTTCATTCCTGCATTCTTAAAATCCCAAAGGTGATTTCGATTTCTTTACCCTATTCTGCTGGGGTGTCCATATCTCAGCTTCTCCCGATCAAAGACTCGTTCCACCCTAACTACCTTTCGTCACATATATGGCCGCGCGTTTACTCAGGCAAGCGTGTTTAAATTCGGCTCCTTTATTGTGATCTTTATCATATTCTGAAACTAGCACGTCGAAGAAATAGATAGCGTATCTGGCGATGTGAGAATAGAGGGGTTCGTATCGTTGGTGGGCGTTTATACGAAGGTGCTCGTCGTCTGTGACAGAAGCTCTTGTATCCTGATGACCAACTTGGACAGGCATATCAATTCCTGTGTAGGCCATATGCAGCATGGACCGCATACCTCTCATTCATTTTTTGTGGTTCAGATATCAACAAGCATCCGGTGTCGTATTGCGATCTTCACAAATTAATTGACCTTCGGTTTTCCTCGAGTTCCTTCCCGAAACATGTGCGAATAAGATTTATGTCGGTCCTACGATTATTAAATTACTGTGCCCAGGCGTACGATGAGGAGGGGGAGACAAGCTCGCGTTCTGGTACGCTGCATCAAGTATTTTGGACGAAGAGTCCCCTGACGATTGCAGGTGGCCGCCGTCCCCCCCGCAAGGGCGAGAAAAAACCTATATACGTTCTTAACTTGGCCATTCCCGCGCGACATATTGACAATTGTGTTGAGCCGGCCAAGACGGCTGTTCAGCTCGGTGTAAACGCACATATGTAATCCACTCTCCATGCAACCGCTAATTTATATTTTCAGAACAAAAACATTGTGGCGTATCTTCTTTCTTCCGTAATCCAGTCTTTCCTAGCACGTCACCACTTTGCGCCTAGATATGTGGATGAAAACGAGGGTACTCCCCGGAAGAAACGAAAATTATCGAGACAAGCTTCACTTACGGAACTCAACATATCACGCCCATCAACCCCCGACTCTTGCATACGTGACGGGAACGAACCACCGGAATTACTCGTCCCTCAAGTGAAGTCGTAACTTTTCAAGTCGTGATCGGGATTCTGACACTTTCTAGATGGAACCTTCGAAAGAGGCTATGGAACCTTCGAACGGGACGATCTGGACTGATCCTTCTACTGGGGAAACGTTCATCATTGACTTACGGACCGGAAATTCCTATCCTCAGAACGTCCCTTGCGGTGTGAGTGCAAATGGACCAGTGAGAATTAGGTCAATGGGAAATACAACCCGAGATTCCCCCTCAATGATTGAGAACATGACCACGGGTCAGGGCGACGTTATCTCGGCAAAAGACGAGGCCCCCAATTGGCTGCAGGAAGCTCTACACGTATGTCGTACATGTCACATCGTGTTACCCGTTCTCTGACGAACTCCAAAGGCGAATGATGCCTATACGATCAAAGAACCGAAAATACCCGCATTACCACTATCTCTTAACCACAATGGAAATGATGGCGGTTATCCGGATCATCTCCGTCCGTGCAGCACCCAACCAAGCAAGTGTTCTAACCCCAACCAACATTGCCAATATTTTACGTCCGACTTTGCCTCATCCTACCTACGCTTTCGGAAGGAAGACTTGCAGGCCATGCGTGTCATTAGTCAAGTGGACCGGAAGTTCGTCGTTTGTCTCATTGGTGCTGATAGCTGGCCGCCTACAGAGGCAGGTGAAGAGTTGGGTGAAGGGAGCACTCGTCACGGAGGTGGTAAGACACTCGTTTTAGTTGACCAACATGCTGCGGATGAGCGAGTGCGAGTGGAGCGTTTCCTGCAAGAGATATGCAATGGCTTCCTCAGCTACCACGATAAGAGTGGTGGCGTTGAGACGATCCAGCTGTCACCGCCCGTTCCTGTTTTGCTCACGCATCGCGAGGCTTCCCGATTATCAGAGGTTCTGGCTTATCAAAAAGCATTCGCGTCGTGGGGTGTTCGCTTCCATGGTTTGCAGGAACTCACGAAGAACGAGGCTGCAATAGACAGCGGCGAACATGCTGCCTATATACAGGTGTTCGTAACTGCCATCCCCAAAGTCGTATCAAACAAGGTCAATCTTGCATTCAAAAAACAAACATTCATCTGACTTGCGACAGTTACTGTCTGGTAACGAATTGCAAGAACTCATCAAGGGTTACCTTGGCACGTTGGAGAACGAGCTGGGTAGTTTTGACACTCCTGCGCCACCCCGTTCCGGTGTCTGTGAGACAGAGACGCGTTGGGTTAAGGCCCTGAGATGGTGTCCGAGGGTTCTACTCGACCTGATTAACTCCAAAGCATGCAGAGGTGCGTTATTAGAAGCAGGGTACTCCATGGGTTTAACCTGACTAGCAGGCGCTATCATGTTCAATGACCCGTTGACACTGGAACAATGCCAACGGCTCATTAAGCAGCTCTCGGCCACCGCATTTCCATTTCAGTGCGCTCACGGCAGGTGCGTAAGCGCTCATTGAGAACTATGGACGGGCCGAATGACTCACGGCTGTCGTTCATTTTTCCTTGGCCGCGGGGCTGATGCGAACTTTATCCGTTCTATTTCCAAGGCCATCCCTTGTGCCCCTGACACCCCTAGCCTTCCAAGAGGAAAGCTCTAGATCATTGCCTGTGGCCTGGGAGACGGTATCCGCGCTATGAATGTTTACAGTAGCCGTCGTCACATTTATGTCGTGCGGTTAGCATTAGGTTTAATCTCATTTGAGCAAACACGGCATGAAGGTGCCGTACGGCTAACGATGAGCCAGTAATCCACCTAGTTGGATGAACAATGATGACTACGCGTGTTATATCCATGCACCCCACCGTAATTAGGCTCCCGATGCACCTTTTACTCCACCCTTTTCCCCACTGCCGTTCCGCGTGTCCAGATCTATCCCATCTCCATCGCCTCTTCCAATGTTCGGCACAGGTCCAGCAAACCAATGTATGCCACCATACACAGGAAGATAATACCATACAAGAGATAGCCCAAGGACACCTCCGAGAACAACGACAGTGTAGTTCATAGTACTGGCACTTGTGCTAGGCATCGTAGGGAAGAGGAAGATGACGTTCATGAAGGCCATGAACAACACTGCAGTTACCGATATCGGCAAGCTCTGAAGTCCATCAAAAACAAAAAGAGAATTGTTTAATATCCTCATCGGGACAAAAAGGGGAACATACAAAAATTCCTAGGTGAAATGGTCCACGCTTGAAGTCGCTATCTCCCAACCAACGCGCTGCGACGGTGATGGAGTAGGCAATATAGATGGCATTGATTGCCAACGGAAAGATAGCATCAATGGCCTGCGTGCCCGCGAATGCGAGGAGGCCAAGTAGTATCGCCGAGATGACGACGAACCAGACAGCATTTACGGGTGTGCTTGTAGACTTGTTCACGTGAGACAGAATGGTAGAGAAGGGAAGTGCACGATCACGGGAATATGCGAATATTTGGCGGGATGCTACAAGAAGCTACTCGAGCGTCAGGGATGGTGACAAACGACTGTGACCCTCGTACACAACTGGATCCCATCATGTATCTGGCGCGGCAAGCTTAAAAATCTTTCAGTCAATTCGGAAATAACGTACTGTGCGATCACCACAAGTGCCCACAGCGCAAGTGTGCCCTTCTGCCCGAAGCTGTTGAAAAAAATCTGGGCCATTGGCTGACCGATCGGGCTGCTAAGGAGATACCCGATGTCTGTACCCATACAGAAGGCAAGGGTCACGTTAATAGCTGGTATATATGTTCAGAGGCGCGTATTGAGTTAGATGAGGATGCGCCTACCCCATCCCAACGAAGTAGTGATGATGTTGGAACAAGCCTATGACATATTAAGCGCGGTAGTGCGTATTGTGGAGTGACGTACGATGGCCCAGGGAACAGCTGTAGCAGCATTTGAAGCTTCCTCACTGATATGCACGCTTGCGTCGAACGCAGCTTCGCAGTAACTAGTCTGCATCAAAAAGTAACAGGAGAGAGAAAAACTTACAGACTGTCCACAACGGTGTGAGCAATGAAAGGATGAATGCAAATCCATCAGGCCAGCCATACACTGCACCACGTCGTGACTTGTTAAAGTTGATGGATAGCAATCGAAAACAGATAAACTTACGGTTATTGAAACTTCCGAGGGCGAAACTAGCCGTGTTCATGTACTGCCGTGGAGTCGCTATTGGAAGCCCAATAATAACTGCAAGACAAAGGCTTGGGACGATGTTAGCAGCTTAGCCCACCCTGGTATATATCAAATGACGAATACTCTACATACCAGACGTTGATGGTGGTGTAGATTCTCTGCACTCTTGCTAGGACTGAAGTCGCCAGACAGCATACCAAAGCATGAGAAAGAAGTATGGCAACATATATACCACTGATCACGTGCATTTTAGTGAGCAAACCATGTCAGAACAAAGAGAAAACGTACTAGATCTGTGCATTGGAAGCGATATAAGTCTGCCCCGAGCCAATGCTGGCAGCGGCAGTGATTTGGATGGCACAACTCCAATCAACGGAGGCTGTTGATGCCACGGATCAGGACGGGTCGTAATGTCGATGTGCTCGAATCAAATACGTAGATTTATGGAACTAGAGGAGACACTTACCAAGTACAGCAATATAACCAATCGTGTTCGCATCTGCGGTTCAAAATTTGTGTCTAACACACATTTGCCCAAGGGAAAAAAAAACTTACACCCGACTATCCAACAGAGAAGGTTTCGCCAACGAGGCGATGCGAAGGTGTGGGTCCAAAAGTAAATCTGAAGGAGCTGTCAGGGTCTAAAAACACATCGTGTAGGTCCACTCACCCCTCCTGCCGTAGGTGCAGCAGAAGCTAGTTCTGCAATGGACGATGCGATACAGAGAATGAAAATAGATGCCACTGCCCACTATCGTATGAAGAGATCAGCGCACCGCGACTCTCCGTGCGCCGATATACATAGAAAGGACACGCACTCCCCATACCATGGCAGCGGGACCCCCATTTGGTATGGCATAAACAAGCACAGATCTGTGGATCGTGCAGTCAGCTAACAACCTACGAAAGGACCAAGATGCACTACGTACGCAAACGACGGGAACAGGCCTATAACATTAAATGCCACTCCAAAGACCTACATTCTTGTCATTCAGACACTCAAGTACAATGTGATATTCACACTCGGGAAATATAACACACCTCCAGTGGCGTGAACTCGCGCTTGAGTTGTTGCTTGTAGCCAAGTTGAGCAAGAAGTTCCTCGTCTCTTTTCGCTATCTCTTCTCTTCTGGACATGTCAAGGACGGCTTCAAAGTCACTAAGAAAAATGCGAGCGTCTCGACTCTCGATGGAGTCGAATCCGCTATTAAGCTTAAGACACTCTGAACTTGTGTTTCACGTGACTCACGATGCTAGCGGCAATTCATCAGCCCTCCAGGCCTACGTAGGTCCCCCCCTCTATAACTGGTTCACTTAGAACATACCGCATCGTGTTGGAAATATAATAATAGTTCCGACTCTAGACCAACACGTTTTGATACACGTGTTATGTCACATGACATGATTCATCAGCAGCTCCACAGTAATGTCATATTCCATAGCATTCTCTGCTATTCTATACCATTTATAGTAGTTACATTGTAGCTCCTTCCTTATATGCTACTGGTCTGTGTGTACAGCTACATGTATATAAACTTGGGGATTTCTGCCTTACTCCCCATCATTCAACTGAACAATCTACTGTTCTCATAACTTGTCAAACAAGACTTCTACAAGACTTTCTCAAATCTACCACTTCAACTAATTAAAAGGCAAGTGTTCTTGTCTTTGCTCTTTGCCCCATCCTGTGCCTCTGTGCAATAGGTTATGAGCCCCACCTTCTAGGCATTGTGCTGTTTACTTGCTTTGCATAGAATAGATCACTGCCAACAGGCAAATCACTATGGAGCAAGTGGGCCTAGATGTGCTAGGTTGGGTGGTAGTTACCTCAGTTTTGTTGCTTCTTGCAGGCTGTTATCAGCCCATTTTGTTAGTCTACTATGGAGGTTTTAGCCCTAGCAACTTGCAAAAGCTTTTTATTAGTTCTTCCACCTTTTGGATGATGTTTCTAGGTCTCTCTGCATGGTGGTGGTGTAGGAAAGTGTTGGAAATATTATAATATGTCCAATGTCTAGACTAATCTAGACTTACATGTGTAACATCACATGACTTGCCTTAGCAATCAGCTCCACAGTGACATCAGAATGACATCACTTATTGCATCATATTCCATAGCATTCCCTGCTATTCTTTATTATATGTAGTAACAGTTTCCATATATGTTACTGGTCTGTGCATATGGAAACATGTATATAAACTCAGGGATATTCTCCCTTAGTCTACATTGAATTCTACATTTGTTCTACTGTTCTAACAAGAACAAGAGCCCCAACAAAACCTTCTTCAAATCTATTTGCTAACTCAAGTATAAAAGGCAAGTGCTCTTGTCTTATTGCTCTTTGTACCGTAGCCTGTCCTCTGTGCAATAGGTTATGAGCCCTGCCTTCTAGGCATGTACTATTTACATGGTTTGCATAGATTAGATCACTGCTGACAGGCAAATCACTATGGATCATGTAAGCCTAGATGCACTAGAGTTAGCAGTAGTCACCATCATTTTGTCACTTCTTGCTGGCTGCCAACAGTCAGTTCTTTTACTTTATTATGGAGCTTATGATCCTGGTGATCTGTGTCGACTCTTTGTGAGCTTGACAGCATTCTGGATGATGTTTCTAGGTCTCTCCATGTGGTGGTGTCAGTGCCAACAGGTGCTTCAACAAGCAGTTGTGCACTGTGCTTTGATACAAGCACTTGTCCAGCACCCACCTACTCCTCCACCTCATTATCTCCATTTTCATCTTCCTGATATTGATTTTGATGCTGACCTAGACCCCATACCTCTGTACACTGAGGTTGAAGCAGCTGACCCCACTCCTCCTCATCATGCTCCAATGCCTCTGGCTGAGGAGATAGAGGTACTGAATGAGATGCTCAACCCTGAGCTTGTTCTCACAGTCGTCAATGACGACTTTGCTGAGTTCGACTTACTTTAACCTTGTTCGTCCTCTATTTATTAATTACAGGTTCTAATCTACTTCAAGTATGTCTTTGGTCATTGCAAAGCGCCTCAAAACTCAAATTGCTGAACACTGGGATGAGATGTATGAGGGAGCAAAGTGGAGGAAGTATGTGGTAAATGAGATCATAGAGTTTATGGAAATGTTATATGTATGAGATTGCAGCTCCTGGCATGAGGCTGTGCTGTCCTCTATTGCTTTCTTCAAGAAGCCTAACCTGGCCACCTACTTGGTCCCACTTTCAGTTGTGGAAACAGTGTGGCAACTTATGCCCCACTTTCCCAGCTTTGATTCACCTTATTTCTCTCCTGGCATTCATGTCGCTTATCATGGCTATTTTACTGACTAGTTACCCCAAGTGGTTGACAAGAATATGCTTACTGGCCATCCTTGGAGGATATTCTTTGAGATCTTGAATGTACTGTGGAGAAAGGTGATTATGACTATTATGCATGACCAAGAGGCTTCCCAACACCTTGCACTGCTCTTGCTAGAGCTCACCAAGCTGCTGCCACTCATGCAGCATTATCCTCTTCCTGGTACAATGGATGTACTGTACACATCTGGAGGCCAGTACCACAAGGCATCTGATAGTTGTGTAATTGGGGATTCTTATACTTCTTTTGAAATACTTGTACACTCTGGGCTTATAGGATCTTGCCATCATCAAATATGTTTTCCTTTTCCATATCATTGTGCCAAACCTTTTCTTGGGTTCACAAGGAATGGACTTCTGTTACATGACATAACATGGAGTTTCTTCGGGTACCATTTCTTCAGTCCCTTAGAATTTGAATTCCTTGAAAGAAATAATTCTTGCATCTCTGCAAAGAGATTTGCTGAGAAAGGCACTACAGAAATGAAAACATGGTGCAATCCTTGTCCACATATCCCCAAGCCTCATCATAACCAGAAGTTGCAATCTGCTAGAGCATCTGCTCACAGAATCAAACACAAGGATCATTTATTAAATCCTCCATCCACTTTGACTCATCCTACCAAGTCATTCCTCTACAAACACTTGCTAATGGACTTCTAAAAGATGTCCAAGGGATTGTCAAAACAAATTCCAAAACTTAACAGAGTCAACTATGCCTCATGGTCAGTTCTCATGAAAGCCTATATGCAAACACTTGGCATTATGGATATCGTTAGCGGTGCTACTCCTATGCCTGCTGACACAGCACATCAAGCTGCCTGGTGCACCTCTGATACACATGCCCAAGGCATCATCACTTTATATTGTGATCCAATGATTGCAATGGCTATTGATGGAAAAGATACTTCCAAGAAGAAGTGGGATGAACTTAAATCCAAATATGGCAAACCATCTGCCATGACTACCTTTACGGAGTTCCAGCAGTTAATCTGCATTCAAATTAAACCCAAGGATGACATCATGGTTAAGATCTCTGAGATCACCATGATAATGGCCACTACCCAAGGCCAAGGCATCAGTCTCAATGACAAAATGAAAGCCCTCATCCTGGTTCACTCCATGTCCCAAGCCTGGGAACAGGCTCCCATCAATATCCTTTCTTCTATACCTGCCGATCAATTATCCGCTGATGCAGTCATACCTCATATGAAAGAAGTCTGGAGTCACAAATCTGGAAAGTCTCTCCTACCTCAGCAGGACACATCCACATCTACTGGCACAAAAATAAAGCGAGAGTCTAACTCGCTACTTGCTTGAATGAATAAGCCACCACTTTGCCAAATCTGCCATGGCAGGCACAATACACAAGACCACCATGGAGGTAGAAATTCTGGTGGATCTGGATCATTCCATGGTAACCATGGAGGTTGTGGAAGTTGTGGAGGTTCACACAGAGGAGGTGGATGTGGTGGATATATGCCTTACCCACCAAATCAAAATCAACAACAGCAGTCTGGTTCCTCAGGCTGTGGCCAAGGACAAAACCAAAGGTGTGGCAAGGGCAAGGCCCAAGCCAATAATATTGAAGTTGAGGGTGGTGAAGCAGTTGAATCTGCTTACATCAAAGAAATCCCTGAATATCAGCAGTATGATTATGCTGCTGATGAATTTGATATTACTGCTGTCACAATACCTCACAAACAAACTCCTGAACTTTCTCCTGAGCAACTTGCTCTGGTTGAGAATATCTATTCCAATAACCTCCAGTCATATATCGGTTCACATGTAATAGGTGAAACAATGGCCTATGATCCAGATCTTACCCACCAAGATATAACAACTGCTATGGAATTGGTTGAGTTAACTCCAAATCTACCAGTTGATGCCTCCACAGGCCAACTAGCTTCATGGTATTTGGAGGAGATCCAAAACCACCAGCCAGATCTAGTTGAGTCAGTCAAGATTCGTGTAAATATCCCTCAAACTGATTCACCCTGCACCTGTTCTATATGTCACCAAGCAGCCCTTGCTTTACACTGGGTGGTCTCACCCCTACAGGAACTCTGGGAATGGGAGACTTTGAACTCTCTTCAGAGGCAGATTCCCCTTCCCATTATTGGGGAGGACAGGATATGTCCTTGTAGTCCCTTCTCACCCTCAAATTGAGTGGCAGATCCCATTTTGGCTTGCAAGGACATGGTGGTGATTAGGAATGTTGAGGGAAATGGTGGGACATCTCCAGAGGCAGACAGGAATTCTTGTCACCTTGCCAGAAATGTTTGAGGACATGATCATCGCAACTGAAGATCTGTCCCAGTATTAAAGAAAAACTGCCCTATGTCTTTAAAAGACTTTCATGAATCTGTGCCTACACCTGTGCCATGTAAACCTTTCCATATAAAACATAATCCAGATATCGAGTATGACCCTAACAAATCTGCTGCAGGATATTTCCCTGGTGAATTTGATAGAAATGCATATGATGCTTTTGACTGCTACCCCTTGGGTGTGCACACATCATTTAAGAACCTACCTAAGGGTGAGTCTATTTGGATGTTGGATAGCAGAGCATCACACCATGTGACTCCATTTAAAACTGATTTTCTCACCTTTTGAGAATTTAAAACTCCTTCCCTTGCATCAACCACTGGGTTAAGTTGAGTACAACTCTTGGGTGAAGGAACAGTTGTTATTCACCTTGAAAATGGGCACAACTTATTGCTCCATAATGTTGTCTACAGTCCTTTGTTTTCAAAGAGACTTTGCTCAAGAAATGCACTGTTGAAAAACAGGTATCACAGCACTGCAACATGAACACACAAGGTGATCTGAGCACCAGATGGCTGGATTGTTCTTGAGGCATGCTTAGCCTCACCAACTTCACCACTACACTGGTTTGTGGGTGTACCACTTCCACCTACCAATGTGTATGTGGTCCTTTGCCCTCTGGTTAGGACTTCACTGGAATTATTATGGCATAATTG